TTTTATTTTATGCTATATTTTATTAAATTATATTTCATTTTGTTGTTTCAGCTGCAACTCTTTTAGCTTCTTCAATGACATCCTCAAATGTACCTTACATATAGAATGCATTTTCTGGATACTCATCACCTTCACCATCAAGCAATGCTAAATTAAATAGAGAGATTTAAATACCTCTGAATCCAGCAATAGTGTCATTAAGTGAAACGAATTTACCCTTTCTTCCTGAGAAGACTTCAGACATGAAGAATGGTTAAGAAAGGAATCTTTATACTTTTCTAGCTCTGGCAACTGTAAGTTTATCGTCTTCAGACAATTCATCCATACCCAAAATAGCAATGATATCTTGGAGTGATTTGTAATCTTACAACAATTTTTAAACTCCTCTTGTGACTGTATAATGTCTAAATTATAATATATGTAGAATATTACTTTTCACCAACAATATTTGGGTCCATCATACGTGATGAAGAATCCAATGGATCGACAGCTGGATAGATACCCAATTCAGTCAATGCTCTTGACAACACAGTGGTGGCATCCAAGTGAGCAAATGTTGTAGCTGGTGCTGGATCTGTAAGATCATCTGCAGGTACATAAATAGCTTAGACTGATGTAATGGATCCCTTCTTGGTTGTTGTGATACGTTCTTACAATTGACCTAAATCTGTTGCCAATGTTGGTTGATAACCGACAGCTGATGGGATACGTCCCAACAAGGCTGACACTTCTGAGCATGCTTATGTGAATCTGAAAATGTTGTCAATAAAGAGCAACACATCCTTTCCTTCCTCGTCTCTGAAATATTCAGCAACTGTCAAACCAGTCAAACCAACTCTGGCTCTGGCACCGGGGGGCTCATTCATTTATCCATAAATGAGAGCACATCTTGATCCACCACTCAAATTGATGACACCAGAGGCAACCATTTCGTGATAAAGATCGTTTCCTTCTCTTGTTCTCTCTCCTACTCCTGCAAACACTGAATAACCACCATGAGCTTTAGCAACATTGTTAATCAATTCTTAAATTAACACTGTCTTTCCGACTCCTGCACCACCAAACAATCCAATCTTACCACCTCTAGCATATGGAGCCAATAAATCGACGACTTTAATTCCTGTAATCAATATTTCTGCACCACTTCCTTGATCCACAAAACTTGGAGCTTCTCTATGAATAGGGTATCTTATTTTTGTTTCGATTGGTCCTCTTTCATCAATTGGATCACCAATCACATTCATAATACGTCCCAAAGTTTCAGGACCAACTGGAATAGTGATGGGACCTCCTAAATCTGAGACTGGTTATCCACGAATGAGTCCCTCTGTTGAATCCATGGCAATTGTTCTGACTCTGCTATCACCCAAGTGTTGTGCTACCTCCAAAATTAATTTGTGACTTGTGCCTTGCACTTACAAAGCATTCAAGATGGGTGGAAGAGGTCCGTCAAATTGAACATCGACGACAGCACCAATAACTTAAGCAATTTGACCTGTGGTTGTTTTAGTAGTAGCTTTAGTTGTTGTTGTTGTTGTTGATGCTGTAGTAGCTGTAGTCTCTGCTTACTTCTTAGCAGCAGAGAATGCTATGAAGATATTAAAATTTGTAAATACCTGCACGCATCTATCTGGCTAATACCCTTGTCAGCATTTTATTTTAATAAAATAAATTTAGATATTCTGAAAATGGATATTTGTATTTAAATAGCCATTTTTCTTATCAAATCAATTTGTTAGTGCTCACTGAAATAAATCCACATTTTCTACCTCATAGATCCTTCTATTCCATAAATTAATACAAGAAATCGCACTTTCCCTCTATCCTCAAGATATTTTTAATGAATATATTTATATAACTGAAAACCTCGTACTGATATGGTATGACTTTAAATAATAATACTATCTTTGTTGATATAATAATATAATCTCATTGATCATATCTCATTTGACATCTGACTTCATCTTCTTAAGACCTTCGTTCAGAATCTATTGGAAGCCCTTGAAACTTCCTGTGTATTCCTCAAATCCCTTTAAGTATTTAGAAAACACATGACTGTAATATTATGTATAAATTGATACTTAGAGAATTGGAAGAGCTTTGTCTGTTTAGATTAAGCGAAATTGAGTCCAGGCACTACTTGACCATCTCTCACATCAAGCTATTTTATGTATTCTGATTACTTCTTATCTTGTACGAGCTGTGGCCAGGGATTAAAGAGCATGTTCCTAGAATTCAACATGGGCTCTGTATTCTGCAGCTTCTCTAAAGGAATTACATCAACAACAGTTACCTCAAACAGGAGATGGCATCATTGTAGGATTTAAGGAACACTTTAGCCTCATAATATGGTTACTCGGTAAACATTATTTTTAATAAAAATAAATCAAATCAGTCTTAAATTAGGCAAACCCACGAATACAAAATTATGAGTATAGATACGCTTTTTCTCGATCTAAATTTCCTTCCAATTTGAAGTATCTTAAACTGGCTCGGCTTTGGCTCCTTTCTTAACCTCGACTGGCTAAGGTTTCTTCTCAATTATATTTCCATTCTCATCCTCATATTTAATGATCGGAGCCTATCACAATTAGCATTAGATCAATACTTTATATTTCTGTAAACAAGCAGCAACATAAATATCTTCAGTTAATTGCTTGATCAAATTCTCAAATGCTCTCAGATACTCAACTGTCTAGGGAGACCATTACGTGGTTAAAATAGTACTAACATCAATGAGAGTCAAAAAAACAGAGATCTTGAAACTCTATTCTAAAATGTGGGTTTTCTCTCCATCTGGATCCAAAGAAGTGAACTTTTCTATCAAACTCTTCTTCGCATTCATCTTATCAAATATGACCCAAAACTTTGAAGTGTTTATTTCTGAAAGATCAATTATTACTTTGGAGGACAAGATATTCAACACTCCAGGAGACCCATACCAGAGGATTGAAGAACCTGTCTAGGAGTACTTTTACAACTCACCTAATGATGCCAATCTACTTTAAGAGAAAGTCTAAAATATAATACGAAAATTATACTCCTTCAAATTTCAGTTGGGGTGTTGTTTTTTATACTTCTGTCAATGTTTTCTATAGGTTAAATTCGTCTAAATTCAAATCCTAATCCTCTGTTTTGAAATCGTAAGTCAAATATTTCAGTTTATCTTTTTCAATTCCCTTCTAACTATTATTCAACTGAACTTAAAAACCAACACTCTTTAATCTTCTCACGTATACAGACATGCTAAAGTCTCTAGACATTGCAGCCACTTTATAGAATACACTCAATTATTCAACTGGATAATCAAAGAATTTAGGATCCAGCAATAAGACTACTGTGTCAATCTTGCCAGGAGCCTATTCTAAAGTGGATTCGTATTGGGCCAATTCATCTTTACCAGGTTTCCCCTTTGTTTATTTACCTTAATCCTTTTTGGGAGGAGGAGCTTTAGGATCAATTACGGGTGGTGGCACTTCTTCCTGTGTGTTTATATTCTCATCAATCATCTAGGCTACAAAACTCATGAATGATTCCACTTCTTAGCAATATTTACCATATTCCTTCTCCATATCATCTTCCAATTTGATGAAATCCTATTATTAAATTATAGGAGTCTTGATCAGATTATTTTTAATCTAATCTAAATTAGATTTCATTTGATTCATCTAATCATGGCTTTTAGAATCAAGGGGCAATCGTTACACCTTATAAACTGGAGATTTCGTGTTATGTAAATATCCTAAATACAAACAAGTCTTATTTTGACTCATCTGCATTATGAAGAAACCAGCACTTTATTGCAATTACGATTACAATTCTGTTAATGGAAATATCATAAGATTATCCCATAATTTATTAGCCTCTGTGAGCAATTTTATTGCTTCTAAACTCAAGTAACCACATTCTGCATTGATCATCTTAATCAGTCTGATGTAAACTATCATCTTATGTTTTCCAAAGAAGGATTGTCTGACCATATTAAACATTTATTCGCAAAATGAAAAGTGTTAGAACTTACACATGTAATCATATGAAATCTCAGGACTTTTAATTCCTAATATGTCTAATGCTGACTCATATAACATTTTCAAGTAAAAGTTCATTTATTTGAATCCAAATATACTCCATTCCAATGGGATGGTTTGATTGTCTCCTTTTGCTTTAAGCACATTGAATCCCTTTGATTCTAGATCTTTAATTAGTTTGAGTGCACTTTGCAAAGCATCTGTCTTGTAATCAAACATATTATCTTCTTCGTTTTATTAAGGTATTTGATCTTAAGACAATGATGGTGCATCCCAAACATCATCCAATTACTGTTTACTGATTGCCAAGAATCGTTTGGCTCTTACTAATTCAATTTCAGCAATAGTGTACCAAAATGAATCTTTTTTTAACTGTTTCAAGGTAGATATCAAAATAGCAGTAGCCTTTTCAAAAGACTCCAATCGTTAAGGCAATGGCTGAATTGCTCTTTAAATCTTAATTGTTAATTAAGTTAAGAATTTCTAAAGAGGTTCATAGTTACTTAACTATTCGATTGGCTTATCTTCTTATTAATCATTATTATTATCATCGTCAGACCCTTAGAGATCAGGTAATGATTATTGCTTTCTTAACCATTTGATTAATCCCATCTCAATGAAACAAGATGCCATTATCACTCTTATTTTTGCTTATTAATCCATTATTGGAGATCTTATAGATTCTTATTCTTTCTCAATTAATAAAGTATACTTTAATAGTGATCTACTCTATTACTCTAGCGGTTTCAATATAGAATTTTGTAATCTTTAGAGTATTTTAAAATAGATTTCCACTTAGTCTATTTTAGTATAATTTCTATTTCGAATAAAAATTAGAATTTTATTGACTAAATTAATGATGAGCTCCACCTAATGTGTCATAAACCCACCATGTTAAATACACTTCAATGATTTTTCCAAGTTCTCTACTATTAATTTAAATGCTTCATAAGAAAATTCTTTAAATAAGTCTTTTGCCGATATTTTTGATTGCAAAATATACAAAGTAGTTAATGTTTGATAAATCTACAATTTATTAGGCTAATAGTTGGGTTTATTTAAGACTTCTAACAACACTTCTGTAATCTATTTTAAAAATTGTCTTATGTCATCATATTTACCAAGTTTATATAAGGTTTTGTATGTCTCAATAGAAGAGATCTCCCATTAACTAACATTTTTAATCAATTTGTGAGATAGTTTATGATTTTCAATTGAATCTTTGAATTCCCCTTCAAGGAATGCAATTTGACCTTGAAGACATAAGATTCTACCCATTAACTCTAAATCTGAGACTATTTTAGCATGCTTATGGGATTCAGCCAATAATTCTTTGGCTCTATATATCTCTCCCTAGAATATTAACTCATTTCCTAAATCTGTTAGAATTGTGTAGACAAAGATCTCACTAATAATATTGGCTTAAGGTAGATTCTGCTCCATTATATCTGCAGGTCTTGATCGATTTTATTGCAAAACACTGGATTCAGTTTTCGCTAGCAATTACTTTTTCTCTTATTCTGTAAGTTTAAATTTAACAATATTTGATTGTTGATACATTTAATCGGCCTCGCTGTGAAATCCTACTAAGTGTAGGCATTTGCTAAATTTGACATCAATTAATCTATCTAAATAAGAATTATTCAATATTTCCTTAACAAAGAACTTCTAAAATACAAAGATAGGTATGTTATGAATTTAGAGACCGTATTTTTCAAATATGCTCATAAGATTGTTTATGTAGGTGTAAGTCAATTAAGCCTTATCAAATAAGTACTTGCCCATAAAGTTAAAATCTTCATAGCTTTTTACTCTTTCTAGGAATTCTTTACTAAATTACAATTTGATCCAATCCTGGATGCAAGTAGGTAACAGGTATCTAGGCGAGAAATCATCTTATTATTGAGGTTTAGGCTATTACTATTATTGTTTGCTTGTTTTTTCGTCAATGATATTTGTATACTTAGCAGCATTTTCTTCAAATTCATTCATAGTTTAAAATGAGATTTCAATGATTTTGATCAAAAATACTTTAGCATCGATAGCAAATTGAATAGATTATTCCATTGTATCAGCAATCATGGCTAGCATGATATGGATTCTCATTAATCGTTCATAATGAGCACAATTCAATCTATTGGGATTGGCTTCCTCCTCTCTTGGTCTAAATATTTTTGATTTCTGTTTATTGCTTTTGATTGTTGTTGTTCTAACATTAGCAGCCCTTGAAAATCTTTAATTACTTGATTTTTAACCAGATATTTATGATTTTTATTCTTTACTTTTATTTTATTTAACAGTGTTCTTAGTGGTTTTCTTAGTCATTTTAGACTTTTGTTTTGATTATTTAGAAACAGTTGATTTTTTGCCTCTTGTACTTCTACTGAAAATGGTTGATGAGTTCTGTTCTTCATCTCCTTCTTCCTCTTCTTCATCATCCTCCATTTCAATTTCAATTAAAGTATCTGCTGCTTGCATTAAATTTTCAATTACTAATTACTTTTCATTTCCATTCCTGAGTAACCATTCAGAAAATTCTATCAAGACCTCAACAATTTCCACAGATGAATCCTTCTTCAATAATTCAATGGCTTTATTATAGGCAGTATATTATTTATAAAGATTATTCGAAACTCTGGCTAATCTGATCCAAACCTTGGCTTAGAGAGATGCATCTGCTTCTTTCATATTGACAATTGCTTGCAATTCATTCTTGCCTTATTTGCTCATAAAGATCATTTTGGCTTCCCAAATAGGTTTGGCCATATTTTTGGGCACTAACTCAAATACCATATCAGCTGCCATTTCTCCTAACTTGTAATCTTCATTTTCTAAAGCACTTTTAAAGAGCAATTAGGCTAGCAACAACACGAGATCAGGTTCACTCTTTTCCTTGCATTCTTTCAAATAATTCAAACAAGAATAGACTGGCTTAATCAAGTGTTTTCTATTTTAAGCACTTTCTTCCAATCTCGCGCATAAATTCCAAACCTATTTTGATGCATCCAACACTAAACTATTGATTCCTGCTTTTAATCCTTTATTGGCAGCTTCAATTGCATGGAACAAACTTGAAAACAGCAAGGATTCTTAAGACTCAGTCTCTTGTGTCTCTGTATTAAGCATTCTTAATAGATTCTCACTATATATGTATTCAGCCAATGAATACCACCTTAACCTTGATGCTGGAATAGTGGATAAATCCGATGTCAATAATTGTAATGAATATTGAACACATCTCAATGAATACTTGTACATTAATATCGTCTCTTCATTTAATGACAATCTGGCTAATCTTGCCCACAATTCAGCATGCAATTCTAATTCAGTCTCATCATTCTCTTTTGCTGTCCATCCAACAAGAGTTTCAAAGCATTTTTTTATCAAATCCTAAGTTTAAGCTTTATTGGTTGAATTTTAAATAATTTCCAATTAAGAAACAACATCAAAGATAACACTATCTGAAGATGATTACTATGGTTATTTAGTTCCCTTCTTATCTTATTATGCTCCTGGCTTAGCTGCACTAGTCTTGGCAGTACCTGACACTCTCGCCTTGATTGAATTGATCAATTTACGAGTGTGAGGAGACAAGGGTGTTAGTAGAAGTGCTTCACATACTCTCATAACTTCATCGTATTGTGCCTTGCCTTCCATCAACCTTGCGTAAACCAATCCAATATTTGCTAACACTTATATCTTAGTATCGATATCATAATCATTGATCAATTTTTTTTCAATTTCCTTCAAAGAATTCTTCATAATTTCAAAAAATTCTTTCAATAAATTGGTGATTTCTGGCAATAACTTACTATCATTGATAGGATTACGGAAAATCGTTAAGAAATTATTCCAAATGTATATGGCCCCATTAAATACTAACCAAGTTTATTTGATTGAATCTGCCAACTTCAATCCTTTGACAAAATTTGAACACATCTTTCTTTTTAATGACAACACTTGATCCTTCTTTTCTTAACTTAACTCTTCCACATTCTCATTTTCCTCTACTCTTATTGGATCGGCAAAAGGAATTTCAAAATTATCCTTAATCAAATTATCAATTATCATTTAGGCCATTCGATATTAACATTCTACTTAAGCCAAAATCATCTCTGAAGCATTCTTAACATCCCATGTGTCATTACATACAAATTCGCATGCTTTAAATGCTAAATCATTAAATTCCCATTCAAATGCTAGTCTTGCAATCTCAGCTGCCAATAATTTCTTCTATTTAAATTGATATAAATTTTCCTGCTTCTTTAATACTTTTTCTCTATTTTACTCTTCCTCTACAAGGTCCAATTTTGTATCATACCAATATTCTTATTCTTACAAATTAACAATAGTTCCTAAACACTTCTATAAAATATCAATCCTAAGATTTTCAGATTTAGCTGCCTACACATTCTCCAACTGAGTAATCACTCTTTCAATATCGTTTTTAGGTTCCTGATAAATATTTAATTTCAGTCTAATCTTCTCCTCTAAATTACGTAAATATTTATCATATGGTCTTTGATATAATCCCAAATCCTCTCCTTCATCATATTTAAATTGCACCTTCCCCAACGGCACACTATAATCAAGTTACAAGGCTTTCTTTATATGTTGCTCTGCTTTAACAGCTAAATCTTCTTGTAAGTCACTTTTGGCTAATTCTATATGGAAATTCACTCTTAAAGCATGGTCAACACATTGGAGTTGTTCTAACAATTAGCAAGCCATAGAAAAAGCCTTGTAGACATGAACTCTGTATTGAGCATTCAAAAATGGTAAGGAAATATTCCATATTAAGACAGCACCTTCAAAAATTAGATCAGGATCGTTTAATTTCTTATTTGTGACCATCACTTTTTCCATTGTTTTCAATGCCTCAATTCTTCTTTCAACTTCTTACATCTTTATTTAAAGAGAATTCAATCTCATTCCTGTTTTATTGTCGATAAGTGGACCAGCCTTCTTGATAAACAATTCTGCTTTGTTGTATTCGTGTAAAATGTATGCCTTCTAATGCAATTGTCTCACTCTACTTAAAAATGCTGTAATTGAATCTGCTATGTTGACTAAGTTATACTGAAGTGCCACCCGTCCAGATTCAGCCAATCTTTCCTAAAACACTGGTGCTAGTTTGTTGGTTGCTGCCACTTCATTGCCAGGAAGTACTGCACTTGAAATCGAATTAATTAAATTGATCAACTCCTTTTCTACTTAGGCCTCAGGGATTAATCCACTTCTCATCTTCTATAGCATAAATAAGGATTTCCAAGCCTTTTCTGATGGAGCAGATTCTGATTCTTTGAACGCTGAATCCAAGGCTTACTTATATTCTTTGCCAATGTGAATTCTCAATCTTAATAATGAGTTTTAGAAATCGCAATCTCCTTTCTTCTTTGTGGTTTCCCATAAACGATCCAACAGTTTAAACGCATCAGCCTTCCTATCATCGTACAGACAATAGAAAAGAAGCCATGTAAATCGACATCTCCAGTCATAATCAGCCTCATCTACTTCCTCGAACATTTTGTCTATTTTATCCAGAATATCAACAAATGATAATTGCCATTAGGGCTTTAGCATAGGACGAATGATGTTATAAACACAAATAGAGGCATTGTAAATGAGAAAACCATACTTTTATTTATTCTCAGGTTTGGAAATGATATCTAATCCTTATTACACATATGTGAGAGAGAGTTTTAGATTCTTTATCATGTCTTCTGCCTTTAGTAGACGGTCATGTCCATTCATTGATATGAGACGAGCTTTTATAAATAATGCGCGGATGTAAAACTGCCCTTATGATGTGTTTCTTTGGAAATACAAATCTATGTATTATTGTGCGATATGAGCTTTATCTGGCACAATCAAACAAGCCTCACAATATTTGATGATCACCTCTTATGAAATATCTAGAAATGAAGATCTGATTATAATTGATATGCATACCTGATATTTTTCTTTAGGATCTGATTGATTTTATCTATAGAATCCTAACTTTGACTCAGAAAGGTCTCGTTATCATCTCTGTGATCAATAAAGAATCTAGCTTCCGTGATTAAGTTATCAATTATATACTCCTCATTACTCATTACTTTTTAAAATATAAAATTAATCAAAATATAAGTTTCTTTTTTCTTTGATTTCTTGAACATATATTTGATAAGCAAGATCTTTTACTTCTTGAAAGAGAATGTTCATTATAATACAAGAAGCAGTTAATATTATATATCAAATTTAAATAAATTTCAGTTTATCTATTTAGTTACCATCTATAATAAATGATTATGATAATAAAACGAATCGAATCTAATTTTCTACTTTAGATTATCTTAGATTATAAATTATTTAATAATAACATTAATAAAAGATCTACTTTATTCTTCAGGTGAAATCAAAATAAAATAATATGGATATGACAATAATCACATTAACGAATTGATCAAATCCTGCAACACATTAAATTCATTTTCAATATTCTTGACTCTAGTATTTTGATCCTCCAATTGTTCTAGCAATTCTTAATTGTAATCGTTAGGGAGTTCTTACAGTTATTGCTGCAATTCAAGAATATGCTAATCTCTTTCTTCAATATCTTATTCTGATTTCAGTTTATATTCAATCATCTTCTTATTATTATTGTCAAGTTCGATCTACAAAGCCATTAATTATTCTCTCAATTCGTAATCAACCATCTACTATATTTCTTATTCTTATAGTCCCCCGTCAGAAGCTTTTTGTTCAACAGCTCTTTACAATGTGTCGATTAAAGACTGTTGACTTGTTACAAGTTCCAAGATTTGATTGAATGAATCAAAAATAGGCATTTCAATTCTTAACTTGTTGTATTATACAAATTAATGATAATATGAAGAATTCTTGATTTTCTTAATACGAGTTATCGTAATAATGACCCAAGTCACAACTTTGAACAGTTTTCTGTTTGGCTGAATTCTGAGATCTTATTGCATATCATTCAATTGAAGATTTAAAAGAGATAGGGTTCTTTGTTAAATTAGAAATTCTTCCAGCATTTAGGAGATAACTGAAATTACTTACTTTAGTTTTTGATCATTATATTTTGGTTGAGTAATCGATCGAACCTTTTCTTGCTTCTTGTCTCTCTAATAGAATCTAGTATTAAATCATTCATACTGCTCTAATTCAAGGATTCTTTATTCGAAGAGCATTTTAGTTCTCTCATCATGCATGTTCGGACTCTAATTCCCAGAACTAGATTTTATAGAAACCTACTGCTATAAATGGAACTAATTTTACTAAAAGAATCATATTTATATATTTATACTTTAAGTTATTCCTTTAGCTAAGTCTTTTTCTATTATAATTCCATTAATTTATCTATCATTCTAGTAAACATCTCTGCTAATTCTTTTATTTGAGGCATTTCAAATGCTTAAGAGTTGATTTAATTGGCATTTTTCAATTGACTCAATAATTGATTTAGTTCCTTATTTATTAAACTTAGATTCTCCAATTGTTGCTGGACAGTCTAGGCTTCATGCTGATCCAATATAGTATGAGTGGCTAACAATTGTTCTTCCTATTGGCTATCATTTTAATCTGCCAGGTGATTCTTGAAATTTTCCACAATTGCTTCATATTTCATTTGCCAATCCTCATTCTATTCTGAAAGCAATAAGATCTGTTGTTGCAATTAATCGTAGATCTATTGTTTTTCAATGTTGGCTGATTCAAATTACAATTCATATTATTTGGTTTATTCCTGTAACTCTTACACTTTAGCTGTCAAGTCTTTGACTTTGATTTTCCTTTATTTGGATCTTTCGCGACATTTATTTGCATATTATATTAATTGTTCTTTTTCCATTTAGAATTTATTCAAACCGTCAAGTTACGATCTCACTTTCTCTTCGTATTCCTTCTGCCCTTTCTCCTATTACATCAATTTCTCTTAAAGTAGCTAATACTCATTCAATAAGGCTGAGTATTGCAACTTTAATTGCGTATTCTATTGAGTTAATTATGATGAAGTGGATATCAATTATTGTATTCGCTTCTCAAGAGATGCTTACTTAAATTTGTAACAATATTATTATTACTTTGATTTAAAATTCTCGTTCGTAAAATTATAGCTTTCCCTCTAATATTTATACTTGCGATCTCAAATTAACAGCTTCATTATCAAATTAATCGCCTATTTTATTGAAATCATTAAATGAAGCATAGCTCTTTGCTGCATCAGTTTATTTAAGAGTGGATTATTGAATAATGGGATTTTTGGGTGTTCCCATGCTTACTTGGTTTAGACGCTTCTCAAATTTATCCATAAAATAATAAAATTTAAATTGATTATACTCAAAAAAATATCAAACTTCTGATAAAACTAAATTATTCTAATAATACTCCTATTAATAATGGCTGGCATTATGAATCTCTTAATTGTTAATTAAGTTTGACTAATAACAATTTAATAATATAACAATTGATAAAATGACTTGTATCTAAAATAATCAACTTTATCAAACCAAATTTGTAAGAAAATAATTCTGATGATCTCCCTTCTATACTAAATTTAGGATTCTACTAATAATGATTATTAGATATATAAGGCAGTAGCAATATATTTCATATTAATTTATTACATACAAGGTTACTTAAAGTTTATTTCAAAAGCATCAAAAATAATTATCTAAATTTTCAGTTTATGAAGAACATAGCAATAATTATAGCTTATATAGAAAATACAAATTTTAATATGAATAACCTAAGGTAGGTAACTAATATAGCTAATTATTCTTTACCAAATTCTCACTTTATTATAAAGTGAGTGTCAGAATTGAAATAGAAGATTTAGGCTAACTTATTAAAAAAAATGTAATCAAATCTTAAAATCCTTGAAATCAGTTTTTATAATATGAGAATTCTATAAGCATATAAGTTTACAGAAATGATAGATAAAAGTATAAAATACATTTATTAATTTTAATAAGTAAGTAATCTTAAACAAAGTGAAATAACTAAATGTAAGATCATTATTGAATTTGAAGAATAGATCATATTTATTTATATAAGTGGTCATTTCTATAATGTAAATGAAAGTTTCAAACTTTAATCAATAATTATTAAACAATATTGATTAGTAAGATGTCAAACTATAGAATAGTTCAAGCTTTTGAATAATAGGTATTGATAACAACTAAATTGAAAATGAAGTTTAGTAAATTTATAAATAAATAGGAAGATTTTCATTTTTTTGTAAGATGCTAAATAATCACATGCAGTCTCGCAATTTCTTACTTCAGAAGAGTTTGTTCTTTGAGATAATTTTCTTCTTTTTGATGCCAGCTTTCTGCTACTTTAATAAATTTTTATTTTATTTTCTCTAATTCTTCAGAATATCTTGGTTTTGATGCTGCAACTCGAGATCCTCGTTTTTGAATTAGAAATCTTTTTTATGAATCTGTTGCCACCATATATGTTCGAGCTGTTTCAATTTGGGTGTGATTACTAAATGATTTGTGATCCTTAAGAATTTGTTTTAAGTTGATCATTGGTTTTTAATGAACTATACCCAATTCAGTTTTACATCGAGAGACACTTTTCATATTTAAAGAATATTGATCGAATTTAATGTTGTGCACTTTGGGAGAGAGGCTCGTTTAATTCATATATATATTTATTAATCAAAACTTTTTCCTTAACAAAGTGGATTAACCTGATTTTTTGATTCTTTAGAAGTAATTATTGGCTGAAGGGAAGGCGGGAGCTTTAGTTGCTGTATTTTATATAGGACTACTAGATAGATTAGTTTTCACAGGAGTAGCTGACTTTTTAGGTACTTGGTTCTCCAAAATCTATTGAAATTATCTCTGTAAGGAACGAATCGATTCTTTCTTCTCAATTTGATTGATGTTAATTATTTGGTAGTTGTTATTAAAGATCTAAACCTTTTAAGGCTTAGTGTCTGTAACTTTTTTATCCTTGGTAAAGCTATTATTGAGTTTCTTTTCTTTGTCGTTGAATTCATGGACAGATTTAGATTGCTTTTTGTGTTGCTCCATTCCACCAAAAGAAAAGTACTCTGAGTCCAATTGGATTTTGGGGGATTGAGGTATTTGAGATAGTTAGGAAGCCTTTTCTTTGAATCTTGGAGTGTCGATTGCAGTATGTTATTTAACAGGCGTTGGGGATTTTGATTTGACTTATTTCTTTTTCATATATTAATGAATCATCGATTATGCGTTTGCAAATACAGAAACCCCATAGAATTCGTATGTACTCTAAAGGAATGCACTGATCGGAGACTGATTTGCAAATCCTGTGCTTGGGATCATAAGCGTCACGATTCCAAAGTTCTTTAAATTAACGAATTCGAAACCATGATTACAAAGTGATTATGTGTCTCTTTATCATAGTGACTCGCTGGTGTAAAGAATCCAAGACGTACAGAATGCAGAAGGAATAAACAACACTCTTGACCAACTCATACAAATAGCTTAGACAGACATAATGTAAATACTGAAGAAGAGGTGCACAGAATTGAAGGACAAAGTCAAGAAGCATTACAATCCATTCAATAGGACCGTCGAACACATTACAAACATATCCAAAAAATACTATAATTCATCGACCATCGACTCTCTAGTCAAGGAATTGGACATCAGCGACATTTAAGGACAATTATAAAAAATGGAGGCCGCTCAATTTTAAAAGTTTTCTCTAATTTGCAAAGAAATCTTGAATTTGTCAGACGCTCTAGACAAACTGAGAAAAGCATGCTAAGAAGACGCATCTCCAGAGCTAAAATCTATTAGAAATTACATCCAATCAAATCTGGAATTTAAAGAAGTGAAACCAAAAAGTAACAAATCTATTTATTCCACTCTTAGTTTCCTTCGATTAAGATTTAAACGAGTACATCGAAAAATCAGCAGTCTAACTATAAAAATAGCAGATTTTGGAGAAATCACAATTGCAATAATAGAAACAATAATAATAGGTATAATAGACTTAATTGGATTACAAGAGAATTGCTCCTTAACACATGTATTTATCTCATTTGGAGATTCAGAAATAACCCAAACAATTATCAGAGAAGGCCTCGCCCTACAATTAAGAAAGGTTAAAAACGGAACATGTATAATACAAGTCTCTGCTTGATTACTCATTTATGAAAGAAGACAAATCGCAATAACTACCCAAATACCATTAAATGGATTACAACAAAAGACAGGAAGAACCCAATAATCAATTCAATAGTCTATCTAATACTGATAGGCTCTACCCCTTTTATTAAAGATAATCATCCCAAAGCTTATATTAATCTTCAAAGAAATGATAGTATATATATATATTTCTATTGAATATCAATTATAATTTATTGATGTTTTACTATATGATTATTCAATATAATGTGCTTTTTCCATAACCCACCTACACCTAACTAGATTAGATCGTCGATCTTTGAATTCCTGATTAACTCAATTTTTAGTTAGATTACTCCTATGATCTTAAGGTTTCGAGTTCAGCTGACATAAGGACAATCAAACATAATTAATCTTCAATGATTTTCTGTAATCTCCAAGATTCATCATCACCATTGATATTCAAATTTCGTTATGAGCCTTTCTGTGATCTGAATTATTATTAATCTAAATTGATCTATTTGTCCTCGTATCCAAATGTATTCTATTAGGATAACAATTATTAGGACATCACTTATACTCCTGAAGCAGAGACATTCTTCTGTCTCTACAATTCCATAGACAACAAGGCTATTTTGTTTTCATAGTCTATTAGTTATCTTCTTAATTTTTCTAATTCATCATTGCTCATAGCCTTTCTTCTTGCCTCATCCAATTGCAATCGAAGCTAAATATCAAAGAATTATACTTACATCATTAATTTAAGCTTGCAAATCTGAGATAGATTTCTTTAAATAAGAGATCTCTCCTTCAGCATTTCTTAAATCAACCAATACATGTTCATAATCTTGAACTGTGTGCTTTAGTGCCTCACTTATTCTTTCATTTTCAGCTGCAATCAACAAATAGGCCAATAAAACATCTTAATATTGACTCAAAAGCACTGTGCCTTAAGATTCATCCCCTTATCCAAGACCAACTTTAGATCCATAGCTGCCTGGTTATCCTGTTCCACCTTATAATTAATTAGCCAAGGATTTGTTGGTAACATCAGAACCACCTTATCCTGGTTATCCTGATTGTCCTCCTCTGCCACCAGAAACAACACTTGAACCAGGTTATTTCTTAATTTTAATTTCTTGTTCTTTGATTGCTTTTTCTTTTTGATTCAATAGATCTTCTAATTCTTTAATTCTTGCAATTTTATTAGATATAGTTTTGGTTTATGAATCAATCTAATCATCCTATTCTGATATCTTTCTCTTTAATTTTGCTATCTAATCATTCAATTCTTCAATTTCTTCTTTGAGTGATTCAATTTCATTTTTCAATTCATCTATCTCTTGTTCATATCTCTCCTTATCATCATCATTCTGATTAGCAATAGAATTTAATTATTGTAATTATGCTTATGCATTTCTTTATTAGTCTTACAATTAAGCAAGTTGATTTTGCAACTATTGTAACTGCTGCAATAATTATTATTTCTCTCTCTCCAAATTGGCAATCTAATCCTTTAATCTTTACAGCTCAGCTTTCAACTACTAGATTTCTCTATTTAAATTGTCAATCAATCTAGTTTTATCTTCTAATTGTTGATTTTTATCTTTCAATTATCTTTACAAATTTTCTAATTCCTACTCCAACTTATTGACTCTAATTTGTAATTCCTAGTATTATTGTGCATATCTCTCTAATTCCTAGATTCTCTGATCTTTAGCCTAATTATCCTAAGTGAGTTGAGCAACCTATTAACCTAACTTATTGCATTCAGCAGTTTTATCATTCAATGATTTCTTTAATTATTCGATTTCTTTCAAAGCATCAGCCAGCTTCTTCTTGAGATCTTCTTAATCTTTCTATTGTTTTCTCAATTTATCGACCTCTTTATTGGGATCATCTCCCAATTTCTTCTTCATGTCATCTAGTTCCTTTGATTTTTTCTTCAATGCATCTAATTCCTTCTACATATCACTCAATTTGGCTTATAGATCTTTAACCAATTTCCTCAACTTTTCTAATTCATCGAGATCACTTAAAACATCTTCAAGATCTCTTCCATTTAACAATTCTAAATGATGATCATATTTTTCTGCTTTCTCTCGAAGTGAATCCAACAAGTCAGATAGATCCTCCATTGATTGTCCATCTTTGGCCAAGTTATCCAACAACTCTGCCTTCTATTTTAATGCCTCAATGTCAAAATCTAAAATAAGAAATCATACTATATGATTTACCACCATCTCCTCCAGTAATGTCCTCCAACTTATTGGACACTATCTGTATTTCCTATTAAAAGTCTTGTACTTGTCCCTCTAGCTATTGATTTCTCGAATTAGCCTGATTTAGCTGTGACTTCAATTTGTCATTATCCCGTTTTAGCATGTCATTTTCCACTTGTAGCTATTGTATCCTATTCATCAAGTCTCCAATTTGCTTCTCGTAATTGAGTCGATCCACTCTAAGATTGGAGATCTCCTTGACTTCCTCCTTAAGCAAATTGTTTTCTTGTATCATTCTGTCCAATTCAACAGCCATTGCAAAACACACAACGTCCATGTTTTTAGAAAGGTCCTTTCGACCTTCAGAATACGCAGAATTTCTTTAATATAACGAAAGACTTACATGTATCTAACTCGATCGTCTTACATTAGAAAATAAAATTTATATGCTTCATCATAAAAATAAAATATTTCAATCCTAATTATGTGATCACAGGAGCACCTACTCAAAGAGAGACACTGGAGACTGTGCATAACAAAGACTAAAAAGGAGATTATAACAGAGTGAGAGAGAGAAATAAAATAATTAAAAATATTCTATAAAATTTAAAATTAAATCGTTATGGAACTCTTATGTTCAATTTGCGGCCAAGACTTAGACATCTGTGTAAGATGGCCTCGCTTGATTCCAAATACAGGAGATACTATTTGCTAATTGTGTGTATAACAAATAGTTGACCAGACCATTGAGGCCGATAAGATTATACATTTATAAAATGATTTGTCCTAAGTAGTGTTTTGCCTTTTACATTAGTTGTAACAAATCAAATAAAACCAACTGAAACTGGATGACTTCCCTCTCAATCAGAGCCTGTTGCGAATACTTTAATTATAAAAATCTAAGAATCTACGACCAATAAATTTAGAATCCAAAATGAGTAATCAAACCTTTGAAGAATGGCCATCAGATGAAACGAGTATCGACAGTAACTTCTTGGACGACTTGGCTACTTCTGTTAAGAAACCCTAAAAATTGAATTTAAAACGATTTCGAGATCAAGACGATAGTTTTGGCTCTCTAAATTACTCTTATAATTCTGGGAAATTGTGTTAAACCCATCGTAGACAACTCGAAGTTGTTTGTCTCCAATGCCAAACTATGATTTGTACAAATTGTGCTCTGTTCGGAACTCATAAGGGTCATTACATTTATAGCGAAGAGGATATCATTTCACTTCTGGAGATGAAGGCCTAGGAACTTACAGAGATGGTTGAGAGAATCCATAAAGAGTCCCAGTCCATTTCGAGAAGCAAACACGAATAGGATCTGTAGGCTTAAGTTTCAGAAATGCAACGAATTGCCATTGATAAGTTGAAGAAGGAATTCACAGAATTGAGAGATAAAATAGATTAAAAAGAAAAGATTGTAAGTATATACTGTTCTAATGTTAGTTAGTGTCTCAAATAATGATTGCTACATCCAATAATATCAATAAGTTTAGTGATTGGTGGAACAGTACTATCCACATAGAGAAGGAATGCCAATCTTGGATAAAATTAGCGTAAAGTGCTTTTGAGTAATTCACAGAATAGGTTAAATATTGGGAATTGCTTAATCTAACTGATAGTTTGAGAGCCAATGGACTTCAACTCTAATAGTAAGAGTATTTGTTAATTAAATAAGAGAAATCAAGAAAAACCAGTAATCAATTATTGCCAAAAGGGATTAGCTGATTGGCTTAGAAATTAATGTTAAATTTAATTGGAATGCTCTAAAATTTGAAGACTTTTGTAAAATAATTGAAGGTCCTGAATTGATCACCAGTAATAATAATAATAATCAATCGCAATAATCACCATATTTACTAGGTTCATTCACTATGCAATAATCTATTGAAGAGACAGATTTATTAAATGATGTAAGTGCCACATTCGCAAACGAAGCTGAACCTGTTAATTAAATCAAAAGAGTTTACAGGAGTGCTACTCCTACTAATCAATTGAACACTGAAAATTGTGACCCTTCTCTGTCACCGATTGTAAATTAGTAATTAACAATAGTAGGAAAGTAATAGAGCTTCAATTTGCAGAAAGAAGTCTTAAGTTCCAATGAAATTGCAATTGTATATGGATGAATTGAGGAAGGGGAAGACAGATGTGGCAGAATTCAACAATCTAGAAAAAGATATGTTGGTGGTTTTAGGGAATGAAATTAAGCATTGGAAGGTCAAAAGTGTGAAGATCATGAAATCCAAATTGTTGGATGATCAGCTCATACAACTATTTAAGGGTATTTATACATTTATTGATTTATTTACAATAGCTTTGTCATAGAATGATAATATTTAGAGTGTAAATTTATCGCAGAACTCATTAACTGATAAAAGCATCGATACTTTATTTTAGTTATATTAAAATGGATTGATTGGCATTCATCTGAAGAATATAATTGTGTCATAGAATAAGATAAATGCCAGGAATGTGAAATAGAAGATTGCTGATTTTAAGAAGTTGGGTTTGATTATAACATTATGATAATTAACAAAAAATACTATATCATAAATCATACTATTAAAATTGTCTTCTTTTCTTTTGTCTGCGTTCGTCCTCATCTACTTCATACAATAAGATTTCTTTCTTCAAATTTAATTAACTGTATAACTCCTTGGTTGAATCATTGAATGATTCCATTTCTTATTAGAGTGAAGATCCCTCGAATTTACTCTTCTACAATTTGGCATGGGCAGTAGAAACCCGTTTTAAAGTCTAAGCAGTCATTTATCTTTCAAATCTAGATTGCTCCACATCCTTTTTCTGATTTAATATGGTCATCCACTCCGCAGGCAATGGTTCGCAAGTGCAGTAATCTGGATTTGGCAATTGAATTCCAAAGTGATCTTGTAACTTAATTCTTGTAACATTAATGGGTCCAGAATCTACAAGGCCTAATGTTAACTACATTATTAAACATAGAATACATTTAGCGACCAACTCAATATTGGATAACAGTCCTTTACACTGAAGACCTTAAGGAATTCTCTTCTTATGACTCGTTCAGAGAGTAGATCTTAGAGTTCGAGTTCTAACGTACCAATCCTTGTATTCTCTTAGTACAGGTACATAGGCAGTACTTTTAACTGATTTACGTAATCTACCCAACCTTTGCGTTGATCACTAAAGAAATAGTAAAGTCGCATACGATTTAATGTTAAGAAATACCCCTTATCAAATAACTACCCTTAGATCAAATCTAATTTGATTTTGAATTTCTGGTCGAATATATTGCATTCAATGTAATAATGCTTAGACAGGTCTACATTTTAAGGGACATCCCTTATGGAATGTATTAGAATCATAAATCTAAATCTATTCAAGTTTTTGATGACTGTGTTATGAATCATAGGAATAAGTTAATTATTGAGTATCAATTGTTTGGTGGCAGAGATGTTGAATATTTGCTTAGAATCCTCTAATCCAGTCTTAACGGTTTCGTTATTTACTTGATTGGCTTTGAGTGTTAACATTTAATTCATAGTATCATAATCACTAGGCAATCCCAACAACTTATTGAATTGCAATTGCAATTCAATTAGCTATTCTGTTTCCTTGTATAAAGTGTAGCATTGTTTACACACTTTGTGTTCATGATAAAGGTTGCTGACTTCAAGATTGGTGACATCAGATCTGTCAATCCAATTGAATGTCTTACCTCTCCAGTAGAGATGTTTATCAGTTTGGATGATCATTTTAAGTGTCATCTTATATTGTAGATGTTATTCTGGATAGGATTGCTCACAATACTTGCATATCTTTTGCTTTTAGCACATGTCAGCAACTTTGGCCTTGGGAGTTGAGACGCGTTCTTAAACTATAGGTTATCCTTCCTCATTTATTTCTTCTCCATAATGAGTGATGGACTTCCACATGATCTTTTCAGGACTTTTGTCAATAATGAACCCCTTCACATTGATAAACCACCAGATTCCACTTTCATCTTTTATGAAATCAGCTGAGAATTCTAGAAAGGTGATATGCAAATGAATATAGATGTAAGTGAGAAGATTCTTAACATATGGGACAGTTTCATCAACATATTTGCCTCGACAAGTGTTGACAATAGTGCATGAGTTTTGCAGATTCACATTGGTTGCATACTTGGTCATTTCAGTCTTGGGATTGGTTGATTGAGAGAAGAAATCCTCTTTGTTTGTTATGATGTAACAATAGGGGTTCTTGTCCTTTCTCCAAATGGTTCGACATACAAATGCTTTGGGTCCATTGCTCTTGACGAACTTCTGAATGACACACAGATCCATCCGATTTGAGAAGTTGACATTTATTTATGATTGCAGATCTCTACAACATACCAACTTTACTTCGTTGCCTACTAATTCCATGTTGCGAAACTATTGTTTTTTAACAACTGCTACAAGTTCATCTGGGGAGGTGTAATTGGCCAATTTGCTAATCACATTTTTGGAGGTAAATGTATCTGTTCTAAATACATAGCCTCTTGAATCTGAATATAACCAATAATTTGGCATTTCTTTATCATTGAGCACAATTGTATCAGGCACCCATAATTGTAATCTGTTAATCACTGATTGATTGGACTGCTCGCTGTCTGGTCGACGAGCCAGAAATTTATAAAAATGAATGAATCTCTGAAAATCAGCAGTATATTGACGTTCCTTTCCATCCTCATCGTAAATCAAATTGACTTATGCCAACAATTGCTCATATTTCCTTTTGACATCCTGTTACCTTTGACGTTGCAGTACATAGGGGTCTTGTAGATTCTATAACTGTTTTATCATCTCGTCTCTCTTTTACATTTTATTAATTTTATAAAGTAAAAATAAATATCTAGTTAATCATGAATAGAATCATTATTCTAAGATGCTGTTGACAATTCTCTAAAATATAAAAATTAAATCATTATTATTCCATTAGAAGTTTGTCCTCTGACAAATCAACAAAGCTTGATTCTTTGTTCAAAACTGTTAGTGACAATGAATTGAATTGACCTTGAATATTCACATTACATGTACCTAATTATTAATTGTCCTTCTTTTCTCTTTTATTCTTTTAAATGGTCTTCAAATCACCAAGGAAGGTATTCAAGATATTGTCGATGTAGACTACTTCCTAATCTTGTTCGCCTTCTAGTTGCTCCAACTGACTGGAGATATCAGTTACATCATGTAGGTGCAACATCTGACGTAAATACTTATTTTCTGTTGAGAGACTAGCTATTATACCCTAGTGACTAAAATGTTATTAGAATGATACTACCTCCGAATCATCATTCTATTTCAGTTGGTCTTATTAAACTAATTCGATGATTTTGAGCATTTTGGTTTTAAGTATCCTGTTCCTCTCTTACAACTATTCGTTGCGCTTCTATTTAGTTATACATAATATGTCTAAACCTTCTCTTTCAGCCATTCCTCCTAGTAAAACCTGGTCTTCTAGACTTCCTTGTCTTTGGTCAGCAATTCTGATTTCAGTTGTCTGTACTTTTTCATCACTTCCTCCAATACTCTGGAGTAATCATTAGCGGCAGAATCGTTGTTCTGTTCTCTTCTCTCCTTGTAGGTCGACAGATTCTCATTGCGACTTCTGTTGTTGCTCAATTGATGCTGCCTTTTGTTCTGCTCTTGATGCAAGCTGATTTGTGGAGTACGAAAGAGAGTGGGGGAGCATGAATTATCATCTAAAGGATAATCAGAAAAGAGTACTTTCAATCTTCCCCTTTCTTTGATTGGGAGTTTGTTCTCTTCTTTGGTTTGGAGATGTGAGTTAATTGAAATTATGCTATTGCAAAAGAGGAGGCTCTTTCTTAATTTGAAATTGAAGGGTTTTCTTATTATTTGTTGAATATTTACTTTGAATTCGTCTTGTTTCTATTTAATTTGCTGAACAAATAATTTGTTTTCCTAAATCGCATTCATCTTTTTGAATTTAAATTATTTTATTAATATTTAACACATTACACATGTAACTTAAATTTAGAACCTCCAAACACTCCCTGGAAGATATCTGATTTCCATATCATACCCCCTATTGGAGTGCTCCACGCCACTGATTGTTCTATTCGTGAACACGATTAGCATCAATCAACAACATTAACTAGAGCATTAATAAGATTTGGATAACTTTGTTACGATGATTGTATATAAAAATTAAATTATCTGAAATGCAACGAGTAACCCCCAACACGGTGAAGGAAGCCATGGCAAGGGTAGTGATTCCAAAATAAACATCTCAGCCAAACATTTGCCCAGAACACAACAACTTCTTCCACATCCCTCCAAAGTTTCAGCAATAGCGTTTGACCATTAAATAAGCGGTGCCAACTTCCAAATCTATCGAAGAGAAGCGGTATAAGCAACACAAAAACAACATCTCGGAAAATAACAACAATCGTACTAACAGCAGCTCCAAAAGTCGTGTCTCTGCTTTCGCCACCATGCAAGTCGAAGATGACTCATTGTATGGATCCCAAAATGGACTCAAACTACGCAAACTAATTGGTGACAGTCACATCCTGTCCTCCAACATTCTTTAGCAACTGTATGTGTTCACTTTATTATATAGATCCAAATAGAATCTCACCAGCAACCTCACGAGTGATTCTCAGAGTCCAGGCCAAAGGAAACCCCTCAAAAGGAATTAAGAACTTTGGAATCTCAACACCCAAATCCAAGCCTCCTTGATTAATAAAAAATAGTTCTCCAGATGGGAATTCCATAAAGAGCATCTAATTAAACAGCAAAAGAATATGCAAATATACAAACAGCAATTTGTATCATTGAGTGATTTGAATGATGTCCAATAGTAAATAATCAACAATCTATTCGAACTCTACAACAATATGTGTATTCAAGTCTTATGCGAACAGGAGGAGAAGTTCTACGAGATGATTGATTAAATACGCAGAGAAAGGGATCTATGGTAAAACAATTATAAGCAAGTTGAGCAAGAGAGAGACATCTTGCTTGAAACTGTTAAATAACTTAAGACGCCCAAATAGATTGCTAATAACAAAAATGCTTAGGGCAACAACATTGATAGTATGGATACAATTTAGTTAAAGGAAATGCAAGATATCATGCAATAGAAAATTCAAGAAATGAGTGAAAAAGAAGCGAAGTTAATTAAATTGGTTTTGGCAATCAAGAAAAGTGGGGTGGACATTGAAAAAATCTATAATGAAGAAGTCTTAAATGATGATAGCGTTGCTGAATAAACTGAGAAATCCCTTGTTCATAAGTACCATCATTATGAACGCAGTGTTCATGATGCAGACAATTCAGTTGTCAACGATTCTGATGAATCCAGCTTCTGTTTCCTTAATAGATTTGACAATGAATCTGTCGTTGAAAGTGTTAGAAAATTTGAGTATAAAAATGCCAACGTTCTCGATACTAAATCTAATGTCAAATTGAAGTTGGATCTATCCAATATCCAAAAGAAAAGCACCTCCACTCAAGCCAATTAGAAATAATAGAATCAAAAATAAACCATTTAACAACATCAATAGAAGTAGATGCAAAAACTTAAACTTCCAGAACATTCAGAGAATGGTGGTTTTCATCAAGAATTTATGCAGAAATTAAATGAATTCTCAGAAAGTTGGAGAATCTAAGCATTAAAAGATGAAAAAAGAACTAAATCTTGAACAATTATATATATATATTTTATCTATCATCTTTTTAATTGGATATCCTTAATCTAATGATAAACCTTAACTAAGAGATCTAAATTCACATTTCTAAAAGAAGTGGCATCCTTTTAGCATCTTTCACACTTATTGCAATGGCATCTTTAACAAACACTATGAAAACAAGGCACAAAAGTGAATGGATTTATAAACAACTCCTTGCATTTTGAACATCTAAGACTGACATACAGATCAGTCTCTATCTATTAGAGTTACTAATACAACTTTAGTGAACTATCACCCTCCTGAGTCTTCATCACAATTTAATTCATCTTATTCTATTCAATTGTGCAATCGATCGATCTTTTAAGATTCAAAATGTTATCAGGCAGTTTGTATTGATTGGAAGTATCCTTAAGTAGGCTAATTTCAATTTGCAATTTATGGATCTTCTCATTGCAATTTGTATGTTAGGATTTAAATTGCTCATATTATTATTTCTACTTTTCATATAACTCTTTATATTATAAAACTTAATAGACTTTGTTTTGGTAATCTTTATGAAAATCTATGATTATTTCTTCGTATTGTTTCACCAAAGGCGATTGTTTGAGATTATCAATTTAATTGTATTGAGGTTGCGATTCAATCAACAATTCAACTTAAGTCTCTCTATCCAAAGTAGGAACTTTATCAGTTTGTGATGTTTGGGATAATTTTTACTTTGAAATTGATTGGTTTTAACCTTACAACAATTCTTCAATTTTTAATTCGTATTATTTCTTGATCTATTTTTCCTGTTTGATTAGTTATTCAATTTAGGTCTACAATAAATCAAGTACCTTTGTACTTTATATCTGAGACAGAGTGTGCATTACTAATTTTGAATTTTCATAACGAATGATTTGTTCTATTGTACAAATTCAATCTATTTTTGCAATTGAGCAACCTATTACTTCAATCGAGTCACTTCATCTGCTCTTTTGGAATTTTCATCCGGAGTTTGAGCAATTTGTTTGAATTTTTGTAATTAAGGCAATGATTATTGATTCATTAATAATAATAATTAGAATGCTTAAATAGAGTAGATCAAAGGAACAATCCCTTGGTAAATTGGTATGTCAATATGCTTATTTATTCAGATGAAGATATACGTCGCATAAATGCTTCTCAATTCGGGCGTCAGCAGTTGCCAAGAACAAGGAATCAATCTTCTGGCTGAATTTCTGATAAAGAGTAATTTAATAACACAAAATAAAAGTGATACGTAAAGTGGGTTCCAATTCCAGGAGATTGTATGAGTTGCAAGGCAGATAAGAAGGAGACATCTTTCATGTCTTAATGGCACTCGATCAATTGAGCGTAACTTGTACATCCCTCTTGCAGCATTTCAAAAGAAATAGCAATAATAGTGACTTATCTCTCAACAGACTCCTAACCTAAGTCATGGAATCAATTTACAAAGAGAAATACAATTCATAAGAAATCGATGAGCAAAACAATTTGAGGCAAAGATGTCAATTGTCAATCCAATCCTTGAATCAACCATCCACCAACACTTGCTCCTTAAATACATTATTATACGCCCCAGTCATCTTTAAGAATGAAAAGGTCCAGAAGTAAAGGAAGGAATTGACTGAAAAACAAGTGAAGGAGGAAAAGAGGAAATACCAATATCAATTCGACGAGGATCAATTTTCAAAGCAGTTGGGAAAGAACAAACAAAAAGAGCGCAAATAAGAACTTGACTTAAATCCATACAATGCTCCTCTCAAAAGGAAACAAGCTATTAAGGCCTTAGATTAGATGTTATGAATATGTCTAAATTAAACATCACTCAACCAAAGCATGTTTCGACCAAAACTCTATAGATTTTAAATTCCCTTCAATTTTTATCTCCCAACTCCGTATCCTCTCTCTACCATTCCAATTTAGTTTCTAATTGATCTTAACCATAGCCATTTGTGCATTTCATATTATAGTTTTATATAAATTATGGAGATAAATGAGTAAACTCTCCTTATGATTATTTTCTTAATAATATATTAATATTCGTCTCATTCTAATTGAATAGACTATGGTTAAAAGATATAATGTAAAATGTGGGAATTGGTAATTCAAATAATAATATATGTCTCTTTTTCTTCGTCTCTCCCCTCTTTTTTGTGTAGTTCATCACTTCTTACAACCAAATTTTCTCTCTCATTTTTATATTGCTTAGTTATAAGACTAATATTGTAGAATGGACTCAATCTACGTATCTTTGGTTTATATTGGAAAATGTAATTTAAATGCAATAAATAAATAAATCTTTAGGAAGGAACTACCATTTTATTATCAACAGCTTGCGAAATTATATAAAAACAATCTTTTTGGTAGAAAATGTTAAAATGAAAAAATAGAGTATATAATTGAGCTTTACTCCTCTTATATTCACTAAAATAAAATAAAATGATTATTAGTTAAAGTAATAATACCCCATAATGTAAAATCTATTTGTTTAGTATATCTAGATTACTTCTCAAGATTATCGGTAACAATCAATGAGCATATTAATTCTGATGCTGATGTGAAGAGGTTGTATGATTCGATAGACAGGAAAGTGCCATTTAGAAATTTGTAAAATGGATATTACAGGGGAGAATCTGATGGAGCCTAACGAAAGGGCAAAGGGGAATGGATATCTTAGGATGGCTTCTAATACAAAGTAGGGATATGGCAAAATAATTGCTTGTAAGGAAAAGGCTTAACATTGTACTGTGTCTATGATACGCTATAAACAACCTATTATGAGTGTTACTATGGGAATTTCAATAAAGGCAAGCCATATGGTTATGGAAAATTGAAGGCCACGAATAACAAGTCGTACGAAGGATAATGGGAAAATGGATAGATGAATGGCTAGGGGTCAATATATATAGAGAATTCCTATTACATAAAAGGTTAATTTAAAAACAATTAGTTATGTGGGCAAGGGGAAATAGAATCAAAGGAATAAAATAATTAATGGAAAATGGAAGGCACCTTTATGGAACCTAATAAATTCAAGGGGCAAATCACATACAAAACAGGATAATACTTTGGATCTGCTATTTATGAGGAGAATTAATGGTAGATGAATGGATAAGGACAATTCATTTGGGAAGATGGATCATATTACAATGGAGCATTTAGCTATAATCAAAGAGAAGGATATGCTGTAAGTAAGTTTGGAAGCGAAAGTTAGTAGGAACTAGTCTGGAGAAATGACTAGAAATTTGCTAAGGTAGAACATAATTGAATATTCCAACACACATATTTTATAATGTCAGCATCATCCTCCATATTTATTTTCAATAATTCAAGTTTATTACGATAACTTTGGATCCTTATTCTATTATTTAATTTCAATTCTGGGCAATTTCAAAGAAGCCAAAAAATATAAAAGCAGAGATTTTAACACTTGCAAATCTTTGATTTCTTTATTAGAAAACAAATTTGCTTCTTTTTTAAAAGCAATTCGCTCTTACTTTTTTGTCTTAAGTGCTTTAAACAATTTAGAATCATCATTTAAATAAGACTTTTATAAAATACAATAACTTCAAATTCATAAACCAAAAATAATTTCATAAGTTCCCTTTTAAATATATTGGTAATGGTTCTTCTTCATCTTCATTAATCTAGCTTTTCGTTATATAACTTCAATTTGGTTTTACTTGTAATCTAAATCAAACAGGATGTCAAATTATCTATTATCTCTAAATGAGAATAGGTATATTAAGAGTAATCTTATTATTATAATATTTACGATCTCAAAATCTATTTTAGTTATAATATTTATATATAATGGAAACTTTTCATAATGAATAATTCCTTACGTATGCTCAAAAAGGTTCTATGGAAGAGATGAAGAGAGCAATGGTCTAAGGGAATGTGGATGTCAATTATCAAGACAAGGAAGGTAGTGTGTTTTTCTAGATTTAAGGAAACACTGCAATGTTTTATGCTATAATGCACAATCATTTGGAAGTTGTAAGATATCTGATTTAGAATGATGCTTCTTTGGAAGTGTACAATGCATAAGGATCAGGACCTTTGCATTTGGCAGCAGAGAAGATGAATAAGGAGATTGTTTTGTTGCTTGTGATCAATTAAGCCGATCCTAATTTAAAGAATCAATCAGGATAGAGGTAATTAAAGGATTATAATGTAGACCTGGCGATGGAATCACAGAAATCAGGACTCTTATCAATAATCTCACAGCAGAAAGCAAGGCCTTTTCTGCGTTAAAACAACCATAGAAATAAAAGCTGTAAGCAATTTTTGAGGATATCGATTATGATAATTCTAAATACATCGATCATGCTAAGGCAGTGAAATTCAATAAGTACATTGAAGATACTATTACTGACAATCAAGCAGAAAAGGATGCTAAGGATTTCATAAAATCAGTTGCATTATGCAATCCTGAGAGAGGAGTACTTAAAATATGTCATAATCTTCATTTAGGTTAACATTGATGAGTGGTTCTTTAGCTTTTCCAAGCTGCTTGTTGTAGATCCAGCTGCCTTTGATAAGTTTATTGAGGATTACGATAAATAGGTTGAGAAGAAACAAAAACTAAGACACTAAATGCAAGATTGAATTTTAATATCCAAAAATTATATATAAATGATTCAATTCTATATTGTATTGTGCTATCTTAAATGCTAATTTAATAATGATTACTTGGCTTTCAATCTTTGGATCTACTGGGCTAATTTGAACGAAAAGAAGTATCTAGAGAGTCTTTTTAATTGTTTACTCCTGTTAAACTGATTGAATCTAAGGAAAGTGAATAGTGTATTTACTTGAAGATCACAATGTCATAATTGTTGTAAGGCAGATAGATTTCGAATAAGTACAGCTTCTCAAAATCATTGTCCCCAAGTGTAAAGCCCACAGGATTCTACAAGATTGATAAGAGATCTTATTTTATACATCGAATCCACTGAATGGTTGAAACTGCGAATGAGCTATCGAGATCTTCGTTCCTGTTTTGGTTGACTTTTTCCGATTGGTTCCTCTTCTACTTTAGATTTCTGGACTGTCAGTATACTATCTAGCCACTCCTGATATGGATCTAGATGGTGTAATGATGAATAAACAAACCTCCTGTGAAGACCTGAAGCTGATTGGGTGTTGTCATTTTATTTCATTTAAGATCTAAATGAATTGGCAGTGATATTGTTCGATGTGATCGGACTGTAAGTTTGAGATCTTGAGGAGTTCTATCGAATGGAAGGTTGTCGATTATCTTATCGCATCATTGAGTGATTTGATTCAGTGGCATTTCTTTGATATTGTTGATACTTGTTCTATAAATCATTCATCTGATTATCAAAGTTGTAATTGAATGTTAATTTTGGATCCTTATTTCTCTGTAATTAATTAGTCAAATCCAACGCATTTTCTAAAGATGGAGAATTCTCTGAACTTTCATTCTCCACGATGATGTTCAAGGATTTCTAATCTTTAATAGATTGTTATCCAGCATTTCCGAATCCAGCAGTTGCAAATGTATTCTTCTATTAATCCTTCCTCACAAGACTGATGAATTTCTCATCGTCCATTTCCCCCTGATGTTGGATGTATTATTTATCAGTCGTATCTAAGTTGCTACTGTAAAATGATAGATGAAATACTTACACGTCGTTCATGATAGATTATTATTAGTCATGTAATGATTTCTCTCTCAATAGGGATGTACTTTTCAATAGCGATTTCTCTCTGCTTACTCTACTGAAACTTTGAGCAGATGCATAACTCTCCTTGATGTACACATCGTCATATGGCAAATTGGACTGACTAAATTGATTTGAGGATTGAAAATGGTTATCCGAATACAATTATAATAGATAATCTTGGTTCACTTCTGCATCCTTTACAAATTCATAAGCCTTTGTGTCCTTGCTTTTTCTCCGTTTATCTTAAACATTTATTAAGATTCGTACATTCTTGTCTCAAATTCCTTCGGGGATATATCAGTGATTTAATCACCTTTTCTCTGTCTGGTCTAAATGTTAACAATGGACATTTGGTTATCAAATGATCATAAGAGGAACAGCAAAAACATTGGCATGGCAAATCTTTGTGTATGAGGATTCTGTCCCTCATGCTGTAGAAGTATTACTAAAAATAAGGGGACTATCAGTACTTTGTCACTGAAGGTCAAGAGTTTGAGGAAGATGTCTCTCCTTATTCTCAACAACCTACAGACTCCTTCACTTACGACTGTGGCAGATCTAGGCAATTGAGTGTAAAATGAGATTTCACCAAACGTTTATTCTGGCTGAAAAAATTATTTACTATATTACTCCCAATATTTAGAGTTGGACTCCCATCTTGTTGACGACCTTAAAATTGCCTTCCACTATAAAGTACAACGAACAGTCATCGTATTCAGATTCTGTTACTATTATCTGATTCGGTTAACATATAACATCTTCGCTAAAATTGATGAGGGTCTATATCGTGTGCTGATTATAGTATTTAAAATATTTAGTAAGCAATTGGAATCTCTGTATGGTATTGAATTCCTGAAGCAATTGTCCTGATAATTTTGAGACGAACTAGTTATGGTAAAACTTAGGCTGATTTAATATATGATTTATGATTTTGCACTTCAAATTCGAATCCAATTTATTGATAGCCAAAAACTCACTCAATTGGGTAGCGAATCTCGCATTCTTAAACAGATATAGACACTGAGTCAATAAATAGGCGAAACTAAGGACCGAACTAAAGGCAACACAACTGTAAAATATCATTTCGTTCTAGCCGTTGGGTAGGTAATTTGAGTTGAAAGTATATATAGAAATCACTATACTGAAGGTGGACAAATAAGAATCAAATAACGAATTGCTGTGATAAAATAGTCCATATTGATAGCAAGTGATTATGTGAATGAGCAGGACTATCTTAATAATACTGTTTATTATTTATAAAGGAGGAGAGAACAAGTTATACTCACTAAATATTAAATCAGTTACTTACAATTTTAAAAAGACCTCTATCTCATAATACCTCCTTATTTAACTGACCACTATCAGTGTAAGTACTATGTATTTAATCGATGAGGGCAGTGTGTTCAAGAACACGAATCCTATTATTGTAATCTATTGGATATAGGGAAGGTTATACTGCATCATAACACAAAAACTATTTGTAGTATCTAAGCGATATTTATTTGAAATTCGTTATCAATAACCCATTTTGAGTGAAGGAGCTACATAACTGAATTCCGACATCTATTAATTTGAACCCCACGCAGACGTAATTGATGTCCTAGATTTCCAAAACTGTGGACAAAGGCACAAAAACCAGTATCACGTGCAACAAAATATAGAAGGCCACATTCCAACTTTGCAGTATTCTCGAGGATGGCAATAAGGTCCCTCTTTTTATGATATTATAATTACAACTGTAGTCTACGAAATTGTTTTCCTAATCGTATAGGTACTAAAATTTCTTAGCCATGTGGTCTATTCTGAACTTTCTTCTCAATTTCTCGACAAAGTTAAATATTTATCTGCTCTTGGTTCTTTTACGCATATTCTCGAGCTATTTCGGTGGAAAACTTAAAACAAATGGACTCTCTTCGGGTTCACTTTTTTGAGTCCTCGATCTGAAGCTCAATTGTGGAGAGTTATTTTGATAAAAAGATTGAGAAATCCTCGATTTGTCAACTGTTTTCAGAGTTGGATCTTTTATTGAAATATCATCCTCAGGTTATATTGGATGTGCAATATTTTAAAGAGGTTCGTATTTGAATGGCCCTTAAGAAACATTTCATTTTTAAGTACCTCTCATGTCATTAGGGTAGAATCTGCTAAGCTTGTCAGGTTCGGTTTTGTTTTTCCTCATACTATTTTGCGAATATCTCAATGATCTAACACTCATTTTAATTATTCTAAATATTGTTATATAGGCAATATAATTTTGTAAAATATTACATGTTCCTTCACATGTTTTCACCAAATATAAATTAAATCTCAGCAATAATATATTTACCCTTTATTCATATATTTATCATTCAATTTAATCAATAAGTAAAAAATGTCAATATACTGCAAATAACATGCAAATCAATACATAGAAAATGTATGCACCCAATAGGAATGTTAATAACAGAAATTGTTATGTAAAATATGTCTATAGCAAAACCATTCTGGGCACAATTCAATGCTTGTATCGATGTACTTATAAAATTACAAAACAATGTTACAATAAAAAGTAAACTCTCTTTTGGTATTAATTAACGACATCACTGAATTAATAATCACTTACGAATAACCCAATTAAAGCAATATTTTTCATAAATAATTCGAAGAATTCTGGGAAAAGAGATAATATATATTCGATAATGTTTCATAGCAAAAACTTAGTGAACTCTCACCCAAAAAAGAACAAAATTAAAAATCAAGCAACTCTTAAAAAGCCACCAGCGTAAGTTACAATCAAAGCTAATCTAATCTACTCTAAGCGATTAGTAAATCCAATTAATAATCCTAAATAATGATATCCACAATCATTAGAAAATTAGAACTTGCTACTGGTCAAATGATTGATTTAACTTAAACCAAGTATGTTATTTCTCGATAAAAGATTGCAATTTTAATCTTAATAGATTTCAATTTTTAATCAAAATGATTCAACATCAGTTATATTTGATAAAGGTACATGTATATCATTAAGTTCAGGGATGAACGAATTTAATCTGAAAAACTACGTGCGATCTATAGAACAATTTGAGAAAGTGATTGAGTAGAAAAAGAATTTTGAATAGGCTTGGATCTATAAAAGTACTATTGCAATTCATATATTTTTTCTAGTATTGTCTTATGGAGAATCAAAATAAAACAAAAAGGCTATAGAAGAATGCAAGACGGCTTTATAGTATTGTAAAAACTCAACTAATTTGTGCTTTTTGTATGGAATCCTTTTGCAAGAAAATAAGCAATATTAGGAGGCCAAGGCACAATTTGATATTGTTATTTAAAATAACGATAAAAACATAGAAGCTTTATATTAAGCTGGTATCAGATTTGTAAATTTAAGGTGTTTCTTCATTTGAATTGGGATTGTATGATAAGGCAGAGGAATATTTTCAAAAAATTTTAATTCAAACTGATGATGAGAAGGCATATTTAATGTATGGTAATATTAATTAATTATTGAAAGGAAGAATAGTTCTAGAAAAAGAGCTTCAAGAAAATGCAATTTTTTGTTTCGAGTAGTGTATTGCACTCAATTAGAAATCTTAAGCTCGCTTCTATTTAGGTAAATAATCAATATATTTCAGCATTGATCTATATAAATTTAAATTAAATCGACAAAGCTAAGTCTTATAATGATATTTATTGTTAAAACTTTTAAGATGATATAAAAGGGAAATTATAAAGAGGTTAAATTTTACTTCTTTAGAATTAATATGAAAAAGCTATATAGATTTTCAATGAAATAAAATAAAAAGATCCTGCACTTGAAGTCGCGATTCAATCAATAGTATTGTATTTTTGTTAATTTAGATTAATTTGTCGAGGCAGAGATGATTTATTTGTGATTTATTATATTTATTTATTAAACTAAAATTATAAAATAATAGTAAAAATTACTTATTTGCTTATATCCAAATAATTTAGTATAAAATGAATTCAAACTCGAATAAATTTGAGTTTTAAAGTCTCATAAAACTGCAATAGTAACTTAAGCATAAATGTCTGAATAATGAGAATGTTAAAAAATAAGTTAATAAAAAGATTAATCATTTTTTTTGAGGTGCTTTCTTCATTTTTAAGTTTAATTAATGCAGTTTCATCTTCATTTCTATTTCCTTATTAATGAACCCTTTAACATAGAGCGATTCATTCACTTTACCTGGTAAAAGAAGACTTTATTTGACATGATTCTTTGACACTGAAGTTCCTAATATTGGATTGAATCAATTCTTACCTCTACTCGAATTGATTAGAAAAGACTTATCTTATTCAATAGGTATTTACTTTTATTACTGTTTTTACACTTATGAAGGTAAAATAGACTACTCTTCTAAAAATTTATAACCTCCACTTTTTGAGTCATAAACAAACTTGGTAACACTTCTATTTGATTAAATCAGAGGAAGTGCCACCATAGATTTTGAATCAATTAATTTAGAAGGAGAAGCTCTATCCAAAGCATTGTACCTATGAATTTGGGGAGTTGATAGGTTATCAATGATATTTTTATTCGGTATTTTGGTTTTGAATTTGTCTCTTGATTTAGATTTGTCTCTCGATTTAGATTTAGATTTGGATCTAGACTTTGATTTTTTTTCCTTCTTAGGGGTTTATAATTATGGAGTCTATCTTGAAGAGCTCTATCTGTACAAGTAGGGTTCTTAGCTTTATTGTTTTTCTAAGGAATGAAAATAAGTGATACCAGAAACTTTGGGAAGGATTGGATTCAATTTGAATTTGGATTTAGATGTGGTGATTAGCTGACTACTTCCATCACTTTTAGCATATCGTTTGGTTGAATTCATTTTGAAATTTTATGTAATTTATTTTCTTTGTTCTTCTATGATCCTATCTCTGAGGGTGATCTAGTTATTTTGAAGGGAGAGCAATTTCTCTTATTCTTGTTGATGTAATTGATAGATGGATTCTTTAGCTTTGATTTCTTGTAATTGCTATTTAAGAATAAACTTTTCGATTAGATTAGTGAGATATAGCTTATCAACATCAACTAAACTATTTTATTTTATATTCTATAATGAATAAATGATTATACATCTTATAATGCTTTCCTCTGAATAGTGAAATCATTGGTTTATTTTTGTAGTTTTTTAATTTCAATTTCTTGAAGGTCAACCTTTTCTTATTCATTTTCAATTTCATCTTTCAATTGATTATACTTTTTCCTTTCTGATAAATCAATTTTGTCTAGTAATTGTTATTTGTCTTTGATTCCTTATTTCATCTACTCTGCTTCATATTACATTTTAAATATATCTTCCTGTATTGAGGATTCTCGATTGAAATGCTGAATGATGTTTTTCTCGATTTATTGCATTTGGATGACTTCATTTTACTTTTGAGATTATTTATTTAACTATTTTTTTAATTCTTCATTTTGATTAACTAAGTCATGATTAGTTTGCTCCATGATTAATTATTATTCATTATCCTAAAACACCTTAATTGAAGTCTAATTCGTTATAGTAGTAGCCATCTGACTATATTCTAGTGTTTGGATCGTATCCTCATATCCCAAGATAGCAGGACTTACACATGAAATAATGAGAGTTTTGGAGTTCCCTCCCAAGGATTCTTTCAATAGCCGAGTTAATTTGCTATTTCTGTAAGGTATGAATGTCTGAGTGTTCTTTTTCTTTGCTTCATTCAAAAGGGAAATGCAATTATTGAGAACCTAGAGGGAGATGTTTTTTTTCTTTTGAGCCCCCCTTTCAACCCATCCAAGGTCAGCAAAAATCAATTTAGATACAACCAATTTTCCGTCAGGATGGTCTTGGATGTAGAGAGAGAAGATGAGTAATTCATGTTATTTAAGCGATTTTTACTTCTTAGCTATTTGAATAAGTTGAATCAATTCTTGTGTACTTGCAATTTCCATTTCGGTTATTCCATGTATAACTACACCTTTGTCCTAATCGTCTCTAATGTCCAGATTGGTGTTCATGTTATTTAGCAAATCGTAGAGTTACTCTTGTGAGATTTCCACATAGGAAAATTTAATAGCAATTTTTCTTTTCTTATTCTAGATGGTTTAAAAGATTTTGTTGATAGAACGAATGAGTAATCCGTAATCTTCGGCGTACTTAACCAGTCTATAATTTAGAGAATAATTATTATACGTATGTGATTTGCCAGAACCTGATGCTCCGTAACTCATTATTGTAAAATTAATTCCATCAAGTACTGAAAGGACTTAATACTCAAGGGTGGTTTCAAAGATTTCTTTTTGCGATATCATTCTATCAAAAACCCAATTGAATTTGTAAGTTTTTTGATTTTGCTTGATTCCAGCTTCGATGGGAGGAATGGTGGAGACGGTCTCTTTATCCAAGACTAAGAGAGTCGTAATGTCAGATATCTCCAATTCTCTATTTGTGAATGGTCGAATTCGGATGGCAACCTGAAATATATAATTACTGCATACTTTAATGTTATCAAGTAACATATTTAATTAATGATTATTAATCAACTCTTTGGCAAACTCACAGAGACCCCTAATTTCAAGAGCATTTCGCTATTAATCAAGCTTTTTAGACTCGCATCTCAAGGAGATCAGGATGAAGATTAACCTGATTAGGCGATTACAAAGTATTGTAAGGAACCTGAAGATTACTCTAAGATAATACGATTCTCATTGCTAGAACTTCCGAATATTTTGAGAGAATTTTATCAAGTTGATTATGCTGACACATTTAAGAGAGAGCATATCGAGTCTCACATTCATCAAGTGATCATAAGGGGATTTCTAATCAAGGCTATGAATTTCTTGGAACACACCATCGAGACACAAGAGGCATAGGAGGACACTATTCTCTTTGTGATACGAGCACTAGAACATTTGAATGTTGTATTGACTGCCTTTGAGAGTTTGTAAAAAAAGGCTTTGAAATTATTGATACAAGTGTGGGGTGATCACTTATCCTTGTAAATCAAATTGCAAGCATTCCTATAAGTAAGAAAGGTGTTCTAATCCATGCCTGATCATTAACAATAAGACATCTTGAAGGTATATAAAATTATGTTATTATTTAGAAATTTTATGAGAAGTACTTGGATTCAGCTAAACATGTGCTTTGGAGGAATTACGAAGCAATCAATTTTATGATCAATTGTGTCACCGAGTTGTGTAATATGAATATGAATCAAGCCTATTAAGTGGTGTATTAGAGTTTATAAAAGGTGGTGAAAAAGATAAGAGATGCTAGTGTCTCCAAGAATTAATAGAATGTGCTGTCCATTTACAATTAACAAACATTGAATGTTCTCAAATTGTGGGCATAAGTCATATGCACTCACAAAAGGGAGAATCAATTGGCTGATTTGATGCCTCCCTTCGTTCAAATCGCTCAATCTGTCTTGGACTTTTATCCTTGCATAGACAATTACACTTTCCAATTATAGTTGATTGATATCCTTATCAAAGTGTCTCAGGTGTATAAGGTCAATCAAAACCTGTTGAGTTATATCCTTAGAATGTTGAATTGCGCAGAATTAAAGAGGAGAAAGTTGAAGAGCAGTGTGAAACCTTACGATTTTTTGATCAATATCTCCATTAAACCAAAATACAAATAATCAGGAACATTTTGGGCTGACTTTTGCCAATAGGTTATTAATAGGATCGTAATTTACTTATCCATATTTTCAAATGAAAAGTGGTTCTACGAATATACCCTGTTTTTGGAGAAACAATTGAAAAGAACTTCGGAAGATTTTGGGTTTGTGGGCAACAAAATAAAGGTTAAGGAGTTGATTCGATTAATTGAATAGCACAACAATAAAAGAGGAAAGGGAGAGAGTAATCTTTAGAGTGAAGCTTAGAGGTTGATTTATGAGTAGGAGGAGTTGATTAAGTAGAAGGTGATGTCTGAGAAGCAGAGACAATAAGCAGGGGAGGAACTTGAGGAGTCTGAATAGGAGATTGATGATGAGAAGGAATAAGAATATGTGTTGGATGAGATTAGAAAGTATAAGGAGGACAAGAAGAAAGACGATGTGGCTTAGGAGGATTATGAAGGTTTAAGTGAATACGAGGGGGATCCTGAAAACTATTAGGAAGAGGCAGAGGCAGAGGATGACTAAGATGATGATTCTGATAATTGAATTTTGTTTATAGTAATTAAATCTTCAAGTATGTGGCAATTTTAAATATTTTATTAATAAATCTGCAGTTGTAAATGAGTGTGCATGGTAACAATAGTGGGATTCAAATTGCTTAGCATCAAAGTCCTTCTAGAATCATTAAGGAAGTCTCGGAAGCATCTAAAGAATTGGTAGCTAGGAAGGTTTTGGAGAGAAAAATCTATGAGTTGGAATTGAAATTGAAATAATAGGAAAATCTTATTTAGAGATAGCAATCTCAATTGGAGGAGGCAACTTAAGAGACCTAACAAATAGGAAGGCAATTTGAAGATGCATTGAACGATGTCAGACAGATGAAGTTGATTGGGGAGAAGAAGGATCAGTAAATTGGAATGTTGCTTGAGGAGAATGATAAAGTAGTATAATTATTAGAGATGTAAAGAAGTAATTAATAGTCGGATGTGACAGATACCATTCAGAAATTGGAATAATAGGTGCGAGATCGCTTTATTTGTGAAAAAAGATTAAATGATGAAATCTAATCATACAAAATCAAAGTAATCAATCAAACTCAATTATTAGTTGCATTAAGTTGAAGATTAACTCAAGGACAGAAATCATCTTATCGAGGATTTAAGGGAAAGAATGAGCCATCTAGAAAAACAATGTTCGACTGATGCTTCCTTAGGAGTACTCGCAAACAAGAGAGCAATGGATATTGAAATTTTGACTGTACAAAATAGTGACCTCTAATTGAAGATTTAAGATTTAACAAGCAAAATATCGTTACTCTTAGAGGAAAACGGTAACTTGTAGAAAACAATAGGAATCTAAAATAACGAAGTTAAAATTCAATAAGAGGACAAATTCTAGAGGATGATTAAAATACTTAATGAAAATCATCAGAAGGAATTGTTAAAGTTGAAGGAATAAAATAAATTGGAAATATAAGAGAAAACTGATCTAATTGAAAATTTAAAGTCAAATTAGAGTCTGAACAATTAAAATAGTAATTATGTTGAAGAATTGAAATCAGCCAGAAATACTATTTCTGATCTGTAGTCTGAATTGTCAAAATTGACATAATCAAATGTTAAGTCTGTCTAGGGAGAGTCTGATGATATTCAATAATAATTTGAGAAATTGCTCAAAAAAAATAATTAGTTGAGTGAATAGAATTTCTTATTGTAATAAAGAATCAGAAAGGAGGAAACAAGTAACAAAGGAAAGATCTTTGAATTGGAGAAGGCCAATGAGAAGTTATTGGAAACTCAATAGGCTAATGAAGCAAAAATAGAAGAATTACAATAAAAGTTAAAATAACTACCAACTAAAGTGAGAGAGAAAAGTTTAAGTGATCTAAAATAAAAGGTGGAACAAAATAAACTCACAGAATCTGATAATAAAATTTAGAAACTCCAAGAAAAGATTGATTCGCAGAATTAAGAAATCAAAGAGAAGACTTAAAAAATTAATCAATTATAAGATTAAGTCAAATAAGCTATTTATGAAAAGGATAATGCAATTTAATAGATTAAGTTAGAATGTGCTTAAGAAGTAAAATAAGTTCAAGATCAAATGAAAATGGAATTGTAGAATTAGTAGAAATAGTTTAATGAGGCTTAAAGACCAATTCAAGAACAAATGAAGAGTTCATCAATTGAACAAAATAAGTTGAAAACTCAAGCATAAAGATATTAAAATGAAATTAAAGCCTTGGAAAATAGAATTGCAAGTAAGTATTAATCATAAATGTTAGATTTGTTAATCGAAAATGAGTAGATCAGAACTTAAATGGAGAAACTAAAAGCTACAGGAGAGAGTTTGATGAAGGATAAATAAAATTAAGAATTGAAGATTTAGGACAATTTGAGAGAGATTGAAAGTTGGAAAGAAAAATATGTGAAGAGTGTATCTAATGGAGAGAAGTAAAATGAGAGAGCCTAAAAGGAATAGGCAAAGGCAGAAGGTATTTGAATGTATTAAAGAAATTTTAAGGTTTCAAGGAAGAGATCAATAAATTGAATGAACAATTGGAATAGATTGTTGAATAAAACAACACTCTAGAGGAATAATTATAACAAAGTTAATAGGAGTCTCGAAATCTAAGAAATCAATTAATCGGTGGAGTAAAAGCAGAAAATAGTTCAGGAAGTAAATCTAATGGGTTGACTCAACCTAAGGCATGAAAACTAATATAATATAAGAATTTTAATAATAAATTAATTAATCAAGAATCTAAAAATGTGATTTTGGTAGTTATCACAACAAAACTAATAAGACACTAAGTCATGATAAACATTTCAATAAATTTTGTACTTATGGAAAAATACAACCATTGAAGATTCATTCTTACTATTAGATGTTAATCTTAGAGAGATCATAAACTTGGAAGACATTTATTGGATTATAATTTTTCAGATAATCAATCTACTTTATCTATACTATAGCAATTCATATGACACTATTTAAGTGTCTAAACTAGCTAAGTATTCTTGCCAATTAAATTTGCTTTAACAATGTTTTACAAGAAAATGGAGTGATTAAGTAATTCAAAATCATTACTAATTTATGCAATGAAGTATTTTCGATTTCATAATGTTATTTTGATATTAAACATTATGTGAGATGTTCAAATACAGTAATCTATCTAAATTAATTTTTCAAAACAAGAATTAATCTGATTGTGTATTAATATACACATTCATAATAAATATGGTTGTAAATTAATTATTTATCAACAAATTAATCAATTAATCGCTCATAAATTTTGGCTCTGCCTTTTCTCTCTTGTTATATAAGGCTCACCTCTAAAGTGACTCTCACCTCTATCTCTATTTTTCCTTTCCCATTCTACTATGTATCCATTAATAGAAGTATTGAATTTAGCCAATTCAACGTTTTGTTTGAATTAAAACACAAAAGGATTTCTCTCTGCCCTCTCTATCATTAATTTAGTTGTCTCTGATATTTACACATGACCTTCACTTCCAGAACTCTCCATTTTATTAGCTATGCTGACATCCTATCCATATATATCATAACGAACAATATCGGTTCCAATAATTCCCCCAATTATAGATCCTGTATGAATACCAATTCTCATATTTAGAAGAGGAAAATCAATTAATTTTCTCACCTCCATAATTATTTCAATCATAGAAAAACCCATCTTAACAGTGTTAATGGCCTCTTGGATTGGCTAATTTTTAAATATTTATATTTTACATTTCTTTTACTAGCCTATTAAAACCCCATAACGACATAACAATCACCTATTGTATACATTTTGTACACATTATATTGTAAGCATAATTTATCAAACTCTGTGTACAGATTTCTTAACATTGTTACAACTCCTTCTGGGGTTTAAGTGTGGGAATATTCAGTAAATCCTTTAATATCTGCAAATAATAAAGTAACGTCATCTAAATCATCAATAAATTCTGATCTATTATATAGAGTGTTATTTTTCATCTTCAAATACGAATGTGTAGGCAATAGCTGACTTACTAATGATATCTATTTGGCCTTCCTTTATTCATTCAGCTAAAGATTATTATACATTTCTATTAACTCTGACATTCCCTTATAATTTCCAATTAGACATAACACTAAAGAGGACAATAAATAGAAAATGTATTAATGGGTAAGCTAATTATTGTTGATATATAGGGCTAAAAAGGAAGTGAATATCAATATCATGAACACTAGGATTTAAACAAAAGTGAATAACTTCAAAGAACAAACGATTACAACTAAATATATCAATTCAACCATTGAAATGATTGTAACTAATTCATTATTAGCTAAAAATGTTCCATAAATTATTGAAAATTATCCATATAAAAAAACGACATAAAAGATCCAATTTATGTAGACATTTTTATAGCTTTATTTAATAATTGGCAACAATATTATTAAGCATAGCAAAAACAAGGACTAATTATAAATAAGAATTTCTTACTCTTATAAAAAATATATCGTAAGATTGACCGAAGAATTCCCTTATAATAATGCTGAGTAATGTTATAACGAAAAAGATGATCCAAAGTGTCAACAAAGCAAAATAACTTTCGTATTATTGTTGTTCGTAATGTATATTATAAAAGCTACTCTTAATCTGGTTTTAACTCTCAGGAATCATTAAAAGTATGTTTGGCTTTAACAATCCTTTCTATTTATTTTCATCATCTTATACATGTTACTGATCGTGTATTTAGGTCTCTTCACTATCCAAAATTGCTAAACTTTATATGGGAATAGTATCTAATTAACTGTGTCTACGTTGGTCAGGTAAAGATGGAACATTTAAAAGAGATTGTGCAAACTATGTTTTTGGTGAATTAGAAATTTTTTAACTTCCCCAACTATTATCATGTAAATTATTTAATGAGTTTTGAATTTTCTAAAGAAAGGTTGCTTTTTGAACTTCTCCTGCTATATTTCTACTAATTTTCTATTATTTGATGACTAATTTTGCTATTTATTACCATCTCAATTAATTGATTGGTATTTGGTAATTGTTTGGCTTAATTTTAAATACTTAATATGTATCAATCAATCCCAATCCTTTGGCTTCCTTTTATTTTTTATGATAGTATTTGATTCCCTGCTTGGCTTATTTAAATGCTTCTGCAGAAAGTGTTATTGCACCAACATCTCCAGTAGAACCAACCCTACTAGTTTAATTGACTGGATCACCTATCAAAGAAAATTAAGGCTTATGATGTCCAATGAGGCCTGCAATAACTCTCCCCACATGAATACCGATTTTCATTTCAATTTGATTACCTTTACCATACTGCCTTCCTTTAATTTATTCCATCATATCGAATGCCATATTGACAAGCCTCATGGTTTTTTCTGTCTTTAACATGTGAGGTGAGATATTGATTTCAGATGCCTTAATGCCAGTAGCTGCCATATAAGTATAACCAACAGTTTCAATCTTTTGCACTCCATGTTATAGGCATAAATTATCAAAGATTCGAAATAAAGAGTCCAACATCAATACGACATTTCTTCCCTCTTCCTTCATTATAGAATCGAAATCACAAATATAACAAAACAGTATTGACACATCATTTTAAGCTTCTTGCATATGTAAACTACCAAGTTGGATTTGATTGCGAACAAATTTTGGTACTAAAATGGATAGTATGTCATTGGCAGCCAAGTTGTCTTACTCAATATAATACTTGGCTAAGAAATCAGTTCTTCGACGTTATATTGTCTTGTATAATGTGTAGAGCAAACTGAATGTTAGGCTTAACATCAAAATAATCGAAGTACTAGATCCATAAATCACAACTCTAGTATGGTTATAATAGCCTGATGTGGATAAGGATGAATCAGCAACTAGAACCAAGATGATTCTTGCAATTAATTGAACGATGTAAATGATGTTATAGGCAAAAATTGGTATGATGTTGATGTTCATAGTGTTATTGGTTGTAAATAATGCAACCAATACAGATGACATAATGAAACTTAAGTCATCACTCAGCCAATCCAAGGATAACTTTATGATATAAAACACAATAAAGATCATGTGTGAATGAGTATAATAATTCTATTACAAGTGCTTGCTCATCACGTATATGATGATGATAGCGAAAATGCAGAAGAGGCATAAATAAAGTGCGCCGGTTTGGATTCGTTAAAGATTTATGAAATAATCGATCAAACAATAAATTCCGAAGTAGATCAACAGTAAAATAAGAAATAATCTATAAGAATTTAGTGATTCTTGCAGTTTTATAGAAAGAAACTTCTGTTCCACAATTAGGTCATTTATTTTAAGCGTCAGTTTAGATAATCTCATTTCAGTAATTTTAGTATCACCAGGATTCAAGATTTCTTAAATGTAGGGGGATAAGACTTTGCAATCTTTGAAGACTTAAGATATGATAAGCGAAATGTTTCTATTATATCATGATAAGTTTATATACATTTATTAATCCAAGTGTTGGTTGATTATTTACTAATTGTTGATTGATTCATTATCCAATTCATATCGAAATGACATTTATTCATAAACGCTAGGGAAAATCCTCAATCGAATGATATCTTAAAAGACGTATTTAATAGTAAATGACAAGATTAATGAGATTATTATAGAAATAATGCACTAATAGCGAGTAAACATTTGATATGTTTCATTTTTGTAATCATCTGAAAAGATGACGATTAAAACAAGAATAATTACCAAATTCAGCTACATCAATTTCCCGAAAGAATTCAAAACCTAGAATACTCTAAATGTTATAACAATGATAAAACAGTATATGATGCCTAAAGAATTCATTGCTAAATCAATAATGTATCCTTAATCATTTATTGAATAGTTAAATTAGTACTGTATCATGTAAAATATAGCAGCTGAAGTCAAAAAGGATTCCATAATATTCAACAAAAACAACTTCCAAATGATTTTTATTCTAATCTGACCATCAATGTAGAGTGAAGGATAAAGTTGATTAATGTAATATGAGGTTTATTTAGAGAATAGTCCAATCAAAAGTCCATTTAATCCAATAAATATTTCTACATAGAAAAATAAAATAAGACTTCCATGGAGACTAGTTGATGTGAAATAGCAGAACCAATTAAAAAAGAATAATGACATCCCTATCAATCCTGCAGCATAGAAACAATACAATATTAAATGATGCAATTTTTCCTAATAAATCTTACCTTATAATAGTAATTCCTTAATTTCACCCAAGTATTAGACCTTTATATCGCCTGTATTTATAATTGATTGCTTATTCTTATTATTAATAACTTCAACAGAAATATTAGAGTACTGCATCATCAATTGATCATTGAATCCATCTCCAACTGCAATCACATGTTTATTAAGTGAATTTCTGATGATTTTGCACATCATCTCTTTATGTTGTTAATTCATATTATAACCAATAACATTTTTACATATTCCTGCCAAAAATCTAAAATGACTCAATAAATCATTATCACTTTAGATTATGCTTAGAGCATTTCCATTAACTAGAAGTGTAAATTTGAGCATCTTTTGGTAATTTATTCCATCGTAAATGGTATTACTTGAATTGATAAGCGTATTGAAATCTTCACTGCACAATTATTATTTGACCATTTCTGATTAAATGATGCCGATGCATGTATTTAACTGAAACCATATCTTTTCGTTTTCTGTCTATGATATCTAAAGATATTTGTTGTAAATGGATTCATTTATTTATAAGGCTTAAGCACAACTGATGGTTTGTGCTTCTTGATCTCCACTCAAAAGCCATATATGTATGTTTTAGCTTTTGATAGATTGGATAAACTCATATGCATCTTATTTTAATTCTTCCTTAAATCCAATCATGCCTATAATGGATAATTGTTATTCATATTGTATGGCCAATTATTCTAATTATTCATCTTGGTTGGTGAGAGAGTTTTTTAACAAATTGAATTGTTTTTTGTACTCTTCAGTTTCTTTTTCATTTAGTACTCTAGTTCCATAGAGAATCATTCTAACTCCTCTCATTTTTAAGATTTAAATGTGCTATTCTAATTCTTCTTTTTCCTTTGGAGTCAATTGCAATTTTGTTTTGATGGCATCATAATCTCCTTTGCAAATGAGTAAGGACTTATTCTTGGACCCTTCACCACTTAGATGGGATATTGCACAGGGATCCCAATCTCCAATATCTCCACTCTTTTAGGATTGGACAACAATTGAATTGACATTTCGATTTTCAGTATATTGGTTTAATCCCAAAATATCATATTAGATCTTTTGATTCCTTATTTTACATAGATAAGCATCAGGACAATCAAATTTATTAAAGGATTCTAATTGATAACCACATAGTCTAGCAAATCCTAATGCTATTTCCTCATTCTTAGAAAATGATTCATATTAGACATCATTCAAATACACTGGTCTGGCCTCATGGCATAAGATGAGGCATTTCATAAAACAATCGTAATAGAGAGCATTTTCATTTTGTAATTCAGCATATTCTAATTGTGGAGACTTATGTTTATATTGATTAATCATTTGTAGAAATTCGTCATTATTGTTGTTCATCAAAGATTAATGTTGATGCAATAAGTTTCTCTTTTTATGTTAAAATAACATTGATTTACGTAGACTAACCATGTCATGAAAATCTTGACTTCTTACACTGTTTGGTTGTAATTGGTATTGTTATTCAAGTACCTAATTAAAGATTTATTGATTATTATCAGTTGTAACTGATTTTAACACTTTTTTATTTATATTTGGCATTAGATCGATAACTTGGCTAGTTTTACGATTGACCGTATCATATTCCATTGGTATATAGTATTCTTGATCAAAGATGGATGCAAATTTGACAACATCTTCTTCCTCATCATTCCTTTTATTTTTGGTTAATTGATTGAAGAGTTAATCGTGATTCAGATTGAATACCTGTGATCCGAATTAAAAATTATCTAGCTTATAATATGATGTCGTAATTGTGCCAGTCTTATCCAGTAACATATAATCCAATGAACCCAATTCAGAAAAGGTTTGAGGCCTTTGTAATTTGAATTTGAGTTTGTTTACTATATTGATTAAATCTAGGATCATGAAAATATTTGCTGGTATGAATTAACTGTACAGAATGAGAAGATTGAATATCTTCATCCCATTTTATGTGTTCTTATCAATCCTCAAAGCAAAGGTTAGGTCATCTGATCTAGCTAACAGTACTATTATTGATATCTAAAATTATAAATCCAATCATAATACTAAACAGAAAAATAGAATTAACGTTATCATAAACAATGATATGAAATCAATAAGATTTTCTTCATGAGAACATTTAGCCTTATTCCTTTTAGAACTCATAGAATTCTTTGTTTTAGAACCAACATACACAACTAATCCAAATAACCATGATGTCTATTTTATAGTCGATCCTTGAAGTATGAGATTCTCAATAGACAAAAATTCAACCTTAGGATCCTTTTTCAATTTTAACCTCCCTCTGAATATATTTGAATGTCTATTTGGTACTTCATATTCTAAACGACCAGTTAATAATTTTCTATATTCAGCAAACTAAGATTTCTGTCTAGTTCTTAACACGATTACTTGTCATATAAAGATTCTTAAATACATTAAGTCAAATAACAACTCTTCTTTTTTGTGAATGTGCTCTTTCCATCACAATAAGAAGAATCTACCATGCAAACTGCTTCTCTATCTCTCACCTATCCAGTGTCCAATACGATAATATCGGCTGGCACTATGTCCCCCTTATTTAATATCAGTACATCCCCTATATTAATTTCTTACCATTTGATCTCCTCTATCACGCCATTTCGACCTCCTCTCTTTGTAAATTGCTGATTCATCAATTTGTCAGAGTTTCTTCTTTGCCAATCACATAAGGCCTCATTGCAAATAAACACAATTGCTCCAGCTGTAATTTACACTATTATCATCCAAATATAGTATGGGGACAGAGTTGGATTTATGATCATTATCAATGAAATCACAAGTAGGAATGCATTACTGATTCTCATAAAACAACGTAACAATGTTTTTGGTATGAAATTTACTACCTTTAATGTTGAAATGAAAATACTGTATACTCTTGGGAACAAAACACATTCTGTTCTTGAGGTACACTCAACAGAGTCAAAATGCCTTTGTTCATTTCCATCGTGATCATTTGTGCATCCTAAGAATAGAAATTTTGAATGAATTATCGAAACCATTCCACTAATTTCTCAGCTCTTTCGTTACTATAAAACATAATTATTATTAAATCAATCAATTCATTATTGTTTCTTTCAATTCAGTAATTTTGTCCATTCTTTCTCATTCTCCTCCAAACACTTCAATGCAACAGATAATCCATTATTCAAAATCGACGATGTCAACACATATAATGGTTAGATAATATTCTAGATTATATCTAATCAAATACTCTAATAAATGATAATTCTTATTTTGGTAAATTTTAACAAACTAAATGCTAAGTGATTGGTAATCCCAATAACCTCTCCTCCTCCACTTGATTATCAAATTCATTCTGTATTCTAATCGACCATTTCTTCGTTATTTCAAACCTCTTTGTAGGTTGCGTTAAATCACAAGTGTGCACAATTAACCCTGATAACACTCTTTTGGTTTCCATATTGACGATGTTCATCTCTCCATTTTTATACTTGATCTCCAACGACGACACCAAATCAAAGTGCTTCTTCATGTCTGTTGCTAATATATTGGAAACCATGAATCTCCTCACCTTCTAGAATTGCTCTTGAGATAGATTTGATAAAATATTATATTTCTCCCTCTGCATTATTTTAAAGGCCATCGCAGCATGATGATTCTCCAATACACTTTCATCATTATATCTTACTGCCAATTTAGACATTCTAGCCACTTCGAATCCATTTGTTCGCCCTGTATGATCTATGTCATGACAAAGTGCTGATAATATTGCTGCAAATTATTCGGTTTAATCCAAATATTCATCTAAGAGTTTATTCTTTATCATATAATAACATGCATGAGCCACAGTAAAACCATGCTCAAAATTATGAAAGGGATTACGACGACTGTTGTATCTCTCCTCTATTGCAACTAAAAATTGAAAAAATGTTTCCTTATACATCTGGTATTTGTCAAAATAGTTTAATAAATGGAACAATGCCCAAGTATAATGCTTTATTTGATCTTTCTATATTGTAATATCAAAACACCAGTTATTCAGATTTTCCAAATCATCAGGTCTTAATTAAAACAGTTCCATTTCTATGTTTATTTAGATACTTTAATACTTTTTGCATTAGTCAATTATTATTCTTGAATCAACGTTTTAGTTGCAAAAGGAGTATCAGACTCACTCACTGTCCGACGATAAGTTTACACCTATTCGGAGTTTCTGTAATATTCTAAAACGTAGGTTTATCTGATGTCTTCAGTTATTTATTCTTTTTGTTCAATAATTGTCATCAATGCATGTTCTTTTAGCATATCAATAATCTCATCTGTTTATAGATTCAGATTTAATGTCTCTTGTAAAACTAAACATGCTTTCTCTATTTTCTCCTATTTTAAGCTAGCCAGAGTTTCAGATACTTTGATTTCGCTTTTTGAGTGACGCTGCGATTCGAATCTCTTCTTGGGTTGATCAAAAACAATAAAGAATTAATTAATTTCATTTTTCTCATCTTTTTTCACATAAATTGCAATATCTACATATTTATCATGATAAATGATTTAACCAGCATCGATTGCCCCTTTTTTACTCTTCTAAACTTCATCTAATTATGATAGCAACATAGTTTTGTAGATTTCCTCCATTTTGATTTCTGTCAAGTTTTGATAACAATCGATTTATTAATTGCCGAGATCCAAGAAATTCCATGAAGACGGCACAGAACCACTCTAATAAATAATATTTAGATGAAGATCAGATGCAATTACTAATTTGGTTGGTGTACTTACTTCAATGATTTAGTATAGAAATTCTTTATCCTTTAATTCTCTTAAGCAATGTTTAAAATGCTGCCATAATTGTGACATCTAAATTAAATCATAAGGATAAATACAAAATCTGCAAAAGTGATTATATCCAATGAAACATTCTCCATATGTAAATAGAATTAAACAACATGATTCGACATAACTGGAATAAAGCACTTAGTTTAATTTTCTAAAATTGCAAAACTAGTGTCTTTTGAGTTTTTGGTTGATTAAATAATTTCACTTTTAATAATATTAAAGTGTTACCATTTTGTGTTGAGTTTTTTTTCGATTTCATTTCTAATGCATTCCTAAAATAAGATTGGTGCATTTTTAATTAAAAATTAGCCTATGGCTCTGACTGAATTGATTAAGTCATCTTTACTAAATGATATTGAGCAGAAATGTTTACTGGAAATTCTCATTTAAATAGTCATATCCTATAGTAATTAATTGATCACAAATCAGTTTAATTTGATGGGGTTTCGATTGGGGCAATTTGGCAAACTGTTATACTTCATATATAATGAGTGAAGAATGGGTTTAGGCATTCAATTTCTATGGTACTCTGATGACCTATAAAGAGCTGCTTTTGAATATCTGTTGCAATTGCCCAGTGGGTTTGAAAGTGAGGATTTCAAGTTGATCGCCACGGAATTATTAATAGAGTTACAATTTCTATTCTAATGTTAGTTATTGCTATTTTGAGAACATTAATTACTTCAATAAATTCATCAGTAGAGACACTCTCTATAGATTTTTCTTAAAATCGTAACAAAGTGAAATTATTGCTGCCCAAAACAATATTGCTAATTTGCCTAAGTACATTCTTCATAGTTGCTTTATTCATTGTTTAATTCAAGATATAGAGAATTAATTTATCTAGATGATTGAAATTAGACTTGATTATATTATTAAATGAAATACTGCAATAGATTCCATTTTTGATTCTATAATTGAACACAACTCTTCTTGGATTTATAGATTGACTGTGACTGATTTGTTAAGGTATTATCTTAATATGAATTGCCAAATTGTTACTTAATTCTGCTTTCTTCTGAGTAGATTGAATTGAGAAACTTACACTCCTGAAGTCTGGACTGTAAGTGATGCAGTTGTGCTAGATCTTTAAGAGTAAGACTAAGCTTAATCTTGCCAGTTTCAGTTTCTCTTAAAAGGGTATCCAATTCCTGAATAGCCCTCATAAACCGTTCTTACATTAAATCAATTTATTTATTATATTTCAAATATTCTCAAGTAGCCGTCACCACCCGAGAAGGCAAATCTGGAATCTTTATGTGCCCAGTCTACAGTATTGACTTCTCTGCATAGATCATGGATGCATATTTAAGCATTGTCAAAATCTTGTGAATCAAAGATTCTCACTTCATTTTCACCTGATCCTCCAGCCAAAGTCAATTGATTATCAAACTATCTTGAGAATTATCCACTATACAATTAGCACGGTTGATTACTAACCTTTATTTGAGAATTCCAATCAAAATTACAAATCAGTTTACAAGTTCTAAGATCCCATGTTTGTAATTGTTTCTCTTGTGACCATGATGCTGTTAACAATTGTTGCCCATCAAAAGACTCTCTCATGTCTATGCCATCACCACAAATCAATGGACCATAAATCTAATTGGCTTCTGGTTTTTTTTATCTAATATCCCAGATTAAAACTCTGTAATCCCAACCGCCTGATATTAACATATTAGGATTTTGAGGATGAAATTTAACACAATAAACTGCATATAGCATATATTTATACCTCTATTATTATGACCTGGTGGTTATGTTTATTCTACTCCTAGTCTAACATCAACCACTCTTTTCTCTTCATCATGTATACGAATGATTGGATTCAACCCACATACTGCCAATTTTGTTGCGTCTTAATTGTAATCTATACAATAGATATCAGAATTGTCTTCCTTCATTGTTCCCAAACACTTCCCACTAGTCATATGCCAATGTTGCACTTCACCCTTTGTGTTTCCAGTTACAAAGATGTTTCTAGTCTTAAATTGCTAAGCTTGGGGTCTCCATTTAACATATGAAAATGGGATGTTGGGAACAAGAGAATTTATCAAATAGGACAGTTACCTTTTTCTGACATTGAAAATTCGAACCGTCCCGTTTTCACATGCACAAGCAATATATTTATCTTCAGCATCCCATTTCACACTATAAATTTTAGTCCCTGGCACTCCTAATACAAAACTCTCCTTTTCATCCAATCTCAATTGAGTTTTTGAATTGTATTTCACCTAATATTTATCACTAATAGGTTTCTCCTCCTTTATTACGTGTTAGGGTTATTATTCCTCCACATTTTGTTGGTCTTTAGCATTAGCTCTTGGTTTGGGTCTCATTCCAATTATATTTTTATTAATATTAATATAATATATATAATACACAATAAAAAAATTATTCCATTATTATTATTATTAATGTATAATTTTCCTTAATAGAATTAATAAAAGCAAAATCCACCTATGAATCAAGCCTTTCCCCCTAATGTAAACTAAACAGTCAATTAGAATGGGTTTCAAATTAAGAATTAACCACCTGTACTTGGGAATCCATAATTTTAGACACCTAATTAAATACCAAATATTTAATAGGGATAAGGAAATCCTCCTCAATAAATGAATTATGTATATTATTAAAATAATTAGAACAACCAACAACCAAAGCCTTTAGGATTATTTTAACCCTAACCTTCCCAATTTGGAATATTAGGTAATAATCAATAGATGCCTAATAATAATATTAATTAATAGATGCCTAATAATAATTTTAATCAATAGATGCCTAATAATAATTTTAATCAATAGATGCCTAATAATAATTTTAATCAATAGACCGCTTTTAATATTAACAATCAATAGATTCCTTAAAACCAATAGGCTCATAATATTAATAATAATCAATAGTTTCCTTTTAATAATATTAATCAACAAAATCAAATAAATAATTAACTCAATTTCAATATAATCCAGCCAAAGCCGTAAGGTAATCAGCCACTTAACTAAATTCCAAAAGTTGATGCTAATCAAATGTCAAATTAAGCTACAAATCCCCAATTAGGCGCTTAAACCAATAATAAATACGGATTTAAAGCTGGAGAAAATCCTTTATAATTTAATTAATTCAATAACAAGCAGATGGCTGGATAATAACCTATAATACAGCCTACAATTTAACAAGTATTAAAGTATTATTCATATTATTAAGTAAAAATACACACGTGTTGATGTGAAATGTGAAGAGGATAAAAAGTAATTGGTGAAGAATTTAAACTAATACTTTAAGGATGGAAATTTTGATTATGCAATAGAATGTATAAAGCAAATTATCGAAAATGACATTAGAGTAAAGCTTCCGGAATAAGTCAATGTTAAATGATATATATATAATTATGAATTTTATAAAGAAAACTTTTAGATTTCAATTTGCAATTTAAATAATTACTCCTTTTAGCACTCATAGCGTCTATAAGCATAGGAATTTTTAATGAAGTTCTAACCAAAAACTCAGAATTAAGTTATAGTATTAATGCAGAAAGTAATATATATATACTAAGTGAGATGAATGATTAAGTAATTATAAATTAAGCAGCCAAATTCAAGATGGATTATACGAGTATTTTATTTTAATGAATTTGCTGAATCATACAATCTAACTATTACAGTAGGCTTTGTAGAACTTATAATAGATGTAAGGAAAATAGGAGGTGAAAGATATTTTACCTTAATTAACTCAAGCAGTAGATTCAATCCCAGAAGAATTCAAAGAATTGGTTCCATATTAAGTGGAGGTCTCTGACAGACATTTGAATCATCGTCAAAGCAAGGAGTGCATAATCAAGACAGTTGAATAATTTCGATAGTGGAGAGCAATGGAATGCTTGAAAGCAGAAACTTTTGAAGAAGTGATGGCAGCTCATAATTAGTATTATTACAGAACTTTGAGGTAGCAAGTTTATAGATTCATTGTAATAACAGATGGATTTCGTTACTCAAGAGGCGAAGCTAGAGAGAAGCTTGCTCATTGTCCATTTTGTAAGTTTTAGAATCTTCTCACTTACGTAACAGCTCATGTTCTTAAAAAGCATGCTAATAATTATTAAATTTATAATTGCTCAATTTGTAACAAAGNAATCAATAGATGCCTAATAATAATTTTAATCAATAGACCGCTTTTAATATTAACAATCAATAGATTCCTTAAAACCAATAGGCTCATAATATTAATAATAATCAATAGTTTCCTTTTAATAATATTAATCAACAAAATCAAATAAATAATTAACTCAATTTCAATATAATCCAGCCAAAGCCGTAAGGTAATCAGCCACTTAACTAAATTCCAAAAGTTGATGCTAATCAAATGTCAAATTAAGCTACAAATCCCCAATTAGGCGCTTAAACCAATAATAAATACGGATTTAAAGCTGGAGAAAATCCTTTATAATTTAATTAATTCAATAACAAGCAGATGGCTGGATAATAACCTATAATACAGCCTACAATTTAACAAGTATTAAAGTATTATTCATATTATTAAGTAAAAATACACACGTGTTGATGTGAAATGTGAAGAGGATAAAAAGTAATTGGTGAAGAATTTAAACTAATACTTTAAGGATGGAAATTTTGATTATGCAATAGAATGTATAAAGCAAATTATCGAAAATGACATTAGAGTAAAGCTTCCGGAATAAGTCAATGTTAAATGATATATATATAATTATGAATTTTATAAAGAAAACTTTTAGATTTCAATTTGCAATTTAAATAATTACTCCTTTTAGCACTCATAGCGTCTATAAGCATAGGAATTTTTAATGAAGTTCTAACCAAAAACTCAGAATTAAGTTATAGTATTAATGCAGAAAGTAATATATATATACTAAGTGAGATGAATGATTAAGTAATTATAAATTAAGCAGCCAAATTCAAGATGGATTATACGAGTATTTTATTTTAATGAATTTGCTGAATCATACAATCTAACTATTACAGTAGGCTTTGTAGAACTTATAATAGATGTAAGGAAAATAGGAGGTGAAAGATATTTTACCTTAATTAACTCAAGCAGTAGATTCAATCCCAGAAGAATTCAAAGAATTGGTTCCATATTAAGTGGAGGTCTCTGACAGACATTTGAATCATCGTCAAAGCAAGGAGTGCATAATCAAGACAGTTGAATAATTTCGATAGTGGAGAGCAATGGAATGCTTGAAAGCAGAAACTTTTGAAGAAGTGATGGCAGCTCATAATTAGTATTATTACAGAACTTTGAGGTAGCAAGTTTATAGATTCATTGTAATAACAGATGGATTTCGTTACTCAAGAGGCGAAGCTAGAGAGAAGCTTGCTCATTGTCCATTTTGTAAGTTTTAGAATCTTCTCACTTACGTAACAGCTCATGTTCTTAAAAAGCATGCTAATAATTATTAAATTTATAATTGCTCAATTTGTAACAAAGATTTTTAATCGCATCGTTTATTGGTGATGCATATCCACAATTATCACAAAGAGGGAGTGACACCTAAAAAAAGAAATGGCATGGCTCCTAGAAAGGAATTGAGTGAATAGGAATAGGAAGATGAAGATATTATATTTGAAGAAGCTGATTCGCCAGAAATATCATTATGAGTTAAATAATTGCATATATATCGTTGAATTACTGTCTTAAAAGTCTACTTTGATTACATCAATCGTTATATTATATTTAATATTTAGATATAAAATTCAGACTTCGTTGAACATTTGATTTTTATCTAAATCTAACCAATAATTTCTCTCTGCTTAGGCTTTTTGAACTTGATGTTGTGCCATCTGTTTTAATAATTAGTAATAATTTTTTTCTTTTTCTTACTTAAAATAAATTCAATAGATTAATACCTTGTATGTAGGTAGAATGAAATATCCAATAATTATGGTAATCATATCACATAGTATAGTCAACTGTTCAATCTCTTTCGAAATCTAGATGAGGATTATTAGAATATTCTTACATTATCAATTTGTTGCTATGTTTTTTGGATTAATTCTTCCTTATTTGAATTAAACAAAGATTTCAATGTAGTTTTGCCATTCTCAATGTCTTTTTTATCATTGCTCAAACTACACAATTTAGTCAAATAGTTTTGTTTAATCTATTCATATTTATCTCTGGATTGTATAGCTTCTAGGACAGCATCAATATCTCTTGTTTCTATTTTGATAGCCAAAGCAAAATTATCAAGAGCACTCTTTTCATTGGCTGCTCGCTAAAATTTAGAAACTAAAAAACATATTATTGGTATAATTCTGTGTTGTGTTATACGAAAACAAGTTTATTCTCTGGATTCACAACGTACTCAGTTAAACAATTCTTTTCGTATTCAGGCATTAAATAGTCTAACAAGAGATTCATATTTTCTTGACATTGAGCTCTAGAATAACAACAAATACGTTTACCTTGATTGCACAAGTTACTTGGCTTATTATTAGAAGATTTCTAATTATGGTTGTATTCTCTTTAAGAACAAGGAGAAATTGCCAATCTTAGAGAGTAATTGATCATTAATTTCTTTGCCTGAAAATTCTTTGAACACTGTTTCATATTTGTAGATGATATCACCAGGAGTTGGTTTTTATAATGCAACTAATTACTAGGGGAATAATGATAAATAATTACTTTTTCAATATCGCCACCACCTTTAATGAAGAGTTTAGTTTCATCGGAATACCATAAATGATGGATTGTTGCCATCTTCATCATAAAGAGATTGAGATAATGCATTCTTTCATCAATGAACTTTTAATCCATATTTCCCTTTTGATAATATGAGAATAGTTACGACTGGTTTTTTGATTGGTAATGGAGGAATATAGCATCCAGGCCATCGTATCTGAAGAGTAATTCTACATAGAATTCACACATACCGATAGCAATCAAACTCATTGAATCGACGTAATACTTCGAATTAGCCATCTTTATCAGAACCTCTGAGTGTGTAAACCACATAATTTTTGAGGCCATCCTTTTTGACAATGGGATCACCCACTTGAACTTAGATTCCTAAATTGCCTTCACCATCTGTTTATTGATCCATTTAATATTTTAATAATCTATATCATTATGAATATAAGCATTTTTTCATTTCTTCTGGTTCATTACTATCAATGCTTCTCAAGAACTTGGAAATGTTAACCTTATTGCCAGAAATCAGATCTTGGTAGAATGCGACAACAAATATCCAAATAATAGCCTTCTTCAGCAATTACTTTATTCCTACATCACTCTATTTGGTCTCTTCATCCTTTAAAAATGTGATGGTAGAAGCCAACTGATTCAAGAACAATTCCTTAGGGACTCCACCAGTAATATCTAGATTTCCTATCTAAGAATATATATTCAAGAGGATACTTATTGGAAATCCAATACATAGCCATTGTATTAGCTACTAGTATAATTGTTCAAATAATTGAATTGATCAATGTATGATTTTCTGACTTGATTTCTATCATGTTCGATTTCGATGATCAAACATTGCGCTCTACAAATATAATTAGTATTATACTTTTGATCTTGATAGAAGTAGTCCCATGCCTCTATATCGATATTCTGAAAGTCTATATGATCCTCCCTAGTAAAGACTGAAGCATTATCCAATTTCTCTTTCAAGATATGCTATTATTGATATCCTTGCTTTAGTATGTAGAAGATATCATATCTGCAGACTTCGCTGAAATTAATTTGTAGAAATTCGCATAATTTGATGATGATCATGATGCCATTCCTCATGTCATTGATCACATCAATAATCTTAGGGATCTATTAATTAATCTTCTCTCTCTTTTGATTTTCCTCTCTTTACAATTTCTCCTATGCCAATCTTTGTTTCTCTTCTTCTTCCTTTCGTTGTCTCTCCTCTTCCTCCTTTTATGCCTTTAAGATGTCATCTTCAGTCTTTGTGTTCTCACTCTTCAAGTATTACTACCAAAATTGTCTCTCCTTCTCTTCGATCTCCAAATATCTGTTATCATTCCTGTACTTCTAGAATATGGGTAACTCCAATATCTATTTAGCTGTTATACGCTACACAATGATATTGATTTTAACTTACCTTGGTTTTATCCTTCTCCACCATTCTTGGTAACAAATCCCTGATCTCCTTACAACATTAATGTTGGGATCCCAATGTGTATTACTTGTTTAAGATCTTCTGAGACACTTCATATTGACTGTTTCCAATGAAGTAGATCTCTCCGAAGAGAATCTCGTGAAACAATAATCCCAATGCCCAAACATCCACTTGATTTCCATCATATTATGAAGAATTGAAAAATTCAGGTGCCATATATGGATATGTTCCTAAATGCGTCTGGTATAGGGATTTTTGACCTGCAAATCCAAAGTCACCTAATTTGTAAACTCCATCCTTGATGAAAACATTCTCAGGTTTGATGTCTCTATGTGCAATGTTGTTGTCGCACAAAAAGTCTAAGGCTTACACCAATTGGAAGAACACAAAAATGGCTTCATCTTCAGGGAGCTTACGAGTCTTTTTTATTTTATCCAGTAAAGTTCCTTGATTGCAAAATTCCAAAACTATGTAAATGTTATTTGAAGTCTCAAGACATTCATATATTTTATTTATGAATGGACACAAGGTTTTCCTCATGGACAGCATCAGTGATTGCAATATACTGACTTCCTGATGAATTTATTTGAGAATGTCATCTCTTTAAACAAATAGAAATATAATCATACCCATATTTTGCCAAAAGAGATCTTTTAATAACCTTAATAGCCACTACTTCGCCTGTCACTTTATTTTTCCCTTTGTACACTTCAGCAAAGGCTCCTTAACCCAATCTATTTGAAAGTTCGTATTCGTATTTTGATCCCACAGTCTTTTTTGACATCCGTATTCTATATTAGTTTAATTAAATAATATAATCCAAAGAAATAATCAATTTATCATTATAAATTCTGATTGTGTAGATTTATGTGGAACAATTTATAATACAATAGTGTTAAATTGTGTGTTCCAACTCACAATTCATATTATTATAATACTTTTTCATTTAATACTCCACTTAAATTTATGAGTATTAAATTTAATGTATAAATAAAATCTCAATGAAAAGGAACCATATTCGATGTTTTCGCCATCTGTCAATCTAAATAAATAGTCGGATAACACTTAATCCGGTCTTTTTAATAGGGATTAATAATCTGTCCAATAGATGAGAGAATAAATCAGACAACTCAAGATGCAACTCAGTAAAACTAATCTGGAGAAGGAAACTGCTATCCAAGAGAACAACAAGCAAACAAGGGAACTGGAAAGAGTTCAAATCTATGTCACTCAACTTGAGGCACGTATTAAAATGCTAGAGGAGTCGTTAATAGCCTAATAATCAGAAGCTGAAAGAAAACTAACGTTGTAGAAGTACATATTTCCAAATATTTCAATAGATAACATTTCGAGTATTTGAAGTAATCAACTATCGAACGATAATCGACAGGAATGTAGAGAGATTTCAATTTAGAGAAAAATGATTTAGAGATACAAATAAAACTACTCAAACAAAGGATTGTAGAATTGGAGGAACAACTACAGAAGGTTACTTCGATTGATCACATGTCTGGTTATGAGGATTTATAGAGGTAGATTGATTCACTTACTTTGCAATTGTAATTCTTATATTCATCTTTAGGATGAGTCAAAAAGGATAGGAAAGACAATTTTTTGAGAAGATGTAGGAAATGTAAAAACAATTATAAATAACCACTTCAAAATATGATCAATTGGTTCACTCCTCCAAATTGGAGATAGAGGAATATGTATAAATAGTTGTTATCATTAGGTTGAGAAGATTACATTGCTATCAAATTAATTGAAGGAAACTCAAGAATACACTGAACAATTGGAAGATGAAAAGATGACATAGCAATTGCAATTATCCCATCAGTATTTCTATATTATAATCATCTTCTTAGAGTATTTCTGGCATACAATGAAATCGAAAGATTGTAAATTAAGATTGTGAAGATCAACAAGAAGATGAAATTTCTTGAAGAATCTCATATTTAATAATTAGAAGATCATTAGCATTAATTTGAAAACTAAGTATAAATATCAAGTGAATTGTTAGCTCAATTTAAGATCATAAAATTTATAAAAGGGATCTAATGAATTAAAAATCTAATATGAATTGAAATTACAGAATTTGTAATTGCAATTGCAAGAGAGGGAAGAAATGATTGGATAACTAAAATTAGAATTGAAACAGAAGTAATAGAAAATTGATGAATTGACGAAATAACTTGATTAGGAAAGACAAAAAAATAAGCAATAATTTGAATCATTCACTGTATAAATTAGAGATCATAAAAATACATCTGAAAAAGCATATGCTGAATTATAAACTAATTCTAGGGATCAGATCATCAAATTGTAATAGTAAAAACAAGAATAGGATTCTGTCTTAAATAGAATCAAAACTGAATTGGAAAATCAAAAATCCTAAAATTCTTAATTGCAAAATTAATTAAATCAACTGCAATCAGAATATGAATAGATGAGATAATAGTATGAGTCTTAAATAGCTAATTTGAATCTAGAGATTAATCGTCTCAAGACATAAATGTAATAAATCTCAGGGTATCTTATTAAATTTAATTAGAAAATCTTAGTAAAGTCTTGATGAGTTATAATATTAATTGGAGGCTTCTAAATAACAATATTAATAATTAATAGAATAATAATAATAATTATAAAATAGTGTATCTAAGAAAAATGAATTATACGAGAATGAAATAAAACAATTAAAATAAAAGTAAATTATTCTTTATATTCAAATATAGATTAACATAAGCTACCAATGATCTCAATAATCTATAAAATGAATTAGATAAAGAGAAGGACGAGTTTAACATAACCTTATAAGATTACTCATAATAATTCTAACTAATGGAAAAGAAACTAAAGGACAAGGAAAATGAGTTATTACAATTAAAAAAAACATTGCAATAAACAACTGAAAGCTATAGCGAATAGGTTACACAATTGGAATTGGAAATCAGTCACTTACAATAGTAGCTTCAACAATAATAGTCTTAATTCACATCCCAATTGAAGAACTCAGAAAAGGATAAGGAAAAGCTCAAACAAACTATTAAGGAAAGGGAAAATGAAATTTCATAATTGAAATAAACTATCAAGACGATGGAAGAAAATTCCAATATCACAATTTCATAATTAGAGATTTAACTCAGCAAATTATAATAATAGTATTAGAACTCATAGTAAGAGTAATAATAGCAAAAAAATTAGTCTTAAAAACAAATCTAATAGATGACTCAAACAATAAATGAGTTAAAAGAAAGAATTTCAGAGATGCAACTAGAAAAAGAACAATTGGAGAATAGTTTAAATGAAAGCATGCTCAAATCTTCTAATTCGAATAAAGATTTACAAAGACAAATATAACTCTTATAGAAACAGATATAGGAATACGAGATTAGAATTAAATTTGAAGAGAACAAGGGATCTGACTTGAATTAATAATTGGAATCACTCTAAGAAGAATTAGAGCAACTGAAGTTAGAAATTAAAAATTAAGAAAGAGATAAAGAAAAATTAAAGTCGTAATTAAAGGATTAGTAATTATAATATGAGCAATTACTTAAATAGAAATAAGATTTAGAGTAGAAACTATAGATAATTACATAATAACATGACGATTTAACTAACGAATACAATGAATTTTATATGAATTAATAATAATAATAAGAATAATTGTAAGGAAATATTCAAGAAAAAGATAAACAAATTAAGAATGCAAATTAATAAATAAACTAACTGAAATAAAAGATTTCAGATTTAGAGAGACAAATAATTCAAATGACTCATGAAATAGAAGAAAGAGATACGAAATATAGTGAATTAGAACAAAATAACAACATGAAATTATAAAAGTTAAATAATGCCATAGACCAATAAAAAAGGTAAAATCAAGAAGATGAAAAGTTATGGAAGTCTAAACTTACTCAATTATCTGACTAACATGAAGAGAGGGAGAGAGAATTACAATAAGAAAAAGTGGATTTATAACAGAAGTTAGAGTTCCAACTTAATTAATTGAAGAAATCAAAGTAAGAGACAGAATAACGATTATCTTAATTATAACTAAAGCATGATTAATTAGAAAATAGCTATGAAGATATATAGAGAGAATTCAATGATCTTTAAGATAAATATGTTATAATATAATAGCAATTCTAAAGTTTAACAATAGAAATATAATTGCTATAAAAGTTTAAATTGGATACGAATGACAATGAATTGAAATTCTAAGCATTGAGAGATAGTCTGGAATCATAATTGAGATTATTACAAACTAAATATGATTCCTTGTTAGCATCTGAATAGCATTTGCAAGGTGAGAATAAGAAGTTAGAAGAATAGAATAATATCAGAATAAGGTAATTGGAAGATTTTAGATTGAAATTTGAAACTTAAACTGTGTCTTTAGCAGAATATGAAACTATGAAATAGGAAAGAGATGATGTAACAGCTAAAAACTTTCAATTAAGTTCATAAGCTCTTAAAGATAAGTCTGAATTGTAAAAGTTGAAGAGAGAAATTGAAAATTTAAAGGATGACATAAAGACTAAAGAAAATGAAGTTTAGGATGCATATAATCTTGCACAATCTAGGTAGACTACAGGAAATATACAAAAAAATGAAACAGACATGCTCAAAATTGAAAATTAAAAACTTCTAAATTAAATTAAAGGATTTGAGGCTAAAATTATAGTACAGAATGAAGAAATAGATAAATTAAAAAGGTAAAATGAAGAATTACTTTATTAACTCTCATAGCAAAAACTTTATTCTGAAAAAGTTGAGACTTAATTGAATCAATGTAATTAAGAAAATTAAAAAATTACATTATTATATGAGTAAGTAAGGGCCAAGTATGATTAAGCATATGAAGGAATGAAAAATGAATCAATGTTTAGAGTAAATAATTTTATTACTATTTAGACTAGGGAATCAGTTATGAATAAAGTTGACGATGGTAACTATGTAAAACGAGTAGTCCAAACCACCACATTGAATTCAAGGATGGTGGCATCAAAATATTAAGACTAAGAATTTAATTGAAATATTTAAATAATGTTGTAAACTCTATTTATCGTCATTTTGCTCTTTCTGCTTCTAACTTTTATAGGATTATATTTGAGAAAATATTTTAGAAACAAACCGCTGACTATTTAAAATTAAGGTTCAGGATAGATATTGTCTGAATAGCGAATAACTTTCTGTGAATAAGTAGTTAAACAGAATTCTCAAGAAATATCTAATCAGAAGCAAAACATTAAAATGAAGACTTCTAAGACAACAGCTACAGTCACCAAACATACAAAATGTAAACCTAACAAAATAAAATAATAAGATTTAGAGGCAGCATTCTAATTTGATGGAGATAGTGAAAATGAAATTGAAAATGATAGTATGAAGAATTCAACTCTTACTGAAAAATAATAGTCATCAAATTCAAAGGATTAAGAAGGATTTAATTTTTAATAAACATCCCATAATCTCTAAGAATTGGTAACTCCAACTTAAGGAATGTGTTAAGAAGTTTGAGTTTATAATATGTTATCATTCTATGATTTAAATGCTTATTATTTAATTTATTTTTTATCATTTATAATATTGATTAATAATAAAATAAGTAGCTTGTAGAATGGCTAAATCATTTCATCTAAAATGTCGATTTTAATTCAAACTTTTGGAAGATTAATTAAATATTAATTATTTTAATGTACATATTATAATTGTTATTCATTTTTTTTATTCTTGCAAATACTTTTATACTAAAATTGATGATAATCCAACTGCTCCATTAGAAATTACAAATATCATGAAATCACATAAAGCTATATTCTTTATATTATTAAAATCGAATGAGTCTACTCTATTCAAGGATATTAGGCATTAGTATATCAATAAATAATACATTGGAGATCTAAATTGATATCATTTATATGTGTTACTTGGCTAATTTCAGACTCTTAATTCCCCAATTTGATTTTAAACAGTTTTCATCATTGTAAGTCATAATCCTTGTTTAGAAAAACTGAATTAAAGCAAAATACAACAAATCAAATGGGTTATTGAATAGCTTATTAAATACAATTTCATGACTAACTCTTATTAGTGACAAAAATGGCAAGAGTCCATAATATATATGGAAAAGTATTTATTATTTAATTGAAGTTGCTTGAGGATTGTCTAAAAATTACTATTTAAATTCTCCATATGCATCTTGTATGTTTAATGATCCTATGGCCATCCCTAAAAATATTCCAACAAATTAAAGTGCAAATGATATTCCTATTGTCAATCCACTAAGATCAAAGTCTAAATAAAAAAAAATTACTATCTAAAAAATAATTAATTAATCAAATACAAGCAGAAGATTTTACGATAAGAACCACAATAATCTAGATTTTCTGTAAGAAGTTCGTCTTAACTTAACTAATGACCACCAAATTGAAATTCCATTAATTATTGAAGCTGATATAAAGCAAATTAATAATGAAAATCCTGATAGCTATTGCAAAAACAAGGCAAACAATAATTATGCGGTATTAGCAATGGTACTAATGAGCATTAGTAAAGTTGGATAGCTGATGAATAATTCAAAATGTATTAGGGTATTGTTATCTTATTTAATTAATATAATTACCTTATGAATCATCATTTTCCTTATAATTTTGAACCAATGAAGTTATTAGTATTTTTTAAGTAATGTAGAGTATGGTGGTTAAAGATGCAAAATTAAGGTGATGATAAATATCGAATTGATTAAATAAATAATTCATTTAATTAGTAATTATTATAATAATTGTTTATCATGAACAACTAAGTATCCCAATTTTGATTATTAATGATTTTCTTATTCTAATATATTAAAAATTGACATAAGTAGTTAAAATCCAATTACTAATGCTTTTTGTCATTATTTTAGAAATTATTCAAAAATAGGAATTGCAGAATTAAAATAATTACTTATTTTCATTTAATGGCTCTTGCTTATTTAAATTTAGTAATCCCGGCAATTTCTAAAGATTTAATAATATTATTAAGTACGCATTATCTTTAATTTATATAGGATGGATTGGTTTTAATAATATTATTAAGATTTTAAAATAAGATATTAATTACTTTATTTAAAATGAATTAACAAATTTCATGTGATGAGTTTGATAGCAATCATTCTACTAAGAGTTGGTATAATACAAATATTAATGAATTAGTGAGAGTATTTCAGATGAATAATTGGATGAAGTAATGCCAAGCCAAAAAACGAATAAAAAGGTTTCCTACAAAGTGAAAGTCAAAACTGAAGTAAATAAGTTAATAAATCCTGTTTAGATTTGTAAATATTGGGCGATAGAAGGATATTGTCCTTATGGCTAATAAGTATTCTATAAAATATAAAATTAGTGTGCCTTTGCTCATGGAAAAGATGAAGTGAGATAGAAAGTCCATGTTCCCTCTAATTACAAGACTAAAACTTGTAAAAATTACACTTAAGATGGGTATCAATAATAATTTACATTAAAAGTTATTGTTGTTATGGAGAAAGATGTCAATTTAAACATCCTGAGAAGAAATCAAATAAATTACCAACCATCCCTTACTAAATCTTGTTAGCCAATATTAATCTCTTGTTTGCTTCTAAAAGGTACATATACACACTTATAAAAGTAAATTATAAAAAAGAAGTAAAGGATTACCAAAATTAATTAAAAACACTAATAATCCTTAATGATTAAATACTATATTTATATGTTTTGTAAATAATAATTAATTAAAATATTCTCATTAATCATCATATATTTCGTTTTGACTAAGATCTGATTGTTTGTATAAAATAGAGTAAATTTTTAATTCTTAATTTTCTAAAATCATTTTCTATATATCAAAATGATTTCCAAGAAATGACTATATGATATTTTAATTTAGTTAGTATATATGGACAATAATTTCATGCATATTTAGAAATATTTGTTGAATCCATATAATTTGAATTTCAAAAAATTTCATAAATGCCTTATGGTTTTCCTTAATCTTACTGTTTAAGTGTTTAATGTCATATATGAAGGTTGGGTGAGGTTTCTTTAAGAGGCCTGCAATAAAAAATTATTATTTTTATTTATATATTTTAGAATTTCTACTACAACAAATGCTACTTTCCAGTATCAAATTATTTATATAGTTATCGATTAAGTAATATACTACGATTATTTAACCAATAAACATATGAAAAATTACAGGTTTCTAATAATATCATTATTTAAAATAAGGTCGATAAAATTCTATCTGGTTAAAGATCGAGGAAATTGGAAATAACTATCGAATCTTCTTATCAGTGTCGTTTAATAATAGTTATTGTATTATATAATATGAAATTATAAGTTTTTAGAACAAAATATATCAATAATTGGTTTGCTTTGGTTCTCCTTTGGCAGAGCTATCAATATCCCTTTGTCTTTAAACTTCTTCATCCGTTTTAGATTTATTAGATTTGAACAGCAACTTAACTTATTCCTAACTTTTTCCTATTACTAATAAGGATGCTTTACCTCTGATTTATAAGGCAACAAATGCACAGGAAAGATCAACTAAAGCATTTATGCCAAGAACTTCTGCTGCTTGAATAATTTAAAATATTTCTTCTAAGTCTAGTTCTGTAATAAATTCAGCATCTTGAAAATCCACAATGTCATAACTAAGTTTAAAAATATCAATACATCGCTTTTGATTTCAAAGGTTTTGATATTTAAGGGATATATGCAACGTTTTAATGCATCTAGCAATATTGTATGACCTTCTTCAAGATGCTACTTTTGATACCAGTTAAGTTAAACACTTCTAAATTCGTATTATTGACCTTGGTACAGTGTTTTAATGCTTATTCGCCAATCTAATTCTGAAAAATATATACTTTAAAAGTTTGTCCATCTTAAGAAATAAATTACATATGTTATTGATTTATAAATTTAATTATTGATTGATTTAAGTATTAAATTTGATCAATAAATTCTACTAGCTGTCAACATCTTTTCAGGAGTTATACATCTAGTTGCTGGAATTTAAATCTAAATATTTGGATTTATGATGATCTGATAATTAGAAAACAGAAATGTATGAGACTGACTAAATTTCATTTTCATTTTCGTTTTCTAAATTCGCATCTTAAACTTATTCTATATGCTTTTCTACTACTTGATCTAAATACTCGTTTACAACTCTTTGAAGGAATAAGTTTAATTGATTGTCTTAGCCTTATGTCTTAATACTATTTTCCTAAAATGATAACGATTATTTCATTTCATAGTCCTGTTTTGCCAGAAGTCCTGGAGAAAATAACGAAAGAGTTTAAGATTAATTCAATTCAATTATTGACAGTCTTTCCATTTCTTATCTAGTTTTTGATATCTTTTATAAGACAAAATAAATGCTGGTTTCATTAAAGTGCTTAATTAGAATGTGAATAAATCCTGCTAAATTGTATCTTAAGTTATTTATTGCAGCATTAGCATAACAGAAATCTCTCACTTTTCGTGCATCAATGTAATTGTCAAAATATACCCATTTAGATTTCTATTTCTAGTTCTCAAAAGCCATTTTGTATTCTTTCCCTTTTATCTCTGAAGTCTTTACTATTTCAGGTATTAACTCTACATGCTCTAATTACTTTTCAGAATAAATGTTTTAAGACTTGAATTTTTATTAGATCAACCCATGTTTAGTAATTCTAACCTCTCTAAGCAACTTTGAAGATGTAAATTTTGAACTTTTGATACAGGCATATACTTTGTTTATTTTATGAGTGTAATCTGAATTATTAATTTTCAGTGTTTATCCCGCTTTCTTGGTAATAATTGCAAACATTTAATTCAAGCAGTCATAATAGGATTCAGAATATATAGGATTCTAAAAAAAATAGTCTTATATTTCTAAATATTCTCGAAAATATTCGCAGTATATTTTTGAATTAATATTATTTGGTTAATTGATCATTATTATTTATGACAATATAATTATTAAATTTATCTAATTCTATTGAAAAAAATGATGCTTTAAAATGATAAAATCGTAACGATATTGCATAGATAACTCAAAATTCTTAATCTTTTAGGAAAAGGAAATTTTGGAACTGTATGGAAAGTTGTGGATGAAAAGACCAAAGAAATATTTGCATTGAAGATATAAAGTTAATTAGATGAACATGAATAGGAGATTTTGGTAAATCTTTCGTAATTTTCTCACAGAAACATTGTTAACATCCTAGGTTTTGAAAAAATTAATGATCAATGTTTCTGTATTCTAATGGAATGTTGTAGTGAAAACTTATTTGAGAGAATATAATCAAAAGTATTTGATCAAAAAGATCTCAGATACGTATTAGTAAGCATAGCTGATGGAATAAAAGCTTTACATAATAATACAATCACACATAGAGATTTGAAACCAGAGAACATTATGATTAAAGTTATTAAAGACTCTAAGAATCCAGGATACACATAAAATATATATAAAATAGGAGATTTTGGTTTATCCTCAAATAAGGATGTTAACCAAACAAGTTAAGTTGGTACTTGTTACTACATGGCTCCTGAGGTGATTAGCAATCAACCCTATACTAATTCGGTTGACATATGGTCTTTAGGAGCAATTTCATATGAGCTACTGACAAACAGGCCATTGTTTGAAGGAAATTCGTAAGATGATATCCTAACTTAAATTATTAATTTCAACACAAAAGAAGTCTATGATGTTTTTCTTAAAAAGATAGAAATAATTTAAGAAGATGAATACCAATCTCTAATTAAAAAAATGTTGCAATATAATCCGTAGAATAGAATCAATATAGATGAAGTTGTAAGATAATTGAGAAATAGATATAGTAGTCCTCCAAAAATTATGCCTTTATTTTAGCCTAAAATCGAAACTCCAAAGATATTTTAATAATAATTAACATATGGATAGAATCAAACTAATAAAATGCAGATTCAATTATTATTTGAAAAAAATAAGTTTAGCACACCAAAACTCGAATAGTAAAATAATAATGATGTATTATAATACTTATAATTAGAAATCATAATAAGCATTTCCTTAGAAGGTCTAATAGAATGTTTCTGGTTTTCAATTATAGTAAACTACAATAAATTAGCAGAGTTCACTTTAAAGTCCAAGAGATGGTAAATAAGGTTAAATAAGTTGGAATACGAACTAAGCATCTAATATAATCAATAGTCCCCATTCTCCTTAACGTTTGAATAATTTTAATATTGCACCTAAAAATGGCGAATTTAAGAAACCAGATAATCAAGCAAAGCCAGTTTTTTAAAATATATAAAAAAAAAAATGATCTTATTTATCAAATTCGATAAAAAATAAAAATAGAGATAAGTTTGAATAAATTTTGATAACCGAAGTCTATTTTTTATAATGAATTATATTATTAGGTTTAGTCTATTTAATAACTTTATTAAAAGATACCATCACAATTCAAGCAACAATTTTATAATGTTCTGCACTATGATTACTTCCTCTAGATTTGTTAGTATATTGTGCTAATGGATATTTAATTGGTGATTTCGATGTTGGTTAACAATCTTTTGATTGAAATATTTTTGCAATAGCATATAGTTTGTCTGTAGAGACAGAATAATTGAACTATAATTCTTTAATTTTACTCAATAACAGATGTCTGTTAAATTCTTCTGACATTTACTATATTATCATAATAAATACTTGTTATTTTATGCTTTATTGCTATGAAGTTTTATTCATTAACGATTGCTAACTCGCGAGATTGGAAACTGCAATTTTAGGGCTTGCCACATTGTCCATTTGTGAAATCTTTTACAAAATGTTGGTGCCTGTAATTTAATTTAACAATTTCTTTACTATTCTTTGAGACAGATGTTGAAACTATTCTTGGTGAAGAAGCTGCAGTAATATTCCTAGCTACTTATCTTTAAGTAGAACTTTGTCTTTCATTTTTTGCTGATGTTAAATCTTCATAAGTCATTCTATTTATTAATGTGTAAATTTTCCCATAATCCAGAGGTTAAGTTTATAATAAACTCAAGAATTATTCCCAGCTTTCTGATATGTAGGCTTATTAATTTTAAGGGTAATTTATCAAATTGATTCTAATGAACTAATCAAATAGAGCAAAAAGAGAGTCCATTTTTAAATTATTTAACGATTAAAAAAAATTTCTGAATTTTATATCAATCATATTATTATATACAAAAATGTAAATGATCCTTAATCTCTCGAAGATTGCAGACATTTCAGATTCTGTTAATCAAATAACTAACATTATCGAGTAGAGTAAATTATGAAACCTCTTAAGAATTAATTAAAGTTATCATATGCAAAATACTTGAAATCATTTCTTTTAAATATTGCATATATAATAGTTGCGAAATTTACCATTATTATTGGGTTATAAATAGGTACTTCCAATTTATTGATGGTTAGGTCTATTAATTGTTTGCTGTAGGGTTACAGAATTATTAAATGGCAATTAGACAGGTCTATAAAAAGCTTGATTACTAAGCTTAAACTAAAATTATTTTTGATCTTTAGCTTCTGTAACATTACAACTGACACTTCGATTTTTTATTACATTTTAATCTTTATTCTATAGTTCACTGATCACTTAATCTATATTGTATCTCTCGTTGGGATCATATTTGAGCATTTTGGTTACTAAATCCAAATAATGCTCATCTTTGATAATCTACAGTTTTTGATTTAATGCCTTTTAATTCTCAACATCACATGATTTTTTTATCTGATCATAGACTTATTACGTTGTCAAACCTTAAAATAATGGTTTTCCAGTTAGTATTTCATACACAATGGTTCCGAAAGACCATACATCTACTTTGTGATCGTAAGGCTAATCAAGATTAATTATTAGTTCTGGAGCCATATAATAGCATGTTCCAATATATTTAGTCTAAGCAAGCTACTACAACAAAGATAATCCAAAATCTGCTATTTTATATATTCTTTATTGTAATTATTTGTTATTTTTTTTTTCTGTTAGAGTGGTAATAAGTATATTTTCAGGTTTTAGATCTCTATGTATTATTGAATTAGAATGTAAATATTTTAAACCTCTAGCAATACTAATCATGAAATATCGCAATTCTTTTTGATCCAATGGTTTTTTTTTTAATTCTTAATATAAATTGTATTCACAACATTCCATTAAAATGTAAGCTTTATTTTATTGTATTTGAAAGTCTATAATATTGACTATGTTTTAATGATGATTTTCTTAAAGCCATTTTGTTATCTAAAGTTCCTTTTCCGTAATTTCTTATATAATTTTTAAAGCAAATTAATCCTCCTTGTTCTCTTCCTATATTTTAATTACAGTTCCTTATGTTCCTTAAGGAAATAGTTCTAAAACGCGATACCGATTAAGTTTGAAGATTAATAAATCCCCTTTACGATATAATTAATGGTTATTCATAGTATTGATAGAAATTTGATTTAATAAAATAAAATAAATGCTATTTTAATATTTTATAATATTTTTTTCTTTTAAAACAAATTAAATAAATGTATATTTTTTTAGAAGTCTAGATTTTAAATTTTAGATGAATAACAATATTTTGAACCTTAGAAATTGAAATGATAAACTATTGAAAATTAATTTATTTAAGATTGGCGATAATTAACTTAAAATCAAGAACGGAAAATGTATATATAATTAAGTTGGTATATCATTAATTAATTTTATCGATTCTTTTTAAATAATTTTCAAATTCCCAAGCCTTGATCATCATATTCTATATTTTCCCTTAATAATTTATCAATAAATTTACTTCTTTTAATTTGCCCCATAAATCACCCCGGATGTTTCCCATTTTCCACATTTTTTACCTCTATTATATTCTCCTTTTATAGTTATTTCCTTATAATCACTACAATTATATTATAATTTACATCTTCCATTCACAATATAACTCTACCCATTCTCCATTTTTCAATCCAATTTCATCATAGATTCCTCCACCACTAAAATTTGATAAGATCCTCACAAATAATTTACATTACTCCGTTTTAATCATAAACAGTTTCCCATTTGCCACATTTTCTTCCATTCTGATATTCACCATTATATGTGATCGCGGAATCCCTAAAATTAATAACAATTATTAAACTCTTGATCATAGGAATCATTCAACTCTACCCATTTCCCATCTTAAATTCCATTTAAATCATATAACCCTCCACCTCTAATATAAACGTAGTTCATATTAATTTACATAGTTTCTTCTTCTTTTTGAATGGTTTTCCAATAACCAATTTTTTTACCATTTTTATATTCACCATTATATGTAATTTCTCTGAAATTGCTACTCAACAATATTTCAAATATTACTATCTCCATTATTCATGTTATTCTATCCATTTACTATCCTTCATTCCATTTTCATCATATCAACCACCTCCACTAATATATTTATACAGGTAATATTAGAGTTAAGTACATTAATTTCTAGTTTTTTTCAAACGTATCCCATCTGCCAACTTTTTTCCCTTTTAAATATTCTCCATTATATGTAAATTACACCGAATTTGCACCATTGCTATAAAATTTAAGCTTTAAGATTTACCCTTCCCAACCATCACATAAATCCACCCATTAACCACTCTTTAATCCATCCTAATCGTATTATCCCCCTCCACTAAAGTTTTTTCTATAAGATATAACAATTTAACATATTTTATTTTCCATTCAGTATAGTATTCCATTTTCCAATTTTTTTCCCTTACAAATATTCTCCCTCAAAAGTAACTTCTCTATCCCAACTAATTTATATTATTATGGGTTCTGTACTGCTGCCATTCATCATGCAACTCTATCCATTTACCATCCTTTAAGCCATTATCATTATATTTTCCACCTCCACTAATATTTTATTACAGCAAACGTACATTTTTTAATCTCCATATTAAAGAGTATCCCAAAATCCAATTTTTTTCCCATTTTTATACACACCTTTAAAATTAATTTAACAAACAGATCTCAATACTTATTTTCATAATTACCTCCATTCAGCACATATTTCAATCCATTCCCCATTCTTGATTCCCTTTTCTGTATATGATCCTCCACCACTAAAATAATAATAGACCAATTAAAGTACATTTTTTAATCTTCCCTATCCTTAATTGTCCAGCTACTAAATCTTTCACCATTTTTATATTCACCATGATATGTAACTGACCTATAACTATTAAATATCATATAATTTTAACTGATCCCATAAATCATATAATTCGACCCATTTTCCACTTTTCAATCCACCCTAATCATAAGTTCACCCACCACTTATTTTTTTTATGATAACACAATACATAACTTTATTTTGTTTTAATCCAACATCAACAGTATCCCATCTTCCAAACTTTTGGCCATTTTTATATTCACCTTTGAATATAATCTCTCTTGAATCCCTAATCATAGATTATTTGAGTACTTTTCCCAATATTAATGAAGTTCCTGCCATTAACCAATCTTATTTCCCTTTAAATCATATGATCCCTCACCACTATGAAATCTAAATTTAGATACATCGCTTAATCATTGTGAATTATCTTCCAAACACCCTATCTCAAATCTCCGTTGAAGAGACCAAACTCATAAACTTATACTTAGCTATTGATATCTTTAATACAACTTGTTATAATTGATAAGAATTTCCTTCCATATTCCCTACTTTCTTCCTTCATCACAATAGCATCCTCCCATATCTTGATTGCAGCCTCTCCAAATAATGTACCATTTTCCAATTTCTACCCATAATTTCCCATCCATTTAAGATATTTGATTTATTCTAAGTTTTACATTATCTGCAGCATTTTTTTAGTATCTGAGATTTAATCGCTTGATAGATAAATTAAGATCTTACATTCTAATTATGCTTCCATCAATTATATAAACTATTTCTTTGATATTTGTAAATTTTAATAAAACATCCTTAGTCAGAAGTCTTCTTGAAATTTGGGCTTAGAATTCTTACACTAATTCTTTCCAAAAGGAATCCTATTAAAAATCAATAGCAATATGCTAGTTTTAAATCATTTTTATTTTACTTTATACTTTTAATTTGTAAATGGAATTAGATATTTTCTTCAATAAGGATAAATTGATTCTTTATTTCTCATATCGAAACGCTTTCTTTTTTGAGAATTATTCATTCCCTGTATTATAGCATTTTTAGAACAGTTGAATAAATAACTTTAATCAACAATGATATTAAAGATAAGGTTCAAGTAGCCAAATATATTTCCAATTTAATTATAAAAAACATAGCTAACACAAAAAATTGAATTGGGTTTTGTTAAATTCTTTCAAAGTTTTCAAATCACTGAATAACATATTAGTTAAAAGAATCTGGGTTAAATATTCAGATAATTATTTAACAAAAATAGTAATATTTTTAAAGTTTAATTTTAATTAAATATTTGATTTAAATTTTTGTTTAGACTCATTTATTTTCCTCCTTTAAAGAGGCACTAAGGTATTTGCTCCTAAAAATTAGTGTCATTAGAAGAGTTGAAACATTTATTTAAGTTTCTACCTAAATTTAGAAACCGAGGATTAATACTGATATGATATATTTGATTTTAGCATAGTTCAGTTTAAAAGTTCTAATATCGTACCAAAATTAAAATTAATTAATGAAATAAGAGATAGAATGATACATGGGCAATTGGAAGAAATATCCATGATTATAATAACCATTTTATTAAGATCAACATTTCTAGTAATCTGATCAATTATAATAGTTAGGGAACTATTTAAAAATAAGAAAGTTTTCAGGAATCTTATATTTTGATGAATTTAATAATCTCAATAATGAAATGATAATAGTTAGTAGGGGAGAGTATTTGTCTTTAATTAGGAGACTGCACAGAAGTATATGATAAATGCACAGAGGAACATTGGAAAGAGTAATTTAGCTTTTATGATGTATAAAAATAAAAATAATAAAGAGTATAGGTTAGATACTAAATGCAATAGTGTTTGGAGGAGCTTGCAGATAATTTGTGAAACCAAGAACTTAATTATATGAAAGGGATGGAACATTAAATTATAGAGGAGATTTAAAAAATTCATTAAGTAGAGTTGAATGAGATCCTGATCCATTGAGATTACTTTTAGGTGCACATTACTAAAAAAAGGGCATAGATAAACTTTGTAAATATGAGGGTAGATAATTATGGGTGTCATATGAATGTTTGAATTTGGATATGAATCTGCATTTGTGAGATTGAATGAAGAAGATCAATATCATCTATTATAGACTCATTATCCATGGATTGGTGATAGAACTAGACTACGCGAAAATTCACATTCTAATTTTGCAAAGAGAATTTAGAATCATATTGGAATCAAGGTATTCTATTTATTAAAAGTAGAATAGATCAAGTATAAATAAAAGTTAGTGTATTAATTTAATTAAGTTGTTGAATCCAAAAATGAAAATGAGAGAGTTTTTGCTATAATAAGACTAGGAAAGAATAAATTAGACAAATTTAAAAGAAATTATTAATTGGAAACATGAAGAAAAATTAATTGTTTCCCTAGATCCTATGAATGGAAATATTTGAATAAAGTAATGAAAAACCCAAAAAGTATACAAATGTTTATGATGCCAGATTGAATTTAAGACAAACAAGAAAAATCATTGTTTTTGTCAATACTCATTAAAAAACATAAGTAAGATTAATGAAAGTTAGTTTTATATGTTTATATATAAACAAATTGATTAATAATAAGGATACTTATATTATTAAAATTGTATAGAATAATACTCATAAGCAAGATACTATTACAAGTTAATGGTCCTCATAATGCATCCATAATTAATCCAACTCTTTATCCGAAATCAGAGTTTTTAATACTTTGAACAAGTTCTGGATATTATTTCAAGAGACTTTTTAAATACTGTACAGATGGATCTCCACTAATTAGCACCTTTTTCATCACGTAATTACCAAAAGGATTGACAGACAAATTGTAAAAGACAAATCTAAAGTAAAAAGAGTTATTTACTAATCATTTGAAATTGAACATAAAGTGTTAATAATTTAATTGGGCCCCATAAGATCTATGTACTTTTCCACAGTATTACTCCCAAATTTATTAATACTTAATTGTTCAAAGTTATCCTTAATGATCTAACAGATGATTTATTTTTCTTTGGGAGGTCCACTCTTTAATAGATACTATATGATATAATTTCCAAATTCCTAATAGCATAATTGAGATGCAAGAGTCATCAAGATGTCCATTATCTTTTAAGTATGCTCAATTGGATATATCTCTAATGCTTTCTAAATGACTCTACAACCATACGTTTATTTTGACATAAATTACAACTATAATTAATTATTAAATGTTTACCGAATCTTCGATCATTGGAATAATAAAGATCAGTTAATTCTTGTTGAATAACTCAAAACATGATAGGATAACATAATTGCCATTAGGATCATTTAATAATGGATTTATCTATGGATAAAGAATTTGTAGAAATATCTCTAGTTACTCTGGATAATCTCTTTTAATTAGTAATTCGGTTACTTTATAAACTCCATCATCTTCTAGACTACTCGACAAGCATATTAGTTTTTTGACAAATCGAAGATGTGATTAATCAACAGATTGTACATTCGTTGTTTTTAATCTTGACTTCCAACTTCAAAGACCTTTTGAACTGTATAATTTCCAAACATATCTTTCGAAGCCTTTAAGCATATCTTTTCTACTTGATTAAAAATCAGTCTTTTTTTATTGATGTCATTACTATCCAAGATGTTTTACAGTTTCCTATTGATTAATTAATTTCCACATATTTATTCCTTTATATTAAAAATTATCTATTTACAAGATCAGTTTGACTCAAAGATAATTTGCCATCAATGCACTAATCACTAGTAAAGATTAATGTAGGGTTTTGATATTCAGTAGGTTGCATAGTATGGTGCTTCTTTGTCGATTGTTTTCTTTGTTATAACTAACCAAAGGAATCGAAGGCTTTATATTCTAAAAATTAATTGTACATTAGAAATGATCAAATGAACAAGTGTTATTATCTTAATCTGCGGTTTATTGTAATGCACTTGAAAATTATGACTAACTATTTATTTGATTATAAACATATATATACATTTCTATTGATGTTTAAGTTTGGAAAAATATTCGTTATTTCTAATGCGATTAATAACCTGTTGATAATATGCTTGCATTGGAAGTCTGAAATTCTTGATGTTTTGGATGAATTTGAGGATCGAATTCTTTTGATTTCAAAGATAAATTCTTTCTTGCCTTTTTGGGAATGATTTCTTGTTTGTCATCTTAATCTACAATAACGAATTCATCATTACCACTTAATATGGATCCTATCAAGTCTTTCTCTTCACTTTAAGAAGCCATATTAATTAAATTTTTGTTTATCGAGTGATTAATTATAATATCATATAAAGAGTGCTCAAATCTAACATAATTCACTCCAATAAACTATACTATTATGATTAATGCTTTTAAATATATATTATATTACATTAATGATACATTATAAAATAATAATAATTCAAAATTAATATGTTGGATCAACTTTTTGTTTTTCTTGATCTTCTTTTTTGAGTGTTCCCAATTAAGTCTTCATCAATTTCTCCATTAATTCAATTACCCTAACAATATTCTCTAATAACTAACATACTTAATTCTTAAAATCAATTATAAAATAATATAGAAGTGGGTGGAAACAATCTCATTTATTTTAAACGTTAATAAGTTATAGACTCCGAATGTAATCCAGGATTTTTATTTTTCTGACTATTATTAAAAAGACTTAAAATTGCAATATATTTGTTAGTGTATTAGTTATTTAAATATTAACAATACAAATAAATATTTGAATTTTAAATTTTATGAATAAAGGACCAAGAGCAGTATAATTAATATCAGTAGATGAAAATAAGTGTAATAATATCCATACTAACATCAGAACTTAAGTTGGAATAAGAAGCAATTGAAATTATCTAATCATTCACCGATAAGTGCAAGAATTTCGCAGTTGTAGTAGTTGTGGGCAAATATAGAACTGGGAAAAGTTATCTAATTAACTAAGTCTTATTACAACAGAATCAAGGATTCAATGTGGGAAGTACAGTCAATGCCTGCACAAAAGTATTAAATGGATATAAAAAATCAATAGGGATTATGGATGTGGAGTGAAATTATCCATTTCGAATCTGGAAGATCAAAAGAACCTATTCCTGCAATTTTGATAGATACGGAGGGTATAGGTTCATTGGAGGAGGAGTAAAATCATGATGTTAAAATATTTCTATTGGCAATGTTGATGAGCTCATATTTCATTTATAATAGTGTTGGAACTATAGATGATATGGCATTACAAAATTTGGGATTAATTGTATATATTTATAAATAATCAATAGGTCAACTTAACCAAAATGTTACAAAAGACTGATGAATCAACTTAGAAAGATCTCTTTGAAACATTTCCTTCATTTTTGTGGATTCTAAGGGATTTTACATTAAGATTAGAAGATGAATTTGGAAACAAAATTACACCTAAGGATTATCTGGAAAATGCATTGAAACCATTAAAAGGATTTAGTGAAACAATAGAAAATAAGAATAAAATAAGAAGACATATTACATAGTTTTTTTAAGAGCGAGATTGTATGACTCTTGTGAGACCCACTTAAGATGAAAAAGATTTATAGCATTTATCTTCGTTGAAATTTACAGAATTAAGAACTGAATTTTAAGAACAATTAACTGCTTTAAGAAAGAAATTTTCTTATAAGATTTCATTAAAATAATATAAAGGAAAACCAACTACACCCTTTAGTTTTGTTGAAATGTGCAAGTATTGCTTAATATCAGTATTTTAGACATTTTGTGAATACAATCAATGAAGGTAATATGCCAGTTATTGAAACACAATGGTAAATGATATGCAAATAGGAATTGAATAGAACATTAATAGGGGGTTTGAAAATTTATAAAGACAGCATAGATGAATTATTACAATAGAATGGAATCTCATAAGAATAATTAGAGAAATCACATAATATTGTACTACATTCAAATTTATGAGTAGTTTTTGAGAAAAGTTAAGTATTATTTGGAGAACAATTGCTTAGATAAAGAAAGTGAGGAATTTAGTACAGCCAAGAAAATGATTAAGTAATAGATTTAAGAATTATATGTTGATGCATAATAAAGATTGAATAAGAAACATGAAGAATAATTGGAAGAAATTAAGACATAATTTTTAAATAAATTAAATGAACAATAGTAATAAGAGAACATTTGGGAATTAGTAGTTGATTTGAATTAGAAACAAACCATGATTTGGAATAGTGGGGCCAATCAAAATTTATAGATTGATTATATTCAATAGATACAATAAAACGTAATGAATAAGATTTAATATGAATTCAAAAAATTATCATTGTAATTGAAGTAATACCAAATTTATATTTAAGATAATAATGTGACAATGGAAATTAGATATAAGAAGATTTTAAAGAGTAGAAATAGAGGTACAAGAAATAAGAGGATGATTTATATGAAAAGATTACTTTGATGGAAAAGGATAAGAATCAATTAAGAGTTGAATTAGAATCCGAAAAAAATAAGAATTTGAGATAATAGTAACAAATTTTGTAATCTTAAACAACTGTAGATAATAAGGTAAGTGAATATATGAATAAATTGAAATAAATCGAAAAGTCATACAATGATCAATTGAATGAGAAGGATGTTCTCATTTAGAATTCAGAATTGAAATAAAAACAATATCAAAATGAATTAGATAAAGTTAAAGCTCTATAAAAACAATAAGATAATCTAAATCAATAAGAAATAGCTAATTTAAGAAGGGAAATTGAAAGATTGAAGGATGAGATATCAGATAAATCAGAGACTATTACTAAATTAAAATAAAGTTTAGCAGAAACAGAAAATGTTTCTTAATATTCATCTTTACAACCAAGCAGAAGAATTAAAAATTAAGATGAACATAACACATCTACTTTTAATAAGGATCTTTATGAATATTAAATTTCTACTTTATAAGCATAATTAGATGAATAAAAAAAATTAACTTAAAATCTATTTGATGCTTTCAATAGTTAAAATAATTTATAAAAATCTATTTATGAGAATATGTCATAATCTCAAAATTTGATGAATAATAATAAATTATATCAATTTTTGAATGTTATTCATTAATTGATAGGATAGTTTGTAGGAAGAACAGATGAAAGAGAAGGGAAGGACTTTAAATCATTGATTCAAAAATTGTTCAATCTATTTGAGGATAATGATAATAGCTTCATAAACAATAATTTAACTGATAGACCTAAATTAAAGAACAGCGATAGTTAAAGAATTGAAAAGACAATGTCATCAGAATCTCCAAAAAATTCAAATCTCAGCAATTGTTAGAATATTAATCCCTTTAGATCTCCAGACTAACCAAAATATTAAAATACTAAAATGACAATTATGTAAATGTTTATGTAACACAAAAACAAAGAGAAAGATTAAGAAAAATTGAGAAAGAGTGCATAATTGGAAAATGTATTAAAAAATAGAAATAATATGCATGTTCAAAGAAAAATTTATTGATTTTAATTAGTGCAATCATTTATTATTTTAATAAACTTTAAATATATTTAACCTTATATCATTAGATAATTAGTGAAAATTACTTGATTTATATTTTCAATGTATTATTTAAAATATGTAAACTAAGATCAAAGAAAGTCACATTATCTAAGAATGCAAATTATAGATCTTCTTTTTGTGTGTATGATTTACTATCTGGATCATTTAAATAATTATAAATTAATAACTTAATTTATTTCAGGTTAACAATGCAATTATTGTCTAAGAACATTCTAAAGAGATTCACTTATGTGCCTTTTCTTTGTTTTTCATCTAAGAAGGATCTCTATGGTAATCTATATTAATTTAAAACCAGAACTATTGGGAGTACCAAGAAATGCTTCCTAGAATGACATAAAGAAGGCTTATTATGGATTGGCAAAGAAATATCATCCAGATGCAAATCCATCAAAAGATGCAAAGGAAAAGTTTGCAGAAATTAACAAGTATGAATAATATGAGAAATAGTGCATATGAAACATTATCTGATGAAAATAAAAGAAAAGTTTATGATTAAGTTGGAATGACTGGAGATGAATAGGATTAGGCTGGAGCTTAGGATCCGTTTGCAGCATATAGTAGTTTTTTTAGATAAGGAGCTAGAGGTGGCAAGGCATAAGATTTCTAATTCGATGAATCAATCTTTGGCGATTTCGCATCATTTTTTAATATGGGAGGAGAATCAGAAAGACAAATCAAAGGAGCAGATATTTTTATCTAATTGGAAATATCATTTATGGATAGTGTAAATGGAGCATAATAGACAATATAATTTGAGAAGGTTGGAGTATGTTCTACTTGTAATGGAACCAAATGCAAGCCAGGAACAGCACCAGGAAGATGCACAAATTGTGGTGGTAGAGGCTCAATTAATTACAGATAAGGAGCAATGACAATATAAATGGCCTGTACTAAATGTAGAGGAACTGGAGTTTCAATCAAAAATCCCTGTAATCTTAATTTATATTAAATAGGCACAACTTGCAAAGGAGCTGGAATATAGAAGTAAGCTACATCTGAAGCTGTTAATATTCCAAAGGGTATAGCTGATGGATAGAATTTAAGAGTGACTGGCAAAGGAAATGTTGGAGAAAATGGAGGCAAGGCTGGAGATTTGATAATTAAAGTGTAGGTTAAACCAGATTCATATTACAAAAGAGATGGATATGATTTAATTACCAACGCTTATATATCTGTGGCTTCGGCTGTCCTTGGAGATTAAGTTAAGATCAAAACACTTAATGGTGAATAGCAAATAAGTATAAAACCAGGTAGCTAAGATGGTGAAAAGATTAGATTAAATGGATTAGTAATATACCTATTTAAATTTAGGGAATTACTAAATTGGCACCTAATTCTAATCAAAGGGGTGATTAAGTTGTGAATCTAAAAATTCAAATTCCTACCTAATTAAATGAACAATAAAGAAAGCTTTTTGAAGAATTGGCGAAGGTATAGTTATAATTTAAGTTTGTTAGTTAGAGAAGAGTGAAACAAAAGGGGAATCAAATGTTCATGAAGGTGTCTTTGAGAAGGTTAAGAATATCTTCAATAAATGAAATCTATAGAAATTGTTTATAATACCACTTATTTATTATTTTATGTTAAATATAAATACTCAAGGAGAAAAACTAAAATAAAGTGCCAATTATATAAAAGTATTAATTAATCTTCACGTATTTAGACTCTGTAAAAAGAAGTCAGTGAATTCAAAGAAAAAATCAACAATCTTGAATTTGAATTATCAACTCTCAAATTCCTAGAATAATACATTTAATATGAAATACCAAAATAAGATGAAATCAATGAAGATAGAGTAAAATATTAAATGAATTTAGGAAAGAGAAAAGCAAGAAACTTAATCGAAACTAAATAAGTTACTTAAAGAAATATAAGACTTGAAAGATTCTAATTCAGATTTATAATCGTAATTAAAAGCAAAAGATTAGTAAAAATAAGAAATAATTGAAAAACATAAATCAGAGATATCAAAAAAGCAATAGGATTTTGAGAAATGTTAAGCTGAATTAGAGGCTAAAAACAAACTATTTGATGAAATGAAAAAGAAAGAAGAAGAAAATTATGCAATTATTTAAGAAGGCTCTGCAACTAATTCACCTACTAATGAAAAAAAAATGCATGATATTCAAAAATACCAAATTGAAAATTAAAGATTAAAAAATGAATACTAACAATTAAAAAAAGAATATGATAATTTAACCAACATTTTTAATGATTTGGTTAAAGAAAGACATAAATAAGATGAAGATAACCAATAATCTGTGAGAGATTGGAAAACTAAATATGATTAAATAGCTAAACTACGCGATTCTGATAAAGAAAGTTTCTAATCTTAATTAGAAGATAAAACTAAAGTTATTGGAAATCTTTAATAAAAGCTTTACTAAATTTAAAAAGAAACAAGTACTAAAGATACATAAACTAATTTCTTAGCAAGATAAAAAGATAGGTAAAATTGATATAATTTCTAAGTACCGTTTCATTTTAATAATGTGATGAAGAACAAATAGATGTATTAGATAAAACCTTAGAAACCATATCAAATAGTTCTATCTAATAAATTATTACTCTATGCTAAACTTAGGGACAATAAAATGAGTTATTAAGAGAGCTGAAAAGAATAATCGAAGAAACAATAAATATTGTACATCAAAAGCTAGCAACATCCCTACCTTCAATTATTAAAACATGTTGTGAAGTGAAAGATTCTTCATCTATTTAATTGATATTATGATACATCTAGCATATTTTATATACTTTATAAATTGAATATAGTCAACCAAAATATAATTGTATTAATTACAGTAATTTTAACCAATATCACTCTTTAAGTTTCATCTTTAATATGATGATATAAGCTTTTCTATGTATAAATATATATTTATTTTTAACGTAATTAATCAATCATTTTAACTCAAAAATAATGCAACACCAGCTATGATTTTATCGTTTATTTGACCAGATTGAAGTAATTTAATTCTGCAAAGTAATTTTTCTCTGCTGGCATTTAAATAAATCGGGAAATCCTATAAAGAATATAAACATTAATTACCCCAATTCCATTCTTCTCTGGCTATGATTTCTCCACATAAGAGATATTCAAAGATGGTAATTAGATGAATTCAGATGTTATTTTCATATCATCAACTAATTAACCATTAGAGAATCCACAACCTTATAATAATAGATTCTATAATTTAACTACAAGAGGGTGTTTAAGACTATCAAAATCTGCTTATAATTTCAATTCATTTAACGGTATGTTTAATTTTCTGGCAGTTTTTTACCTTAATGCATTCATATATATTTCAGGATGGAATAATTCACTTAGATCAACTTCATCTAATTATTATTTTCTTTGTATCTTATCAATCCACGATTTAATTGCATTGAGTTTCTTAATAAATATTTTCAACCATAAATTGATGTCATCAGGACCTTCCCAGAAATTACTCCATTTCTAAGGTACGATATCTTTGATAAATAGCAACCCAATATCAATAATGTCACTAGTCAATAACCCATTATTGTATAAGACATTCTTTAATTTCTCAAATGAATGGCTGATAATCTAATACAGATTCCAAGTCTATTATGCTTCTAAATAAATAAATGATTCAATTGGATCCAATGACCCTAATTATTAATTAGTAACTTAGATAGTATCCCTCATTTTCAATTGATCCCACATATTAATGAGAGGACCTAATAAATTAGTCCATAATTCTTTATCAAACTTGATTTCAGATCCAACTATATTATTCATAGATTTCAATCCACTAACAACTTTTTATATCGTATATCTTTAAACAGCCTTATCAATATTATTAGGCAATCCAAAAAATTCAGGAACATCATTTTCAGGTAATTTATTAATTAAATTAATGAGATCTTTAACTTAATTAGTTTATGGTATCTATTGTCCAGTACTAAGAGTTCCATTTTATAATTTATTCTAATTGAAATAAGTTTCCAAATATGCTCTCAACACCTTGATATCTTATTCATTATCTACTCTTCCACCATAAATGGCATTTTCATATAATCCATATAAGGTTTGCCAAGATATTGTTTAGGACTCTTATAAAAGATTCTCAATTATTTGAACTCCTGCTTTATAGTCAGCATATGAAAATTCATAGAATTTGCTCCAACCTTATGGAATATAGGTTCTTCTTTCTTAAACTAAAGCATGGAACCAAGTGAGAATGAACAATAATTGTGTTTAATAAACAGATTATTTATTATGTGTGGGCCAACTGGTTATTATTCTTTATAAGTTCTACTTTAATCCTGGAGGTGCTTCATATGATACCTTATAGCAGGTTTCAAGAAGTATAGATGGGAATTTCAAATGAGCTTCAGTTGTAAGCCACAATTTGAAATTTGGATGTGGTTTTAACTATTTTATGGTTTTTTCTAATAAAGGAAGGAAACTAATAACTAAATGCAAATTCTTTAAGCATACCCACTAACCTTTTTGTGCTGCTTCTTTTATCAATTTTAATGCTAATTCATTTTAATTACCTCCCATAGACATTTCTTAAAAGTTCTACTTTCCTATTTATTATTCAGCAAATTCTTCAAGCTCCTTAGAAGGATCACTACCAGCTGAGACTACAAATAAGCATGGAATTTAAGCAGTTAATTCTTCTTAAGCAACAGTCTAGAAATTAAACGTCTGGCCACTAACACTTGGGATACTTAAATTATGACAAACAAATTCATTCAATGCACTTTGAACCCTTTCAGGTCTGAAAGTTTAGACAATAAGAACCTTTTAAAATGGTTTTAATTTAGCAGATTAAGGGAAGTTTTTCTCGCATTCCTAATTATTATTCCATTACTCCCAATCACTAGAATTAAAATTGATATTTAATTTAAGATTCTATAACTATCCAAATATTTCTTTTCTATCTTAAGACGCCCATTTTGGAAGATGAGCACTCTCATTAGGTATTTAATTACCAATCATGAATTACCATTCTTCTTCCTCAATTAGTTCTGGTTTGCACCCTTTTACCAAATGCAAAGCAAAGATTAATCTATCTTACTTGAACAATGAACCAGCTATTTAATTAAAGATATTTCTCAATAAACTCTATCCAGCAAACTCTAATTTCTTTTGTTTTGAATCAAAATTCTCTTTAATATCTAGAGTCTTTTAAAATATTTGAATAAAGTAAGCTAATGAATATTTATACATATTGTTTAAATTCTAAAGACTTTGAATAAGAATGAAGATTTGGGCACCTTTCTAAGATAGTGGTCTGTACACATCTCTTTATGTATCTAAGTCTTCCTGCAATTTTGAAGATTCTTGTAAACTCTAAGCAATAACTTATGATTTTGATTTTGTTTAATTTAAACTATCAATTAATACTCTGTTTTCTAAGATATTTCCTTATGAATTTGCTAATTCATCTAAAAGAGTTTTCTCTAAATCAGCCAATTACATCTTTAATTTTTCCTCATTTTCCAATAATTATTATTTCTTCTATTCTAAATCTGGTTGCTCAATGTTAATGATAATACTAAGTAATTTACCTTCCAAACCACTTCTAGTGACAGTATAGTTTATAACCTATACCAAGGATACAGTATGTGGAGGTAAATGGATTGAAGAATTTCTTGTTGTCAAATACATTACAAAACTTTCATTAAAATCAACAGATTTCTCTCCTATCATAACTATCCATCTAGGACCTTAATGCAATAAATCTTTTCTTAATAATGGAATCAATAATCCTTCAATTTGATCGATTTCTTAGATCACTATAGTTTTACCAAACCGAACTGCTAATTCCAATTGATTATTGAATTTAGGATCTGTTTAATTTAATATTTCAGCTCCTGATAAAGTTTTCTTCAACCATTCAGTGGCTTATGTATTAGGATCAATTAATAATGAAACCTTTGAAGATTAGAATACCATGACTGAATTTTCAATACTTAATTAATCACCTGGTAAACCCAGTGTTTTCCATTTCAATATTTGGCTCTCATTAGACATGAATTTTAAGAAATCATATTACTATAATTTTGTCAAATGAATCCATTCTTATAATGTCTTATACCTAACATTTTCATCTTAAGAGGATAAATATGTAATGTATGATGCAGATAATAAAGAATCTAATGGAAATTGTTTTAATTCTTATGCAATTAAATCATGTTATTATTACCATCTAACCTTTTCCCCTGATAGTTTATCTAATAAATTGGATGCCAGACTCACAGTTTGTTCTGCTTTTTCTAAATCTCTTTTAAGTAATTCTGCCTCACTTGTTTTCGATGCAAAATTGTTCTTTAATTCTTAGACTTTCTAATCAAGTTAATTTAATGCATCTTAACATTATTTCAATCTATTTCTAGATGAATCCAATTTCTTACTAATCATTGATAATTCTTTTTCTAAAGGTGCAATCTTCTCTAAAACGGTAGCATATTTTAATATTGCTTTTACCCAATCAGCCAATGGTCCTGCTGCCAACGAAGCTCTATAAATATTTTATTTTTCAAAAGAATTAGAATGTTTGGCAATTTCCTCTTCAACATCTTTTCTGATATCAGCAGTAATCATATGAGGATCAAAGTCAATGATTTAATCAATTACTTGTTTATTACCCAAAAACTTTTTAATAGCTTTCCAATTTATTTCTGTTTACTTAAAAACTTTCATAACAGCTCCTAACACATCATAAATTGCAGGTGGAGGCTAAGCCAACGATTTTAATTCATCCAAATGTGACTTTGATATCCCTTTGACAGCATTCTATGCCTCTTATACTAATGGATTAACATCTCTCAATTCATCTTCAACCTTATCCTTAGACACTTTTATCTTGCCTTCTTCCTCTTAAAGATATCTCTGTAATTATTCAGTTTCTTATCTACGTTCAGCTGCATCCTACATTGCTTTTGATATCTTTTATAGAGCATCATCTGCTTCTAATTACTTTTTAGACAACAAAACTTTCTTTTCTTAGGCTTCCTAAGTCAACTTATTTACTAAGTTATTTGCTTCTTATAATTTCTCAAGTCCTTTTTATAAATGATCTGCTTGTGATCCTTTTGATTACATCTTTGTATCTAATATTAAACTATAAGTCTAAGTCAAAGATTAAAAGCTTCTTGGATCGGCTTTTTAATTTCTATGTATTTCAACTGCATAACTAATTAATTGTTCATTAACAATATTATTATTATTAGAAGATTCTAATTATTTTTTCATGAATTGTAACAAACTCTCTTTTGATAATTAGGTCTACCATATAATTGTAGTATTTGTAAACAAAGCTGGATTTTAAGCACAGTTAGTTTAGAATTCATGATTTGTATTATCCATCACCAAAGCAATCTTCATATTTCTCTTTACTCTTTCATGAAAGGCCTCATAAAGGGTTTTACCATAAAATTCCCTCTTTACTTCTTCTGGATTTTGGATTAATCTATCTATTTCATCATAACCAAACAGCCCTGGAATTTCTCCGCTTGAGACTAAAGAATTAACTGTTTCTAAGATTCCTTATTATAATAACACATGATCTTCTAAAATCAATAAACAATTCTTAGTTTAGGCTGTTTCCATGTATGATTTGAGATCTCTCTTAAACTCTCTGATTCCATAATCTCTACATGTATACGGTTACAGTATTTCTAAATTGAGCATTGTAGACATTATCTATAAACCCATCTTTCTTCCAATACCATTTCTGCCAGCTAATAGGAGTGTTGTTTAACTTTGAGAAGACAGAGCTCTGTTTAGGGATGTTAAAAGAGATAATACTTCTTCAATCATCACAACATTTAATTCCCTATTTTCTCTGGAATATATTTGAACAGCTTGAGAAACCAGTTGAATAAAATCCTTTTTTTCAATCTTCGACAGAGTTTGGAGATTCTAAACAGTGGCAAAATACTATTAGGATTGGATGTCTTTATAGTACTTTTTGAAAATAGGTAAAATCATTTAATCAAATTTAAACTACTGATCTTAAGAGATCAATTTATCTCTAAATATTTTATTGAATTCATTGAGTAGAGCCTCTGGGAAAACAGATTATATATCATTATATCTTTTTAAAGCAAAAATTATTTAAGTGATAGTTCTTGGTGTAAACAGATAATGTCTTTGTTCATCAACAGTGAATTTAGATTTGATTTAAGTATAACATTCAATTAATAATTGTGCACCCTTTTTACTTTAATTGTTATCTTTAAAAATGAGAATTTTAAGATATTCTTAATATATCTGTTATAATTCATCATTAGATGGTTATTCAATATAATAGATTCTAACATTTGCTGTGAATCTAGTTGATAATTAATGTCTTCCTATAGTCGAAGGAGGATTCATCGAAGAAACAATTTGGATCTTGTCATCCAAATATACAAATTCTAAATTTTCATCATAGAAACCTCTGTGAGTAATTAATTGTTACAAGAATGCTATCAGTTGGATTGTCTAATATTTATCAGGTTTAGGGAGGTTAATATCCTTTAAATACAGAATCAAGCGACTACAATCTTTAGGCTTATAGACTCTGCCCAAGGCTGAAGTACCTTTGGCACAGATTTGATTTAATTTCTAAATGATTTAAGATGCACTTGTTTAAGCATTACAATTGATTGTTGCTATTTGAATTTTGATAGTCTTTTTGAGTTCTTTGAATGCACTTTGGATTAATAGATTCTTGCCACAACCTTCTTCTCCAACAATAATGAAGGGATCATTATTGAGAATCCAAGATTATAACATTTAGAGATCTTTCTAATGGCCAACAGTTTTGATGACAGGAGGATCATTAACATCAGAAAATTAGGATTCATCAATATTTTGATTAATATATTGATATTTGTCTCCGTTTTCATTTAAATCAAGATTAGAATTAATTAATGTCTAGAACTTCAATCTGATATCTGGTTGGAAATTAGATGACAAGCCTTACAATAAGAGATAATTGAATTGCTATTTATTCGTAGGTATTCTCTGTAATTAGGATAAAATATTCATAATCAAACCAACTCTGGTAGTAGGTACAACCTATTATTCTTCGTAAGAGAATATTTCCTCTAGTAAATTGTATAGGGTTGATTCAATTTGATTTAATAACATGCTCTTCTTTTCTTCTTCACATTCTAATTTGTTAATCCATCTAGTCACTAAAGATTACATACTGATATCTTCATTATTCAAAAATATCATTCCCATTCTACTAACAGTAGCAGGTGACGCATATTATAAATCAGAAGTTTCAAAGATGAAATTAACATTGTTCTGAAATGAGATACGTTCACCAGTAGGTAATGTTAATAAATGATTATCATCCAAAACTGAATTTAATGATTCAATCCATTCAGGATCAATATCTCCATCACAAATAATCCAATTTAAGACATCCACTGATTCCTTAACTACTAATCTAGCTGATGCTGTTAATACTCCCTCACTAAATTCTCTTGTGTCATTATTCATGTTTCCTAATAGTTAACTCCTAGGCATAGACTTAGGATTCATCACATGAGTTTTGACTTATTACCCTAATTTCTCGTGTGCTTTCTTTAATACTTTCCATATAGTTGTCTTTCCACAACCTGACGGCCCTACCAATACCACACCCATCCTTTATTTAGTTGCTTCATAAAACTATAGAATTTTTGCAATTTGATTATCAATCTCACTCAATTTCATACTTTATAGCACTTCTTTTATTGCATTTGTCAACTTCTCATAGATAATGTCTTAACTATTTATGCTTGGGAAGACATCCTAGACCAACTAAACAAATTTCTTTGTATCATGATAAGTCAACTTTGACATTGTATTAATTCTGATAGATTTAATCAGTAACTCTGCTTCAATTGTTTCATTAATTTCTATTCCCTATTTTCTTTCTTCTTATATAATTTATCCAGCCACAGTCAATATTGTTTTCAGTGCTCTTAATCCCCAATCATAATGTTACTATGGACTTAACAATTATCTCGATAATGTGAATATTGTGATGATTTTTTCTGCCAAAATCTTAGCATTCTTGAATCCTTCTGAATACAATAAGACTTCAGCAATCAATTCATTATCTGGAATTGACATAGCCACAGGCCTAAACAATTATTTTAAATTATCAGGTAATTTAGATCTACCTCCATAATTCTTACCAGCTGGATTCAATGTAACAAATATGCCTGAATCTTTATTAACATTGCATGTCTAACCCATCAAAGTCATGGATTATGAATTCTCCTTAATAGCGTTTTATATTATTTGAATTTATTATGATATAGCTGATAATTGTTCTTCTAACAATCTATTGAATTCATCAAAACAACCCCAAGCTCCACATTTAACCAATCCCATGAAGATACGTCCCATACTTTTAAAGTCTATACCTTCATCGCAATTAAATACCAGCACTTATCTTCCAAATAACTGTCCAAGTGCCTTTACTGATTCAGTCTTACCTGTACCTGCAGGACCATAAGGATTACCTCCATAACCCATGGACATTCCTTAAGTCAATGTTAAATAGCATTTGTCTGTTAATGGAGTATGCACTAACTTTTATCCATTGCCTTGATATTCGTAAGTATAATCAAATCTTGCTTTGCACATTATTATTTGTGCATCTTTTTAATATTCATATTTTAATTATTTATACCAATACCAATCTGATAATATCGAAACCTTGTTGTCAATTAGTTAATTTATTATATCCAGATGATGAATAAGATCTAAGACCAATGATTTTAATTTTAATTGTAATAGATAATTATTTGATGATTGTGCATTCAATTGAGTAAATTAATCTAATAATTTTAACTATGTCTATTTGAATTAAGGTAATTTATTCGAATTCAATGCTGATACTGCTTACTCAGTGAACTTAATTCTAATAATATTGATATATAAATTACTCTTCTGACAAGCAAAGAATCTATGATGGGAATTTATTGAAATCCATGTTCTACTCTTTCAAGCATTATTTCAACAATGAACTTAAGGTCTCTTTCATATTTGAAGATAATACTGATAACCAACTCTCTACTATATCATTTACTTAAATTGAATTATTAAATTGAACTTATTCCTTTTAGGATGATAACATAGAATAAATTTATGTATTGTCCTTACTAAATTCTACAGAGTTTATACCAGCAAATAATTTCTTGAGATGCATCTATATGACTTGAGGATTTTAAGATTGACCCAATATTTCTAATAGATCATCATCTCCCAAAAAGTAAAACCTTGGAAATTTACCTCTCTTTTCTTCTAAGAAATCATTCAGAGCCTTTTAACATCTCTCTAATTGATCTAATACTGTATCTAAGGTGTCCTTAATTCCTGGAATACTACATAACGAAACTACTTTTTAATCTCTTTATATTCCCAACATGATATTTCTGAAATCCTCATCCAGTCTCCTGAATCTTGCTTATTCTTAAGGTAGTGCTCCTCTAACAAAAATAGGTTCTAGATAAACCCATTTTCTTTAGATAATTTATAATTTGGATAAATATTCATCAATGCCACCCAATTTCAATTCGAATTAATCAACTTAATCTTTAAATCTTCCAATAAATTTAGATTCCTTTAAGGATGCCAATAAGGATTAGTTATCACTAACTTTTGTCATTAACTCTTTCCATTCTTTAATTAAGGGAGTAACTCTGTTATTATTAGTGTAATCAGTTAGATCGAATTCTGAAGTATCACACCATGTTTTCAATTCAAAGATAGCTTCTCTCAAAGTTATCTCTCCTTATGCTCTTGCTTACAACTCCCTAATATCATTTTGTTTATCCAATATTAATTTATCACAATTAAGTAAGTCTTTGAATAGCAACTTTTCCTTTTTCATTTCTTTCTACTTAAGAATCATAAACAAACTAGTCCAATGTTCAGGCTCAAATGCATCTCCAACAATCAGTTTTAATAATGGATTTATTTTAAGATATAATTCAATCTAAGAAAAGATGTAATTTATAATTGCTTCTTTTTTCGTAAATGTTCCTTTGGATAATTCTGCTTTTATTTATTCTTATTCTTGTAACAATAACTCTTAAAACATGTATAATTTAGTTCTGAAGCTCAGCCAGTCCTCTTTGCCTAGATTATTAATATTCTATTAGAATTTATCATAGTAGCACCATACTACTTCAGACTCTGTCATTTCAACCTTAACCTTATCAAATTAAGTAAATGTTGGAACTTCCATTTCAAAGTGTTAATGATCCTTTATAAGAGTCTAAATCTTTTCATCCAATTACTTCCATTATTATCTCCATTGCTACATATTCTCAGCTAGTTCATTTGCTGATGATCTATCTAATTCACTCAATTATTTTGGTTTTACAGCAGAATATCTTGAATAAAACTTCTCAATCTCACTGTCTATTTCCTTTGCCCTCGCTTACATATCCTTTTTTAATTATTTAGTTTATTCAGCTAAAATTGAATCGAAGTCTCCTATCAGAAGTTCAAAATTCTCCCAATTCTTGTTTATTTGTTACAATTATATTAATATGGGATTCTAGGCTTGAGATTAAGAACTCAAAGAATTGATTAATTTTTGTTTTTATTGGCAATCCTGCATTTTCTACGTCATTTCAAATTTCTATGCTTTGATATCAACGTATTTCTTTTATGCTTCATTCATCTCATTCATATTTTATGGTTTTTATGATAATTTTTATTGAGTTTCGCTTAAAAATTGTTCAATTTCAATTATATTATTCTTAATTTAATTTTTCAATTCATTCAACATATTATCCACTAATTTAGTCAACAATTCATCAACTTATTGCTTAAAAAAACTTATATTAATGTTAAAGCACTCAACCTTCTAATAATCATTAATTTTTTCCAATTCTTTTCTTCTTTGTCTAACTTCTTTCATAAATTTCTCCCATTATTCCATATTACCCAATTATAATTATAATTATTCAGCATCCAATAGTGCAACAACCGACCAACACATATATTGGCAACCTAAACCAATTAATTTTTCGAAAATCTGCTCACTTTTCTCATAAACTTATATAACAAACACAGCATTCCTCTCTGGCATCTACATGTAAATATCATTATTTCCACCAACACCAACAAATTATGAAGGATATTATATATATTTTTTCAGTTCATTATAATATTTCTCTCTTAATTCTTCAATAGATGGCTTATACATGACCTAACCATTTTTAATAACAAGATCTGCTTAGATCTCATTGATAGCATGATCCATTTCTTAAAATCCTTTTTTATATTGAAATTCTAAAGCCTTATATAATTAGAAATCAATATGGGTTCTCCATCCAACTGTGAATTTATTATCAATGCTAACACATGTCTATTCTATAACTTTCTTTATTTAATCCACCTTCTCCTTCCATAAATTCTTTTATTTTAATTCAACCTAAAACAAAAAACAAATATTATCAATTATTTATTAGTGATTTTTTCTTAATCTTTTATTTTCCTACATTATTTCATTTGCAGATTCTTAAACTTTCTAAACATAATTTTCCAATTCTTGAGTATTTTCCCATGTGATACTATTTTTTTTTTTGGAATTCTTCACAGTATCTTCAAATCTTACTGCTTAATTAATTAGCATTGGTTTTTAACATTCAATAATTTAATCGGACATTTAATTATAGAAACTAGCAATAGATTTCAAAGTTAAAGCTTCCTTATAAAACTTTTTGCCTGTTTCCACAATTGTATGTATTTCATTTGATATACTTTTTCGATAGCCAAGTTCACATAACTATCTCACTTCCTTTATCAATTAAACTAATTTATCTGAATAATTAACTCTGACTAAACCATCCTACATATCAATTTCCATCAATTTTCCAGAAATCTGTAAAGATATTTCATTCTTCTTTAATTGTGAATCAATTTCTTTTCTCCATTAATCAAATAATTCCTATTCAAATTATTAAACTTATTTTATAAGGTTTTAACACATTATTATGAATTAAGCAGATTTTTTGATATCACTAAATAGTTATTAAATTAATTAAATTATCCTCTTCACTTTTCCAATCAATGATTTGCACCAAACAATTTAGTGAATATTTTTAGAGAACCCAATTTAATAAGGTAATTTCTCCTCTTCTCCATCATCAAGAAAAGCAGCTCCTGATCTTGTATTAAATTCCTATTCAATCTTAGAAATCATGTTAGTAATTGAAGTAATCAATGAATCACGCTCTGTTAAAAAGTGTTTCTATATAGAGTTTCTTGATAATAATCCAGTCCATCTTTACATCTCTCGAATAGTTTGCAATGGATTTTCCTTCATCACTTACTATTTAAACACCTATTATCTTAAAAGGCTTATGACATCTTGTTCAGCACTCTCTAAGTTATTAAGTACTTTTTTGTAAGCAACATTAAACAAAGAGTCTTAACCAATTGACATAAATGGATTGACTTCAAATAATTCCTTAAAGAAATCTTAATCAATATTGCTTCTCTTCAATTCCTCATAAATACTTCGCAATTCAATAAGATCACTTAATCTCTTTTCAATTTGTTCAAACTCTTACAGATTAGGATTAATTTTCCAATCATATTCAAAATATTTCCTCAAATTTTCTCCAAACATTCTTACCATCTTCTAGCATTCCAATAATAGAAGTTTCTGCTATTGAGTATTACTAAATATTTATTATCCTTATGGAATTATGTTTTGCAATTTGATTATGATTTAATTGTACATAGAGGATAACATTCCTTACAATTTTTATTCATTATATAACTGTTAAGTGTATAACTCATCAAGACAAACCAAAGTTTGATCCAATAAATCTGAAAATTTATTTATCTCCAATTATTTAACATCCTTCCATAGTTAAGTAACCTTTTAGTAAATCGAGCAAACTTGATTTGCTGTTCTCTATTAACTTTCTGAACTTGTTGCAGATTATGAAATTCTCAACCATTATTCTATTTCATCAATTGGTCGACTTACATTTCTCTGCTCTGTTTATACATTGTCGAAATCATTATCTTGAAGTCCTTATAAAACCTGTCTAATAATTTAAATCAAATTTCATTACTTGAAACCTGATAACTTTTTTTTAATTTTTTCATCAACTCCAGCTCCCATCAATGGTTAATAGATCATTGATAAATGATTACTCAATTCTGTTACTACATTAGGTGATAATAATTAGACTGTGAGATTAGTAAAATAATTATCCTCAGTTATTACATCTGTATCAATTTTAGTTATGGCAATCAATTTAGTTTATGGATTTAATTCATCTAAATATTGCATTTCATTATACCAACTTTACTAGGATTAAATAATTTTAATCCTTGACCTTACATGTATTAAAGAATCAGACTCTTTTTCTCTTAAGCGATCATAAATTTATCCAATGTTTGGCCAGAAGCTAAACCTTGAGGAGTTTGAGGCAAATTAAGGAGAGCCTAAACACAATTAACTAAATATTATTTTGCCGGGTCCATGAAATAATAAAATAAATATTAAATTCAAAGTATTCTCTACCTCTTTTTATTAATATGCGTTTAGAAATTAAATTATAACACAAAAACATGAAAATAAAAAAAAGTCATCTTTTGTGGTTTTAGAAAATAGTGGTTTGTTAAGCACTTAAACTACGATATTTTTCGAACAATAAATTATCTTCTTTGACTTATTCGTCATCTTCATCAAATTAAGTAGTCTTAAAGAATAATTTAGGTTTTTTCAATTTATCAGGCAAAGTTTATAAATAAATTTAATTGTGACTTTTCAATTCATCTGGAATTGAATCTTACATTTCCTCGCTTATTTCTTCTAAAGATCTCTAATAAATGATTCCCATAGAATTAAATAAACTAATATTCTAATGCCCACTCCCACAAATACTATTGCTATTTTATTAGGATTCCTATTTTGTTGTGGGAGGATGCAATTGATTAAATTTTGAAGGAGTCTAAGCAGCTAAGTTATTGAAATTATTTAAATTAGAAGAAAACTTTTCAAATTGCTTTAATGGCAGTTCCTCAGTTTATAAACTTCCATACCTATTCATATTTTTGTCTAAATTAGTCTATTGACTATCCCATTCATACTTACTATCCATAAGAATATTAGCATGTTGCGCTGCCTATTATATCAATTTGACAATAGAGTTATAGTCTGGTTCTGATGCATAAGTCAATCTTTTCAAATATCTAAATCATTTTGATATTTTACTCATAAATTTTAATGAATTCCGCTGGCAAATCTTTGAATAACTCTTTCACTACAATATTCTCTTTTATCTCTCCAATTTTTTAAGTCCTTTAATCATCTGGTACATGCTTTATGTTTTGCCAAGGTAAATTACTAAACTAATACTATTCTCAAGCTGATACCCTTTGAAACAATACAACATAACATATAATAGTGACTCTAAATCATCCTTTCTTCCTAACTCAAACCCTTTATGTGCCGCTATCGAAGCATATCTGGAAGTACCTATGAATGGTACTCTATCTTTAAAAGGTCTTTTACTTATAAGTTAAGATAATACATTAACATTCCATTTTTACGAATATAAATTTTACTTATTCCAAAATCTATCAGATAAACTTTATTTTTATCATCCAACATAACATTTTCAGGTTTCAAGTCTCGATGTAAGACTCCTTGTTTGTGAATTTCTTCTAATATTTAAACTAGTTCTATAGAGAGTTAGAGAATAGATTTTAAACACATCTTTTTCCTTTATTTAAGTATGGAAGCCAAATCTTTCTACAACAATTCCATTACGATAACATTATACGAATCCTCCCAACCATAATACAATATTTAAGGCACTCCTTTAATATTTGTCAATCTTGATAAAATTTCAACTTCTTTGTCAAGGGAATGTAAGTGTTCGTTTTCTGGTTTCTCAACTTTTATAGCTACTTAGTTTCCATTTTTCTAATCGATTCCTAAAAAGACTATTCCAAAGGACCCTTACGAAATCTTCTTTTAAGTGACGAACTGATTATTAATTTCAAGTTTTTTCATACAGATTAATTTATTAATTTATGTAAGAAAGACATATCGACATTCGAAGCTATCCAGAATTATTGACTATTATCCATTTGAAATACTTATTGAATCTATTACTCTGCAAAATGGAAATAATCTTTTGAGAAGCAAGTCCAACTTATGTAATTATTTATAAAAATAAGTATTTTATGTTTTATCGGTTCCTAAGAAATTACACCTTCAATTATTATTATCTAATTTAATTTTTTAGAAAGAATTCTTATATTCATACAAATATTTATATCTAAATACCTCTAGATCCATATTAATATTAAATTAACAGAGTTGATTTCTTTTATCGCTAAACTAATATCAGTTCAAAATTATATAATTATTTAAATCCTATTTTATTGCAATTCTGTGAAAGATCAATAATAAAATATATCAATTCTTAAATGAGTAAAATTACTAAGGAGTAGCTGAAAAGTTAAAGAAGTATTTGTTTAAATCCAAAATTTCACAAGAAATTATTAACCTAAAATTATATCAATATTACCTCTCGATTACTATCTTCAAACCTATCAACTAAGAAAAATCAATCTAACCTATAAAAAAGTGTGTGACTCAGTCTATCAAAGGACATCTATTAATTGATTTATAATCCCTATTAGAAATGCAAATATCTATTAGCACATAGAGGGAAATTATTATATACAGAAGATTTTATAAACCAATAGCAACAGAATTTTAAACAAAAGTTAGATTTATTGATTGATATTAGTTACTAATCAATATCACTAATTTATACAATCCAAAATTCAAATAATCCTATATTTTACATGTCATCAATATCAAATAGGGAATTGAAATACATATCAAAATAACTAGTGTCTAAAAGTAAATATTTTGAATAGATTTTTTAAAACAATTTTGTCTAAATAGTTTATTTTTAATACATAACCATCTTCTTATTATCTACATTTATCCTTCAATTAGATTGAAAGGTATCTTCTTTCGCGTTTTGACATCTGATATTTTAAAATCTTTGAAAAAATCAGCAATTTGAACCAATCGGATTATTTTTATTTTCAAATTTAATATAATGGAAAAAATTGAGAAGTCTGTCTCTAAGAAGATAAATAAACAAAAGTAATTAAATAGCATTATTCTATAAAATATATGTAGATTTCATTATAAATAAAACTTAAAAGGTTTCACGAAAATTCAAGTTACGATTCAATTCAAAAATAGATATCCTAAAGAGAAAATCAAATAAGAATCTAAAAAAACAACAAAGAATTGAGAACCTAATCCCAATATTATCAGAACCATCAAATATAAATTGTTTTTACATAATATATTTAAATGAGAATTATTTTTAAATTGTCAATTAAAGAGCTTATTAATTAGATGCAATTTATTATTAAACTAAATTTATGTTAGGTCTTTTTCAGAATTTTTCTAAAGTGTTTAGACGCTTCTATATATTATCATTTATTTTCTTATTGAAATTTAGAATATTGATCATCCAATTAAAAAGTTTTATCATTTGATCGCAATAAATTAGTTGGTTTTTCATTCTTTTTTATAAATATATCTTTTAATAACATTATTGGCTATACAATATACAATGCTTTATTAAGAAATTTAGATTAATCAAATAGATAAATTAATAAAAATATACATAAATTTTCCTCAACTACCTTATTTTATTTTCCTACTAGTTCCATTTAGTGCTCCATCTAACTATGTTAATGAAGCAATTATATTAAAAATCATAAATATTACAGTACTAGCCAGAAAATAGTAAAATTATTTTATGTTTCCTTTTCCAATACATTTCCCTGTCCATGGGCAATAATGATCCATTTCCTAAATGCATACATCGCAATCACTACAATGCACAGTGCCATAAAATTATAAGAGTTTACATGCACTACAAAACCAAGTCTTGCTATCATTCTAAATATCTAATTATGGTGATGTTTTTGGTCATTTTCAATAGAATTATTTTTATCATAATTAATAACTCCTGAGTTAATTAAAGCTACCCAAGCATAACTCCAACATTAATTAACGCAAACTATAAATGTAGCCCATTTTATAAATTAAGATGATGTGCTAGTAAAATGCCACCCAATTAAAAATACACTAGCTATAAAAAATAAAAAATATGCGCAAATAAAGAATGGCCCTATAAAATGATATTTTTTAATTATTACAATGAGGGCCAATGACAATTTTTGGAATGTTGTTTTTCTAAAATAATGGGTAAAAATTTCCCCATCTAATATCAACAGGGGTCTAGTATGTGTCATCAAGCTCTAAAGGTTCAAGACTCATTGATTTTAAACCAGTTTCTTCATCGCACTTTTGAGAAGAATCCAAACTCATAAGTATTTTTGTTATTATTGATTAACAATAGTAATTAATCTGAAAAACCGGTCACACTAAAAAATGCCTATCATTTGAATAGTAAAATTTATCGATTCCTTTTATGTTGACATTTTTGAAATTAATGAGTATTTTAAATTTAGTTATTAAATAGAATTTAGATATATTCTAAATATACTATGGGTGCTTGTTGTTTATAATATTAGAATTATTAATATTTATATGAATACAACTTTATGGAATATCAACTAAAAAATGAATATAATAAAGTTCTCTAGTATTATTATAATTAATTTGTGATCTTTGATACACAGAACTTATTGCTTCTCCTACAATTTATTGTTAATTATCTAATGTGATGATTTCGTTTCTATTGTGATATTACTATTGTTTATTGTAAATTATATCGAAATTAAAAACATTAATAAATATAAAATGTAGCTAGATCAAGAAACTCTAAATCTATTATTCAAAGAATTGTTTAATTTAGATTAGTTACCGAATAAAGATAGTGAAGAGTTAACAGAGCAATACGAATATTATGATAACACTGAAAGAAAATTTCTAAAATAATTTCATAATAAATAATTAAATAATGAAAACGAAGTTAAGTATGTGCTAATTATCATTGAATAGATTATTGCATCGATTTATTGCGAGGCTAGCTGAGGCTTATCAAGTTTTGTTGGCTAAAAAGTCTATTTTTAGATCAAAAGCATCAACATTTTAGCCAACCATTTATAATTGCTTATCAAACATGTATGATGGTAAATAAGGAGTATTTATTTAACTCATTTAATCTATTTTTACAGAATGTAAATTGCAATTAGAAATTGCTAATAGAAAGCTAACCAATAATGACATAGTTAAGCGAGTGAGTATTATATTTTATTATTATAAAGATTCATAGTTAAGATTAAGACTCCTTAAATAACGAATCATTATAATAACAGTAATAATTATCAATAACTTAATTATTATTATAAAGAAAGAACACTTAACCTGAATGGCAGATTAACATAAACAACAATAAGAACCTAAGCTAATATTTTAAAAAAACTCATTAAAAATTATATGATCTACTTTCTATTGACAAGTAAATTACTTATTTATAGCTTAGAGTGTAAGATGATTAAATTCTCTATTTTTAAAGCAGAGAATAAAATATGGATAAATTATTCTAATAGTTGATGTAATAGAATACTCATATAAAGAAATCTTTGAATTGGGCAGTCGATTTAGATATGAATGAATTTGAGAAACATATTTAACTAATGCAAATCAAGTAAAACTCAACCACAATTCCAAATATTTAATTTACACCAATTGATATAGTTAAAACTGATTAATTTGATGGTCAAAAGACTGTAAGTTCATTTTTCTCATAAAATGAGTAATATAAAATAAGAAGTTTCTCATAGAATTCTAAAATAAAAGATCTCTACTCATTCAGTGAAAAAATAAACATTTTTCATCCAAATTATTAAGACTCCATAAAATATAAGATTTCATAGTCGCGGTTAGATAACTAACATTAACAAAAAAGACAACTAGCATAATAGCAAATAATAAAATAATCTCCTGTAGTAAATATGCTGACTAGAAAAATGATTTTTGAGCAATAACCTCAAAATTCCAAAAAAAAAACCAAGTCTTTTAGATTTAAAAATTGATTTAGAATTTTTCACAATTGTTTTTAATTTTTTTAAATTGATTCTCATAGCTTATGATATATCATACTCCTATTTAAGTTATTAACAAGCTCAATGTATTAGATTGCATTTGATTTAATAATTATTAGAAATTAATTTACATTTCTTGAACTTGTAAAACTAATCACGTCATTAAATACTGAATTTATCTCACTATCTTAGTATACTTTATTCATCAACGCCCTTTCATTAGACTTCAATTTTATTAAAATTGTTTTAATACCAAAATGGAGTCCCTTTTTTTTCGTTCTGTGTATGACGTAAATCATAATATAATTAACTGTTTGATAATAATTTATAGTTTAATTTTGATTAACTAAATTTACCACAAATTTTCCTTATCCATTTGATAATATATAATGATTAATATATTGATTTTATTTTCTATATTTGCCTAAACATTTATTTCAAGTACAAAAAAACTTCAAATTTAAAAGAACCTATTATAGACAATAGTAGATAATAAATGCTTTTTTGGAACACAGGAATAAGTTAATTTTATAGAAACATAATTATAAACTACTTTACTCATAAGTCAAAATTTTAATAAGAATTGTAAGAACTCTATACTTTAATTATGGGAAATATCTGAAACATTTTAGTATGGAAATTGGTGTGGGAAAAATTATGGTGGTTTTAATAATGATTGTAGAAAATTTTGTGAAATTGACTTGTTTGTACCGAACGACGATTGTGTGAATTGCAATTAACCTATTGATTGGGTGGATGAACAGTGTATGTATCATGATTTTTGTATGACCAGATTTTAATCTAAAGGAATTGGTTATGGTATGGCCTGCTCAGATTCTATTAATCTAGGCAATCCTTTTCCATCACCTTGCAATTGCGCTTAAAATTTAACTGAGCATTTGAAATTAAATTATCTAATTGAAAAATGTCAATCTGATGTAGAATGTGAAATGAATGGAGAAATTATATAAAATTTCTTCAATAGTGAATTGTTAAAATGTTCATGTACTTATGTATAATGCAATAATAACACCATTGATTCAAATGGAGATCCTATTATTATAGATGACCCAATAGAGTGCTGGAATGCAACTGCTTGTGTCACACCTGAATAGTGTACAAGTTTAAATGGAGTATGACTAGAAAATTTTTATTTAAATATTGTAAGAATAATAAACTTGATACATAAGTCCTATCTCTATATGAAAAATTATAGTATTTTGGTTTAAGTTACATAAACTCTATTAAATTTTTTTAAAGTTTATATAATTGTCTTAATGCAAAGCAACATCTTTTTTTCGTTAATTAAATTCTTAAGGATTTATAGTCACACCCAAAAAACGAAAAAATCACAAATATTGGTTATTTTTAACTTAGAGAATACACATTTATTTGATATTAATAGACAATACTATAAATCATGAAAATATTGATTTTGCAATATAAATAAGTATCTCAATATAACACAAAAATCCGACATATTAATCATTTATTTAAATAATTTTTGGTACTTGTTAACATCATTTAAGCTTTGATGGGCTCTTTTAAATAGATGTATAAAGCACTGAAAAAAATTGATATATTATATGGTGTTTATTATTATCATATATGAATTAAATGATTAATTTTATTATTCAAGAAAGCACTATAAACTTTGATAAGTATTTCATTAACAAACCTGGGCAGACTTGTTTAAGATCATTGTATTTAAATTCTGTTCCAACTGGATTAACTCCATCAGCTCTCTATTTCCATTCTAGACGAAACATGTAGTTTTCTAATTTTGAATTAATAATTTCCGATCTTTATCCAACCAAAATATGACTTGATATATGGGAAGGTAAATCACATCGAAACTCTCCTCGAATTTGTTTAATAATGGGTAAATTCAAACCTTATTAATCTTCAACCTTTAATCTTCTTGAATGCTATTTACTTTATGTGTTTTATTTTCCCATCGTATAAATATTAATTAATTTTTGAAATGCATTTTTTCGTTGTTTAATTTCAATACTTCTTTTATAAAAGAATCAAATGATTGCTATTTCATTATGATTACAAAAAAAAATATTATTTTTGGAACCTAATACNGACTTGTTTGTACCGAACGACGATTGTGTGAATTGCAATTAACCTATTGATTGGGTGGATGAACAGTGTATGTATCATGATTTTTGTATGACCAGATTTTAATCTAAAGGAATTGGTTATGGTATGGCCTGCTCAGATTCTATTAATCTAGGCAATCCTTTTCCATCACCTTGCAATTGCGCTTAAAATTTAACTGAGCATTTGAAATTAAATTATCTAATTGAAAAATGTCAATCTGATGTAGAATGTGAAATGAATGGAGAAATTATATAAAATTTCTTCAATAGTGAATTGTTAAAATGTTCATGTACTTATGTATAATGCAATAATAACACCATTGATTCAAATGGAGATCCTATTATTATAGATGACCCAATAGAGTGCTGGAATGCAACTGCTTGTGTCACACCTGAATAGTGTACAAGTTTAAATGGAGTATGACTAGAAAATTTTTATTTAAATATTGTAAGAATAATAAACTTGATACATAAGTCCTATCTCTATATGAAAAATTATAGTATTTTGGTTTAAGTTACATAAACTCTATTAAATTTTTTTAAAGTTTATATAATTGTCTTAATGCAAAGCAACATCTTTTTTTCGTTAATTAAATTCTTAAGGATTTATAGTCACACCCAAAAAACGAAAAAATCACAAATATTGGTTATTTTTAACTTAGAGAATACACATTTATTTGATATTAATAGACAATACTATAAATCATGAAAATATTGATTTTGCAATATAAATAAGTATCTCAATATAACACAAAAATCCGACATATTAATCATTTATTTAAATAATTTTTGGTACTTGTTAACATCATTTAAGCTTTGATGGGCTCTTTTAAATAGATGTATAAAGCACTGAAAAAAATTGATATATTATATGGTGTTTATTATTATCATATATGAATTAAATGATTAATTTTATTATTCAAGAAAGCACTATAAACTTTGATAAGTATTTCATTAACAAACCTGGGCAGACTTGTTTAAGATCATTGTATTTAAATTCTGTTCCAACTGGATTAACTCCATCAGCTCTCTATTTCCATTCTAGACGAAACATGTAGTTTTCTAATTTTGAATTAATAATTTCCGATCTTTATCCAACCAAAATATGACTTGATATATGGGAAGGTAAATCACATCGAAACTCTCCTCGAATTTGTTTAATAATGGGTAAATTCAAACCTTATTAATCTTCAACCTTTAATCTTCTTGAATGCTATTTACTTTATGTGTTTTATTTTCCCATCGTATAAATATTAATTAATTTTTGAAATGCATTTTTTCGTTGTTTAATTTCAATACTTCTTTTATAAAAGAATCAAATGATTGCTATTTCATTATGATTACAAAAAAAAATATTATTTTTGGAACCTAATACAACATTACTAATATTATTCAGAATTTGCTTTAATTATCGAAAATCTTGAAGAATAATTATTCTATTATAACTTTGTGTTTAATAAGCTCTAATTAGAATTTCTTTTTTTCTAAAAAATGCCCATATTTATTCTTTAATCGACCAAATATTTTTTAGGACTATCTATTTTAGTTGTATTTTTCATATTTAAATCAATATTAAATCTAATTTTGCTCAACTGTTCTAGTAAATTCGCCTTTATTTAAACAATAAAGTTATTCAAAAAAAAGAATTCTTAATTCAACCTAATTCGTAAAATATTTTCATCCTATATTTATCATTTTCTTTTATAAGCAAATTAAATTCTGTTTTTGATGAGTTTTTTTAAGTTAATTCTTTATAGATTACATTTAAAGAATCTGTATTTTTTTAATTGAATAAATTGAATTTCTTGTTTTGTTTTGTTTTATTTCACCAAGTTAGCATCAAAGAAATCAAATTAAACCATTCATAATGTAAGTAACTTTATTTATTTATTATTTGATTTAAAAGTATAATACTGATGGAAAAAAAAATGTAAAATCTTAAATATTATTACCTATTAACATTAAGGGTAATAGTCTATCGAAATAGTGATAATTTATATCAAGTGATGATCCAGATTTGGATTGAGAAGAAGATGGACTATATTAAATTTAATGGGTGTTCTTCTTCAAACTTGTTCAGTTTTTTTTATAAGAAATAATATTTGAGATTGTTTTTCGATTTATAAATACCTCCCCTGAATAGTTTGATTGACTACATTATAAGGTGTAGAATTTCATAAGTGATTTAGCAAAACATGGAAAAAATTAATTGCTTGATCATCTTAGAACAATCTTATGTAAAATGAATAGTAGAAAGGAGATTTAATTATTAAATAATATTGTAATAATAATCGAATCATCATTTAGGAGGATGCTGTTATGCTTATTTTTGCATTTCATGTGTAGCTGAATCAAATTATGTTCTCTAAATTGTATATATCAAGAAATACTTCTTAAGTTTTTTTCACTAATGCGCCTTTCTTTTTAGGTCCATCCTTATATTTCTCAGCCATTAATCTTGCTTATTTCTACATTTCATCTTCACCATCCTATGTATTAATCATAAATATACCATTTTTTCTTTAGAAACAATTTAATAAATTAATTATTGAAATTATATAGTTGGAATGTAATTAAAAATGACTGATATAATATTATTGAATTTCTTTAAATATAAAATATGACACTAATATGAAAAAAAAATAAAATAATTCAGTTTTAATATTCAAATTATCTGGTTGGGATATCGCATTTATAATCCATAATTTTTTATTGTAAATTATCTTGATATATCAAAGGATTTTATTTTTATGATGAAAAAATTCTAGATTTTATAGGAGAAACATCTTATTAGGAGATCATTTAAGATTAAGCAGGTTATTCTTATTAGTTATTTTGTTATTGTTGTAATGGTTAAATATTTGTTTAAACTCCTTCTTTTTTAGGAACTTTTGGAGGCAACTTAGAGGAATTGTTTTATAAATTTTGTTAGCTTTAATTTATGGAAGCAGTTTTTGGCTAATTTAAACCAGAAAATTTGTGAATTTCCTCTTGTTGTTACTTAATAAGATTGACATTTTTATTGATTTTCATATCGTTTTAATACCATGGTGCTTACACAACAAATTAATTTTAATCCTCATTATTATATGACTCCTTCTCAATTTTTACAAGATTTGAATAATATCCTTTTGTATTGGCATTCATAGCATGTTATAATTATTTTGACAAATCTTGATTTCTTCTTCTTTCTAAATCTTCTTGAAGAGCTTATTATTAAATTTACTGTATTTCAGTTTTCTATTATTAAACATGAACTTTGCTGTTCGATCCATTTGAGGAGACATTAATTTAAGAATTCTAAATTCGTTGAATTTATGACTTTAATGATTGAGTATCAATAAGCACCCCTGAATTCATTGAATGTTGCAGTTCCTCCCATTCTCTTTTAGTTCCATAAACAATCTAAGGTTAAATAATCAGCATTACATAATCATTTTATATTGTATCATAATGTTATTTTTAACTGTCGTAAATTTTGCTTTGCTTTTTGAGTGTCTCATTTACATAAGGGTTGCTGCTATTATATAAGGGGATAATTGGCTTAGATCTATAATTTTGAGTAGAATTTTTGAGTTTATCAGGAATTCTTGAGATGGATAATTAAGAAGAATTTTGACCAGTCACTTCTGCACCCAATATCCTTGAATATTCTATGTTAGAAGGTAGTGTTTCGACTTCAGGTTTTGGAATTTTAAAGTATGGATTTTAAACTGTTGTCAATAAGCGGAAGCCTTCAAAAACCATACATTCAGATAGAGAATTATTATTACTCAATAAGTTGGTTCTTCTAACTAAGGCCTTAAATGCTTATGGTTTAAATGGAATTTAAGCTTTATTCATCAACTATTCGATATATTAGAACTCTATTTCTCCATTACCATGAGCATCCAAGATATTAAACATTCCAACATGATTATAAGCCTTATCAGTATTTAATTGCAATCGAATTTGTTCCGATTTATCTTATAACTCTAATTCATATTATATTAATTTTGCAAATTATTTTAAGACATCAATATGAACTTTCTGCTATTAATTCGTTTCATAAATGAGTTTTCTTTTTTGGGCTTTTTACTTAGCCATAGGAATGGACTAGGATAATATAAGTTTCTTGAAAGTAGAATAATTAAATCCTTCTCCAGAATTCACTTTTTCTAGACTTTCTTATTTAGCTAATGGTACCTTTGATGTACCCTAAATTTAAGGTTATTTATTTTTAGAAATTGGAGTGACATCTTATGGCAGTGGATATTCATTGTTAAGTGAGTCAATTGCTTAGTCTTATTAGAATGCATATTAATTAACATGATATATTCTTTCTAAGCATTTAATTTGGTTGATATTTATTGGTGTTTAAGAAAAATCATTGAAAAATGATTATAAGGTTTAAAATTGAATGATTCCGTCTTTTGAACTGTTAATTATATTAATTATTAATGGGGCTGAAGTTTAAAGATCCTAAATACATATTTTTAATTTACTGAGAAATCGAAAAATTTTTATTTAGATTGATTTGAATTTTGAAGGGTATTTGGAGTGAAAGATTTTAGATAAGTGAATAACGCTTCTGGATAAAAATTAGAGTTATCTGATAATTCAAGTCCTTGGATTAAAATTTTGATTACTTATATTTTCAATATCCATGTCCAACTATCCAGTAATAGAGAATAGTTGCAATACTCTTATGATATTCTTGTCAATATTAGTTATTTAACTTTCGGCAATTTTAATCTATGAAAGTTGTTGGTTTGCATAAGGAATTTATATCATACGAGTGAATAAAATTTATTTATTATTAATTATAAAAGAATTCATTCAAATTTCGATATCTTATGAATAATTCATTTGAAGAATGTCATTTAGAAATAGGATACCATTTACAGAAGATTACTTGCTAAATTAATAGTTGAATGGATTCAGATTTCGAATAACTAGTTAAAAATTAAATATTACAATATTTATATTATTTTCTAAAAAATTATTCTCTAAAATTATTGTAAGTGATATAAATTAAAAACACTAGAAAAAATAGAAACAGCTTAAAATTTTAGTGTTAAACATTTAAGTGGTCAGTAGAGGAACAAATGTACTCACAAAAAGGGCCCTTGGGTCTAAAATAAAATAAAAATAAATTATAAATCGAGATTAAGTTAAAAAAGAAATCAAATATTGCAGATAAACTGAAATTTACCAAAATTCCTTTTAAATTATAATAAACTAATGGTTAAAATTTACATATATTGTATAATTTTATATCACTAACAACGAATTTAAGATTAGAAAAAATTATGGAATAAGAAAAATGTTTTGGCTTAGATATAAACAATGTTTAAATAACCAAATTGATTAAATAATAAAGAAGAAATAAGAAATTAATTATTTTTCAGGATCACTTTGATTAGGAAAATTTTAAAGAATTAAAAAGTCAATAGTGAAATGACTTTTTTGAATGTTCTACTAATTGAAGTTAGTTCAAATTGAAATTCATTCTTAAAATCTATAAAGATTAGAATAAACAAGGTCACATAAGAACTATATAAAGATTTGCATAAGCTGCTTTATTAATAGTTCGAGATCATAAAAGATGGGTATTCGAAAGGATATAAAATATCTAATTCTATTAAGATCCCTAAGAAGAGGAATTAAATACTGATTATGAAAAACTTAATGAAGGCTTAGAATTTAAATCAAAAATGGGCATAAATGAATAAAAGGCTGAAGATTAAATGATTTATAAACGAAATTATAGAAATAATAGAAAAATATAGATATTTAGAGAAACTAATTAATTAACCATCTTTTTGATGATATGAAGTGAAGCAAAGGTTAATGGTGTTATAGGGAAAATTGATTAAGGCTACAATATGAAGTTGAGAATTGAAAGAGGTATTCTTATTGATAACTCAGAATTTTTGGAAAGAAAAAGCTTTATATAATGGATTATAAAAGAGGTCTTAAGTTTCATAAATTAGATATGGTTGGGGAATTCTCCTCTTTTAGATATACTCAAAAGACATTATAAAGGATGAAGGCAGTTGGATTAGTTTAGATTAAACATAATTTAAATAGTAATTCTAGGAGGAATCATGATACATTTTGTGTTAATTAAAGGATTTTATATGACGGAGTTAAAAGATTAGAATTCATAAAGGAAGAGCAATAAAATATTGAAGTTATACCATTCAACATTTAATGGTTTCATTCCTTTATCCCAAAAGAATTTATGTCATAGAACATGAGGTATGTTTTTATGATAATTGAAGTATGGCTTTATAGAATAACAATTGATTAGAATATGAGACTTTATTTGTAAAATGACATTTTAGTATATTTTTCATTTTATACAATCTGATCTTCTACGAATGGCGACAACTTTATCAAAAAGAATTTCCAAGCTAAAATTTATAGGAAATTTCTTAAATTATTTATCTTTGCCTACTCCATCCAGTTCATCGCGTTAAAAAATTTATAATTATGGACTCATAATTACAAATGAAGTGTTAAGCCAAGCCTAAAACATTTTTTCTTCTCTAATCTCATTTAATTGAATATTTACAAAACAATTGATTTATGGAAAAATTGCACAACTACATCTCCACTTAGATATACTCCTTAAAATTTGAATATGGCACTGTATTATTTCTATTAATCCTAGTTTGTCAATATTGTTGGTTACTAGATTAACTATTTATTTTCATTTTATATTCTTATAAAAGGTTCTACAATTATAAAATTAAAAATCTTACTACAACCTCCGAAAATACCAAAATTTGGTATTCCGACTAATCTAACCTCTATCAACTCCACTGTTTTTGCTGGAACGTACAATAAATTCATTTTTAGAGCAATGTTAAAATACTCAACATATCTTGCTTAACTGGGTATTGTTACTCCTTCCTAATTTTATGTTCTAATCATTGCATAATATTTTAGAGCATCCTTTGATGAATCATATTATTTTGAGTAGAGCAAATAACAACTTATCATGGTTCCTGTTCTTCCTTTACCTGCTTTGCAATGTACTGCTACAACTCGATCTTGCTTTTTTAGCCATTTTGATACTGTCAAACAAAATGGTAATATGATTTAGAAGGGAGGAGGCTAATGATCCTCAAATGGAAATTCAACAACCTTATAAAACAAATCATGTCTATATTGCCTTTCTGAACATCTTATAATTTTAATTATCTTTATTACAGATTAATAACCTTGTATTTTTCTGGGTGTCTTGTATTCAAAAATCTCTAAACCTCATCTAATGAATTTCGATACAATGACTCAAAATTGTCTGCAGGATATCCCATAGCAATTATTTATGGTGTAATATCAATTATAATAAAGATAGATTACATGTTAAATCTAAATTAAATCCATCCAATTAAAATCTGTTTTTTTGTTTGGAGACTAATTCTTTAATAAATTCCTTTGAATGGGCTTTACGGGCATTTTTTTGAATCTATTGGTTTACCATGTTAACATCTAATACTAATTGTACAGTATTCTTATGTCTTTAATTAATTCTTTATTGTTGATCATCTAATTCTTTATTTTATATTATTTACTCTATTATTCAATTTGATTTACACTAAAGCAATCCTCAGTAATTTCACTTAATGGAGGACATTTTATGGGACTATCATTCTAAGACTATATTACACATCTCAATTTTATTTATTACCAAAATTTCATCCATATTATCTAATTCGTCTTCACTAAACATGCAGTTTAAGGATGAAGACTAATCTAATTATTTTGGTTCCATTTTTTTCATAATTAAGAAAATTTTGATAAATTATTATAAACATGCAATTGCAATCAATCAGTAATATTTATTATATTATTAATAAAAAATGCTATATCGCAATCATCATCTAAATTTTCATAAATTTTTTCTGATTTCTTTCTAAACTCTTCGGTGAATTATAATTATGGATTTAGTTATTTCTATTCATATAAAGTTCCATATATTTCTTCAACTGTCTTCAAATCCAGTTAATCCATATCTTATTTTATTATATAATCAAATAAACATTCTAACATTCCTTTCTGGACTAATAACAACTATTATTATTGAGTGATATTTTGAAACATATTTATAATACATTGAATTATTTCTAGACTTCTTTGTTATGAATTATTATTTAGGGCAGTCTGAAATCCTATATATGCTTTACCTAAAATTCCTGAGTCAAAAATCATCTATTTTGTCTGTTATTTATTCGTAGTTAATAAATTTGAGAACAATGGATATATTAAATATTATTAACTTGATTGATGGTTTATTTAAAATAAAACCAACTTGAAAACATTTTAACTAATCAACTTTTCCATTGAGTAAGATGATGAAATCATGCTCAAATTTATTAAGAATTTATATCCTAATTCATGTATTTATTCGAACTCATATCTGAGTTAAACTAAGAAATTTGCAACGTTCATAACGATCTCTTTATCTATCAAAATGTTGAATAGCTAATAAGTTCTAGGTTTGTTCTCATCGATATTTAGTGTAATATTGTAAAGGAAATATAAATATTATTCAACACAATTATAATAATTTTAATCAGCATTTTAAGGTAGAAAACTTATGATATTTGATAATTAATAAGTGTCCTAAAATAATTAAGTTCCATATTATAAATGGCATATTCCAGTTATTAGACCGAAATATAAATAAATATAGTGCAGTATATTATAATTTTGTTGGAGGTTTAATTCATCATATTTGTGAATTAATATTTACGGGAATATACTTTATTATATTAAACAAATATATTCTTCTTATCTTTCCAACAAAATATTGATTATTAGCTTACATATGATTTCAAATTAGTTCGCATCGTATAAGTAATGTAAAATAGTAATAATAAGTAGAACTATTTATTTAAATTACGCTGATTATTTACTCAAAGTTAATTTAGATGATAATTATGACACAAAAATTAGAATGTGGTTTAGTAAATCAAATAGTTTTTGATCAAAATCAAGTGTGTTTTCATTTTCTTCCAAATCTTAAAATGTTTGTTGAATATCTTACAAACAAATGATAATAACGCTTAAAAAGTCATCTGTCATCCAATTATCTTATTCATTTAATTAGATATATTATAAATTGAAAAACATGAAGGATAAAAAGGACTTTAGGGTCGGATTGATTGAATAATCATAACATAATAAGTTTTTTGCATTTGTGAATAACTGTGACAATACTTTTTAATCAGATGCAATGATTTTAGATTCTAAGGCTTACTGAAATATCTAGTCCATTGGTGTTTACCAATCTTATGAGTTTGATGACTCATTGAATAATTGGCGCTTTTATTAGAATATTAATTCATTTTATTTCCTCCTAATTTAAACTCTAAACATTTCTCTTTTCTTGAAGATCATTTCTTATTCTGAGTTCATTTTAATGAGATTTTATAATTAATTATATTATATACAAACGATCATTTAAGTTTCTATTTCTTTAACCTTTGAGCTTATTTTCCACTTCTAACATGCCCTAACTTATTTTTTAAATCCTTAATTTTGCTTTTAATTCTTGATTCCTTATTCTTTTACTCAACTTTCTTAGCTCTCATCATTTGTAATGGTTTATTCTTTTATTTTTCCTTATTTGAGGTTGACGCAAATTCTGATTTCTTTTTGTTAGGACCTTGATACCTTTAAATATAACTAATTATATTACCATTTTTCTTTAGTTCCATTTTTCAATTCTTCTAACTTTTCATGTTTTTATTCTGATTTAGTTTTTCTATATCTCATTATATCTTCTTCTCTTACATAACCATGAGGATTCTCATCTGACATTTAACTTTCATCTGAATAATATTCTTAAACAGAATCTTCTTCCAAATCTGATAATGATTATCTCCTTTTTTTATTTTATTCTTTTGTGATTTTACTATCAGGTTTAATATCATCATCTTCAATATCTTCATCTTCTATACTTTCATCTTCCCATTCTTCATTTTCATTCTCATTATCATCTAATTCTCCACTATCTCCACTAATGTCCGAAATATCATCTTCATCATTATCTAAAAATTCTTCATCATCTTCTTCTTCTTATTCAATTTATGCATTTTTTTATTATTTTTCTTATTGTTTAGCTTATTCGATTTCAGCTTCTTACTTTCTTTTCAATGCTCTAATTCTTTTAAAATCTTCGTCTGTCAATATTCTATCACAATAGATAGGAATATCGAATTTCTTATTCAATTTCTCTTCTTCCTCCTATTATAATAATTCTGCTCCATCTATACCTATGGTTATTTATTACATAAAATTATCATCAAATTCACCATCCAACTCTTCAGTGCTCTTCCATTTATTACCTCTTAATCTTTTATCTAATAATTAAGGATTTGTATCTTTGAAATGATTCAATATAGATCTTGCAGCTTAACTGACATTTCTATTTTTATATTTTATATAATGAATAAGATAGGTGATGTTTTCTTTATCTAAAATCTTTGGGTGCTTTTATAATATTTCATATATTCCTCTTAAGCCCATTGTTAAGGTTAATTCTTAACATCTATCATTCACAAATTGATCAATTAAATGTCTTATTGTTGGTTGTAAATCTTCCTTTGGAATTTAATCATGTATAGATTCAGCTAGGTAAGCAAATAACTTTGCCACATCCTTACTATTTGGATATAAATGTTTTTATATATAAGTATAAAAGGGTATTAAAAGTAATTTATGCCTATGAATTAATCTGGATATCAGATGCATCATAGCTAATTTAACAGAGAATCTTTCGCTATCATGTTTTTTTAGATTATCAAATAATCTTTCAGCAAAATCTTAGGGAGAGTATATTTGATCTAAAGCAAAAAATCCTCCATTGCTATTCAATCTTGATAATTTCTTTCGTTATTTCTTATCTGCCATTTTTTTTTCTCTTTCTACTCTATGTTCTCTAGCCTTTGTAGGTTTAACACATTTATTTTTTCCTTTTTTCTAGATATATTTATCCGCTTCATCCTCTGAAGACTCAATTTCAACATGAGTCTCTGTGGTTTCTATTAAAAAATAACAAGCCAATAATTTAATTTTGTAATTTTAATTAAAACAACCTTAAGCAATAATATTTACACATTTATTGTCTTTCCAAATATTTTTTCTATATAACTCAATCATTATTTATAATGCTCTTTTAGCTATATTTTCTTGTGATTTCTTAATTAAATCAATTATAAAATTCTAAGTTATTAAAGATCTATACTTAGATTTATTTATTTAATGTTTCATTTCGATGTTTCTTATTAAACTATTTTATGTCTTTAATAATGAATCTAAAGATTATTCTCCTTAAATCCTTATCTTAGCAATTAAACAATTTCATCAAAAATACAATCATTCGGAAAGGCTCAATTAAATTCTTTCCTCGTAATCTCAACAAACAAAATATGATTTTTTTTCTTAAACCTTAATTCAATGTATTTTAGAAATGATTAATGAGTTCCATTAAATCTTCAATATAAAATTTTAAGTCTGTCTTATAATATACAGCCACTTTTGATAGAAATTAAGCAATTATACTAAATTTACCATTACTTTAACCAGGATTTTATTTAACTAACTCAAATTACTATAGGATAGGATTAAAAATGTACTTGTTTATAAAGTTCCACAACACCTAAGACTTCTTTCACATATAGGTCAGGAGCTTTAAACACTTTAAGTTATAGAGCCACAATTCGTTCTAATAGTTATCTGCACTCTTCCTTATATTCTTTGGATTTGGTTGAAACACTTTAGAACACATTTTCTGATTAATTCATAATTAAAATTATTAAATATGATGACTTTAATATATATTATAAATATATGTTCATGCTTACTCTAATTTTTTATTAACATAGTCCTCGATTTCATTATATTAGTGTTTTTTGATTACCAAAGAGAGATCATACCAATCACACATTTTTAATTCTGAATCAAATTTAGCTTATTTAATCCAGGATTCTAATCTATGTAAAGCTGGCTAAATAAAAGCCAATTCGAATTCCTCTGCTTTTCTTTCCAGAGTCAACATTTAATGTAATAAACTTGGTAGATTTTATCGCGTAATTGATAAATCCTAAAGTTCCTAATTATTAATTTAATCACAAATAGATTTCATTATCTAAATTTATTGTAACTATTTACTAAAAATTGATGACCCTATCTCATTTCTTGGATATCCTAAATGTAGTTGATAATTTAAATTCCATCAGTTATCGATGCGGTGTCAGTTTCCAATTTTCTAAAAATGGCATTTTCTAATAGATCTATACAAGACCTATCGTGCTTATTGTCATCAGTCAAGACCCATAATCCTTTAGATACAGACATAAGTTGTCTCCATTTAACTGGATCTACTAAATCTAGATATCCCTCTTTCTGAACTAATTTATCTCTATAACTTGAAATTGATCTTTTGTAATAGAAGGCATCTTATTATAAAAATAATCTAATCAATCTATTTAATGGTTCAATTAAAGTGTAATCGTCCAAATCCTAATTTGTTTCCTCATCGTCTTCTTCGTCTTCATCTTCTTAAACAAAATTGAAAATATCCCTGGCTTATAATAGATTTGTAAAAAACACTTCACACACTAAATTGATATATTATGATAATATGTCTAATTGTTCAAGTGAATATCCTATTTATCTATTTTCCAATTTACTCAATTCCAAAATAGTCATCTTTAAATGTGCTTTTTCTATTCTATCGAATTGTCTTAACATATTTATAGCTTTATAGTATTCTAATCTTTCATCCACAAATTAAGGTGTTACTTTTTTAAATTGAAATATAGCATCCTCTATTTTATTGTGAAATTCCAAAATATCATATTGATTGACATGTAATAAATGTAAATATTTGAGATATATATGTAGTTTGTTTGTTCTCTAAAATAATGCGAATGTACTTTCATTTCTAATCCATTGAAATAGATCCTAAATACCTTCCCATCTTATAATTTATAGTTCAGTAATAGTGTTAAATACATGAAATATTTTTATGGATTTATTAATTCTAATATTATCATCCTTTTCAATTTTATCAATCGCAAATTCCTTACGCAATATTTAATTAGAATTTTCCAAAAATTAACAAAATAATATCTTATTTTCAACTAATCCCAATCTACCTTCCCATATTTTTGTGTAATATTCTGATAAAATATCTAATTTAGTATATTTCTAATTCTCCTCCATTAGAGCATTTAAAGCTTCACATAATACAATATTTGCCTCTTGTTTATAACTACTTGTGAAAGGGTAACAAGTAATTAAATTTATTTTTTATATGTTCCTTATTAATTAAAATTACTTCAATAATTTAATCATTAATATTTCTTATCAAATATATGATTTTAAATACTTGTAAATTTATTACTTGATTTATTTAGAATTGCGATAAGAAAGATAAGTAGATATAATTTACAAAGTAACTAGACTAGAATTCAAGCTTTCACAGAATCTATTTTCCTATGTCTTTTTCGGTTTAAACTAAACTTGACTAATCCATTATGAGTTAATATAAATTAATTATAGTCTAAAAACAATGTACATCCTTAAATTCAAGTTAATCATTATCTTCTGCTTCTACTTAAGGTGGAATGTGAGTATTTTTTTAATGGAGGTTTAACGATTTGTTCAATATTCAGACTTGAAGAAGCAAGCAGTTTCTTTAAGACTATAATATTTTGTTATTTAAGACTAGACATATCCATGGTATCTGGAGTTTAAATTTATTCATTGAATTGTAATTCTGTTTGTTAGATCTATGCTTATTTTAAATATAAATACTGATAATCCAACAGTTGGTTACTTATTCTTTTATTTCTATAGATTGCATCCCATAGTAATCTTTAAAACAGTTTGAATTAATAATAATGAATTTTACATAAGGGTGTTAAAAAGAAATATCAAAACACAATACATTAATATAAATAAAAATATCTTATTAAATTGAATTAATATTTTATAGAAAATTATTAACATTGATTTTATTGAAATAATGATATTAAAATTATCGATTAATTCATATATCTTCTCTTTAAACAATTAATGTCACTAACCTCAAAATCAGATAATATTAGATATCAAAGGAATATATATAAACAAAAATAATCATTTAATTCAAGAATATAATTACTAAAAATATGAAATAATGATTTAATGTATCATAATTTTTGTTTTAATAAAATTATATATTGATTTAATGCCAATATTTTAATCCATTTTATGGCTCATAATGAGGAAAGAAAATGAAATTTCAAATTGTTGATGATAAGTTGTAAAGCTTGTGCAAAAATGGACTAAATCAATAAACGTATATTTGTTATGAAATACTAGACCATTATCTTATTCAATAGCATAATCTAATGTGTTATATATTGTAATTTGAGAAAAATAAGGATAAGAGATCTATATTATTTATGCTAAATTGAATTTCATTATTTATTAATTTAACAGCTATATATATACGAATTCATTTTCTAAAATAATGATAATAATATTGAAATTGGAGCATTTATTTCAAGTGGCTTGTTTATATTTAAAGAGTAGAATTATTAAAATTCAGGAAAATAATTTTTTAGATCTAAGATTTCTGCATATTTTTAGGATAGATGTGGAAATTAATATTTAGTGCAATTTACTTTAGGTTTTCAAGGTTGAAATTGGTATTCAACAATACTTTTTCATTATGAAAGCATTCACTAAATAAGAAATATCTTAATTCATTATGATAATTAGAAATATATATTAATTTAGTTAATCTTAGAAAAATAATGGATAGAAATGGCTATCTAAATGATAAATCTCTATTTGGTGCTAGCTCGAGTAGATCTATTTAGAGGAAATAAACTTCTAAAGTAGGTAGTTAAACATCTCGAAGCCATTATAATACCAGCATATGTGAAAATGAAAGGGGAACCTAGAATTGTAAAAAAATATTGACTGAATTTTTGGAATAAACTCGAAATAGATAATGTAAGTTCCAATATTATTTGATAGCAACATTTTAGTTTTTAGATCAGCGTAATAAATAATCTTAAAATCAATTGCGGACGACATAGAATTCATCTGGATTTAAAATTAAAGGTTTAGGAACAACATATTAAAGAAAATTAGTGTCTGTAATTCCATTTGAGAAGGGAGTCACAATCAATTCAGATGAAAACAAAAGAATGTTGATTAAAGAGGCTGAAAGATAATTTTTATCTTAAGTCAATGGTTTAAATAAATAAGAGGTGTTATCTAAAATGGAATTATTTATAACAACTTAATTACAAGAAGACTTCAAAGAATTAGGATAGTTATTTTAAATATTTATGAGAGAAGTGCAATTAAATCATATGGGTATATATAAATTACAGGCAAATAATTTCAAGTAATCAGAAATCTATTAGAGTAATGAATTGGAAGGAATTATTAAATAGTAAAAGATTGAGATCCTGTTTCTAAAAGAATAAATAGAGGAATTAAAAAATGACAGTAATAAAATCAAGATGGAAAGTTCTAAAATAATGGCTGAATAACGAGATTAGCTTAATAATGAACGCAATTTAGTAAAATAACTGAAATAAAAGAACCTTGAGTTTGAGAGCAAGGCTAAAAAATATAGACTATTAGATTTAGACAATTAAGCTATGTAGGTTAAATTATAATTTTATGAAAACAAAATACAGAAATTGGATAAAAGATAAAGTAAAGGATCAGAATCTCCTTTGGGTAAAGATAAATCATTAACGTAATTGAATTAATTGATTATCTAATAATAATAACAAACAAGTAAGAGATCACTTTCATCTAATAATACTCTAAATCATGATAGTTATTCATTGAATTAGATTCAAATTAATTAGGAGAAAATAATAGAAATAAGATCCATAGAGATTTAAGTTGAGAATGATTTGCTAATAAATTATTATAAAGATTAAGAAGTTTAAACAGATCTTTAATTGATTGATTTCAAGTATGAAGATATTTCACAAGAAATTATAAATTTGGCTTTAGAATTTAACAGTTTTAATTAATAGAATAATTATTAAATAAATTTAGATGAGATGATATAAAATTAAACTGAATGCACAAATACTCCATTAAATTATGAAATCCTTTCTGATTCATCTATAAAATCTAATGGTAATCATTAAAACTTATTTAGATTTCAAAAACATTAAACCATAATCTTAATAAACTACCAGATAATCAATAATGCATCGATAATCTATAAAATAATCAACTCATAGACCACCTGAATTTAAACAGAAATAGATAGTTTAATTCATCAATTTTCAGAAATTTAGAATCACTCAATTGAATAATTAGATTGAGGAATTAAATTAATAATTATAAGAGAATTATTAGAATATTGATGGAATAACCAAATTAAATTAGAAACTTGAAATTGATAATTTATAATTGAAGCTCAACATTAGTGAGATAACAGGGAAAATATAGTAGATCAAATCAGATAAAAATTATATTGAAAATTAAAATTTAGAGAATGCTTAAATAAAATTGGTAGATGTCAAAGCAGTTGGAGGGAACAAGCAAAAAGAAATATCATAAACAACAGTAGGAAAAGGTCCATTATTAGGATAGAGAGTAATAATATTGATTTTATATTAGATAACAATATCATATGACTTTTAGAAGAATTAATCCAAATTTTTAATTGAGAAAATAAAACAAAAAAAAATAGGTTAGATATAAAATACAATCCCTATTAAATTAGTATTAAAATATATAACAACCTTGTACTAAGAAAAACTTTAAAGTCAAAAAGAAAATAAATTATTGAAAGATTAAGACATGGCATCCTTTATATATAATTATTATTTAAAATAATTTGGATACACAAAAGTCACCGAATAAAAATTTTTGATTCTGTTAATCTCGATACAAAAAAATATTGCCATTGTGAGAGTAAATGTTTTTGCAAGGTTTTTAGGATTATTGGAGGATAGCTCTAATTTCAGTCTAGAAGAATAGAAAAAATATTTAGAGGCATTGGATTTAATTAATAGTATGAGTAATTATGGCACAACTATAAAGAATAATGAAGCTAATACTCAATAATTTGTTCCTTATATCAGAGCTTTAGCTTATTTAGAATCTTTATATTATTTTAAATCTCAAGATAAATACATATAGCTTAAAAAAGAATTAGACTCAATTGTAGAGAAGGATGTTGCATAATAAAATAGAGATGGAGTCTTAGATTTTGATTAGATGATGCTGAAGGTATTAAGATTATTTAGAGATAATGTATAAAATATATAAACATTTGTAATAAATGCATTTAATGCAAGCGATTTAGATGGGAATGGCATGTGTAATTTAGAAGAATGGTTAACTTTAAATAAATATATTGAGAATAAAAAATATGATCAAGTTAAATTATCTAGCAAATTTTAAGAAAATGCTGACTTGGTATGTGATGGAGAGAAATATCTATCATTCGATCGTTTTTCAATTCTTTGCTTAGAATTAGATATATTTAGCGATGATTCATAGAATAATTTCTTGAAAGTTTAAAGTATAAATCGTAAATATAGATTAGATAACGAGGAAGTTGAATAGAAATTTGGATTGCTGCGAGAGAATTGGGCTTTTGAATATTAAACTTAAATAGACAAGATTAACCAATCTAAAATAGATGAGGAATTTAAAAACAAATGGCTTGAAATCTTGTCTGTCTTGGATGATCATATAGTAAGTAATCCTGAATAAAAGAAACCAATTTTAATAGCATGGTAAATTTATTTGTTGGAAACAGAATAGTATTTTAATAATTAACATGAAGAAATTTAAGAATGATTATAAATTATTAATATAATTATGAGCAATTCCCGAAAAAGGTTAATTCGTAATTCTCCTGAGAACAAATCAAATCATACAGAAGTTTTATCAGATATTGAAGAAGAGTATAATCTTAACAATTATAAGTACGATGCCAAAAGCAAGAATGCTTAATAAAAATAAAAGGAACAATAATAATAGGTTTAAAAATAAACTCAATAATCAATAGGGGAAAAATAAACACCACAGATTTCTGATGTGTTTCCTAATCAAAATTAATCCAAAACTAATTAGCCCTAAAATTAATCGTAATCATAATAAAAACCATCCGCTCAAAGATAACCTATTTAACCTAATTAACAAAATCTATTTTAATTTTTTGGAAAAAGTGTTCTCCTTAATCCCTCCTAAGGCTCATAAGGAAAATTAAAGGAGTCCATAATAAAACGATCTAATGACATTAATGTTGATGATATTAATATTCAAGAATAATTTGAAATAGAGAGAAAAATCTTAGAGTAGAATAAGAATAAATAACAATCTTAGTAGCAAATTCAACCATAATCATAATAGCAATAAACATATAGACAAAAACAAGAGACATGTTAGGATAGTGGAAATGAAATAATTGAAAAATTAAAAAGAATAGGTTTGGATAAAAATAATAACAGCACATCCCCTAGACACTTAGGACCTAATATTAAATAAAATTTTGAAATTTAGATTGAATAATAACCATAAGCTAAAAAAAAGAAAGGAGCTGTCAATATTACATGGGAAAAACAAAACTCGAAAGTCTTAAAACCAGAAAATAAAAAGTAAATTGAATAGGAACATTAACCAGAATTTAAAAACGATCCAGATTTACTTAAGGGTTTAACAATTGTTTTGAGTGGTTTATTAAATGTTTGCAGTAGAGATAAGTTGGAATAGTTCTTAAAGAACAATGGAGCTAAGGTCACTGGCAGTATTTCTGGGAAAACTAGTTATTTAATTGTAGCAGACAAGTTAGAAGATGGAAGAAAAGGAGAAGAAGGCAATAAATTTAAAGATGCTACAAAAAGAGGAACAAAGATTATAAGAGAAAGTGAACTTAATGATTGGCTAATTGATAAAATAGGTGTTGGAATGGAAGAGATTTTTCCAGACTCGAATTTATCTAAATTATACAAGAAATCAGGATCCAAGAAATAGGATTAGCCAGAGAATGTAAATTTAGATCATGATAAGAATCTTAGCTTAGCTGATAAATATATGCCAAAATCATTGTCTGATTTAGTTGATAACAAATCAAGTGTAACTCAATTGAATGATTGGATATACAAATTCTAACATCCAAATTCAGCAGAGGAATAAAATTAGAAATAGAAGAAACGATTCATTCCCTTAAAAATGGGTAGATTCTAACCTGTTGGAAATATAACGTATTTATATATTTATAAATTAAGGTCTAAAGCATGCATAATAAGCGGTCCTCCAGGAATTGGAAAGACTTCAATGGTAAGATTAGTAGCTGAAGCTTTAGGATTGAAATTGATAGTAAACAATGCATCAGACAAGAGAAATAAAGGAAGTTTGAGATCTGTATTAAATGATTTGGTTGACAACAGTGTGCTTATGAATCTTTTTAGACCAAACAAGGATTTTTTAATTGTAATGGATGAAGTGGATGGAATGACTGGATCAGATAGAGGTGGAATATCAGCTTTAATAGAATGTATAAAATCCACTAGAGTTCCAATTGTTTGTATTTGTAATGATATTGATAACTAAAAATTAAAATCATTGTTAGCTCATTGTTATAGCATTAAATTTTAGAAGCCAGATGCTAAATCAGTTGCAAAAAGATTAAAATATATTTGTGAATAAGAAAATATTAATATGAATCTTGAAGATCTCGAAAAATTGGCTGTATGTTTTGATTGTGATATCAGATAAAGTATTAATATGTTGGAATTGTAAAAATTATAATCAAAAGCAAAGATGTTTTAGCCTAATGCATTCAAAAAAGATAAAGTTTGTGTTTTTAATACATTTAATGCTGCTTTAAGTTTACTCAATAGAAATCAAAGGAGATAGATGTCTTTGAGAGATATGCTGGACATGTTTTTCTTAGATTACGATTTAATTCCTCTTATTATTTAAGACAGTTACATATTATCGCATCATTAAGATATTAATGATGTTGCAAAAGCAGCTGAATTAATAGCCGAAGGAGATATAATATCAAAGAAAATTCGAAGAGATTAACAATGGTCTTTAATGCCATCTTTTGGATTCTTATCCAGTGTTTATCCTTCATGTATTGTTGGAGAATAGATGGACTTTCCAAAATTTCCGTAATGGTTGGGAAAGAATTCAACTGCCAGTAAAATTAGAAGAGAAGGCCATTAAATAAAAAATAGAATAGCTCCAATTACATATTTGACATCAGATATCAGATTATACTCTAACTATTTGTTTTAGTTGATAAAACAGTTTTTAGAATTAAAAATAGTTCGAAATGATAAAGATGCTGTTTGGAATGTAGTTTAAATTATGGAAGAATATCGAATTACTCCTGATTAATTGAAGGAAGATCTCCATGATTAAGTATTCAACCCATTGAAAGATAATTTATTGAGTACTATTAATGCTCAAGTAAAAACGCAATTAACCAAAATGTATAATAAAAGACATTTAATTTTAAAGGAAAAAGCAGCTAAAAGATAAGTCAATGCAGAAAGATATTTGGTATATATATTAAATGATATTTTAGAGTGAAAATTACAATCCTTTAATTGGTGAAGAAGCACCATTAGTTGAATAGTCTTAAAAAGAAATTGAAGAAGAATAAAACAAAAATGAAGAAGAAAATAATATAGGTTCAAAGGTTAAGAAAACAAAAAAACAAACTAAGAAATAAACTAAAAAAGGGACAAAAAAAAGATAATTAGATGAAGAGAAGTCAATTGATGAAGAATCTATAGGATCGATGAATAATTTTATTGTTGATGATGAAGATGAAGAATGATATTATAATCATCTACAAACTCGGAACACGTATAAATTAAAAATATTATTAAATTACCATTTTTAGTTAATTAAATTCTAATAATGGAATCTCTCTTTTATAAATCTTATTTAATATTTCTGCTTTATATATATTTTTAATTTTAATGCAATAAGAGAAAGGAAGGATTTATTATGGAAGATTTGTACAAAAAGAGAAATTAAACCAAGGTATTAACAATGTTTGATAGAAAAGGGTCTTTCGGAGTTGTTTATATTTGCCATGATAAAGTTACTAGAGATTATGTAGCCATTAAAGTCGAAAAAGAAAACAGTGATTTAATGAGCTTAGAGAGAGAAATATAAATTATAGAAGAATTGAGAGGAATTGTTGGTGAACATATATTATTAATCTTCAGGAGTTCCAAAACTCTATTGGTATGGAAATGAATATAATTCAAATTGTATGGCAATGCAATTACTTGGAAAAGACTTAGCACACTTTTTAAAAAGATATAGAAAACTATCACTAAAAACAATTTGTAACTTAGCAGAATAACTGCTCACTATCATAGAAGAAGTTCATAAAAGGTTTATATATTCTTCTATAAAAGAGGTGTTATCCATCGAGATATTAAACCAGAAAACATTCTCATGGGAAGAGGAAATGATTCTCAATAAGTTTATCTAGTCGATTATGGTATATCAAAAAAATACCGTACCAATGGCTAACATATGTAAATACGTTCATTAATATATTAGATAATTTTAAGAAAACAAGCCTTTTATGGGAACTACTCGTTATGCTAGCATCTCAGCTCATAAAGGATATGAATTATCAAGAAGAGACGATTTAGAAAGTCTAGGATATGTGTTCATTTACTTATTAAAAGGTATTCTCTCTAGATAATCATTTAGGAATTTTACCATGGTAAAATATTACATCCTCCTCAGATAGAGAAAAAACTAAGTTAGTTGGAAAACTCAAAATGGAAATAGAAATGAGAGAATTATGTAAGGGACTTCCAACAGAATTTTAAAGATATATGGATTATGTATAGAAATTGAAATTTGCAGCTACCCCAGATTATAAATATTTATTTAGTTTATTCTAAAAGATTGCATAACAAAATGGAATCAATTTTGATAGAAAATTTGATTGGAATGATAATTAAACTAGTTCTACTAAATCTTCAGATTAAGCTTAATAATCTTTTAATGATATTGATGTTTCTAACTTACAAAGTGATTATCTAAAAATACCTGATTTAAAAAAAAGTGAAAAAAGAAAGTCATTTTAAATAGAATAATATAGTTCTTAATAATCATCTGTTGTGTTAAATTATGTACCTTCAGTAGTATCTAAAATTAATAGCAGACTGAAAGATAGTAACTGTCAAAGATCTCGCCAAAACTCAAAAAAGTCTCTCTCAAGAGAATCTTCTCTAGTTAGATAACCAATTGGCCAAAGGTTGTAAGGATAAATCTTTTAAAATGGTGAATTTAGAGATTTGGAAGATAGAGGAGATAAGTAATATCAGGATGAAGTAAAAAACAATCAAAAAAAAAAAGCCAGTAAATTCAATGATTTTGATGACTTCGATGATTTTGATGATCAATTAAATGATGATGTTGGAATCTAAACAAATCTGAAATAGGTAGGAGTAATCAAAGTTCACTTTAAAGAACATCTATCAAAGTAATGAAAAATTTTGTATTATATATTTTTCAAATACTCTAACAAGTTTTATTTTATAGTCACATCCTTCCTACAAATTATGATATCATCAAAATATCTTAATCAAAAGAGTAAATATAATTATACTTATTATAATTTATATAAGCTTTTTTTAGATTTTCTTATTGGTCCTAAATTAAAAAATTAGAAGAATTAATTATAATTTGTCATCTTTATTATAATTTCAATAAAAGCTATTATTATTAGAAATAATAAGGATAGGTACAATTTAAGGTAATTCTTTCTTTATATTATAATATAATATAAATTTATACCTATTAAATCTGACAAAACTATTTTATATTATTTTAGTCAATTAATTTAATGACAATTCAAATGACATAATCTAGTATAGATTTATGTTATAAAAAGAGAATATAATTTGTAAAAATTAGAATAATAATTTAAAAATATTTAACATTATACATAGAATGAATCGAAAATTCGACAACCTCAATGTTCAAACAAAGTTTGATTTTGATGCCATCATCTCCTAGCTTGATAATGGATCGCCTTTGGCTTAAATATATACAAAAAAGTTTTCAGGAATTAAGAATCTTGATTTATATGAGACACCTGATGACCAATATGAAACACCCAAAGATTCTAGTAATTCACTGATTGAAGACCTTGTCAATACTAAATAGAGCAAGAAAGAATTATGATTACTAACAATATATATATAAAGTTTATTACTCATTTTTAACTCAGATTATTTAGACTTGTTTTTAAATAAACAATTCTGATTCTTGTAAAGTTACAATGATTGCAAAGTAATTTAATAGAGAATTACTTTTACACTTTTAATTTATTTTTCTATAATTACAAATCATTTATTCTTCAATATCTCTACATAGTTAATTATCTATCCATATATTCAGTCTGGCGTGTTTGCTAGATTTTTACTTTTCTATTTTAAGGCAATCTCTTTAATTTCTGACTTGTAAGATGAAAGATGGTTTTGATTATAATTTGACAATTTAATTTTACCATTAACCTGTAAAATATCCTTTAAGATTAAAATAACACAAATTAACTTATTTATTTTGTAATATATAAATTATGAGAAACATCTATGTTAAATTAAAATAAGATAAAATCTACATGTTTAAATAAAATAAATGTTTCTACACTATCCCAGAAATATATCTTGAATAATAAAAAGAATGAATCGACCAAATATATTGTAATTTCGTTGATTTAATTTATTATAATTACAATTAGTAATCTGATGAGCAGTAATCTAAATAATGAGTTTTTTGTATTATTTATGAGTTGAAACATCTAAAATAAGTTATTATAACATTCAAATTTGATATAGTGTCGTATTTAAATAATTTTATTAATGGAGTATATGATAATTTGTCGTATTTGCAATGAAAGCATCAACATTAATTTAATGGATATTCATAATTAAACTTGTAGACATAATGCTGAATAAAGAAAGAAATTAGTTTAATTAAACTTATAAGTTGCTCGTTTGTGTGAAAAAGCTTATATGAAGAAACATCAGATTTATTTGAAACAAGGATTAAAATTGTAATTGTTAAAAATATTGTGAATATAGTATGAAAGAATTGAGACTACGCAAAAATTAAGGTATACAGCAATGTGAGGATACGAGATAGGTTTATTAAGAATATAGAATATTACTATTATTGATAAGTTATGGAGAGAAGGTAGTGAGTCAAGAATTCGATGCAAAATGTATAAGAACAATATAGTATAGACCATTTGATAACTCAAAATGAGATAATGGCTGCCCAAATGAGCATAGAGGATCAGAGTACTCTTGATTTAATTGAGTAAATGAATAGCTTAATAAATTAAAGGCTAGATTATTGCTTTAAATGTAAATATGGCATAAGTATATGATAGTAAAGATATAAAATTTTGGTAGCATATCATTTAGAGTAAGTAAGTTTAGTAAGGATAGTCCTAGTTCTGTAAGAGATTCTCATAGGTTGAATTCCTTTTCGGATTATATCAGTTTGAAGTATGTAAAATAATGACACATTTCAAGTCTAACCGAAGATAAAAATTAAACTGAAAAAAAGACAAGATCGAGACCTTCTACTCCTGCCAAATCATCGGTGTCAATCATGGGAAATTTAAAAAAGAGTGGAAAAATAAGTTAGTTTCTCTAAAGATAGCAGTCGGTTTAAACTATTAAGAATTAAGATGAATCTGAGTAAGAAAAGTCCTGTCATTTTCAGACAAAGAAGAAAAGTTGTTTTGCATAGACTGCAAGTTCTGAAAGTGAGTTAGACATAAGCATAGAGAACTCTGATTAATAGAATAAAACAATAGAGCCAACTGAATTAACAATATTTGAATAAGACTGTTTTTTTGCATCTTAAAAAGGATATTTCTCAGATACAGAAATAATTAAGTTAGATGCTGAAAACAGAAACAAGGAAAGGAATATTTGTTTAAAAGGCTTTCAATTTATAAGACAAATAGGATAAGGAGCATATGGCGGAGTATTTTTGGTTAAACGAATAGCAACAGGAGATCATTATGCATTGAAAATAATAAATTGTTCAAACAGACCTTTTGAAAGACTACTAACTTAATTGAAGTAGGAGAGGAATATATTTGAAATATTGACAGGGGAATATGTTGTCAAAGCATTCTATTCATTTTAACATTAATCATCTTTATGTTTTGTATAAGAATATATGGTTGGAGGAGATTTTGCTAAAATTTTGATGATTGAAGGGGTAATCTCTATTAATTATATTAGGCATTTGATGAAAATATAGCTAGGCATTATTTTGCTGAAATTCTATTGGCATTAGAATATTTACATTCTAATAATATAGTTCATAGAGATTTAAAACCAGAAAATATTCTATTAGATTAGAATGGACACATTAAATTGGCTGATTTTGGGTTGAGTGAATTTGGATTCACTAAAATGATGGTCAAAAGAAAAGCCAGTTAGAGAGATATTGTTAAATAGGATCTATCCTCATCTCCTGGATATATCATTTAAAGAGGAGCCTCATTTAAGAAATCTAGATCCAATAATAGTCAATATGACATAGGATCCGAAGAGGAAAGACGAAGAATTGTTGGAACTCCAGATTATATTGCCCCTGAAATTATCAAAGGAGTTTCCTCATCGAATAAAACACTTGATTATTGGTCTCTAGGAGTAATTCTCTTTGAATTTTTAGTTGGAATTCCTCCTTTTAATGATGAATCTGTAGATAAAATATTTTCTAATATTTTGGAAGGTAAAATCGAATGGCCAGATATTGGGGATGATCCAGAATCTTAAATTTCGGAGTGTGTTCATGATCTATTGAAATAACTATTGAATCCTGATTACAATTAAAGAATTGGTAATGAATCTATAGAATAAATTAAAAAACATCCATTTTTACAATCTATTAATTGGAATACTTTGAGGAGTAAGCCAGGACCAATCATTCCAAGAATTCCATAAGCTTAATAATAATAATTTGAAAATGTTCAAGAAAAGTTGTAAAAGTTCCTAAAAAGAGCTGAAAAGAAACATTCTCAAATAGTCAAAAAATTATAAGAGGAATTAGAATATTTAGAGAGAGTTGATTTATTGATTGCCACAAATGAAAAAGAAGTACTACAACTAAAATAGTAATTCAACTTATGAGATCTGTTTTAAATAACTAATAATTTATATATATATATAAATTTATGTTCAATCGAAAAAACTCCAACTTATTATTTTTGCCAATGCCAAAACCAATAAAAGATTCAACTCCTGATTATACAGAAATAAAAACAGCTAGAAATCAATCTATCGAAAAATAACTGAGAAAAATTAAGCAAAAAATACCACCTATTCAAACAGATCGTCATTACTCCAGTACTCAAGATCTGTTAGAGAAGGTTTAAGAATAAATTCTATATAAAACAAGTATTCTAAGTAGAAAATCATCAAATGCAACAATTTTACCATAGCCTAAAAAAATAGAGCAAAATTAGCAACAATAATAATAGTTACAAGATAGAAGAAACGAAATTGACTTTGTGTTAAAAAAACTATTAAATGCTCAAGCAATTATTAATGATGAGCCTCAATAAATGATAGAACCCAGAATCTACAATCCATATTTTCGCTCTCCATCAGTCTTGCCTTCACATTTGAAAGATACTTATTTCGATCCTGATAAGTATTAGAATTTTTATGATAAACTTTCTAAAAACAATCTAAAAGTAAATCATCAAGTTAGAGCTGCCATACTTAATTACAGAAAATAAATATCATCCAAATAATAAAGAGTACCTAACTTTCTTAAATTAGTATAATGAAGTTTTCTCATTTCAATTGATATATAAAGCATTCAATCGTTATATTAAAATTTTTAAATTATCTAATCAATGGATTTAAAAAAAATACCATTCAAGCATATTCTACTGTCATTTTATGCAGTTTCCTTTTACTGTATTTTGGAAAGCAATTTTGGATTTTATGGAAAGATAGGTGCTGTTACTTTATAATTTTTGCTTATGTGGTCACACTATTAAATTGTATCGACGCATCCTGGACCAATAACAATTACTAAAACTCCTATTGAATTAATGGAAGAAAACAATTGGAATATCAATGCTATTAAAAAAAATGAAAGATTTTTGGTTCATAAATGTACGAAATGCAACAATAATTGGAAACCACCAAAGACCCATCATTGCTAGACTTGTGATATATGCGTACATTACAGAGATCATCATTGTGCTTGGTTTAATTGTTGTGTAGGCTACAAGAATTTAAAATACTTTTGCCAATTTTTGATGTACTTTATGATTATAATAATTATACATGGGACTTTATGTGCAATTTGGATTTGGCAAAAAATTTATCAAATTCATAAAGATGGATTAATAAATTTCTAATTGTCTTCCCTTGGCGCTTTGTTTCCCTTAAATGAGGTTATAACAAAACTATTTGAAACATTTATTTTTTTTGGAGGTTATTTCGTAGCTTGTTAATTATTGATAGATAAATTTGATTAAATACCAGATTTGACTACTTATAATGAATAAAAAGCAAATAAATATTCATATTTTAGAGCCTCCGGTCAAAAATTAATAAGACTTCTCGGAGAAAACTATATCTATTGGATTTTGCCAATTCCTAATAAACTAAACCTCAACTACTTAGAACTTACCTATCCTAAAGTTACAGCTGGAGAACAATTTCTTGACTATCATCTGGATATGAAGGACAAAGATAGCTATTTTTTTTACAAAATTTTTGAACTAAAATGAATTTTTTAGCTCTATTTAGATAATAAAATTTATAATTCAAATATTTTTAATGAAATAATAGAACCTATAAATTACTTATATTTAGAAGAAAACCATAAAATTCAATAAAAAGAATATTCTATATGATAGTTGTCTAAGTTAAGATGAGTCTTATTTGATTTGTGTTACATAAGACAAAATAATCTTTATAGATATCAGAGACGATTAATATAAAAGGAAGACTATGAAAATGAAATTCTTGGTTTCAAAGATGTTAATCCACCAGTCTTATCTTCTAATAGTGATGGAGTTTAGCAAACTTAAACTCTTTGAAATTTAACACGATTTTGCAAATATTCAACTTATGGAATATAATTCATAAATCAATCCATTAACGATCCCAGCATTTCACTAAAATTAAAATTTGGTTAGTTTTTGCTATAAAAATAAATTTTTTGTTAATGACTTTATCAATAATACATTATAAAATTGGTTTAGATGTTATGCTCAACCAAAAATGACCTTATTCTTTAAAAATGATTTTTTATTGGGAGTAGAGCAAAATATCATGTAACGATGTAATTTCTATTCTCTTAAAACCAATAAAATTTATAAATCAATATTAATAGCCTATAGTATAATGAATAGATGTTAAATAATATCTTAAATATTATTTTTATCAAGTTCTATATAATACAAAGTATTCAATATACAAACAGGTAAATTACTTTTTAAAAAAACCTTTTTATTATAATAGATTTGCTAATGTTTAGGTCAATAATTAATGAAAATTTACTCTCTAAATGACTTTTCTTTGGAAATCTAATCATTCGCAAATAGAAGATATAGTAGAATAATATTTATTAAAAACCCAAAAAATTTCAAAGTTTCTACAAATGAGAAAAATATTTACGTGATGAAACCAAAATCCATTGATATTTGGCATTAAACGGATTGATTCATAATATATTTAAAGAATAGCAATTCATTAAATCTGAAAATATATATACTTTCTATTTGTAATGTAAGAAGATATTTAATTGATATTTTATTAAATTATATTTGGTTTATGATTAATTCCTTTTAGCATAAATCTAAAAATCTTTAATGTCCTGAAATAGGATATTATTTAAGACTTATTTAAATCAACTCCAGTTATAATACCAGCACATGATTTTACAATAAACTCGATCATGATAACTCCTGATTGTAGTAAAGTGATAACAGCAAGTAGTGAAGGCAAACGAAAGGTTTGGGACACATCTACTCATACAGAAATAAGTTAGATAAGCGATAATTTTGAGTACGCTTTTTGTATTGATGGTTCATATGATGGTTAATGCATTGCTGCCTGCGGTTCAAATGATTAGATTATTAGATTTTGGAATATTAATAATACATAAGAACCAATATTCAGATTAAAATATCATACTAAAACAATTGAAAGAATCAAATTTGTATTATGGATTAATTTTATCTAAATTCTTAAAATTCAATTCTGGAATTATTATAATGCCATAATCTTCTTAATTGAAATCAATTAGTTAAAACCATTAAGTGGTTATTTGACATGAAAACTAAACCTGAACCATCACGTATATTAAAACATCACAAAAGTTCTGTTAAGGGCATAGCTATTTCTAGCAATTGTAAATTAATGCTTACATCTGGTCTTGATAAATAACTGATTATTTGGAATACCTAGAACAATTTTTTAATTTTCCTTCAAGTATAACCTCATAAAACGACATGCAATTGCATTCAGTTTTTAAAAGACCTTAAATATATGGTTACAGGAGGAGAGAATAGAATCGTAAAATTATGGAAAGTGCAAAACTGGGAACCCATTCTAGAATTCATAGGACATTTATCATTTGTATGGAAAGTTTAGTTTTCTAATCATTCTAATCTAATTATATCATAATCAACTAAAGACATTAGAATTTGGAATATACCATCAGAATCACATAAATAAATTTTTAGTATTTAACTAGATTATTACCCAAACTTTACTTTAATAAAATGGTGAATTATACATATGGAAATCTGCCTAAAATTGAGTTGAGAAATATTAAAGAACTTATAAAAATTATTAAAGAATTATTTTTCTATTGCGTCTTATTAAGAATGCAATTAAGAAAATAAAAAATATAGCAGAGAGTGGTTTCGATCCACCGACCTTTGAGTTATGAGCCCAACGCGATTCCACTTCGCCACCCTGCTTATGTTATGAAAATAGTCTAGAATTTCTTTATATCCAATTTTCAATACAGTATATATATTAGCCATACTTCATTCATATAATATTTCCTAACATTTATCCTGAATATCTAGAGTTTTATTAACAAAGAGTTATTTCCTCTGATGAACTGATTATTACTTTAAACTTCTATTGGTAGACTATTTTAAAGTCAATCTTTGCAATAAGGAAGACCAGTTTGCTTATTTTTTTTCAAATTATTTTTCATCATAAACAACATAACCTTATAAAGCTAAATCCAATGATTATTCATATTGCTTTTTTAACTCTATTTATAATTATATTCTTTCTGATAAAACAGATTTTGAAGCATTTGCAGGATCTCTTTATTGAGATTTAATTTTTAATGCATTTTTTATTATTTTATTCATTTTTCCCTATTTGCTATAAAGTGCTTCTAGATTTTCGTAATCAACTTTTGACAAAGTATAATTTTTTATAGTTTATTCATTTTCTAAATTATCTTCGGTTGATGACTAAATTAATTTGAATTTGTTTTTATGTGCTTCATCTTTACGTTCTGTCATTGACCGTTTTAACCTACTTTCATTGACTAATTATTCTGATATTGCAGATTCGCTAATATATGTACATATTTCTACATAGTTTTTATAGATTCATAATTTATTTTTTTATATTCTGTTGGTTCAATGAATTTTCCGTAGAGATTATTCTCCTAATAATAGGCAATTTTTTTTGGATTAATTGGATAAGTAAATGGAATATATTCTTTCTCTTATTTTTTTTTTTAATATCTCTAAGTTATATTATGTTATCTTTCTATTTAATTTTAAATAGGGGGTAAAGTTAATGTTTAAGGAGGGTCATTCTTAATGTAAGGATCTTACCTTTGCTTTTATATTTTTTCTATTAAATCAACTAAATTTTCTGTATTAACAATCTTGTTTATTAAATCTGAATCACTATTATAAGTCACTGATCTCTTTATAGGAGGTGTGTCCATATTAATGTCCTTTGGTGACTTTTACTTTTTTCTTATTCGATTTAATTGTTTATTGTGCGAATAAAATTTTGATAGATTCATAATTTTATGTTAATTAATACTTTATATTCCAATTTAATGGAGAATCTATCGGTTAAAATGACTAGAATAATGTATCAGCAATTTAAAATAATCAAAAAGATGAAGCTAAAAACTCATTTTTTCCATGTCTTAGCCTTAAACTCTCTTTATACATATGGATTCGTAATATTGTAAACTGCCTTTGGAGATTATGCTCTTTTTTTCATTGGTTTAAATTAAGAATTAGGTTATAATCCTATTTCATATCTTTAACCTTAGCTATTATTTCCTTTATAAGGTGTTGTTTAAACTCTAGGTGCCTTTAACTAGTTTGGAGCTGTTTGAGGACGACGGGTGCCAGTAACTGCAAGTTGATTTTGTTATTAAGACTTTTAAAAAAACTGTTCTTTTGAATCCATGTAATTATTTGATTAAACTTTATGATGTTATTCTATATATTTTGAAAAAGTCTTACAACTTTGTTATACGGAAGATGGTCTTTAAGGTTAAATAGGAGATATTTATAAGGGACTTTATATTTGTTGATCAGTTTATTTTTGTTTTTGAGGTAATTTATCATAAATATTTGTACTCTATTCGTAATTTAGTTTTTATTATTGTTACTTCTATGGAAATTGAAATGTAGAATCAATTTGTTTCGAAGAACCAGACTCTTTTATTATTGGTTTAATAACTTTAGATGTTGTTTTACTTTTTGAGAATATTATTTTATCATATGGAGGTATTTACATAGTAATTTTATCAGCGAATGTCAATCTAATTAAATTAAATAATTAACTTGTATTCTTTTGGCTTAGAATCATGATCCTTAAATTCTGCTACTCCCAAAGCCTAAGAGTTTAAGTAAGTGTTCCTTATCACTATTTCATCATTGTCTCCTTGGGTGTATATTTCATCCCAATTAAAGGTCTTTGCTCCATATCCTTATTTCGAAAATCGAGCTTCTATAGATAATAGTTAATTAAAAAAATGAGCTTTTATTTCTAGATCTGGTCTTCGATTATGCATAAATTGTAAAGTCTTATAAAGAGTCCATCTATATTTCTTCATTAAATAAACACATAAAACTGCCACTGATCTATTGTGTCCTCTTGCTGACAGAACAATCACGCTTTCTCCATTAATCAAAGCATCATCAATGAATTTTATTGCAGTATTAATACTTTCATCTGATTAAAAAATAATCTACATAAATCATTAAAATACTTATTGATCATTATCTACCCAAGGAAATGACAAATATATTATTCCAATTGATTCCCAATGATTTGGTATCTATCTTGATGCACAATTTATTATTCGTGATACTTTATTTGTAACAATGAATTCCAGATCCTGATAAAATTGTTGAAATATACCTAAGATGCAAATTGATCCCCTAAGAATACACCATCTTTGACTTTTATAGCTCCCATATAATCATAATTCATTTAATTTTTCTTTTACTTAATAAAATAAAATATATATATCTAATTAAAGTATACAATTCTTTTTTTTTATTATATTTAATTGCTAATAATAAATTATTTTACTAACATATTCCAATGATGAAATAAATATAAAAAACATCTTTATAAATTAAATTTTATGATAATCTTAAAAAGAAATCTTTTTTAAAATGAATTTATTAAAAATTTTCCATAAGGAATAATTTAAATTAGGAATACTTTATAAAATCAGGCCTAATAATCTAATTTTAGATGTAATAAATATTCTATTTGTATGAACCTTTACAGATACAATTCCTTCTTATTTACTCAAAAATGAATTCTAAAGTTGAAAATAAAAACAAAACTAAATATATCTTTGTCTATAGTTTTTGTAAGTCTTAGTTTGTTTATTATTTTCGAGATTGAATAAGGTAAACATTCGAAATATTAAAGGTATTACATTAAAAGTGATTTCTTAAAAAAACATATTAAAAATTTGAACTACTATTTCTAAATAAGTGCATTTTAAAGGGAAATGATGTTCAATTTTCAACTTTTGGGTAGATCTCTGAGAATTATTGTTTTAATTATTAAAAATTATTTCCATTTTGAAGATATCTTAGACAAATCAAAATGATAATCAATGCAATTAATATTTTTATAAATATATGCATTTATAGATCAATTTTAGTTGTTTTTTGAGATATTGAGGGTTTAATTTTAGACTGAATTCAATATTATTTCTGATATTGGGTATTTTATAAAAAAAGATATTTTTATATATAATTAGGCTAAGAAAGACTAAATAATTAACAAATTTATATAAATCTGCTTTTGCGATAATTATTACATGAAATGCCACTAAATTTAATATTATTAGAGTATATTTTATTAAGTATTAGGTTTTTCAAATATTTAAGTTAAGATTATTGAAATTCTAAGAAAAGTAAATAAAAATGAAAATAATAATTTGATAAGTTGAGATTATCAGATCAAATCCAATTAAAATGTAATCTCAAATTTGCACCGAAAATAATTATTTTCATATTTTGTGCTGAATCCTTGTTAAAATTAGTCTTCTAACTCATTATTATTCAAACAAGATATCAGTTTCATTTAAAAAGTTACTAATAGGCTTGATTTAAATATATGTTTTTCTTTTTATAGAATTATTAGGTATTATACTAAATAAAAATGAAATAAATTGATTCTCATAAAAATATCATTTAAGTCCTCATAATATAATTTCTATTTAATCATATAAATTTTATTAAGGTTCATCAATTTCTTTTTTTTAATTTCTTGTGTTATTCTAATCTGTATCATCAAGTTCAATAAGGTTTTCCCTCTATCTTTTTAATTTTTATTTGTTAGATTAATATTCTAATTCTGGTATAACAGAGGGTATTTGTGTCCAAATACCTTTTTCAATCCAATTCATAATAGTTGATGATGAAATGTTATATTATTATGCCATAGCTTAAATTCTTAATTTAGATGGTTTGGGTCCTAATTTTTTTAATACCATAACTTTTTGATCAAATGTTAAATGCTTCTTTTTGGTTCCACCATTCCTATGATAATTTTATTTTTTCATTAATTATTATAGAACCAAATATTGATAACCATATTTCTAGAAATAAAGAAAAAAATTGGGATGAAAAATTAAAATTGATTAAATTCATTTTTAATTAATTTATTAAGGAATCATCATTTTGTATAGTACTTATTTTCTAGTATATTCAAAGATCTTAAATCATTTTTTATGGCCTGTATTGTTTAGGCCGTATTTGAAATTCTTACTAATCTATTTGATCTCTTTTTGTTGATTCCAGAGATAACAATTTCGAACTTATCTTCCTGCTTTCTTTTTTCAAAATAAAGATATTCTCATTAATTTGTGGAGGAAATGGAGACAATTAACTTAATGATTCAAAATAAAGGACAATAATAGCCCATTTATCTCATACTCTTTAAAGTTTTCTAAAATTTTTGGACCTAAATAGCCCATTCCAAACATTTGATATCTGATTTCATTAGGAATACTGAAAATTAAGATTTTTCCTGAATTTTTTTCAATTTTTCATTGTTGTATATTTCATAATGACCTTATACAACCATCCCAATAAATAAATGTATAAATAATTCCTCATACATAATAATTATGCCATATTGGATATAAATTATAAATTAATTTTTGTTTCTTCCGACATATTTCCTGAAATTGTATACTAACAGATATAATTTAGTAATCTTATGATTCTTCTATTTTGAATAGTATTCAATATGTTTCTCCCCTAATCAAAGAAATATATATTAATTAATAATATGAATAAATTTAGCAGAGAGGAATTTCTATTCTTAGCTAAAATTGCTCAGTAAACAGAAAGATTTAATGATATGATAGAATTTATTAAACATTTCCTTGATTAAGAACTTAATAAAGAGGAGAGAAGCATATTATCAGCTGCATACAAAAATGTGGTAAACCAATTGATTAATATATGATAGGTTGGCAATAAAAGAGCTGAATTAAGAGTATTGACTGCCATTGAATAAAAGGAATCAAGAAAATAAACTGATTAATACACTCTGAATTATATTAGAAACTATAAACATAAAATCGAAGGAGAATTGAAAAATTCTTGTGCTGAGATTTTGAACTTGATTGATAGTACATTGTACCCAAATGCCAAGTAAGTTGATAGTAAGGTTTTCTATTTGAAGATGAAAGGAGATTATAATAGATATCTTGCTGAATTTTTATTAGATAACGAATATCATGCAGCTGTTGAATAAGCCACTCAAGCATATAAGTAAAGAATCCATTAATAATTAGAGATGCTGATGTCTTGGCAAAATCGAATTTATCTACAACTTCTCCTATTAGATTAGGGTTACATCTAAATTAATCAGTTTTTTATTACGAGATACTATAAAATGCAGCAGAAGCTATAAGAATTGCTAATGATGCCTTTGAATAAGCAATTGCTTAGGTTGACTCTGTAAATGAAGAAAACTATAAGGACTGCACACTTATTATGCAATTACTGAGGGACAATCTTACATTATGGAACAATCCGGNGTTTAGGCCGTATTTGAAATTCTTACTAATCTATTTGATCTCTTTTTGTTGATTCCAGAGATAACAATTTCGAACTTATCTTCCTGCTTTCTTTTTTCAAAATAAAGATATTCTCATTAATTTGTGGAGGAAATGGAGACAATTAACTTAATGATTCAAAATAAAGGACAATAATAGCCCATTTATCTCATACTCTTTAAAGTTTTCTAAAATTTTTGGACCTAAATAGCCCATTCCAAACATTTGATATCTGATTTCATTAGGAATACTGAAAATTAAGATTTTTCCTGAATTTTTTTCAATTTTTCATTGTTGTATATTTCATAATGACCTTATACAACCATCCCAATAAATAAATGTATAAATAATTCCTCATACATAATAATTATGCCATATTGGATATAAATTATAAATTAATTTTTGTTTCTTCCGACATATTTCCTGAAATTGTATACTAACAGATATAATTTAGTAATCTTATGATTCTTCTATTTTGAATAGTATTCAATATGTTTCTCCCCTAATCAAAGAAATATATATTAATTAATAATATGAATAAATTTAGCAGAGAGGAATTTCTATTCTTAGCTAAAATTGCTCAGTAAACAGAAAGATTTAATGATATGATAGAATTTATTAAACATTTCCTTGATTAAGAACTTAATAAAGAGGAGAGAAGCATATTATCAGCTGCATACAAAAATGTGGTAAACCAATTGATTAATATATGATAGGTTGGCAATAAAAGAGCTGAATTAAGAGTATTGACTGCCATTGAATAAAAGGAATCAAGAAAATAAACTGATTAATACACTCTGAATTATATTAGAAACTATAAACATAAAATCGAAGGAGAATTGAAAAATTCTTGTGCTGAGATTTTGAACTTGATTGATAGTACATTGTACCCAAATGCCAAGTAAGTTGATAGTAAGGTTTTCTATTTGAAGATGAAAGGAGATTATAATAGATATCTTGCTGAATTTTTATTAGATAACGAATATCATGCAGCTGTTGAATAAGCCACTCAAGCATATAAGTAAAGAATCCATTAATAATTAGAGATGCTGATGTCTTGGCAAAATCGAATTTATCTACAACTTCTCCTATTAGATTAGGGTTACATCTAAATTAATCAGTTTTTTATTACGAGATACTATAAAATGCAGCAGAAGCTATAAGAATTGCTAATGATGCCTTTGAATAAGCAATTGCTTAGGTTGACTCTGTAAATGAAGAAAACTATAAGGACTGCACACTTATTATGCAATTACTGAGGGACAATCTTACATTATGGAACAATCCGGAGGAGGAAGCAAATGATGATCAATGATGATTTATTATCAATTATAAAGTTACAGTAATTAACTGTGATTTCCTCCTTATTTAATATAAATTGTGGAAATTAAGTCTCAGACTTTAATTAATATATGAATTCAATTAAATTGATTTAAATGATTTTGAACAAATTCAATAATGAATTTAATTAAAATAAAATAAAATCCATTTTTTTTTGAAATTCTTGTCAAAATAACATTTTCATTGTAAATATTTTAAGATGATACATTAATTTTATATCCTCAGTAATTTAAAGAGTATCATTTTTTATTCTAATTTAGATTGAAATCTTGGATGGTATTTCTTAGAATATTTTATTAGTATTTAGAAAAACAGACATTCCAAAAGTACAAAATATAAAAATGCTAAATTTTATATTTTAATTCTATAACTATAAGAATATATTTAATAATAAATTAAAATATTATCTCACTTCTGATTTATAATTTTGAATCCACATCTTCTTAATGGCTCTTAATAAAAGGACTCTTCTGTCGAACTAGAGTTTGGTTTGATATTAAAATATTCTAACTCATTCTATTTGACTCTCTCCTATGATAACCATTTTTTGTCACAATCTGTCACAAAGTATGTATAATCGAATAAAATATCCTTTTCTTCATCATATATAAAGAAACATTAAACTGTGAGAGACGCAGTAAATTGCTCTCCATTGTAATTCATATATTCTCTTTTTATTGATTATTGGCCAACAATTCCTTTAAAAATTTTATAAAAAACATTCAATTGTTCATCATTCTCATCAAAATAAGCACTAATGGGGATTAAATTAGTTTCATTGCAATAGTGAAAGAGCATGTCCTCTGATATACCCTAAACTTGTAGTATTTCTTAGCTATAAATCTTTTAAAATGTTTTCCATATGCCGTCCTTATAAATATTTACATAAACTGCATAAGGCTTGCCTTTAATCTGTTATTCAAAATCCAGCATTTCTTACATTGCGCGAAGTTTGAAATTTGTTGGATCAAGGTTTCTATTATTATATTACATAAATGCTTTGGCTAATTCTGAGTTTCTATCTCTAAATATAGAATACAGAACTTCAGTTGGGGTAATAGGTCTATCTATTTAATCTAAAGTAAGTATGAATAGGTTTTTCCTTTTATCTATTCTAACAATTTTATAATTGTTAGAATGAGGGTCCACAAATAGCGAACCAAGTGAGTGATCCTTAGTTATATTTAAAGAAAACTAAATGTTGTTTTTTAATCTAAAAACATTGTTATTTGGGATTGTTGCCGGTATATTTTAAACAATCAACAACGAATCATCTTTCTATTGAGCGTTCTAAATATCATCATCAAACTTATATGGTATAGTATATTAATTCTTTCTTTTGGTTTTTTTAATCTTCTTTTTCATGAGTTATCTCCATTCTTCTCTAATGCTTGATATATTTCTGACAATCAACGACATATATCGAATAAAAGAACTTAATTAATTCTTAAAATACAATAACCGAATCTGCGGTTAAATATATAATATATTGAATATCCCAATACGTCAATATCATTAATTAAATCAGTTGCATAACAATATAATATATATCGAATCTATATTTTAGGATAAGTTTTATTATAGTACCAAATTAGCCAGTCACTTGCTTAAATTAATATATTGTTTAGAGACAAGAAAAATGTAAGCTTTAGATACAAATAAATATAACAAAGTAAAAGTTGTGTTGGTCTAACCAATATCAAACTTGTTTATATATTAACGAATTAGACTGAAATTTTAATATAATTACGAATATAATTATTTTAAAAGCTTGATTACAAAAAATATCTATTAATTTATAAAAATATATAAATTAATTTTAGAATCAAATGCAACACTAAATTATATTATACTTCTGTTATTCTTATTTTAATAATATCAATCTACTATATTTTTCCTATCAAAGATTATAATAGTTAACTTGTTGAGACAATTAATTTTTATTTTCTGATCCCATTTATTTTTCTTATTTATCTTTATCTTCAATTTTTAGAAATTTGTTTTAATTTGGAATTTCTTCCAATATGTATTTTTTATTACCAAATTATATTGTCCGTTTACTAATATACTTTAAAATATAGAGAATTTATATATATAATGGTATTTTATTTTTTTCTCTTTATTTTAAATGAAGCTATTATTATATATTGAAATAATGCTTTATAATTTACAAATTATTTTTTCACTTTGTTCTATTTTTATATATAATTTAATCTTAATTCTTATTCTATAAATGTTTAAATTTATCAGATTCAATGTTAATAATATAATGAAATTTCAATATCTTTAGATATAGAGATAATATAATACGCGTTTTTTGATTCTATGGCTAAATAGATTCTTGTTGGAATTGTTACAAAAAATGAACCTTTTAAATTGTACTTGATAATGAGAGAGGATTACAAAATCTTTAGGGTAACTTAATCAATTTCATTATCAATAGTAATCATTTATAATTTAATTTAAAACTTAATAATTCAGCTGCTTACATGGTTAATCTGGTCAATTTTTGATATTTCTCTTTTGTTGTATTCAATTACTTGATTGGCTTTTATTAACTATTATAAGTGCATGATTTCAAGGCTCTATCTCTCCATAATTCCAAGATTTCCATCAAAGGATCATGCTTTATTTACTCTACTTCTTTTTTCATCTCTTCTTAAAGTTCAATCAATTTCTATTATCCTATCATAATTTCTCTTCGTTGGTTCTCCAAAAATTCTTATTCTTTTAAATTTTTTTAATAATGATCAATTTCATGATGAAGTTAAAAATTCTCTTATTCCAAGTCTAGTATTCTTGTTTACATAGCATTATGATCTTATTATTGCTGATGACAAAAATGTGTTATGCGTTGCATTTCCAATTAATCTTAATCATACAACTATTTTAATTGCTGAAAATTCTGTTAAATTAAATTCAAATGATATTCTAGTCTCTTACACTCGTTTTATAATCTAACATTTTAATCGCTAAGCTAATATTGTACAATTAATTATATACCTTTTAATTTTATATTAATAACTATTCATTCAAATTTTACTAATGCTACTAAATTGGCTATTAATAGAGAAATGATTTAGAATTCTCTTTGTAATGTTGGGTTTAACATCTTGCTCTTTCAGTATTTATTGTGCTTACAAATGCCTGACTTTGATTTGTATTCAACACTTATTGATAATACATTTTACTAACTGTTAATATTATAAATTTTAATTTATTATTTAAAACACTTCTAATATTTAATATACTCTACTCCTATATTTCATTGAATTTGTAATAAATTAATAGAAAATATTCAAAAATTTTACTTTCAAAGTTTACTAACACAATGATTTCTAGATATTTATATAAACTAATATACCTAGACCCTTTAGATTTAGTGATAATTAGAATATATTCTTATAAAAATAATCTTAATTAAATATATTTAAATAAATGGGAGCAGCTATTGCAGTGAGAAATAGACATTGGTGGTTTAGAGGTCTTTATGATGACTACATCGGAAGAGAAACAAGACTTTCATTTGGTTTAGCAGCAATAATTTGGATTCCTCATTACGTGTAAATGATTAGATTAATCTCAGCTATGGTGTTTATTTGAACAGAACAATTGAAACTAATACATCACATAAGATTTACTCTATGGAAGTTGGACCCTCTAGAAATAGATTAACTCATTCAATGATTTTTGAGTAATTTGAAATGGTTTTGGAAAATTGGGAAGAATTAAATAAAGAATACGCAGAAAAAGGAAAAAAAATGCTTGAAGAATGAATTCGGGCTTTATTAATATTATAAATAAATATACAAAACAAAACTTTGATAGTGCTTGATTATTAGTTCTAGAATACTGTTCTGATAATTTATTTCTTGGATTTACAGATGATACTATCCTAGAAATCAAAGGATTCCATAACAAAAAAGATAGGAATATAATTATCAAATAAGTATACTTAACTATAGTATTCTCATAGAACTCGGTTTTTGTAATTTTATAAGCTGAAAAAGTCTAGGTCGTTTGTGAATGCCTTGCCAACAACAGAGGTTGGTTATTTAGTCTGCTTTGATATTAAATCAGCAATAGAATCTTGGAATTTAGGTTGGATATTTTCATATAATTCTAGTAAACATTTAGGTCTATAAATATTTGAATAATTATACAATGGGGTTTTTAGACCACATATTTTTCTAACACATCCTATTAGAGATAGAGTCAGTTCAGAAGGATCTTTGTCTAGGTAAGATCCTTCTTTCAATAGGGTCAAACATAGTTTAGTAAATTATTCTTAAATTTTATTATAAACATTTCTAGAAATAGAAGTAGACTTTTTTGGGGTGGTTTCTACTTATTCTTTAATGTTTTCTTATTTAGTTTATTGAGTTTGCTATGACTGAGGGATATTCGTTGCTTTTTCTTTCAAAACTGCATCAGTTTAGGATAACTCATCTTATTCGTATACGATTCCTAATGATATTACAGTCTCAGCCCAGTCTATTAAAGTAGTGTATTATAAATTCCAGTTAAACTATTTGATTATTTAACATTCACATTTTCTGAAATCTATAGTTGCATATGGTAGATAAGTATATCTTCTGAGTTTGCTGATGAAAGGGATTCTTTCATCTAATTCTATTGATTTAGCTATATTTAAATTAAGAATGGGAATTACCTGCTAGCATTAAGCAAGTGGCTCCATACAATCTAAATTGAATTGGGTCTACCTTTTTTTATGATACAAAATAATCTAAGAATTGAACAGCTAAGAAGAGAGAATTAATAGACAAACCAAGTTTTTCACTCCATTCCATCATGTAATCGATCAAAGATATACGTTGCTATGGTTAATTATAATATTGATACTCTTTAGTAATCTTATGGTAATTGGGCAACAGGAACTGATCTATTCCATTGACTTTTTAGATTTTAGATGGGATTGATATAGCCAGGAAATGAAAATTTGGCTGATTTTATAGCCACATTTCCATCTTATGGCATATGGATTCCGCAAAGTTTGCAAAAGAACTTATTGTTATAAGGGACAGGATTAGTATGTTAACATTGATTTTGTTTGCACTCCATGAAATTTAACGTTTAATTTTTTATTAATAAAATTTATAATAATAAGAAATTGGTAGTGTTTATACTTTAAATATTTTTGGTTAATTTATCAGTACTTTAAATCCTAATAATAATAAATAGCTAGCATTATCAATTAGATGATGATACATATTTACAGTGTTTACTGTAAACTACAATCACATTATACTTTTACTTAGCTCCTTGAAGAATCAAATAAATGGAAAAGGTTCAACGACACTAACGCTATAATGTTTGTAGACATTCAACTATCCAAACCATAAATTATTGTGAGATTCTTGTGTTTTATATTTTAAGTTAAAAAAAATCATCCTTATTATGAGATCTACATGAGTTTTTTTATTAGTATGGGGAAATTAGCTATTAAAGAGGAGGCCAAAAATTTTACTATTTTAATTATCAAATAGACAATTCAGTTAAGCCAGAATTTAATATAAATAATTATTATTAGCTTTAATAAGGATAAATTGAGGTATCTAATTGTCCTCAAATATGGATGATTTAAGTTAAATAAGTTAACACAGTAGTCATATATGGATAACATTGTCTAGGCATTTTTTTCAACAGAGCTCTCTCACTTGATTTGCTGTAATTTAAATGAATTTTTCAATAATAAGAAAATTTGGATTGGATGGAACCCTATAAACTTCATAAAAAGCATGCTATTATCCAGAATTGAAATTTTTATTTTTCACTCACTTATATAAATTTTGGTAACTAATTAAGATAGATTAAATTGGTTTGATCAATTTATTTATTAACTTCTCCAGGATCTTCAAATTGCTCAGGTACATCGTAAGAGAAGATTTTTCTGATTTCATTTTGGATTTTAGATTAAAAATACCTAGATATATACAACTTTCTAGCAAGGACTATAATATTAATTTGATATTGTGGCAGAAATCATAAAAATATATCTTTCTACAATTAATCAATGAGAAAACTCAGCTGAGAATCCTTTTGGCAAAAATTGCTGTTATTTAGTTTACTCAGAATTTTTATTAGAATTGTTTGTAAATTTTGTTTAATAATTAAAAATATCAAAAATTTTATACAAATTTATTAATAGAATAAATGTATGATTTATCTCATAAACTTAAACCTACCATCTGCAATTGTTGCAATGATTAATTAATAGATTATTAAAAACCAGTCTTGAATTTATGTAAAATCTCTAAAGACCTCAAATCGTGATTTATTTATACAGGAACATTTTGGGGATTCTAATTTATTTGAGGAGGTTAACTGTTATTCATACCTTACCCAATTGCAGTAGTTTCATCTAATAATAAAATTATTTTAATACTTTAATTTGATTGATTTTGTGATGGAGACTGTTCAGCAACATTTCCATTTCCGTTTTTACTTTGATCTAAGGGTATATTGGGTTAAGTAAATGATTATTAAGGTATTGCAGGTAATTCTATCATCTTTTAATTATTTGACTAATTAAGAATTGCAAATGGATCTATTTATTATTATTATTATGATTAAAATTAGGATTATTATTATTATTAAGGTACAATATTATTATTTTAAGGTTGTGAAGAGTTATATATTGATTATTATGGTTATGGGTAATTATAGTTTGAATTTTACTTTGGATTCATTCCAATTTATGGTTGAGAAATCTAAGGCTAATAAACAGTTGGATTATTTAAATATATATTTTGCTAGCTAAATTATTATATCTATCCATAGGGATTAGAGTTTTATAATGAATTAGGATTGATAGAATTTTACTAAGTTTAGGCTTATGATTAATTTTGATATGATTATTAATAATTACCTTATTATTATTGCTGAGGATATGGTTGTTGTGCTTATTATAATCCATTATTTTAAGAATATGCTCCTTATTATGGGAATCCACTATATTATAGTTATCCTCCTTATTATGGATACCCGTTTTATTATTGTGGGTATCCATTTTATTATTGTGGATACCCATTTTATTATTATGGATATCCTCCTTACTATGGATATCCTCCTTACTATGAATAACCGCCTTACTATGGATAACCACCTTATTATGGAAAACCACCTTATTATGGATATCCACCTTATTAAGGATAGCCACTTTATTAATGTGTAGGATATTAGTTAGGAACCCAAGATTGTTATTATTATTATGGTTAATAGTTCACTCCTGGTACATCAAGTATCTAGTATTTCTTACTAAAGTCTTAAGCATATTTTAGAACAGAAGGGGATTGTAGATTTAAAATGCCAAATAATAATTTAGCACTAGGATCAACTGATCTTTCATAGGTTTTGGCAATATCACATCCATAATATTCATTTAATTATAATTTGAGATCTACTGCCCCTCTTATATCATAGGTATTTTCGATATAATAACACACACTGGCAATATAACTAAATTTAGGAATATCAATGTTACGGAATAAATTATTAGACTCTGTTGGGGTCACCTTAACTTGCTACAATTTAACTTTTGAATTGATCAATATTGTTGATTTGTCTAAAAAGAATAACATGCATTTAAATACATAATGGCCTTATCATAGGCTTCAATGGTATTAACGATATTAACAATTCTGATGATTTGAATTTCTTCATCCTTCCTATTTCTCTAAGGAGCCTTGAGCATATTCAGTAACTTGCTTTCTTACTATATAGCCTCATTAAATTTTTTTTGTCTGTCATGGTTAATGTATTCTTTAGATTTCAAGAATAACATTGTAAGTTGTTCCTAAGATAGGATCAATAAAAATACAATTGTGAGAGTGATCTTCTTTTTGGGTTCTTCCTTTTTTTTTGATCTAAATAAATTCATGTTGGATGAATTAAATAATATAGAAAAAATATTAAAATCCACCTAAGTAGAGAGTATATTAATTAATAAAATAATATTGAATGTTCTAACAATCACTTTAATAGTGCATTCTATCTGCTTATCAGTTTCTTGATTGAGGAATTAACATTAGTTTATTTCTATTTAATCTTTCCACCAAAGATTTATGCTAACATCAACAAATCAGGAGTTGCATTTTCTATATTAAAATAATGAATAAATACCTTCCTCATATACCAAACAGAAACAGAAGGATTTAGCCTTAGGATCTGAAGCAGGATCATGTCCTTGTGCAACTGCAGACAAATAATTACTCAAGGCACACAAAACATCAGATGCATTTTCTACAGTGATTTCAACTACTTTTGGACATCTAAAATATAATGTGTGAGATAAATACTTCTTCTTTTCTACGGGTTCAGATGGGATCAATTCCTTGGAGTCATCATATTCATAGACTGGTCTTGGGAAATATCCGAAAGCTATTGTGAAATATTAATATAATTAATACTGTAATCATAACTGGATGTTCTGTATGATCCATCGAAGAAATTCAACATGAATCCTTAAACCTTGCCATTGAAAGGTGGATAGAACTTATCTTATCCCAAATAGAAATAAATTTTGCTGGCATAATAGTGTCTAACATCCTTGAATTCCATTTGAGCCATCTCATGTGTGAATTCCATATATCCATAAGCCTTGTTCAAATGTCTACTGTATCCAAAGTAAACATAGAACCACTCAGTCAATTTATTACCATACTTAACCATCTTGCAATCATTAACCTTTGATTTACTAAAATAATTAAACTAAATACCCATTGGCAGTCTTGTAAGAATATGTACAAAAGGCAACATGTCCTTATAAGTTATCTTCATCTCCAACAAAGAAAGAAAGTCCTCTGTCTCCAAGGATTCTGAAATTTTGATTAGTTTCTTAATTATTGGTAGTCCATCTAAATCCTGAATGCCAGATATTTTAGTCATTTGGTTTTTCCCATTTGAACCAACCACTGGCTGAATATTCATCTGGTAACATGGGCTTTTTATTTTCAAAAACACTGTCATAATCAAATGAAGCTGGAGATACAAAAGTTCTCTCCTTTTCAATTGGAATTGTTAATCTCTTGCCACTGTAAATGTTTTTAGGAATTCCATAGCATTTAGTAACAAATTCAGTGAATTCAGTTGCTTATGTGTACAATTCATCATTGAATGCAAATACTCTAGCAATCTAACCATTAAATGATTTAACATCCCCATCTGGTCCACCAATCACCAATTGATAAGATTCTTCTAATGTGAAATTGACATCGAATTCAACAGTCTCAACATCTTATCCTTAAATTTAGGCAAATCCTGTAACTTTTTGGTTGGAAATACCAAAGTATACAAGTACCCATTGTCCTTCAATATCACCATGACCAGCATTCTTGTAAGTTTCAACACCATTCTCATCAAATGAACTGAAATGGAATCCTCCTTATCCCACATAGAATTTCAATGCATTTCCTAATCCAGCAACAAAGAACTTAGTTTCTTAACTTAATCCTTCAGGAACAGCATCTGGGAATTTTGATAACCATCTGAAATAGAATGATAATCCAATAATTTAGGTTTCTGTAACTGGTAAATCACTTACTGCTACTGGTTCTGTACTCTACCAACTAATATCCAAAACATCTTCAGGCACTTTTCTGCATCCTTCTGGTAATACTTCTTATTCTTCATCCTATTAATCATCTGGTACAGGTTCATCACCAACATTGCTCTCCTCAGCACTTGTTGTTTCTTCAGCCGTGGTAGTTTCTTCGCCTGGCGCGGCTTCTTCACCTGGAGCTGTAGTTTCTTCTGTTGCAGGAACTTCACCATTTGATTCTTCTTCAAACTCTAAAGGTTCTCCAACTGAGCTTTCTGTCTCTTCGGCATCTGGTTATTATTATTATTATTCTTCTCCTGGTTATTCACCACCAATTTGCTCTTCTTCTGTTTCTCCTGGGACTTAAGTGTCTTCCTTTTAAGTACCCTCTTCGCTAGCCTCTTCACCAGCCTCTTCACCAACTTCTTCATCAAATGCTTCCTCTTCTTAGTCCAATTCTTCTTCTTCACAGGCTTCTTCTTCTGCAGGTACTTCTATATCAATCTCTTCAGCTGGTTCATCTATTTATAATTCCTCCTCTTCAGGAGCAGCAACTGTTTCTTCAGCTGCCTCAGCTACACCTTCTTCAGCTACCTCAGCTACACCTTCTTCAGCAAAACCCTCTTCAACACTCTCAGCCTATCCTTCTTCTGCACTCTCAGCTTATCCTTCTTCTGCAGCCTCAGCCTATCCTTCTTCAGCACTCTCAGGTTAGCCTTCTTCAGCAGCCTATCCTTCTTCTGCACCTTGTACAGCATTTTCTTCAGATTCTTCCCCTGGTACTTGAATCTCAATTTCTTCTTCAGGTTCTGTAATTTCTTCAGGTTAATTCACTTCTTCTTATGTTTCTTCTTCAGCTGTTTGTGCTTATTCTTCTGCTCCTGCTTCTTCTGCTTAAACACCTTCTTCTTCTGCTTAAACACCTGCTTCTTCTTCTGCGGCTGGAGTATCAACTCCCTCTTCAGCTTTTGTTTCTTCAGGTGATCCTTCTTATTCTTCTGCAGCAGCTGGTTCAGCTTCTTCAGCAGCAGGAGATCCTTCTTCTGGTTATTCTTCATCAGCTTCTCCTTCTTCTGGTTTAGTTGAATCATCTGGAGTAACTGGAGGTTATTAATCCCCTTATTCCTCTTCGGCAGTATCTACTGTTTCTTCTGTGATGATTTCTTCTACAGGTTCTTCAGATTCCTTTTGATCATCTGGTATTGGGTCAGTTGAAGGTTTTGGGACTGGATCTGTAGAAGGAACTTCTGTTGGTGTTGTAGTTGGTTCAGGTTACTATGGAGTATCACAACTTTCATCTCCTTTGATATCAATGGTACCTCCACATCCAGCTCTGATGACTTAGAGATCATGTATTTTCCCTTTAATTTTAATTACAGTTATTGGATGTTATTGGCATTAGGATTAAACATTTCTAAGGGAAAGGATGAAATAAGATAGCAATTTTAAAAGAGCATCACAATTGTCATCAGATTTCTTGAGACATCCGCATTATTGCTTGAGTGCTTCAACTTCAGCTAAACCTATCTATGTGGATGTTTTTGGTAATTTTAGTTGACTCAATGATTTGATCACTTATTTATGTGATGCTTTGAGGCCCACTTTAGCTTGGATGCCTTGAAGTACTTTAATATCATGATCAATGTAATCTTTATGTTCCAACAAGTCTTGCCATTAAGACAAGGAATTCTCCATCTGGATGAATTCAGACTACGGACGTGAACAATCAAATTAGGATGTGTCCAAAGAATTCATTTACTCTAAACTCATAAGGGTCAGAGACTCCTCCAAGCCATGTACTAATGTAATGGCAACGATCAACAGCAAATATGAGTTTTTCATTTAATAACAAAAATATTAAAAAACGACTATCCATCAATGCAAGATGAAATTTATAATTAGTTTTTTCTGGAGATCAATTTATTTTTATTCCTCAGATTCATTTTATCTTATATTCAATAGAATACCATTTTAGATCATAATTATTAATTTTATGTAGCCACTCAAAAATCCATTTGGTATTATAGATCCAAATGAAAAGCCAAAGCAAATCCATAGTAATCCCTTTGACATATGTATCACTTTTGTTGATAATTACAGAAAATGAAGATTTGAATGAAACTATTAAATTAGGTGACAACGTGGAAAATCAAGAGGAGAATCATTTATTGTTTGACTCATCAAAATCGCAACCTCAAGAATACAATGAAGACATACCGCTATTAGAAGGTAATCCAATAGACCCAACGATAAATTAGACCTTGATATAACATCGCCATTGCTCATTAAATAAAGGATTATGAGTGTTCTTTTATTCTAAAAATGTGATAGTGAGTATTTGGAAGATCCAGATCTCTCAGGTCCAGTCCTAATTGTTGCAGCATTAGGCTTATTACCACTATTGGTAAATACTTATTTAATTCAAAAGACAGGAAAAGTGCATTTCAATTATATTTATGGGATTGGATTGTGGGGCTGGATGTTGCTCTATTTATTAATGAACTTTATGATTCAACAACAAGGGAAGCAGATAGAGTTCTATAAGATATTGAGTTATTTGGGTTATGGACTGGCACCCATAGTATTGTTGACATTTCTCAGCGTGTTTTTGTAACTGAAGTATTAAATAATCATTCATTTTAATTAGTTCATCATTTGGATATGCATTAGCTATTGTTTGTGCAGTCTGGTCTACTGCCAGTGTTTCAAAAACCTTTGATACTGTAAAAATATAAAATAACTATCAGATTTTAGCATTGCAACATAGAAGATTCTTAATAGCCTATCCCTTATTTCTATTCTATTGCACATTTGTAATTATAACAATATTTTGATGAGCAACGTATGTAGATAAATATAAATCATAAAAATTCATATATATTAATTAGTTCATTCTTACGCTCCTTGATCTTAATATCTGATTTCCTCCTCTCCTTGATTTCCTTGTTCATCTTAAAAGTCCTCCTAAACTGGGTGTTCTTCCTCTTGAATTTCTACTTATTAGCCTTGATGCTCCTGTTATTGTTGTACATCCTATTCATCTTACTCATCCTATTATTCCTATTATTCTTCTTCATCTTCATTAACTTCCCTTATAAACTAATCATTATCTTGTTAATTTTCCATGACTTCCCTTTAAACTTACTCTAGTTATTCCCTCCAATCACCTAAATTATTCAATTGTTCTTATAAGTTTTATCTCTAAGTGAATGTCAATGAAAATGTATTATTATAATTGTTTTTATTGCTTAAAGTGCCATCCAAAGCTCCAGTTTGAAAGATATTCTACTCACCTGTAACATTGAAAGTTTGTTGATTTTAATCACTTTCCAATAGATGTTCTTGTTGCAATTTGAATTTTTCTTCCTCATATTCTTATTTCAACTTCTATTCACTTTCTTCTGGAAAATCTTCTAATTCCCCATCCCTCATAAAAGATCCTGTTCCAAAGACAGGTTCCTGATCTTGTAATTGTTACTATTGCTACAAAGTCAATTAATTGTTGTTCTATTATTGCTTGTTCCTATAGTTCTCCCAAACAGCTGCCTTCTAATAGGGTTCCTTATATTAATCTTCATAAACACCAAGTATTGATTTGACTCTCTCATTCTAAAATATCAATATGTAATATTAATACCTATAATAACTTCTTCACTTGATCTTCATTTGATGTGATTCTCTTATCGATTGATACAATCAATTAAGTAACTTGATCCATTTAAGATACAATTTTCTCAAATTTTGTTGATAACATTTAAGCTAAAGGACTTTGATGAGTCTGATTAATCAAAAGAGATTAATTGGTTTGGTTTTCATAATTGATTTTATTTTGCTATTTATTGGCTTTGAATGTAGTTTGAGGAACCTTAAATTAATTTGAAGATGATAATGTCTATGAATCATTATTTGATATATTCTTGTCAACAAAGTTAATAACATTACAAGGTTTCATGTTTTCATCAAAATTAGATTACCAAACTAATACATTTGAATCCAATCCAGCCGAAGCAAAATAATCACCTGCATAATTAAATTAGACTTATTTAATAGGTTAAGAATGGGAATATAGTGACCATGCCAATCTTCCTTGTCTTAGATCAAATATCTTTAGATTGCTTTCATCATCACCAGACAATAGAAAATTGCCACTAGGATGAGTATTAATTGTATTTACTGATTTCTTACTACACTCATAATATTAAATTAATCTCATTGAACGAGCATCCCATAATTTAATTTTGCCATCCATTTAACCTGCACATATTGTAGTTCCATCACTTATCCAATCAATTGTATATATTGAATCTTCACATTTGAACTTCTGCAATTCTTTAGATAAATTGACATCCCATAAACGAACTGTTGAATCATCTGATCCAGACACAACTAATCTAGAATCTGGAGACAATTTCGCTTATCTGACCCAATTAGTATGTCCTGCCAATGAAAACATAAAGTTGTTCTTTAATACATTCCATCCCTTTATTGTTTTATCATCTGATGAGGATACAATCATACTGCTATCTGAAGAGAATGATAGAGATCTCACACTTCCAATGTGTCCTTTAATTGCTGTGCACTTTCCTAAACTATTCAGTTCATATTAATATAAAATTACACAGAATTCTTCCACAACCGAATAGTCCTGTCTTCTCCACCACTTGCTATTATTTAACCATCTGGTGAAAATTGCACACTGTACACTGCTCCTTTATGTCCATTAAATTTAAATGGCCTTCCTTGTGGTTTAAAACTATAGACATGTATTATTGATTCATTTCCGCCCGATGCTAATTATCTCATTTATGGATCAAATGATAGACAATATGTCTTTTCATGTCCTCTATATGATCGAGACAATTGTGGATCTTGCAATGTCTATATATGTCGGACAATCCCTTTCGGTTCTTCCATTAATTTGAATTTAAATTATATAAATAATCGTATATAACACTTGATAATAATTAATTTAATTGGGAGCAGTATTATACAAATGTAAAGTAGTTAAATTTTTTGTCTCAATTAAAAGGTCTCAAATATGAGAATATTAAAAATAATTGAAAAGATTATATACATCCTGCTATCTGATTATTTGCACTTTAATAATAAATAATTACAAATTGTATCTTTTCGAAAATAATCACAATTTATTAATCAATATAATTTAATATACTGATGTGTGATAATCTTAAAAACAATATTATTTATTTTTAAAAATAGTCACAACTTCAGGAATACTGGATGTAAATTTGATTTATTTCCATCTCCAAAAGTTTATATCATCGTTGATATCAGAATAAACACTCACTTATAATAAATTATTTAAAATGATTTTGAATTATTTAATAAAAAATACAGTGTAGAAATTACACAATACTTTATTAAAATCATTCTGTAATTATTTTAAGTAGTAAATGTTTTTTCGGAAAAATTTAAATATCAAATAAATGTGCCAATAAGCCATTTTAAGCGCTTTCTTTAGGATTATTGAAAAAAAAAAAAATTCCCCCTTGGAAAGTTTCGAAACCTAGAGGAATATGACTTTCAAAAGGCTTGTTAGTATTTTGATTATAATGTGTATAATATATATGTGTATAATGACAACTCTTTGTTCTTTAGTCTATGTGGAAAGGCTGATCGGGTATCTGTAAATAATTTTAGATAGCGTATTAATTTAAATTATACCCGATTTCATTATTTTATTTAATAAATATCACTCTTTTTCCAAGGAGAGAAATCAAAGAAAGGTATTGTTATACAGCAAGAATATTGAACGATATTCTTTCGTATTCCTATATACATTTATAATTTGCTATTTCAAGTATATTATTTTAGGAATGAGCGAAGAAAATTAATTGAATGCTGATAAAAACTAAAACAAAAATAATCTTGAGAAAATAATAAAGTTAGATAAAAAGAATGGGAATTTTGATATTTATGATAAATACTCCAGGTAAGATCAATATTCATTACAATTAGACGCAAGCTGAAGATTAGGACATCATAGAACAATTCCTACATCAACAGTTCGTATTAGAATGAATACATTTTATGTTATTTTTGGAGACATATTAACTAAGTGTACTTTAAAAAAGTGGATGAACCTGAGTACGAGAGACTTGATTACCTCAAAGCTATGAATGATGATGCTATTGTAACGGAATTTCCTGTGAAATATGCTGATTATAAGTTTTATTAAGCAAGATAAATCTTAAATAAACAACAGATTTAATCAGAAAATAAAACTTATTGGGAGAATATATAGAAGCATATCAAGTTGAGTGGTCTCATTCACAAAGCAAAGGCTCTAAAAATACCTTAGATCGAAAAAATTTATTACATGAAACAAAAATCAATGGTTAAATTTAAATAAAAAAACATCAGGTATTAAGTACATTATAATTAAGTTCATTAATATAAGAAAATGCTTAATTGGATAAATTGTTAGACAAGTTGAATGAACAGATAGAACTGAGAACAGGACAAAAAGATGAAATATTTCAGCAATTATAAGAGTATTCAAATGAACTACAATAACTAAATAAATCCAATAAGAAAGATCTACAAAATCTCTCTTAAAAAATCAAAAGCGAACAACCTTTAAATGTCTTTGGAACCTAAGTGCATATTTATAAGTAAGGTAGAGGCAATAATGCTCTCAGTAAAAATCAAATCATTTATAACAATGATGCCTTATTGACTTATTTAAGAAAGAGTCTTGAATAGTTAGACTATAGATAGACTGCAGAGTCTATAGTGAAAGTCATAAACAGTGTGCATTCTCCTAATGGTTATTAATTTTGTGTGGCATTCGAATAAGCATTAAACTCAACCTATGTCAATATAGAGGAAGATTTGATGTACGAATTGGATAAACTAAGAGATACTTCTTTATTTAAATTCTACAATATCCCTTAAAAAACTAAATATTCTCACATAGCTTAAAATGTATCATATTATTTATTAATCAAGTTTATTGGAATAAATCAAATACAATAAAACAGACAGAAACCTAATCCATTGATAAATAAAAATTTGACCAAAGAATCTAAAGCAACTTAATCTAATGATAATGATTCTACTTTGTTAAGATATGAGGCGTGCCACCATTGCAAAATGCTGTTTAGAGAAGAATATCTTATCTCTTGTAATTATAGAAGTGGAACCATGGGATTACCGATTATAAATTCATCAATAACAGATTCCTATTTGTTTACTCAAAGTAAAAATAAATGTAAAATTTTAGTGGACGATGAAGGAATTAAGAGTAGAAGATAAGTCCCAAATAGAAAGAAAACTGCATACAGTATTTATTCAAAAAAGAGTAAGTTATCAATACTAATTGATTAGATGGGGAGTTGATTTGTTAAAGAAAGTTCTGTAGAATGTGTTTGAAATAAAATTATGATATCAAAATTGAAGAGGTAACCTAGAAGACAGATTGGGTTTGTCCTTTTTGCTAGGTAATTTCCATAATTAAATCAGGCTATCTGTTTTTGTTCTAGATGTCAAAGAAATGATATAATGATAAAATTAAAGGATTTATATACTATTTGTGGAGGGGATTTAGAATAATTAACCAAAGATTCGATTTTTGAAAAGTACGTTCGTCCTTTAACGGATGATTAATTATATAGAAAAAAACCCAGTCAACTTTAGGTATAATTATTTGAATAAACATAAAGAGAACTGGCTACTCTTTTGTAAAATAATAGTTGAATAGTTTCAAAGATATGTAGGGAATTAGATTGGATTTCGAGAATTTGAGATTGCTGTGTTCTTAAGTCATGAGGAGGGAGAAGATGAAATGGAAAATATTGGAATAAGATATTCTCATTTGGAATTATGAAGTTAAATAACAGAAACAACAAAAACAATAAACCTCAAAAATGACATAAAAAAAATAGAAAAATCAGAAGAAGTTAAAGAAAATTACTAAGAAAATTCAAAAGTATGTTATGTTATTTCATGGTTTAGATCTGATGTTGAATATATATAGGAATTATCTTCCTCTTCTTCCTTATCATCCAGTAGTAGTGAATATTAATAAAGTAGTGATTATGAATCTGAAGAGAATGAAAAAAATAACAATAATAACAACAATAACAATAATAATAATAATAATAACAATAATAACAATAATAATACAAATAAATAGAAAAATTAAAAAACTAATGTAAAATCATAAAAAATGAGATAAAAAAATAACAAATAAGTCAGTAATGAAAAATAGCAATCATTAAATAAGATATTACAAAATTACAAGTCATTTCCTGCCAAAAACGTTAAGAGAGAAGTTGCCTATTTATTGTAATATTAAGACAGTGACACCTATAGTCTCATTGTAAAAAAAATCAAATAAGATCAATCGATTAACTCCTTAAAGAGATGAATAATGTTATAAAATACAACATAACTAAAACAAATAATATATCAAATGATTTAATATTTTTACAAGTCGAGAGAATCAAAATAGTAGTAAGAGTTCTTATCGAAGATCTCATATGACTTTGATCTTTTCCTATTAAATAGTTTAGGTTTCAAGCTATTTACTCTTACACTAGACCCAATTTGAGACTGGATTAAACTATCAATTGTTTATTTATTATCCCTATTGATATCTGTATTGATTGAGGGCATTTTTACGCACTCAAGCAATGATTATATGTATTTCTCTGATTTCAATTAGTTTTTTTCCTATTCCAAAAACAATTGTAATTATCTAGAGGAGCTTTCAAAATCCAGGTGATCTAACTCACTAGTTTTTTTTGAATTGATTTTTTTGGAGTATTTATAAGGAATAGATCTTTGTTATTGGATTGATATTGGAGTATAGGGTAGCAATTTCAAAGGTTTAATTTATTTATGTTCGTTGGATTTATTTTGGACTATTGTTTTGTTTGGAAAATGAATTGATTTGATCTCATTTTAAATCCTGTTTAGAATAGGAATTTAATAATTTGGCCTTCGATATCTGATTTAGGGAATTTCTTCTTATATTTTATTAAGTGATAATTCTTACATTAGTATTAAATAAATAAAATATTATGTAAGCCTTAAGATAGTTTTATTAAAGTAGATATTACAAAAGATCTCTGTATGGTGTGATTGGCTTAGGAGTCATCGGTGCCATTCTAGTTGTTTCGACTAAATTAAAAAAGCAATAATCAAAATAGCAATCCCTTAACCAATTTCAATCTAATGAATAATCATTATAAGGAACAATTTTCAATAAATTGGATAAATGCTCATTATCTAATTTAGATTAAGTGAAAACATTGAACACTTCAATTTAGCTTGAAATTGATTTTATACAATAAATACTAACTGGAAGAGTAATTTTAAAGATGAAGGCCATTTAATCAGTGAATAAAATATAATTAGATGCTAAAATGTTATCTATTAAAGTTGTGAAGGTAAATGACTAAGAGACTTAATTTCACGTTAAAGAATCAGTTGTTAAGGAATTGGGAGATCAATTAGAAATATTTACTGAAAAATAAGCTAATGAAGAATTCTAGGTTGAAATCATATATTCAACTTTATAAAATGTTCACAACGAATAAGTTGCACAAAACTGGCTTCAACCACCTTAAACATTTGGCAATAAGCACCCCTTTTTATTTACATAATCAGAAGCAATTTATGCAAGATCATTAGTACATATTATTATTAATTCATTTAGTATCCATGTTAAGATAGTCCATCAATAAAATCAACTTTCGATATTGAATTGATTGTGCCTGCACCTTTAAAAGCATTTGGATCAGGGTTGTTAGTCAAAGAAACTTTATCTCAAGACAAGAATATTTTCTAATTTAAATAACCTGTAGCTATACCTTCGTATCTGTTCGCCATCTGTGCTGGAGATTTAGAGAAAAAAAAAATTAGTGAAAGAACATTTGTAATATCTGAACCTAATTTAATTAATAAATGTGCTAATGAGTTCTCTGATATGGAGAAATATCTTTCAACTATTGAAGAGTATTTAACACCTTATAAATGGAATGAATATACAGTGATTGTATTACCTAAGGCCTTTCCTTATGGAGGAATGGAAAATCCAAATTTGACATTTTTGTCACCTTCCTTAGTTGTGGGTGATAAGAGTGAAACCGCTGTACTCATTCATGAAATGATACATTCTTGGTCTGGAAATAGTATGACATGCTAAAATTGGGAATGTTTTTGGTTGAATGAGGGTATCACTACTTTTATTGAGAATAAAATGGTTGGTAAGATTTTTGGAAAAGATCAATAGACATTACATGGCTTATTAGGGGTATTTACTAACATTATTACTCTTAGGATAATAGTCTATAGAAAAGTATCAATAACTTTGGGGCTGATCATACATATACTACATTATCTCCAAAGATTGACTAACAAAATCCTGATGATTGTTTCTCTGTGATTCCTTATCAAAAAGGATGTTAATTTTTGAGATTTCTAGAAGGTTAAATTGGAGAATAGAAATTTTAGGAATTTATTAGATTAATAGTTTCATAGGATACATTGAATTCAGAATAATTCAGAGTTCTGTTGGAGAAGTTCCTTCTTGAAAATAATATTTAAGGAGTAGATATTCAATGGTAATAATGGATTATTGATCCTGGAATGCCCTAAGAAAAATTAAAAATAGAAGAATAATTCAGCAAAAAGTATGAAAAATTAGCTAATGATCTATATGAGAATTAAATGCAATTGGAAGATTTCTAAAACTTACATTCAAATGAAAAATGCTTCATTTTAGATTTAATTGGAAACATGAAGATTGATTAAAGAATATTGCAGAATTTAGAGGAAGAGTATCAATTGTTTGACTCAAATAATCCTGAGATTCTGCATAGAATTTTGATCTATGGAATCAAGTGCAACTATCCTGGTGCATTAGGGTAATACTTGATTAATATTTACTTAGTGATAAATTGAGTCATTTTTTAAGTGCTAATGGTAGAATGAAGTTCATAACTCCTGTTTATAGAGCATTGTCTGAAAAAAACCCAGAGATAGGTTTAAGAATATTCAATATGTGTAGAAATAGTTATCATAGTATAGCTGCAGCCTAAATCTAAAGAATGTTAGGTATTTGAAATAAAATTAAAATATTCATCATAATATGTACGATCTATGCATTCTAAAAATTAACTTACAATTTCTGTTGTGTCCATTAGTTTTTGTTAAGAATTTTTTTCTAATTCAATTTAGTTAAAGAAGTTCCATTATTTTTATAAATTAATGTAAAAAAAATAAGTAAATGATAATGAGGATAGATATAAAGGTGAGGCAGGGAATTTCTAATCTTTAGAAAGTGATGATGGTCCAGGACCTATGAAATGTAAAATATAGTGTTAATAGTGTAGCTGTTGAAGGATGGATTCTTATTGCCAAAGGAATTCATGAAGAAGCATAAGAAGATGATTTATTTGATGCGTTCAGCAAATACGGTCCGATTAAGAATCTTCATTTGAATCTTGACAGAAGAACTGGTTTTGTTAAAGGGTAGAAGCTAATAAAATTATTAGTTATGCATTAATCGAATTTAGTGATTTCAGCCATGCTTAAGATGCTTTGAATGGTGTTAACAAGTCAGATGGAATTTATGGTAAAAAAGTTCAAGTTGACTGGGCATTTAAAAAACCTTGCAAAAAAGGTGCTTTGAAACCAACGAAGAAATAATAATAATGATTTAAATTTTATATCTATGTAATAATTTTACATTGGTTATATCTGATGATGTCCAATAATTGCATTAGAACTCTGGTGACAAAGTCTCTGAGTTATCAATAAATAAGTCCTAAATAAAATTCATTTATTTTCCCTAAGATGAAGTTAACTATAGCACGATCTCTCCCAAAACTCAATTCTCTTGTATAAAGAGAATCTGCTAAGAATTTATTTATTATTGATATATTTATATTTATAATATTAAAATTTGTAATTTTAATACAATTCTATATTTCCTTTGTTATGTAGATTAAATTTTAAATTATAAGATTGTTAAAATTAAAATTATAAATATACCAATTAATACAAGGATTTGTGCAACCTTAACGGCGCCTTTTAATAAAATTCCTTAATAATATTATCACTTGTAATGAACTATAACAATAGTAGCAACTCGAATACCAAGCGTTAAAATAAGAAGAATAAAGCTTTGAAGAAATACAATATCTTAGGTTAAGATGACAAACAGCAGATTTTAGAGAGCTTACAAAAAGACTCTTCTCTTGAGATGTATTAAATCTTAAGTGAGAAATACAACACTTCAATTAAAAACTTAAGAAGGTGGTATCAAGATGGAATAGCTCGTAAACCTGGATGTGGAAGAAAGAAACTCAATACTAAGGCTGAAGAGGAACTAAGATAATGGATCATAAAAGAGAGTGTGGAATTGAGAAGGAGAGTTAGGAGATCTTAGTTAAAATAGAAAGCTATTGAATTATTTAATATTCCCAACTTTAAGGCTAGTAAAGCTTGGCAGGATGAATTTATCAGAAATTTTGATATCAAATATTAGGTTAATGAAATAATTGTAGAAAGTAAAATTTGAAGAGCAAAGAAGGAAGAGGCAACAATAAGTTTAATCAGTTGATTAGAAATCAGAAAAGTAGGAATAACTTTAATAAATCTTTTCATAACAAGCAACGGAAATACCGCAATCAAAATTAGAAGTATTAAATATACAACCAAAAGTTTCAGATTTCAAATTGGAAGATTGGTCTTTTGAGAAATAAGAAGACATTAAAGATTACTTGTCTGAAATCTTTTCTCCAAAATTAGAGTTTTTCAATGATGAAAAGTCAAATTAGTATTATCTTCCCTTCTGGAATTAACTAATCCAATATAAAGAATTCTAGACATCTAATATTTTTATCATCATATAATTATTTAAGTATTATTATTAAATATATATAACAACCAATTAAATGGAGAGGGATTGTAAATATAAGAAATTTCTTCTTAGTTTTTAAGTAATCAGCTTCCAACTTTTGTTAAAATCCTAACATAAAGAATCCTGACTAATTTCCATAAGTAATGGAGCAATTCGATAGAGAGTATTTCATAAAACTCATTAATAGTGTTTGCTAGAACCTTGGTTAGGCTTATCCACAGGTCCCAAAATATTAGTAATAACAATTGAATATTCCACAACAAAATTCCTTGCTTGATCATTTTTCTCGTTAAACTCTGTTTGCAGATTAAGGGTACTGATTGCATTATAAATTAGATAATTGTTCTAATACTCATAGACACTGGAAAATGCTAGGAGCTAATAAGAAAATAGTAAACCTATTTAACAAAAGCATTTATTGATGGATCATATGTTGGGCAATCNTAACAATAGTAGCAACTCGAATACCAAGCGTTAAAATAAGAAGAATAAAGCTTTGAAGAAATACAATATCTTAGGTTAAGATGACAAACAGCAGATTTTAGAGAGCTTACAAAAAGACTCTTCTCTTGAGATGTATTAAATCTTAAGTGAGAAATACAACACTTCAATTAAAAACTTAAGAAGGTGGTATCAAGATGGAATAGCTCGTAAACCTGGATGTGGAAGAAAGAAACTCAATACTAAGGCTGAAGAGGAACTAAGATAATGGATCATAAAAGAGAGTGTGGAATTGAGAAGGAGAGTTAGGAGATCTTAGTTAAAATAGAAAGCTATTGAATTATTTAATATTCCCAACTTTAAGGCTAGTAAAGCTTGGCAGGATGAATTTATCAGAAATTTTGATATCAAATATTAGGTTAATGAAATAATTGTAGAAAGTAAAATTTGAAGAGCAAAGAAGGAAGAGGCAACAATAAGTTTAATCAGTTGATTAGAAATCAGAAAAGTAGGAATAACTTTAATAAATCTTTTCATAACAAGCAACGGAAATACCGCAATCAAAATTAGAAGTATTAAATATACAACCAAAAGTTTCAGATTTCAAATTGGAAGATTGGTCTTTTGAGAAATAAGAAGACATTAAAGATTACTTGTCTGAAATCTTTTCTCCAAAATTAGAGTTTTTCAATGATGAAAAGTCAAATTAGTATTATCTTCCCTTCTGGAATTAACTAATCCAATATAAAGAATTCTAGACATCTAATATTTTTATCATCATATAATTATTTAAGTATTATTATTAAATATATATAACAACCAATTAAATGGAGAGGGATTGTAAATATAAGAAATTTCTTCTTAGTTTTTAAGTAATCAGCTTCCAACTTTTGTTAAAATCCTAACATAAAGAATCCTGACTAATTTCCATAAGTAATGGAGCAATTCGATAGAGAGTATTTCATAAAACTCATTAATAGTGTTTGCTAGAACCTTGGTTAGGCTTATCCACAGGTCCCAAAATATTAGTAATAACAATTGAATATTCCACAACAAAATTCCTTGCTTGATCATTTTTCTCGTTAAACTCTGTTTGCAGATTAAGGGTACTGATTGCATTATAAATTAGATAATTGTTCTAATACTCATAGACACTGGAAAATGCTAGGAGCTAATAAGAAAATAGTAAACCTATTTAACAAAAGCATTTATTGATGGATCATATGTTGGGCAATCAATTTGTGCCTGCTCCTAATAATTATCTAGACTTTAATGTGAATTCAAACTAGTTAGGTTAAATTATTAAGTAGCCAACATATTTCAAAGACCCTCACGATGTAAGCGAATTCTAAAAGAGATAAATTCAATATCTCTAAGCAATAAATGATCCTGCCCCTCCTGATTAAGTTAAACTATTCAAATAAAACATTCAGCAATTAGGGGGCATAGAGGATACAATTGGGAGTAAATGCTAATTTAATACTAGACATGCAATAAACATTAAACTAATACGAAATTAAACATTTGAACAATAAGAATATCAAATATTATCCATTATCTTCTCCTCCATTGACTTAAGAATAAATAGAATATCAAAAGACAATGTCCAGTACGAATTTAAGTCTAATTATTAGGTAATCCTCATCCATTTCTATACAATCCAGCAGAGGATAAGGAGAGGTTTGTTTATGGGCCATTGAAACCAGCCTAAAATATATATGAATAATAATAGACTCACTAATCCTAGTTTTATTGTATCTATTCATATTTAAAAAGAAACTTTGCGTTAATAATACAATTAAGATTTGAATTAGATGCAAGAAAGAACTCAACCTTTATAATAATAAGATTAGGGTTACTAATAATAACATCCTTACTAATAGTAGAATCCTTAATCTTACTATTTTGATTCAATTGAGCAATCAAAAAGATTGAGAATGATGAAATAACAGCAATTGTAATAGAAACGTTGAGATACACCTAAATAAGAGTGATTTATATCAAGATTTTATACGTTTTATATTGATCTTATAATTACAATCTCTAATATGGAGATCAAATACAAAAAATATAGTTTTGTTCCTCATAATGAAAAATAAATTCTATCAATATAGACCTCGAAATCAGGTTATTTTCTTTAGTTCTTATATAATATATATCTCTAAACCATATTGATAATTGACTATTTTTCATTTTGTTAAGACAATAGATAACTGATATAAATTACAAAATGGATAATTAATTTCTAGAGTTTAAGAAGCGTAGAGAATAGAGTTTTATGATCAGTCAAGTTATTGATATTTTAAATGATTTATATTAACTTAAGGGACAGAAAGGTATTGATAATAAATCTTATTTAAAAATTGGAGATAAAATTGATTTCAAAGTATTTAACTCAATTATTTTAGATATAGATAGAATGGTTATTTTATTTGATAGAATTATGATTAGAAATATTTCTGGACCTTTCCATTTTGAAAAGAGAATAGAATTGGAATATTCAACTTGATAATATGTAATTATAAGTTATTATATAAATAATATTTAGAAAAATAATAAATGAATATTAACAGTAATAGCAAGCCAAGTCTTTAAGAATATCTTGATAAATTAAAGCAAATCCAAGATGCGAATAATAGGAGACTAAGTTAAGCAAAATCCCAAACTAATGCCTCAAAAATAATGACTCCGAAGACAACTTCACAATTAAAATAGCAAACAAAATTATCTACTGATCGTTCTCACTCTTAACATAAGTTGGTGCCCTTTTTTTAGAATAGGAAAGTGTCAAGCTCAAAGAGATAAACTAGTTAGGCTGATGAACCTAAAATACCAATCTCTATTTCTGGTATAACAAAAACAGTAGAAGCAACATCTCCAAGAACGGGTGAGTTGGAGGATATCAAAAAATAATTAAATTAATGGTTTATTAAGGAGAGTAAGAACAACAATACTGGTGGATGTCTTTAATTATTGGAACCAACATTAGTTCATAATATTTGTATAATTAAGTTTATAATTCGTAGTGAAATTACCTCCCAGATAGAAAATCAATTCAGAACTCAGAGCTTCTCTTTCAGCTAAAGACATGTTGGATAACACGGCACTTCATTATGCAGCCAAAAATGGGAATGCTTAATTAACATCTGCATTAATATTTAAGTAAATTGCTATTGATGCATAAAACAAAGATCACATGACCCCATTAATTTTAGCAGCCTTAAAGTATTGAATTGATTAATAACATATAAGTGGATAGGATGAAGTCTTGATGATACTGATGAATGCAGGTTCAGACATCAATCACTAAGATTCTTTTGGAAACACAGCATTACATTATGCTTGTAAATAGAATCATAAAACAGTCGTCTAGTTGTTATTGAAAAGACAATCGATTTAGTTTAAAATCAATAAAGAACATAAAACTGCTGAATAGTATGCATAAAATGAGGAAATCCAACGTTTATTCTAGAATTATAGTGAGGATATTAAAAAACTATGTAAGTTATTTGTTAATCTTAATTTAAGAATAGAAAATGAATATGGTCTAAATATAGAATACTTAAAATGATGTCATTCTTAAAATGTTTTAATATAAAAGAGGATAGATGAATTAATAATAATAATAACAATAATAATAATAATAAGGAATTTAATAATAAACATAACAAAATTTTGCTTAAACTCCAACTCAATTAAATAGTTATTCATGCAAAAATTTAAATGTAGTAAATAAACAGTCATCTTCTCCAAACAATAGAACTTAACAAGAAATTAAATAGGAGAGATTAAACAAAATAAACTCAACTCATTCTGCTAAATAATAGTTAACCAATACAGTTTCCACGAACTCTGATTCTATTAAGAATAAGGAAGAAGAAAAGATTGGACCTTAGTAATTCCAAGTAATTGGATTAATTGGAAAGGGTAGTTTTGGAGAAGTATATTTAGTATAGAAAAGCAATTAGTTATATGCAATGAAAGTGCTTCATAAAAGCAGAATTATGAGTACAAATATTTTTAATAATATAATTAGAACATAATTTGACCAGATATGCTTTAACGGAAAGGAATGTACTATCAATAACCTCTCATCCCTTCATAGTTAAATTAAGATTTGCCTTCTAGACTTAGGATAAATTGTTTATGATTTTAGATTATTGTCCAGGAGGGGATTTGGGAGAAGTCCTATAAAAATAGAAGAGACTCCCTGAAAACATAGTGAAGAATTATTTATGTGAAATTGTTTTAGCCTTAGAAGATTTACATAAACGGGACATTATATTTAGAGATTTGAAACCTGATAATATTGTTTTGGATACTGAAGGTCATGCTCTTTTGACAGATTTTGGATTATCAAAGGAAGGAATCTTAGAACCTAATACTGGTGCTAGATCATTTTGTGGATCAGTTGCATATTTGGCACCTGAAATGTTGAAGAGATCTGGTCATGGAAAAGCAGTTGATTGGTATTTGTTAGGAGTTGTGATGTATGAATTATTGGTTGGGTTGCCTCCTTATTATGCTAACAATAGAGAGGAATTATTTTATAATATTGAAAATGCTTAACTCAAAATACCTTCATATATTTCTAATGAGGCTAAAAATCTCTTAAAAGCAGTATCAATTTATTATTTATTCAAATAGTTATTATAAAGAAATCCAGCCAAGCGTCTAGGTTCTGGCAAAGGAGACTCAGAAGAAATCAAGGCACATCAATATTTCTAGGATGTCAATTGGGAAGTTGTCTACAATAGAGAGTTAACAATGCCTAAGCCAAATAGGAAAATTAGAATCAATACTAAAATTGATGGAAATGTGTTCGATATGCAAAGTATAGTAGAGGAATCCAAAGCACATTTAGGAGGATGGACTTTTGTTAATAATGATGAGTTATGATAAATCTAATCTACATAATTTATATTATTTAAATGGGAAATTATATTGTGAAAGGCTTATATGCAATTGGAGTGCCTGAAACTACAATTAAATACTTCTCATAAACAACCCAGGACAAAATTGCAAATGCCATTATAAATGGAGATATAGATTTACTATAATAAATAGCCTAGTCAACTAATTATAATTTTACATCCATTTTTCAAGGGGAAAACTCTTTAATGTTAGCAGTGAGAATGAATCAAATTGCGATTGTTAAATACATAATTAATTCTACGGATGAGAATCTATTAACTACACTGCTGGAAGATAAAAATCCATAAGGAGATACCTCACTTATGATTGCCACTATTAATCAAAATATTGAAATAATTTAATATCTAATTAGCGTTGGAGCCAAGGTTAATACGAAAGAAAATGGAGGAGCCAGTATTTTTATTGCTGCTTGTGCAAGTGGGAATATTGAATTAGTATCAGTTTTATTTAATATTCCTGGCATCAATATTTATTTAAAGAACAATGAAGGTTAAACAGCTATTCATCGGGCATGTTATTATGGTGAGATTGAAATAGTTCGGTTTCTGTTGAAAAACACTAAGCTTTCTTTGTTATCTAAAGATAAAATGGGAAATAACTGTTTTCATCTGGCAGCGAAACATTTCTACATGACTTTGATTAGATACATGCTTAAAAAATTCAGAAAACATAATCAAGTATTAAGAATCACGAACGGAGATAATTAATCAACCTTAGATATTTTAGTAGAATTATTCAATAAAATAAAAGATGAATCATATGCAGTTGTGGATGTCAATCAAATAGAAGATTATATTAAAAATAAGGATATGCCACCAGAAATCAATTAATGGACTCATAAACAAAGGGAAATTCAAAAAAAACAAGTACCTAGAAATACTGGGAACAAAAAAAGAAAAACTGTTTTATATAAATAAAATCTTAAGTTGTCATGAATGCTAATATTTCAAATTACAATTTCAGGTTCTCTTTTATGTCCACATCCCCCACAATATTTGTGATTAGCCTAGAATCTATTCCCACATTCTGTACAAAACTTTTAACTATTTCCAATAGGAGGCAAAGTTCCTACATCCAACTACTTATTTCCCTTTCTCTAAATCTAAGGTAAAAGGGCAGTAGGTGCTACCATCATCATTAAATTATTTTATTTTATAGGAACGCTCTTTCTATTGTGATATTTGATTTCTAATTATTAATGAAATATTCATACAAAAAGAGTGTTTTCTTGTTAATTTTTCACAAATTGGAATGTGCCTTTCAGCAGCTCTGGATATGAATCTTCTATTACAATGAGGACACTCCGTATCTTAGATAGCAGTAGCCCTTGATTTACAGTCGATAAAACCTGTTTAGAACTTGAAATAATACCTATATTAGTTAAATTTGCTTTGCCAGATTATTCTGCTATAAATTTTTATAAACTAGTAGGTCTGAATTGTTGTGATGAGTCTGATAGTTATTTTTTGATAATGGGCTTTCTTTCCATTTGGCTTGAAGTAGAAGGTGTACTAACTTAGGCTTATCTTTTTTCTTAAAGTTGTGGTTAGGAAGGTTATATCACTTCAACGGTCTTCTTCCTTGGAGGTTTAGGTTTGGCTTTGGTTTCTTTACACTTTGGGATGTGTCTTTCAGCAACATCTTGGAGATAGATATTTAATTGTTACGTTTATCAAAATGTCTTTCACAATATTCGCAGAAAACATAATTGGAATTTACTTTGGTTTCTGGCGGTATTAACTAATTTACATCTTATCCTTCATTTTCTAACTTAATATATAATGCTGTTATTACCTATTTTAATTTTCGGTTATATTAGATTTATTCCTAAAATTTTTGATGTTCTTCCCTCCAATTAGTTTTAACTATTTCAACATCCGTTTATTGAAGTTGTTATTTTTTTTGTTCAATCTGTTTTTTCTTTTTTTATATTATTTTGTCCCTTTCTTATTATTTCAGTTGTGCTTTTTGACAAGCAATAAGATGTCTTTCAATTCTTTCAGGATGAAACTTCCTATTGCATAGCTCGCATTCTATGAGATCTTGGTTTGGTTGATTTTCATCCAAGAATTCGTTATCAATCTAATCTTCCATATATAATAATAATAACAATAAAATAATAGATAAAAAATCACAGAATATCTTCATCATATAGCAACCAAATGATTAAAACTGCCATAATAATCACAATGACCAATACAATAAAGTAAACTTAATTATTGATTTCTTCTTATACTTCACCCTCAACTTCAGCTTCATTTTGTTCGCCATTATCGAATTGAATCTCGCTTGAAGTAATCCTTTAGACTGCATTTTCTTATAACATAGAATTGGATGGAGAATCCTGATTTTAAATGGTGATTCCATTCTACTATTTATCTTACTATTGAAAGCTGTCGGTTTGTTGGATGTTTTCTTATTAGTATTCAAATTGAGATGAATTGGAAGGCACAGAGTCAGGCTATTCTCCAGTGCCAGATTGACTTAGGATGCTGACTCCGTCATACTGCTTTTCACTTTAAAATGAAGACTTATTGTTGAGGATACGAGTGATAGCTTTGGTTCGTTATGTTTCCTTAAGATAATTATCTTTTAATCTTTTGATCCTAAAATGAATAGAGATTTCATCACTTATTTTTGGAGTCAATGTTGTTGATGTTGTTTTCAAGTGACCTCACTTGATCTTTGATTTCTTCAATGAAGAATTATATTTGATCAATTTCTTGTTTGATCATTTAATAGAGTTCTCTTTTGATGATATCAACATCAAGATTTTATTAGATGACATTATTCTTATTGTGCAATTTTTCTAGTTTGAATTCAACTTCCTTATTGATAATGCATGAATCACTTACTTTGTAAATCTGCTAGAATTCCTATGCTGTCATGGTTAGAAGTTAATCATTCATGATTATATAATTTTATTATTATATGCAATAATTTCATTTCCTCAACTCTGCTTCCAAAGTAGCAATCTCCTCTCTCAATTGATCCTAATACTCCTTGTGAGTTTGTTTGGCTCTTTCCCAAGCTCTCCTGGTCAATGGGTGCAATTCAAGTCTGTCCTCTAAAGTTTTTCTAAAGTTGAAAGGTGAAATGCAAACCTGTAAAAATTGTTTTATCTTAAACCATCAAGTTTAGCATTGGTAGCAATGGCATATAGAGGAATGAATACAGCAGAGGCTGACCATAAGATTCTGATGGATTATTGGGATGAAGCATAATGTCTGCCTAGAAGACAAATGAGTCCTAAACCCGCATTAGTCAACCAATCTATGTAAGAATGAGTATACATTAAAGTGAATGGGGATTGGCATATTCTGGCAATGGTCTGTATTTAAATGGTTTGAATCCTTAATCTTCCAACCTTTGTTTGACTTCTGGTGTTATATTCGGAATAGCTTATTACATTTTAATTTAATATATAATATAATTTTTACAGCTTCATTCATAAATTGTTGTCAGAATCTCACTTGTCAAACAAACAAATGACATTATTATCGAATAGACAAAGAATATCTTGGCCAAACTCTCCTATAGACTTTCCATCTTTGTCATCTATTTGTTCTTGTAGCCTTCCTTCATAAGCATGAACAAAAAGAGACTAGGCAATACACAACCAATAGAATTCGAGGATACTGATCCAACAAAATTAAATGCTATTTCTAAGGAGTGAATGTAAATTGAGCCTATTGTGATAATGACAAACAATCCAATTGACCAAATATAATACATATATTTAGTTGATTATTATCTCTTCTTCTTTTATTTCTTCAACAAAGCCACTTCCTTCTCATCCAAAGAGTCAATATTTACACCCTTCACCTTATTCTTCTTTTCTCCTTTGATCAATTGCAAAAAGTTATTCCTTGCTCCAAAGAACACCAAAGGAGTTGTCAATACTGTAGATACATAAAATGAACCATTCAACAAATAGAATTGCACGTCTCCCATCTTCTCTTTGGTCACACTCGCCAAGAAATTAGTTTGTGATTCCTTACCATAAATGGCACAACCCATTATTCCAACCATTAAATAGAAACATGTAGCGATAATCATCCCAAAAGAACAAGCCTTCATTACTTTCTTGTCATTCGGTTTGTCCATCCCTTTTGCAACGGGAAACAAGTTGAATTCCCAATTGTAGGCTAGTAATAAAGTGGGGAATGCTCCAAATGCCTTGATGAATGTGAAATCATAAGGCAAAATAGTGAATCCAACTGCCAAACCATCGTTTTTCATCGTGCTTATAAAACTAGTTATCAAACTTATGCAAAATAAACTCATTGCACAGATTGCTGTAACACCTGCAAATTTGAGTTTCTCAATTTTCTTAATTACCATCATAGGAATCATTATCAACCCTGATATTGAACTGAGAAATTGTCTCTGTGTGTACCATTCTCCATCATTGGCATCAAATAGAGATTTCACTACATTCTAAATAGCGGTCCCCTGTATGATCATCTCGGCAAAGCATAAACCAAAATTGTTTATTATAATTATCAAATTGATAAAAACTATTATACTTTTTGATTTAAATGCAGAAAATCCAATTGTTGAAATGTTACTTCTTTTTGATAAATTCTTGCATTGCAAAAACATATTGGTACAGTATTAGGTTTGCCAATAAAAGGCTATAATCAGAATAATTGTAAAAAGTAACCCAAAGTTATATGTGACGTAAGGCTAAATAGATGTGCATTTCTTACAAGTCCAAGGATTCCCACGCCTAATATGCTTTTAGTTACTATCATACTAGTCATAAATAAGTTTGTTTTAGCTTTCCGATTATGACCCATATATTATGAATTTACACTAAAGGATTACTCCATTGCCTCATCGCCACTCAACTCTTCATATGCTATTTCGTTATTAATCCCCGTCTAATTCTATTCTTCCATTATCTCATATTATTCCTCGTGAAATTAATCGAAATGTTATTCCATAAATTAATATAATTATTTACTCTGACTTTAAAATGTATACATATATATATTCTCATTCAAATCCATCTCATACACACTAAATCATTCATTCACTCTAAACTACAATTCGCTTTCTATTTTATCATTTAATAATTGGATTATTAATATATTTATGCAACATCATATACTGATTTCTCCATCCAGAGTGGCTGTTTAATAAAAAACCCAACTCTCCAAGAACACTTTGATCTCCCCTCAACGATTTCCCAATAGAAAAATATCCCAAGGAGTCATTGAAGATTTTGTTGTTAAACCAAATTATATTACCAAAACAAATAATGGTAGCTTGACTGAAAGAGTAAATAGTTTACAGAAATCATAAAAATCAGTTTCCAAAGACAAAATAAGACCAATAAGCAAATAATTGCGAATCCCGACTGAAAATTTCTTCCACATAACAAAAGGTGTTAATTTACTCTTAACACAGAAAAACTCCAATCCTTAATAATGCAATAGTCAACAACTTAAACCAATTCAAGGCTCAATGACAAGGAGAAATAGCATGGAAGAACTAATTGGGACTACTATGTACACTGGAATTGGTAAATCGCAATCCCAAGACAAAATTTAGAAGCAGGAAATATCCATATATGTTCACTATTCATAAGATGAAGTTTAGAATTATCGGTTCGCTCCCAATATCACTACTGACAAAATAACTAGTCTCTTGAAGTAAAAACAATAGAATAACAATTCAATAATTGGGTTCTCAACGGTTGATGAAAATTATACTATTGATTACTATCTATAACAACCAAATTTACCTATGGATTCTTTTGTCAATAAAACCATTAGATTGAAACCTATTTACAGTCAAGGCGCTAAAAGAATTAATCTAAGCAGTTTTCAATTCATTTCTATTATTGGTAAGGGTGGATTCTCAACTGTCATCTTAGCCAGATCACTGATAGATGGCAAATTCGTTGCTCTCAAATTGATTAACAAATAATTCATTCTATAGCATTAAAAGTAAGATCTAATATTGAATGAGAGAGACATTCTCATTCAAATTACTTATAGTGGCTCCATTTTTACTAATCAAATCGAATGTGCTTTCGAAACCAAAAATTGGATTGTTTTTGGAATCGAATACTGTCCTGGAGGAGAAATGTTCAATTACATCAAAAAACTATAAAGACTCTCAGAATAACAAGCCAAATTTTATATCATTGAAGTTATCTTAGCCATAGGATTCCTACACAATGAATAAATTATTTATAGAGACATTAAACCAGAAAACATTCTAATTGATTCTAGTGGTCACATACAATTGGCTGATTTTGGTTTGGCTAGACCCAATATGACCAAAGAAACTTGTGCCTATTCATTCTGTGGTTCACCGGAATACATGGCTCCTGAAATGTTTTAAACAACAGGCCACACCTAATTAGTTGATTATTATTGCTTAGGATGTCTATTGTATGAATTCGTAACTGGATTACCTCCCTTCTATGCTGAAGACAAAAATATCATTTATGCCAGATTGCTTAAGGAATAGGTTGAATTTCCAGAGTATCTAAGTACAGATATTAAAGATTTAATAAGATAATTGATGATCAAAGACCCTCATAAGAGATTAGGTTCTCGCTTTGGAATCGATGAAATCTTTTCACACAGATGGTTTAGAGATGTAGATTTGGTCTCCTTTATCAATAAATAAGTTAAACCTCCATACATACCAGATCTACAAAAATTGAATATCAGACAAATGAGTCAAAATGATAAATACTTTTTTGAATAACTTCAAAGAGAACAGAAGTAAAACATTGCCTTTCAACCAATGTTCTCTTCTCAGTTTTATTTTACTAAAGATCTAGAAAAACAAAATAATAATGTTATTTTAAACAGAGCAACAATAGATAAATTGGTAAAGAAGACTTTAAAAAAAACTCCAAAGTAAGGTCTAACTAACCTTTAGTTATAAACAAACTTTGAAAATCTCCTTAAGCAAACATTCACCAACATTAAGTCAAAACCTGATTCAAGAAATAAGTAATAACTTCAATTTTGATATTGTTATTATTCATTTTTTTAATTTAATTGCTATTGTAATTTATATTAAGGATATATTTATATTATACCAATTAAAATTATGTAATAATTTATTATATATAATATAATTTTTCAAGATTTTTATTTCTAAACAATCTAGAAAATTTTAGTTTTCTACTTGATTGATTTTAGTATCTTTAGTTATTATTGTTGGAATTAATACTCATCCCTGATGTCCATCAAGATTTATTTTTTGGGAATCATTTTAGGGTCCTCTGCATATGTAAATAGTTTTGTATGCTAATGAAATTTTTCAATATTTAGGTTGTGTTTTTTATCATAAAAATCTTCCGATTACTTGTTATTAATCAATTTTTTAATGGACTATTAATCTTATTTACTTATGAATCTGCCTTTAATTCGTAATCGTTATTCAGCCACTTAAGATCTTCCTGAGTAAGATATTTTTCGTTCCCAATTTCTTCTTTTATTTTTATATCTTTAAATTTTTTATTATCTTTCCTGATACTTATCCATGACTGTCTTAATTTGTTCTAAACCTCTATTCGAGATATTTTCATCGTCAGTCAATGCATTGACATCACTCTTCTTTTCGCATGAATCAGTTCGTTTTTGCAATGCTCTTAACAATGATAAATTAATTCCTATTTATTATTTGTAATATATACCTTGTCCTTAATTAATGACATTCTTTAATTGATCAATGATATATTTTCTCTTGTATGGACACATATGATCATCACTCAAAGAATCCAAATTATCTTGATTAGGCAGGCAATGTAAAAATGTCTGACAACTCATATGATCATCTAGTGTTCCCTAAACTTTATGGATAAATTAAATACATTTGTTAGTTCATCGAAATTTAAAGTCCTCAATTATGGTTATAGTATCCCACTCACTTGTTCTAAGTCCTTCTTAGTGATATCTGAATTGGTAAAAAATAATCATACAATTTTGAAATAATCCGCTCTTCTCCTTTCTCCCTTCATTACTCCTAGATTTCTCTTTAGTTATCAGTCTATTCATATTAATTATATTGCTTTGTGAAAATATTTAAACAATTATTTATAATATTATATATTTATCATCCCATATATCAAACAATACCCAAATCCAATTTCCTATTAAATCCAATCCTTCCCTACATTTGAATTACCTCAGAATCGATAAATTAAATGATGAGTCGTATAATCTGTGTATATAAATTAATATAAAATCACTCCAAATATACAATAAAAGACATAAGCAATATACCTAAAAGGTAAAGTATGAATTTGATTGTCTTGTTTTAATTTTTATTGAATTCTTCAACGATTAACTCAGTCGAAGCAATATAAATAAATGTTCCTGCGGTAATGCTTTAAACAATCCCCGTTACGAATATACTTTCACTCGCAATGAGCATTCCTATGATGATACCGACTGGCGAGAGCAAAGCAGAAAAAATAATGAAATTTATTTGCAATTCTTGTTCTACATTTGATTCCCTAAACGCTACTCCTAGAGCCCAACCCTCTGCCCACTTATGACCCATTAAAGACAATCCCAAAGCCAAAGTATCAGAAGTTCTTTTTGTTACACCAAGAGCTACCCCCTCAAATACGGCATGCAATCCAATAGCAGTGGATAACAAATATGGTTTAAGATTATTTTGGTTATACTTTAAAGATCTGATCAATTGATTTGTGTGCTGATGATCGAAATTATCAAGTAATACTGCTTAATGATGTCCCTAGTGCTCTAATTATTGTAGTTCAACGCAACTTGGATTTTCCTCGACATTTCGGAAGATTATTTTTTCTACAAATAGTATAAGTGAAAATCCGAAGATTGCTATCAAAAATGCAATTGGATAATCTATATACTCAGCCAAAGTTTCATTTGCTTCGGGTAGAATATGAACAATCCCTACTGCTAAAAATAGTCCAGAAGAAAATGCATCTACTTTTAACTTTAATAATACTTGTGTACGATATCAACATATCATTTTCGAATTTACTCTTAATAGCAATTTTTCCTAATTACTCTACCTCAAAGTACATTAACACACAAAAAAGGAATTTAAGCCACATAATAGATATAAAAATAAATCAATTTAATTATAAAATCATAGCTACACCTCTCTTTGCCCAATGACTGTCAGACTATCTGATTGGCACTTTAATATTACATATGAAATTGGCTGATCCACCTGTACTTGTCAGATTCCCTTTTCTCTATACAGTATTATATAAAGGACATGCATAGTGTTACAGTACTTATTGTTCCAAAGTAGGTTTGAAATGTATGATGGGAGCATTATAGTAAAGAATGAGATTTTCAGGTTCTTCAATAGAATTAGTTTTAAAATCGAATTTTGCGCCATCAAAGTAAATGCCTTCAACATAAAACCCATCCTCTGGCTTTGAACTCGGTTTATTTTGGTAGAATTCATAGTCAAATTTAACCTCATCTATTGGTATTTTATGTTTCCTGGCATAATTTTGAAGAATACCAGTTAAAAAACTTTGTATAAAGAATAGACCACCCAACCAATATACTATTGGTTCACCTTGTATAATCCACTTTCGAATAAAGGATAATCTATCTAGTAAATCTTTGATATATGTTGCTAATGGTTTAGTTGTCTAATATGAGTGTTTCAACCATTCGTTAGGTACTTTATTATCCATAATATTTCCAAGTATGTCCTAGGAATCATCAGACATATTAATATATCCATCTATCTATTTAATAAGATTAGACAAAGATGAATTTATTGTTTTCAGTAGTTTGTTATATCTACCCACATCTTATTGAAGTACAGTATTCAAAGAGTTTTGTGACAAAATTGGATATTTATGTTCCAATTCTGCAATATTGAATTGTTAAGGCAATAAATCTATTATTTCTTTGCATTTTTGCTTGGCAATAGCATCTGTATTTTATTGAGCTCCAATGGCTCTCGGCAAGACTTACAAGATTTCTTAACTAATGTGATCAACTTACAAAATTGAGGAATATATTTCTGCATTTGAATGTAGACCAAACAGCTATGGAGGATCTTCAATTGGTAGAGTTTGAATATAGTTAATGTACCCATGTATATTATCTGATTATGGTATTTTAACATAATCACTAAATGCATATCCTTCTTTAGCAGTATTTTCATTTAAGAATTCATTTACTAAAATATTCAACAATATCCTATCCTATGGATCTGTTACTCTTCCACCATAATTTGATTCAGCAACTAAATATTGTAATGCATCCCATTGGGTTTCATGTTAATGATTTAGAATGTAGAGAATTTATTCTTTTGATATCTCAAGATCATGCTATGAGAAATTATAGCTAACATTCCATCCCAATGGACCATATTTTCTTCTTTCTAAAATGCAAGCATGAAATAAAGTCAAAGAAAAGAATAAATTCTTCCATTCATCTTATTTTTTACATTATTCAAATTTCTCTTAGTCTTATTAGAAATATGATCTCAACATATTGTTCTTTAAACCTCTTGGCAATTCATAGGTCAATTTCAGAGCTATTAATTATTTAAGAATATACTTTTCAGTAAAACATTATGTGGAAATAAATTAGTAGGTTGACTTGTTAACCATAATCTGAACTCCTTATTTATATTCTAACTCTTAAATTGGTTTTCAAACAATTACTCTAATTCTGGCATAAACGATTAGGCAACATGGCAATTTTATAATAAAACCCACTTACCTTAGTGTATACCATTCTTTATCAATTTCAATGCCAATTATATTTAACCTTATCCCAAAGAGACTGTGTAGATGTTATCCTAGTATCCTAATTTATCTGCCAACTGTATTATTTCTTGTCTTGCATCACTGCCTGGTTGTATCAAACATAATAATGGTGTTGTTGGAGTGGATTCTTAGTAGAACTACTCAAAAGTAAATGGGATATTCTCCAAGAATTGTTTGCCCATCAATGATCTTACTAATTCATTGAAACTATTGATAAATTGCTCAGGTTTTATGATCTTTATCAACATCAGAGAATTGAATTGGTTTTCAATCTATGGTATTTGTATTTTATATGATTGTTGACTATAAAAGTATCCATTCCAAAATTAATGATTTTCTACTATATCTTTGTATAACCAACCAAAATCTATAGGGTACTTCTCCATTAAATCAACCAATCCCAACCACATCTTAGGAGTCAACCAATCATAAGTTGTAGGCATTTTTAAATCAGTTTAAGTAATGGAAGGCCCTATTACACAAGTTCTTATCTATTCGATTGGAATATTAAGCACTTTTAAACAAAATAAAAATCTAAATATAAATTTATCTTTATCCAATAATGATCTATTTATTGTAATGTAAATGTGCTAAAGAAATTTATCTATGATGTTTTACACTCTTCTTTGCTTACCAAATTAGGCCTCCTTAATGGATTTCTAATATTACTAGATGTAAAATTCCAACGACCAAACGTAGGTCGGTTCAATTATGGATAAATCATTAACTATGAAGTATATGTTAGAAACCAATTCCCCCACTTGATTATAGAATGACTTAATTTAATTAAACAACAATTGATCATGTTCTAATTTCTATAATCTTTATTCAATTTCATAAGCATCATCTTTGGACTATTGCAAAGTCTTAATTAACACCTCATTCTCTAATAGATCTCCAGAAGCCTCAGACAACAATTTTAAAATCAGATTTTCAGTTTGGATTTACTTATTCTTATTCAACACATATTACGATATATTTTTATTCCTTTATTCATCCTTTAAAGGTTCATCAATCTTTACTACTATATTCAGCATTTAATCTATTAGACCTTCTTAAGTAACTTAAAAATTGAGCATAGTCACAACTACACAAACTTAAGGTTAATAATGAGGATTAGAGAGTTTAGTAGTGATATAGAATCTAAAATCACTAGAATACTCTATCATCTTATCGCCAAACTTGATATATAAGTTTCTTTGCCCTCTTTATTAATTGAATTGTAATATCTATTCATACAATGGATCCAATGTTTATCCTGCGTTCTCTAATAAGACAGCATAACCTATTTAAATTGCATGTTGCAGTTATAGTTATATTTAACTGATAGGCCACATTGCATTAAATATAATTAAACTTTTTTGATTTTCCATATTCTTAATCCACTCATTTGCTTAAAGTTGTGGATCTATCATTAATGGCCATCTTGTTGATTATTTCATAATAATGGCATTGTCGATACTGAATTAATCATTTGGTAATTTTTATTAGAGCCATCTGTTAATTTGAACAGGATCACTCAATTGATTTTGTAATGAATAATTGCTTGAGATTTAGATGTTGTATTCCTACAATTTTGATTTCCAAAATTCTAAACAAACTTCTCTATATTAAATTGGGAATACACCCAAATAAGCAATAATTGCTGAGTTAAGCATACAATCCCCTATAATATTCTTTTAGTTTTCCTTGTATTATTATGCTTTTAAATTCCATCTTGATTTTTCCTCACTTAAATTAGCAATTAATTGTTCTGCTCTTTACAATTAAGAACTGATAGTAATAACCTACTCTTCTATTCTTTCCTTCTCTGCCTTTGCTCTATTATATTCTAACTAATAACTATGTAACTCTTCTAAAACAACTTCCAAAGCATTTTTCTTTTCTTAAACAAGTTCCTCAGCTAATTGCAACTTCTCTTCTGCCTGCTTTAACTCTGCCTTCTTTGGTTCAATTATTTCAACCGCCATATAGGATTCAAGAACTGCTCTTATCCAGAGTGCCAAATTGCCTGCAGCCTTTGATGCGTTGAATACTCTATCCTTCTCAAACAAAGGATTTTTAGCAAAAACTTATAATTTTTATATGTTCTTAAAAGAGATTTATCTAATCTATTCTAACTTTAAGCTTTTGATTCTCTTAATTAATTTGTCATTCAATAAACATTTCTTAGCATAATCCCAATAATCCTACAAGACAGGAGGCTCTTTATTCTTGCTTTTGACTAAATGATCTTCTTCAAATGCATAAGCTAATCCTTCCATAACGATGGCAGCTGATACTGGTGGATTTGTAAATGATTTCAATAATATCATATCATCCTTAGTGATTCTCTCCAAAGCTTCAGTAGCCTAAGCTAATAAAGGTAACACATTATCTAATGCTTATTAACAACTATTTCTCAATTCATTTGCTTCATCACTTTATTGTTGACAAATCTTTTCTTCAGATTCACAAGCTTGCTTCTTCTTATCAGCCTCCTCTTATCGTTTTTGAATTTTGATCAGTAATTAATTGTTCTCTTCATTTGCCTTTTGTAATTTAGGTTGCAATTCAAATAATTTAGCTTTAATTCTATCCACATCATTTTCTGCTTTTTTAATTTATTCGACTCCGTTCTCGAATTTCTCAATAAATAGTTAAGATTATCCCATCTTCTGTTCCTAAATGATTTAAAAAGTTTAAAGCATTTACAAATACTAAGTTGGAGTCACATAAAAATATCTCCTCAATTCTTATTTGAATCTTTCAGTAATCTAAAGAATTTTATAATGAACTTCGACACCCATCTTAACCAGTTGTTTAGGTAAGAATTATTCAGCAGTTGACTCTAAAGCATCTTCAGGCCATGTTGAAAACCAATCGATAGTTGTACAATTGATAATTGTTGGAAATGTTCTTAAACGTTTTCTATAAAGTGCACCTACAGGTTACATACACAAAATAACATGTATATTTAACTTGCAATTTTTAACAAATTAACTATAAGTTGTTGTTTCTTGTATCTTAATTCTTTCCTCAGGGGGAAATAAATGAGACACTTCACCATGACTCATTAAATTACATACATCTTCTAACATGTACTCTGATTAGAATTAGGAATCATTAAACAATATTGTGTTTTATTCATTCTCTAATCCTGTTTCTTTTAATTAAATCAATAACTACTCGTTCCAAGATCTAGAGTCTATTGTTTTCAGGGATTTATTAAATACAATAAAATTAGCTATCTTACTCAATGAAGATCTGCCTGTTCCACCCATACCGATCATTAAAACATGTCCATAAACATTAGATAGAATCCTAACAATTCTTATAATATGAATGACAGCCATATTAAAAAAGATCAATTGAAGTCTACCTTATGAATCAAGTGAATTATATTTATCCAAAATCATAATTAACTTTTCTCTTAACTTAGATAGATCATAAACTTCTTCATATTGTTTATTTAAACAAGATGAAAATGTTAGATTTTGTATTTGAATAGATTCTAAATTCAATTAACTGAGACTATCTTGAATTAGTTATTCAAATTTATTTTGATCTTCCTCATCAATAAGTCTATCACTAAAAACTCGTAAGCATTCATGAGCCCATAATTTAAATAAATGAACTGGATTATCTATGACTTTCACTCTGCTGATTCCTTCAAATATTTTAAAGATATCTCTTAAGTTGTATATATAATGAGATTTCTATGGAGTTGGTAATAACAATTTCTACACACTCAAATACAAATTGATAGTTTTTTCAACCAGTGTGTTTTTTAAGTCTCTAATTTCTTCCACTTAATTCATTATTAGCCATTCACCAAAAACATTTAACATAGTGGTTAGATTTTAATGATTAAATCCACCAATATATAAAAGATTAAAAAATCTTAAATATCTCAAAGTGATTTAATTCCTTTCTGCAGGATGAATAGCGCCTAAGAATGTTATATCACAAATGTGTTTGAATTCTTTAGTATCTAAATCATACCACCCATTCATTTCCATCCATTACCTTAATAGTTCGACTGCTGGTACAGATCCTTCAGGTTCTCTATAGGGCATATTTAAGTCATCTACAAATATTCTAATTTATCCTTCCTCTGCATAATAATGACCTTTCTTTCTCCTCTTATTAATTTTAGTTTCTATCAATCTTTACAATCTATTAGCAGTGGTTTAGCCAGAACATGTAATTAAAAACTACTGATATTTGTTCATAGATAAAGATTTGCCAGTGCCAGTAGGACCTGCAAACAAAAAATGCAAACCTATCTAACAAAAGTAATCATTTCTAATTGTATCTGCAGTCTATGCAAAAATCTCGTGGAATTGCATTGAACCTTGTATTTTTTAAGGGACTTAAGTCTATTAATAAGATAATGTAAATACATCAATCCATTTAACCCATTTCCCTTGAATGTAACAATATGAAAAATAATCATCCAATATTTCAATCTATAATTCCAACTATGGATCAGATGGAAATTAGGTTTCTAAATCAGTTACTTTCTTTTCTAATAAGTTATTCAAAAATTGATTAAATTGAGGTCTGATTTGTTCATCCATTGCTGCTCCAAATGACCAAATCAAACAAAAGATAATAATATTATCATAGTTTTTTGTAACCAAATCTTCAGTCAAGTACTTTGATAGCAACTTAAGGAAGCTACATGTTAATATATTAATAGAATCGTAAATTATAAAAACAGAATGTCTAGACTTAACCCAAGCTATTGTGTTATCTAACAAACTATATAAAATATTAATCATATCTTACAATCTTATTCTTCTAATTGTATAATCCTTATCGTATCCTTTGTGTAATTAGATGGATTGAACAATCAGATACCAATTTATGGGTAAGAAATATACCATCCCACATCTTGATACTGTTGCTGGAGAGGCTGCTTTTAAGTCTTCTATTTCAAATAACATACACATTGTATCTGGTATTTTTAATATTTCACCTGAAGTCAAACATAACTTTTTATTATCATCCAATACAGTGTTCAAATTTTCTATCCAAATAGAATCTACAGGACCATCAAACATTATCCACACTTTTTATTGTTTATCAATGTTATCCCTTATTAAAATTGGTGCCACTCCATCTGCCCATTATTTTGTTTCTGGGTCTAGTCTACCATAGAGTTGATCACTTGTTATGGCTTTTGGATTTAATTTTAATATGAGGGCATCTTGGCTTTTACAGAGTGTTTATAGAACTGAGGTTTTTCCTGCACAGGCTTATCCAATACACATAACTCCATTTCTAACATTAATGTTGTTGTTTAATTGTATGCATTTTTCAAAGAATTCCTTGTCCATTTATAAATCCAACTCCTAACACCCATCATATAAATTTGATAGTTCTTCTCCTTCTACTAGTTAAATGCCTGGGAATAAATCTTAGGTTATAGCCATAAACAATAGGAGGTCACTCTCAGTAAATTTTGGTTTATTAACGTTAATCAAAGCATTTAAACAAATTTCCTCTTCAGTTTCATTAAACATAGATTTTGCTGAATTTAATACAGCTTTCAAGGTTCTCATACCAAAATCGTAATGTTCTTAACTAGATAGTTATTCATTGCATAATTTTAAACAAGTAACAATTTTACTACTTAATTCTCTTGCTTTTTGAAAGCCAATACTATATAAATAGATTTCAGCTATCATTGCATAATCAGGTACCATCATAGCACAAGGTCGAAATAGAATTTTCAAATTGTCTGGTAATTCTGTTCTACCAGCATATCCAGGATTCATTGTAACATTGATTGCACAAGTTCTAATTAATTGAACGTTTTCCCCTTCAAAAATAAAATTGGTTTTCTCCTCCTTAATGGCCTTTTAAATGGTGTAGATTTACTAAGCAACAACAGACAAGACTTCAGCATCAATACGATTGAATTCGTCAAAACAACACCATGACCCAGAAGAAGCCAATCCTTTAAAGAATTTACCCATAGCAATATAATTAAGACCATCAGAACAATTAAAAACTATACAAGGCATTCCAACTGCTTTTGCTAAGTCTTTTACAGTTTCTGATTTCCCAGTACCAGCTGGACCTTCTGGTGCTCCGCCATAATTCATATGTAAAGCTTCCAATAAGGTCCTTTAACATCGATCTGTTAATGATGTCATTACCAACCTAGTAACTTTTCCTAAGTACTCAAATCCATATTAAACAGAAGCATTTATCATTCTAGCAGAAACATTCTTATTTTCTTCGTTGTAATATCTCAATTATGAAATCCAAGCAAATTCAAAAATGGTTTATACATTTTGTTTATACAAAGATTAAACAATGTCTTTAGCATGTACTTCCATAACAACCATTGCTTCTAAAATAGTTTTAGCAATAATTCTATTTTCTTTTCTTACCAATTATACAGTTTCATGCAACTCTTTGTTTAATTATTCACAAAAGGTTGCCAAATTTAACTTTTACTATCCTCTTATAGCTGATTCAGTGTTACGAGTCCATCTTATATGATTTGCCAATAAAATGCATTAGGCAGGCCATTTAGAAATAAATTCCTATTTGGTTGATATCAAATCGATCAAAGTTTAATATGAATAGTTTTTGATAGCTGTTCTCATCTCATTCTGTAAATCCAGCAACCACAATTCTACATTGCCCTTCCTTGAACCTTCCATTACTTTAACATCTTAGAATAATTTAATCTTCTCCTCCTGAGTAGATTGAAATCCACTAATGGCATTAGTTGAAGTGAACTATAATTTATGCATAGCTTCAAAACATTTATAAATATGATTCTATATTTGAGTAGGATCTTTAGTTTATGATAGGATTTGGACTAGTTCTTCATCTGAAACAAAATAAAACCTCGGAAAGACAATTCTCTTTTACTCTAAATATATAGTTAAACTCTTTTAGATTTAATCTAATAACATTACTCCATTACTAAAATCAACTTTCATTTTATCACTATCAATACATTCCCATAAGATGGGTTCCTTCTTAAATTCCTTCATACAATTTCTAAAAGCTTAATCAACTAATTTAAAATTCTTCGTCTCCTCTATTAATTTTGTTTATATGTCTTCACTTGTAAAGATAGGATCTAAATACATCCATTATTTTTGACATTTCATTCCAAAATCTAAGGTTTCTTATATCAATAATATTTTATATTCCAATTGATTAGCTTAGCCAACTGATAACTTAATATGAGGCTATGCTTTCAGTATTGTCAATACACTGAATTACTCATCCAAAATTAATTATATTTCATCCAAGTTCTTAAATATAAATGTTTCTCTATAAGGACTTACTTCTAATCCAACTTAACTCAACTTGCCATGCATCTCTTATAATCTCTTTTCAATATTCCATCCTTTTTCAGCTCTTATTGAAATTTGTATTACTTATTCTTTAAAATTCAAAATTCCTCTGTTCAACAAAACAAAAAATGGGAACTCCTCTTTTGGATCGAAATTACTTATTTTGCATTCTCTAAACAACTCTCTCCAAAATTAAGGCTTTCTTGTGAATGCCTCAATTGCTAAAGCCTCGACTACCCATAATATATCTTTAAATGAATCCAACGCTTTTCTAAACCCTTTTAATAAACTTTTCAAGTTTTCATTCTCCTCTTCGAAATTAGAACTCATGGATCCTATCTCACTTGCAAATTAATTTATCTTCCAAATCATATCTTAATAGTTCAATGACTTGAAAGATCCACTAATCCACTTTTCCCTTTGGGACTCGAATTTGCTCTAATGCATATGCTGGAGATGTATACCACTAAAGTCCATAACTTTTCGTATGGTTTGAATTACACCATTATGTTGTCCAATTCTACTTAATTAGTTAATTGCATCGATAGCATTTATTAGCGAATATTAAAACTGCTGATTTGGTCTTTGGCATAATTGAAGGACTTATTTAATTGGTTAACTTGAGGGAGATAAGTCTTAATTTAACTATAATCATTAAATTGTTTGATTTAATTAAAGAGTTCTGCTATTTGATACATGGTTTCTTTGAAATCTTGCTCATCCTACTATAAACGTTTCAAGAACTCTTTCTCCTTAATTAAAATGACATCTTTGTTCTTATGAATGATTTGAGTGATATCCTTAGGTTTATATAAGAGATGATAATAAGATTCAATAATGTTGTTATCGAAATCAAAGTAGTTTTCCTCAAATATGTTTACATACTTCATTCTAAACAATTAAATATTACATTTACATCTAACTAATTTCGAATCGTAATTTCCCAAATTTCACATTGATTTCATCAAGCATCAATTTTAAATCTATCAATTCTTCCTCTGTATCTGGAATGTGTGATCCTTTTTTGTATACCTCTTCATATTATTCTCCTATATTTTTTATATTGTATTGAATGACTTCATGAATCCTACTCATAATCAATTTTTTCTATTCTTCAGCTTTGTTTACCAAGAATTATTTTATCCCTTTCAATTGTAAAGTGAATAATCCAAGCTTAATTGAATCAGAAGAATAACTTATAATTTCGTTTTTAGCTTGTTCTAAACATTTGATTTTCTCGTCTATATCATCAAAATTTAATTAAGATAGTGGAACTCTTTTAGTTGATATCCCTAATAACTAATTCACTTCAGTGGATTTGAATCTCTTTAAAATGAATTCGAACTTCTAAAATTTAGCAAGTATTTATTCACATTTTCTATATTCGCTCTTTATTATGTCTATCGTTGGATTAATATACTATTTCTACTATTCAATATCATTCGGTGTTAATGCCAATTCATTTTTCAATAATAACAAAGTCATAATATCACTTTCCATCCTATTCACTCTGCTCACTTACTCAATTAATTAAAATTAAGGAAAAGTTAAGAGTTCTATAACCTCATATTCAGATAAGGTTAGAGTAATTTTTTCATCGTACTCTATTTCCTCTTTTTATACCTCCTATTCTCTCTCCCTGATTGATTATTTGGTCAGTCTTTCCATCTGTTTCATTACTTTATTTTTAGGCTTTGCTTGTTTTAATATCCTAACTTGCAATTCCAATACTAGGAAAGTTGATGTATTAACATAGAAAGTATCATTAGCTTATAGTATGAATTATTTATAAATATTGAAAATAGTCTCTGTGTTAATCTATAATAATTGTTTTAGAAAATCAGCATAAAATAAATCTAACTTTCTTAAAATTCTGTGTAAAGGACTTTATTAATGAGTCTTTTAATCCTTACCCAAGAAGCTATATTTCTTTTATAAGACATCCTATATTTCAGACTTCTTATACTTTCTTTGCAAATTAACTTATTAGATGTAATTCTATATGTTGTTTTAACAATATTCCAAGAAAGAAGTATTGATAATTGGTAATTACAATTAATTTAAATCAATTATTTTTAGATTAAACCTTTAACACCGTGAATTCATCACTTACCATGCTTAAACCGTATTTTATTGCATAAAAGATTAGTTATTCTCAATTTATTACTAATACTTATAGTAAAATTAATATTTTGGCAATGGGATATATACTTATTTGTATTTCTACAATTCCTTATAGAACACGCATTTTTTCATATCGAAAGTATAAATTTAATTAACTTCCTCCAAAAGTTTTGATAATAATCCTTAACGATCATTTTATTAAAATTTTTTCATGAATCTGAATCTCAAATGTTAGGGAGGTTTATTAACATATTCATCGCTAACATTTATAATATCTTGAATCTTCTTTAACTCGATTTTCTTTTAAGATCTAATTTGATCTCTATATTAAATATTTTTATATACTTTTCTTATTGGGCTTATTTAAAAAGATCTTAATTTTAATTATAAAACTGAATAGATAATCTAGTAACATTCTTTGTTTATCCCTCTGGGTATTTTTAAACCGAAAATTTCTTAGTCTCTTAGACATAGTCTAACACAGTAACATCATACCAGACGTATGAGCTTTTATTATTTTATTTTTTACTTAGTAACTTTATCATAAAATTAAGCTTTGGCTTAAGGTGGGTCCATTTGTTTACATTTTTCAAACCATTCTTAGTTACTGATATCCTTATCCTCATCAATTACAGGCTAAATTCTTTTTGATTTCCTACTAATCAAAATCAAGGGTGTCCTTTCTGTTTTTATTCGAGAAAAACCATATAAAGTATACTCCTCAGAGATTTTTTTATCATCCGCTTTTTTAATGCTTTTGGAAGTAGATCTGAAAGTTCTATTATAAAAGGTTCTGTCCTGAAAAGAAACACTTGTTTAAATTTTGATGATACCTTTATTCTGGTTCATAAGAATCTAACATGCATTAAAATTATTCCTCCTCCTTCCTTATTTTACTTATATCAAGTATTTTTCTCATTCTTAATTTAACTATTGGCCCTTTATTTATAAATAGCAAAATACCCTCCAATTTTCTCTAAGGTGATCTGAAGCTCTGATTCATTGATTATTTTATTAAAATAATTTAATATTAATTTCAACTACTGAGATTATACACATTAAATGAAATAAGTCATCACACTCAATTATTATTTCAGTTTTAACAAATAATTAGAAATCATTATGAAATAATTTAATAAATAAAATAAAATAAGTATAATAACTATTATTTTAAGTATTCTGAATTTAATTTTTATGGTACTATCAATAAAAAAATGAATTACTTGACATTCCTTTGAATGATATTTATTTTTTTTTTCAAAAATTTAATTACTTTAAAGAATAGAAAATAGGTTAAATATACATCAAATTGTTGTTCTGCGTATTAAACTGATTCAAAAATTAATATTGATTTAATACATAATTCTTAGCAAATTTAAGGGGATTAAAATTATTGAGGATGGATAAAAATTCTATTTTCAATCTTATATTATCCTAATATATACTTTTAATAAATGAATTTTTTTAATTTGATTTAACTACAAATGTTAGTCTTTAATTTTACTATAGTTAAGTTAACAAACTTTTAATACTTTTACTAAAGAAACTTTCAATACTTAATAAAACAATCAATTTTTGATATCTACCTAAAAAGGAACTATTATTTTATTCTGATATATAAACTCAAATAATTATTGTAATTTTAAACAATCAAAACAACAGAAGAACCAATAAACTGAGAATTCTCAATCTGGTAGAATCAAAATAAATAACTAGATCAATGAGAGAAAGATTTAAAACATTATGAACAAACAATTAAATTAATGAATTTTTATTATTTGTTAAATATATATGTAGCATTAAACAGTTTAACCTTCAAAATATTTCAATAATCTTCTGCTTAATTACAACAAAAGAATAACGATTGAAATAGGTTCTTCTTCTTTGAACTAGAGTTTTTTGAGCCTAATACTTATTTTTCATTTTGCTTAATTGTTGATGAGTGTTTTGTATTAGAAAGGCTTGTTTAATATTTTGATTATTTTAAGGTAACCTTAAGAGCAAACTCTGTTTGATTTGATTGAGATAACAAGGTTGAATCAGCAAAGCCTATAATTTAACAATATGACTACATGGAAAATCTTCATTTGGAGTCCCCTTTTTCTTTTTTGGAATGTACAATTCATACAAATATTAATTATTAACATCTGATGAAAATGGAGTTTGTAAGTATTCATTTTATTCATTAAATTAACTTATCGCAAGCTAAATAAGATCTCCAATTGTTATTTAAACTTTAGTAGTTTTTATGAGGATCTCATATTTATGATCAATATTAACATCATACCAATATATGATATATTGAGATTTCTTTCCATAAAGGTTTAAGACACATGACTAATATTTGGAAAATATCTACGTCATCTTCATTTCTCATTGTTTGGTCTGCCAAAGATTGAGAACCTCTTCTCTAACTGATTTATGGGGTTAAAGTCAAGAGACTTCCTTTTGGGTATATTTGAAAAATACTTTGTGTTTTAGTTGGTTTACTCCTACAATTGATTTCAGTAAAAGCAGAAGTCGTAGAATTAGCATTGCTGCATTATTTAAATTAAGTTGTTGTCGATTAGTCTTAAATATCAAGAACGTATTCATCATTGAATTTTACAAAATTCTTTGCTTCAATACTATGAGTTGACATGTTGGCTAGATGATAATTATATTTATTTATTCAAAGCCTTCCTTCTCTATTTAACAATATGTTCATAAGAGCAATTATTTAATTAATAGCAATTATTTGATCACGTAATATGAGATATATGTTAATGAGTAATTTAAGAACTAAATTAAAATATTTGAACACAAAGGTTGTAATTGAACTCATTTAATTCTTTTATTTTGAATAATTTCATAATAATATACAATTTTATTGGCAATTTATAATTATTTTAGTTTAAAATAAAAAGAACTATCAACTAATTCATATTTGAATATACTGAGAGGATTGTGAATGATGTTAATAATAATTTTATAATGATATCATCTAGCAGTATTTAATTGAAAACTAATTTGATCGAAATTGCTTTCGAGTGACAACTTATACTTATGCGAGGCTGAATGAGTATTCAAGACTGTTGAGAATTAAGAGTTGCTGTTAAATGATTATTTGTTACTATTGGATTTATAAAAGGCTTCTTTTTTTTATTTAATGAGATCTAAATTTTATTAAAACAAATATTCTTTGATTTCTGGTTTCCTCTGTAAAATGCTGGCACTCTTCAGTCTCACTGCAATTTTCTTTTGTTTAGTTACTCTCTAGCTTGCACCAGACAAAGTGGAGTTTGATGAACTGTATTTAAGAAAGCAGGATTCACAAACGAGTATTGTTTTTATTAAGAAAGCATCATTAACTTTCATCTACTCATATAAAGCTACAGTTATTTATGGGTATAGTTTAATAATGAGTGGAGGAATATGAGAATGTATGTCTCTGATGTGATCTTAGCTTACAAAAAAGGACTTGGGTTTAAGGACTAGGATGTTTTCATTAATGATCGGATTGGAATTGGGGTTCAGCTCAAAATGTTTAATGATGAATTCATAAGCCAAATGATATAGATCGTCTTTTTAACAGAGTGATCCGCATTCAACGCATTCTATATTTTTAATTAGAGTGACTGGATGCATAGTATTAACAGTTAACACATTTTTAATTTAATGGGGTCTTTTGAAATTAGTATTGAAAGATATTGGAGTGTTATTCTTCTTAATATTTGAGTTTCCCCAAATAGATTTATATTGCTCTATTTGTTCATCAGGTTCTCCTTACAATCGAATAGATGTACAATACAGAAACCAAACGTGGTTCTGTTTGTCAGGTTTAAAGTACATTACAACTCTCGATATATTTGTTTGGCCATAGCTTAAATTAGTCAATTTTTGAATGATCATCTAACACTGTTTTCTAATTTCATGTGAGATTTGTTTGCCTCTCAATGGAATCACCTTTGAATATGCTTCACATCCATCAAATGTTGCACATCTCTCTAGGGTTTTAATAGGATGATTATTTACCATATGGATCAAACTGCATATCATAGAGGTCTCTGTTGTTTTACTTTTTTGAAAGTATGCAAACAGAAGGACTCCAAATAGCCTAGATCAGTTGTTCGTGATTAGCAATCGGATCAATAAATCTCTGGAGAATTCCCTCAGGAGCTTTATTATTATTTTTAATAAATTAAGGAAATGTTTCTTTGGTCAAATAATAGATGCAGATCTTCTCATTGACATCAAATTGCTTAGTTTTTTAGATCTCATGAGGATCATTGATTGGATCCTTAACATTGTATTTGCTATTGTAGATATAATATGCAATAACTTATCCACTTTATTTGCTATTATTGCAAAAATGGTTGATGATATTTTCAGGTTTACGACAATCATTCTTCTTCATAAGGATTTCTCCTGATTAATTTGTAAAATACCAAACTTACGGCATTCCATTCTTAAATATAATTGTATCTGGTAAACTCAATTGAAAAGACTCTTTGATTAATGAATCATCCTTCAACCAAATATAGTGATATATCGATTCAGCAATGCCATTCGTATTAGTTATCATTAAATTTATATATTTATTATATTAATCAATATGAATATGTATCATATGCTTTAAACATTTCTCTTAAACATTCATCCGCAGTAAGACATTATTAATATAAGTACGTTCTAAAATGCACTTTATTTGCATATGTCCATTATTTATTTTTTTCTAATTTTAGTAAATAATCAGTTAAGAACACTAATTCTTTATCAAATTTGTTATCATAAAAGGGGATTATAGGAACTCCATTGTCTATTTAATAACAATAGGAATAGGGAGCATTGTCGATTAATAATAGATTCTAGAGTATATAATATTACAATTTACTTCAATTTAACGATTTCCAATAACTCTCAAATCCTTTATGAACAATCCTTCTTCTATTTCTAAGCAACTCTCTCTGTAGAATCGATGTTAAAACAACTTTCTCTCTGGATCAATTAATTCAAGGGCCTTGTCTGCATAATATTAATAAGCTGCTGTAAATAAAATGAGTTCAAAGTGATTGGATAATAATTTCAACATTTATTGACAGAATGGTCGAATATTAATTTTTGTCTAGAATCTATTAATAAATTTACCTTGACCATTCCTTCATTGGGCATATTGACCATGATTGTATAATCAGTGGGATCATTAACATTTTCATTACAATGCAAAAGTGTTTCATCCAAATCGAATACTAAGGTTTTGGTATGATTCTCTATGGGAGGTAAATATTGAATCTTATTGTTTTGTTTTAAGGTTTGTGTTAATCTTTTACAATATTGCAAACAAGTGAATGATTGTTAAAAATGCTCACAAAATAAATCACTAAAATATTCTTTTAATTGATTTGTCTTATATTCCAACTCAAAGTGGATTTTAAAGGGAGATTATTTATTTCTTACTTGTTCATAATGATAATGAATCAATGAGGTTTAGTAATACTTTGCATCCTTAAATAATGGGTTAACGATACACTAAATAACAATATGAGGATTACATAATAAGGATCATTTGGTAGGTTTTTGTTTAAAGGAGTTTTGGATCTTTAAAACAAGTCATCCATCTTATTTATAGTTATTGACTTGTGAACACTTAGACTCTATTTGGAAGACCTAGTTTATATAGATTATGATGATATTGTATTTGAATCCTGCTTATTCAACTTTATAGCAGGACTCTCTTTCTTAAATGGTAGGCTTTTGCCCTTCTCAAAATTGGGTTTCATCTTGCTTATTATATTAGAATTAATTTTGGTTTCTTTAACATTGCCAGAAATGAACATTTACTTTTTTACAGATCTCGGAGTGGGTTATTAATTTGAATTATTCAATTATTATTATTGCTATTGAGTGATATTTTTAGTTGCCAATGGCTTAACTCGTGATTGCGGACTCAAAGTAGATGTCCTGCCTGAAGTTGAAAAAGTTCTCTATTTATTAATGACTCTTTCAGCACTTGAATTAGGATTTGTGACTAATCTCTTTTAAGGATCTAAACTAATTATTACATCTATTATTCATACTGTTTTAAAGGCTACTATTTCTCTTTACTTACGCTTTCCTTTTTCTACGTTGATTAAGTTCTTGGCCGAGCTGATTATAATTGTGAATATTAATTTCCTTGCTACTTGATATCCTTCTTAACCATGCTAACATTATTGCCATTGTTGGTTGTGGTATCTAGTTTTGATTTATTATTTTTGGCGTTGATTAACTTAAAGTTTGAAGAAGCTGAATTGTTAGTTTTATGCATCTATATTAAAAAATTAAAAATATATTTAATTGTAAAAGAATCGTTCTATTTTTAACTTGACCCAATTCAATCTTCATTTGAGTTTGTATAATGATGAACATTCCTTATTATTATTCAATTTAATATAAATCAATTCTGAAGAACATACTATGGTATATACCCAATCGTTTATTTAATATCATAACAATGTGATCTATATTTAATAGGCTATCTTACTGATTTAAATCTATTGACTTCTTCTCCATACTCTTCTCAAGAGTAGGAAACGTGTATTTGGGTCCATCTGTAATATCTCTAGGAATGTTATATCTGCCAGGCCCTATCAAACTAGACTCTTAAGGTTTGTCGTATTTCTTAGCAATGTGATAACTCGGTCCTTTGTTAGAAGTCATCGAATCATTGGGATTATACTTTCCGGGCCCCTACACAGTAAATAGAATTCATAACTGGTAAATTTTATAGATTGATTTAATCTTTGGAGGCCTTTGGGATTATAGGACCACCCTTTTTGAATTTCATGTCTATCGTGTATGTTCCTGGTCCTGGAGTTCGCTCAGTAGATATCATTGATGGTCTAATTGCTTTATTGAAACTACAATCATATAATATATCCAAATAAACCTTGCATGTCTCGTTGGATACTTATAATTGGTTACATCATAATCTAGTGGAGAAGGTCCAAACTTTTACAAATTTAGACTACCTCTTTCAGATTTTCCTATTCTTCAATTAAAATTTAAATTACTTAGCTCCTTTCATGCTCTTAAACTTTCCCTCCACAACTTCTGCATCATAACTACCTGGCCCTGGAACATTCGATCTATCTATTGATTAATTAGTTTTGCTTCCAAAGGTTATTCCTTAATGTTTAGGCAGATTAAGATCAAATGCTCCTGGACCTGGTCCAATCTGACTCCAATTCGTGCTACGTTATGATTTTGGAAACCTTTTTGAATCTAAACTATAACTTACTTAACATTTGTTAGAAACTGAGGCTTCTCCACTTCATAAGAACCAGGACCTGGATGATTAGTTAATAGCATGTTAGTTCTTTAACTAGTCGAAAACCCTTTATTTTTGGGCTTCAAAATATGATTATGCTCCATCTCATAATTTCCAGGACCTGGTGTTTTCATAATCTCATTCCCAATGGAATCAAATCGACTTTGAAAAGTAAATGCAGGTGCTTTCTTTTACACAGCTAAATTATATGACCCAGGACCTATCTCAGTCTCTTTGGGAGAAGTCTCTTTTGCTTTAGTGAATGCAACCGAGGAAGAGTGAGGTAAGATTGCCTAATAAGTTATGCTAAATTTTGCCTGAATTTTATTCTCATAAGCCCCAGGATCTGGAGCTGCTGTAGCTTAATAGAGAGGTTTCCGCTTAGACTTTGTAAATTTATATGCCAGAGGCTTGTCCAAGAGATTCACTGAATAATGATTTGGTCTAATGTGAATAGATATAATACCCAGGATTTGGATTGGTTTAGTATATTGCACCTATCATTAAAACATAAATTACATTCGTATCTTTTGCCTATCGTGAATGCACCAGAAAATTATGAGTTGGGACCATGAATCATTATATATATCTATATATAATAAAAAAATGAAACTAATTACAATGTTGTAATTTATCAAAATAATAACATAGATACTGAATAATTGACGTCCTTACCCTCAGATGTCAATTTCAATTCTACACACCTCATTCTCTAAGTAAAATCTATCTATTCATGAATATACTTCTACTTAAAAGCTTTAAGAAAGATAAATTTAAATAAATAGATTATCAATTTAATTGATTCCTTATGTAATCTACTTGAAGATACTTTTGGATTTTCTTTATTTCCCATCTTCATTATACTCTATAAGATTTTGGTTATTCTTTTTAAGTATTTGATTTTCTTGCACTTTAGACCTAGTTATAGACCCAAGTATAAATAATACATTAAATATGATTATCATTATAGAGTTAATTAAAAGTAATTCACCTACTGTGCCATAAGTAAGTAGTTTATATTGATAAATAATTATGAAAATGAGATTATTATATTAAATGATTTATTAATTTTTCTTAAATTCAGATCTTCTTCAATAAGCAACCATATTATATTGACAATTGTAATAGTTATTAGAATTTAATAATATGATAATAATGATAGCATCAAATGCTCATAAATATTACAGAATCAATACAAATAGTAAAAAGTTAATTACATTGGGGATAAATTAGTAGTAAATAATATTATCAAATAGAATTAACTTATTCCCATCTCAGTATTATCATTATTTCCTTTCAACTATTTTAATTCTATCTAATGATTAGCCCTACAAATGTTGTTATTATAGTATATTATAAGAATGGATATTTTGTTTCTTGGTACTAATTTTTATACTGATAACCCAATATTTATGAGGATACAATAGCCTATTGATAGTGTTTCATATGTGATCAACATACATTAATATCATCAAGTTGATATTCGCATAAAAATTGAAAATATAGAAACATCAAAAAAATAATTATGAAACTAATTATATCTATCTATTCATATCTCTTCTATTTTAAGAGTTGTTATATTAGAATAAACACTTTGCTGTTCTCATTTCTGAACAATTAATTATATAATGTTAGAAAATGAATAATTAAATTAAGAAGACCCCAAAACTAATCTTCTTAATCTTGATTCAGGGATAGAATTTATAAGGCCAATTAGACACAAATCCTCTTATTATGAGCAGGATTTTTTTGTAGAACCTTGGGATGAAAAGTAGGACAATTTTCTTCAATTATCTCCAAAATAGAAGGAGGAATAACCCCAAGATAGAAAAACCAGATCAATAAAAATTAAGCTTCCTTTATCTCGAACATAGAGTAGATAGCGCTCGAATGAAACTCATTAAACAGTTCAATTAACTCTTCCTTATCACGATAGAGCTGGAAGTTGTCATACATTATTTTAAGACTAAGGATTTATTAACGATATAGCTGCCTACAAAAACATAGTGGATAGAGTGAAGAGCATATAAATAAACAAAAATCAAATAATTTAGAATAAAAAAAATAATAATAAGTAAATTAGTTTAAAGTTCTCTGCAAACAAAAAGAAAATCAAGCAGATAGTTCAAGTCAAGTAAAAAGAACCATTTTCCTGGTCAGATTACTACAAATTCATTTAAAAAAATCATAATCAAATCAAGCCTAATAAACAGCAAAATCCTCAAATTACTGGATATGCCATTCAGATTAATAAGTCTCTATAACAAAAAGTAGATAAGGACTCAATTGTAAGAAACTTTCGTTTGAAATCAAATTATACTAAGACTATTGCATGATTATTTTGTATAATTGTAAATACTTATGATAATGTATCATTAAAATATTTACTGAAAATCTTAAAATAAAACTCCTTGACTATTCGACTTGTTTACTAATTAAAACATGGCTTTCTCAACTTCAAGTGTACTGTTCCTATCAATTATTTTACAAATGTTTTAGAATTCATTGAATTCTAATTTACCACTTCTATTCTTATCAAAGTTATTAAAAATCTATTATGGATTACTTCCACTAGTTTTGACTATTCTCTTTAAATCACTTATTAGTTTCTATAATAAAATGATCATAATTACCATTGCTCTTTCTTACTCTGGGTCAAACTTTGAATCGAATAGAGTACCAGCAACTAATTACTCTTTAAATTCAGCAAAGCTAATTTCTTTATCATTGTTTTTGTCAAACTTCTTGAATACTTCCTCAATCTCATCTTATTTCAAACCTGGAGCTAATTATTTAATAAATTATGTGAATTCTTGTTGATTAAGTTTTCCATCGCTTTGTTAATCAAAGCTTCTAAAAAATTAATCCAAATTTAGTTTTCTGGCTTTAACAACTTCTCTTAAATCAATAATGATCCTTTCAGCCCTATCAGAAATGTTGATGAACTCGTAGTTGCAAAAGATTTCCTTAAATTCATCAAGTGATATCAAATCATCACCATTTTTATCCATAACCTTAAAAATCAAAGTTGTTTGGTCTCTAGTCAGTCTGGGATAAAGTTATAATACGAATAAATAGAATTCGTTTCTATCCAATTAAAGACTTCTATCAGCATCATATTTTTCAAATAACTCAAGTACATTAATATCTCGAGCTTAAGACATCTTTTGCAATTGCCCTAGTAATTCCTTGACATTTTGTGGCACTTTAAAAGAATCCTATTGTTATTTAAGGCTTTAATACATATTATTTCTAACTTTCCTAAACCTTAAACAATGGATGATTAAAAGCTTCGTCCCATTCAATACGTTTATTTTCATCATATTCTAAGCATCCCCTTAGGAAGTCTTTATATTATTCAGAAACCTTGATATCTACAGGAAATCTTAATGGGACATTTTTGATGTTTTTCAAGAGTTATTCATCTCCTGCTCTGTTGGACCAGGGAAACTATCCGTAAACTAGTTCATATGCCATAACTCCAATTGAATATAAGTCACATTTGGCAGTGTAAGGAATCATTGCTAAGATTTGAGGGGCCTCATAAATAGGAGTTCCACAAAATAAATCCAGTTTTTATTTGGCTCTAACGTTAACCTTTCCAGCAAATCCAAAATCTGAAACTTTATAGACCGATCCTTTTGTCAATGCATTAGCAGGTTTAACATCTCTATGAATATAATTTTTGTTTATCATATATTTAAATCCTTCCATCAATTAAGTTAAAGCAGCCTAAGCAACTGATTCTGGCAATTTTCCGCCGTATTTTTTCATCTATTTGTTCAAATCGCCATCACACAATTCTAAAATTATAATCTATGTTTCTTATTTATATATTACCATATTTTTAGGAGGTAACTTAAAGCTGTCTATAATTTTAGCTATATTGGGGTGCTACAATTCCTTCATGGTGGCAATCTCTGTTTCTAGCAATTCTAACTCGACTCCCTCCATCTTTGAAAGATCAAAAACTTTTCCAATAACGATATATGGATACTTTTTACAGCTATTTCTTCTTAGGTTTTTGTATCCTTTCCCTTATACAACTTTCCATAAGACCCTTCCCCCAAGAAATCCCTCTCATAATACATATATCTATTGTTAAGCAACACCATAATATTCAAATAATATAAATTTTATTTTTTGTTTTACTTTTGATTTATTGAAAAAGTGTTAATTTTAGATGTTTTGGTAAATAATTATTATTGAATTTTTTTTAAATATATATAACTTTATGATTACTTGTTTGTAATTGAAGATTAACTTATAGGCATTTTGTTTACGCAATTTGCAACAAATAATTTGCATTTTCTATGCAATATATTCATAAATATCTATTAAATTTAGCAAATAATTCAACTAGCACTCCAGCAAGAAATAAGTTAATTACAAAGAAAACCGATTTGCAAGTATATACACTATATTCCATATTATTTTTATTGGAGAGATCTTTGGTACTCTCAAAAACCCCTGGTGTATTGATTTCTTATTAACACTAAATTCTAAAATTACATCCTTTAATTACTCGTAAATTTATTGTTTCAACTAATTACAGGGGTTTTCAGATTTAGCATTGTATTAACTCATAAGTTCTGCAATGGTCTTAGTGAATTGACCCTTATCTATCCCTTGGGCTGATGTTAAATTATTGTTTTACTCTAAGTCATTAATTAAAACTTGTCTGAAATGTCTTTGAGGAATTTGTAGGCATGTGCTTATTGCTCTTCATTGTTTTCTGGTTGTAGCATTAGACACAAGAAATTAAATTGATTATTTTGCAAGATATACAAAATGTATTCGTTCTAGATTTAAGGTAGGGAATTATTATACGATTTGGAATTGTTGTTTCTCTTCTTTGTTCTTAATGAATTTGAGCTATTTGGAAATTAATTATTAGAAATCTTCATTAGATTCAGTATATTCACATAAAATTAGAGTTCCTTTAGAAATGGCTGAAAATAGAATCATTAAATATTAATTTAATTCGTTTTTAATTAACAACTAGTGCATGAATAGAACTTCTAATTAGTTTATAATAAATTTATGGGAAATTGTAATATTAATGAGAAAAAGGAAGACATGCTTGAAAGCGATAGTAATTGTTTTATAAGCATACTAAGTTACTTCAATATCAAACTTTTAGTTTATTGATGCAATAGGTCGAGGAGGATTTGGTAAAGTGTGGAAGGTGAAGAAAAAGAAAAATACATTATTTTATGCATTGAAGGTGATGTCCAAAGCAAAGTATTTACAGTTAGGTCTATTAAAGAATCATACTAAAAAAGTCAGTTCAGTCAGTTTTGAATGAGAGATAATTGTTAAGCAATGTGAGACATGGGTATGTGTGATAATAACAACAATTTTAAGATTTATGATTAACATGCAATGCGCTTTTCAAGACAAGGAATATTTGTATTTAGTAATGGATTTGTTAACAGGAGGAGATTTGAGATTCCATATAGGGAGGCTAAGAAGATTTAACGAAGAATAAACAAGTACAGTTTGAAATTTGAATTAGAATTTTTTGCTGCTTGTATTATCATAGCACTTGAATATTTACATTAGAATGGGATACTGCATAGAGATATAAAGCCAGAGAACTTGGTTTTTGATAGTAGTGGTAATTGGTTTAGAAAATAAAGTGAGGTTATTTGAGATTGACTGATTTGGGGATAGCTAGAATATGGAAGCCTGAGAATTCATCTGACACTAGTGGTACACCAGGTTACATGGCTCCTGAAGTTATGTGCCGTTAAAATCATGGCATAGGAGTGGATTACTTTGCTTTGGGAGTTATCGTTTATGAATGCATGTTGGGAAGGAGACCATATATGGGAAGGAGCAGACAAGAAATAAGAGAATAGATGCTATCCAAATAGGCAGCTATTAAAAGACAAGAAATTCCCCCAGGATGGGATATATAAGCAGGAGATTTTGCTAATTAGGTATGGGTTGAGTTTGAATTTAGTTACTTTAAAGAAAACCTCAGAATCGGTTGGGTTCAAATGGTCCAGATGAAGTTAAGGAACATCCTTGGTTCAAAGACTTCGATTGGGAAAAGTTAGAGAACAAGAAGATACTAGCTCCATTTATACCAAATGTAAAGTTCTAATAAATTTGAGTCAGTGCAATTAAGATAATTACTTGCCATCAGATGGATTAAACGATTCAGATGATTCCCTTAGTGCAGAACAACATTTATTGTTAAGACGAAATTCAATATAAAGTATATCTCGTTAGATTACTTAGATTTATTTAATGGATATGATTAAGATGGTAACCAATAACAATGTTCACAGAACAATCTAATGATATTTTCGAGTTAATCATCCGCTAGATAGAGTAAGGCTCCTACTTCGTCAAGTACTCTAAAGTCTTCGAAATTATGATATGGAGTATTGATTTTAGATCTTTATTATTGTTAATGGTGTGTAATTTAATGTTATTAAATACTTAATAAATTAATATCATGCTCTTTCTCTCTTTCTTGGTGCGCATTTTACAATGTCATCTACTCTCATAATCAATTCAGCTGCCTCACTTGCAGCCATAACTGCTTACTCCTTAACTCTCATGCATTCTTTGATTCCTAGTTCCTTCATGTCACCAACAGTTCCATCATTCATATTCAATCCAGAAGTTAAATTTCCCTTTTACAATTCCACTTTGAAATTTTAAATTAATTCGGCTGAATCATAACCTAATTTGATTAATTATAAAAGAATACCTCCATTATCACAGATGATAGTAGGAATCTATCTCAATGCTCTAGCGTATGCCTCTATAGCTAATGCTTATTTTCCTTAAACTTTCTTGGCTTCTTCTTCACATGCAGCAGCCATTTGCATTTCTGAATTACCACCTCCCCAAACAACTCTTCTATTCTTGACTGTAGTGATTAAGACACACAAAACATCATGAATTGATCTATCTACTTCATCCAAGATATGAATTGAAGAACCTCTCAGTACAATTGTACAAGCTTCATTCTTTTTGCAACCTGTGAATTTGATCATCTAAAAATATATGTAATCTAATTTGTACCTTCTCTTCTCCAATCATAATTTCTTCAATTAAATCACAATGTCCTAATACTTAATCTCTTCTTTCAGGAGCATCGAATGTTGATAAGATTTCAGCCCCAGTAGCAGCTGCCACTCTTTCCATTCCTTCAAAATCAGCATGTTCAATAACAGTAATTCCAGAATCAGCTAATAATTATTCAGGATAGTTATAGATAAGTTATCTATTTACAAATACTGTTGGTTAAAATTTAAGAATCTTATCAACCTTATGTTTCATCTTTTCTTTTTCTGCCGCCTCAATTTCAGCTACTTTGTCCATTGAGTTCACCTTGACTTTGGTACCATAAATCTTTATTTTATCATAATCCATGGCTGTATTAGCAACCAAGATTTTGGCATTTTCAATTCTTCTCTTACAACCAATTGTTATTTATTTCTTAAGAATGAACCCATCATCCAAATATGAATCTCTGATGGTTCCTCCTGGAAGCTTAATGATCTAGATGTAATCTAAATTAGAAGATCCCTTCAATCTCAAAACTGCTTTGACACACAAATCAGCAAAGTAATCTCTGTCTGATGTTATCAATTTTGAACTCAAAGTTGTTCTAGCAATCTTGATCAAGTCATTATGGAATTCTTAAGATTCAATGTCATTTTCACTTGCTAGACATGATTATGAATATTAATACAAATATCTCTTAATGTCTTTAATGCCACATCTCTAGCTATTCTCCATCCGGCTATCACATGTTGTGGATGAATTCTTTTTTAAATTAATTTCTCTCCTTCTCTTAACAATTCACCTGCCAACACTGCTACAGTGGTTGTCCCATCGCCTACTTCTTCATCTTGAGTTTTGCTGATCTCAATCAGAATCTTAGCAGCTGGGTTCTCAACATACATAGATTTTAAAATTGTAGCACCATCATTAGTAACAGTGATGTGAGTCATCTCTTGACCAGGTCCTGTGGGTTTCAATATTTTATCCTAGCCTTTAAAAACAACATCATACCATTCCTTTTGGTCCCAGGGTTGTCTTTACTAAATCAGCCACTGCTATTGCGCCTACGAAACTTTACTTAAATTTTAAAATTCAAATAATACCAATCTGGCCATCTCCCCTTTGTCTTCTGTGGCTTCGTCCTTCAAAACTTATGGCAACACGTTCTATTGATAATACTAATGATTACTCCCACGATATCCATTATTTGCGGTCAATTAAAAAAAGAAAATTTTAATCAAATATAAAATGAGCACCAAAGAAGAAAAAATTAAACTATTTCTTTAATTCTTAAGATCCCAAAATTACCACAAAACATTTGAGAAGTTACAACAACAATCATAAATTTAATTAGATCCCTCAAACTTGCTTAAGATTACCCAATCCGTCAAGTCTCACAATTACACAGAATTAGAGTAAATTTTAGAACAATATGTTGATAAATAAACCAAGAATCAATGCATGCTACTTTTGTTGGAACAACACTATATCCAGCTCATCCTAGCTCAAAAATATTAGGAAGCAGTCTAAATATTAAGGAACTAGATATCCAGATTCTGTCTAGGTATGGGTTATATGAATTATAGTTAGATGAACAACAGAAATACTTATACGGCTCTATGGTTTTTAATCAGGATCTCAAATTAAAAGGAGAGTAATGCCTTATCGATGAAATTATTTCGCTTTGCTTTCAATAACTTGGTTTATTTAAACCTAATAGATTAATAACTTTGATCCAGCAAGCAAAATCAAATGAAGTTCTAGAATGCAAATGGCATAATCATTTGTAATAGGACTATCGTATCCAAAAAAAACATAGCTGCAACTAGGAATTTAAACATGTAATCAAAATCAAGAATGTTTCTCTTTGTTCTTTCTCAGATAATGGAGAATACAAGGCCTTGGTAATTGGCCAATCAATTGTAGTATATTAGACTAATTAAGTTGAATCAATAAAAGAAGTAGATAAATTACTAGAAGTGCACTCAAAAAAGATCACCAATTTGCTATTCTCTCCCTGTAGTAAATACATAGGTAGTTCATCAGAGGATAATACTATTTATATTTACAATTTTATCAACAAAAGGAAGTATAGACTTCAAGGTCACAATACAATAGTGAAATCCTTTACTTATGTTTTATGCGACCCATCTCGAAAGAAATAGAAGAACGAATATGATATTTACTCAATTTCAACTGATGGATGGCTTTACGAATGGAATGAGAATGAAAGGAGAGGGGGTTTAAAAATCGAAGAAAAGCTAATTGACATACATAGTCATCAATCGAAAGAACTGATGCTTATTGTTAGTTAAAATAAGATCACATTATATCAATTATACTCGAAGAATTAAATAATCTAAGCTAGTTCTAACAATTTAATTTACATAAACTCTTAGGTGAATAAGCAGTTTGAGTAATTGATTGTGTATGTTAATGATTATTTACCTTAATTATACTTATATTGTGTATAGACATTGCAACTAATCAAAATCTTGGGTGTATATTCAGAATAATCTATCAATTCATTTAAATATCATTTTGGGTGGTTCAACAATAACTTGGTGGCTGCAGGAACTGACTCTGGATAATTAGTGTTATGGCATATTGAAAAATCAGAAAAACCCATAGAAATACTCTAAGTATTTGAATATATTGAATTAAGGTTTCTGAATAGAATAAGGAAATAGGCTGCTTGCGATTTCATCCCACTTCACATGAGTTGTTGATTTATGTTCAGTAGAAGACAAAGAAGTAGAATACACAACAGGAAAGATAATAACTATAAGAAAACTTAATAGATCTATTTACAATACCTTAAGATAGACCTTCGCTTTAGAGACAACAGAATGGAGTTACATAGATTTTGAATTTCTTATAAAGAATTGCTCGATCTGATACCATGAATAATAGAGAGTAATTGCAGGAAGAAGAAAACAGTGACGAAGACATATGAAATCAATTAATGTATAATTATTATTTTGAATAAATAATATGTTTTTTAATAATAGTGAACAAAACTTTTAGGGCAACACTCCTCTAGGATATCAATTTGGAGGTGCTTTCACCTTCGGTACATCTGATAGAACAGACTGGGTTAAAAGAGATGATAAAGTTGCATCAAAAACAGAATAAACTGGAGCATGTGAGAGATTTGAAGAGACCCTTCGAATAACTGAAAAATTACGACAAAGTTAACAAAAATCTACTAGATCTAATTTCCCTAGAGATGACAGAATCAAACCAATTAAGTCAACAAATCCTCCAGTTGGACAATATAATCTTCATAAGCAACTCATTTTGGATGAAGAAAATATCAAAAATATTTCAGACAAAAGACAATAAGAGAAAAAAAAGGCTTAATTTACAATTCAAACCTCCTTAGGCAAAATAAAACCTAATGGAGAAATTGACACTCATCCAACATGGGTGAATGGCAAAGAGCAATAATTTAGAGAAGATCCCATAGGGTATATGCATTGCTTTATTATAGACCTGGTTCTTATAATCCGAACATTCCTGGAAGATCTCAAGCTCCCATCTCTTTTGGATATAAAGAAAATTTTAATTGGACCAAGGATGGACCTTCGCCTGACAAATACTACAATTCTGAAACTTTCAGTTAATTCAGAACTGCCACCAGTTGGTAAGACGCTAAACATAGAAAAGCTGGGTTTGGTTCAGCACCAAAAAATATGTTGCCTAAATCTATTGATCTTGGTCCTGGGTAATATTAACCAAATGAACTTCCTAAAGGCTTAACCATTTCATTCCCAAAAAGTGAAAGACAATATTACAAAGCATCTGATATCCCTGGTCCTGGGGCTTATGCTCCCAAAAATGTTAATGTTAAGAAAGCCTTTAGCATTGGACATAAGTACATTCCCTTTAAAACCTCAGATTTCTATGTTCCTGGCCCTGGAAGTACACATTTACTAATACTTAGCTTACAATCAAAAATTACCGTCTTAGAGTAAACAGATTTCAATGCCCAAAGACAAGAGGTAAGATCTAGTCACTCGAGAATCAACACTCAAACCAGGCCCTGGCTAATATATATAAAATACTGACACTATTAAACCTAAAGAAGTTCCAATTGAAAATCAACATGGTTTCGGTGTTGCAAAGAGATATGAATTAGCAGAAGATGAAAATCTATAACTTCCTGAAAAAACAGAATAATAAAAACAAGAGGAAAGAGAAAAAATTGGATTCTCAACTTTAGGAGGTCCCAAATTTTCAATGAGATAAAAAAACGAAAGGTAATCAATCAACTAAAATCCATCACCTGGCAAATATGAACCTGATTACGATTACAAATATGGTCAGCAATCCAATTATAAACCACCCTATCATTATACAGTACCTAAGACTGCTACTCCTTCTATGGGTTAAAGTAATAGAAGTGATCCAACAATTTCTAAATTTAAAGAAATTGGACCTGGGAGTTACACAGCACTATCATCTTAGTCTGGACCTAGAATTAGGTAATTCATATAATAAAATTTAGTATGCCTAAAGCTGCTAGATTTCCTATCAGAGAACCAGAAGATGTTGGTCCTGGATCATATAAAATTGGAACAACGATTGGTTTAATACCCAAATATCATTTTGAAAAACAAAGAGATTAACTAGAAACTTCATTAACCCAATTTGATAAATTTCATAAATGACATATGTTATTTATTATATAAATACATAAAACTAAATGATAGTAGCATTACTTTATTAATGTAAGGATAGAGTGAGTTACACATAATGTAAATTCAGTTTTCAATAAAATCCAAAAAATTTTGGTTATTGGACATTTGGGATTGCTTTTGATATTTTATTAATTAGGACTTTAACCAATCTTCATCAAATTCTCTTGTTTTGTAATTGGATATTTCAATTCTCAAAGAGGATACCTTTATATATATAGTGATTACTTACTATTTTATTTAATCTGATTATTTCATTTTTATATGATTGAATTGAATCATAATTTTTGTCTTCAATTGAATTCAATTTAGAATCAGAAGCTGTTTTTATTGATGCAGATCTAAGCAATTCTGTTTATGTTTATTCGAACCTTGATAGATAATTCCTTACTTTGATTATAATCTTTTTAATTCTTCCTTATTTGTTTAAAGTTCTTCCTTTATTTTTGAATTCTCGTTTCTTAAATCATCCATAAATAACTAAACCTCCAATTCTTCCAATGGATCTTTGTATATTCTGGAATGGCAATTTTTCGAAGAATTCATTTTATTAGCACTAGCCTATGAAATGCTATCTCTTTCAATCTGTAAACTTTGCATCAACTAGATGTTTTGTTGATTCAATCTCTCATATTTAGCTTAAAGTAATTAATATTTATTCAGTAAATCGTAATGAACCTCTTCAAATTAATAATAACGTTATAATAGCTCTTCTAATGCAATACATTTAGAAGCTAACTTAGCCAAAGGCATTTTCATGAGAGATTTAAAAGTTGCCATATAATTATATATTTTATAATTATTTTTATAGTATTTTAGACTTGTTGAGGGCCTTATTCAAGTTTAAAATAATAGTAAATACTCATCCAAGGCATTGTCTAAGAATGTAATAATAATGATAAAAATATGAACTCTAAAAATAGATGTTCAAAATCAATAATACATTGAAAATCAAAGAGAATTCACTACAAAAGTATTATTTATTTTAGGTTCCAATTGTTTAATAATGAAAAAATAGTCAATCAAATAGTATTTTTAATGAATTGTGCAATTCCAGTTAGACTTTGTCTAAAGTGTATTTTTATTATGATAAGTGTGAGCCAAGGCTTAGCTGATGTAAAACCAATTAAAGTTATTTGAGAAATTGCTTTTTATTAAAACTCAATTATTAAATTAATTAAATTATTGGCAATTTTACGGAGAAACATACAGTTAGTTTGAGCTTAATTACTTTAACAAACAAACAAAAAATATTTTGATTTATAAAACATCAAATGCTTTTAAAAATATAGATATTGTTTGAATAAGGATTATGAAAGCAAAAATTGATAAGGTCTTTTTTAATTTAATATATATTGATAAGATTAAATTTTATTAAATTGTGATTATAATGGTTTTCTTGATATATTTATAATCTGTAAGATCTTAAGTGTTTTCATGTATTAAATAACAAATTATTTATTATAATGTCTATTATAGCTAAAAATTATTAAGAAATTGTGGAGGAAAGCAGTTGTTTATAGAAAAAAACTATTCGCAAACCCAAAAGAAGGAATTAGTACACTGTTGAATTTAAATTTGGATCAAACATAAGCACAGAAAAACTTAGAGACTATGTCGAAGCTTATTTCAAAATTCCTGCCTCCATAGCTGAAAAATAAGTTATTAGACTCATGTCAAATATTTAGTTTCCGAATGATTTCAATTAGTAAGCTAAATTAGGTAATTTGTCAGTCGATCCTCATTCCTATAACTATAAGGTGATTAGAATTGATAAGAAAAACAATTTGTCTATATTCACTCTAGAAACAATCGATAATCCTTTTACACCTTTTGAATAATTCTTTTAAAAAATTTAAACATGTAATCCGAGGCTTGCCTTAAGCTTTTAGGCTTTTAATTAAAGGAATTTGGATGTTAACACTTATAAGTAAACGAAAGAACAGTTCATAGAAGACTTCGAGTCGTAGCTGAATTAACCATTCACTTGTTATTTATACAAATTAAAAAATGGTGTGTGTTCAACTATATAGAGGGTTATCAACGACAAATTTATGGATTTGTTGGGAATAAGTTACATGATGTTGGAGGATCATGTGCTTTCGACCAACATACTGCCCTTTTCAACATATATTGATCCTTATGATGATGTGTGTGAGATACTCTCTGGATTATTTGAAGGGAACTTGAAACAAGATATAAGAACTAGAGAGGTTATGAATTATAATGGTCAGATATTTCATTCTCGAGTTTAGAACAAGAGCTTTTTCACATACAATGAAGAAGAGGATGCCTACTATGAATATGCCTATTACATTTATGATTGTGATCCAAGATGGTTGACAACCTAGAGAGTGATGAGAAATTAAGAAGAATATTTCAATGAAAAATGTTATAGGTAAGACAAGTTGAGAACGAGATTAGTATCAGAAGATTCTTAGACAATCTTTTCTAATAGAAATTGCGGATTTAAATAATTAGATTTTGATATGTGAATATTTCTGAAAATTAATTATAATTTTCAGGATCTTCATATAAATTTATTTAAATATTATTTTTTAAGTATTATATCTTCTAAAAATAGAGGCGATGACATTTTGGTCAATTGTGATTGACCTATCTAAAATTGGAATTCTCTTACATGTAAATTTTAAAAATAAATTTATCATGTTATATTGCTAATAATTATAATACATTAATAATATCTAAATTTAATTAATCGGCATTTATAAACATTAATTAGAATTGGAATTTTTAATCTTTTTTAACTTAGAATTACAATATCATTGATTAAACTAAATCATATAGCCATTTAAAAAGATATTTTGAAGGACTATTTTTTATATTTTGTTTGTATAAGAATTAAAAGAATTATGAATATTGCATTCGGTTAGAAAAATGATTCGACTCCAAAATAAGATGGTATCAACAAAAAAATAAGGACAATAAGGTCTAGAGTAAAAAATTCGAAGTTTGCACAACATTAGAATAGCTCTCTTACTCCAAAAGATGAAGCTAAATATAAGTTTGAATTGACTTGTATTTAAGCTGTACAGAAACAGTAGCACACATCTAAATTTAGACCGACCCTAATGAGTTATTTGGACAGCGATGTATTCAGCAGTCTTTTCAAAATTATTTCGATGCAACAATAGAAACATGAAATCATTGTAAAATGTCTCCCTTTTAAGGAAATAAATATAATAGATATCAAGAAAGACTTTCCATTTTGCTTATTTTTAGATTAGGCTTCAAGTAAAATCACTAATTTTGACACAGAAAGGACTTTAGAATGTATAAAATAAAATGATGTTCCTTAAGAAATATTTGAATTCATCATGAATCCTAATAAAGATATTATTGGCTGCAATAGAATTGTCAACAATACCTGGCTCAAAATGTTTGGTATCAATTAAGACATGATGATTCATTACTTACTCAGGTATTAGTCCTTTCCATTTTGATGGGACTTGCAAAATTAATTTATATAAAATTAGATATCAAACCCATTTTATAATTAATAGTTGAGAGTTTAACTAGTCTGTTATAATGGTTTGAAATTCAATGCCCAGATTTAAGTTAGAGAAGAGACTGAAGTGAATTAAAAAAAACAATAAATATAGCGATATACGATCTTGTACTTCATTAATCGAGAGTAATTGAGTTTGTAAAAGGTTGAGTAGAATTTCAGAGTGTATTTTGAATTAAAAGATCTATCTTAAGAATTGTCGGATAAATTCATTGAAAAAACCAATAAAAAATGTCAAATCAAGAAATTATGATAATATTTAGATTATAATAATTGTTAATTAATGTAGTTACATACTAATATTATTATTATAATTTATGATAATATAAGGAAATTTTAAATTAAATTCTAACCTGTAAAATTGTTGAATAAAGAAAGACCATTAAATTCAACTAGGAAATTGAATAAATCTTAGAGATGTCATTTAATACCTTTAAATTAAATGTGTAAATAAATCAACAATCATTCCAATAATTAGGATCATTTTATTTAATTTACCTAGTTTAATCCTTATATTATTTTTGTAGATTATTTTAATATTGACAATCTAGACTGATAACTTAGCCATCTTAGTTTTGATTAATTTAAACCCCCCTTGATTTTTAATACATATGAACAATGTGCAATTGGTGCATATGATGTCTGCCTTCGTTTTCAAATTACCTAATAAAATTTATGCATATATTGTACCCAGGGTAACAGAAATTGCTCGCCATTTCGAGATCAGTTTGAACTACTTATAGATTTGGATCATTGAAATTTTGTAATTTGATTTCTGTATTGATATTATTAAGAATCTATTAACTTGTCTAATATTATCCTTATTCAGCATAAATTCTTGCCTATTCAAAACATTCTGCACCTCTGACCCTATAATAATTAGGAAGAACCTCATTTGATAAATCAGAATTCTTGAGTTCAATAATTTATTCAATAGTAACTTTCTCTCCACCCTCAACTGGATCAGCTTATAGAAGGACCCTAATTTCTTGCTTACCAGAAGTTTTGTAATCAGCAACTTCAAAAATGTAATCTTTTCTCACACCAGATAGCAAATGTGGTTAGTAGAGAGTGAAGACTCCCTTCCAGGAATCATAAGTCCACTTATCTCCATAGGCCTTCTTAATTTATAGTTTATTTGAATGCATAGGTTAGACTGATAACTGAACATGGTTTGCTACAACTGATACCAGACCACCCAAGGCTTCAGCAAAACATTCATCAATATTAGTAAGATTTGGAACAAAATAAAATTATCCCTCTTTGTAATGAGCAATTTCTGACATTATCTTAGGACAACAATCTCTTCCAAAACCAAATGTTTTGATTGTGAATGAATCACGTATGTTATATTGGATTAAATCATCTCTCACTCTCTCTTCAGCACCTTCATCGACTCCATCAGATAACAAAAATATTGCAGATACTGGATTCTTGTATTTTCTATGTTTTAAAATTGATAATGCCATCTTCATTCCATTCCCTATGTCGGTTCCACCTCTTGCTTAGAGTGAGGATATTGCTACTCTGAATTTTTAAACATTTTCTTAAGTAACTCTCATCAGCCTTGTTAATCTGTAAACCTTGCAATCAAACATTATCAAACATAATCTATCACATGGCTATAAAAATGTTAGCATCTATTTTAATGTTTTTCGAACTAACTTTATTTTTTCTCCTTGCATACTACCACTATGATCAATTAAACAAACCTAAATTATAAATTGTAATTTACCAAATCTATTCCTTGTCTTACACACTCTTAACCTCTTTGATTTATCAACATGATATCATTGCTTTTAATAGTTATCATCAGAGCAGCATTTTGTGAGTTTAACAATGTCTAATTTTTATAGAATCGCTTATACATGTGAAGATGCTTAAATAGAGATGTTATCTTTTAGATTATATTTCTAGGCTGTCATGTACCCTTATCCAAGAGAATTTCTCCCATAATTCAATTTATTATTGTTTGGTTAGTACACCGTCTAATATTTATAGAATGATGGCTTACTATCATATCATCATCATTAAATCGACTAGGATTCTACCCAACTATTGGAACTCTACCCTCTACAAAAACTTCATCTTAAACTGAAATGTTTGGAGCAAATTGTTGTCCTTAGAAATCGTCAACGCCTGTACATTGATTTCCCATTGTTTTAATATTTAAACTATTATTATAATATGTTTGAATTAAATATCTTAATAATTTATAACTAAAATTTCAAGAGCTTTAATCAATTACTAATCTACGACTAAATTACTTCTTAATATCATATTTATATGCGTGGGAGTTCTTCATTTCTAAATCGATGACGTTATTACATTTTATACTCCCATTTTAATATTTATTTCTATGTAATTCACACATATCCAATTCGGTCAAACTTTAATTCTTTAAGAATGCATTTAAGTTTACATTTTTAAAAGTAGATCTAAATTTGAAATTAGTAATTTTCTAAGATGTTTCGATTTTATCAACATCCTTTCTAAAATTAATATTATTTTGCTATTCATCTCTTTTTCATCTAAAAGAATTCTTTAATTTTTAATTCTTAAAATCAGATATTCAAAATGATATAATATTCTACTACCACTAAAGCTATCAAATTGATGAAAGTAATTTCTTATTATTTATTATTGCTCATGATTAAATTAAAAATTAATTTAATTTTTACTTATATCACAAATCTCTTTAATCTATTGTTTGGGATTAAATATTCATTTTTTAAATAAATTACTTTTGAATTCACTAGAATTTAATTCATAAATATATAATTTTTTAAGTAATCATTTAAATAATTAGTTTTTTAAGTCTACTCATGAATTATTAAAACAATTATTAAATTGATTATTTATAGAGAAATGAAAGGAAATCTAATCGAGGCAGATCAGATGAATGGACTTGAAAATCTTATAGGTTTAGAGCTAGTGAATTCCAGTTAAACAAAAAGAAAAGAAAAAGGAAATGTTATTGTTATTGATGAAAACGATGGTCTGGAATTAATAAAGGACTTAAAACTTAAAGATACGGGTTAAAATTCTTTGAAAAAAAGTATAAATACAACAAAAAATAATATAAGTAAATCAGTAGAACATAATAAATAATTATTAAAATGTAATAGTAGTTTTCAAGAGAATTTGAGAGTAAAATAAAAAAAAACTTTTGCTAATCTCAAAAAAGAGACAGAGATATAAACTGATAATATTTGCGATATAAAAAAATTAGAAATCTTTCATTTATTAAAGATATCTTAAAATTTTATATTGTCTATGCATAGTTTAACTGAAAAAATTATAAAAATGTATGTTTGAGTTTTATTTTAAATAATGATACTCTGACTTAAAAATTAGAAAGGAATGATATATATAATTATAATCATAAATTACTAAATATTAATATTGAAAAAATGAAAATTTCATAATTTTAAAGCTTCTTTTGGTATTGTTATTAGTTTTGGACTCATTAGTTCAAATTTTAAGGCAAATTCTGTAAATCTTGTACATAGAAACATTTCATTCTAATATTGGAATAGATTTATACTTCAAAATCTTCAAAAATTTCTTTGTGATTAAAATAAGTGTGAGAGAATAATCTATAGAGTCTTCTAACTATAAAAGCAAAATTATTTGTAGCATTTTAAGGATTGATTGAAACTCTAATGAAATAATCATTAATAACCTTGATGGGTATGTTTTAATATTCGTTAAGATAGATGTACTCTAATCTAAGTTATGTATCATGTAATCTATAGCTGAGCATTCTTATGCTTTTTTATGTGCAGCACACAAGTAGAGCCAATCTTCAGTGGCTTTCATTTTTGGACAAGTTTAGGCTGTGCATAATCCTTTCAATTATGTAACTAATAGATTTAATTCTAAAATGAATTGTCTCAAATGTTCATATTGCCAAACATGAATATCTACTTCAGGAGGAGGAGTAATAATTTATTTAATGTTGGAGGAGTCAGCTCCTAAATGATGAAGAGGTTAGATTACTTATTAATTCTTAAATGTATTCTTAGACTGCTAAAGGTCCATTCATTTGAGAGATATCTTCAACATCCCCTAAAGTTACTATGGAATATGATACATGCCCATAGAAATTCTGCCTTTGTCCCTATTCTATTTCGTCGCATTTTTGAATTTCAAATATAAATATATTATTAATAATGATAATTATAAATCAATATTTTTTAGATTTACTTTTTTTAGGTGTTCTTGATCTTTCACGTCTGTCGTGTCTATCGATTTTTTCTGATTTTTCTATTTTCTCTTACTTGATAGCAATTTTTTAGACTAGTTACGCAATCTAAAGAGAAAAGTCAGCCTCTTTTTAAATAGGAAACACTTTAATTGCAGTGTTTAATAGATATATATCCCTTTAATGTTCTTTCTTATATTATTTATGGAGATCCTAAATATCCTTTACCTATTTTCTAAACATATCAGAAATAAATTTGGATTTAAATGTTAAGGCTTCACCAGTGCAATGGTACTAATTGTACAAAAATTTTTCATTGCTAGATTAATTATTATATTATTCATATAAATTTTCAACTTAAAATTTAAAACCAAAATCAACGACTTTATCATCAACAGGTATAAATATTCCACCTAAATCAATTGGATATACATCTTTGGATTGTCGTCTAATTTCCTAAGCTGAATTAAATATTGTTTCTTTAGAATGATCACATTTGTCAGCATATTATAGTCTATACTTTCTATAGGTCTCTGTCAATTAGGTAATTTTATGCACATAGATTTGCATGGTATGTTCATTAAAACCATAATTAAAATAATCCGTAATGTTGGAATGCCATTTATGAGATTTTCGTGGTTGTCTCTAAGGATTGTTAACATTGTTAAGCCACTCTTAATATTCTTTATATGCATCATAAAAGGACATAGAGAAGGTTTCTGGTTTGGTTAATTTGTACAATTTTAGTTTGTTGTAATCACTCATCAAAATTATTATTATTTAATTAATATTCTGCAATTAAGATGGAAATGACTCTTCTATCAAAATATTAACAGGTAAATGCAATCTCTATTCAATTAATAAAAAATTAAAATTTATCATAATGGTTTGTTCCTATTAAATTCTAAACCCATGTCTTCTTTGTTAAGGTTTAATGAATTCAATTGTTCTTTTAGCCCCCCTCAGGATTTTGAAAAGACAAAATTTAATAATTTATTCACCTAAATCCTTAAATTTTTCCCGCAAAGATCAAAATAAATAATCATATACCTGATATAAAATATTAATTAAAATTAATTAAAAGAAATATTATTAAAATTATTGAAAAAATCAATACTCACTTTCACTCCTTTTGCTTTGACTTAGACTTTCAGATAAATCCAAATCCAATGCCTTTTTTGTCCTTTCTCTTGGGAATGTCGCATAAAGTATTCCATTTATGAGAAATAAACATCCACAAAATAAAAATGGCAGAAATATTTGAGTTTCATATAACTTAAAAATAATTACAGGGGAAAGCAACTAAGAGATCTTAGCTACTACATATGTAAAACTTAATCCTAATGCACGAAGATTGCTATTGAATGACTCATTAATCATGATTTGCATTACTGTAAATTAAATTTCTAATAAAAATCTAACTAAGACTTATTATGAAATATATGTATCCTATTAGTAGAAAATCAATAAATAAGTGATGGATAATAAGATTGAAATAATCATACCTGATTTAGCTCTACCAAATGTAGGACTATCAATAAAAAATGATTATATAAATACTGCAGGAACAATACCTACTTATTGGAAAAATAGTGATTCGAATCCCTTTTGTTTATCATGATAAATGAATGGTAGTAAGTACTATTAAATTGATGTAGCAGCATAATAAATTATTTAGATTGAAATAACATAAAGAGTTATTCTAATATTGTTCTTTGTAAAGAGAGTTGAAATTTATGATTTTTTTTATCTGGTTTCAGAAAAGTTTTCTGTATACCATAGAATCAAAGCATCTTTTTACTGATTGTTCAGTTTATCAAAATAAGTACATTTATTTTCTTTCAATATGTGATCTATTTCATAAAAACATTCACTAAATCTACCCAATGATAAATAATATCTAGGATTATCTCTTCCGTATTTCTTCAGATAATAGTAAATAGAAATTGTTAGCAAAGCATTACAGAAATGGATGGCCTTATGATTTCCATTTTCATAATCGTCACAAAACAGATACCATAATAATATTGGATAGCCACTTCCAATCCCGTGGAAAAGATTAACCAACGCAGCCATTTACCCTCTATGATTTCTAGGAATCACTTCTATTGTCAATAATTAACTATATTGAGCACATATCCCATGCATAAATCCTTAGAGTAAAAATACAAACAAAATTATGAAGTATTTTTCAGCAATTGATGCAGATAATTAAGCAAATGCCAATACTAATAATGAATATTTTATAATTTTTATTCTTCCCAAAGTATTATTAAATTTCATGACGAAAATTCCAGCCAAAGCACTTCCTATTCTATGAACCACAGCCAATAAAATGACTTTGTTCATAGTGATATCCAATTCTTATTTATACAGCTTTAATAATAAACTGAGTAACAAAGCCAAATTTCCGAAATTGCAAGACAGGGCACAACTATTAGCAAATGTTTGTAGTTAATATCTTCCAAAACCAATAAATTGATCTAAAATATAGTCAAAGGAATAGCTCTGCATCAAAAAACGAATTAATTTATTATATAAATATATATAAATCTTATTTTGATCTTCTCATAATGATTAACTCAGAATCTAATATAGCGTTAACTAATTTTTTGCATATAGGAATTTCTATTATATTGATATCTCTAGAAACTCAATCTTATATTATGAATATCCAATTAACTTGCAAGGTTTCTATAAAAAATTGTAGAAAGTAAACTTTAGAAGTTCTTAAATAAGAGTTTATATATTTTTATATAATATCAAAAATATTCTTGTTTTAGTTTCCTAAAAAAAATTCATAAACTATTCAAGGTAATTATTCAAATATTGATTCGCAAAGTAAATCTAAATTTAATTAAATACTCTAATTATAGTTTCAAAATACATTCTTTTTTAGGTTGAATAAAAACATTTTAGTTTCTCCTTTTGGCAAGGAAATCAAACAAATAAGTAAAAAATAAAGATAGGATTGAAATGAAAATATTAATAATATGAATCGATTTATTGCCTTTAACTTAATGAATGAGCAAAGGACAAAGTAAATTCGATTATTTAATTTAGATCATTAGCGAATCGAGAATCTCATCAAATGAAATCTTCGAGTAGAGATGATCACATTAAATTAAGGAACATCAACTTTATAACATTATTGAATTTAATTAATAAAAATATGGTTTATAATAAATTAATTATAATATGCCTTTTATATGAAAAAGAATCATTATTGGAATTCGCTTTATTTTTTATCCTAATCCCTTTTTTCTAAAATATCTTTAATCACTTAAATTCTTTCAGCGATATCTTATCCTTGAATTTCAAATCTAAATTAATTTGAATTATTACTTAATATCATTTTAACTTTAACATTCAAAAATACAGGTTTCAAAAAACTAAATAAAAAACAATGGAGCTTAAATTTTGAAATCTTCATAAGTGTATTCATCACAATATGGTCTAATGCCATCCGATCTCTCTTTCCAAATTAGCGAAAACAACCCTTTATTTTCATCAGTCTACAATTTAATGGTTTATAATTTGTCATTGGAATTTGCTAATATTTATGGGGCTTTTCTTAAATTTACATATTAAAATTACTTAGATACTTCAGCGAGATTGATTGTAGTATTTGATGACTAGATGATATCTACTTTATCTAGTTGTAAATCATTTTTAGGATTGTCTATAATTTCAACATGCTTGCTATCAATTTTATCTATTTTTTTTTCTTTTTTGTTTAATTCACTTGGAATCATTGATTTGGGCATTGCTACTCTTTTGATAGCTGTTCTTGGTTGTGATTGAACAGTCAATTATCTGATTTCTTCTAGTTTTTTTTCATCATATCTTTCACCAGTCAAGGAGAAATAATTGTAATCTTCAATGAGTTCTTTGTATTTCTTCATAGTTTCATCAGATTCCCATGTGGTTTCTTCAAAGCCCTTCCATTTAACTTAGTATTTAATTTGTCCATTTAAGATATTCTTTTTCATGATTTTCTCAGGCTCTTTCATCATTTTAATTATTTAGGTAGACAAATAATTGATCAAACTCTTAAATATGTAAAATATCACCAGGCAAAAATTAAATGGAAAATTATTTATAAACTATAAAATAAATTAAAATTAACAAAATGAATATGAAACAATATAAAAAGTCAAATCAACTTCCAGACTTTGAAACATTGAAATATCATAGAAGAGTTTAGGTGAGTAAGAATCCAAGCAACTTGGTAGAGTTTGTAAATATCAATAAAAAATTCACTTAAAAAATTGAAAACACATAGACTCGTGATTGTTTAACTGACATATTTTTGAAAGAATTGAGTGAAACAGATCAATAATAAAATTATGAATACTCTCCAAATGAATACATTAACTCTTTGATTGTTCACAGAAATCCACTGTTTTTATAAAAATAGCATGCGAAAATAAATTGAATGTGTGTAATAAATTACTTTGTGAAATATAAAATATGAATTTTTTCAAACAACAACTACGTTAGTATCATAAATTCCGCAAGTGTTTTAACCTCTCTTTAAGTGGATGAAACCCTTGTCTCCCCAAGCTGGTCCCCAAGAGTTCTTTACTTTGAATGAATTTTAGTCATAACCAACAGCCAAGACTGCGTGATTTAAGCTTTTTTCACATGTGCTGAAGACTTTATCATCTGATGGGTTATAGTATTACCAGTTGGTGGCATCAACTCCAACTGAGACTGGTCCTTCATTAAGATATGAGATCAAAGCTTCTTCAGTTGGTTCTAAAGAGAGGGATCCCTTAATGTGATATTAACCACCTTTAATTTCGCATTTCTTTCCTTAAACTGCTTACTAAAAAATTAATATTAAATAATACATATGGATAAGCATCTTGAGTTGTGATACCATTTCTCTTGACATATTGTAAGGCTCTTTATGGAAGACCACCATTGCATCCAAGATTGAAATCTTAGAAGGTTGAGCAATCCAACAATTATTATTCAGATAAGTCAGGTAATTCACCAGTGGTTGTGAAAAAGAAACCTTCCAAAACTCCGGTGGTACCGAATGTCCAGCATGAACCACATTATCCTTGGTCTTTAATTTTGGTGACTGCTCCTTTTTATGTCCAATCGATTCTTTCAGCAGCTGAGATATTCTTGGCTGGGACTCTTTCAACATTCAAGTCTTCTCCTGTGATCTTAAGGGTCAAATAAGTTTCAGCGAATTCTTCTTTTGTTAAATCGAAGAAGATGGTTTCACCGAAGACTCTTTTTCCTTATTACAAATTGACTGATTCAGCATATAAGACATTTTAAGTGTAGACAGCCATTCTGTAGGCATCTTCAGCTTATGAGTATGCCTTTCCGTATTTCAATTTGAATGATTGATATTTTGAGGCTAAGTCAAGTTATTCTGGTTGGTTCACCATCATGAGTGTTCCGAGGAGGGCGATTGTGCCTAAAGCTAATAATGTTTTGGACATTTTGTAATTTAATTATCAAAAGTATACATTCATTACTTATGAACTCAATTTCTTTGATGTCATTAATAATTAAAATTTTACGTCAGAGCATTATTTTATTATTAAATTAATAAATTCCATATAGATTTATTTTGGTAGTATTAATTTTCTATATATCAAATTGATATTATCATCACAAATGCTTAGTTATAATTTTACAAAGATTTGATATTCTTCGTTCTCAAACAATCATATACTATTTGTGTTTATTTTATTCCTCTATACTTCAACATTTCCCTTAAATCTATCAAATAAGATATTTAAGAACAACCAAAAGAAATTTCCTCTAAACTCATATTTCGTAATATATTATTTTCTTTGCTCTAATAAGCAATCAATACTTTCATCATCATTATCATAAATTTATACTCTAGCATCTATAAATAATGAGTGATAAACAGAGAATGGGAATACTCTACTTTATAGAGTTATAAGAGAGTAATCAACTTGATTAAGCAATTTGGGTTAGAATGATGTAATTGAGTTAACTTAAATAGTTCGGAAGAGGAATGAACATCCATTAAACTTGAATACTTATCTTAAATAAACCTTACATATATATACACAATTAAAAATATTTATATATCTAAATTCTAATGATAAGATAATATTATCATCGGACTTAGAATTATTATACTTTTCCTTTAAATATTTAGTATGTTTTATATTCCTGGATATATTTTATTTAATACTATTATTTACTAAATTTAAGAGAAATGAGGGATCTATATCCTTCGAATATTTTCATAAGAGTAATTTAATAATAATATTGCCATACCTTTCAAAGAGTTATCAAATAGTAATAATTATATATTAATTCATAAATAATTTTATGAATTCTGAAGCTGTATGCTTGAAACTAGCATCTAAACATTTCGATGAACAAATTATATAAGAATTATTATGTGATGGAGACAAAACAGAATTAGAATTTGTAAAGCAAGTATGGGAACCCGCAGAGGTGTCACCATCAGTTTCTATTGAATCATCAGAAAGTTGTGGATATGCTAAAAAAATACGATTAAAAAATCATATCAATAAATACCTTGATAGTTCATTGCATTCATCCATGCTTAAGAGATTAAGAGAAATACAATGAACCAAAAATTTTATAATTAATTTTGCATATTAAAATCATAAATTAAATACAACGTTTCTTTATAAGAGTGATATTTCGTCACAGCAAAATTTATTAAATTGTCTTGCCAATTGAATAATTGTTCTATCAAAATAAAATTGAGATTATTCTCTAAATATTAATTTGTTTAATTTAAATAAATTTAACCAATCATTATTTTAATCTATCCTTTATAAAATTATCATAATATTAAAGATAAAATATAGTCACAATATTATGTAAAATTGTCTCTAATATTTTTATAACCATTATGAAGAATTATAGGATGCAATTCAACTTTGTTATATAATCCCAAAACAACTACATCTTTGTTATAAGAATATTTAGGATGCTTACAATTTATCAATTAATAAAATCCATCTTTTGGATTTCTACTAAAATCGAACAATGGAACCCAATTCTTTTTTTTAACTAACTAATAAATATACATCATCAAGAACTATGTCCTACTATGTTAAAGGCAGATTTTGAAATGCATCAATAAACAGATGATGTAGAATGGATACAAATATTTTCAAAGCTTCTTTATAATTTGGCATCCTCTTCCAAAATTCTCCTTCTACAATTAATGGAAGGAGAATCTAAATATATGAATATTCTAAAATTATCATTTATGTCTATTAGTGATTAGTGATACTTTTAATACAATATTCATTAATTACTTGAGGGTATTATTTGGTCTTACATTAATCCTATTTACTACAAATCTACTATGGCCAGATAACAAATATCCTTTTTTCAAAGAAAATTTTTAAATAAAATTAATATGGTCTACAGAAAGATCTAATGATTGAACAATTAGATTTTTAAAGAAGATTTCTAACACTATCAAAATATTATGACATTTAATCTGAATATCAGATTGTTATTTAAATACCCACGATTTGTCTATTAATTTTTTTATCATACATTCTCTATAAAACTTATCTACAACAAATTAATAATTCTCTAAATTACATAAAAGAAACTTACAAACTAGGAATCAAATCGACCAATCAATTCTTATGACCAATCTTTAAAAATCATATAATTTTCATGCCAAATCTTTTTGCATTATTTTAATAATGTTTAAGACAGCCAAACACATATTGAAATAGCTTTAAATCTTCTTAACAACTATCTCGATTTTTTTAAATTGAAATATTTTTTTTATTGAGATTTTGTTGTTAATTTCTCATATTCAAAAGGTTATTTAGTGGGAATCATAAGTGGATCTTAAAAGTGATGAAAATTATTGGTATTATCAAGTTTTTATATTCTTTCTCTTTACTTTGACATAATTGATATCTTTTTTTTTGGTGATGAAGGAGGGGATACTTCAGTTTTCGTATAGTTGGTTTTAGATTTTTTATGAACGCTATGAGATTGTTTTTTTGGCTAAATTTATTAATTAAAATCCTGGATTTCTTTTTCATCTATTGATGAACTTTTTATTCCTCGATTTTTTAACTTTTATGTTTACTTCTAAAGATTTTGAACTTTTTTTTCAGAATTTTATTATTCAAAGGAGGAAGATTACAATGGAGGTAAATGTGACTAATAATGAGATTTCTATTTGGTTGCTTAATATGACTAAGTTTCCTCAATTTTATCAAACTGCTATTTTAATCCAGATAATTCCTTTAGAATTTCTTTATTGTATTATTTAGTATTAGAATTGAATAGTTCTTAAAAATGGTGATTAAATTTTTTATGTTATTCATATCTAGATTCATCAATTGTTTTTATTAATCTATTGATTCTTTGATTCTATTGATCAATTTATGTTGTCAATTTCATAATTTGAGAATCCTTCAATATAAATGATTGAGTTTAATCTGAAATAGTGTTTAAGTTTAAGTCGTTAACTGTCCTTAAATGATCATTAAGCTTTTTTTTATTCATCTTGAATTTAATAAATGAAAAATATAATAATAATATTATTGTTATCTATAATCAACTCTATAAATCGAGTTCAAAATTAAGTGCTGCGAGCTACCTCTTCTAATACTTCTTTAGCAGGACATTGATTCAAATGTTTTGGATCAAACTCTTTGTGATATTCACTATTGTACTAGCCATTATATGAGGGATTTAAATTTGGCTATCCTATATATGATTTTTACATCCTATTTTCCTTTGGCACTTTAAGTTTTTTCTGGTTTGAATGGCTTATATGATGATTTTGCAATAGATTCTGCATTAAACTTCAAATCGGGAGGGGATAAAGGTGATCTAAATGATTGTAGTTTATTTACTTTAGAGCTTTGTTCATGTTTTTACAACTTTGTGCTGGGACTGTTTGAGCTCCCTAATAACTATCTTTATAAANTAAAAGAAACTTACAAACTAGGAATCAAATCGACCAATCAATTCTTATGACCAATCTTTAAAAATCATATAATTTTCATGCCAAATCTTTTTGCATTATTTTAATAATGTTTAAGACAGCCAAACACATATTGAAATAGCTTTAAATCTTCTTAACAACTATCTCGATTTTTTTAAATTGAAATATTTTTTTTATTGAGATTTTGTTGTTAATTTCTCATATTCAAAAGGTTATTTAGTGGGAATCATAAGTGGATCTTAAAAGTGATGAAAATTATTGGTATTATCAAGTTTTTATATTCTTTCTCTTTACTTTGACATAATTGATATCTTTTTTTTTGGTGATGAAGGAGGGGATACTTCAGTTTTCGTATAGTTGGTTTTAGATTTTTTATGAACGCTATGAGATTGTTTTTTTGGCTAAATTTATTAATTAAAATCCTGGATTTCTTTTTCATCTATTGATGAACTTTTTATTCCTCGATTTTTTAACTTTTATGTTTACTTCTAAAGATTTTGAACTTTTTTTTCAGAATTTTATTATTCAAAGGAGGAAGATTACAATGGAGGTAAATGTGACTAATAATGAGATTTCTATTTGGTTGCTTAATATGACTAAGTTTCCTCAATTTTATCAAACTGCTATTTTAATCCAGATAATTCCTTTAGAATTTCTTTATTGTATTATTTAGTATTAGAATTGAATAGTTCTTAAAAATGGTGATTAAATTTTTTATGTTATTCATATCTAGATTCATCAATTGTTTTTATTAATCTATTGATTCTTTGATTCTATTGATCAATTTATGTTGTCAATTTCATAATTTGAGAATCCTTCAATATAAATGATTGAGTTTAATCTGAAATAGTGTTTAAGTTTAAGTCGTTAACTGTCCTTAAATGATCATTAAGCTTTTTTTTATTCATCTTGAATTTAATAAATGAAAAATATAATAATAATATTATTGTTATCTATAATCAACTCTATAAATCGAGTTCAAAATTAAGTGCTGCGAGCTACCTCTTCTAATACTTCTTTAGCAGGACATTGATTCAAATGTTTTGGATCAAACTCTTTGTGATATTCACTATTGTACTAGCCATTATATGAGGGATTTAAATTTGGCTATCCTATATATGATTTTTACATCCTATTTTCCTTTGGCACTTTAAGTTTTTTCTGGTTTGAATGGCTTATATGATGATTTTGCAATAGATTCTGCATTAAACTTCAAATCGGGAGGGGATAAAGGTGATCTAAATGATTGTAGTTTATTTACTTTAGAGCTTTGTTCATGTTTTTACAACTTTGTGCTGGGACTGTTTGAGCTCCCTAATAACTATCTTTATAAATGCTCTTTCCCATAAATGGCATTTCTTTAATAACAGTAGGATTGTTTTAAGGCAATAATTGAGGCGTATCACCCATTCCCCAATTTAAATACATATTATTATAAGTTGAAATTCCAGAAAAAGGAACACCACTAACAGTAGGTTTAGAAGTGTTCTTCTGTTATTCCACTTTGTTATTATATCCTGGAAAGTCATGCTAAAATTATATATATCCACTTACTTACTTTGTAAGTAGTCATATTTCCTAACTCACCTTCAGGTTTTGGTTATGAAAAAATATTTCGGTTGTATCTTGATCCATTTTCTGGAGTCTTTTTTACGAATTCTTTTTGATATATTGTGTAATTTCCATGCAATTAAGGTTTGTTGATGCAGTTTTTGCTATTACATTTATGTTTTCCGCAGTTACATAATGAACATAGACATTTGCCTAAAATTGATAAAATTGAATTTCTACCTCCTAGATGATCATAATATTAGGAGACTTCTGATTATTTATCTCGATTAGTTTAAGAACTCATAATTCTCTCATAGACTTCCTATATGTGATCCATAATACTATACTTTCTTTTTTGAAGATAATAATAAATCATTTTCTGGAATCGAAGACTAATTAATTGAGCATGTTTTGTGTTATTAATTTGTAATAGATTATTAATCTAGGTTAGCTTTGCATTATTTAGGAGTTTATTAAGCCATTTAATTAATAAATAATTTATATTATTCTAATTTTAAACATGCATTTTTAACTATGTTATCATTTATATATAAAAGTCATTTAACCTAATTACTATTATTCAATTATTCTAAATATGGAAAGCACGTCGTAATTGATATTTCTTGGTTAGATTTTAAGTGTATTAACTCATCTGTAGGTAAATAAAGAATGTCGTATTCTTAATAGGTTTCCCTCTTTAATTATTTTAAAGTGGACCTCAAGAGTATTTAAATACGATAAAGGGACTTGAATTCATTTATGATGGAAATTAATTCTTTAGTTATCATAGATTTCTTTTTGCATTATTCCTGCCATTAGAGATTCAACCTTTAAATAACTGAATGACTTCCTTCTTGAATAGACTAAGTTGAGTAATAAATTTCTACTACGCCACATTAGTACTAGGAAATATTGGTTCTTATTATGGGTATATAACTTAAATTTAATAATTTAAGGATAACATTGGAACTCAACGAACTGATTAAATTGAATCTTTAATCCTAGATGCGACTTAAAGGTTCATCCTAATATATTTTAATAGACATTCAATGGCTTACCATGTATAAGAAGCAATATTCTTTTGGACCGCGATTATGTAGATGATCATAAAGGGCCCTCGAATATTGTTCAGAATTATCATTACTCAATTAGAACTCCATATAAGGCAAAACCTCTTGCTCATTGTTCAAGAACCTTACAATTACAGTATCATTATTGTAAGTCTCAACAACTTCAATGAAATTGATCTACTACTCCATTTGGTTATTATTTGATGCTTTCATTTGCGATTTATTTTATTAAAGATAAGTAATACATGCTCAAGGCAGCAAGAATCATCCAAAGGAACAAGAAGATGTCCTTTTTTCCTAAATTTTGCTAGAATAAATAATTATCTTTGTCTTATGAAAAATATATCAAACAACGAACAACTGTCAAATAAATCATTATTTTTAATAGAAGTTTACTCATCCATTTAGTTAAAACTTTCATTTAAGTAAAGAATAATCATTCAAGTCACTTTTCCATGTCCTCTTAATTATATATCAGATTTTTATCTTACTTCAATGCAATAAAAATAATTATCAATTTGAACTGTAATAAGAAAGAATATAGTAAAATCCAAAAGGACTATACAGAAATCACCATATAAATTAAATAAACTCTTATTTTTGATGAATAAATGTGTGATTAAATAAAATATTATTTTTCTCAATTTCTTTTAACTCTAGATTTTTATTTAACTATATATTTCTAAATATTGCAATTTGATTAAGTTACAACTCAAAAGTTGATTATTTCTGAGCATATTTTTAATGTAATCAAATAAATCAGTAACTTGAATATGAAAATTAAAAATATTTCTAATATATGAGGTTTTTGTAATTGATTTTTCGTAGAGCTATAAAGTAATAGAACAAATGATTTTTTGATATTATTTTTTATAAAATGAACTAATTGCTAGGAATAAAGAATAATACTAAAATAGAACATGGGTTTACCGTAGAGGAAACTCAAAATGGAGTAGCATAAGGAAATTATGAGTACGGAAAGAAAGTTGGTAAATGGACTTTTAAATATCATGATAGAATGTAAAATATTTTAAAAATAACATTAAGAGAAGAAGGGGAATTTAATGGAAAATATAAAGTTGGAGAATGGATTATCTAAAATCACGTTGAGGATCTCTAATATATGTATTTAAATCTAAGTGAAATTTAGAGGATTATATGATGATAAAAATTTTAAAACAGGAGATTGGATGGTTTGCAATAATTAGCAATCAGAAACCTACATAAGAAGGACTTATAAAAGAGGGATAGTGGTAAGTGAAAAAAAAATAGAGAGATTATAACTTTCCACAATCTAAATAAAGAATGGATGATAGTAATTGTATTTTGATTTCATTTTACAAATCATACACTATTATTTCTTATTTTTGTTTAACGCCTTTCTTGTTATACTTAAGTTGGTTTTGTATAGAATTTAAATAAAATAATATAGATGTGCTCATTATTAAATTAATGTAATTAAATTATAAAATATCTATTCCTTCTTTTTAAATAAGTGAAGAAGATGGAAGGACTACTCATTATCAAATAAAAGTTCAAAATTAGAACAAAGAATGGGTAGTTTAAAAGAGGTATTTAAATTATTGATTTAGATATTCGGACTTTAAAAAGTTGAAGGACAGTTTAACATAGTATTTTGGTGAAATACTACCTGATTTACCTAAAAAGAAATACATAACATTTTTAGTTGGTAAATCAGACCAAGAATTAGACCAAAGAAGATTGGAATTAGAAAAATTCTTACACGTGATTTCTCAAAATGAAAGAATTATAAATAGTGGTTAATTTTAGAGTTTTTTAAGTTTAAATTAAAGCAAAGTCTAGGTGACCATTTTATAAAATTTTAAATTTGGAATAAGAGATTTTTATTATAGTGAAGATCTACTGATCATATTAAACGCAGAAACGAATGCTTTAAGCAGATTTGATGCATATATATAGAACATTATTGACGATGAAGCAACAGTTCCAGTTGGCTCAATAGAATGCTGGGAACATTCAGTTAAGAGTTGGACAAAAAAATATAATTCTTAAGCAATTTGTTTATATTTTCATAATCAATCACTTTTGGTTGGTTTAGATAATGGAATGATCAATTATTTAACTATTTTACCAGGGAAAATAAATACAAGCTATGAGATTGAATAACACTAAAGTAGAGTGATGGGAGTACATCTCTTTAATTAGTTGATTTATTCTGTCAGCAAGGATTAAAACTATAGAGTAGTGAATTTTTAAACTGGGTAATTGGAAGTTGATTATCATCACAATTATGAATTAACATGTCTTAAATTTAATGAGATTAGAAATTGTGCATTCATAGGAGATAGAAATGGATAAATCATGATATTTTAAAATTCTTCCAAATTAGTTACCTTGGATTTCAATGATCAATTTCTAAGAGATTTAACTGTTGATCCAATCAAAAACTATTTAATAGGAATATGTTTTTACACTGGTTCTACTATAGTATATGACATAGGAGGACTTGGTTAGGTATGAACATTATAAATAAACTTAGGAAAAAAATACAAAAAAAATTACTCAATTCAAAAACAAAGATAAAAGTAGGTGTGTGTGTTGGTCAAGTAGCAGAGGCGAAGTGTTTATTGGAAATAGTGATGGAACAATTACTATTTGGAGTGCTAAGGATTGCTCACCTATTAAGGAGTATCAGGTACATTAAGATGAAATAACAAAAATGATTTGGAATGAGGACGCTTCAATCTTAATGACTTCCAGCAAGGATAAAACTATTAAAATTATTTGTCTCCCTAAAAGGTGGGATGGCGAAATCATTATTGAAAAATAAAAGAAAAGTTTAGATGACATCGAATAGTGGGATTAAAATAATTGAAGTTTATTTGTATAAATACGATATAATTTTTATTTTATAAACTAAATTTTAGATTTATGGAAGTATTATATAAAATTAATGTGAAAAGATCCTTATTAAAAAACACTATCCGAGTTTAGATAATGAAAAAGTAACTCTATATGAGATTGAAATAAATGATGGTGATAAAGTTTGGAGAATTGAGAAAAGGTATCATCACATTCTTAACTATTAGATTTAATTAATTTAAGCAATTGAATTAAAGATTAAGTGAATATTTTGGAAACACCATTCCATTGTTACCTAAACAGACCTACACCACTTTTATTGTTAAAAAAACAGAGTAGGAAATTATAGAAAGGAAAAAAGGATTGGAAGAGTACCTTAAGTAAATTATATAAAATGAACAAATTGTAAACTCAATACTTTTTAAGGAATTCATCCAATCTCCCTCTTTCACTATTTCAAAACTATAATTAGATAGTGTAAGAACATTTGATTTGGGCCTTAGAGATTTTTATTTCTATGAAGACGCAATATTCGTACTACTTTGTGAAATGAGCCCATTAAATAGAGCAACCACAAATTTCCATAATATGAAATTTCCTTGGTAAGAGGATATCGATGTATCTAATCTCAAACCTTTAGGATACTTGGATTGTTTAATAGGACCTTAAATGATATGGAGAAAGAAATATAATTCATAACCAATTTGCATGAGTGTTATTAAGGACAATATTTTAGTAGGGTAATTCATACTGTTATATTTTTAGTTTAGATAATGGAATTATCAATCATCTCTAATTCAAATCAAAAAAGCATTTACTAGAATCTTAGGATTACTAGTAGCATACTGCTAGGATCATGGGTTTACATATTTATGGAGAGAACATCTATTCAGTAAGTAAGGATTAGAGATATCGTGTTATGAATTTCAAAAAGGGTGACACTTTTATAGGTAACATCGACATCCTATCTTAAAGATCTTTATCATAAGCATGAATTAACTTGTTTGAAATTTGATGAAACCAGAGATTATGCATTTATAGGAGATAGAGGAGGAATCATTTATGCTTATCATTAAGCTACATTAAAAATCAGTCTCGATACAAATTTATAATTTATCAGAGATCTTATTATTCAAAAATCTCATGACACTATCATTGCTATTGGATTTCAAACAGGCCAAGCAATCATACTAAATATTTTCAATAAAGTACTAATAAAACTATATTAAAGGAAGTTTAGATGCAAGAGGCTACATAATTCAAAAATAAAATTAAAAGCAGATGCATTGCTTGGTCTCTTTTAAGAGGAGAGGCTTATATTGGAAATTAGGAAGGGTTTGTTACTGTGTGGGATATTCAAAAAAAAATACCAATTTATGAAATCCAACTTCACAACGGCCCTATCACGAAGATATATTGGAATGATGAAGAAGAAATGTTATACACAGCTAGTAAAGATAAAACCTTAAAAGTTATTACAGTAATCTTATTTTTTAGATCACATTTTTCAATAAAAATAAGAGAGATACTTAAAATTATTAAAATAGATAATCCGGTATTCTCTAGAACGTCAATTTATGAATATCAATATTATAATTTTATTTCTATTTAATTTATCAGTAAATTTGCTTCAGATTTGATTACTGAGAATTTTATATATCCTAAAATCTTATCCTAATTATATTGCAACTGAGCTTAGTATTCAAACCGTAACTTGTATTTATTGCAACTTTCCAGGTAAATACAATTGCAATCAAAATAAATTATCTAGTAAAGCACGAACTTAATTATTCTATAATTTTTATAGTTTAAATGGTAATTTAAAGATTAATACATTACATAAACCCTCATAGTTTAAATAAATATAAAACACTATTTCAGAATTATTAATTGATAATGATGATCATAAGATTTATTACAATAAATTTTTTATATTTTGATTTTTAAGTAATAATACATTATTTTTCTCATCTCCTAGTTTATTTTTTACAAACTATTTATTAGTAAAATTACAAATATAATAAAACTTATTAAAGTTCTTTAAATATAAATATTTATTTAATATAAAATAAATTTTCAAATATCATTTAATCAAATTAAGATATTAATTTTTTTTCTAGATAATTCTGCTTTGTATTTATCAGCAATCCCATTTTCATTTAAAGTTTTCAATTTGGTATCTTTGATATTTTCTAAAAGTTTCTTTTCATTCAACATTTTATCTCTAATCTTTTTACCTTCTTCTAATCTAATTTATTAATAACTAATTACTTATCTCTTTCTTCTTATTTTCTCTTCTCTTCATTTAAAGATATTTATTTTCTTAACTCATCTGCGTGCTTTTTAACTAGTGCTTCTTTATCATGTAGTAACTTCAATTCATTTTCTCTTTCTTACTTTTATTTTTGAATAACCCTTTAGAATTCATCCCTTTCTAATCTTGCCTATAATAGTAAAGATTCAACTATACTTATTCTTCTAATCTTTCTTATTTTTCGAACTATTATAGCTTTCTTGCTTCATGAACTTCATGATTTAATCTCATTTTTAATTCTGCTTCTCTTCTTTCCTTTTCTCTGGCTTGTCTTTCATTTTATTCCATAGCTCTTTTTGCTCTTAATGCATCTAACTCAGCTTATCTATCTTATGCCTTTTCTTGCATTTCTCTTAATCTTTAAACTTCACGTTCTTTCTCTTCTTTTATTCTCCTTTACTCTTCTTGTAGTTCAGCCTCTTTTTATGCTTTTTATAAATTATATTTGACAATCATTTCTTCCTCTTCCCTTTCTTCTAACTTTCTTTTTTCTTTTACTAAAATAGCTCTATCATTTGCTTCTAAGATTTCCTCTTGAACTTTTTGTTAAGATACTTTTTTTTGCATTGCCTTTTAAGCTTCCTCTTATTGTAGCTACTTAATCTTTTTAAGCATAACTTATCCCTCCTTTTCCTACTCCTCTTTATCTTTTAACCTTATTAATTCTCTCTCTTTAATTTATTCAATAATTATATCGTGACCTTGTTTTTATTCAACCTTTCGTTGTTTATCTTTTTCTTCATGATACTTAATAGATTTCAATCTTTCTATTTCCATCATCAAATCCTTTCTCTTTTCCTAAACCTTATATTAGTCAACCAATTCTTTTTTTTCTTTTAATTATTTATCTCGAACAGTTACACATTTAGCATACATTACCATCTTATTCATTTCCTTAACGTCATCCATTTATTCATTCATTATTTCTGCTGCCTAAATTACATATTAAATCAACAAATACTCTTGCAAGAAGTGAATCTTTCACTACTTTGTCCTCCTCTTATTATGATGTCAACGGAACTAATTTCTTTTTTTCTTCTTCCATTTGTATCATTCGTTATTTTTTAGCTTTAGCAGCTGCCATTTACTTCTCTTTCTACTCCTCAAGTAATTTCTTCTAATATATTTGCTCTTCTTTCGTTGTGATTATTGCATTATTCTGATAGCATGGATATTATATTTACATACTTTCATTCTTTACAATTCCCCTTCACCAATTACCACTACTTCTGGATTTGTAGCATCACCATTACGAACATTTTTTACAATTGACTCAGTCTATTCCTCATTTCTTTATTTATCTATGCTAAATATTTTAAGTTTACTTTGGGTTTCTTCTGTCAAAAGACTCTTTTTGGACCTTTTACTAAGCTTACTATTCTACAATTAATAAATATGAATTTGATACCATTATTCAATTTTATTAGACAATTTAAATAATAATAAACACAATTTATATATAAATAAATTAATATTGGGTTTGTCAAGAATTCTATCAAATTACATTCAAAAGTACTAGTATGATATTAACCAATTTATAAATCTATAAAAAATAGAAACTAAAGATAATAAATATATTATCATAAAAAGTAATTAGAAAAAGAAGTAGGATTAATAACAAATTCTTATAATAAATTAAAATGATAAAAATATGAAAACCATGCTGTAAATTTACTGTGAATTGTATTAAATCTTATAATTCATTTTGAGTTAAGATAACTACAATTAAATACTATATTGAAGGCAAGTCTAATGATAGATTAAAGCAAGATGTAAAAAAATTTCTTTTTAAATTGTGAAGTGGTTGAAAAAGATTAAAAATATCTATTAGAGGTATTAATTAAATTTGAATGACTTAATTCTTGTAATTACTTAATTATGATTTAATCATGTAATGGAATAAAATCAAAATATTGGCAAGTAACAATTATTTTAATTTCATTCTCTGTTGTCAAACATAATTATTATGCCTTATCACTTAAGCATACATCATTTAAAGAAAGAGATTCTATTTATTCATCAAATTTTTCAAAAATAAGGATAAAGAAGGAAAACTACCTGAATTTTATTAGATTTATGATTCTTTACAAGAATCCCTAAGCTGGAATTCATATAATAAATATAAAACTGAATTAAAAAATAGCTAAATGTCTTAGGGTAGTCATGAAGTAACATTAAAAGTTCTGTTTAGTTGATAACAAACCCTCTAAATCTTAATAACTAATCGTTTTTTAAACTTAAACCTGAAAATATTTATCAAAAATAGAAGCAGTTATAATATTAAGCAATCTATTATTATAGCTTGACATTATACTCTATGGTTCTAAGACTCAAAATTGTTTGCAATTTTCTTTTATGATAACAAAAAGTAAGAACCTTTAAAATAATAAATGGTAAAATAAAACAGATATTATTTGTCTAAACTTGTTTGTTCTTATTTTATTTATTCACATTCAAATTAATCTTATTTTATTAATTATGTAATAATAATTATTCTTAATTTTTCTATTTAATAGTTTTAATTTATTTTATCCTATGCATCATCTTTGAATCTATTTTTGGTTTTCTGATATAATCTTTTTAATCCTTTCAATAAATTGCTCTTATTTAGCTTTTTAAATATGAAAGAAATCTATTTTTTTTTTACTAAAAGTATTAGTTTAGATAATACTATTATGTTGAAATAGAAATGAATAATGATTATGCATTTGTTAAAATGTCTCTAATTTAAAACAAGCACAATTTTTTCATAAATATTTGTAAATAGATCTAATAGATTAGGGATGCATCTTAATAAATGCTATTAAAAAATAATATGAATTTTTCTGAAAAACATAAAGAGGGAATTGGAAATTATAAAATGATTTTATAATTTTAGGAAAAGCGTAATTTCCTTATTAGAGATTCTAAGTTTATTAGTTAAATAATAATATATTTTAATATGGGAAGTGGAGCAGGTAAATAGCTTACGATTCCAGTTGTTTATGCAGAATCATCGCATTATGTTCACGCTCATTTAAAAACGACAAATAAATAGAAATTAAAAATATCAGATCCTTATACTAAACTTCAATAAGGTTATCACACCATTCCCTTAGTTATGAAGAAGGAGGACAATCAAGATGGGATTAAGGTTATTCATGGCGTAGTAGGATTGAAAAATTTGGGTAACACTTGCTATTTCAACTGCGCAATTCATTGTTTAAGTCATACACAGCCTTTACTTGATTATATGTTATCGAGGGTTTTTGAAAAGGAAATCAACAAGAATAGCAAACTAGGATCAAGAGGATAGGTGACTGAATGCTTTGCTTAATTATTGAGTGATATTTGGAAGGATGAAAGAAGTATTGGAATGAGTATAAATTAAATGAGTATGAGTATGGATATGCAAAAGAAATAAAAATAATATGAGAATTGGGTAGATCCTTTCAGGTTATTGTTGCTAATACAGAAATACTCGAAGAGATTTGAAATCGGATGTAAACTATTAACACATTTAATTAGAGTAGGAGGATTGTCAAGAGTTGTTGAGTTATTTATTAGATATGATTCATGAAGATTTGAATAGATGTAAGAAGAAGGAGATAATTAAAGAGAAGGATTACATAGGTGAAGCAAAAGAAGAATGGGCTGCAGAATCTTGGGGTGAACATCTAAAAATTAATAAGAGCATTGTGGTTGACTTGTTTTAGGGATAATTGAATTCTAAAGTGGAATGTAAAACATGCAATTATCAGAGTCATAAATGGGAGCCGTTCCTATTTCTAAATTTACCTATTAAATAATAATAATAATAACAATAATAATAATAATAATAATAATAATAACAATAAAAATAACAATAACAAAAATAATAATCATTTCAATCTAAATCACTTGGAAACTCCTAACTGAAGCAAGAAACCATCTGTTATTTGACAGAATGCTTGGATCAATTTTAATAGGAAGAAACCATACAGTGGAAATGTCCACAATGTAAAGAAACAAGGGACTGTAAAAAAGGGATTCGAATATGGAAATTACCAAATATTTTAATTATTCATCTTAAGAGATTTGAGTTTGGGTCTAAGTAGACAGGTAAGATCACTTAAAAAGTGAATTTTCCTATAAATGATTTAAATATGTCTCCTTATTGTTTTGAATAGGATAATACTATTTATAATTTGTATGCAGTTGCATAGCATCATGGCTCATTATAATATGGCCATTATATTTCTATTTGCAAACATAGGGTTGATAACTAATGGTATATGTACAATGATGATGCAGTTTTTAAAGTACTATTAATCTGATTCTAGATACAAGAGCTGGAAAAGGCTATCGTTAATGAATATGCTTATGTTCTCTTTTACCAAAAATAAACAGAGAACATTTTCAGATAAACTACTACGGATCCCAGTTGCTGGCCTCACAACTAAAGTGCTAAAAAATAGCATAATGATGCTCCACCTAAAGATTCATCAAAATTATAGACACTGACATTAATGGATTACCAAGATACTGAACAGAAGGGCTAATTAGATGATAATAGTCCTCACAATATATCAAATAATTCAATTAAAATCGAACCCATAAATGGATAGAGAAGGTTCTTTCCTCATACAAATTCAAGAGAATAAAACAGCAGGTGCTAACAAATATACAGAAAATCGAGGCCTTCTGTCGATCATCATAATAATAATGAATAATAAACATCTATCACAAAGCTAGAAGAAGAGGTATTTTAGTTATTATTAATTTGAAAGTCGACTTAAATATAAAATAATAATCCACAAATAGGGATAGATAGGAAAGTCTAAGACAAGTTTTACTAATTAAGAGCCAAAGGTTCTCGTAAATGAATAATTAATTTAATATAATAGTATTTTTCCGTTAAATAATTTATATTCAAAATGAAAACAAATCAAATCCCACGCTTATTTTGTGTTGCTGATTATGACAAAGAAAATTTCAATTATGCCACCAAACATCAAAGAGTATAGTCATCAATGGCACTCAGAGACAAGTCATCAAACTCATTCCATACGATGATTCCACAGTAAAAACCATAATTGAAATTGAATGATGAATCTAGCAATCGAACAAAGGAAGGATTTCATAGAGTCAAAACAGATTCTAATATGCCAATGCCTTTACGTAATGGAAGAAACCTCAGTATTACCAGTGGAGTTACTACATTATTAACAAATAAAAGTTTTTTATTGCCCTAAAAAAGTGATAATCCCTAATCAGTCAATGCATACAAAAAAGAAATAGTCACATATATGAAAGAAAAAAGTGTAATAAACCTAATTTAAAGTAGTGTCGATCAAATTACAAAATGAATGCTTTTTAATTTCAAACTGAGATTACCGAAAAAATGCGTAGCATCTTACTTGATTGGATAGTGGATGTTCATTTCAAATTCAAATTGGATACAGAAACACTATTTTTAACAATTTCGATAATTGATAGGTAATTATTGAATTAATTTGAGAGTACTTGAAATTCACTAGATATCTAAATCCAAATTCTAACTTTATGGAGTGACAGCCTTGTTCATAGCATCCAAATACGAAGAAGTGTATTCTGTGCCTCACGTAAAGGATCTTGTCTACGTTTGTGACAATGCATATACAAAAGAGGAGATCTTGGCAACAGAGGGCAAAATCATCTCATTGTTGGGATTTGATTTGCTTACAACAAGTCCTTTGAGAATGTTGAATGTCTATTAAGAAACAGCAAAATTGGATTAAAAAAACTACATGCTAGCAAGGTAATCTAAAATATTTAATAATTTTAGATATTTAATAGAACTATCAATTTTGGAGTACTCTATGATCTAATTTTCAAATAATGTTTTGGCTTGTGCATCCATTTATTTGGTACATAAGATTAGACGAATCCATCCATCATGGAATTAGGATTAGATGGTTCCTCTTACTGGTTTGAATGAAGTAGAAATTAGAAGCTGTGCAAAGGAAATGTGCAGTTTATTGCAAAATTAAGATAAAAAATAGTTTGCATCAATTAAGAAAAAGTTTTCGATGCCAAAATATTTTGAAGTCTCAAAAATAAGAATAGAAAAGAAACCTTCACAAAATCTATAAACCCTACAATAATGATTTTGTTTTAATTCATATTCTCACCCCATTTAATTAATTTCTGTAAAGATAAATTTAATTTATGATGTTATTCTGTGTAAACTAGTTTGGATTATAATATTCACTTTATCCTATAATATTTAATTATATAAAATTATGAGCAAAGCAAAATCAAGATATTCAACAGAAGAGTAAGCTGCTCTATAATCCAAAGTTGTATTTTAAGAATTTAAGTAAATTAGCAATCCGTTTAATTACCAAGCATTAAATAAGAGTAAGTGAATTCAGTTTCAGTTATTGGTTTAAGTGAATTATATTAGATTAAAAATCATATATAGGGTGAAAAACAAACTAAAAAGGTAACACAAACCATCATTAATAGACACTTGATAATTAAAGACTTTGGGCGTAAAGAATAACTAAGCAGAGGTAATAAAAAGAGGCTGAAAAATTAGAGAGGTTCACTAAGGAAGAGGAGGAAAGAAGAAAAATTGATAAGGATGAGGAAGAATATTAAGAAAGACTTAAAAATGAACTTGTAAAGGAATCAAATTAGAAAATATTTGATTAAAGAGCAGAGTAAGATCACATTTACAAAATTATAGTGTTCGTAATTTGAAGGCTTAGATGATGNTTACTTGATTGGATAGTGGATGTTCATTTCAAATTCAAATTGGATACAGAAACACTATTTTTAACAATTTCGATAATTGATAGGTAATTATTGAATTAATTTGAGAGTACTTGAAATTCACTAGATATCTAAATCCAAATTCTAACTTTATGGAGTGACAGCCTTGTTCATAGCATCCAAATACGAAGAAGTGTATTCTGTGCCTCACGTAAAGGATCTTGTCTACGTTTGTGACAATGCATATACAAAAGAGGAGATCTTGGCAACAGAGGGCAAAATCATCTCATTGTTGGGATTTGATTTGCTTACAACAAGTCCTTTGAGAATGTTGAATGTCTATTAAGAAACAGCAAAATTGGATTAAAAAAACTACATGCTAGCAAGGTAATCTAAAATATTTAATAATTTTAGATATTTAATAGAACTATCAATTTTGGAGTACTCTATGATCTAATTTTCAAATAATGTTTTGGCTTGTGCATCCATTTATTTGGTACATAAGATTAGACGAATCCATCCATCATGGAATTAGGATTAGATGGTTCCTCTTACTGGTTTGAATGAAGTAGAAATTAGAAGCTGTGCAAAGGAAATGTGCAGTTTATTGCAAAATTAAGATAAAAAATAGTTTGCATCAATTAAGAAAAAGTTTTCGATGCCAAAATATTTTGAAGTCTCAAAAATAAGAATAGAAAAGAAACCTTCACAAAATCTATAAACCCTACAATAATGATTTTGTTTTAATTCATATTCTCACCCCATTTAATTAATTTCTGTAAAGATAAATTTAATTTATGATGTTATTCTGTGTAAACTAGTTTGGATTATAATATTCACTTTATCCTATAATATTTAATTATATAAAATTATGAGCAAAGCAAAATCAAGATATTCAACAGAAGAGTAAGCTGCTCTATAATCCAAAGTTGTATTTTAAGAATTTAAGTAAATTAGCAATCCGTTTAATTACCAAGCATTAAATAAGAGTAAGTGAATTCAGTTTCAGTTATTGGTTTAAGTGAATTATATTAGATTAAAAATCATATATAGGGTGAAAAACAAACTAAAAAGGTAACACAAACCATCATTAATAGACACTTGATAATTAAAGACTTTGGGCGTAAAGAATAACTAAGCAGAGGTAATAAAAAGAGGCTGAAAAATTAGAGAGGTTCACTAAGGAAGAGGAGGAAAGAAGAAAAATTGATAAGGATGAGGAAGAATATTAAGAAAGACTTAAAAATGAACTTGTAAAGGAATCAAATTAGAAAATATTTGATTAAAGAGCAGAGTAAGATCACATTTACAAAATTATAGTGTTCGTAATTTGAAGGCTTAGATGATGTTAAGTGAAGTCGAGAGAACTAATGAACAATTAAATGCAATTAATAAGGAGTAAAAGGAACTTAGAAAAATACAAGAAGAGGAAAAGGAAAAAGAATACGAAATGCAAGAATATTATAAAGAATAGGAACTAATGGTTAGAAAGGAGAAATAAGCAAAAAAGAAAAAAGAATGCAATGAGATCTTAGCTGATTAGCATAAATAAGTCAAAGAGAGATATTTAAAGGAAATGATGTTAGATAAATAAGAAGGTTAATTAATTAAGAAAAAAGCAGAGGAGGATGAAATTCTAAGAGAGTAATCCTTGAATATAATTTAGTTAATAAAAATAAGAGATCAAAAATAAGTAATAAAAATTACTCAAAGAACATGAGGAATTTATGGAAAAGAGAAGAGAATTATAAGAAATAGAGAAAAGTATTTTGGATGAAGAGGATAAGAAAATAATTGATCATGAATTTCACAAAGAAAAAGTGTTATAGATGAGAAAAGATAGAGTATAATAAAATATATATTATTTAGGAAAACTAAAAATAGCAGAAAAAAGAGTAACTCAGAAAATAGATATACGATCTTAGAGTGGAACAATAAAAATAATAAGAAGATAATTATATGTAAACTATCTAAAAACATGCAGAGGAACTCAAACAAAAATAGGATGAAGAGTTAAAATAGAAAGAATTAGAAAAAACATAAATGGTTTAAGATGCAGAAACTATGAGGTTGAAATAGCTTCAAATTTAATAATAAAGGAAAATTAATTAATAGGCTGAATAGGAAGTCGATTTTAAATAAAAATTAAAAGCATTGGAATAATTGGAATAAGTTGAATAGCTATAGAATGATGTATTGAAAAAGAGGAATAAAGATTTATAAGAATATTAGAAAATATAGATAGTAATATGTGAATTTATACAAGGAAACTAAAAAATAATAACGAAGAAACTAATATATGTAAGAGTTGAAAGAGTCTCTATAAATGCAATAAAGAAATCAATCTGAAAAATAAGTCTACACTTCTTGGGCTTAGCAATGTATTGAGGAATGGAAAGACAATGGGAAAAACATTTTGCCTATGGTTAAGGCACTGTATTAAACTGAATGAATCAAAATTTCGATTTTTATTTATTTATTAAATTATATTAAATTTTATATTTATCGTTTTTCACATACTTTTCATATAAATTCTTATCCACATTTTTTAATCGAATCTTCTCATTAAGATTGGATTTTATCTCTGATATTTTAGGGATTTATCAAGTTTCTATTAAGAGAAAAGTTAAATCATCAACATTTACATGGGATCCCAATCTTAATGGGTGAAGATCCTGGCTATTTTAAAGAATTTAGTATTATAGGATAATTATATAGATATATATTAGGTGAATCATTAAAGAAGGTCGTCGAATTCCTGTACCTCACTTTAGCAAAGTCTAAGGAAAATGGAATTTCTTCTTTTTATATAGAATATAATAATACTCTCTGCACATATTGACTAGTAAATCATCTCTTCTGAAGCTTAATTTTCTTCCAAAAATTTTATACAAATGTTAAAATCTTTGTAGGTCTTTTCTAATATCTAGTTACAATTTATCTAATTGTGATGATTAAATTCATACTTGGATGCAGGGGAACCATTAGTTTTTATTCCCTGAAAGTCTTTTCAACAAAATCTCGTAGTTCCTCTTTATCAATAACTTCATAATGGGCATACTGACAATTTAGACCAAATGGGCAAACACCCGTTGAAAAGAAACATCTACAAGGCTTAGTTCTTCTACTGGTAAAGTTCTCTATTCTGCATGGCTCATGTATAAAAGAACACTTTGATTTCATTTAAATGTACCTTGTCTTTGTATTGGCAATAGCCCTTTTCTTGAAAGTTCCTGCAAAATTTTGTTCTTAATTATTGTCTTTTGCCATCTGATTGATCATTTTTATCGCCTGGAGTTGCAAAACTCTTTTTTCTGATCGTAGGTTATTTAATTAGATTCTAAGAGTCCTAGTCAGAATCATCGCTACAAGGAGACACATATCTTTAAGAATGATCTGTGCTATAATTTTAGAGCATTTTCTAAGGAGTTGTATCATTTTAAGAAGCCATTGAATATTTAAAATATTAATATTTGACTATTTCTAGTTGTCTTTATTAAATGTGGCAAATGAAAAAAAACTTACAAATTTAATTTTAAATAATATTATCGTTAAACTATGTTATCTTAGAAATTCATTTCAGATAGCCCTGCAAAAAAAAGAGATGAAAACGATGAATAGGATTACCTATTTGAATAGTTAGATTAAATCAACAAACGTATTTACAATTACCAACAATTGATAAAATAGAAGATTAATCTATTGCTTGGAAATAATACTATGAAATCAATAGATTATGACAGTCTCCAAAAGCAATTGTCAGATCTCAGATTAGAAGAGCAAAAGTAATCATCCTTATTCTACAATAGCTATTCATAAATCTAATTAGATATTGACCGATAGTAGAGCTAGGTGTTTGACTACTATGAATCTGAATTCAATAAGCTTAAGAGTTTATATGAAACCATAAATAAAGAGCATTAAGGATTTATAAAATAAAAATAGCAAGCTAACGAATTATATTGTTAAATGATCGAAACAAAGCAAATATTATAGGAGGATTTGAACACTCATTTATTACAAAGAGCCGAGTTGGTTGGATAGAAGGAAGAATTGGAAGAATTTGTAGAATAAGTTAAGAATTAGAATGAATAATTATTTATGATTTCTTAGATGTACTTTACAAATGGTAAAAAACATTAAGAAAATGGAAATTAGATAGCAATACAGGATAAAGAGATTAAATTCTTATAACAATAAAGAGAAGAAAAGCAATAATAATTGGGGTTGCAACATTAAGCTACTTTGCTTGAAGTTCAATTACATTAGGCCAATTAAAAAATTAAGGTCTAGAGAAATAAAATTATTCCATTGCATAAAAGTTTGAATTTAGCTCATCCTGATAATTTATTTTAAGAATTCTTGTAATAGAGTGATGTGTAATCAATTGATTAAAGTGATTTTAATTCTAAATTGACACATTATCTTTCATTATTTAGAAATAATTTGTTTAAGAACTCAAATTAGGGCACTAATTGGACTAGCATGAAAGAATTCATTACATAATTAGAATAATTTATAATAGTTTCTATGCAATAGAAATTGATATAGACCTAATTGTCAGAAATGAAGCAAACACTAAGATAGTATGGGGAGGAACTATAGATTTAAAATAAGATATCAGAGATTGACAAATAAATCGAGATGAAGAGATAGATGATTAGAGAATTCGAAGAATAATAGGAACAATTCAAAATAAATGAGTAAATGTATTTTTTCAAACCTAAGAAAGTGCTTAAGATCAATTCCATAGTATGATTGAGTAGTCTGCCTTAGAAGCTTATGATATGTACAAAACTTTGAATAAAGAATAGTTATAATAAATGAAGGAGCATTAGGATTATGATAAAATGCTTCTGAGCATTTAGTAAGAAATAACTTAGTTAATTTCAGAGAAAGAAAATGTAATTGTATAGTTTTAATATTAGTTGTAATTTATTAATGTTGTTAAGCTGATTGAAAAATATGAGGCTTCTGAATAGGCTATAAATACTAATATCTTTATGGTTGATCAATAGATTTTACCTTAATTTAAATAAGTTGTTCAATAATTAAGTAAATTGAAAAGGGAGATAGAACATTTGAATCAAAATGATAAGCATTAACTGGAAAGGACTAGTAAAATAGAATAGGAAATTCATCTTATGGAATAAGAGTTTAAAAAGAAGATGGATTAATTTCAAAAATAAGAAAATGAAATAAATAATAAGGTTTTTGAAATAAAATAATAAATTTAATTGGTTTAGGATTAAATGATCAATAAAATCAGGCCAAACAAAGCATAATTAGAATAAGAAATATTGTAGATGAACAATTAATTATCTTAATTGTAAGAGTAGAAATACAATTTGGAGTAAATAACATACAATCTGAATTTAAATGGTATAAACAAAAGTCCAAGTAGAAGAAGTGTATTATCAATTTCTAAGTCATTAAATTAATTGGCCAAACTAAAGTCAAATATCACACCAATAAAGTAGATGAAATAATCAAGTGCATTAAAAACAAATTCATCATTAAAATCCATTAAATGAAACCTTTTTAAATCATTTTCAATTAATTAAATATAATCATCTTGAATTTTAATTTTGTATATATTATTTAAAAATAGATTTCTTCTTCATCTTATGATGAATCATTAATATGGTGCCAACTCTAAACGTTCACCTGTTGAATAACTAGGAATTATAATTTAGAGGTTATATATAATAATTAATTTATATCAATTTAATTCAACTTTATTGTTCATTGTTAATGAATCAGAGAATACATTTTCTTCAATAGATTAAGACGGCACAAATTATTTAGATAATGTAAATTGTACAACAGTCCCCTTAATTCCATCTTTAGTTTTCACATAATTAACAATATCTAATGGCTTTCTTGGATCATGTGAAAGTTGCTTCAAAATTTTCCTACATGCTTGCAATCCTAATTTACAATCTTAGATCCTATTCTTGAGCATTTCTTATGTAATTCCTCCGCCATTATCAATAACTTCAACAGCGATCTTTTCCTCATCTGCCCATGTTTTGATTATGATTGTGTTTTACACTTTTAATTCTTACTATTTAATGTCTTATTTCTATTCATTTGACATAGCAGTTAGCTTCTCTGATTGTCTTCTTGATAAGTTAAAATCAAAAGATTAAATCGAATTCTTTATTATATTCATAAGCACCTGCTTTATTTTACGTTTGTCCGAAATCAAAACCATTTCATTTTCATTATTTAATTCAAATGAAATTGTGATATTATACTTTTAAACACAATTGTCTTGCTTAAATAATTCCTTCACACTGTTTAAACTATTAACAAAATTAAATCTATGTGTTTAAAATTCAATAGTTGAAAATAACTCAAAAAAATTAAAGTTGTTTTGTTCTATCAACAAAACATTAGTTTACCATTTATCTATCTATTTTATTAAATCGCTTGGCTATGAAAAAGAATACAATTTCTATATTTATTCATCCTAAGTTTCATGATTCTAACTTAAAGATGACGTCACTCGTTAATTAGAGTTTTATCCAGCAGGTTAATTAGGCACACTTAGATGTTGTGATAGTTTCATTTCTCCTAACATTTTTTCGGACTTGATGAATGCATCGCCATCACAAAATGATAATGAAATAAAGTTGCTTTACTTGATCTTCTCAAATTCTCTTTTAGTTTATTATAATATAATACTTTTGACGCTAATCTAATTTCATTTTGGTGTTCTTAATTTATTATAATATCTGACCTACATCTTCAGCTACTCGTTTTATATATTTATAGAATACAATCTTCTATTATTCGGTTTTCTCCAGACTTGTTTTCATCCTTTTTACTTCTTTGTCGATATTTCTCAATACCAAAATTAAGATTGATTTTTTAGTATCAAATTCGTCTTCCATCAAAAATATTGACACACTCATTTCAATCTTTAATTAATTTGTCAAGAAATAGCATCCTAGTGTTGTTTTATTGAATAAAATAGAATTAGATCCTTGCATATCTCCATGCTATTAAATGGCTGATATTGCAGATAATTCATGAACTTGATCTCTATTAAATGTGCCTTTGCCTTCATTCTAAGGTGAAATTATTGATATTTAATCTTCTTGCATTCCTTAAATCCCATCAATCCCGTATCTATATTATTTTTACCTTGCTAATTCTAATTTTCCAGCAGAATTTTCAGAAAAAAAGTTTTTTTCCAACCAACTCTACAATGAATTTTTTTCAACTATTTCTGACCACAGGTTAATTGACTATTATAAATTAGTTGATTGGCTAGTAATCATTAAATTTTGGAACAATTGTTATATTGAAATTTTTAAATCGCCTAAGGATTTTCTCATTGCATAATTTTATTCACATAAATTTAAACTATCTAGCAAGCAATATTTGTTTAGATCCATTTTACAAATCCATTCATCTGTTTGTTATTAATATTATTCCCAATTTGATTTTTATTATAATTATTATTATTAGTAGTAGTACTATTATTATTATTGCTATTATTATTGCAATTAAACGATCGTAGTTTGAGATTTCTTAATTTCAGTTAAATTATGTTTCAAATCAGTTTAGTATTCTTCTTAAATTGGGGTTTAATTCTACAAATCTATATTGTCATTGATGCCTAGTATTAGTGAAATAATTATGTAGACTACTATTAAAGCAGTGCTTTGTCCTTTAGCTTGTTGAATAAAATTATAAATTATCAAAGCAGATATTACTAGAACTTAAATAATTGTTTTAAATTTGAAATAATACTTTTTCTTATCATTAACATTTAATTTGTTGGTATAAATTCCATTTAATAATCCAAATAAAAAGTAGACAAACTCTCCTTCATTAATTCCTAAAAGAAAAATTCTCTTCATTATAAGGACCCAAAAAAAAAATGAAGACAAATCGCCTACTTAAATTAATTTGCCATACCTTTATTCCATTGAAAATATTGAGTTATGTAGAGTAATGAGAATATTATACCACAAGGAATAAATACCAGATCCCAAATGATACCTCCTGTAATATTACACATTAGCTATTCCACTACTGCGAAAAGTGAGGAAATAGCTATATTTAAAATCAAATGTAAATATTCTCTTGCTTTAGATTACTGCTCAAACATAATATTAATTTACTTTATTATTATCATAAATTAACTAAAAACATATTAAAATTATCACAATGGTTCTATCAATGTTTTGATTTGGATTTATATTATTAACAAATGGAAAATGTGAGCTTTGGAATCAAGATTTATTAATCTTTGGAGTTGCTTCATTAGATTTATTTTCGAATTTTAGAGTAAAATTTTAAATAATTGGAATTTTAATTTGTTGAGAAGATTATTTAATTTTATGAAATATTGTATTAAGTATCTATAAACCAATATAAATTTATTTTTACATAATTAAAGTTAAAGTTTATAATATTAGAGTTATTTGATTAATTTATATAATATTTAAGTAACCATTATGAATTTTTGTACTCCTTTTAATAAGTGTGTTGAGAACTAAGCATTTATTAGTAATCAAAAGGATTGACGTTATTTGGTTTTATAAATATTTTATAAGAGGGAGTAATGTAATTTTATCAGAAGGAAGAAATGACTTTTGAATATATTTAACATATTTAATTAATGAATTCTCAAGGAAATTATTAGATTCAATACCCATTTTATTAAAACATATGAGTAACATTTTTAGCTAAATCAAAAGACACACTAGATGTCTTTTTGGTTGTTTTTCTTTTATCTGAATAGACTCGAGGAGGGTTTGTATTAAAAATAGTATTATGAAAAGTATGCTTAAGAAGTTCCTTCTCTGGAATGTCAAATGTATTCATCATGTCTTAATATGCAAAAGCAAATTTCTTCCATACTCTATCCTATTGCAATTCACAAACTATATACCTTCATCGGCTCTTATTTGATAGTATTCTTCTTCGAAAAAAAATAAATAAAAAAGCAAAAGATTATTACCATCAGGTAATACTTGGGCTCCCAAATGCTTGAGTTCTCCTTTATACTTCGTAAGTCTTATTGCGATTCCATTCTTGAATTTATTTATAATAATAAATTTAGTTTTACAATATAAAAAGTGAATTAAGAAAACCAAGCCTTTTTATCATACTATTCTCCTTTCAGAATAGCTCAATAACATTGCCAATAATGAATAATTACTATTTACAGATTGTTTATCCTGATAGAAAATAGAATTCTAAACAATTCAAATAATAAGTTTGAAAATGGAATTTTATGTATTATTTATTCACCTTTAATGAAATAATAAGATAGAATTTATTGCATAAGTAGAGAAAGCACATACAAGTTTGATAGAGTGATCTACTTTTTATCAATATAATATTCTGCTATAGTTCATGGAGTTGTATAATAATATTATTTATTTTATTGCTTTAAACATAATTTATATTATAATATCAGAAATAAAAACGGAAATGAGACTTCTGATAGGGTTAGCTTTTATTACAATTATCTTTTGTTAGCAATAACATAAATTCAATCCTGAATTTTTAAATTTGATAAGCACTGGAACTGGTTTGGGAACAGCTAGAGATGCTATTTAAGCAGTATTGTAATTATTGGAGGACTTGAAAAACGCTAATGAAGAACTAGATAGAAAAGTATGAGATCTTTACAACTAGAGAATAGGCAGACAAAGCATTCTAAGAATATGAAGGTGGTGTATTGAATGATTGTGCAGCTTTTACTGGGATTATGAAAGAGAATAATGAATCTTTGCTAAAGAATTCAGAAGATTTAGAAGCAGTGGATGATAAAATTGCGTAGACGACTGATTATTTGAATTGGAATGAGAAGAGAAGAAAGTCAAATGATATGAAATTAGAAGATCTAGCTGAATAGAGATGTGAAGCAAATTCCTTATTTATCGATGCATTAAGAGATTATAGAGAAGCATTAAATGTATTAGAATGGGTTAATGGAGATTTACAACTCAAAGAATAGAATGCATTCTTATAAAAAGAAGAGACACAAGAATATACTTCTAAGTTGGCACTCTATACTAATATGATAGATCATAAGGAAGTGTTTTCCTAAGTAGGTATAATGTCTATATGATTCTAGAGGTTTCCTAAGAGGATTAAGCTTCCTAAGTGGTATCAGAAATTGTTGGAAAAGTTTAAGGATTGATTTCCAAAATCTAGGAACATATTAAAACATTGGAGGAATAAGAAATTACATCTGCTAATGATTTTGTTGATTATAGAAGAAATTTATTAAATGAGCAAGTGCTTTTAAAATAAGAATATGATAGCAGATTAAAATTTTTAAATAGTTTGGAAGACGACAAAGAATTAGCCCAAGACGTTGTAAGTTAATGTGATAAAATATTAGGGAATACACAAAGAATCTTACAATAAACTTAAAGTAAACAAATTGGTTTTCTATTCTTAGATGCTTATAATTAATAGAAGGCAAAATATGTAATGGAGAAATAAAAAAGACATGAAGAAAATTAGATTATCATAGAGATTACAATGCTGTATCATCAAAAAGTAGCTTAAGCTGAGGAATTTTTGTAAAAAAAAGGAGTTTGATTTTATCAATACTCTTCATATCTACATTAACTCAAAATTTAATAGAATTTATTATAATTTAATATCAAACTACAGATATATATATATAACTTGTATTTCTGTTACTAGGAATATTTAACTTCTAATAATAATTGAAAAACAGATTATTTATAAACTCTTTTACAATCATACAGTTCAATCTTATTCCATACTCATTTTTGTAAGTTAGTCAATTAATTAGTTTTCTTTCTCTATATTTTCACTATCAGTTCGTAGATACTAAGGTGTTTTTTTCAGACTTGAATCTAATTCATCGTAGATATCTGAATGAGGCATCTAAATATCTTAATAGACGTGAGAACCTGCTCCAGAACTGTCAATTCCATAGAGTTATTTTTGTTCGTGATTCATCTCTTGTTTATTGAAAAATGATCCTCCATTCGAAATTAATGATTCTTACTTAGATATCAATAAGTACCTCCTTGAATTAAGCTTTGAAATTAAGGGAGCAGAATATGATTGCTATTAATTAGATTAGAGATGAATGAACCTTCTTATTCGAATTAACTGCGTATTGTATCTAATCTGGGTTCCCCTTGCATTTGTTAATCTTATTCTTAGAGTACATCTGAAAGTGAATTGGTATTTTGAAATTGATTTTAAGGCATCATTTCATCTCCAACAATTTCAGGATTCTTTGACTAAATGTTATAGTGCTTTTTGATGTGAGAATAGAATCGATTTTTAATCATATTTTCCTTAATAAATTTCATCAAATATTTACAGGTCTTCCTTTGAATAACTTAGAAATGTCACTCCATCTTGGACCCATTTAATAGTATAACTTAACAATTTTATCATCCTCTTCTTAAGTAAATGCATTATGATTAATTGTTTAATCTAGTTTATTAATAAATCTTTCTCTAATTTATTTTCCACTTCTTCCATCCATGTTCCTCTCTATGGCTTTCCAGTTCTTACCAAATTTCTTAATCAAATGTAAAACTTAAAGATCTTCTTCTTCTGTCCATTATCTTCTCGATCTTATCTGAAATCAACAAATTATAATACTCTATCGGGATTGATTCTTTTCCACCTCTATGAACATTAGGATGGATTCCTATTAGGTATAGATTATGCCACTTGAATCCAATTGCCCTTATATTTTTCATAAAAAGACTATAACATTTAATCTTCTTCAGCTGTCCAAATTTTCACAATTCTCTTTTTGACCTAAGATTCTGGATTAGAAACATCTGAGTCACTATAGTCGGAACTATATTTTCGGATGTTTCTTTTGATAATCTATTGATTCTAACTGCTTGCTCTATATAATTTATTTACATAGTAATACCTATTTCTTGAGGGTGAACTCATTATTAATTTATAAGTAAGATTGCAAAATCAAATATAAATAAATATATTTAAATCAATAATATTTATTATCAAACAGATTTCTTCTACTTTAACTCAAAGTCTTAAGAGATGGCAAGGTATTTTAAGTTGGAGTATTGTTGGTTCTTGTTCTCGAAGTAAGGTGAAACTATTTCACATAATAATTTTTTGTAGTAGGCAAGAATTGCTTTAACACGACGGGTTGACTTGCTGTTTTCTTCTTGAATTTCAATTAAACCTCAACTATGGCTGGTGCGATTGTTGGAGTTTAATTAAACTGTATTTAATTGTCTAATTAAGCTGAAAGACTGGAATTGTGGCATTTTTAGTTTTATAATTGTTTTATTTTGTGTAGTCTAATTAAAGTTTATTGCTTAAATTGGTTTCTTGTGTTGTACTTTAATAACCTCATTTCAGTGTTTATTTATTGTTAGGTTTTCACTTAAAAAGTGTTCATGCGTTTTTCAAAATCGCCTTAATAACCACATAATAAGCAGATACAGCTTTTCCTTCTTACAGTATTATAGACTCTTTGGACTTATTATTCTAACTAGTAATCTTCCAGTCCTGTAGTTTTCTTTTTTGGACTGTATAAATTCCTCTGCTCCTGACTCAAGATGTTGATTTTACATAATAAACTAATTGATCTATGATCTCTTAAATTTATATATTGGAATACTTTTGATCACAGAAATATATAATTCTTTAGTGTGATTTGTATTTTAAATGTAAGTTTGTTTTTGCTTATTAAACATTCCCAAGTTCAACACTTGATTAGAAAAATCGATTGATAATTTCCCCCTTTCGTTATCATTTTTGAATTATTCAATTCTAAGTATTTCGAGTAACGAATCCTTTATTCATAATTTTTAATACTTTTTAATATGAATCTTCTTATGAGTCACTTGAATCCATTTATTAATATAAAAATATACAAGATTTCATAAAGAAATTGGGTTTTTTATTTTGCCAGAAAACATAATAACTGCAGTTGGATCACATTGTAATTATTTAGTCACCCTTATCTTAATCTATAGTAATATTACAGCCAAAAATGGTGCCAACATTACATATTAATCACTTTAGCAAATTTATAATGGAAGAATTATTTAAGAAAATAATAAATCCTTACAAACCAAAATTTTGGCATTAGGAAAGAATTACCCAAAATATATTCAAGAAATGTGATCAGAGGACATACCTAATGTTCTTGTCATATTTCAAAAGCCCTTAACTAGTATATTTTTGATTGATAAACTGAACTTGGCTATTTGATACATCATGAATTGATGAGAGCTTAACTTCATGATTAATAAATAAACAGGAATATTAGGATATTTTTTATCTTTGAATCTAACAGCCATAGAACTACAGGCTTATTTAGAATCAAAAGTTATTCAATTTAATTGATAAATATATCATTGTAGATCCTAATAATTTAACTTTGGAATTGAGAATTTATGATAATATTGCACAACATAATAAAACAAGGAGATTGCTGATTTAATTGTTGAATTTCCTAATTTATTCATGAATTTAATAGAAAAGAGAGAACACTTTGACTTGAGCCATTAAATTATAATGATTAATTAAATGGAATATTAAACAAGTTGATACAATATTTGCAAAAATAGATTTAATGATTGATATAGATATTATGCAATATATTTGATTTGATATTTTCATTTACTTGGTGTGTCTAAGTTTTTATAGACATTATTGAATCTCCAATTATGATAATAATGAGCAGGAGAATAGTCTGAATAGATATGATTTGGGTCTTTCTTTGAATAAATAATTGAGGGAACAAATTCTTTTCCAACTTCGGTTCTATCTTTTAATAATAAATGAACTCCATCATACATAGACAAAAATCTAATTAGCAATTTTGAATTACTTTGTAAATCTACTAGCAAAGACAAAGGATTGGCTATCAAATTCATAGATCCAATGATTTAATGTATTGTTATCTCCTTAAACAGAATGAACATCATGACCAAATCCTCTCACCTATGGACAGACTTTCAACATAGGTAATGTATTTGTTCCAAGATGGACCCATCTAGAGAATTCAGGAAATGCAAAGTGAGCTCTGCCTGTATAGAGACCTGCTTTAACTGGCCAGAAGGCTAAGGAATCAGCTTTATTAAATGAAACATTATCATTTAAAAATTTTAGTGCAAACTTCCAATCCCATTAGCCAGACGGCAACTTAATAAGATTGTCACTGAAGATTGATCTCCATTTTGGACACTAAGTAATTCAATTTGATTACATCAATATTGTCTTTTAAATAAGCTTCAATCTATGATTTGGTTAATTCTTTAGTATTTATTTATGATAGTTTTGCAATGTAGCCTCTGAATTCTGTGAATGCTTCATGATATCTTTAATCCATAGGAGAATAATCTATGCAAAATACACCAGTTGTTCTCTCTGGGTGATAACATCCAGCCGCTAAGGCAACTTTAGCTCCAAACCCATGTCCACTTAGGGTGGCCATTGTAATTTTGTTATAGTACATATATCTGACCACATCATTAGCTAGATCTTGAACATCAAATGAATAATGTTTATCTGATGTACCAAAATTTCTGGGACTCAGAATATGCACATTTCTGTAATCCAGGATCTAAGAAATTTATTTAAAATTCAACTTTGTTGTTTGGATCACTAAAAAATGGTATCCAATTTTCAACCGGATCACATGCTTCTGTAAAGAACAACAAATTAGGTAAATCATTATATCGACCTTTTAATGTTACTCCTCTCAATACAACATTTTCAGAAACACTCTAATATTCACTGACTCCTTTGTGAAATTAGAGTGTACTAAATTTCCAAAGCTATCTAAACCTATACATAGATTTATTAATTAATTAATTAATTAATTTAATTATATACTATCTCAACCATCTTGTCTAATTTCTTCTTTAAGGCAAATTCAATAACTTTAATGCTTCAACAATAATTCCTTGAGTTCAGGTTTATAATTTGATAGTGATGCCTTATCTTTTTCATTAATTTCTAATTAAAATATTTTGCATTCAGCCACGCGTGAAGGCATGATTTAGTAACTTAACCTGATCCTATTTTATATCATATTTATTGATATCCTAGATATACAAGTAAAAATATTATAATTCCAATCTAATACTTTTATATTATCAATGTTAGATAGGTGAAGCAGGACTTTGATGATTGATTTCTGCAATTGATCTTCCTGAATACATAGTTGTCTTAAATTATCTTTCTTATAATTTAGATCTTTCTATGCTGTATCATTATTGTTAGTCTGAAAACCTATAATCAGAGTACAAAAATTATTAGAAATTTCGAAAATGTCCTAGAGTTTTATATGAATCTAAATTTGTGAATAAAAAGTACTAGTTATAAATAATGAAATATAAAGCTTCAAAGGTAGATGAATAATTTAGATCAGATTATTAATAGAAAAGCTTAATAAAACCAATAATGAAGTTGAATGGGATAAATTTATTACTGATGCAAGTCTAAATTTAATTCTTAATTATCTTAATATTGCAAGTAATTGAGCAATATAATTATGAATTATTGTTCGTTTAAGAAAATCATGACGCTTGGATGCATAAATAAATTTGTAATATTGTTTTAATCGGCTTTAAAAATTTAATTTTAGTCGGAAATATAAAATTTTAATTAACAAAAATAAGTTAAGAATAATCAGTTTTACTAATTTCATTCATCTTATTTTTTAGGAAATGATGTTGTTAGTATTTTTAAATGTTCATTAAAATTCTAGATATTTTTATAATGCTATTCAAGAAATTCTTAAGAATTTTAATAATTATTACAAAAGCTTTTACATTCTATGGGTTCAAAACCATGCTGTTGCGAATCTCCTAAAACCTAATTTTCAGAAATCAACATCATTATTCATTAACTTAGCCAAGAAATAAGGTTACCTAATTGTAATCCTCCACAAAAACCGGTACCATTGTAAATGATGAAATCCCTGAAACAAGAGGACGATTTTGGATTTTTTTTGGTGATGGAACAATACGAACGCTTGTTGAGAAAACAAAATCCGAGAATTAAATCCGCCTCACCTTCTTGGTAAATTTAAACAGAAACAAAAGACTTTACAACTACATACAATTAAAAAAAACATTAAGGAAACCTTGATTACTAAAAGTCAAGATCGTTCTCTAACACAAAGATATCAACGGCAAGTTAAAAATCGACTATTAAAAGTATATTGAAAAAGAGGTCAACCCAAAATTAAATATCATGCAAACAAGAAACTTCCGTAACTCATAGATCGTTTAAATTTGTGCATTTTGATCAAGTTTTGAGTTCAAAAAATGCTGTTCAAGGGTAATTAAAAATAGGCTTAAAAAAACAGATGTTTTTGAGAGCCGACAATTGAAATCTTTATTTTCCTTAATATAATAATGAATAAATACAACTATTTTTTTCATACCCCTTAAAAAAAAACATAAATTAAAAAAAATATATTTCTTTTTTTTCTTCAAATATATGAAGAATTTTGATGACGACCGAAATATGAAGAACACTGATGCTGCTATTAATTTAAGTTCAAATAAGAGTGAAATAATAATACACCAAAATCGAATTACAAAGACAATTAAGCATTTTCTTGAATAAACATTTATATCCTAAAGTATTACCATAAATCCATCAAAAAAACAATTCATGAATTTCGATGTATATTAAGATATAATGAGTCACGTTGCCAATTAAATTAACTAATAAGACATGAATCTAATAATGAGCTTATAAAACATGATCGAACAACAATAGAGTAGATTGCCAAACTACATAATAAAGCACTCAATTGTTATTGAAAATAATGAGAAATAATAACAAAGAATACTAGAGTAGATAGAAGACGTATTGGTTAATATGAGCGAAAGAATTGAGCAGATATGCATTACTACATATTTTGAAGGTGATCATGATTTAGATAGCCAGCTCTAAGCTGTACTTAACTAATATGAGGAAATAATTCATGAAATTGAATGACTTAATATCTGTATTGCAATATTCAAACAAAATGTTCTCAATCAATTATTTCTAGCTTTTTTTTTTAAATCTATATATCAACTTGTGAGTGGAATGGCGAATGGTCTAAAAAATTTAAAACCTATTTTCTATTATGAAATCATTATTTATAAATTTTTAATAACAAATGTTTTCATTGAAATATATATAAAAAAATAAATATTCAACAAAGTATATAAAAATGGAAAAAAACATGATGTTTTAAATGAGTTATTTATAGAACTATTAAATAGCAAAGAAGACACGAATAAAATTAGCTGTATCTTTCAATTTAGTTGAAATGTGCGAAGAACTATTCTTTAACAATAGTGATCAACATATTTTTATTTAAAGGATTTAATTTTAACCAATCTTATTATTAATTACCTAAATAGAGATAGTAACTCAATTAATGCTTAAAAAAGTAACAAATTAAGTCAACATTTAATCTATTAGGAAAGATACTCAAGATGATAGCAAGATTGCATTTGATAGTTTTATATGGAAATTAGTGTTGATCAACTAAAGAAGTGAATAAATTTGGAATAGTTTGCATAAATGTGATGATAATAATGATTATTAATAATAATTATAAAAACGGATTAAATGTAATCTAAAACTCTAATAGTGTTGCTTTTGGTAACAATGGCAGTTGCAACAGAGAGTCCTGTACTTTAACAATTAAGAAATAAATTAGCCTAAAATGATACCTATAATTCATAATTGGTTGAATTGTTAGAATTAAGTTTGGCAGGTGGATAGTTGGATTAAGTGTTTGAATTGTTATAGAAAATGGTTGATGATTTAACAGGATAAATTAATGCAGCAAATTTGGATCATGCTTCAAGAATGGCTGCTTTTGAATCAAGTATTGAGTAATTAGAAGCTAATTTGGCATCATTATCAAGTGAAGTATAATTAAACAACAGAAAAATCGGAGAAATCACTTAAGCTATCTCTACTCTTACTTCTACTAGTGTGGCTGTAAAAAAATAATTAGAAACAATCAATCAAAGAGAAGAACAAATTAGAGATAATAGATAGAGAGAAATTTAAGCTTTGGAAACAAAGTAATCTGCTGGCTCAAAGATTTTAGCAGCTTTAGAAGATATTCACGATAGATTAGTAAAGGCAGTTCTTTCAAATACAGGCTCATTTTTAGAGGAGAGCGAAAAAAAAGAAATGATCAAATAAGTCAAAAAAGAATTAGGACGTACACATCCACTAGCATTATTATTGGAATTCTCATCTAAGTAAAATGATTAATAGCATTCATAGATTTGATGAAGCTACTGCTAAAAGGGCTATTGAATTGATTGAACAAATCATAGCATCCATCAAGGAAGGACAAACCAATAGAGAATCAAATCAAACAGCAGTTGAATAAAACTTCAATTCTCTAGTGAATGAAGTTACTGTTGTGAGAGATAAATTACAATAAGATAATCAAAAAACTACCAGTGCTTTGAAGAACAGATAAAATGATTTGGTAATTCAATCTTATGTATATTTTATAGAAAATCACTCAAAGAAGAAACAAATAATTATCTCAAAATGAAGCTAATACTTAATAATTGTTAGAAACTACAAGAGTCCAAAAAGATTTATATGATTCAAATTTCAGATCCAATGCAAGTAAGAGAGAAGGTTAATTGAATTCGTTAAAGACTGCTTTATAAATTTTGAGAGACAACGAATAAGCATTGAAAAAATGATTTGATTTATTCACAACAACAAAACACGATAATTTTTTATCATCGATATATATCCAAATTCTTTTTAAATCAATCACTTGATGATGAGGATTCCTTTCCTTTTTTTGGTTTTTTTTATTTCTTCTTTCTATCTCTAGATGATGAAGATGAAGAAGAACTGGATGAACTGGATGGACTTCTTTTTCTATGTCTTTTAGCCTTTCTTTTATGATGTCTACATATAACTAAATATACCTTGAACTTGAGCTTGATGATCTTCCTTTCTATCTACAATTTCGAGCACTAATTAATTTTCATCTAAATAATTACAAATGGCCTATTCTTCCACATTTGTAGCATTCGCCATCTTTCTTTTTGGCTCTAGCTATCTCAACAACAAAAGTGTTGCCATCTTAATCTTTTTAATTCATTTCATTCACAGCTTCTGTAGCTTCTTCTGCTTTTGAATAAGCCTAATTAAATAGACGCTAATTTTACTATGAAACAAAAACGACCCTTCCAAGAGAATTCAATAATATCACCATACTTAGAAAAAAGCCCTTTGATATCCTCTTCATTTTTATCCTTTGTTGAGTATCCAGTCACAAATATCCGATTTTCTGTTTTACTCTGTTCACTCATTGACATACTTAAATTAATTAATTTATTTATTAATAATTAATTTTTATTTAGATAAAATGGGATAGTGCTAAGTACCACAAATGCAATAAATGGAAGATGATTTTGCAGCAATTTAAAGAAATGCAGTAACACTCAAGGCAGTGCCTGAAAAACTTAATTAATTGGAAGCTTAGATAAATGGTATCAAAAGTACAGCTGAATAGGTAAAAATTTCTTTAATTCACCTAGCTCACTAATTCAGTCAACAGCATATTGCACACCATAGAAAATATACAAAAGAGTCTCCCATGATTGTTTTATATAATTACAGTTAAAATCATTTTCAATTAAATTCTTAAGAATCATGCCTTTAATAATATAAGTCTTCTTATTAGTTTGCATTTATATATTATAGTACATATTATAATCTTAAACAATCTAATGATTTAGACTAATTCTCACCATCAATTATTGTTGAATAACTATTTTAATATGCAGATAAATGGGGAAGCTATTCTCATCATATTTATTAATTATGGTAAATTTAGTCTTATCTCTTATTCAATCATTTCTTATATATTCTTGTGCTGCTAAATTTATTTGCATTTATTTTTATTTTAGTAATAATAGTAAGATTTAATTTTGTATTTTTATTTGCTGACGATTCATCACAAATATCTCTATTTAATTTTTTGAATTTTTGGTTTATTATTGTCTCCTCTTTCATTCAACAATTTTGACAAAATATTAGTTATGTTATTGTAGCCATATAGATTTATTATTTTCTTTCTTGTTTGAATCCATAAAATCATTAAGTTATTCTCATATCCCTATTAATTAATTTATAATTAATCAAGTAGGACAGGCTTTCGTATTAATTTTTTAATTTTACATACATATCATAATTTATGGATTACTCATATTTCATTTTGAAAATGATTTTGTAATTATTATTTTTCTCAATCCTTACGTAATATTATTAATTTATAAAAGAGTATTCTAAATTAGATTTCATGATCCCCATCAACCTTATTATGTGATGCCTCAAAGATTCAACTTGCTTTGATTGTTTATGAGATACATTTTATAATTTGATATGTAAAACAAGATATTATTTTATTTAGTAAAAATACTATTGTTTTATCATTAGGGTAATAGTTATTTTTATAAATGGTCCCAAAGTAAATTGAGATTTACAAAGTAATAATAAAAAGAAATCAATTTCCAGTTCTTTTTAATTAAATTGGCTATAAAAAAATTAATAATTTTGAAGAAATAGCTCAGTAAAATAAAGGAGCATAGTAATTTAATACAAATTTATTAATGCCTATTTTTAGATCTGAATATAATATTAATGTTAAAAAAAATTGCGAGATTTCTTTTCTCACGCGAAAAGATCCAATATGACGTACTTATAGTTGGAGCAGGGCCAGCAGGTTTATCAGCAGCAATAAGAATTAAAGAGTTAGATTCTAACAAGTCGGTTGTTGTGATCGAGAAATCAGGAACTTTAGGTGGACACATTCTAAGTGGTAATTGCTTTTAACCTACAGCAATGAATGAATTATTTCCAAATTGGGAGAAAATGGAAAATGTATAATTGCCATTACATTAAAATTTAGAAACCACCTTTAGATACTCCAGTTACAGAGGATCACTTTCATATACTTTGGAATGAAAAATTGAGTTTTTAGATTCCACATGTGTTTTATCCATCTACAATTAGAAATCATGGAAACTATGTAATAAGTTTGGGTGATTTGTGTGTATGGATGGGTGAATAAGCCTAAGCTTTGGGAGTAGATATATTTACAAGTACATCTGGGGCAAGAGTGATTTTTGATGAAAAAGATAGAGTAATAGGAGTTGCAACAGGGGATATGGGAATAGGTAAAAATGGAGAAAAGAAATCTAATTATTAAGAGGGAATAGATATTATATCAAATTAAACAATACTCTGCGAAGGAACAAGAGGTTCAATCACTGAGAGAGTTATTGAAAAATACAAGTTAAGAAAAAGTACACATTATTAATATTTATTAGATTGTGAGCCTTAATCTTATGGAATAGGATTAAAAGAAGTCTGGGAAGTACCCCCAGAAGATTTTAAGTCTGGTTTAGTTTAGCATACAGTTGGATGGCCGCTATGTAGAAATACATATGGAGGATCATTTTTATATCATAAGAATACTAACTAAGTACATTTAGGATTGGTTGTGGGATTAGATTATCCCAATCCAAATTTAAGTCCATATTAAGAGTTTTAAAATCTGAAGAGACATCCAAAAATCTCAAGATACCTTAAGAATGGAACCTGTATAAGCTATGGTGCAAGAGTTTTAAATGAAGGAGGATACTTTTCAATTCCTAAATTAACATTTCCAGGAGGCATGTTGGCTGGTTGTTCAGCTGGATTTCTAAATGTTATGAAGATTAAGGGATCTCATAATGCTATGAAATCAGGAATGTTGGCAGCAGAAACTATTTGTGCTAAACAAAATGTAGAACCAGGTTCGGAATTAGTTGAATATGAGGATGCTGTTAAATCATCTTGGATTTATGATGAATTATATAGATCAAGAAACTTCAAGGGTTCATTTTAATATAATATTTATTCTGGATTGATATATGGTGCTTTTGATGGTTTTATCTCAAAAGGAAGGGAACCTTGGAATATCAAATCACACGTCAAAGAAAGTGAATCTTATCTGACTAAAGACTAGGCTCCTTAGATTAAATATGAGAAACCAGATGGAAAATTAAACTTTGATTTATTAGACAACTTAGCAAGAAGGTATTTATATATCATTATTTGTAAAGTGGGACCAACCATGAACATGATCAACCAGCTCATCTTAAAGTAATCAAAGAGACTGGACCTAATGAAAGTTTGAATTTGTATGATGGCCCTGAATAAAGATTTTGTCCAGCCAAAGTCTATGAATTTATTGATACTAAAGAAGGCAAAAAACTATAGATAAATGCTTAAAATTGCCTACATTGTAAGACTTGTGACATCAAAATGCCCAAAGATTATATTAGATGGACTGTTCCAGAAGCAGGAGGAGGACCAAACTAGTAATCAATTTAAATATATTATTTAGTTGTGGCATGTGATTTATTATATTTTTATTCATTTAACAACAGAATTAAATTTCCATATATATTTTATTTATATTTATATGCATTTGACTAAATCAATCAAACTTTGGAGTGCGTCCAATACTTCTTTGATAATATTTAAGCATTCTTTAGTCTTAGTCATCCATCCATGAATCCAAACCATTTTATTGATCCATACTGTTATTCATTGCTTCCTCATAACTGATAAAGTCAGCAAATTAATCGAAGGTCTTTGAACTATGAACGATTATCTATTTATCAATACCCAGATAAGAAGGCTATCAAGTCTTCCAAACTTCTATGAGGTCTTGAATATGCCTCCAATCTATTCTTAAATAATATTTTATCAGCTTCTGCATCCAATCTCTCTAATTCCTTCTCGCTCTCTACTTTTTTAGGTGCTACATATTTTGGATCATAATAATTTGATTTAACCCAAATGAATGACCCAATCATTCCAGCAAAGAAGAAGAAGTTGAATCCTCTTAACTATCATTCATATGAATAATTTCATACGCATGCTTCACTTCTGGCCATTCTGAATACAGTATCCTTCCATCTCAAAACACCCTTTGTCTTGAACATACCAATGTCGTCTTGGTTGAATAATATGTTAGCCTTTCTATATTACTATAATCACTAAAGTATACCTCCAAACTCTAAGATTCCAACTTTGTTTTGAAAAGTTTTTATACCACATTCCGAAATAAATAATAATTTTATTAATAACATCATTGATATCAAACATTAAAAATAATATCTTTAAATTTAACTCACTGCCTTACATCCATTATCATTATTCTATCTAAACACAAGTGGGATAACAAACGGATAGTTTATTTATTTAATATTTATTATTTATTGGCCTAGAACTTTTCATCATTAAAAATTTAGAGTCATGAACTTTTATTTTAATATTAAAATAAAAATGGGAGCAAAGTAATGTTGTGGTTCATAAATAGTCATCCGCACCTCTTAATCTATTTCAAATTAGATATCATAGGAAAGTTAATTTACGAATGATATTGATGTTTTAAGAAAAGCTATCATCTAGCCTATCAAACCTTTACCTCTAAACAGGCTTGAGAGCTTAAAAGAAGTTAGGGATGAAGATATCGATGATATATTTAATCATTTTAATGAGTTGGAGAAGGAATGAAAAAATGTTACAGTCCTTATGATATTGATATTCATGAATCTAATTTCGATGCCAAATTTTATATACAAGTTATTATATATCAACTTCAATTACTATTTTAACTCTATGTAAACAGAATTCCTTATGAATTTGATTTCTCAAAATTATTAAGTATCATTTAACATTAATGACATCAATCACTTTGTAAATTTAAAATTTTGTTGTTTTCATAAACTTAAACTGATTATTATATTGATGAATCATATTTTTGTCCAAAATTTTAATCAAATCTTAATTAATCAATACTCTTTATGACTTGATTTTTTTAAGGAATTGCTTCCACATAATTAATATTTTTCATCAAAATTAGGCTGCAAACCAAAACTAAATATCTTGTTTCTTAGGCTCATTAATTTAATAAAGATCACAAAGTTATCGTCAGAAAGAAAGGGAATCAAAAATAATCTTAATATTTTTCCTTTTTTCCATTTTCATATTAGACAATTTTCATTAATTTATTGTGAACCTAAAAGATAAGAGTGGCTTAAATTATTAAGAAGGATGTGCATCGACTAATAATTAGTCAGGTCTATAAATTAGAGATGTTATTTAAACACAAAGCACAGAACTTTAATATTTAAATTTTATAAACTATTTAAATTAATATGTATATTATGAATTTACTTATTAAGATCATTTTAAGATTAGAGAAGATTTTCAATATACAATTTCAAAATCTAAAGACTTCAGATTTATGAGGATAGTTGATTTGGATTTAATATTTATAGAAAAAAGAGAAGTTATGTATTACTAAAATAAATATGTTAAGCTTGTATTTATTAATTTTATTAACAATATAATGAGAAGAATTACAATAGGAATGATGATATTAGAACTGATAATAGTGCTTTCTATAGCTGTTCTCAAAAAAGAAGTATGTGGCTAAGATATGATCATAAATTTAAAATATTCCTTACAATAGTGATCAATTTTTGCTAATTTTTAATGAAATAAATTAAACGAAATTATAATTAATTATCTTAATGTAATAAAGACTGAAATTTTATAATGCAAATCCTAAAAGAAGTGATAATATAGAGATAAAATATATAAGTCAATACAGAAAGAAATATGCTATAATTAGTCGAGAAATTAAAATACAAAAATGATATTTATAATTATTAAATGTAATATATCAATGCTTAAAAGAATATTCAATTAATTAATTGGCTAGTTGCAACTACTTCAATAATTATTTATTCAAAATTAGAAGATATTGAAATAATTTCTTATTTCTTATTACATTTTAAGGAAAATAAAAAGGAGAAAGTAGATTTGAAACTTCAAAAAGATCAGAGTAAACAGATAAATATTAAAAAGGAACATATAAATGTAGTCTTAATAGTAATTTTAAAATAATTAACTTGAAAAATAGGAATCCTCTTTTTGAAATTCTTATACTAATATAGTAAAATTTAGAAGTAATTTCATTGTTGAATACTAAAGCAAACTATAAATCACAAGAAGATGAATCCAAGAAATTGCATTGAGTTTATGAATCCATAGTTATTTCAATATAAGGTTTGTGTTATGATTTTGCTTGTAATTGTTTCAACCTGAATCCTAAAAGAATTGTCTACTTTTTTATAATAGCATTCTTGAATACTTATTTCAGTTTATATAAATTTTATTTAATTATATTGGTATCGATATATGGGCTGTAATAGTTCAAGAAAAAATCTTTAGGAAAAGAGTTCTTTAAATAGTAAGGAGCTCGAGAAGTGTAATGAGAAATTTAAGAAATTATCATCGATAGCACCAGGGTAATGTTGAATTTATAAATTAGAAAAACTGAACAATTTATTGCCATTGAAGGTTTTAGAACAGCCTTTACAGAAAATACGTAGTTAGCTGATAAAATCTATAAATTTATCAAAAGTTAAAGCGATACTAACACAGTGAACAGAGAAACCTTTGTATTATCAAGTAATTATGTTAAAAACGATTATTAGTGGAACTATTTACAAAATAGAAATCAGAAATATATGTTTATACAAATAACTACAAGCATTTGGAACAATATTAATTATTATTATTGATATCTATTTAACATCCTGAAATTTACAAGAGAGAGGAATTCAAGTTGTAATAGTTAACAAAAGTGGAAATAACATATTTATAAGCAGGGATATTCATAAAGGAGATTATAAATATGTTGAGTCCAAAAGGCAATAAATTAAGCGATGATGATGATGTAGCAGCCAAACTATTGATCAATAATATTTTTGGAGGTAACTTAATTGAAAATATCCAATAGATAAAACAAGCAATATGGACTTGTAACAGTTTTGTAACTAAATAAAGATGGAAGTTCCTTTGATTAATACAGTCATAAGAAGGTATTTTGCAGGAAAATTTACAGATTCCTCTCACAAAATTAAACTCCCAGAACTGACTGATAATTCCCTTATTATCAATTATCAAATATTGGGATTGTTTTATTTAAGCACTCCTTGGTTCTACTAAACCAAAAAATTGAATTTGTTATTTGCTTATTAAGAAGGTTAAGATTAATTTGATTTAAACATTTTATCCAATCAATTGTTATCCCAGAACTCCCCAACTCTGCTATTATTTAGACATGTTGAACGATTAAATAAGTATGAAAAATTACCATATCAACACACACCCGATGAAAATTTAGATGCATTTGAATAGCATTACTTATTTGGTTATTTCAATTCATCAAAGTGGAGATTAGCACCAGACATAACTGGAGACAAGAACTCATCGATATTTTCCATAGTTCCAAAATACTAGCAATTTATAACTGGCAAAGGGAAGGGATAAAGCAAATATGCCTTATTGAATAGTGATCAAGGAAGACCATTGCCCTAATCTTTATTAAAGAAATTGAGCAAATTTGGATTGGGTATTGGAGGTAGTGGATATGAACAACATAGAATTTGGATAGATGGTTAAAATTTGAAGGATAGCTATATCACAGACGACGATAAGACTTTTGCAACAGGTCATATATTGGCACCTCATATCACAAAGTTGAATATTGATAGAATCGAAGTATGGAGTGTTGAGTTCATATCCACTTAATAAGATTTATCTCATTTTAGATAAACACAAATGAATCAGTAATCAATGTTATCTTATAATTAAAAGCATAAATCAATTATTGGAGGATGAAATTCCAAAATAAAATGTCGATCCTGGATCACTTATCAATTCAATTAAAAACAGAAATTCAAGGATTCAATCTGCTATACATACCCAATAAGTAGAAGAGGAGAAATTTTGATACATGAATATGATAATCAAGAAGATATACATAATGCAATACAATTTGTAATCATTTAATTTCTTAATTATCCTTTTTCCCATCTACAAATTATGATTATATCATGAGCTGCCATCTCAGGTTTTAGTAATATTAAATTCTTCTTAACATTTTGTTTTAATTTTATTTCAGGGGGATATATCTAAGTAATAAACCAAGAAGAACATATTCTTAGATTTATTCTGAATTAGTCATTCCCTTGTTTTTTTTAAATAAGATAAAGAGTGTTATTTCCTTCAAGAAATTAAAACGCATCAATCCTACTTTATTTAAATACTCATTGACGCTATCTTATATTTGATTGTGTCTTATGCAGGATTGATGAGATCAACTTGAGCTGGATTGAGTAGTTTTGTTGTTTTAAGAGAAGAAGGAGTAAGTTTAGTTAAGTCTTAGGATTCATTTTTGACATGAGATAATGAATGATATTCATTTTATTATTAAAAAAATGCATTTTTTCGGTCATGAGGAAATCAACCTTCTTGAAGTATAATATTGTGAATTTAATCCTCTAAGGCTGCTTAGGATGGAAAACTGGAATTTATATAGTAGTAATTAGCATCATTGGCATCGAAATCACTTTAAGAAGCTTGTAAGAAATCTGATTATTATGGCAGGAATGCTTTACATTATGTAAAGAAATGTTTTATATAGGCTGCATATAGAGGACATTATGAAGTAGTAGAATACTTTCTAAATTTACAGTGTTTGGATTTGAATTCCACCGATAAATAAGGTAATTTAAGAGTTCTAATGATTTGATAGGGAATTCTGCCCTTATGTTGGTCTGCGTGAGAGGATATAATCAAGATTTTGACGAATCAGTAGAACAAAGTGATCATGCGGATTGTGATTTTAGAAAATACAAAATAGCAAAGATGTTATTGTAGAGAGGAGCTAGCTTATAAAATTATTTGAAAGATCACATCAACAATCCATTGCATTGGGCTTGCTATTTTGGAGATTTGAAACTTGCTTAATTATTATTGTATTATAATCCGGAATTAAGTAAAATTAATATGTAAAATAGTGTTGAGGAAAAATGATAGACATTAATTTCCAATTGATATTGCCTTGACTAACGGAAAAGATCCAGAACGGTAAAAGTAAGTAGTAAAATACTTAATTGTGAAATTCTTAGCCCATTTCTTAAATAGTGAATAATAAATAATCTAACTATAAGAGTTGAATAAAGATTTGGACTTTGGTGATAGAGATATAATATCAGATTCTAATCATAATTGTTAAAAGATGGATCGAAAAATTTATGAGAGCGTAGGTTTGAATTATTTATTTTGGGCCAGTGTTCTTGGAGATGAGGACTTAGTGATTCCTTTTTTAAAGTAATAATTTTCTGCTTTTGCACCATCATATAAGGGCAGAAATGCAGTTCATGCAGCCACATACTAAGGACATGAAAAATTAGTGCATTTGTTTTTTGAGTAAAGTTATAGTGAAAACAAGAAAATACAATCCAAAAAATTAGTAAATCTAATGACAATTGAAAAACCTTAAACGGCATTGCATATTGCAGTTGAACAAGTATATACTATATATTAGAATTTTAGAGACATGAAAATATCGTGAACTACTTAATTAAATTAGGAGCAGATCACAATATATATAATTTCAGAAACCAAGCAGCATTTGCTTCATCGAGATCTACTCGAATCAAAGAACTTAGACAAACATTGTTATAAACAGAAAAGAATCTAATTAGGAGTGGATACAAATACGTGCTTGTTGGAACAAATATGAGTGCAAATTTAGTCAAATAACAATTAAATAATATTAAGGAGAAGGTGACAGTTGGTAAGTTCAAGGCAGTTCCTCTTAAATCATATAATGAATCCTGCATTTATTATATAATAAAGGTGTAAAGCCAACTAAAGAATGAAGTGGCTCATAAGGAGAAAATGATGATTTATAATTTCACACATGGAATTATCTGTCCTTTCAATAAAAATAAAGCCTATATGTATGAAAACTTTCATCATTATCATGACTAATAGATCATTTTAACCTTATTATATGACGAATTCAATTTGGATTAATTTATGCATGATTAACTATTATTAGATCATTTCCCATTACATGATGAAGAAGAAAAGAAATTGTTATATAATCAATGGAAATGCGAGAAATGGGACCTGCTGAAGGAACCTTTATCATTTGACCAAAATAGATGTAGAACTCCGAGTGCAATTAAAGCATACTTTGGATCTGAAGGAGGGTTTTTCTTTGTGTTCTTAAGTTTTTTTACAACTTGGCTATTCTTACCTGCTATTCCTGGTATAATGCTTGGAGTATATATTTATTCAACCAACAGATTTGATACTTTATTTGTCCCAATATACACAATTGCATTGGCTGTTTGGGCTACTATTTTTTTTGAATTTTGGAAGAGGAAATAGAGTGAGACAATGTTTTAATTTGATATGCATGTAGAAACAGAACATAAGAAGAAAATACAATCATTTTAAGGTTAATTTTGGATAGATGATGTTACACATAAGATCGAAATACAATACTCAAAGAGGGACAAGTGGAAGTATTATAAGACTTCCTTTCCATTAGTACTTTTGGCTGTCATTATGATTGCTGGGGAATAGATTGCCTATCAATACATTATCTCACTCTAATAACGAACCACTAATCAGACTATTATTTGTTCTATAGGTTTAGGGATCTGTATTAAGATTACAAATGAGATTTTCAATTATTTTGCTAAATTATCAATGAAATACGAAAATCATCAATATCAGAATGAATTGGAAGATGCCTACATTATTAAGGTATTTTCATTCTCATTCTTAAACTCGTTTGTAAGACTCTTCTATAAATCCATCATAGATCCTGATGCTGATGAACTCAATATAATGTCAATAACTTTGACGATTGTTTGGGCAATTGTCCATTTAACAAGATTTACAATAATACCCTTAATTAAACATCAAATTAGAAGTTATTTTCTAAATACTGAATATGAATAATACATGTTAAAAAAATGGAAAAAGACGTTTGTGTCATAAGTAGCAAGTGTTTTAGATAATAATACTGAAAATTAAGTAAATAAAAGTTTTGATAGAAGTAGCATGAGTGGTAAAAGATTTCTTAAAACAGTTGAATAAAATCGGATTATGATGCCCACACCTAATCATATTGATCAATTCACATATTTTGTAATTTTATCCCACTATCTCGAAGATTATTCAATTCTGTATGGTTACTATGTTCAGTGCTAGTTCTCAATTGATTCCTGTGGCCATTTTGTTATTTAATATCTTCACTATTGATAGCCTTCTATATGCTTACATAACATTTGTCAAGAGGCCAATAGCAGAGGCCAAAAGATCCATTGGTTTATGGAATGACATTCTTCTAATTGTGGGATATATTGGAACAGTCATCAATTGCTTGACTATTTATTAGGCAAATTAAGATCAATTGAACAATTTGATTGGAGGATAAGATAGCCAAACGAATAAGGAGACTGTATGTGTTCATGGTTATTTTAGTTTGCACTCAGAAACTTTCTATTGTTGATTGCGGCTGAACATATAGTGATTGGATTAAAATTTCTAATCGAATAAGTAATACCTGATGAGCCAGTGTGGGTTACGAAAATGATGCAAAGATAAGAATATTTATATGAATAGATGCTAAATAAAATCTATGACAGTAGTGAATCATCTTAAAAATCCAAGCATGATTGATTGATCTTTATATTTTAATTAAATCTAGATTTTTTTCATTTTTATATAAATATATATTAAATAAATTCATGAATTGCGATCTATAACAACTGAAAAAGACCCAGAAAACTCTAAACAAAAAGCCTCCTCTTGATAATCGATCCTCCAGAAACATTGCTGATTAATTTACAGATAAACAAACCTTGAATGTATCATTCAATGAGAAAAAAAACTCAACTCCTAAAATTAATGCTCTTTTATAAGAACTTTAAAAGAGAACCAACTCAAAAGACTAATATTTTAATAGAACTTCAACTCCAAATTCATAACATGAAAAACCATCAACGAATAAAACTCAAAGATCCATTTCACCATAACTTTTGTATTAGATCCCTCAACAATTAAAGAAAATATATTAACATATCAATAGTAAGATTGAATAAGATAAAATGCTTAATAAAAATTAAAAACCAGATTCCTCAAAATGCAAAACAGAAGAATCAAAGTCTCATAAAAATGAATCCACGAGTTCTACAATTAATGATTCAGAAGAATATGTTTAATAGTTTATTAATTTAGAAGAAATTGTATTTACCATTTTAGCTGTTATCAGCAAAAAGTAAAAGGTAATTAAATAATGTTAAAATTATCTTAATTAAATTTCCAATTTTATAGTGGAGGAAAAAGATTAAATCTGTTAATAAATCTTATGTAAATCAATGATCCTGGAAAGAATTGGCATTTTAGTCGTTCTTTATAAAGCCATATCAGAAGCCTTTGATGAGGATCAATAAAACTTAAAGAATTTAGTATTTTATATTCACAGCAGTATGGTTTTACATCTGGAATTAATGCAACAATCCAATGCTTTATCTCAATCTTAAAAGGCATTAATTTAAGCAAGGTTAAACAAACTCAGAGCCAGAAAAAGCCCATAATTAATTGATATTAATTTAATACGTAAAAATAGTAATGTAGTCTAATCTCTTCTAATTCTATTGTAAGATTATTTGTCAATCATTTTTAGTGTTGAAAATGCAACTGATAACAACCTTGTCTAATTAGAAAAAGTGTTAACAATAATAGACAAAATCAATTTATAATAAGGAACAAAATTTGTTAAATATTAATTTGATAAAATTGTATTAATTCTAAATCTAAATTTTAAAGTTAGTACACATTTAGCAATTGAGATTAACAAGAGACTCCTCAGACTTTTAGTTTGACTATGAAGAAGTGATTGATTGTTAACAGATACCTTACTTATCTAAAACAAATAAATACACTTTGGTTATAGATTTAGATGAAACTTTAGTCCATTATCAAGAAGTAAATGAGTGAATTTCTATATAGTTAGTGGATGATGGATAGTTCTTAGTTAGACCATATGCATAGCAATTCTTGAAGGAAATGTCTAAATATTATGAGATTGTTATTTTTACAGCTGCACAGTAAGATTATGCTGATTTCATATTGGATCTGATAGATGAAGATAAAGTGATTGGATATAGATTGTATCGTTAACACACTACTTTAGTCAATAACACATACGTGAAAGATATTTAAAAGATTGGTCGAGATGTAAAGCGAACCATTATTATTGATAATCTAGCTGAGAACTTTAAGTTTCAACCAGATAATGGAATCTAGATACAGAGTTGGTATGGGGATTCGGATGATCAAGCCTTAATGTTTCTCTCTCCTTTATTGATTCAGATAGTTCAAAAGAAGATTCCAGATGTGAGAGATGCTTTAAGGAAGTTTAGAGATCAGATGCAAAAGAACATTGAGAATGGCATTTAAGATCCTCATTTGCATTTAAGTTTAGATTGATTAATCTTTAAGAGAGAGAGCAAGTTTTGATTTATTTACAATATTATCTTATTAATATGATAACAATTCGAAAATGAAATGAAAAAACAGAAATGCTTTTCTAAAATTAATTTATTATTAATAATAATATCTATTTTATAATGAATAAGTTAAAATAAAATAATTTAATAAATTGATCTGCCAATGACTATCAAGGTTGATCCATAATAGGCTATTCAAAAGGAGAATGAGCATTTGTGATTGGTTAATGTTGAATGATTAGAAAATAGGTATCAACAGGTAGGAGGGATGATAAGTAAATTGTCAGTTATGAGGAAATAGAAAATGAGTATCAATATTTATTAAAATTCATATAAAAAGCATTTAATATTAAATAAAATAACTAAGTATTAGATAAAAAATGATTAGATCTTTTAAGTAATACACCTAAGAGAACAGCAAACGATTGTTAAGTCCTTTGCAAAGTGGCCATTTTGGATATAGTCCAGAACCAAACTTAATCTCGAAGCCTCATACACATATAGCGAGGAAATCAAGTCTAATAGATTTGAGATAGTTTGAGGAGAAAAGATTTCAACTGCCTAAGCAAAAGGAGAACAAGGTAATCAGGAAACCTGTTACATCTGACCCAATGTCGAGTAAGAAGATCTTGCAGATAGTGAAAGAGGCTCAATAACAATTATATTCATCTCAATAACCAAGAACATAATAATAAGTGCAATAACAAAAACACATTAGAGCTATTACCCTGGAGAATTAAATCGAGGGACTAAATTTTACTTTTGCTCAAAATTTCTCGAATAAGAAGGAAATCATGAAGGAGTTTTCGGCACACAGTTTAAAAAAGAAGTTTTTTGCTTGATTAATATATTATGTCGACAATAACATTTATACTAATTTATTTATTAATAATCAATCTTTTCTTAGAGGCTTAACAATTCTTTCTGTTCCAGCAGCAGTGATGATCAGGATCTCAACATTGTCTCCGGTGTGAATGTCTCTCTCGGCAGCACAACTGAAGCAATCCAAAATGATATCCAGTATTTCCTCCCTTGTTTAAGGAATGGTTTTGTTTATTTTATTGTAACCTTTCAATTGATTATCCAACACAGCCACTACTAATTCTTACCCACTTCCTTGAACACCATAAGTCATCTTATCATAACTACCAATTGCATCATATCCATAAACTACTCCGTGATTGTTTTCATCTAAGCCAGCCAATAAGTTGAAGGTGTAATAGGGGAAAAATCTTCTAGAGTACAATTCTCTTGATAGTAAATGAGCAACAGTCTCTGTAGAAGCCTTTGATAATTATGATACATTCTTACTTGCACTTCATTCTAAAACTCATACAATTATAATCTTTATTATAGAAACTTTCTCAATGCAATAAAATCTGCATATTGACCTGCTGTGGCTAATACACATTTATCTGTCAATTAAGACAATTTGGTGGCATCTCTTGATAAGATGTTGTATCCATTGCTCAATCTTGTGTCTCCTGCTACGATGACTGCTCCTGGAATGCCCACAGCTTTTGAATTAATTCTTGTGTTTACCTAATACGGTCCCTGAATTATCATGATAAGGACTCCATTAATCACTCTTATGAGTAATGTTGGCCATTGCAGGGGCGTCTTGCTTAAAGTGCTTAAGCATGTCATTCACGGGGATATACATTTTTAAAATTAATGAATAACAATAATACTAATCTAGCCAAGAATTTATGGATTGAATGGTAATTGTTTAAGAAAAATGAATCAACCAATCCCACCTTACAAATGAAAAAACAAGGCATCATGACTAAAACTGATTAATATGCTGAATTCACCTACAGACCCAATGCAAACAGTCCTCCATCTATGTAAGAATTCTACGAATCTGTTATCAATGGAATCATTAAAAGATTTTAATTGGGTCTCTATCAAGGTGAGTATCCATATTATAATGAATTATAAAGCTGTTTACATGAATTCATAAGGTTGATGAACTTCAAATCAGAAATATTGGTTGAAGTCTTTTAATCAATAACAAACCTGAATTTGAGCAAAGAAACATTTCCTAATGTGGTTGTACCTTGTGCCTCCTGTGGTATGTTTATCTACATTGTTCAACATTGTACCATCTGTTATTCAGCATTTTATTGTGATAAAACATGTTTGAAGAATGGTAGATAAAAACATGAGTCAGAATGTTAATAGGCTAAAATGACACCCTCCATTATTTACCCATTATAAGTTGAGATTCATTGTGGAAGTTCACTGGGAGATGATGTCAAAATATTTTTCCAGCATGAAAGAAAGTTATCTTTATTATATAGAGGCCAGAAGTTTTTAAATTCAATGTACAAAATATTACTAAAAAATCGATGGCTAAAGAACAATGGGTACAATATTATAGAAAATGAAACTTCTATTTAATTACAAAGCACTAAGAAAATTGATATGAAACCCTCAGAAGATTAAGGTGATCCAAATTACTCAGATGAAGACCTCTATTTAAAGATGCCCTGTGTTTAAGAGATTAAAGTCATATTTCTGAATCAAGGAGCCATCTTACAAGATATTATCAAAGAAACTTACAATTTACAAACAAATTTTATTCATATATATTATTTTCCTATTTGAAATAATATAATTATTAAATTAAGTCAATAGATTATTTTTTGGTTCCTTAAGTCGAGCATTGAAAGTGCTTGTATTTTATATAGTTTTTCCTCCATATATTTAGGATCCTATCAACAGAATTTAATCATTATGTAATAACTTCTACTCTTTTTCATACCATTCTAGATCTAATGCTAGAATACAGATTAGTTCTATTAATCTATTTTATTTTTTTTTTATGATAATATTAAGGTGAATTATAATAAGAATAATGATAATATTACTAATACCTATAGTAATAATAATAAGAGTAACTATGTAGCAAGATAATCGAAAGGTTTAATAGTTATCTTATTGGCTGTTTTACTATTAATTTGTTATGTAATTTTAATACTGATTTGATTACTGTTATAAGATCATATTATATACACATCTTTATTTATCATTTAAGAGTTAGATTAATTTTGTTTCCCTTATACTCGTATTCTGAAAGAACAGAAATGACCTTCAATGCCTCATAGATATCAACCATTGTAATCTAAATACAGTTTTACTCTAATTTGATTTCTAGTTAATAAGGTCGATTGATACCTTGAATTTTACCAACAAGTTTAACCATGTCTTGAATATCAAGCAAATCGTAGATTCCAGAAAACACAATGACTTTACTAAGAGGAACAATTTTAAACTTAGTTTAACTACCAAAATAATATTCTTCATTAGGATTTGATGCTTCAAGATTATCAATCTAATGAAACAATATTCTTATCTAAGAATCAATAGGTTTTTAGTACTTCTCTGCTGAAAAACATAATATTATTGAGGAGTTCTTTAGAAATGGTAGCATGATCGACATTTGTAAATTGTAAGATTGCAGCATTGTCCTTCTTTTAAAATAATAATGCATTCAAATGACCAAACCTATTAAAAATGTTATACAACATTTTAGCAGTCACTCTCTCATCTATGTTTTGTACTTTCAAATATTTCGATGGTTTTTAAGCCAGTAATTCATTAATGACTTATTGTTACTCATCAAATTGAGTTAGGTTAGATCTTGCTACTTCATTTGCATAATCTTCATCTAAAATTCTTTCCAATTATTTTAATTATGTTTCCATACTATTAATTAATTATAATTTTAAACATCGCTTTAGTCGGAGATTCTTCAGATGTATGAGACACATCGGCAGCTTCTAATTTAATCACCTATGTTAAATCTATTAGAGGTGGTTTAATTTCTTCTTCTATTAAAATTGGAGCGTTTTGCAGATTTTAGACTTGTTTTTCGGGTTAAACTTATGTCTCTACTTCATGAGGTTAATATTGAGTGCCTCGAGTATGATCAACCACTTCGAGATTGAGCTACTTTAAACGAGAAAAGTGAATGAGGAGCCTATTAGGAGTTCAACAACTAATAAATACCTGCCTCCCTAAATTGTAATTGATTTACCCATCATATCTCTTCTAGCTTAGATTGCATGTTTGATGTCATAATATTCAATGAATGCTTTATTTGTTTTTCCTCTCTCAAAAATGAGTATTTTTTTGATCTCTCCGTATTATTTGAAAGTCTCAAACAAGTAATCATTCGTAAGAGGGAAAGAAGGAGGTAGATAGGTTATGATAAGTAACAAAATTTTACTGGGTGGGTCTCTTGAATTCATTTACTAAATTAATCAATTTAACATTTTCATTTATCATATTTAATTCTTAATGCTTGCTCTTTTTTTCTTAAAACATATCAGAATTTACTAAACCCTTCAAACTTATTCTAATTGTTAATAAGAATCGACAATGTAGAGTAAGAAATTTTGAGTTTAGTAAAAATGTTTTGGAACTATAATCTCTTAATTCTATCTTCAATGCATAAGAAAAGATTGTATAAATATATATTTAATATTTTAACTAAGTTGTTAGTCTTTAGTTAGTGGAAATATCAAATATTTGAGAAATATAAATATAGAAATGAAATCTAATCAATATATGTTTTCTATGTATTTGCCATTCTTATGTTTAATGTACTTCTCAAGATTTTATTTATCATTTTTCTTTTCTAGTATTATTCTGCAATTATATTCCTTTTTTGTGTTTGATCCTTTCCCTTATTTTCTTGATTTTTACCCTTGGTTATTTTTATAAGTTTTGGCACCTGATTCTTTATTCATTATTTTGTTCTGATATAGAAATAAATGGATAAATATATCGTCTCATTAATTTCAATAGAGCTGTTTGGTGATTTCTGAGCAATTAAAATATTCTTTACTAAATATAATATATAATTTTAATCAAAATTTTAATTAATAGGAATAAGTTACTTTTTTGAGTTGTTGTCTTTTATATTTTTAAATAATCTAATCCTTGTTATATTGTGGATAATAAGATTTAAGATCACAAGCTTATTCAAATTTATTGTGAAACTATTCTTCATTTAATGGACTATTATTTTCGTTGTATTATCTATAAGTATCAGTTCTATATTTAAAATCGTGTTTCTGAGTATCATGTTTAGTATCTTCCTTAATTTTTTAACTATCAGTTCTTAATGAAATAGTGTATCTTTAGCTTCTCGATCTACTTTGCATAGATAATTATTTTGAAGTATAAGAGCCCTCTTTTAAATGATTATTATTAACTTTTTCTGTCTCATTGATCTCTCCTACAGAAGGTATTGCTTGTAAAGGACTCTTCATAGATTTGGTATTGGAATAGTTAGTTCCAATTTGAGATTTCTTTTTTCTATCCTATGTAATATGTAAGCTATCCTCAAAGTTATTCCTCTAAAACAATTATTTATCATCCTACTAGAATAAAGGAGGAGATGTATTGGGTACTAGAGCTATACCCATGCTACTTTAAGGCAGATTACCACTACTAGATTAACTGCTAGATTTATGTAATAATTGCTAAGATAGATGTATTGGTTGTTATTACCGTTGACCCATAGAATGATTTGAATATTTATCAGAATCTTACTATTTAGAGATCTTTCTTTTAGGATGCTCTTTGAGAAAGACATTAAATGAACTCTAAGACAATTATGAGCTAGGTATTTGTTATATCCTAACAGGAATGCCACTTATTTTATCTATTTGAGAATCATTTGATTTGATTCCAGACATAGATTTTTAGAATTTAGATTCTTCTTCAGAATGTACACTTAAAGAGTTCAAAGATCTAGACCGTTTTCTAAATCTCACATTTTTAGGCTGTTAATGCTATTATGTTTATAATGGTTATTAAGATTTATGAGTTGATGTGTGTTCTTAATATCTAATTTCTTGAGTCATCTTAGTTTGATAAGTCCTTTCAATTTAACTAGCATCTGGCTCTTCTTCATCAGACGAGAATGAAAAATTATTTTCTTAAAATAAGGAGACTGCATCTTCAAATAATCTTTGACCAAATTTTGCATTTGTAGTCCTTCTATTATTTCTTGAGAATGGCAATCGTTTATTGGGAATAGAAAATAAATGTTTTGCTATTAGCATTTTCTTATTTAATATTAGATGTAATTTGCTACATTGATCTAGATCATGCTCACTCTCTCCACACCCTATGCATTTTACTCCCAAATCTAACTTCTGATTTTAGAATGTCCATTGGTCTATTATCATCCTATATGTTTACTAAATAAATTCAATTCTTACATAATCTACTGGATGGGATTAAAGAATGTCTAAAAACATCTATTTTGATAAATAAGCAAAAGAACAGGCACTATCAGTTTTCACACTATACGAATGCAAAGTATTCATAAAAAATGGTCCATGTCCAAAGATATCTCCTTGCTTCATTTTGCCTATATAATATTTTCTATCCTGCAAATCAACGAACATATGAGCATCGCCACTTACTAATTAATACAAAGCTATGCCTTCATGAGTACCATTCTCAATTACATAAGAATTTGGTGCCACTCTATATTCTTAAACATTCTTAGTTAACTCTAATAAACATTCCTAGCTAAAATATCTATAAAATATGTGAATATTAGTTATAAATTAACCATACAAACATATTTGAATTTCTTCTTTTAGTGTTGGACTTAAACAATTGATAATTTTATTCTCATCCACTATTCTAAATTTATCTTCTTAAGTCCATAAATTTTATAAGTATTGTCTTACTCTAAACTATAAAGACTATTCGAAATTCTTTCGTTGCATGTACCTGTTAATTATAGCCATATTCTCATTTATCTTCTCATCGAATTTATTCATCTCAGCTATAATCATTCCTATAGTATTTATTGAATAAGCAAAAACTACGCTTGCAATGAACATAGTACAAACACAAAATAAGGCTTCTTCGTGATTTGCTGGTGTTAAATCTCCATATCCTACTGTAGTCATAGTCATCACAGACCAATAGATTGAGTAACTATAAAGAGCGAACCAAGAATCTTCCACTATTCCTGCTTTATTTATCCAATTATTATGGTTTTTTTAAGCCACTAGATACCATAGACACCCAAATACATGAGCATACAAAAATACTGTACCTATAACACTTAAGAATCTATATCCTATAACAAATCGAGGATTACTCAATAATCTACCTTCCAAAGAATGATACACTCTACTTAAAGCATTAGATCTTAAAAATGATAAGCAATTCACTATCTTAATTATAGTATTATCATTCTCAAATGATTGAATCAATATTATGTTAATAAAAATTGGCAAAATGGATATCAGATCTACAAAAAAATAAGTCTTGAAATATCTCCTTGCCACTCTTTAATACTTTATCACTACTTCTCCATTCTCATAGTATCCTGTCCTAAATCCAAGAAATATATCTATTAAGTAATATATAAACATAAATATTAATATGTTTTAAGAATTCTCTTTATCAGCAACAAAATACCAATTTAAAACGTTCAAATTAAAACATATTTGTATAGATAATTAGAATAGTGATGATAATGTGATGAAGAATTTCACTAATTCCCAAAAGAAAAGGAAATTCCCTTAAGGATCTATTGTTCCATTTTTAATTTTGTTTAAAATAGCTTATAATTTACAAACACTAAAATATGATTTTAATGCTATAAAAGCTTGAAAACTATTTATTCTTCTCAGTTTCTTCTTTGATTTCACTGAATCATGCATCTTTATATAACTTTAATTCATGTATTTCTCATTTGAATTATTAATATCAGAGCTTAGGTCCTATATTATTTGCATTTGTTATTTGCTAATCTTTCTTGAAAATGGAGATAATTATTTCATTTTTTGAACAAATTTTCTTGCCAAATGCATTCTATTTGTAATTTTTGAGAAAATCTTGGAAAAATGCTTACTCTTTCGTTTTGGAGATTTTGATGATTAAATGGCGGGACTAATAACAGTCTTACTCTTCCTGTGTTCTTCAGTATCCCCAAATTTTTTCAACTCCATATTAGGACTCTCATATTGGATTAATTCATCTCTAAGTGATTGCTTTAAAGGTGATTCCTCAGATTACTCTGCACTGTTCCTACGAACCTAATGCAATACTTTGCTTCCAATACTTTTATCGTCTTTAAGTTAATCAGGAACTGTCTTGTGTTATTTAAATCTATCAGCTTTAAGTCCCTCGAAATCAATGAATGCTAAAATCTGATCTTCATTGGGTCGTCTGACTTACATCAAATTTTAATTATTCAACTCTGTCAAATAATGATCAAGTCCATTTTAATGACTGTCTCCTGAGATATTTATTGAGCCAGAACTTACAGGTTGTAAAATCATGTTTATTAATGAAATGTAAAATATGAATTCAAGTTAAATGGATAATTATATTTATCATAAATACCAGTTATTTGCAACTTTGAAGCATTTTCATTACATTTCAAAGATCAAATGATGGAGTTCCATTTTCATCTCATAACCTGGCAGAATGAAATGGTTTTCTTTTGCTGCCAATTAGTTTTATGATTATAAATAATAAATTTAAAAGTCATTAAGTAAAATTAGGTTAATCAATAGGAATAAGGCAAATTACTAAATAGATAAATAATGAAACAAATTTGAGAAATGGAGAATTCTTAATATTAAAAATCTTGGAGTACTTTTGGAGACATATTGATTTTACGAGATTTACAGAATAACTTAAATTTCTAAGATGACTCTAATTGATTAAATGAGTTTCTATCAAAAACTACATGAGTTTAGTGAGATGAAATGAGTTTCTGCGATGAGAAAGTTATTGCCCATCAAGGAGGAAGAAATAGTGTGGAAAGAGAAATGACCATATTAATTTATTTATTTATATATGGATACTACTGCAGTTCATAATTAAGCTCAGGCAGAGATATTCGAATAAAAATTGATTACAATATAAGGTACATCCTCGCTACCTACTGAACATGTGTATAGAGTGAGGAAACAATTACATCCACAGATTACTGCCAATTAATTCCATTTGAATAAAACCTAAAATTCTTCCCTTAACTGTGTCAATCTCTTTTGCTAATTTTGTAATAAAAGCACTTCTATGTCAACAGGCAGATATTGTGGATGCTCCAATCGACAATTTCATTAAAGCTGTTTATTAAATCACATAAATCAAGGGTTTAGATAAGGAAATGGTATTATGTAATGCTCATATTGTAATCTCTATTATCCTACTGAAGTGGAATCTAAGTAGTTATCATTATAATTTAATTAGATTGTCCTTGCTAAATTTGACAAAAACTGAGCGAGTGAAGTATTGTGTCACGTTATTGATTATTTTTATAATAATCATAATCGAAATTTTGATCACCATGTTCTAAAATTTAAATACGATTCTATATGTTATATTGGCAGTATTATGGACATGTGAATTGTTAATTTTAATACTTTTAATAAGAAGGATATTCATACAAGCAAATTTCATCAAATTTTCCTTCAAAGAATATAGGTTTGGTGATGAGATAATATAATTTATTTATGCTTAAAATTCATTTAAAATAATTCAAGCTCTTAAGTTTGGTAAAGCTAAATAATTATATTTGAATTGATATTTTATATACTAAATGTTATTATTATAATTAAAAAATGGAAATATTAAATGAATTATTTAAAAAGAAACCAAAAAAATAGCAATAAACAAATGAAAGAGAATATACTGATTTGAGCGATATTCAGATGATGATCTAGTACACATAGAGAAGATAAGGATTGGGTTTTGATGACATAGACCGAAGAGCCAAATTTTAATAGCCTTTTGTGAAGAAATTAAAAAAGGATTAGATTGTCAAGAAATAAGAAAAGCAAGATGACAATCAAGAACAAAAATAAAAGGAAGAAATAGGCAAGAAAGTAGAAAACAAGATTAGCAAGAACACAATAAAAATAAAAAAGAAATAATTTGTAATAATCTGAATATAATTTTTGCGGGTGTATTTAATTTATGATAAATTTTACATAAAAAGTAAAAAATTTTTAATTTGTGATTTTTTATGGCTGAATTTTCAAACTTAACACAAGAGTAATTGTATTAGATGCTTACATTCGTCCTCTCCGGCGATAATGAAAAGATTAAAGAGGCCACACATGTTTTAAAAGTATACACTAAGTCTGTCAATTGCATAGGACCATTGGCATTAGTAATATCTCAAAATGAGAATGTATGAGTTATAGTTTAATAGAATAGCAATAATTTAGACACTTGGCAGGTGTATTATTAAAAAGAAACATGGCTGCCAATTATGATAAATTGGATGCTACAGCATAAACTCAATTAAAGCAATTGTTATTGGAGAGGTTTTTCGCAGAACCAATCAATCCAATCAGAACAAGTATTGGATCATTGATAGGAACTATTGCAATTTAAACATTAGGAGACAATAAATGGCCAGAACTATTTTAAGTTCTATAGAATTAAACAGCAAAGAACTAAGACATAGTCACTAGATAAAGAGGATTGATGTTATTAGCTTTGATATTTGATTACTCTGGAGATAGTTTGAAACCATTCTACTCTGTTTTTTATCCATTCTTCATTGAAAATCTCCAAGATGGTGACAAATAAATCAGAGTTCAAACCGTCAAATGTTTGATTTCCTTGTTCGATAACATTGAACATATGAACAAATAAGAAGTAATTTAAGTAATCTATTCAATTAGGCTTAATAATATAAGACTTTAGTTGAACCAATTTTAAGATTCGTAGATTAATGTATAAAAGAAGGAGATGAAGATAATGCTTATCATTGCTTTGACGCTTTTGGATATTTAGCTGAAAGCAAATTAACAATCTTAGATACTCATTTGGGTATGATTGTGGAATATGCTGCTAGTTAAAATGTATTATTACATAATTTATCAATTAGCTTTTGTTGAATCCAAAATGCAGCAGTAAATTTAAGGAATGTGTATTGGATTTGATTGATAATGTTGTAGAATACCACAAGAAGGTATTGAATAAGAACCCAACATTATTGAAATAACTTATCGAATGTTTATCCCTAGTCGTTGCCTAACCATACACAGAGGAAGAATTGACTCAAGATGAGGATCCACTTTAAGATGTAACCTTATGGCTCTTGGAAAGCTTGGTGATTGGATTGGGTAAGAAAAAGACTTTGTTCGGTTTATTTTTGGAAACAATTATAAAATTAATAGATTCAGGAGATGTAAACTAAATGAATGCAGGATTTTTGATATTTGGAGCAATTACAGAGGGACTCTAAGATCAAATTAGAAGATAATTACAAAATCCAATTATGAATGTCATTATCCCTAAAGGATTGAAAGATGAAAGAACAGCTGTAAGAGGAGCAGCAATTAAATGCTTATCCTACTTCAGTGAATGGTTATGCCCAGAGATCTTGACTTATGACTAGGTTGTAATTCCAGAAATGATTAATTGTCTAAAATCATAAGATCACAAGATTTATGAAAAAGCATTATTGACAATTGACATCTTTGCTGAGAATATGGAATCAGATAAGATAATTCCTTACATGTAAACTCTCTTGCCTAGTTTGGTGCAATTGTTCTTACAATAAACAACTACATTCATTGCCAGAAGACATTGTTTGTCTTCAATCGGAAGCATTATAGTTTCATCTAAAGAGGCTTTTGCAACATATTTGAAGGATGTCAGTGAATTACTATTACAAGTATTGAAAGAAAAGGATACTCCTGAAGTTATGAGTATCAAATCGGAGGCAATCCAAGTATTCGGAACTATTGCTGAATCATTCAAATCCAATTTAGAAGTGTAAAGTCAATTGATAACTCCATTGGCTCCATAAATTTACGAATTATTAACTAAACACGAAGATTTTGAAATTAGAGAAGCTTGCTTAGCCTTCTTTTATAATATGGCTGCAGCTTAAGGGGAGTAGTTTGCTCCCATATTCACTTAAATCATCAGTTACACTATGAAGTTGGCAGAATCCAAAGAAGGAATCTCTTATGACAAAGAAAAGAAAGAATTCTCTTTAGACACTGATTCTGAAGATGACAATCAACAAGGACCTATGAGAGTCAAAGTAACCTAAATGGATGAGAAAGCAGCTGCTATCCATGCCTTAGGTTAATTTGCACTTTCTGTTCCATAATAGTTTGGACAATATTTCAAACCCACTTTTGATATCTTAGATGAAACTGTTGATTTCTTCTATGATAACATCAGAATATAAACTCTTCAATGTTACAGAGATTTAATTGAAGGATACGCCTTATTCAGACATAATGGTGTCTTACCAAAAGTGTAATTAGGATTACCAGCCATTGAAAATTTAGATGCTGAATTCTTAACATTCTTGTAAACAGATGTCATGTAAAAATTGATCAGAGTTATTGCTGAAGATGAATCCTATGAATGTGCTGCTCTTGCTATAGATGTTATTGATCATCTAACCAAAAAATTAGGTCCTTAATTTGTCTACAAAAATCTAGATGATTTAGCCAAAGTTATTACCTTAGTATTGATCAAGAAAATCAAGTGTTTAGGGGCTGATCTTGACTCAGAAGGTGAAGAAGAAGAAAATGATTCTGACATGAATCTTAATGTCCTAGAAAATCTCACTGACTTAATTCCTACATTGGCTAAAAATCTGAAAAATGGATTTGTCCTTTTCTTCAGAGAGATTTACCCTTATCTGATAGGAAATCTCAATAAAAATAAAGAAATTGATGACATCATTTGCACAGTTGGATGTCTTGCCCAAATCTTTGAATATGAACCAAGTCTTATTTTAGAATGCCAACAAATTGCTATTCCATTCTTATTAAATACTGTTCCTACCATTGGAGATTAAGAATTAAATAGAAATGCTGCTTATGCTTTGGCTACATATTGTGAATTTGGACCATAAAATGATGTTGCTTCAGCCCTCCCTCAGATTATCTAAACACTTACTAATATATATACAAGTGCTACTACTTACAGAGAAGCTGCAGAAAATGCCACTGCAGCTGTTTGCAGAATTCTTATTAGATTCCCATAAGCCTTACCATTAGAAACCACACTTGACCACATCTTGGCTCAATTGCCATTCAAAGGAGATGTCGAAGAAAATTTCACCGGATTAAGATTCTTAGTCCACTTAGGAAATACACTTCCTGATCTTATAACACCAAGAATGGAATAAGTGATCAAATTGTTATTAGATTCACTTATCTAAAAGGAACACTATAAGGTATTATATCTCTCTAATATTAATAGCTTAAAGAAGAATAATTAAACTTTGTTGTGACTACCGTAAAGGGTTTGATTCAAAATCAGCAATATAAAACTGTAATTGAAAACATTGTTTTGAATGTTTAAGATTAAACACAAAAAAATAGAGTGATTGCACTTCTATAATGAGGAAGATGCGTGAAATTCCTAAATGTATGTTAATAATCAATTAAATAAATCATTATACAACTCAATTAATTCTCTAATTTCTATTTCTAGAAATCAGATCTCCTTAATTCCTTCTAACTTTGATATTTTTTGGATTTAATTATTTATTTGAGAATTTCTATTGATCTTATTAATCCTCTTCAAACCAATGTTAATCATATTGATCATCCTCAACTGAAACTTATGACATGAAGCTATTTTTGGAATTGAGCAAAGAAACACGTTTTCCATATAAAACACTTAATACAAGTTCTTTTTAATAACCTTTGAAAGGCTTTAAATGTTTCATTTCATTTTGTTTCAAAAGTCTCTCTTATCTAAATTAATAATCTTATGGACCATTTAATGTGAGCATCATGGATTTAGCTGGTTTAACGTGTTTATTAGTTTACATGTAACCCAAAGTAACAATAATACTAACTAATTATTAATTATTTAAGGTGTCTCCTTAATACTAAAGATAATATGCATATTAACTCTATCGAATCTGCACAATCCTTTTTCAATTACATCAGCCTCACTCTGAATCTCATAAAACTATTTCATTTCTTTCAAGTCGTGCAAGAATTTCAAAGAATTGATAAACAAAAACCTACATTTAAACATTAGGCTTCATACCCTCTATATGTCTATTAGGTCACCTGTATTGTTTCCAACAACTAAAAAGGATCGAAATAATATTTGGGTTCAGGTTTAGATATCATTTCTTCATATGTTAATTGCTTTGGTGTATTATAATAATCCAATCTTTTGTTATATAGTACTCTACCCACGGTGTTAAAAAATGTTAATTAAGAATCTTTGCTTTAGGTCTCTTCTCTGTAATTTATTGAGTATATGTATGCTTAATTGTATGCATTTCTAATATCTCCATTTGATAATTCTGCTATCTTAGTCAATATTTCATATTTACTTGATGCAACACATTTGAATTGACTCTTGGAAAACAAGTGTGCAAATACTTTTCGATCTTGTTGTTAGTTGGACTTTTCAGCAAAACTACATTGCAATATATTTTAATAAATTCTTAACATAACATTTTCGTCAGTTCATAATCTTTTAATACTGTTGTATTTACAATTATTACTAATGGTTTATTGCATTTTGTATATGTATATTATTATTACAATTGTCTTAATGAATTCAAATTACCAATCCCACTAATTTCTTTTAAAATTATAACTAACACCATTATAAATACCAATACCTCTTTAATCATCAATTTTTGACAGTTAATCTTACATAGAATACATTAGAGGATGCACATCATTTAACATCCAGATATCTCTGAATGCTGAATCTACCTCCAAAATTTTATACTTGAATTCTGCTAAAATTGCCTTGGCCAAATGCAACCTTTACATACAACATCTAAATTACTTTCCTATTCCAGATATCCCTTTTATTATTGTTATTGGTTTTATTTGGAAGTTGCTCAAACCATCTTTTATTTCTTTTATCTTCTTATCATTATGCATCAATAATTTACTAAAAATAATAAAATAAATAACATGGGTTAATCATGTTGTCATAATACTACAACCCCAGATTCAGATGCTAAAATTAATAATAATCTTCCAGAACAGTATTCAACTAGAGAGCAATCAGATACCTTGGCAGGCAATTCCAATTAATATCAGACAAGAATCAATGAATTAGAAAACAATGTTTAAATTTCGTTAGAAGCAATGAATAAATTAAATTCAACTATTTAAAATGTATTTTTTAGTTTTAACAATAGCTGTTAGTCTAAGTTGAAGAATTAAATAAATAATTAGATCAGAAATAGAAATTAGAATAAATTGAAATTAAGGAGGAAGAATGAATTGAATTAGATTAATTATTCAAACTTAAACTTATTATTTATTTTTTTTATACTAGCTATAATTGCTTTTAAACTATGCTCATTAAAATTGGTTAAGTATTCTACAGAGTATTGATAGCTTTGAACGCGTAAATTGAAATTATTAATTAGATCTACTATTTTGTTTTCAGGAATTTGGTTAACATTTCTATTCTTCAAAAAGGGTGAATTGACTTTATTTAATTTATAAGGTCCACTTGTTTTCTTGTAAATTTTTCATTAAATTAGTTGATTTTTTGCTTACATCTTTGGAACCTAACAAATCAAATAGAAATAAAACATTTTGATAAAAGAGTAGTTTGGATTTGTTTCAAATGATTTTGGAAAATCTTGTATGTTGTTTATGTAACAAATTAAATTATTTATAGCTTGTCATCTTATTATCATCGTTGCTATAAGGATTTGTAATTTAGTTATATGTAATTAAAACTACTATCTTATAGGATTTCCTAATTTTATAATTATTTATTTCTATTTTATAGTCTATGCTTTTTGATTTCATACATAGGAAAGTCGTGTATTCGAAGAAAATCCAATACGTCGAAGGAAGACTTGAAATCAGAGAGTTGATGAATTAAGTTTTTATATGTTAAGTTATTATAGTAATATATGTTATCAATTTGATGTTCTTTCAGAGTCTAAGTTGCTTATCTCAACTCTCTTGTACATGCTTAATAGAGCCTTTGTTTTGATAGGTTATTTTTCTATGAGTTTATTTTCTTTTTGCAATTATTCACTTTTATAATTTTTAGTTTAATCAGAGTTTTTGGTGGAAAATGTATTTACAAATAGCTTTTTCATTAGCTATTATCTATAGATTTATCTTTCTTCTGAGGTCGAAGTCCTATTCAACTGATCAATTTTTTTTAGAGGAGATTTTAATAAATTTTAGGAAAGTTAATTCATTAATTCATGGGGATTAGAAAGCTTCTTCTTGCTAAGTTTTACCCATGAATTTGAATAACCTAATATAAATGAATTAGAATTCTTAAAATCTCTAGTTTCCTTAAGGTCTGGGTGTTAATTTTAACTATTTGCTTCTAGATTCTTACTATATTGTATTAGTTATTTTTTAAAACCTGGATTTGGATTAACTGCTAATCTCTTCTCTTTAACAAAATAAAAGGTTCTTTCATATGGCCACCTATAAGTTTTCATTAGATAAGCTATAATGCATGCACTTGATCTAGAAATTCCTGCTGCGCAATGTACTAAAACAGAACCCGAGTTTAACCCAGTCTATATTTCTTTGCTAATTTCATCGAAATATTCTATTATTTGTGCTTTTATTGTATCTTCAACTTTATAGATCTGACTTGATAATAAGTTTTACTTTGTGAGAGATATTTAGAGAGTTTTCGAAACTTACAATAATATTATTGGCCACTGTTATGACTGTTTGGATTTTATTTTCTTTTAATTATTTAATATTTTAGGCCGCCTTTAGATTGCCTAACCAAAGAGCCCCTTATGTTGAAGTTTTATCCAAAATTAAATCCATCTCGTTAACATTTACTAGAAGCTATTATTTTTTCATTTCCTTAACTTATGTATAATGAATAAAAATATTAATTGAATATAAAATAATTCAGAATTCTGATGATAAACTCAGTTATTATTATCTTTTATTCTAAAATCCACATTCTTAGTAAATATATGAAATAAAGTATATTTATTTATTTAGTAGTAGACTCTTTCTAATAAATTATTTTTTATTATATTGTAACAATTGTTTGTATATTTAACAACTAAATATACTTATCACTTTTGTATAATCTGTAATATTTTTAAATAATTAACTGAGGAGAAAACTAAGATGAAATCTGAACATTTCAAGTAATTAATATTTAATTATGCAAAAAATGTGTTACACAGGGTTTATAAATTTGAAAGAATTAAATTGCAATTAAAAAGTATTATATTCCATCAGGGAAATAATGAAATAGATAAGATAAAAAAATAACACTTATATCGTTTTTAACTGGTATTGAAACTAAAAAACGTTGAAAAGTATTATATCAAATTATTAATATAAACAATTTTCACTGATCTATAATTTTATTTAATTCTTACTGGTTCTATTTCTCTTAGACTCTCTTGTTTTTCCATCTAGAAACCAAATCTTATCCTTATAAGAATTCTAATTTATTATTCTAAGTAGATAAAAATATATATTTACAAACTATTCTTATTTTTATTATTCATTCTGTATTTCAATCTCATATTATTATTGAAGCTATTATTATTATTGCATCCATATATGTGGTGATAAAATTGGGCTTTTATAAGGAGATTAGGATATGAATTGTGAATTATATAAATAAAGAGGGGTATACACAATTGGTGTTTATTAAATCTATTATTAGAATGGAGATAACTATTAGAATGGATATTAATGTTATTTGAGTCCAAATCCCAGTCTGTTAATTTGACAAGGTGTTTATTAAAATATATCATTGCATGTGTCATTTGTATATGGTCTAAATCCATTATATTAAGGTATGGAGTCTTTGAGGGAAGTTTATCCCATATAGGAAGGGGATTGAATTGAACCTTTGGATTAGGATTAAATTTATTATTAGGATTTGCATTCAAATTCTTAATTCATTAAGGATCCTTAAGAATGAGAACTTGAAATTCCTTTTCTATTCTCTTAACTTTGTGTATCACAATTTCCATATGTTGATAAGCAAAATTATTGATTGAGTGATTGAATTTGAGATTGTAATTTTTCATCAGTTTCTTATTTTACTTACAAATTCTCAATAACCTTGACTTTTTTCTTTTTAATTTAAATTTACTATTCCTATTATTCTCCATTTCTAATTTAGAGCATTTTCTTTGATTTTTATTTGATATAATTGTTTGATTGGGATTCTTCATAATTTACATTGTTTTCTTTTTTTGTTTATTTTGGTAGGAAGTTGTCTTAGTTACTTTCCCCACCAACTTATTTAGCTAAATATTATTTAATGGCTGCTAATTCTTCAATGTCATCATCATCTTCCTCCTTATAAATTTTATGAATAAGACTCTTAAATCTAAATTAAGTAGCAGAGTTATTGATACCTATTTTTCACTTAATTTTCGGTTCTCCCCTACAATAAGGTAGAAATCATTGACCATCTCTTGCCATTAGTAACGACTAATTACAATAATTAATTATCCTCCTAATCAGTCCAACTAGATCTAATTAAAGTCTTAAAAGTGAAGTTTACTTGTTTAATTTAGGATTTAAATAATTCATCCATCTTTCTCTGACTTATTTAGGTGTTCTAACATATTATCCATTGTTATGATTGTAAAGCTCTAAAGCAATTTATGTCCAAATATGTTTTTCCTCCTATTATCTAAATGAAGAAATTTAAGCTGATAAAAACATACATCATCAATGATCTTATTATATCATCCTCTTCTGTTTCCCAATTCAAACTTTTTGCCATTGGGTTTATTAATGTAATCCACCTTTATTTCAGAGTGACTTCGTCAAAACTAAAGATTTCTGATAATTCCATCCATTCTTCTGAATTGGGATTGATAGTTTTTTTATTTTTAACTTAGAAGTATTTAACAATAACCCAGATAAATAACATCTTGCATTGCTTATCCCATTTTCTTTTCAATCCTTTATTGTCTTCTGATAAGAGTCTTATTAATATTATGATTTACTTTTAAGCAATCTGATCAAAATGCTTGCTATTTGGATTAATAAAGTTTTCCTTGATTTTGAATTGATTCCTATAATAAAAAGGAATCTCCATCTATTTGATTTAGCCAAGGCTACTCATGAACTCTTGAAAATTAACCATTAACAATTATTATCACTAAATCTTTAAATTATATTATTTTATTCATCATTGCACCAGTTAGTTGTAACTCAATTCAGTTAATATAAGTATATAATATCATTAATCATCTTCCTCAATTAAATCGAACATTGAAATTGTTGGTATCTTCCAATTCTTTTTGGTTTCTTCATCGACTGAAGTATGGATCAAATGAATCATAAAGGCTTCTAGCTTATAATACAGAGGCTGCGCAAACCTTTGTTCATAGCTCCACTCTTTCTATTTCATATTTATTATATAAATACTTCATTTTACTTTCCAATTCCTACTGGAGAGTATTTATCAGCTATTCTTGCCAATGCTTCCATGAATTCAATCAATTACATTTAAAATAGTCTATCACTTTCTAATTCATCAACTTAAGTCAACATTGATAAGCAAAATGCTAAATTAACATCTCTTTCAACAAAGTTTTCATCAAAAAGATTGGCCTTATTGCATACATCTTTCAATTCATCTAGACACATGAATGGTGCTTGTCCTGGCTTCACCTTTTTTTATGAATTATGCATGTACACATAATCAATTACTTGTTTGTATTTCTTACATACATCATCACATTATTCTATAAAGTACCTTTCCATTCTCCATTTATGAGAATCGAATTAAGACATATGAGGGAGACATTAATCTAATATCATTCTTGTGGCTTAAACAAATGATGGAGAACCAGGTTAATTTCTAATATATTTATCTTCTGATAATCTCACTAAAAATTCCATCATCTAATATCTGACTAAATATCTCTCGGGATTTCTAAAATTACCTTTCCAATCTGATTATGATGCACTACAAGTAGCAATAAATTTTAAATCTACATCAGCCAATTTCATTTATTTTCCATCAATTAATTAACATTAATTCACAAATTCAGAAGTTGGATTTTGAGACATAGAGAATACATCACCACTTGGATTTATGGCTGAATAATATCTGTATGTCTCTCTTATTGATTTATAAGATTGCCATAACATTTCTTTAATCTACTCTTATTCTTCAGTTTTCTTAACAAATTTAGTTATTTTAGAGCAATTCCAATCTCTCTCAAAACATTTACGTAACAATTCCTCAGTATCAAATTTGTATTTAGGTGCCCAAATTGATATTGGGAATGACCATGCACGCTTTTATTTCTTCATTTTTGCAGGAATATAGATTGGATCACAAGTTCTTGGTTTTACATCATAATTTGGATCCCAATCTGATATAACTGGTTTCCCTTTGTTTATGATTTAATGATTTGTTTCATCCAATAATACATCTATAATTTAATCAGCAATTTTAGTTCTCACTCTAAATTTTTCATTATGAACTTTTAATGGTTCAGTCAGACTTGCCACTTATAACTAACATCCAGTATAAAAATACTCTAATTCTCCTGTTGGCACCATACGATTTGTTTAGAAAATACCATTTTCATCCGGCTTACCTAAAAATATGGCTTCATATCCTTCAAAATCGAAATGAATGAATATTGGTTCTTCTGATGCATTTCCGCTTTTATCTAAATAATAATAATAATTAATATTACTTGGTATCCATTCAAACTTCTAACCCTGCCAACCATCACAAATCCAACACACATCCATTAATTTTTCTGATCTAGGACCTTTTGAATATGGTTTACTGTGAGTTTCGCATCCTCTAATTCTATAATCTGTATGTATTTAATTGAAGTTCCTCATTTCATTCTAAATGATCAAGAAACCTTTTGAATCAACATATCCAAAGTTGCCAGAAAAGTGAAAACCATATATAGTATGATTTTCCTTCAAGGCTTCTGAAATTGATTAACTGTCAGCTAAACTGAATTGATTTGCTGATAAATCTAAATGAATCATTTCTTTATTTTCTTCAAAAAACTATTTTAGAACTGGCGTTAAATTTGAACCTCCACATCCTAACAAATTATAGGACAAGTCTAAAACTTTCATATTCTTATTATTAATCAGGGCCTTAAAAAGTTCAGCACCTCCACTCCCTTTGATTAAATTCCAATGAAGATACAGCTCTTCTAAAGAGTCATTGGTTTCGATCATTTATTTGATGAAAGTATGAGAAACATTAGTAATTTGATTTTTAGATACATTAAGTAATTTGACAGTATTATTTTTTTACATGGCTTTGAAGAGTTCTTATGCTAAGACATCGCCCAACTGATTATCTTCTAGATTTAAGACTTGTATTCTTGTTATTGATTAAGATATAAATACTTGCAAGTTTGAGATGGAAGCACATTTAACACTGGTTCTAATCCTTTTTTTCCAATTATATTCGAAACCATTTCAATAGACCTCGCTTATTTAGATATTAAAGGCAGTATCAATGAAGCACCATTTTCCTTAATTCTGTTTTAATTGAAGTTGAAATCCTAAATTACAGGAAGAGTTCTCAAACCTTCAGATAGTACTTCAACATATTTATCGCCATATTTGTGATTTTCTATGGCCAATATTTTGGATTCTCCTTTCTGTTTGATTAGACCCATCTTACATGGCAATAATCTTAGTTGTTCTGATTTAATTATGAGATTAGTTTGGACAGAGTCTAAATTAATTTAGATTTCATCATACTCTAGATTGTGAAGAGCTTATTCTACTCCTTGATTCTAGTTATTTTTTTATAGGTTTAGTAATAATTTTTAATGGAATCTGGTCCAACCAAGTCTTTCTATTTCATGTCTTCATAAACTTCTTCTTGATTATTTTGCATCTGAATAAAAACATCCTTGTCATATTAATAAAATCAATATACCTCAATTCCTTTGTCTTTCTCTGCCTTCTCTTGTTTCTCCGCTTAAGTTTGGATTCTGAAATACTATCTGTTATATCTTTTGTTCGATTCCTGAAATGATTCGCCGAGTTTTCCGTCTATTGGAAACCGGCCCAATTTGCAAGTAGACATTACTTATGGCAAGACAGTAGGCTTAACTGAGAACTAAGAGGTTGTTTTTTTCATTTTTATTACATCATTTGCTGAATTCATTTTTATATAATTATTAGAAAACTCATAATAAATTAAGATAATCATATTTTGCCTCTATGATTTTTACTATTTTTTAATGGATATTAATGGCTTGTTCCATAAGACTCTCTTCTAATTTGATCATGTAATAGATTGGCACATTAATATATTATTCTTTTAAGTTAAATTGTTATTTATCATAGCTCCTCGATTCTTAATTTAAATCATCTGATGCATAAAGTTCATTAAAATATGGATCTGTTTATTTCTTATCAGTTTTCATTAGTTTTTTTCTCTTTTTAATCTCCTTCTCTACTTCTTTCAATTATTTTTCTATTGTTTTGTCTTCTTAAGATGTGTACTTCTAATGATTGTCCGATATAAATTATTTTTTTTGTTTAAGTTCATAATTGGGGTCTTCAACTTCATAACATTGATCAAACTTTCCATTAAATTTAGGAACACTCTCGAGCTTTTAGGACGATAGGTCCAAACCATTTTATGATGAATTATTTCTTTTGTAAAAGAGCAACCATTATTTTATCAATATTGGTAGTACCTAAGTTTTTTCAGCAACTTATTTTATCGCCTCCTCGGTAGGATCTTCTCCCAATTAGGATAAAATGTATTCCTTTATGTTTGGATTGTTTTTATCCATTAACTTATTAGTTAATTATTTATTATACGTTGCTTCATTAATTGAATCCAAAAAATTTCCATACAAACATTTAGTGATATGAAAACTACTTATATTATTTTGAGTTTAATTAAAGTAGTTTAAAATTTATTATTTTTTATACACAAATTAATTAATACTTATATTGGGGAAAATTCACTTATACACATGGTCTTCATCCAATGGTTCAAAGAATTTATATTTATACTTCTCAATCCCTTCTGAACTTTTGATAACAAGATACTCGACTTGATCATTAAATCGAACTGATTTTTTCCTCTTTTGTTATTGTCCCTCAGAATCCTAAACTATCCTTTCTGTTGACATTGTCGGAAATTAGGATACTGATCTTGTATCCTTACTTTAATTTTTCATTTTAGTAATTAGTTTATATAAAGGAATAGAATTTTGATTTTACGTATTTATTGAAGATAAAGTTTTTATGCTAATTTGACTTATTCTTTACCCGCTTGTGGTCGGGAATTTGGAAAAACTACTAGACAAATAACATTTATTTGAAGGGTTGTAATATCTGATAGAATTAGTTATGGCGTAATTCGTCTAATTTTGAAGAGAATTGAATTGTTGACCATGAATTTAATTCTTCATAGGGCTTTATCTAAAGTTCCTCCTAGAGGGAGTCAAATTTTAGTGAGGTACATTTTTTGCTAGTAGATAAGCAGATGTCGTCCGAAGTAGATTCTACATTAACTTTTCAGAAATTATCATGTTTGATACTTTTGGAATGTAGATTTGATTATTTTTTATTTCATTTTTGTGATTGGAGTTAGGCCTTATGACTTGGCTTTTTTTCATTTATTATAAATTTCATTTTTATCAAGAATTCGATTAAATTATATATATATTAAAAAGTAAAACCAAATAAAAAATTAATTATTTCGTCAAACAAAAGTTGACTCTGAAAATTAATCCATATAAATTGAAGACTTGCTAGCCATAATTTCTTCCTAAAAATCTTTATCATGCCCAAAAGAATCTATTCAGAGTATTAACAATACCTTACAATAATGATGGTATATATAGAAATAATTAAACTTCTCCCTTATTAATTCTTTATTCCTATTCCAGAATTAAAGCAAAGTATCCACAGCAATGTTGCATTAAGAGACATATGCTATAAACTTAAGTAAGTTTGGAATCCTCATCACTTCAAATAACACTTTAATTGCATTGTCATCTAAATATGTACTAAAGAGTATTTAAATAAATGAATATATACTGCTTCATATCTAATTCAACATAGAGCAAGTTCTAGAGATTTGAAATTGATTCAATGAGTTGTTACAATAGATTTGTATTCAATGTTGAGCTACATAAATTAATTGAAAGTATTTGAAGTTTCTCTGACAATGATAATTATAAACACAATTTCTGCCACAAGTTCTAATTCAATTTGTATTCTATTGCATTTAGATAGAGTTGTTATTAGTCCTCATATTCAAAGTCTTCATTTTTAGTAATTATTTTTTCTATGAAGTTGAAAACTATTGTTTAATGATCCGAATTCAATATTTGATTTGAAATTTATAAATAATTACTTTTACTTAGAGGTTTATTGAAAATTAGGTTAATGTTCTGCTTTTCCTTAAAAATATAGGTTTACTTACTTGAATTTAAAATTAAATAATTTTTTATAAGACATCTACTTCTTATTCTTATTCTTATAACCATTTGATGTGTTTGACATTTAAATTTTTTAATTTCTAATCTTGATTAGGTACATAGTAAGTTAGAGTGTGTTGATAATGTTATGTAAGTAGACAAGTTTCGCAAAGTGAAATATCACAATCTTGACAAATATATTAAATTTGAGAAGAGTGCAAAAAACATGTAGTTAATTAAGAATTCATAAAAAATATTTAATTTAATCTTGAATAAGCATTTAGTTTAGAAGCCTAAATACGGGTTATTAATAACCAAATTGAAGTCAATAGATAAGGAAATATTGTTAAAAATAATTAATATTTGAATATAATAAAATATTTCCGTGTATCAAAGGCTATAATCAAAACTGTTTAGAAAAATATACCATATTATTGTATGGGACTAAACCAAGGCATTTTAGTAGGAATGGTATCTTATAACTAGATAACAATTTTAAGATATTAAAAATGGAGAAGGGATAAAATATCTCTTTTAGGCTCAACAACATTTCTTTATGGTTTTAATTGAAATAAGCTATTTACTTAATAGAATTGATGATTAGTGAATAATCTTCATTTTAATTGATTGTGAAGAAACCTGCTTTGATTTATATTAATCCTTATGAAATTGAGGTCATTACATAAAATCTTACTAAATCTTATATCATAAATAATATAATTTACAGTCTTTTCTTGAATTATAAACCAAAAAAAAAAATTGATTGAAGATAAACACAATCATTTACTTTAGTCCTTTCCTCTTAGGGGGATCCGTAATAAGAGCACTGCCAGTACTAGTAGCCTTTCGGCTATTGAAAATATTGCCGTGAGGTGGTTCCTCAATAATTTCAGAATCTCTCTTACTTGGTCCTAATGAAATGTTTTTCTTAGTCTAGACTTGGCTACTTGAATTGATCAGACTAAGTAGAATATTTTGATTTTAAGGGCATAGCTCTTATTATGGTTCTTCCTTACAATGTCTGTGAAGAACTTCCTCCTTGCGTACTAATAATGGACCTGATAAAAGTGAATTCTATATAATCTTATGTTCTTAAATTACCTAAGACAGCGTAGGACCTAATTTATTAAGTTTGGCTTTTTGACATTGGCTGACGAAGAAATGAGTCGGTAATTGAATTAATTATCACTAAAAAATTAAAAATAATAGTATCTATTGCACCTGGCATTTATTTTTAAAAGATTATTTCATCACATGAGATTTGATTTATATGATAAATATCCTATTTTTTTTTTTTTAAATATTGTTCACTCTTTCAATATTTTTAAGTTTGATTCTATTTTTATTAACAATACTAAATGAAAAAATAAATACTACAACGATTATATCAATATTAAAAATACTAATAGTAAATTAAAAAACGCAAAAGAAAACCTTCTGTCAATTATGATAATATAACTTTAAGTTCAATAGAACAATATATATATAAACAGATTGATTCAAAAGGAAGATTACCCAATAAAGATTAATCATGAACAATAATATAGATATTTTCAATAAACAAATCTAGATAAGCCGATTGCTTTTAATAAAAAGAAAACCAAAATAGAATTACAAGTCCGTTAAACATTGTATACTGTGATAAATCTATTAGAAAAATCATGAAATTTCTTTTTATCATAAAACACATAGTTTTATATCACTCAATTTACAAGAAAATGATCAATGAATTTTTGTATTGCCTTAAGTCTATGAGATATTTTATTCTTCACATCTTTATCCATTTCAGCATATCTTAAATATTCATAACTAATACGTCTCTGTATATCCGTCTGGTTAAAAGATAGGATCCCAACCAAAATGTCCAGGTCCTCTTGGTCTAACAATTACTCCTGATGTTTAGCCGACAAATTAAATTGGTTCCTTCAATTCTGGTCCCATATACGATAAAATGCATTGGGCATAACCTGTCTTGTCTTCAAATCCATCTAAAATTTTGCTCAATCCTTCAGGTCCTGCTGCTTCTAAAAACCATTTTCTATTTAAACATCGATAATCATATTTACACATAGGGTCCTGGCATTCCATTGAGAGCATTGAAACATAATGAAGTATCCTCTGTAACACAGGCTTTTCCTATTTTCTCATAAGCGAGCAAGGCTTTTTCTTTTGCTATTTGTAGAGGTGGTCCTTATAACTCAGGTACTGAATATAACGAAAAGAATTACAATCTACAGGTTCAGAATCAATATGAAATCTATCCCCCATTATTTAAATAAATTCCTTAAGTTTATTTTTCTTGAATAGTATAATATTATTACATTCCCTGTGCATAGAATGATGGTGTGCTTTTTTGAAGCTATTTTTGAATATAAATATAGTACCTTCCTCATGTTAATTTTAATTCATTATTTAAATTTTTTCAGAATGAATAATAATGACATTATATATTAACAGCAATAGGAGCAAAAAGAGAAAAAACCTTCGCTTATTGAATAATTGTGCTCTTGCATATATTTCTTTAGAAAGAAAAATGTCAAAATAAATGAAAGATATTAATTAGGAATTGATACTCCCAAATCTCATGTAAGTAGAGTTAAATTAAATATGAGACTAGAAAAGTCTGTGTTTTAGATTTAGATGAAACATTAGTTCACAGCTAATTCAAGGCAGAAAATGGTTATGATTTTTTACTTGATGTAATAAATACTTAATAAGTTAGGTATTTGTCCAAAGTCAATTATTCAAAGTATTTGTCACAGTTAGACCAGGCGTAGAAGCTTTTATGGAATCCTTAAGTGAGTATTTCGACGTTGTATTGTGGACTGCTAGTTTAAAAGAGTATGCTGATCCAGTAATGGATATCATTGATCCTTAAAAAAGGATTCAAACCAGACTTTATAGAGAAAGTTGTACTCCAATTAAAGGAGGATTAACAAAAAACCTAAATAAATTAGGAAGAAGTTTGAAGGATGTATTAATAATAGATGTAACGTAATTTTTGATTTTATTAGAATTCCTAAATGTCATTTCTATTTTAACCAGAAAATGGTTTTTTAATCAAAGAATTTATTTCGGATAAAGAAGACAAAGAATTGGATTTATTGTTACCATTCTTAATTTGGCTTAGTCAAGTAATTTATTTATCTATAAAGTAATCCGATGTTCGACCTGTTTCCAAACTCTACTAATAGTATTTAACCAATAACTTAAATCCTCGTAAAAGTTCAAAAAAATCTATTCTTTCCTAATCTATGGTTTTGAATCAAGATAACCTCTTAAAATAACTCTAAATTCCCAGAATGCATACAATGAATCATCGTGACTTTGAGGATATAGAATTGAGATAAGAGGCTGGTCTTAATTCCCCTCATGTTGAACTTAAAATGCAAGATTAGACAGATGATGAAAGCAAAGAAACAATTGAAATCGGTAGTAATTGATGATTTATTATAATTCTTTATATATATTCACTCATTCAATTCTTCAATCTTATTTAGTAAGTGTAAGAAAAATCAAACAGCAATTTGTACTTTTAACTTTTAGAGATTTATGAAATTTATATTTTCTACAAAATGACTAGTATTTTTATCAAACCTTAATGATTTATTGAATAAGTGGTATGATAGCATTAAATACAATTTTAAAAACATATAATTTGATAGAGAAGACTTTAATAATGTCTTCTGGATGGCAAAATTAATCCCTTATCTATTTTATCCAGTATTCTATTCAATTTCTGTAATAATAACCTAACTTCCATTAAGTAAAATTATTTTTTAATTCTTCATTATCTTTATTACAAGTTCCTTTTGAACATTTAAAGTGCATATTTAACAATGTACATCCCAATGAGAATTAAATCTATTACATTTAAGACATTAGTATTTTGCCATATGTTTTTAACAATTAAAGGTAATAATCTGAAGTTTTAAAATCATGTTAGATTGTTGAATTCACTCAAATTATAAAACTAACAATTTTTGAATTTTATGTTAATATAAGAAGTTTGTCTAATTCATTTATTTTGCTTCTAATTCATAAATTTAATTTATGGATTAAATTAAAATAAAGCATTCTCCTGTTAGTCAATTCTAAATTTCAGATAAAGAAGTATCAATTATTAATAGATTAAGTTCCCTCTCTCTTTATAATTTATAAATGATACTGTTTTAATGGCTTTGACTGATTTTTCATTGAAATGGATTGACTTAAATACACAATAAGTTATTTGGGAACAAAAGAACCATCATCAAAAAAGAATATAATAGTTGATAGTGGAAAACAATTTAGCATTCACTTGCTCAAATGATAGAACAATTAAGGTGTTTGATTTACAATCTAAATAATAAGTTCATTAATTTAAGAACGAAAAAGAATTTTATTCGATTGCTAAATCTAAACATATATTAGCAGGTGGAAGTGAGGGTAGAATTGATTTTTATGATCTTAATGTAATGAAATGGAGATCCAGATTTGATTCTTCTTAAAATGATGAATTATCTTCATTGAACTTTCATTCTTAAGTTTAAACATAACTCTTATCATCTTCAACAGATGGATTACTAGTTCAATACGATTTGACTCAAAAAAATGAGGAAGAATCATTACAAATGATGATTAGATTTGACTAACCTCTAAATTCATGTGGTTATTGGAATAATTTATGTTTTTGTGTTACAACCACAAATTAAATTACCATCCTAGATTAACAAAATGATTAAAAACTCCATTAGTTCTAAGCTATTAAAAATGTACTATTTATTAATAATTGATAGGATGAATTTCATGAAGATTATCTAATAGATGTGACAGCTGATAATGAATTTAAATATTTTGTAGGTAATGGAAAAGAGATCTATTAAAAAAATGAAAAATAATAGGTAGTTGCTTTGTATGAAACCAATTCTATTGAATAGATTCGACACATCAAATAATTGAAAGATTGTTATTTGTTATTTAGTGAAAATGGGTTACTTGAAATCCTTAAGCCACAACCCTACGTTTACTAACCCTTATCAATTGAAGAAGAAGCATTGGGCTTAATTGAAGAGGAAGATGATAACAAAAAATAAAAAAAGAGAATATGATGCTAAGATTTGATTTATACAGTCGATAAATTGTTACATATATATTTTAATAACTTCCTGTTTAAATTATAGTAAATAAATAGTATTTTATTAAAGATTTGCATAATTTTTTTATTGTTTAGATTACAGACACACTTTCATGAGTAATTTAATAGAAATTATAAAATTAATCACTTTTTCCTAAAGGAATAAATCATTTATTTAAGTCTCTTTGGAAATAACAATATATTTAATGATTTTTAATAATAAAATAAATAGTATTGTAATATTTAGCGAATATGAATTAAATGTGAAGTCCCAATTAGTACAGTAATTTAAATGAAAAAGGTATAACCAGGAAGAACATGGACTAAATAAGAGGATAATCAATTACTTTAGGGAGTGGAAATATATGGAAGGGATTGGGATAAGATTGCAAAAGTGATGAATATCAAATCTAAACCATTGTTAGAAGAAAGATATAAAAACCTAATAAATCAGAAACCTAAACCTATTTGGGAATTAAATGAAGATATTTTGTTGTTACAAATGGTTGATAAGCTGGGTAAAGATTGGGAAATGGTGTAGAAAGTTGTTAAAACAAAAGACATAGCTTCATGTAAAAGAAGGTTTGCCAAAATTAGAGATTCTTGTTTAAATTTAGAAGGAGAGGATAAAGACTTAGTGCTTCTAAATTAGTATTGGTATAAGGAAGATGAAGAATTGTTACTTTTTTTATATGAACTATATAACGGAGATTGGAGTGAAATATTTAAGAGAATACCTGAAAGATATCCTAAATACATTTAGGATTAGTTTAAATAAAAAGGCTTAGCAAATCAATTGCATAAATGGAACAATGAAAAAGATGCAAGGTTGTTAGCATATGCATTTTATGGAATACCACTGAGCAACTTTGAATAAGAAACAGGGTTCTCAGTTCCATAGTGTGAAGAAAGACTAAAGAAATTGCTGTATAAAATTTCGAAATCTTTACAATAACCAAAAAAGACAAAAGAATAATAATAATTTGATGAAATTATGTAATTTAATGAAACAAGAAGGAAACCAAATAGGTCAACTGAGACTAATTCTATGAATCAAATAGACAATCAATAATTAAATTATTATTCTGAATTTTAGGCTGCTTTAAATCAGTCTAAATCTCAGAAACAAAATTCAGTTTATAATAAAATGGCACAAAAACTAGAATTAGAAACCGAATACTAAAATGATGACGATTTTGGAATAGTATTAGATGAAGATTTTGTAAGTGATTGAATATTTAAATATACAATATACAATTATCATGATTTTGTTACTACTTTATCTAATTCTCTTTGATAAGTATCAAATGGTAATAATAGAGTTGCTATAGCTGCTACCATAGATATAATTCCAAAAATTCCATATGATAGAAAAGTGCCTATGTCATTTATATAGACAACAATCCATGGCATAATAATACTACCTAATCTTCCTACTGATGATGCAAATCCCAATCCACTAGCTCTCATATAGGTTGGGTAAAGTTCACTTACAAATTGATAAGATACTGTGAATGAGAAACTAATAAACATTTTCAAAAAGAAAATCATTGAAGCAAAGAAATAACCACCATTTGCTATTATCGCAATCAATAATCCAACTAAACCCACTCCAAAGTAAGATAAGAATAAAGAATTCTTCCTTCCAAAAATTCTGATGTTTACAATAATCATGGCAACAAATATCACAGGTATCTCACCTAAACAACTCAAAGTAATAACTTTAATATCTTCAATATCATCGTCTTGAGGTTCATCAGGGTTTAATTTTTATAATGTTAGTGGTAATAAAAATGTGACTCCTGCATAAACAAATGTATTTACAAACCATTAATACCAAACAACTAAAGTTATTTTAATAAATTAGTTTTTAAGAAGTTTTCTAAATTGGATTAAATATGAGGCAAAAAAGGATTTATCTTTTAAATCTTCCTACAATCCTTATTCCTCTTTCTCTTGTTTGATTAATTCTTATGAAATATTTTGATATGTATTAATGGGTATCAGGACTGGCTTTTTGTTATTTAATTAAAATATTTTCTAGATCACTTAAGAGGCTTCTGTGACATTCCCTTTAATCAAATGATATCTTGGACTTTCTAATAAAAGAAAATTTGATATCAGAAATGTTAATAGAGCTGGAGCAGAAGCCCAGCAAAGTACTGCTCTCCAATTTCCTGAAACTAAATTTGGCATGAATATGTATGTTAGTAAACAAACAGTTAGTCTACATATTTTGATATATGCTTACTCTCCTGCAGTATAAAAAAATCCAATTGTAACCAACACTATTCCCCTACTCTTCAAAGGCGTATTTTCAGCTAGCATACTAAATGAAACTGGGATGATAAATCCAACACAAGTAACTAAGAATATTCTCTACTATAGTTTTAAGTAATACAAATATCATATAGGAAATAAAATTGGGCATGAAAGCCCCAATTATAGCACAAACAAACATAACTCCTGATGACAATATTAGAGATGATCTTCTTCCATATTTATCAGCAAATATGCCTGAAAATAGAGATCCTACAAAATAACCAATATATATTAATGATCCTAGGAGGCTTTTCTAGGAATCACTAACTCCCCATTCTTTTTCCAAAATAGGAAACACTATAGATATAGCCTATGTCTCTCCTCCATCGCACATTCCAATTAAACCAACTATTATAAAGACATAAATTTAATATTTTCCTAAAAAAGTGTTATTATTGACATCAATTACTAAAACCAATATATGTTAAAATTTCATCAAAGTAGGTAAACTCTTGATTAGTTGAACTATCAATAGTTTCATTTAAATTTGAATCTTCCTTGTGCTGCATGAATATTAAATAATTTAATTTATTTTGTTATAGTGATAAGCAGAATTTGCATATTTATTTTTATTGATGCTTTAATTATTAAAAGTATATCTTCGATAACTCTTATTGAATGTAAATGTTATAATTTTTTGAGATTCCTTTTATTTATTAACAAAAATGAAAGTTTATTATATTAATAATTAGCTTTTCCATGCGAACGAGTTGTTTAGGACCCAAATTGGTTCTAAGTAGAGCTTAGGTGGAGGATCAAGAAGATATACCTGAAGAGCCTGATGACATTGAACCAATAATCATTTAAAGGAAGAAAATTAGATACAAGTCATCACGGAGTGATCGATATGATAGCAAAGGAAGAAAGATTGCAAAAGGCAGTGGATATGGAATTAACTTTGATAATTTCATTACTGTTTGCGTTTTCGAACCAGAAGAAGAAGTAGTTTAGATTAAGGATACCTTGCAATTGTGTACCCAAGGCATAGATAAAGAGAAGATAAACCCTCGACTTGATCAGAAGTTTAAAGAGGAGTAAACAGAAAATGAAGTTATCTTATTTTCAATTCTTAAATAAAGCAAAAACAAATGATAATGAAAATATATTTTATTATTATTTTCATATATCGATTGGTTTTAATTAAATAGCACAATAGAATTCAAAAAGAACCATTCAATAGTCTATTATTATAATAATAAATGACAGAAAACATACATCTTCTTATTTAAACATAGATATAATATCATTATCAATTACTCTCTGCTTATTTCTCTTATTCACCTTCCTTTGGTGCTTGATCATTTTTTTAGACTTCTTCTTCCTTCTCTAAATCATCAACATTTCCTAAAATTATTGCATCAATTCATACCCTCCTTTGGCTATTCCTCTTCACCCTCTTCGTCATCCTCATCTGCACCACCTTAATCGAAATTTTAGAATTTGTTCTAATCCCAATCGTCCAAACCTTTGCCTCCCTCTTCAGCCTCATCATCTTCATCGATATACTTTGTCCAATCCACCTTTTATTAGAAAATATATCAAACCTATAAGTATTGTAATTTGTGTGTCTCTTTGATTAATCTAGTCCAATAAGAAGCAGTTTTATCTTTCTTTGATAAAATAAATCTGACATTTAACCCATAATTGGTCCATTTACTTTCCTAAATGATATAATTGATGAAAGTACTTCGACAACAACTTCAGCAAAGAAATTAATTTCAAAAGTATAATTAACACCTTCTGCAGTAGCTGAAAATTTAAGTGAGTTTGAAGTCAAGTCAACCTTTTCATCTTTCAAATCTCTCACTTCAACTGTTAAAAACACATTGTCTTTTCTTTAAGACCATTTAACTATGGGGGCGCTAGAGAAATTTCGAGAATAAAATTTACATTGTCTTTTGCATTACTAATTTTTTAATTATTTTATTTCTGTAAAAAAAGATTACTTTAAAATTCAATATAATTTTATTAAAGTTTCTAGAAAATACTATGTATTTAAAAAGAATACTCTCTAAATATTGCATTTCTGGATTGAAATTTCTTTCTAGATTTCTATCTGGATGAAATAAGTAATGATGAGATTTTGTTTTCAAAAGGTATAGATTAAAGAAATTATGCAGATTTATCGAAATATGATAATTTGGTTAATACTTTATTGTTATAATATACTTATGAATGCATAAAAAGAGTTACCAAATACTATTGGATTAATATCATTTAGCCTTCAATTTATATTCAATAAATTACAATTAGTACCTAATGTTATTATGTTTGACAAATTTCATCCATAATTTACTTCTTTGGATATATCATTTAATTTTACTTAATTTTCATGTATATTTTTTCAGTAATTATTTAAAGTATTTAATCAGCATTATAATTCTACCTAACAAAAATTTATAAGTATTTAGAGCTATTTTTTCAGCAATTAGCTTCCCTTATACTTCTGATACTTAGAAACTTAAATATATAATAAATTCTATTCATCCTTAAAAGCTTTTTTATTTTTAACAAGAGATGATCATCTTGTTATAATCATGTTATTCCTTCTATCATTTAGAAAAGTATTATCTATAGTTATTCTTTATTGAAAAAAAACACAATACATGCAAAAATTTAAGATTATCTCTTTTTTGTAGTTTCAATTAATGTGGAACTAGAAAGTAATTCTGCCTAACAAATTTTTATTAGTTTAGAATGTTTACTTGAGTCTTAAGAATGATGTATTTGAATAAGTATTTATATGGTTAATTCATTATATAATAGAATTCAAAGACTTTTTGTATTTTGCATGTTATAACAATGAAATAGTTTCATCAAATCTTAGTTGCAAATTCTTACAGCTCAACACAACAATGATGTAATATTCCTTTTCATTAGATCGATAAGCACTTGCCAGACAAGGACCAGCAGAATCAGTTATGCCAGTTTTAATACCAAAAAATCCTTTTTCTAATAATTTGTTTGTATTTTTCCACTCATAAGATTTGTTATTATTTTATGATTTGGAGGTGTATTCCTTACAGGAGATGACTTAATGAAATATATCATATTTCAAACATTCTAATGATAACAACACAATGTCTTGACAACTTGAATACTAGGATAAGTGAATTACATACATTATCTTCATTAGCCAATCCATGAACACATGCAAATTGAGTATTTTATTAGCCCATCAAATTTGAATAATAATTCATTTTGCTTATGAAAATTTCAATAGGACATTATTGAGTCTTCGATTCAACATTATAAAAATGCCCTTCAGCACTCATTTGTTCAATATCTATTAACGCACTATCGAAGTATTTTTTGGATTCATAAAATAATCTAACTGAATAGTTTTATACCCATACATTATTGTGCCTATGGCCTAGGCAATAAGTGTTGCAGCATCATTTCCTGAGGGTAGCATCAATCCATACAATAAATCTTGGAGAGTCAAGATGTCATTGTATTTCAACTCAGAAGTAGTGCCTATGGTCTCTGAGGCCTTTTTAGTCACTTTGACTCTGATTTCTTTACAATTGAGATTGAATTGCTCTAAGATAACCATCGTTATGTAGAATGTCATAATCTTGGTTAAACTAGCTATTTCCATCCTTTTGTTACACTTTCTTTAAGAAACTATTCTATTTTCGATGCAATCAAAAACGATGAAACTTTTAGCAGAAACATTGACTTTTCGTTTTCTTGGTTTTCCACAATAAGAATAGATGATATTTTTGGCATAGATTTAATACTGTTAATTGATTTAATTTTAACTTGAATCTTTGCTGCTTCCAGTGGTTGTGGAATTGTTTGTCAGATTATTTTTGTGATTGTTGCTATTCGTTTTAAATTATGATCTCACTAACGATCTTTTTGTATCACTATTTTTGGGTGATTGAACCAGTTTGCTACTTCGAGTTAAATCGTTTAATTTAGTTTAGGTGTTCATCGTTGAGAGTGGAATCTACGGTAAACTGCTTTGAAGATTAATTTATTTAAATTTGGTGGTTATGAGCTCAGATTCAATCTTGGATTGTTTGGTTTCCTTATCAGTTAATTGCTATGATTGTTGTAATGAATAATTAGAGTCCTTCCTTAATTTTATACTATTGACTATTATTGGAGAATGGAATTCTGTTAGAATCTAGGGTGTTTTTTGATAGCTTTTCAATAATTGTATTGCCTTGCCAGTTTCCAAGACTTGAACTCTTCTAGAGGGATGCTGCAACTTAATTGGAATTATAATATCATTGAAATTGATATTATTCAAGTTTGATTAAGTTTTATTTATAATCATTATTAATATATATATTATTTAATCCATGCTAATCTTCCTATCAATATAACTATCATTGAGACTGTGATGTTGAAATAGAACTAATTGAGTTCATATTGGCCATTCAACTTGATATCTGTTAACCCCAAGTAATTATCAATGGATTCCATTTAGACAAATTAAATAAGTATCCCCAAAATCAGGAATGCCAAGACTGGAACATTCAAATGGTGTTGTTTCCAAAATGGTATCTTAAACGGTCCATAAGTATTGATGGAATAGAAAGATAATAAAAAATAAATATTCATATTGAGGAACTGTTAAGTGTTCATATCTCCATAAAAGAAATACCTTGTATCATTCTCATTGTTATCATATGGTACATACCATTCTTAATAATAAAGGATTAGATAACTTCCCAACATATTCAATCCGCTAAAGGTGAGTATGATCAAAATAGGAATGAAGTTAGATAAACTAATCATGGAAGTGTTAATCTTATCTTTCGTCAACTTCCTAGAAGGAGGAGTCAACGTTTGCAAAGCAACAATTGGAATATTGCTCAAATAATTCAGATACAATAGTTCTTCATTGTTGAAATTCTGCATCTGATACATCATCAATTATGCAGATACGTATTTACTTACATTTATAATCATGTAATATTTGAAAATCTCCATAACATTACATGATGTAGCTTTGCTTTATAATAGTACCTCAATTATACAATTTATGCTATCATTAGTATTAACAAAGGAAGCAGTCAAGGCTGCATCACATTGCTAAAATGATATGCCGATGTTTGATTGTTTTAAAGCATGACAATCATTTGACCCATCTCCTATCATACACACATGAAGTCTTTGCTCCTGTAATATCTTCACTACCTCACTCTTCTGAGATGGACTCATTCTGCCGAAGATTTAACATAAGTAGATGAGTTCATTTAGTATCTTCTTATCTTTAAGATATTCGAAAGCCTAACCACTCATTGCCCATTAATAGTTCTAATTTGTCTTAGTAGCATATATAGAATTTACATATAATGAACTTGGTAAAAGTGATTAGAGCATCTCATATGACGATTAATTAATACTCTTCCCTTCTAATTCTTTTATTTGATTATTATTCAACTCCTATAATGCGAGATCATTCTACTCGACATCATAATCAATTATAATGGTCAACTATTAATATTCAATTATTCCACTTTCAATACCACAATTAATGCAACTCAATATATGATCTCCACTTATTATTTTCATCTTTAATTAAGCCTTCTTTAATTCTTCAATTGTTTGTGCTGAATCTTTTTTTAATTCATTTTCAAAAATTATTGATCCCAAATAGTTCAAACGTTATTCTAATTCATTTTAAGATTTATGAATATCCTATAAATCTATTCTCCTATATCCAGCACTTATAATTCTCATCCCTTTGAGAGATTCCTAAGTTATTAGATCTCTAAATCCCTCTGGTGTAGACACACATAATTGGGAGATCTTTTCGGCTGATCCTTTAGTAAAATAAAAGTATTAATAACTTTAGATCTTGGCATCTCCTTGACCTGTTTCTTGATCCTCTATTATAATTTAATCACTCATTGCTATCACACCCATTCTTTATAAATTACTTGAAAACTCAAAAATCTTGATAACCTTCAAAGTTATTTCTTATTTCCCAAAAGTTGAATCATTCTCATTTAAAATGACTTTGAATTTACACTCACTATCTTAATAAATGTTGAGATTAGAATAATTTATCATAGCAATTTCTAAGGTATCCCCTATCAATTAATTATCTAATAAGTAACATTGATGACAGGAAGACATCAATATTTATAATATTTATCTATCTGATATTGCTTCCACTTTATTATTTTTATCATCAAATACATATTTCACTTTGATCTCATTGGTTGTTAAAGTACCTGTTTTATCAAAACAAATAACATCCGTTTACGATGCTTCTAATGTTTTATCTGGTTGGGTTCCTAGGATCTTTTTTAATTTCAATCGGCTCAGAGTTGCTGTCATCGTAAGATTCACAACTGTTACTATATTTGGAGGTAGAATCCATACTATTGCATCTCCTAATCTCAAAGCAATGAGACTTGGATCATAATCCAATAGAACCATCTTCCAAAGTAATCCAAAATACAATGCAATGATCAAGGCAGCAATTATTACTAGGAATTTTACAGCATCAATAAAAAATATGATTTTTGGTGGTTTAGGGTATAAGGCATTTCGAAATATTTACCCTTTATAAGATAAGTACCCCGTTCTTAAGACTAGTACCTTTACTGTGGTTTTGATATCTAAGACTTTGGTTCCATCAAACAAGATTGATTTTTTGTAAGTTTAATAATTGAAGTTATTCAATAGATCTTGTGTAACATGTTCTTTTTATACAGGTATTGATTCGCCTGTTAATGATTATTCGTCAACCAATACTTCTCCAGTCAATATCAAACAATCACAAGGCAATATTTAATTACAGAATATTTAGATTACATCTCCAGGAACTAACTCAATTGAATTGATTGTAATGCTTTCCACCTTACCAGATATATTCTACCTAAATACCGAAATCTACTAATAGTTTTCTGCTTTCTTCTTTAACTATTACATAGCTCTTCTTAGAATAATGTAATTTATTAAGGATGTCAACAATGCTATTATTGGTTATAGGATTGCTAACTAATAAAAGCCTTCTAACATGAAGACAGTGATGGAAGTGTATTAAGTGAAATAAAGAGGAGATGTGAGTTCATTCTCAAAAAATGAAGTGATACTTGGAATAGGAACTACAACTTCACAATTTCCAAATGTTCTATTTAACTCAAAAACCTTGCCTTCGCTTAATGGATTTACATTCTATGAATTGAAATCCTTCCCAACGTAGCCTGTATCCAAAGGATGAAATTTATTATCTTCAAAGTTATATTCTATATGTCTATATTTAAAATAAATGCAATTTGAATTAGTATTCCTTTTAACTTTGTGTATTTCCTTCTCTCCATGTAGATTGATAATAAGTAAATGGGTTGCATACAAAATTTCCTTTTCTTCCTTGTAATAAAAACTTAATTTTATTGAAATAAACCATCGACATCTTAATATTTTAAGTTTTAAAATACATCAAAGAAAATATAAAAAGAGTTAAAATAGACAATACACTCCCAAATATTTTTCTACTGCCTATAATTCTTAACGGAATGATAGTAACAATCATGAGATCCCCTTCCAAATCAGAGTTTTTAATCATAAAAATTTATTATTGTTAATTATAAAATTAATGCAAAAACTATATTGTTTAATTCTTTTTTTCCAAAAATATCTTTAAAATAAGTTATACTAAAACTATTTACTTTTAGATTACTAAATCTATCATTATATCAAATGCTTTTTAATATACTAATTGTTAAAGATATCAGCTTATTGTTATGAGTGAAATATCTCTCTACTTAACTTCATTATTTAAAATATATTTATGGTTTTAGTGAGATTTTAATCTCAATTATTTAAACAAAGACTAAATGAAATTTAAACTTTATTATTATGATTTATATGTCATTTTTTAATTTACATAAAGAATTAGAAAGATTGGTTGAGAGTAAATGATAGGAAATGTATTCTAATAAAATTAATATAAGACAAACTCATTAAACTAAGAAAGAGAATTCATTTATATAAATATCATAATCAATTCTGTGAAACTTCCTTACACTGAGTCTATAGGGTACAATGTCAAACAATAAGGACTTAAGTTGTATCTTATAAAATTCTATACCTAATATTATTCTAGTAAATTTTAAGCAAATATTACGTGACTACTATAAAGTAAAATAATTTAGACATACCTATTATGAAATCATCATAAAAACAAAATAAGATCAAAAATGATATTTTAAAAAAATATTAAATTAATTAGATGTTTTCGTTTATATTTTCATTCCTAATGTTGGCTTGCATTGATGGTGAATCATTATTGAACTATAAGTTGAGCGAAGGATCAAAACGGAAATTAGAGGAGAGTAAACCAAACATAACTTCTTTAACATGGGAACCATTAAGGATTCATTATGAATTTTTGGATAATACATATGACCCTGCATCAGTGAAATTTTTATAAACTGTAATGGGAATCACAACCACCTTCTTTTAAAAACATTTGTTAATTCGGAGATCAAGTTAGAAGATTACTTATCAAAGTAGTTATCCAAAATCAATTTTTGGATTCACAATTAGCAATGAATTACAACAGAAAGAATATGATGCAGATTTAGTATCCTCTATTATTATAATATAGGTATTATTTGTAAATGTGGAGAATTCGAAGTAAGAAACTTATCTAGCATATTGTGGTCCTGCAGTTTTCGATGAAGTAACGTTACGACCGATTATTGCTTTGGTTTCTTGGAATATATATTATTCAAAATTGTCAGAAATGACTAATTCCTTATTTGAAAATAATGTTGAGACTGCAGTCCATGAAATCATTCATGGATTAGGATTTGTGGATGATTTTTTCTCTAGTTATTACGACTCAGTCACAGGAGAAAGTTACAACACGTCTAATAGTTATACTGTTTCAAAAGTGATTTACTTGTCAACCCCAAGGGTAACTAATTTTGTTCAGTATCATTTTAATTGCACTACGTTAAAAGGATTGCAAATGGAAAACAATGGAGGATCTGGGACTCAAGGCTCCCATTTTGAAAGAACTCTCTTTTACAATGAAATAATGACAGGTTCAGACATGACAGGAAACTTCTTGATCACAGATTTTACTTTTGAATTATTTTAAGACACTGGGTAAAAATAGATCACTATATGAAGATTCTATCGAGTAGCTGAATATTCACCAGATAAACCATTATGGGGGAAAAATAAAGGATGTGATTTTGCAAATTCATAATGCTCAGGAGGCAGCTTTTCTGAATTCTGCTCAGTAGATTAAGCCAAGAGCTGTTCATTTTATAAATCGGGGGTTTCTAAATGTATGTCTGAATAATTATCAGGATCATGCAAATATTAATACATCTACTCTAATTATGATTGCAGGGATCCTGATAATATCGACTATTGGAAATCATCAAGTTTAATCTAACACTTTGGTTCTGATAGTATGTGTATTTCTGGGTCAGTCTCAAAATCAACAACATATTCAGACTACACTTGCATATAATATAAATGTGATGTATAAAATAAACTATCACTTGTTGTTGATGGAAAAGAATTTGATTGTTCCACTGCAGAGAGCATTAAACTTCCTGAAACTTATTATGGCAGTTTAAACTGTCCTTCAAATCCTGAAGAATTTTGTTAAAGTGTCGATGAATGTCCAAATTCTTGTAGTTCAAAAGGATTTTGTATGAATACAGAGGTATTCTACAATAATTATATTTTAGTGTATTTGCATGTTAGGATACTCCTCAAAGGATTGCAGTGTCGAATGTGCCAAATATAGATACAAGGGTTCTTGCTTAGACAAATGTCCGGATTCCACTTATGTAAATGAAAATATCAAGTATTGTATTGGATGCCCAGCTGTATTTATTACTTCTAATAAGCTTAGAATTGTTTGGTATGTTCAAATTATAATAAATGTACATCATGCAAGGCAGGATATGTTTTGAGAGGAGGTTTTTGTGATAATTATAAGTTAATCGAGTTACTTACAGTAAATTTGTCGGCTTCAAATTCAACTTCAAATAATACCAACACCAATTCTACTAATACAACTACTGATACTAATTCAACAAATACAAACAACAATAGTACTTCTAACCCTACCAATAACTCAACAGATACTTCTACTAACTCAACGGATACATCATCTAATTCAACTGATACGAACTCTAATTCAACAGATACGAACTCTAATTCAACAGATACAAACTCTAATTCAACAGACACAAATTAAACTTCTAATTCTACTGATTCTGAAGATTCTAAGATTACTACTGTAACTAAGGAGGAATTAATATATCTAATAAATTCATTTTTATTAACATTATATGTGTGATAATGAATTTTATAAATAAATCATAATATAAATTTCATTGATTTAGGTAAACTTCAAAATATATCAATTATTTCTATGTAGAAAAATAAATAGAATATTTGATTTTCCATCTACATTCTTCAAAGTTTCTTTTGGTAATTTTAATAAATGTCTATATAAAATCAATAAAAAATTATTAGGTTGATTTTTTTATTTTAATTCAATATATTTCTTGAGATACATGTACTAATTAATTAAATGCTAAAGAAAGTTAAATAAGAAAGGGTCGAAAAGTAAAGTTGTCAATTAGATTAGTAGCAAAATAAGCCAAGATTCAAAGAAGGAGACTCTAAAATGGATTGTCCCATTAAAGATTCTGAAAATAGTGAATTAAAAACAAATACAAATATATATAATCTTCAATATCAAAAAGTTATGGAATAAATTAAACAAATTTATTAAGAGTAGAGCACAGCACAAGCAAATAAGAATATGGCTAAGGTAGAACAAGGCAAATTGAAAAAAGATAAAATAGAAAGTAAAATTGTTAGCAAAACTAGAAAAAAGTAAGTGCAAGAAAAACCTGTGAATCAAGCTAAAGTGAACACCAAATAATAGTTGGAGGAACAAAAGGATAGATTATAAATGAAATTCACTTAAATAACCACAAACTTCTTAAATAAACTAAAATCAGAATTTGAAAAAGTTGAAATGGATTTATAAGCATTATTAAATAATTGAATTTAATAATTTAATATAATTATTCTACTTTCTATATTACAATTACATAACATAATTATAAAGAGTAATATAATAATCAACATTTCTTTTGTATAATCTCTAAAAGGATTTCAGGTTCTTAAGCCAATTTAATGAAATCTTTCCTTTTTTTAATAGTTGAGATATTGTCAATCAGTTATTTCATAGTTTATACTAACAATAATTTACAATTATATCTAAGCTTAAAATGGAAATTTACTTTTTTGAAAATAAGATTATATCAATAACATTATTACAATTAATTTTCCTTATTAACTACTCTTCGCATAAATATTTCAATCTTTATAGCAAATATTAATCAGATAGAATGATGAGATTTAATAGCCTATTTGTATTGAAAGAGTAATCTAATTGATCTGTATAGATATACAGTAACATATCCATGAATGTTTAATAAGCACAATCAGTAATTTCTATAAATATTTATTCCTTATCTCTGAATTCCTCAAAGAACAAAGTCTGAAAGTGTTCACATCTTGCACCTAGAATGCATTTATTCACATAAATTTAATGATCCTCAACAAGGAAAACTACATCACTCATCAAAGGATTGTTAATCAAAGTGTGCAAATCTGATAAAAAGCTAGATCTAGGAATATGAGCATTTTTAAATTCCAATTTATAGATGTCATTGAGCAACTCATCACCATCATATCCTCCAAAAATATAAAGGGAATCGTTGTATATTTAAAAAACCATAGAAGATCTCCCTTTAGGTGATTCATGAACTTCCAATTTTTTCCAAGTTTTAATACCAAAATCAAACTCATAAAAATCATTTAGTCTTGCTTGACCATTGAATCCACCAAATAGTAATAGTTTATTTTAATAAATTTCAGAAGCATGAAACTATATAATTATATGTATAATTTACATATCTTGGACATGGTATTGTGCCATGTTGACTAATTCTTTTTACCTTTCCAGTGAAGATGTTAATTTTGTAGAAATCATTCAATCTATTAACACCATCGAAGCCACCAAAAATATATATTTAATTATTTAATACACTGAATGAAGGACAGGATCTAGCAGAGGGTATGTCTCCAATTAATTATAACTTGTTCCAAACTTGTTCTTCAAAATCCCAGACATAAGCATCATTGAGATAATGATTTCCATCACACCCACCAAAAATTAACATTTTGGTCTAGTATGCTCCACAGGCTATTCCAAATCTTTCAGATGGACATTGACCTGTAGGTTCTATCTTTTCCCATATCAAAGTTTTTAGATTCAATGAATAAAAGTCATTTAACCATAACAATCCATCACATCCCCCAAATATGTACATTTACCCTTTATATTCAATAGCGCCATTATTTTCTCTTGCAGTGGGTTTGGTTCCAGTAGTGTTCAACCTTTACCATTGGTTCGATTGAAATGAATATCTGTGGACATCATCCAATCTTCCATTAAAGGTAAACCCACCAAATATATACATACATTCTTCGAATATCACCCAAGAACAACTGTTTCTTTAGTTTGGTAAACTTTAAACCAATCTATCTAGTCTTTCCCAAGTTTATTATTGATCATAATATTCAGAGTCTTCAATCTCAAATTCATCATTTTTCATGCACATTGAATTTGAACGAAACCTTTCATCAATGTCAAAATCTCTATCGATTCTATGGGATTGATTGATCTATTTTCTCATAAGAGCTCTCTTGACTTTGAGATTCTCATGCTCTATTTGTAATCTTCTATTCATTTTGAATCTAATTTTATATATAAAATAACAAATATTATTTAATTTTATTATAAATTTATATGATTAACGAAGCTAAATTCGAATTGTTAAAATAAATTGATTATTGGACTCAAGATCTACAAAAATACCAAAAATAACATGACAAAGAGATTGAACTATTTTACTTGGAAAGATTGGCAGTATCTATAAAAAATACATTATTAGATTACAAATATGAATATCTAAAATATGGAATAGATTATTAGAAAATACGAGTTATTGAAGATGGTTTATTAAGAAATCACTAAAAATCATTCATAAAAATATTCAGATGATACTTTCAATACCTTATATAATAAATATTGCAATGAAAAGAAAAGTAAGCAATCAGCAACTTAATCTTAAAAAAAATCTGTAAATAATTGTAGTACAGTTTAAAATAAGGGTAGAAGATCAAATTAAAATAATAATGTCAATACAACCAAAGAATAAAAAATAACTAATTAATAATCCACGATTGAACCTAACCAAATTATTGATGAGTACATTGATGAGATCGACTATTATGCTGATAAAGTCACTCATTTGTAACATCAGATTGAGTAGCATTCCCATGAAGAATTATTAAGTTAATTACAGTAATTGTAATTAGAACAGGAGGGCTTATAATCTGATTACAATGCGATCATAGAAGAGAACGAAAGATTGAAAACAGAGATCTAGGACAATCAATAGAGAGTGAATGAATTGAGAGAATTATAATTATAATTGATTGATGAATTCAAATAATTTAATTGAATATGGGTATTTAGAATCCAATCCATTATTGTATAAAATCATTCATTGGATAATGTGTAAGACAATATTCAATGAGATTATTCAAGAATTTCTAAAGTCCTAGAACGACAATATCCAAAAAATACTTATCCACCTTTTGCACCGATTTGAAATTCTTTTGGGCTAGATAGGAGGAGTATAGGTGTAACTAAAATTTAATTGTCCCACTTCATTTATAAAAGTGTTTACAATCACAAAAAATATGACATATATGAATTTTTATTTTAACTTCAAGTATTTTACATCTTTATTGATGCATTGGATTCTATTCTTCTCATGAATACTAACTATTACTAATTCCATATTCCTTTTGCTTGAATGAGTTTCAAATGCGGAGATTTTGAATTTTGTGGATTGGATACAAGAAATACGTGATTAAGCAGAACTAGTGTTTTAGATCAAGTAGAATCAGATGGGTTTGTTTTTTGGAGATACACTATTAATTAATCAAAAATATGATATGGATTCTGAAATGGAATGTGTTAAAATTTATGAATTTATTTAATTCATTAGAAATAATAATATACTAATGTATATATTAACAATTATTTTATTGAATCTTTATGGATGTTCTAAATTCCAATGTAAATTAATCAAAGCGATGAGCCTTTCAAAGATTAACATTAATTATGTCTTTAATATTTTATTTTTCTCCCTAATCTCCTCCTTCAAGAGCAGTTCGTTCATTACTTTTATTATCGAAGGTTGTATTTTAAGGAAAAATAGTGGATTTGATGAAAGGAGAACATAAAACTCCTGAATATTAATATATCAATCCTAACTAATCTTTGCCAGCTCTAGTGGATGGAGAATTAAAGCTATTTGAAAGCCATGCCATACTAAAATATATAGCCATAAAAAAAGAGTTAACATAATTTTATCCAAAAGTATTAGAAATTACTAAATTATAAGGATATCCAAAACAGAGCTAGAGTTGATTGCTATCTTGATTGGAGTCAAACGGGACTAGATGCAATAGGAACATACACGAATTAGTGCTTCTTATTTCCGATGCTAATGAAGAAACCTGTGCCACAAAATAAAGAATAAATGTATCAGGATACAATAGATACACTTCAATTCTTTGAATCCATTTTCTTGAAGGGAAGATACATACAAAATCAACCCTCAATAACAATTGCTGATTTAAAGTATTTATAATATCATATGAAAGATGCATAGCTGATTTGACCCAACTTCTGTTGACTGGCTTGGATTTCAACCAATTTCCAAAAATTAGAGACTATTTGTAGGAGATGTTCTCCTTACCAGAAATAAGGGAAGCCTATGCGGAATATTTAGAAATGATTAAAAATACGAAACCCAATGATTCAATATCTTATATCATTAGTGGAATTGATAAAAGATAAAATTGGCAAATCAACCTCTATCATCATCCGTTCTCCTCTCCATCCAGAGCTGCTAGAACTACGTTATTATACAGTGGAGTCGAATATAATGAAAAAATCATCTATATTTAGAAAGGATAAAATAAAACTCCCGAATACTAAGCAATCAATCCTAATGAATCTCTCCCAGCAATCTAAGATGGCAACTTATGCTTATTTGAAAGTGGTGCTATAATGAAGTACATAGCTCAAAAATTTAAATTATCTAATCTCTATCCCTTAAATTTATAAGCCAAATCACAAGTGGACTTATATATGGACTTTCACCTAACTGAGATGTCCTCACTTACCAAATATGCCTTCTCCTGTTTCATAGGCCCAGCAGTTATGAAATTGCCAATACCTCCAAATAAAGATTAATAATTAAAAGATGTCAAGGCTACTCTGGAATTCTTCGTTAAAGTATTTCTAAACAAAGGCAACTGGGCTTACATAAATGGATCCCCTATTCCAACTTTGGCAGACATTAAGGCCTGCTGCGATATAGCCTAACTCCTAATTACAGATTTCCCTTTTGAACATATTTTGGGTTTGGATACTTACGTCTAAAGAGTATTTTAAATGCCTGAAATGAAAAAGTCTCATAGAGAATACTTCCAATTTTTGTAGAGCTAGAAAATTGGAAAGTTTGCTCTTCAAATCACTTAAATAACAGAATAAATACGACCCAAGGATAAATTAACCTTATATTTTAATTTTGTATCTCCTCCTTCGAAAGCAGTAAAATCATTATTGAAATTGGCATAAATAACATACACTGAAAAGGATATTGATATAACAGGAGGAGAAAATGCAAGACCTCCCTATACAGATATCAATCCAAATCAAAGCCTTCCTGCTATTACATTTGGCAATTTCAATTTATTTGAATGCCATGCTATAATGAAATTTATTTGTATTCAATTTAATCTGACGGAATTCTATCCTAATTACCCATTGAGAAGCAAAATAGATTCCTTTTTAGATTTTCATCATACAGGTTTCAAATAATTAACTATCTATTCTATGGATTTCTTTTTTGGTCCTAAATTCATGAAAAAGCCAATGCCAAAGAACAAGGAAGAAAGACTTAGAGAGATTAACGAATCGCTTCAATTTTTTATCGACACTTTCTTAGGAGGAGGACATTACAAGTACATCATGGGATCCAGAACCCCAACAATAGCAGATTTGGCGTAAATTATGTTAATAAAAATAGATTTATTGGAGAGATTTCTGGTTTATTTTTTGTAGATTTTGACTTTACACCTTTTCCTTCTTTAAAAAGATACTTAAGAAACTTGTTTGAGATGAAATAAATTCGAGATACTTATAGCAAATATTTTTTAGTTGCTAGATTTATGACATCATCAATGAACGATTACATTGCATCTATTGTAAAAGGAACAAAAGAAGGGGAAAGTGCATGTTGCGAGTTAATTTGATATAATTAATTTAATTCATAATTTAAAATTAGCTATCATTCCATTTATGAACTCTCCTATTTAAGAGGCAATTTGTAAAGTATTAATTTCCTATTCTTAAATGTAATTTCTAGATCTTTCTAATTTGACACTGATTATCTCTTGTTGTTCTAAATCATCATCTATTTCTTTAATTTACTTTACACATTTGACCTCATCACTCGGTTTTTTCGTCATTTACTCTTAAAGTTCTTTAATTTTCTCTAATCCTTATATATTTGACAAATAATGAACTTCATTCACCAAATAAACCATTAAAATAGTCAACCATTAAGAGTCAGTGTATTTCTAAGGTTTACTACCAAAATAATGTTATTGATTAATTCTCATGATTTTGATTACTTACTCATCATACACAAATAACCCATCATCAAGTTATCTATCTATTAACTCATTAACCATAACTTTAATTGAATGCTTAGTTTTGGGTACAAAAAACTTACTATACAAACTCATAGCAACACCTCCAACAGTTCCTCCTATGATTGCTCCTAGCACTGGAACTGGAATTAAGATTTAGCCAGCAACAGCTGAACCTATGCCAACTGAACTTTATACTCCGATATGGGCTAAATTCTTCATTTTCTCATTTTTATCAATCACCTTATTATTAGCTGTCAATTTAATTGCATAAAACAATAAAGCTTAAGACAATATGGTTCCAATCACAGGTATACGCATAGCCGCTCCTACTATGCCAGTTGCAACAGAACTGAATCCAGCCCTTTTAAGTTTTTCCTCCCATGGAATTTTTGGATCAACACTATCCACAATTAAACATCCTAAGCCAGCTCCAATTGATCCTCCTACAACAGAAGTACCTGTCAACATCTGTTAGGATTGTACTGACTTTTTTTAATACAACCAAGTTTTGTATTTTAGACAATCACCATCTTAGTCAAATAATTTTGAATCTAAATTTATTTAGACACTCTAATTTTCATCTAATAGTTAATGCATATGGATTGCATCTTAGAATGTCTACGTTAAGGTAGACATCTAGTAGACACCAAGATTCAATTTACTGTACTCATAGAAATGTCGAATGATAGATTTGACTAAATCTTTTTCAAAAATTAAGAATTCAATTCTGTAAAAGAGCATTTCTTTAAGTGAAACATGGCATTAGGTTATGATGTATTATGAGGTTTCAGTTTACAATACTTGATATGTTCTAACATTGGCCAGTGTGTGATATTTGGTGAGTGTTTCATTTAGGAATTCCATTTAAGTATTACAAAACAAGGATGTTCTGTTGATATATAAATGAATGTTCTGTATTATTGAGTTAAAGTATTTCTTCAACTCCATGTATAAGACATTGCTATTAGGCACTCTTACGAAATCACTCATTTCAACTGCTAACACAGACATAGTTTACTCTAATTTATCTGTCATGTATTAATGAAATTCTGAACATTCAAAAGGTTTGGTAGTTAAATCTAAAACAATGCTTTCAATCAGTTTATATGAATGATTGATAAGGCTTTTACTGAGGTTGCTAAAATATTCTAAATATTCAGGCCATCTTGGTTATTTAAATTATGCCCAATTTACAGAATCTGTTTTTATTTGATTCAAGACAATTTCCTAAAGTTCGTCTTTATTGGCATCTTTGTGTTTGTCTAATGACAATTTAATTAATGAACAAATATTCAAAATTACCTCAGCATTTTCTTCATTCATATTGTTGATAATCAATTCCTATTTTTTACAGCAATTTAAATAGAGATGTTCATCAGCCAGTTTGTCTTCTGTTGCAAGTAGAGATCTCAATACATTTTTTGGATTCAGTGTTATTGGGACAACTTTGCATAACTTTAACTATTGATTGATAGTTTCTTGATATTATTCAATAAACATTATTTATAATTTCAAGGCAAATTGCAAAATGTATATTCAAAGTTATCGTAATCAATTGTGATAGCAGCAAAAAGAATTAGGCATTTGTCTTGAGAAGTGCATTGAGGTGGGAATTCTACCAAAAATTTATCAGCCTTGCTGCAATATTCTAAAGCACAGCCATTAAAAATATTTCTAATTCTTCCGACTTTCTACTTCATTGGGTTGTAAATGTCATAGTCAATGTATTAACAAGGACCCATACATCTTGGTATGGCACACATCCTTGTAACACAACCGCATTGAACAAACTCTCCAGAAATGAAATACCTTGTATTGCCAGAAGGATCACAAATATCAATTTCTTCGAGAATTGGCAATGGACATCTTGATATACATTTCATTAATTACTCTGATCTACCGCAACACATGAACGGTTATTTGAGGTAGCCTATCACTTCAGAGTCCCGAGACACCACCATCTCTGGCCTCTCACATGGCAAACATAAGACTGAAGGAACTTTGTATATTCCTAAAATAAGTAAGTTGCCTTACGTTGGGCCTTGAATAAGATTTGATTCTAATTGTTAATAAATAATAGATCCAAAGCTCTCCAACATTGACAAAAGAATCTTTAAGCACATTCGGATTCCTCCTTAATTATCCCAAGTTACTATTGAGCAAGGAGTCCCGTTTATTCAGACACTGAAATCTAATAACTATTCTTCTTTTCCCCAACGCAAGGACATATGCATTCAATGCAACTAAAATTAAGATCGATGATTTACTCTGGTTTTTAATCGATTAACATGTAATTTACCCCGGCAAACGGCTAATATTAGTTACTCTCTTTACATCTGCAGTGAAAAACTAAGCCCCATATTATTGCAATTATCCAGCGATAGCATTTCCGATTGCATTTCCCAATGCTTGAGGATTTGGTACTGCCCCGTATTAGACTTGCATTTATAATTAAATAATTAATTGATTAATAGTTTATAGTTTTAATACATGTTATTGATTAAAAGTGGAAAATAAATTAATTTTAAATTGAAGATAAATGAGTTAAGAAATTTTTGTAAGTGATGATGGTAAAATAAAATTATTAAATGGCAGAGAGGAGAGCATGAGATTAGTCAATTCTCAAACCAGACAAGTAGTCACTCAAGTATCAGATTCTAATTTAATGTTAGTAACCAGTGATCGAATTTTCATCATAACGAATGAGAACTCAAGAGGAGGCTTCTATTCTTTAGACTCAACAATTGCCTCCTCCCAGAATCCAAAGTCAATAGGTTTTAAGATAAAATATCTCAATCCCCTAAGTCTCTTATCCTGGCACCTATAGTGTTTAACAAAATTGTCAACAGGCACCACCACTCTGCATGAACATTGTAGTTGTTTCAAAGGAAGAAATTGAAACTCCCTGGAGATTGGAATGCGAATATCTTTAGTCAATTATTGCAGATTTGGAAAGAAGAAAGGAAGCCAAAGTTGTTGAAAAAGAAGTAGTCAAAGTTGTCACAGATAACACAAGAATTGAACAATTAGAAACTCAATTATTACAATTGCGTAGAGAAAATGATCAACTTAAAAATTAAATGATGCAAATGCGAAATAGCTATGAGCAATAATTGGATTCCCTAAGAGGATCTGTAAACTTACATAGTGCCAATGCTGCTGATGCTGCTTCATTACAAGCTGAATTCTATGCCATGAGAACTTAATTGGAAGATTAGATTGCAGGATTAAGGAGATAGATTTCTGATCTAGAAATTCAATTAAGTTAATCACAATAAGAGAATGATAGACTCAAACAATTATTATAAAATAGAGATGCTGAAATCTAATAACTGAGATAACAAATATCCAAATTATAAACAAGCGCTCAGGATACAAGTTAATTGAGAGATTTAGAAAATCAATTGAGATTATCTAAAGATGAAAACTCCAGACTCGAAAGATTGTTATAATAAGCTAATCAGGATATCTTGAGTTGGAAAAACAAATGCGCACTTATTGAGTAGGAATCCTACACTAAAATTAATGAACTCGTTATGTAAATAAGAGATTATGAAGTAATAATCTATTGATTTTTTTAGAATAAATTAGCTTTAATCTCTACTGATATCGAGAGATTGCAAATATAAATCAAAAACAAAGATGCCGAATTAAATGAGTGGAGAATGAGATATACAGAATTAGAATCCTAAGGAACTACTGTAATTTAAGAGAAAGTCACCTATCTCTCATAGGAAGTTGAAGTTTGGAAATAGAAGTTCATTAAAACAAATCACGAATACAATAAATGTTAAGAAGAATTGACTATGTGTTAAGCAGAACTAGAATCTCTTAAGAAGAGTGGATCAAAGAGAGTATAAATTCTTTTTTATATATCTAGGAAGTTGTTGTCACCCAAAGAACTGTTACCTCAAGGGCTGGTAATACTTTAACTGTTACTGGGCCAACCGGATCATAATCTTAGATTAAAAGAACTGGCTACTAGGAATGATTCATTTATTTATCTAAGTACAAGTATAATTACAAAAATCACTTATCATTTTTATCTTTTCTCAATTCCAATTGACATAAAATGAGAGTTATCTGTATTATGAGTTATTTAAAATAAATTAACAACTAATATATGTAATACCAAGACCCATTAGAAGTAATTTCATTCAATTCTAGATAATAAGATAATCAAGTAAGGAACAAGAGTCAATGTATTCCTGGTTGAAGAAATAAGAGCCATCTTTTTTGAGTCTTTGTATCAATCCTCAATGAAGGATTAAGCATCATTTATTTCAAGAAAACTACGAGAGAGATTTGGATGCTATTGGTTTGTCTTCATGTGGGATGAAAGAAGAGAAAATGCCAATCCTTTTTACACTAATAATATGGACTTGGTCTTTCAATTTAAAGTAATCAATAATTTGAATTTATTAAAAAGTGGTTAGATTGGCATGTACTAATCTATGGAATCGATCCGAGAATGTATCGATGACTACTCGAAGTTGAAATACTTAATGTATATAAAGATACTTCTATTCATAATTTATATATTAGAAATATACTTATAATATTTCAAAATAAGAGACCAGCTTAACTAAAAAGATAATTCAATTATTTACTGTTTTCTCCATAATTGAATGATTCCTGTACATGCCATCACCGAGTTGCATACCACTAACATATACTATCTTGGTGATAAAACCCAACACCACCTATTTATTAAATCATCTTTAATACCTGGCAATAAGGGTTCCGGTTAATGTTATGACTGATTACTAAACAGGGTTAACTGTTTCAACAGGCTTCTTGATCATGTCGTTTATATTAGCTATAGATATTCCCCACTTGGCTAAAGGACAATAGAAAAAGATAGTAAATGGTCCTTTTTCAGCTTAAAACCATCTAATCATGAACTAGGGCCAAAATGTTTAGGCACACACAAACGCTTATAACTATCTTATGGGACCCATTCAATTTTTATAATAATTATTAAAATCTTATTCATTTTACACTATTTAACAATGCAATTAAAGTATGAAACACTATTACTTATGATTATGAATTATAATAAATATTATAATAAATAATTTCAAAAAAGATATTTTCTAAAGTATATAATTTTTATAATATTTATATAGCAATCACCTAGTTTTTTTTAATATTTTACACTATTAATTCTTTCCTTATTAAAACTCATTAAACGCCAATCTGATTACCCTTTCTAACTTTCATCACACTTAATTACTATTTTATTGAAAGCAATCCTCATCCTTAAGTTTATTATTTCCTTTGTTCCAAATATACACTAAAGTTAATACAGTATGTATTTCTTATAAATTGCAATCGATATATCAATAGATTCTGCAACTTTATTCTCTAAATCACAATAACACGATAAAATTGCTCAGTGCGCAAAAATTAATTTAAAAAGTTTATCTTAAACTAGACAAGTCACCAGGAGTCAATTAATACGGATATTTAGATAAGCTAACTATTTTTAAGTGAATTATTAAATATTATTAATAATATAATTTATATATATTTATGACTTATTGGAATGTAATTTAATTATTGTTAGAATTTATTAACTTGAAAAAACTGAATTATTATTTTAATTATATCAAATTGAAGTTTGATATGTCTTTCACTTTAATGGAAACAGAATTGAATGTTTATACGTTATAACGCTATGCTTATATAACTCAATAAATATTGGAGCCCCTCCTTATCATAGGATGAGAAATTGAGAGGCAATTCAAGAATAAATAATTTGATATCGATTTTGTTCACCAAGGTAATTTCTCTTAATGAAACTATAGAAACGATTCTTAACATGATTTTCCTTGAATATTTAATGAAATTTAATTACAGGTCTTCCAACAAGTAAATTAGAGATTTTTGTCCATTTGGGTCCATGATTGACAAAGTAATCTAAAACCAACATGTCCTCTTCATAAGTCCACGGCTCTTTGTTGATTGATTGATCCAGTTTATTAATATAACGATCACGAGCCTGTTTTCCTGTGATGTTTCCAAGGACTATAAAATTGAATGCAATTAATAATTACTTTTGGCTATTTTCATCCATTATCTGCCAAATTGATGAACTAATAATTTTAATTGGTCATCTTGCTGTTAGCTCCATATATGCTTTGTCTATTTAATTAATAAATTAAAGATATTACTTCTTTTGGCGGATTGATTCTTCTCCACCTCTATTGACATTGAGATGCATTTCTTTAAGGCATATTTTTAACAATTTCATTCCATTTTCCTTGATAGTAATTAAATAGATATGTTAATCTTTAATCCTCTTCATCATTCCAAATTTTCTATTTTCTTTTATTGATTTCCTAATTCTACTGATTAGAATTAGTGTCTTCCTCTTTAATCTTCAATGCAAGCTCAGAAACTTCAGCTTGGCATTTAAGGATTGGTTCCTCGGTAAAAAAGGACACTATTTAGTAAAATAAAGAAAAATTTGGTACAATGAAAATTGGATTCAAAATCAGAAAATGGTTCCAAATCCAATGTGGCCGGAGAGTGCAGATCTTCTTCAGATATCTCTTTCTCTGAGCAAATTGAGTCGTGAATGATATTTTAAAACATATATTTAATTACGTTTATTGCATATTGAAATAGATTAATAAGAATATGTATATAATGCAAATAAACTGAAATTACTAATTAAATTAATTTTGTTTGTGAAATTTGAACTAATCTAATAAAATAATAGTACTTCTTTGATTCTCATTAAATACGCTATTTATTGAGATTAAATAAGCAGCATTTAACTGAACAATTAAAAATTTAAACTATTTTTCATTTTTAATAATTAGATTTTTATTCAACAAAAAATTAAGTATTGACAGATTTATTTTTTAAATCTTTAATAATCCAATGAAATAGTGCATCTTATTTAATCTATTATTTTGGACTCTATTGGATAACCAATTTTTTTTGTAGTTTTCAACGTTATAGTAACTATTATATTAAAGGTTAAAGAGACTAAATATTAGCAACACCTATAGTTACGAAACCATTTGCTAATCAAATATACTAATCATCTAACAACAAAAAAGAATTTAATAATAGAAGATCTTTCCTAGATTGAATGTGAGAATATTGTATTTTAAATAAAATATATCATTTGTAACTATAATATTTATTGAAATCAAGATCCACATTTGTTAATTCACTTAATTATTTGAATAAAATGTAACATGAATCTCTAAGAGAATATTAATAATTTTACATCTTCTCTGAATCTTTGGCAGACAAATTGGGATATACAATACTTAGATTTTTAGGAGTTCCCTCAGATTCTTAATCTATCTATAATGATAATTACTTGGTGTGCTATTGGAGTATGGAGTTAGGAAATTTAATTATCTTGAAACAGGATCTCTTTTAACCAACTTTTCAGGAGTTTTATAATACATAACTTTCCTCTAAACTTATCTTCTTGGAACTCCTTTAATTTGAGTCTCATCCTATCTAGGTAAGACTTAAAGATCTTCCCATCTATTTTGCATTTTCAATCTTCTTTTCAAAGTGCTATTCCAATGATTTTTAATAGAATTGTCAGTTCTTCCTTTCAATAGGCCTGCTATCAATGACCAGCGATTTCCCAGTTTCTTATGAGCCTCAATTATGGTTTAATCTTCTTCATCTGTCCATCTCTCTTTATTTATTTTTGGATCTAAATGATTATGAAATCTACATCATTTCTAAATTGAATACCTTTCTCTACATTGTTTGCCAATCCTACCAGGTAAATGTTTTGCAATTTAACTCCAATTCTTAGGCCCGCAATTGGTTACTAATTTAACTAAGAGTTCATCTTCTTCTTAAGTCCAAGGACCTTTCACAAGATCGGGATTCAGAACTTTTTACCATCTGTGTAAACACTAGACGTCTGTTCTATCTTCAAAATAAGAAGCTATTTTCTTCCAATTTTTGGCACCATGTTATGTGACTAATTCTTTCAGTTATTAATCTTCTTCTTCTGTCCACCATCTATCTAATTAATATCATTTATACCTCTTCTTTATAGTCAAAGGAGGGTCGATATTATTACTATTTAAAAGAGTTTCAACTTTTGTTTTAATTTCATTTATTTTATTTCTATTCTTCTTTGGGATTATGCTTTCTAATTAGGTATAGTCAAATCTAGGCGATGAAATAGATGGATCTTTATCCTCCTTTATTAATTACAGAATGTTAGATTATAAGGTTAGCAATTTCAGTTCTTTGGCAGATGGCTTAGTATTAGCAAGTATAAAGTCCATGTCAATTGGATTTTATTGGAGCAGATCTTTCAAAAACGTAATGCACATATTCTTTTCCATCAAAGGCAGAGTAAATCCATTGAGTTCAAATTGAGTTATTAATTGGTGGGTACCTCTCATTAAACAAATAAAAAAATTAATTAAAAGATAAGAGATTAGTGTTTTTTAACGAATTTGATAAAATTTATTAATAAATATCCAACAATTAAATTACCTATCAGACAGCAAAGATTTCTTATATTTATTTTTTATACCCACCTCTCCTCTCTATAAATTTATTTATAGCTTTGAATTTATATATATAATATTCTAATACTTAAAATGACTCTACTATCATCCTATCATACTTACCTATACAATTTGATAACAGAAAAAACATTTGTTGTTATATCATACCCTTGAATATCAAAAGGAATTAATATTTTAAAGGCATCTTGCTATAATTAAAATTCCCATAATAAATACATTATAAATTATTTCAAAAATATAAACTCAACTTAATTAAATAATCTAATGATGACAATTTCTGATTTTAATGAAAAATGATTAATAAATCGATTAGTCTTTTCTGAAACATAATATATATTCAAGAATATTTTTTATTTGCTGAATTCGTTGAATCTATTAAGTACCACTCTTTAAGTAATTGAAAACAATAAATAAATTCAGTATTTATAAATAATACTGATTAAATCAGGATAGTTTGAGTATTATTAAAAACATATTATGATATTATGAAAGATTAAAATAGAAAACCAATTAATACTTCGAAATATATTCTTTAAAAGAGAAGAGAACTGAGATTTAATTAAAACAACTGTATTTTATGATATTGAAATTAAAAAAATAGAATTCTAAATTAAGTACTATTCTTGAATCAACTAAAATAAGCTAAATTTATATCAAAAATATTTACAGATATATGTTCAACAATGAAAAGGATTAGAGATTGAAAAAACCCTTATGAATTATTATTAAGTATTTGAGTTGATAAGAAATTAAGTTTATTTATTATTGATTTGCAAAATTGAATAAATCAAATAAATAACCAAACTAATGGTAGATTTTTGAGTTAATCCAATTTAAATATCTTGAAAGAAAGAGTTTTATTGGTGAAATTAAATCTTCTTACCTAGTTAATTAAAAACTGAAAATTTTGATTATTAATGAAGTTTAATTTAATTTGGCTGTGAAAAATTAAGGCAATATAAAAGTATAGGACATTTATATCTAAAATATCACTAATATTTTTAGAATCCAAAGAAAACCAAAAATTCCATTGTTTTATAAGATGAATTCACTAAATTTTATAATGAAATGAGAGAAGATCTGTTGAAAATAAATCAAATATAGAAATTAATAGAAATTATATCGAATATTCTATAAAATACCTTTTCTATACTTTAATAAGAAAGCAATAAAAATCATAGCATTAGAGCTAAAAGGACAGAAAAGATTGCATTTAAGGCAACTAAAACTCCAAATTTGGTACTATGGCATTCCTTGCATTATCCATCAATCCAAGCGTATGATCCTCCTGTATTAATATAACAATTTGAGGAAGTTAGAGCAAATACATCATTTGCTTCAATGCAAGAGTTATCCATCCACTTACAAAGGATTTTTGTTCCTATTGATTCAGCACTTACATAAGAGCACATATCAGGAGATGAGTAACTTGAGCATGTTCCTTCCAAGCACGATAAATTAGTAACCGACCAAGAGCACTTTAAAGAAGTGCAGATAAATTACTCAGTAATCGTAGAGCATTTAGAAATATCCACTGATTGACATGAAGAGGATGAGTAAGTACACATTTCGTGTTAACTTTGATACAGATCAGAATTGCAAAGCTTTTAGTCGCTGATCTAGCTGCATAAAATTGTACCATTTTAGCATATATATGATCCATCAGGATTTGGATCTCCAGCAATGCAAGTTGCATCTTTCAATTAACATGAAGAGGCCTAGTTGACCTTGTAATTAGAGCAGGAAGTGAATTATGCACATTTTTTTTAAGTGTCATTCCAAGCGCAATCGGAAGCTCTATCGCATTCTGATTCTTCTATGAAGTCGCTACATATTTTATCCTTGCAAGATGTCGACCATTTACAATTATATTATTAAGCACATTCAATTGAGGTTTTAAATTCTGAGCATTCACAGAAAGCACTTGTTGAAATAGCTGCAAATGACAAATCCATTAACAATAAGATATAGATTATTGCTATCATTAAATTATTTAAATTATATTGGCAAGATTTTAAATGATTTTGATTTGAACATTAAATTATTGATGATTTATAAATGTGCCAATATATTAAATTTAATATCAAATATATCATTGATTAATATTTGTATAATTGTGTGAAAGTTATGATTATATGAGTAAAGATAAGTAATATTTATAAAGTTTCTGATTTTAAAATAAGAAGTATTTAGTAATCTAACTTTGATAAGTAAATTAACTATTAACTTTATCTTAATTTATTGAAGAGTACATTAATTATTTTCAATATAATATTCAAAGCAAATAGGCAGATAGAATAAATTAATACTTATTTTTATTTTAAATTATAATTATTATCAATTGAAAAAATATGATTTTATTCCTACTAATGTGCTTTCTTAATGTAAAAGACAGTTTAGCAATAAATTGTACTATATTTCATTATAATTAAGGTGATTAGACATGTTTAACTTGTGATTCAAACGATGAAACTAAATGTCTCACTTGTGATTTGACCACAAGAAAATTATAAGATGGATAATGTATTTGCAAAGATGGGTTTATGGAAATAACATCCTTAAAATCGCCTTAATGTTTATGTATATAATATGAATTGAAGTTTTAGAGTGTTCTGAAAATTGTATTACATGTGATATTTCAAAAAGAAATTTATGTTTAAGTTGCGGTGATGAAAATCTCACATTTCGATAATTAGTAAATGGTAATTGTGTTTGCAAATCTGGTTATTAAGCAGTTACATATTAATATGCATGCGAAGTTGATACTTGGGATAAGAGATTGCTGACATTTAAATTCAAGACTGATACATCTCATCAATATTGGTAGACTGTCAAAAATTTATTCGGAAGTAATGGTAATGTTGTTAGCGAGTTGAGTAACCTGATTAAAATTTCATATTTATAGGATACCGCAGCTGATTAATTCACAAAATATTTTTTTGATTTAGAACAAAATTAGAAGAAATTTTTCTTTAAAAGTGACATTCCTGTTGGTTAGTACTATTAATAACTCGATCAAAATGTTTTTGCTGTGGGATATATCTAACCAAAAGAGACACAAAGTGTGCTTTGGAAGTTTGGTTAACTTGTTTCAGTCTCATCAACTTCATATTACTACACGAGTCGAGTTTTGGAGAAGTAATGGAATGCAGGAATGTTTCAATATTATAAGGATTAAGCTGTTTATATTTAGGTGATATTGACTTAAGAGGAAGTTACAGGGTCAGGTACAAGAAGAAGATTCCTAGCTGAAGACTACTCGATTTATTAGGTGATGTATTTATTTTATATTGGATATATAAAATCAACTTTTTTAAGTGATACAGAATGTGAAAATTTGATGGATGGTTTAATGAATTTAATAAATGGATGTCAGAAATATTGTGATGATTGTTATTTTTATCAGAATGTACAATAATGCAGGAGCTGCTAATTAAATAGATAAAATTAAAATGGAAATTGTTTGTGCGAATATGAGACAACAGATTAATCCCAATGCTATGAACCCTGCAAAGGCGTAGATTGTATAACATGTGCAAATGGTGTTTGCATAACTTGTCCTGATGGTACACTTCCTCCTTGTAACTCTCCAAATATAAAATGCGATGAGGGGTATTATTAAGAAAATTCATAATGTTTGAAATGCGTAGAGAAATGCATTACTTGTACATCTGAAGATGTTTGCACTAAATGTCCTGACACTTATTTTGTAGATGAAGATTTTAAATGCCGTGAATGTTATCCTCCTTGTAGGAATTGTACTACATACAATGATTGTTCTAATTGTTTGGCAGGCTTTTATTATAAGGATAAAGTTTGTTATTATTGTAATCTAGATTGCGTAGAATGTTCAGCTGAAAATTATTGTAATACTTGTATTATTGGAAAATATAATAACAATTTGGGATAATGTATAGATTGCCCTGTAATTTGCACACGTTGCACAGCGAACGATAATTGCTAATCATGTATTGAAGGGTATTACAACATTATTGGTTATTGTAATAAATGTTAGAGTGTATGTTCAAAATGCTTAAATAGTTCTCAATGTACTTAATGCATACCTGGTTATTATTTAAAAAGTGATCAATGTCTCAAATGTGCAGATAATTGCACAACTTGTTTTGATTAATCGGATAATTGTGCTTCATGTATTTCCTCTTACACATTAATAAATAGTAAATGCATCTAATGTACAAGTCCCTGCGACATGTGTAAGAACTCTAGCACTGAATGCTTATCTTGTGAGAAATAAAATTATTTGGTTGTTGATAATAAATGTTAAACTTGTTCAGATTTATGTAAGCAATGTTCTGTTTATGATGATCATTGTTTAGAATGCTAATCTGGTTATTTTTTAGATAATTAGACTTGTTAAAAATGCAATCCTTAATGTTAGCTTTGTACAAATAGACATACTTGTACAGATTGTATAAGTGGGTATTATTTAAATGTCGATAATAAATGTTTGCCCTGTCCTATTTAATGTTCGAAAGATTGCACATTTCAATCAAGGTCGATTGTTTGCAACACTTGTTCGCCCACTTATTTGAAGAATTCAGGTACTTGTCAAAAGTGTTAGGAACCTTGTTTAAATTGTTCAACTACAACAACTTATTGTTTGGATTGTATTATAGGTTATTATCTATCAAATCATGTTTGTAATTAATGCACTCTTACATAGTGTAAAGTGTGTACGAGTGCAACTTCATGTTCTATTTGCAATGATGGTTATATATTAAATTCCAATAATACTTGTGAATAGCAAACTGAAGAATGCTATGCTAACATGATATAAGTTAAAAAAACAGATGAATGCTAACATTGTTAACCATAATGTCAAACATGCTATGGCTTAGAACAAAACTAATGTATAACCTGTTTGGTAGGTTACTTTTTAGATACAAATCATGAGTGTTAAGTATGTGGATAAATATGTCCTAATTGCTCAAATTAAGAAAATTATTGCCTTTCATGTTTAGTTGGTTACTATCTTGAAGATAATTAATGCAAAAAGTGTTCAGTCGGGTGCTTAAATTGTTCTAGTGATGATAATTGTTTAAATTGCTCGACTGGGTATAATTTAGTGAATAATGAGTGTGAGAGTAGTTGTGTTGATAATTGCTATCACTGTACATCTGAATCAGATTGTGATTATTGCTAGCCTGGATATTATCTAACTACTTAAAAGTAATGCTAGAAATGTAATATTAATTAATGTGCTATTTGTACTAATTCTTCAGATTGTAAAATTTGCTAAGATGGTTATTATTTGGATTCGACTACAAAATGTCTTTTAAAATCTTGTACCATAGTCAATTGTATGAAGTGTTTAAGTGATACTGTATGTGATACTTGTTTACCAGGGTTATATGCTGATTCTGCTGGATAATGTTAATTTTGCGATTTTAATTGCAGAACATGTTTAAAAACTTCCGATCAGTGTACATCTTGCAGTCCTAATTACTACTTAGATACCAATTCCACTTGTTAATATTGTGCAGCTGGTTGTTTGCTATGTAGTACTTCTGCCATTACCTGTTAATCTTGCGCATCCGGATATTTCTTTATTGAGAGTTAATAAAAATGTGAAAAATGTAGTTAGTTTTGTCGTTCTTGTTCTGTAAAATTTAATCAATGCACAAGTTGTGGAACAAACGAATTCTTGAAGTCAGATGCAACATGCTAGTAATGCACAAGTCCATGTTTTGGCTGCAATTCAGAAAGTCTAAGTGACTGCAAAAATTGTATAGAAGGATATTATTTATCTACCAAATAATGTTTACCTTGTTTTACTAATTGCTAAACATGCGTTTACAATAATGTATGTACAAAGTGTATTTTCGGATATTTCCTAGATGGCAATGCATGCATAAAATGTCCAGTGAAATGCAAAGGATCATGTGTAAAATAATCATCCTTTATCTAATGTGATGAATGCAATGTTGGATATTATTAAGGAACAAGTGATTGTCTAATATGCAAAGCACCTTGCAAGACTTGTAAATCAACAGAAGATGCATGCACATCTTGTATTAGTGGATACTATCTTGCCATCAATAAGGTATGTCCAAAATGCCAAACAAATCATTGTAGAAATTGTTAAATATCATCTGGAGAGTGTTTAGCTTGTGATTATGGATATATTCTAACAAGTCCTGATTTGTGTACAGAATGTCCAACATGTACTTGTGGAACTCATTAATATTATGATTGGGATGACGTAGTATCTTCAGATAAATGTAAAGAATGTGATCGTTCGTGTGTTGGTTGTTATGCTTCATCTACAAATTGTACAAATTGTCTGAGTAATTAATATCTCGATCCTACAGATAATATATGTTATAATTGTAATTCATAATGTCAAACCTGTCAAAATTCAACTACATGCACTTCATGCACTTAATTCTAGTACTTAACTAATGATAAGAATTGTGCAGCATGTAGCTCTCCTTGTTTAAAATGTACAAGTAGCACATAATGCACATCTTGCGTAGATGGCTATTATTTTGATGGCACAAATTGTATATAATGCAATTCAAAATGTGCTTAATGTGAATCTGCTAGTAAATGTACAACTTGCATTTAAGATGGACACACCTATTATAAAAGTGATTATACTTGTAATTCATGTGACAGTCATTGTTAAGAGTGTTATAACAGGGGATGTACAAAATGCGACGATGGTTATTATCCAGATGGCCAATCTTGTACTGCTTGTAACGCTAATTGTAAGACATGCTCAAACCTAAATTGTTTTGAATGCAAAGGAAGTTATTATCCTGATGGTTAAAACTGTGTGAAATGTTAAGATTTCTGTTTACAATGCACTTCATCATAATGCAATCAATGCTAAACTGGATATTATATAAATGGATAAAATTGTCCATAATGTATGCAAAATTGTTAGAAATGTGACTCAGAAGCAAGTTGTGAATCATGCAAAACAGGATTTTTCTATGACTAAGTTAATTCTGTATGCTCACCATGCCTCGATAATTGTCTATCATGTACTTCAGAAAAATGTACAAGTTGTCAAACTGGATATTATATTAATGGGTATTTGTGTGAAAAATGTTAAACCAATTGTTTATCATGTACATCAACTACATGTAATTCCTGTGTAAGTCCATATTAAGTTTATTAAAATATTTGTATATTGTGTTAAACTGGATGTACAAAATGTACACAACAAGAATGTCAACAATGTGATAGTTTGTATTATTTGGATCCAACCTCAAAATAGTGTGTGGCTTGTAATTCGAATTGTTTGAGTTGCACAGCACAAGAGTGTTCGTCTTGCAAGACTGGTTATTACGCCTAAGAGAAAAATTGCTAGTAGTGTAATGCTAACTGTGTATCTTGTGATGCTACAACTTGTCTTGAATGCAAACCCTAATATTATGTAGATTAAACTAACTGTGTTAAATGCAAAGATAATTGTGAGTCATGTTCAAGTACTGAGTGTTTTTAATGCAAAACTGGTTATTATTTGCAATCACAATAATGTACTCAATGCAATCAATCTTGTACGGAATGTACAAGTGAGACATCTTGTCAGAAGTGCAATAACAATTATTATCTTGATGGTGACAAATGTGTTAGTTGTGCTTCGAATTGTGTCACATGCACAAAAGATGAATGTACTTCCTGTGCTTAAAGTTACAGATTAGAAAATAAACAATGTGTTGCTTGTACATCTGATTGTTTAGTTTGTACTGCTTCTTTATGCACATAATGCTAAACTGGATTTTGCTTAAAAGATTCCTAATGTTCTGCTTGTCCATCCAATTGTAACTAGTGTCAAGTTGCCAATTCTGTCTCATGTTCAGTCTGCGATGATAGTGGATAAGGAGAAGATGAAGGTAATGTAAATAATTGTGACGAAGGCCAATTTTTAAGTATTGAGGATAAAATATGCTATTGTAAAATTTAATATCAATTATCATAGATTGCGGAGTTGAGAATTGTTAAACATGCACTTCAAATGATACTTGTACAGCATGTTCATCTGGGTATAGTTTATAGGTCAATCAGACATGTGTTTAAGACTCAACAGCCGCAATACAAGCAGTCCCAATTGCGGTTGGTACTATTGCAGGAGGAGTTGCTATTGTTGCAGCTGCCATCTTATTGAAAAAGCTAGCCTTTGTTCATGTTGTACCAAAATTATTTAAAAATTTGCCTATTAAATTCAATCCCTATAGACTCAACAGTGGGGCATCCGTATCTAATTGGGAATAAATACCGAATGTTTCTGAATAGGAGTTCTAGGATGCCTTCTTTAAAGTATAACAAGGAGGACTGTGAATTAGTAGTTCATATAACAAGATATTTTTATAATTTTAAATGTTATTTTGATGAACGATGAATAAATCAGACTGAATAGGTTCCTGTTAAGGTGGCCTTGGATTAATTTGCTGAGGGGTTCCAAGGACTTGACATAAATATAAAATATATACCAGATGTAGAGGTATACATCATAGGTCTAATATGAACCTTCTCCATTTGTATACAACAATTTAATATTGTAGTTGGTTCCAGACACCATTTGAGTTTAGACCTCCAACACTTCGTCGAATTCATATCCCTATTATTATGGGTTGTATTATTGGGCAACCACCATGTTGGCTTAATTGATGATGCTGTCATTGCTCTACTCAAAGACTTCTGGATTAATCTAATTTAAAATAATTGAATAGTGTTACTTTTTCCCAGGTTCCGGTAGCATGACTATCAACGTTATCTTATCTTCTGACTTTCAATCTCAATGAACTTGGTTTGGTTACTGTAACTTGAGGTGATCCTCCAACTTGAGTTCTGCTGGTTTGAGTTTATGCGAATGAAGCTGACTATCCATTTATTTATTCACATTTAGTGATTTGATCTTATCCATTCCATGGGCTTTATATAATAATCATAAATACGCTGAGTAAACAATAACATCGTATTATTAGATCTATCCCTCATCATTTCCATATTACAACACTACATTGTAATTTGTACCAGAGACAATCTGTGTTTCAACGGAAACAATTGATTCAAATTCATAGCCTTATTCCTCTGGTTGATATTTGTTTTAAACAGCGATCTAAGCTTCATTGATGATGTTAGAGTTTGATGCTTGGAAGATTGCAGTGTTTTACTATCATAATATTTATTAATACTTTCTTCCATCCTCCTGTCTAAGCGCTTGCCAATGCAAGTAAAAGAACTAATGCGATTTAAACTTTCATTTTATTAGAATAATATCTTTAATTAATTATCTGCTCTTTGTCAAATTAAAGACCTAGTCTTAAAATTTCATACTATTTTCTTGATGATCAATAAAATCTAAATGATGAGCTCATTGCTTACAACTTTACTATAAAATTTATTTAATTTATTATAATGATTCACAAAATACCCTATTAATAGCAAATCCTTAGCTGAAATGATTTCAAAGAGAAATTGAAATAATAGATAGAAAATACCATTTTTATAATATTTCTACAGGTAAGAGAAATTGAAACCATAAGAAATGGTAATGATTAATTATAATAATTAAACTTAAAAATACACCTAATGAATACGTCATTAAACTTAATTAATTTTTCAGTTCCAGAAAAATCTTTATAATAATTAAGAATATAATAATAATATGTATATATATTTTAGCATATTTGAATCATAAAATTAGATACTTTTAGATTATTAATTTAATATCATAAATGAAATTGCTCACCCTCATCGCTCTGATCTTCATGGTAACAGCCAACGATATAGTTGTCATTCCAGAAAATATCAAAAAAATATTGAATCAAAGTCCTGAAATAAAAAAATCTTAGATTGCAAAGAAACTCTTAGAGAACGAGAAACCATTCGAGAGACTTCAAGATTTAAATCAGGTTTTAGATTAAAGTATGACTTTTTAAACATTTAGGTGATCATATTAAAAATTCCATATAATTTATCAAAGTGGCCCAGAACACCTAAAACACCTCCAGCTCCAATTATACCTACCCTAATTAAACATATAACTATACTTACACTAATTATTCTTAGCCTACCAGCCCTTATGTATACAGTAATCAGAGTAATGGATCAAATTCTACAAATTAGACAAATTCCACATATTCAAATAATTATTACTATAATACTTCATATCCAGTTTAAAACACTAGTGTCAATAATTATGTGACCTAAAGCTCTACCAATAGTACTAGCATAACCTGCCAAGTCGGATATTATTTATAAAACACTGACTGTTTATCTTGTATGGCTAATTGTGCCATTTGTAGTTCAGCTTATGTCTGTGACTCTTGCTTCTAAGGCTATTCATTATTTACAACTGGTTGTTAATTGAACAACACTTAGAATTCCACCAGTAATTCATCAGTAATTTTTGATACTTCAACTGGTACTAACATTACAAACTACAATAATACATCTTATAACACCACTGATAATACATATGATAACTCAACATCATATAATAATACCAACTAAACATATTAGAATTAGACCTATAATAACTAAACATACCACAATTATTCAGATATATCAAGAATAAGAGAAAGATTTAATTAATCAAGAGTTCATCTGAAATTAAGAGATAACCTCAATAGAAAAGGTATTACAAACCTGACTTAAATAATTTCTTATTACAACCAATCCAGTCACTAATACAATAAAATAGTTCTTTTCAATGAAGCTACAACTGGCACAAAGTAAGTTGGTAATTAATACTATTTCTATCAAAACAATAGTTTGGTAGTCTTGAATTAAGAATTTGATACTAATGGAAATATTATTTATAGATCTATCAATTATGATTTCTCAATTTATGTTTAAAAAGAATAAGGTTCTCTGAATTAAGACCAAAATAAAGAAATCTATGGTACTATTGTGTATGGAAATGATAACTTCAATGCAACCTACAATAAAGATATCGAAGTACAAGGATAAGAACATTCATCCAATTTTGAAATGGACTAATAATCTACTGGATAGGCCAATTATAATAGGAATTCAAGCGAGGCTTCTGTTTCTTATCATAATAATTCTTTTGGATACTAATAGAATTATTAAAGCAATTATAATTACAATCAAACAAGTGATGTCTAATCTTATTCAAATTCTAATAGCCAATTTGAAAATTAATTTAATTATTCAAGATATGCAAACTTTGACTAACATTATTCAAATTCTAGCTCATCCTATTCCAATAATGCTTCATCATATAGTTATAACGATGAATATTCATACTTAAATGGATCAGGATATGAAAAGGAAAACTCCTAGGAGTCAAATTCATAAGCAAATGGTTAGAGTGCAAGTGTAAATTATCACGGAGATAAATAATCATATTCATCGAATTCTAGCTCAAACGATTTTAAGGATTCTTCACTAAATGGTGTATTTACTTAAAATTACTCTTTGGCCAATTAAACAGAATTCTAATATAATGCAAATAGTAGCTCAACCGATTATTAAAGTGATTGGTATAGTTACTCATAGTCTGCTTCTTCTAATCAATACAAAAACATAGATTCAACAGAAGTGTAAAACAATGGTGACCTCTATAATGTTTCTGACATTTATGGATACAAGTCTAATAGTAATTATAACTCAGATTATGGATATCAAAGTGATTTAAGTACCTTAGAGTCTGTTGACGCTCACTCTGTTTAAGTCACCAATGATAATGCCACTATAACCAAAGTTAATGCTACAATCAGTTAATACAACTCTTCAAATACGAATTATCATGGATATCCTCAATATAATGAATCATAAGCATCAAGAGATGTCAATCTTACAGTTACTGATAATAAACAATAATTTAATTAATTGAGAGGATCAAAGAAATTGGCTACAGGTTCATGGTCAGAAGTTAACCAAAGAGAGTTTGCTAGCTCTAATGCATAAATAATCGAAGAAGCTAGATTGGCAATCAGCAAGAAATTCTAACCTGAGGAAGAAGGCTACTAATTTGATTCAATCTTAAGCATTAAAGAATAGATTGTTGCTGGAATCAACTATAATATCAAATTAAGATATTTGAATTCTAATTCCAATTCAATCATTTATGAAGTTGTACTTTACACAATGTAATTTTATATTCATTATTTTTTAGACCTTGGGCTAATCAACCAAACTAAATCGTCAGTTGTTCCAGATTTGATTAAGCAGAAATATGAATTTGATTTATATTTCATCAACAAAATACAAAATTCATCCAAATTTCTTAATTAAGCTCTTTTTTATTTATAAACTTAAATTCTGATGATAACCTGCATAGAATAACATTGATAATTCAAATTTTAAGTTATAGTTAAAGATTACATAATTTATTATTAATCATTGGATAGCTAAGTAGATAGTCATTTAAACTATGGCATTTGATGTGGCTTAGTTTGGCTAACTTTCACAGTTTGATGAATAGGATTGTTGAACCTATTAATTAAAATTCCAAAGCTTACTGAATATTATCAAAGGTGGAATCCTCTTTCTATTCTACTATCTCCTTACTAAAATAGGGATGTTATAAACATTAGGCGGCTGATGGTCGCTATTTTGGATCTTTTTTAAGCATTTGAATGACTAAATCGCAAGCCATGGGATTTTTAGACTTGACTTGATCCAAATGAGTCAAATCATAATCCGCAGCTATATTTTTCATAACTAGAGTATGGGGGTTTTTAGAGGATCCAAAAGGATTTTTTAATGTTAATCTCTTATAGAAAAATAGATTTACAGATTAAAAAATACCACACCACAACTGAAGATGTCGACCTTTTAATCATATATGGTTTCCGTGTAAACCTCAGGAGCTGTGTAGCCCGGTGTCCCACATCTAAAGATAACAAGATAGTTCATCATACCTCATATTATAATATAAGAGTTATGATTTAAGACAGGCTAACCCAAAGTCTGCCAACACTAGGCTGCTTGCATCATTAGCTTTCCTAAGTAACACATTTTATAGCTTTATATCTCTGTGCAAAATATCTAAAGAATGAAGGTGCTAAACGACTTATTAAAATATTTTTATATAATACCGTTTAACAATTTTTTCATCACTAATTAATGGTTGATGTTGTAGTTATTTGGGTTCAAAAACTTAAGTAAATCGCCTCCTGGGCAATATTCTAAGAGTATTGATATTGAATTATCATCACATGAAATCTCTTCCAATTGTATGATATCTGGGTGAGGATGATCCCTTAGGTTGTTGAGAATCATTTACTCCTGCTTGATTTATTCCTAGTTTTTGTTTATGTTTTAAAATACAAGTCGAGTTAAATTTGAGGGGTCTTAGGAGATATGCGGAAAGAATGCCATCTTCTCAACTAGGTAGTTATTGGTTCCTTCGATCTATAATAAAACTAGCATGATAATAGTCTGATACAAACAAAATTGGCTATACCACTTATTCGTTTAAAGCAAGGTCTTCGCTTGTAAAGAACTTTTCCACGAAGCTGACGTTCCAATTTCTGTAAAATACTTATCTCAATTTCAATTGTAACCTTAATGTTATGGTTTAAGGTTTCCAAATCTACAGTTCCCATTTTGCTTGCTTAAATTAGTGGCTAAATTACTTTCATTTACTTCACGAAACCATTATAAGGAGCTGTCAATTGTGCCTCTAGGGATGAAAGCTATTTAGGAATCTGTACTAGTCATCTATTATTGATGTATTGGACTTTACTTTAATTGTTAGTCCTAGGTGAGATACAAGAAGAGAAACTTCGTATTTAGATTAATCGTTTGCAATCAAGTTTCCTTGACAACTAAAAAGCATGAATATATGAGAATGTTTAAAAATTTAAGCAATTTAAAAAATCAATTTACTTGGTTTTTATATTGACCCCTATAGTAAGATCCTTCGCTGAGACTAGAGAAAATATTCCGTATTAATTTTATAATCATTTCGTAATAAAAACACACACAATATTATAATCTCATTATTAGAAATAATCAATAAATTGTATCATTTTAAATAGTACATATAATATTAAGAAATATCTTTTTCCATTAATTTAATCTAAACCCTCGAAAAAATAGTATATTATTAAACTTTTCGATAATCAAATTTTAATCTTAAACTGATACACATTGAATTATATTTAAATCCCACCTCTTTATTTCGAGAAATATGGGATTCCGAAATAATAAATACACTTCAATAAGTTATTTTTATATTTTATGCTAACAAATACATTGGGAGATCTCTTAATAAAAGGATTTGAATGAAGAAGAAAATTATAATTTTTAATAATGATATCATATCCATAATCATAATCGTAATCAAGATCACAATCCAAAAAAGATCATCAAAATGGTTCCAAAGGTAATGATTGCTCCCCTATCATCTTCAGTACTATTAGTACTATTGGATGGAGTAGAATTGGTAGATGTATTTGTGGTACTTGTTTTACATTTAGTGCATTTAACTTAGGAAGCATCATATGAATAAGTATATGAACTATAACTTAAACAATACGGCTATTCTAAGGTAGTTGGATCACCTTCAATGCATGGAATAGTAATAGTTGAATTAGTGCCTGTTGTTGAATTGGTGGTACCTGTTGTAGAATTAGTACCTGTGGTTGAATTAGTACCAGTAGTTGAATTAGTACCTGTACCTGTAGTTGAATTTGTACCAGTAGTTGAATTTGTACTGGAAGCGGGTTTGTTAGGGACACAAATTGTGGCTTTCTTTGAATCAATAGATAAAATTGGAAGACATGTAGTACCAATAGCCAAGGATGCACAAGTATGTGAAACACATGTGCTTATCTTACTTGTTGCATCTGTGTTATATCGACATGCTTATTTCTTGAATTCACAAGCAAATTGATCTTGATGTGCATCTTCACACTTGGTCATAAGTTTACAAGTAGAGGTTACTGTTTCGTCTTTATTTTTCACTTCGTTCCAAACACATATTCCATCAGTTCCATTAGAATGACAAGCAACCTTTGTTTTATAAGCAGAACAATTAGTTTAGGCAAGACAGGCGGTACCATCAGAGAGACATCCTTTTAACTTGAGAGTACATGCAGCACTTGTAGTTTCTTTGAAATCAGTGCAAATCTTGATTCTGCATTTTTCTTTATCAAAAATGCATTCCCCATCTGTTCCATAGAAGCAACTATCTTTATCATACTTTTCACACTTATTCATGTCAATGCAACCTTTACTATTGGTGGTACAGATCTTAGTGGCTTAGAATGCATTACAACTTTAGTGAGTCACAATGTTATTAGCATTCTAAACAGTAGCATCAGTACATTGCCTTAATCTACATTTGCCAATAGATTCTTTGACTTCCCAGAAACATTTACCATCGGAACCAAGATTGGAGCAAGCCTATTCAGTTAGGTAACTTTCACATTTGCCAATAGGGAAACACAACTTGCCATCACTAATGCATTTTGGTAAATTAGCACATTATGAGTGTTTATACTTATTACATGAACTGGAGAACAACTCACAAGTGGTGTTGTCTGAACTGGTTGCTTATTTGCATTCTTTAAATAGAACACATTTTGCAGGATCTGTTCCATTTTGAGGTAGCCACCCACAAACTCCATCTGTGCCATAAATACAACTGATTTCATTTTTATACCTTTCACAAAGAGTGATGGATAAACAAGTGGTACCATCACTAACACACTTTTCTCCGAAGGTTTAACAGTCTTCAAAAGTGGTTCTGGTGTAATCAAAACATTATTTGTATGTAATGCATTTTCCAGATTGCCAAATGCATGGTCTCAACAATGGATCTACAGTACACCTGGCTTAGGTGATGATTTTATCACATGCAAAAGGAGGTGATTCACAACCTTGACCTGTAGTTAAACATTTGGTTAAGTATCCATCACATTTCTAATCGGTTTTAAAGGCCTTGGATGCATCTGAACATTTTTTGGCTCTGCATGAGGTTTTATCCCAAATGCAAGTTTCCCCAGGGTCAGTAGTTTTGGCAGCTTAACAAACAATTGAATTAGTATAACTTGCACAAGGACTGATCTCAATACACCCAGTTCCTTGAGAAGTGCAAGTGGGATGCAATGCCTTACAAGCATCATGAGTGGTGATGGTTTTGGAAGCATCAGTGCATTTCCAATTTCCACAGACTCCTTTGCCTCCTTCATAATGCCAAGAGCATCTCAAAGTAGCAGTCCCCACAACAGGTGTGTTGACACAAAGACTCTGGGTTCTGAAGATGGAACAATCATTTTGTAATTCTCTACAATTGGATGTGTAAACGCAATTAGGATTGGCTGAACAAACTGCTTTTGTTTGGATATCTTCACAAGTAATTGCACTGACACATCCAAATCCAGTAGTCTAGCAGGCAGGTTTAAATTTGTCACACGCTGTATCGGAATCAGCTGAATTAGGAGCTTCATAACAATTAACTGATTCACAAGATGCCACTACATTGCTGACACCTTTACATGGTCTATCAGTGGCTGAAAAGTTGGGACATGTCTTGATTGTACCTAAAAAGTTCTTACACAATTGTTTATTCACACATCCAGTACCTTTGGTAACACAACCAGTCAAGAATTGATCACAATCCTTATCAGTGGTTAATTTAGCATTGTGAGTGCACAATCTATCAATACAAGCAGATGTAGATACAGCCGTAATGACATTCCAACATTTCTTGGTGCCATTTATCCCAACAAAGTTAGCACAAGTAGTTTGAGTGCCATAATATTTGGAACAAGGTAACGATTTATCAATGCATCCAGTACCTTTGGTTACGCATCCAAATTAAAATGCTGCACAATCATTATCTGTAGTACTATAATCATTGTCTGAACATAATCTATCAACACATGGAGTTCGATTTGTGGCTTCCAAAGTATTCCAACATCTTCTTCCGTTTCCTGTGAATTTCTTACAGGTTTCTCTATTCCCCAAATATGATGAACATAGTTCTGTATTCGCAATACATCCTTTTCCTTTAGTCACACATCCATTTAAAAACTTTTGGCAACTCTCGTCTGTTGTAGAGTCTTAGTCATCCAAACAATTTCTCACTGCACATGCACTACTATCACTTTCATCTCGTTTGCATCCATTAAATGAATTGCACAGACTTGTAGTACCCGTAAAAGTATTGCACCCATTTGTTGCTAAGACACACCCTTTGGAATTGGTTACACATCCAGTGAGAAAGTCTTCGCACACGATATCTGAAATGGATACGGTATTGTGTTCGCATGTTCTCTTGATACATGATCCAATTCCAGTAGAGGCAGACCAACACTTTCCATCAATATTAGATACTATAGTTTAACATTGTTCTGGAGACATATTTGTATAACTGTTACAGTAGTTCTCCTTCTGTTGACATGTCTAACCATTAAAAGTGCAAGTGGCAAGATGAGCCTAGCAATTTTCAAAAGATGGATTTATGACATTTTAATCACATGTTCTATTCTCACAAGCTCCTACTCCTGCAGCTGTCTTCCAGCATTTTTTATTAAGAGTTGTGATCACTGTTCTACATGACGATTAAGTAAAACCAGTGTATTTCTAACAATCATCTTATAATGTTGTGCACATCTGTCCTACTCCTGAATATGTACATTAGTCAGTCGCATAAGATTAAAGGTGCAAGAGACAATTCGATTGACTAATATTTGCAATTTAATTTGAGCATTTCCTCTCCTCACAAGCACCTTGTCCTGCTGCTGATTTCCAACATACTTATCCGCCTTAATCTTTCATCTTCTTGCACAGATCTTACGATACCATAGTATACTCAACGCATGAAGACTTAGCCATTTCACATGGACCTGAGGGAGCTGTAGACAGCAGCCAACATTATTTCCCATCTGATGTTGTTATTTATTTGCATACATCAGCAGAATATAAAGGTCCGTAATCTGAACATAGAGCCTTAGCAGCTATACATACATTAGACATTGCTAATCTACAAGTTGACAGATATTCAACACAATTATCATTGGTCAGATCGACTCCAGTTGGGGCCACCACATCACTGCATTATCTCTCTATACATGTACCATCTGCTGTTGCCCAACACTTATCACCATCAGTCCTTTAGACAACTTAGCAAGCATCGGCTGTAAAATCTGTATACAAAGTACAAGAATTTTATTTGGTCACACACTTGGTACCTGAAAACACACAGGTACTCAAATATTTAGCACACGTTTCTTCTGATGGTGAGTCAATATTATTATCACAAGATATGGGTTCACAATTACCTTATGCATTTTCATTCTTCCAACATTTATTCCCTCCTATCGTCTTCACTGATTTGCAAGCATCTTAACTAAAATTGGTATAGTCAGCACAATTATTTTATTTTTATTGGCATGATGATCCATCGAATACGCATCCCAACAAGAAATTATCGCAATCTTCTTAACTTGTAGATGTTCCTATATCTGAACACACCCTATTAACACATGAACCATTAGATCCAGTAGGAAGCCAACAACCTATATTATTAGAATCACTTAGTGATTAACATAAGGTACTATCTCCAGTATAAGAAGCACAAGTAGGCAAAGCAACTATGCATTTTGCACCATCAAATCTGCAACTCTTCATATATCCAATGCAATCGGCATTAGAGGTTGGACTGACTACTTCATTACAAGATTTTTAAGAGCACAAACTTCTTAGGGTACAGGGTTTGGTATTACCCTTGAATTACATGCAAGTGCTTTGAGTACCGTTGTAGGTGTTACATTCAAGAGAAAAATGTTGGCATCCAGCTCCATTGGTAACACAGCCTGATAGAAATTCTTCGCAATCCTTGTCAGTAGAAGCAGTTGTATTATGAGCACATGTCTTTTCAACACAATTAGTACCAGTCTCCCACCAGCATTAAGCACCATTTGAAGTGAATTTGGAACATGTTTCTGTAGCTGACCCAGTGTAGGTTGTGCATGGTTCGGTTGAAACTATACATCCAGCTCCTCCGTATAGACAACCATTTAAAAATTTGATACATTCTTCATTACTTGTAGCAGTTGTATTATCAGTGCACTAGAGTAGTCTACATGCAGATGTGCTGGCAGCATCATTATAGCATTTTCCATCTGAGCCTGTAAATTTGGCACAAGTATTAACATCTCCAGAATAAGCTGAACAAAGTTCTGTGTTGCTTATGCATCCAGTTCCCTTTGTTTTACAATTAAATTAAAACTTACCGCAATCTTCATCTGACGTACTGGTTGTATCAAGAGTACATAATCTTTCAGAGCAAGCTTCTTTAGCAGCATTGCTAGTGCCCCAACAACGTTTGCCATTGCCTACAAAGCTTTAACATTGATCGGCCTTCCCAGAATATGAAGAACATGGACTTAAATTATGAATGCAACCTTCCAAGGTGGTGAGACAACCAGGCAGGAATTTCTCACAATCTTCATTGGTACTATAGGTTTTAGGAGCATCTGAACATTCCATTTTCCTACAGGATGCTCCAGTCCAGAAGCAGGGCAGATTTTGTTCTTTATTCTGATTACAGATACTGATTGTAGTGTATGATGTACAGAGGGCAGTAACACAAATTGAATTCCAATAACAATTAGTGGTTCCTTTGCAGGCCATTTCGCTTGAAGTTGATAAGCATGTATTCTTATCCTCGCATCCAGCTCCATTGGATAGACAATTAGAATGGAATTGTTAGCATAGATCATGAGTCTTATATTCTTTTGGAGCTTCTGAACAGGAAGCTGCAGTACAACTGGCTTCATTGACATCGTCAGTTCCTTTGCATCTACTATCAGATCCCACTATAAGAGCACAAGTAGTCTTGGTGCCTTTGTAATCTTTACATAACTTTCTGGTTGCCACACACCCTGCACCTGAAGTAAGACAGCCTGTTTAGAATGCGGCACATTCTGCATCTGTTTTTAATTTAGGATCTGCATCAGTACATAATCTTAATTCACAATTGGTTCCTGTTCCAGTTTTGCAAGAGCCATCTGATCCTATTCTTATATCGCAGTTATCTGAATAAGTAGAACATAACTCCAATTTATCAGTGCATTCCACTCCTGTAGTGACACATCCTTTTTTGTAAGTGTTGCATGCTTCTTTAGTAGTTCCCTTTGAACTCTTGCATTGTCTTTCCCTGCACACCTTCTAATCGGGAGTGGGTTCACATTGTCCATCCGATCCTATTAGAATCAAGCAAGTTTAGCCTTCTTCCTGATAGGTTGAACATTGTTGTAATGGAGGATCTACACAGCCTTTGCCAGTTGTTAGACAATTCAATTAAAATGCTTAACATTATTTGTCATGGGAATATTGGGGTGCATCAGTACATGGTATTCGCTGGCAAGTTCCATCTTTCTCTTGACAATAGCCATCAGAACCTACTCTGCCTAAACAGTCATCCTTTGGATAAGTAGAACAAGTTTAAAGTTCAGATATACATCCTTTACCAGTTGAAATACAACCTGATAGAAATCTATTGCATTAAGCAGTAGTAATGAGTGTGACTGGTGCATCAACACAGACTTGATCCATACACTTTTTCTCCGTTTCTGACCATTTACATTTTCCTGTTCCAGATACACTTATGTTCTACAAACACAAAGTTTAATTCAAATATTCTTCACACTTCATAGGATCAATACAGATCACTCCATCACTTGTACACTAGGTTGACACCTTCTGACAGTCATCATTTGAAGTCCTTGTATATGCCTGACACCCACTAAACTATTCACATTGCAATTTCTTCTCTTTGTCCTCATAATATGCACATCCCAATGTGATGGCACAATCTGTCTCTGGCTTACTCTTTATATTCTAACATAATTAACTCACCGGATATGTTGATACATTGCTGTCTGGTTGCTTGTCTTAACATTTACTTGTAGTACTATCCCATGAACAATTTATTATGCAATCATTCTTACTTTTTAATTCTGAGCACACGCATTACTCAGATAAACTAACCTCTAGAGAGGATACACACAGTAATAACATACTCAAGACGAGTGCTGTCATCAATCTTTTTTTAATTATTAATAGTAAATATGAATTCACGAAAATATCAATTAAATTAATAGACTACACATAACAATCATCCCAACCCCAGGGCATTTTGTACATTACTTCTTCTAATCATCAAATGTCAATTGAAACAAAGTATTTTCATTATAACATTCAGACTCTCCCAACGTTGAAACATCAAACCCATTTTCACATTATTTCGTCTCAGCATTCCAACTGCATAATAAAGTCTTATCCCCATTCTTAATAGATGCAAAGTTATTTCTGCATTGCTACTCGTCACTCCCAAAGTAAAGGCAATCCATTTGTTAACAACTATCATTCAACCACCTACATGAAATTCTATTTCTTTCACACAACTCTTTTGGATTAAAGACTAAGTTTGCACTATCGCAAGTCTGAAATGGATAGCTTTTACAAGAACCATAATCATGTCCAGGTATTTAGACATATCCTTCATCAACATCACCAGCAATCCAAATACAATAATTATTACTAGAATCAACATTATTTTAACAAGTATTTTAAGTAAAAAAAGAATCGCAATTCAATTCTTAAGTTATTTCATCCCTACAGCTTTACGTCGAATCATCATAAATGCATTTCGAACTTGAATTGCAAAAGAATTTAACCTATATGTCACTACAACTATCCAAGTTCTAACACTAACCGTCTATGTAATTACAATCCCTACTAAAACATGCCTCCTCATCCATTATTTCATAACATTTTTTATCATAGCATTTCTATTTATCCGTATTCCATTTACACTTAAAGTTGCAATCAGCTTCACTCTATATTTACTAACATCGACATGCACTACTCACACTATAAACAATTTCCTCCCCAACAATTATTCCAAATAAAAAAACCAATTCAAAAAACATAATAAAATATTGAATTAATAAATCATCATTATGCTTATAACAATTCCTTAATCTTCTAATTTCCTTATTTCTCTACATAATCCAATGCACTATTTCCATCTATTAATTTATTAGCAATATCTTATACATTTGTCCTTGAATGTCCTATCTGCATTCTCTGATAATAGATATTTGACAATGAGATAATGATTTCCTCTAGTAGCCAATATCAAAGGTGTAAATTTATTTCCATAACTCTGCTCATTAATTGGATGACTTAATGTCACTAACTTTCTAACTGTATCTAAGTCACCATCTCTGGCTGCACTCCATAATGCTAAATTTAAGATTTAATCAAACTTTTAAATGCAAACTTAACTTCAGAATCTGTTGTCATCTAATCAGCTGTTTAACCCTTGCTTGTTCTGATTGCACAGTAACGATCTTCATCAGCATCATACCTACTTAATAAATGAACAACATTTCTATTTTAATAAAATGACGCATAGTGCAATGCAGTCCAATTTCTCTTATCAACAGCATATATATCAGCACCAGATTCAAATAAAACTTAAACAACCTGATCATGACCTTTTTTAGCTGCTAAATGCATAGGAGTGCAATTCTGGTTATCCTAAAAGTCAATATAACTTTCTTAATTATTCACTCCTTTCTCTATGAGCAACTGAACTGCCTTTGCTTAATTGTTCAGAGCTGCGACATGAATTGGATAGTACCCTTTATTAGAGGAGATTTATTGATATGCTCCTCTTTCTATTAAAGTAGTTATTGCCCACAATTCCCCATAATAAGCAGCATGATGTAGTGGAGTCCATCCATTTGTATCGATCACATTCACATCAGCATCCATTTCTAAGACTTTGCTTAGCATTGTTTTATTAGAGGATTTATGAGTCTGTTCGATAGCCTTATGAACTGGGGTTATCCCATAGATAGTTGATTTTCCATTTACTCTCTAACCACAATTCACTAATAAGGTAAAACTCTTATCATCTCCTTCTTCAACAGCATTATTTAGGTCCATCAGATACTTTCTTACAGAATCATTAGATGCATATTCCAAAGGAGTTCTTATTTTTCTCTTGCATTTTATTTTTGGATCTGCTCCCAAAAATAGCATAAATTGGATTGCTGCAAAGTCCCCTGCAAAGGAGGCCAAATGCATAGGGGTCTTAAATTATATTTAATTTTACATATCCATCTATGTCCTATTAATTAACAACATCCCTTTAGAGTTTCTTAATATTATTCAAGAAATTGGTTTGTTTTTGTTCGAGCAATTATTAATTTAGGAAATTGCAAGTAAAGTCACGATAATTTCTATATTACCTGGGATCAATCTTTTTATCAGCAATTTATATTAATAATTAGACTTCCATAAAAATATCATAAAATAACTCCCATCCTTCAGATTTGAAATTAAATTATGTCAATTACTTAATGCATTAAAAACATTTAGTATATTTAGATAAACTGCCATAATGTATTGGATTTCTTTGAAATTGATCGATTGTAGCATTGACTCTACTAAAATATAGTAGATTTTAATCCAAAAATTATTAATATTGCTCACTAACAATTTCTTAAAATTGATAGAATCTTGATTGAACTTACTTTAAATGTTTATCTGCATTAACTAATTGTCCTTTTTATGCATCTGACTTTTTAAATTGATACCTTTACATAGCTAATTTTAATTCCTCCCATTTAATCATATTTAATTTGTGTCTGAACATATTACAGAGTATTTAGAGACATTCAAGATTCCCTCTTTATGCACAGACATGATATACATTGAATCCAGATTTAGATGTTAGTAATGGATCAGCACCTTTCATTAGCAAATACATCACAATATTTTTGAAATTATAATAGCTAGTTTATAACGAGTGAATACCAAGCATAAAATAATGGTGTTTTGCCTTCAAGATCTTTTGAATTTATTATTTCCTCAGTGTTGTTGAATTGATGAATCCAATTTTCCAATAATGTCAACTTTCCATCTATTACATAGGTAAAGATATCTGGCTCTTTTTATTTCGAATAGGAAGTGTTAAAATTCAAAGGTTAAGTGAGAAGATCCTTGTCTTAATCCATGAGTAAATATTCTAGATATTTTAATATATTGTTATATATAATGTCTGTTATATAATTAATAAATTATAATTAATTAAGCTTTGTTAGTAACTCTTCAGAGAATTGAATTCAATAAATTCTTTTGATTGTAAAAATGGTTCTGATTCATTTTTAACTTTTCTATATGACTTATTTCAATCGAATCTTCATACACATCCAATTGAAACTCATCAATTTAATCTAATGATGGCACAGTCAGTTTTCTCTATGGATTACTATTTACAGTAGATGTTCTATTTTTTTGGTTGTTGGGAGAGCATGAAGAATTCAACAATTAACTATTTAATCCAAATTGCCAATCTACTTCTAAACTAGCATGTACATTGACATTCTTATCACTTTTACTCAACTCGTACTATTGTTTAGTCATAATAGACATTGGCAAATTGATTGTCAAATAAAATTTGGCTTGAAAAAAAGGATGGTTAAGTGCTTACTAGGCAGTGATTCGATCCTTCGGATACTTTTTAGTCATCAACAAAATAAGATTACCTACTATTAATAGAATGATAGGATTGAATACATTCTGCAGGATAAGGAGAACTCGGGATCTCAAAGTAAGCATCAGCATTCCTTTTCACTGTTGTCTTTTGATCATTTCCTTTGAATGGGTTGTACCCGAATACTCTAAAGATATTTAAATGATTGTACATGGCAAACAAGGTGACTCCAAAACTAAAAATATCACATTAAGCATTATATTATTTTTTGGTTTCCTCGAATCTTATAATTTCTGGAGCTGAATAACTTTGATTAGATATAAATGTGTACCCCAAAGAACCACAAGAAGGGAATGGAATGTCTTTGAATTAGGTACTCACAGCCAATCCAAAATCAATTAGAATTGGAGAGTGTAGCTATCCATTTCTAAGCATTATATTTTGAGGTTTGATATCTCTGTGCATAATCTTTTGGGAATGTATTGTGTGAATTGCCAACAACATTTGATATACAAAACTTTATAAGTCATTTGATGAATAAGGAATTTTGCTAGTTGCTTTTGAAATCAGTTCATATCCATTTACATATTCTGTAACTAAATACAACTTTTCGGCATTTTCATAAACTTAATGTAATTTTAAAATGTTCTCATGATTAAATTCTCTTAAAGCATTGATCTCACTCAATAACTATAGCTCATATTACTTGTTTAGTTTTAACTGTTTTGATGATTATTTGGTAATGGCCTTCACAGCAAACAATTCTCCTTCATGGTTCCAGCATTCGTAAACCTAATTTAAAACTATTTATACTGTAGAGAAACTTCCATTTCCAATTAGAGCACCAATCTTATAATCCTTTTCAAAAGTTGTCAAGATGCACTTCAAGGACAACATTTATGACCATTCCTTGAATTGCTCAGCAATATCTGTGCACAAGATTATTTAAAATCCATTATTCCTCAGATAAATTTAGTATTCCTAATTCACTGTTTGGAATTATAAATAAACACCATCCAATCTAACGTAGCCCTTTATGTTTTTGAAATTCCCCACATCCGAATAGAATAGGTATTGTTTAATTAGGAAATACTAGCGCAAGCATTTTTACCCAAAAGTTTTCCCAATCTTATAGAAATTAGCAATCTTCACATTTTATACTTCCTCAACGTCAAAGTTTGGGATGTTATTTTTACACCAAAATTTTCGACCATCATTTTAACCAATTTGAAAAATCATCAATTTGATCGTATAAAATAATAATATTTATCAAAAATGAAACCTTATGTCAAAAGATTTATTGTCCCACTCTTTAATTTATTCCAAATTTGTCATATTACCTACATTTTATTGATTGACATAAATTAATTCATAATAAAACAAAAAAATTCATTTCCATTTTATATCAACAACATGATCATATTAATCTATTTCATTTGAATCTACTGTGATATCTAGTCCTTAACTCATACTTGCTAATTATTCCTCACTTGATGTTAACATTAAATTATTTAATTTATCATTTTTCTTAATTGTACTTGGAACTTCCAGATCTTAAACATCATCTAAGTCCTCTTCAATCTCCTCAAATTAAAAATCATTTGACTATGATTTCACATTACTCAACTTTGTACTTTCCACTTTTCCAATTGTTTTTGTAATGGGCTAATTTTTTGTTACACTTGCCTGTTAATTTGCCTTACTTCCTGGTTTAACGGGCTCTTATTTTTCTTGCTTCTTTATTGAAACTTATTCCTATTAACCTAAATTTTGTTAGTTCTGTTATTTTGCCCCTTTTGGATTGTACTTTTGATATATGTGCTATAATATGGGTTGGTTGGTGTTCAAATCACTTTGTTTTAATCCTATTTTTTTTATCAACTAATCACGTTCAATAAAAGGTATATGATTACTCTCACTCTGCAATACAGATAGGGTAAATTCAAAATCAAAAAATTATAAAAACTCCTTGACCACTTCCAATAACAATAACAACTCATTATCCTTTTGGATAGCTTTGGCCTTTTCATTTTCCCAAAAAAAGTTAGATGCCCCTGACTTTTTGCCTTTTGATTAATCAAGTATTTTAAACACAGAGGCTTTTATTTATGCCTTCACTTTGGTCAACTATCCTTGCTGATCCAAATTTTTCATAACTAAATCAATTGCATTTTCATCTGACATTTTTTTAATTTTTAATAATAATAATTCAAACATGTATACAATTCAACCCAATAATAGTAGAACCAGCATTTTTGCTCAAACCACTGTAAACAATCCCCCTCTCCAGGGACAGAATGCCACGAATTAATACGCATAAACTTATAGCGGAATATTTTAGCAATAAAGCTAATCCAATATCCAATAACAACAATAACAAAATCTGTAGCCTATAATCTAGCAGTAACAGTTTTAATAATAACAATACTCATATAATCAGTAATAATAGTAATTGCAATAATAATAACAATAACAATAAATATTTCCAAATAATAATCAACAACAATAGTAGATTGATCAAAATCCTAGCAATATAGCTTAATACGGACAGCAATTCTAACCTATCTATTAAGAACCAGATAACTTTACTAATCCTAATGCCATACCTCAAAAAATCGATCTTCAATTTTATGGAATATATGAAAAGGTGTATTACATAAAGGCTTACCTATTATTAAGATTTAAAAATTGGTAAATTCTCTATCATTATAATCATACCAAAAAAAATACTGCAGAATCTCATGCTAAAATTATTGTTAAAAACTTTTAAGAATTCAATTAATTAGAATATGATGTTACTTATGTTGTGAGTACGGATGAAGGTTTCTGGATACTCAAGATTACTGACTTAGATAGAATTTACATGGTCTTGTATGATAACAATTTCAGAAGAGATTTAGCATTTCTGGTTTTTGAAGAATATTATAAATGTCTTACTGAATAGGAGTAGTTAGTTAAAATATAAGATAATGTAATTATTTATTAATATACCCAATAAGATTGAATTATATAAACAGATAAATGAAAAGTTAGAATTGTTAACTCAACAATATGAACAAAAAATAATTGAAAACAAAGAGACTGGATTAAATTTCGAGTATTCCAAGGTTGATTTTTCATAGGCATACTTTTCAATAGGGTTGAGTGAACAATGCTAAATGAACAATGTCGAAAAAGTTATTTTATAGACCTAAAATAATCGAATTCATCCAGCCTTTTAAGGAACAAATGTATATAATTTAATTTTATTCCTTAAGTTATTTACAGATTTAAAGTCTAATTTGTAACCAATAATATCGATATGTATATGCGTTCTATTAATATTGATCGTGATTCTATTACTATACAACTATGTCATCAAAGGTATTTTTATAATAGTAAGATAAGATATTTTAACTTCGCAATAAAATAATTCTGGAAAGGTCTCCTAAAATCATTTACTAAATCATTTGATTAAAAAATGAAATTCATTTGTTAAAATATAATTAATTGATTTAAACAACCTTTTTTTCTATAAGTGTTCTCTCAATGAAAACATATTAACTATTGTATAATTTTATCTTTTTTTTCATAGTTTTTAATTTTTAAATTGGTTCTAATATAATTAAGTGTTGGTGTAGCATGTTATAACAATTATTAAAGAAATTATTATTTAATTTGCATGTCTTAAAGAGAACTCCGCAATTTCTGCCAATAAATGAGGGCTTTGGGTTGTCATAGAATAATTTAAATGGAAAATTTTAGAAGGCCTAATTTTGAGCTTGTAGCCGACATTATTTTTTGGTTAGCTTAAAAATATGATCCAAATTAGGACATCTCTGATAAAATTGACGAGGAGGTAAAAAATAAATTAAAACTCAGAGTCACAGAGTAGAATTTATTAAGCAAATCACTTGTGAGTAAGGCAAGGCTTAAAGTAAACCCAAAATGATTATATATGGCTGATGTTTATGCAGTCTAAGAAATTTTGAAAATCTCAACGTTCTTGTATAAAGCTTAAGCATCTCCATCTGCTGATGTAGAAGAGATTCATGATTTTGTAAATAAATCTTTGATTATCTAAAGTCCCTCCCATCGAAATTAAGTAATATTAAAAGTCATAAAATATTGACTCAAGAAATTACTGCTCTTTCCACAAGACTATATGATTAATTGGGGAAGGAGGATGAAGTCAAAATAGCTAGAGTAAGAATAACATGATAATTAATAGGAAAATGCTTTAAAATTTTTGTCTAATGTCTCCAGAGAAGGAAATTCTCAATCTGAATAATCTTAAATCTAGAAATACATCTAAACCATATTGAAATAACAAGACTAAAATATTAAGGAGATGTCGAAATATGTGGGTGCTTTAGAAAGGGATCAAAAATAGTTGGATGAAAAGATAAAGAGAAAAACAAAAGAACTAGAATAAGCAGAGAAAAGATTAAAGGGTATGACAAGTATTAAACCTGCTTGTTAAGAAGAATATGATAGATAAGAATAAGAATCAGAAAAGTTTTATCAAGTAATAGGATTTATCAATTGTTTAGATTTATGTAGAGAAACTTAGAAATCTAGTTTATTTAGAGCATGTCTTAGATTAACAAATTAGGAAGGAGGAATTAGAGGAAAGGAGGAAAGATGAATTAGCAAAAAAATGGAATATAGAAATTTAGGGACAAATGTATATTGAAATGATGGGAGAGAATGATGAATATGTAGATTAATAGGGAAGAGATTCTTGGTTAAAATCAAGTAATAGGAAAGGTGTAATAATGATTTTATGAGAACCTAATAAGGTGGATTTAATAAATAATAAATGAATGATGATGATGGAGAAGAATTGTGTGCTGGTGATTCTGATGACGGAGATGACTAGGATGTATAAGAGGTGATGATGATGTTGAGTTTGAAAATATCGAGGATGCTGATGAAGCTGGCTATTGAAATAAATTAATCCATTATATGTATAAATATTATTAAAAATGGGAGTATGTTCAAATAAGAGTAAAGAGTTGTATTACTAAGAAGATGTACATAATAAAACCAAATAGATTAGTAATATTTACATTTATTGGATATTCAAAATCCTGTTAATGTGAATCATAAATATGCCAATCATTTCACTCTAATTCAAAATAAATATACTGGTATAGGAATCAGACTCACTAATCAATACACTACCAATTTATCAAAAAGTGAGTGGGAATTGATGCAAAATTAATTTTGGGGTAGAGTAATAAAGTTATATAAAGATAGTTATAAAGATTCAACACATTGGTCAAGCATTCGCAACGCTCTGTCATAAGATGATGAATGTACATCTCATTTTTAAATATAGAATCTTCGATTACCATTTTGATGTTGTCTAAATTAAAAATGATTAATAATACAATTCAATTACTGATTTCAGATAGTATTAATATTATTAATCAAGAACAAGTATTTCAAGTTCCAGTATTTGTAATCAATGAACCGATTTCTTGGAACAACGAACATTTGGTTCTACATTTTGAAAAGTCTTCCTTAAAAGTAATTTGCTATTAGATTTAGGTGAGTATACGCAGTAGTAAACTACCTAAAGATTTTTTGATAGAAACAGAAAGCACCTCCACAGTTCTTGAAGTTAAATAGAAAATCTTAGAAGTGGCCAAAGAAAGAACTTGTCGGCTGTATCTGAATGGTAGAGAACTAGTAGATAAAAATTACTTGGGAAATTATGATATTACTTCAGGAACAGTACTAAAAATAATTAACTTAGATAATTCAAGCTTTTTTGTGATTATATTTTAAAATGGTTGGTATTAATTTAAATATGCATAAACAAAAAGAGTAGATTCTTTTAAAGTGTCATCTCTAACACTAGAAACCAGAACTCGACGATATCACTACTTACAACATTAATAAAATAATCGAAACAAATAAATCTGCATCCATTTTTGAGTTAATCTTAGACAATTGCAAGTTCAACATGGATACAAGTTTTTATCAAGAGATATCATTATAGTTTATTGCCATTAGCATAGATTATAATCATTAATTTACTTAGGCTTGAATAGTTGCAATATGTTGAATTTGCAAAACATTCCCAAAATTGATTCATTAAAGAGATTAACCTTAGACTATAACTTCATAACGAAATTTTGAACTAATCCATCTAAAATTTTATCAAAATAAACTGTTGTCTCTATCAATCATACATAACCAATTGGATTTTCAGATTCATCTTTGTTACAAGAATTCTATTTTTTTGATAAATTAATTCAATTATCTATTTCAGGGAATTATAAAATATTACTGAACATGAGAGTATAATAGCGAGAAATGAGATATTTAAAAACATGAAGAACTTAATATTTTTGGATACAATTGCTAAAGGAGAATGTAAATTTTATGATTGCTCTATAGTTCTATCTACTTGCATGGAGAATTAATTTAAAGATCAAAAATAAGAACAAGCATATTTATCAAGATTAGATGTTATCGATTGGAAGGTTGAAAGAGAATATAAACAAGAAAACAGTTGATTGAAATAAGCCAATATATGAAATTATAATTCTTTGAAAAATCATTAATGTTAAAATTTTTATAGATATTTGTTAATCCATAATTTGCTGTTAAATTATCCTATTGAATTATTATTTTAAAGGATATAAAGAGCATTTTATTAATTATTATAAATATATTAGCAATTAATTAAAGTTTTAAGAGATCTCTACCTAAATATAGAAAATCTTCTTGGATTATTTCTGAAAATCTAATTAGATCTAGTTTATAAAAAGATATTTTATTAAATGTTTAACAATACCTATAAATTTGGAACAAATGACATAATAGAATTGAAGTAACATTGGCTATTCTTGGTTGATGTCAAAATTATTAAACCATTTAATTGAGTTTAAATAAAATCGTTATAATTTTTAGAAAGTATTAATTTATCAATCCCACTTGATTCGCTTCCCATCCTACCAAACTCCTTTATGTGAAGTACCATTTATAAAAAAATACTCTCCAATTCCATTTTATTTGCCCATATCCCACTCTCCTATATATTTGTGACCATCTTCCCAAATAAAAGTTCCTAAACCATGTTTCTATCCCTCCTTATACTCTCCACTATACTATTTACCTAACTAATATAGTTTTATACCGTCAACCCATGTCATTGTACCACTTCCTTCCATTTAATTGCCAACCCAATCTCCTTCATAGGTCCTTCCATCAGGCCAAAAATATTTGCCTATGCCGTGTAAATTATTCTTCCAAAAATTGCCTTCATATCTTGACCCATCAGGATAAATGAGTTTACCAAATCCCTCCTTTTTACCATCCTTATATTAACCTAATTTCAATATTAATAATAAATACCTTCAAACACTGATCCATCTGGCCATTTCTCAATCCCAAAACCGTGTTGCTTATCTGCAATCCAATCACCATCATACTGTGCTTTATTGTAATTTATATAAATTCCCTTTCCATTTGCTTAATCATTCAACCACTCACCTTTGTATACATCTCCATCAGGGTGAGTCAAAATTCCATACCCATTGGCTTAATTGTTCTTCCATCCTCCTTAATAAATTGAACTAAACACTCAAATAAAATAAGTATTTACCCATCAGGCCATTTTTGTTCACCTTAGCCCCATCTTTTTCCTTGCATCCATTCTCCTTCATAGTAGGAACCACCTTCCATTAATATTCTTGCTAGTTTAACTGGAATAGTAGATTCTTTAGTTTATTCAACAATTATTTCATCAGAACTCATGATTATATGAGGAAGAACACTTCTATTTGAGTATTGAGAATACTAGTCTTCTTTATTTTCTTATTGTTTTGCTTAAGTTGAATGCTATTAGATATCATCATTTTTTAGTCCAGTATCAATTAAGAAATCTTCATTACGATTTATCTATTGCACTTCTTCATTAACATAGCACATTTTAGTGCAATTACCCATCAATTGTAATTATTATATAAATATCTCTATTTTTCAATACTGTGAAATTAACTTAAATCTCACTAGATACCATAAAATAAATGAATTTAATGGCTCTTTAATTTTGTAATATATTTTTTCAAATAGCTTCAGTTTATGATATTTTAATCAAGAAAATGTTTTTAATTCAATGAAATTGATTTATAGAAAGATAATTTAGTAGGAAGCAAAATAGACATAATTTTACTGATTTAGTGTTAAATTGTCTAGAACACAAGTATCTATCATTTGATACTGGTTTAACATGATAACACTAAAAGTTTAATGAAGGTGCAATTCATATTAACATATAAATATATTGATTTTGAAAAAAATAATTGAAACCTTTTATTTTCACACTTTTATTTCTCTATTTTCCCAAAAAATGGTTAAAAATACTTTAGAATCAACTTCTGAAAAGCATGTTAAATTATTCGTTAATATTATTGAATCCAATATTAAATGTAAATATTATTTAATATACATAGGTAATCGATAAACTTTACATTAATTTTAGTTAAAAAAGTAATCAAATATTGAGTTATTTATAACACTCATATTTCTCATAAATGTGATATTTTTAAAAACTCAATATTTTCTTTTTCATCCTTCTGTATTTTACTTAATATTTAGATTCAATAAGAATTTCTAAAAATGCTTTTATTTAAATATTGTTTAGTAATGAAATATATATTTGAAATAAATATCAAGTAAATAGACAAAGAACCTAATAGTCAGAAGTGGCTTATTATAAATATTTATTATACCTAAGTTGGATTTTTATATTAAATTTAATTTATAAAATTCTAGCTCCATATTTTATTATTAACGGTAAATGAACAATAGTGGGATCATTCAAATTGAGTTTTAGAATGGAATTTATTAAGGATAGACTGGATAAAATAAATACAAATAAGGAATGGGTGTTTATATATGGGAAGATGGATGTGCATATTATGGTGAATGGAAATCAGATGTAATAGATGGTTAAGGAATATTCTTCATACCTCCAAAGACCCAGATAATGGGTCATTTTAAAAAAGCTCAAGTAAACGGCAATTGTGTTCTTTCGACATCTTAAGGAACTTATTATGGTTAATGGATAAAGGGATTACCAGTTGAATTTATAACAGCAAATTTATAAAATTTAGAAATGAACATATATTTTAAAAATGGGAAACCAATTAAGCATGAAAGGAAATATACATCAAAGTTGGAAATACCAATATTGAAAAATAAAATTAATGATTTCTTAGCGATTTAACAACTAGAACTTAAAAATGGTAGTTATTATGGTATAACTTCTAAAAATCAACTCAATTAAATGATGCCTAATGGGTTAGGTATATTTATATCTTCTGATGGAGTGATCTGTAGTGGATAATTCAAAGATGGATTTTTAAATGGAGTTGGTAGATTGTAAAATCAAGCTGGAGATGTATACACAGGTTAATTCGAGCATGGTGAATATCATGGTAGAGGAATATACTTATCAAAAAAAAAAGATGGGTTGTAGTGGACTAAAGGGATTTGGGAATTAGGAGATTTAATTGAGGCTCATTAAAATGGTATTCTAAAAGACGTTTCATCATCAAAAGAAATAATGTGTATTTCTAACTATTATCACTAGTCCCTTATAGCGATCATAAGAATCATATTTAAGTACAGCAACCAATAAATATCAATGAGTTCAAGTATTTTGAAGAATTAATACTAACTTATATTTAGAAATCTGTCTATTATTCTACCAATACTTCTCCAGATGTAGGTAAAAATCATACAAAAATAGCAAGAAACTATTTTTCGAATTCTCCTAAAACATCATATGAAAAAATATCTGAAATTCTCTTTGGAACAAAATTATAGGAAGAAAAGTAATAAGCATAAAAGCTCAAATAAATTCAATAATAAAAGAATATTCAATTAATACAGTATTATAAGGATTAATGTTAATAAATAGAAGATACTTCTAAAATCTAACATTTTACAACTTAGTCTAATGAACCAAAAATATCTCATATTAAAATGAAAACTCATTTTATTGAAACGTCAAATATGAAAGAAGAGATAAAAAGATAAGTAAATAATAATTTTGTCTTACCAAATAAAATTTAAGAAATAAAATATTTATAAATCTTATAATAAGAGTAAAAAGCTGAATCATAAATCAAAGGATCAAAAAATTTAAAAAGTGAAAGAAATAATAGAATTAAAACAGAACTATAATTAAAATCTCAATTATACGATGATATTAAAGATAAAATTTAATAAAATGCAAACATTTAGGAACCTTTGTTAGTGTTTAAAAAACAGAAAACTCAATATTCTCCAAGAATACCTCAAAATTAAGTAATTTCTAAGACAGAGAGAAATAACAGTAATTAATAATAAGCTATTATTACAAAAACTAGCTTAAAAAAGCAAAAGAGCTAAAATTTATCAAAACATTAATGTTTAGCTAACTTAATTTCAATTAAAGATAATAATTTGGAAAACGATAAGTTAACTTTTAGAGAAAAGTAAAATAAAGAATAGGGTTCAATTTAAGGCCAGAAATCCTAAAAGAATAAATAAAATTACCCACAAAATTAATCTTCTAAAATACGTAAAGACTTTAAGATCGTAGAAAATTAAACAACTATACCATAAGTCTAATAAAAATAAAGTATAGAGACTTCTTCAAGAAGAAAATAAGATATAGATGAAACAAAAAAGTTAAGCTTTAGCTAATAAGATTTTGCAAATAATTTTGATCCAATCAAGAGTACTGAAATGAAATAAAGCCAATAAAGCAATATTGAAAAAGATTTAAAGCCTATTGTTAATGAAAAATATGATGGTGATTAAAATTAAATATCTTTAATATAAAAACAATAGAAATATTTGGAATAAATAATTGATCAACAAAAATAATAATTGGAGAATCTTAAGAAAGAATAACAATTTCTAGATAATGAATATTAAAACTTTGATATCAAATCAAAATTTATTACTATAACCAATGGATCAATAGATTCATTTGATAGCAATCCTTAATATTCTGAGAGCTTTAATCAGGACTTCATTAAATCAGTTAAGGACATAATGAGATTTGAACTAAAGAGGAAACAAGGAGATTCTATTAAGGACTCTCCTCATTTTGAACAGTCTAAAATAACAAATAATTAACAATCCTTATTCTCTAACGATATTTAGAGCTTTGAAAATGTAAATTATCATGATAAAACTCCTAATACTATTAAAATATCACATGAAGATTATATATAATAAAAAGTCGACTTTCCTTAAAGTAAAAAGGAAATTGTTTCCTAAAGAGATTTGGATGATCTTTTATTTGAGAACTCTCAAATTAAATAATCTAGATTAGCTAGGCGAACTAAAAGTTCTAAATACTCTACAATAAAGAACCAATAAGAAAATTAAAAAATCTAAAATAACTAATCTTTATAAAATCATTCCTTTCTCTAATCTTAAGAGTAAATTTCTAAAAATTTTGAAAACAATTACATGGATTTCAATAAATATGGGATGCATTAAGATCAGATAAAGAAATAAAATTAAGAGATTTTAATCTAAGAAAATTCAATCAATTAAAATCAAGGTATTCACAAAAAATCAATATCTTTGATCCAATTATAAGATATATAAGATGTGGAATCTTAAAATCATGCTATAAAATAATATGATCAAGGCAATAATATAAAAAAGAATATAAAATAGGAATCCGATAAACAATTATCAATGAATAGTTTAAAATAAATAGCCTCTCCTTCATAGCATTCATCGTGTATTCAAAATAATTAATAGAATAAGTAGATTTAGTATTAGATGCCTTAAATGAGTTAGAATGTTTAAGTCTCTCTTTAACAAGAAGGGAAAAATACTTAACAAGATATCGAAGATATTAAATAATAATTAGAAGCTTAATAATAAATTCTTGTTTCTTTATAGAATAAAATATTATAATCATAACCTATTAAATTTACAGAAAGTAAAGTTCAAAATGTAATAAGTCATACCAAATCTAAAAGCGAATTACCTAACTTCCATCCTGATCCTCGTAGTAGTCCTATAAAAAAAGTAATTATAACCAAGGGATAGTTCCCTGCCTTTTCAATCATCACACCAATAACTCCAATACGATTTTGATTAACTTTATTTAATTTATTTATTTTATAATTTTATGGACTTATAGTAGTTAAGAAAGGAACTGAAAGAAAAAGAAAAAAAGTTAAAAGATGAATAAAATAAGAAAATAGTGCATTTACAATTCTATGGCATGACTAAATCGGAAGCGTATGATTCAGTTAATTTGGAGATGAATTTGACAAAAAGATTAGGGTTAGTTTAATAGAGCATGATTTTAAAAAGAGGTAAATCGGACTTGTTTTGGAGTTCCAATAACAAAGGGATGTTTTTAAGATATTTCAATCAAAAACTAACTATAGATTTAAGAGCAAGAGAAACTTTTAAACCTATTGAAAAACCATGTTTAATCATAGTAAATGGAAATAAGAAATCAAAAAGAAAAGAAATAATATAACAATGTTAATAAGAGATATTGAAATTACTTGATAAGAAAAAGGAGGATGGAAATGAAATTTTAATTAGCATTTTTGGATTTCTGAATTCTAGTATGATAAGTTTATTATCTATAAACTAAGACTTTGAGAAGGTAATACACAGTAACCTGAAAATTTATAAGGATGAAAATATTGTGAAAACAAAAAATTTAATATAAATAGCTGTCAATAATGCTGATGAATTGTAATAAATAATGAACTTGTATAAAAGTATCAAAGCCTTGATTGAATTATAATGTAAATAGAAATTTAAAGAAATTGTATTTTAATTTATAAGAGCAGAATTGGAGGATAATAAATTAATTAGATTTTGGGACAAATGTAATATAGTACAATTCTCGAATGATAATGATGCTAAATAATTTCATTTAAAATAATGTTTGGGTCAACTTGACAAGAAGGAGCATATAAAATGCCATAATTGTAAATTAACGGAATCTCTACAAGATTGTTTTAGAGAGGATTACTAAATTGAATACATTGGATGCTTAATTACAGATTAAAATTTAGAATCACAATTATCTGTCTTGTAATTCTTAGATCCGATTTTACCCATCAAATCTAAGGTAACTTAATAAGAAGGTTAAAATACGATAAAGGAGATCCTAGGATCCCGCCTTGAATTATGAATTGTTATATATAGTTTATATGAATTATATTAAGGAACTTAATGATAATTATTTATAATTCACTCAGAATTCTCATCAATTTTTTAAAATTGCCATGGCCATCTCCAATTATATAAGAATTAACGAAAATCAAAGCGATTATCATCACAAGAATAGGATTAAGCATGAAATGATGCAGTTATACTAACAACCTTATGTCTATTAATGGCATAAAATTTGAAAAACTTTTTTACTTTTTCTGCTACTTGTTTTGGTGAAATGTCACTCCAAAGATACCTTAATTTTTTATATAAACTGACTGGACCAAGTTTTTGGACTTTACGTAATTTAGCAAAAGTTTCTAATTCATCAAAAGTTAATTCCATATCTTTTTCAGAAACATGCCCTTCAGCTGTTAATGGTCTTAACTCTGGAGATGGTTTAGCTTCCAAAATCAACTTAAGGGCAGAAAATTGAAAAGTCTTGTAGCAAAAGTCTAAAAGTTCTTTTAAGTCATTTTTGCTTAAACTTCCAATAGGATTAATATCTGCACTAGAGCAGTCATATTTGGTTAAGAAACCCCTTAAGGATTCATCAAGATTGCTTGAACCCAGAACTATCAAGAATCCTTAAATTCCATTGTTCCAAGGAGTAAGTTATGCCAATAAATAAGTGATTATCATTCTTGATCTTGCCTAGATATTCTATAATGCCAAATCTTCTGATAGTGTGCCTCCATTAACAATAAATTAAGGATCCTCTTTTACAATAGGTTTGATAGCACTTAAACAGGCATTGCAAATATCATCAATATTAACTTCATAATGCTAGCTTCCTATTTACTCAGCTAAAAGTTATGATCTGTGTTTAGAATCAGGTGATGAATTCTGAGTTCCCAAATAAACAGTAAAAAAGATTTTATTGACAATTTCTTACGGAGATTTAGGACAGAATTAATCATCCTAAACTATCTATCGAAGTTAAATGAGCACTTTATGATGACTTTTGTAATCATCATCAATGGTTGAAATAGTTTTAAATATTTTATTGGCCATATAAAAAACACTAATAGCTGTTGCAGCACTATCTACCCCTCCTGATAATGGAAGCATGAATCCTGAGGCTCCTGATCTTCTTAAATAATCCCATAAGTAACAGGCCATAGAATCTTCTACTTCAGACTCATATTGAATGGGGATGTCTCTATAATATACGTAGTTTTATTGTTATGTCAGATTAATGTGTAATTTAATTCTAGGGAAATGCTTTTATTTTGAAGCCATCAAAGATCTACTTTTAATGTTTATTCTAATGTTTCTTATCTCTTATAAATCAATATCACATGTAGTAACTTCGACATCTTTAAGTGAAAAAGCATCACTTTTGGCAAACACTTTACCATTCAAAACTATGCAAGAGCAACCATCAAAATATAGCCTATTGCCATCGCAACCTCTTAAATTACAAAAAGCATAGCAAGCACCATTCCTTTTTGTGATGTCTTTGAATAATTCTGTTCTCTCTTTTATCTTTCCAATCTAAAAATGAGAACCACTAGAATTTAAAATAATTTCAGCTCCATCAAGTGCTTAGCTTGCACTTGTTGGAATTGGAGTCCACATCTCTTCACAGATTTCTATTCCGATTTCTGTATCAAGAGTTTATAATATTGCGACTCCAATAGGTACACATTTTTATCCTGTTATCTTTTAAATGAAAGTCGGTAGTTCCAATTCCTCAATTTCTTTACTCCAAGGTGTAAAATACCTTGACTCCCTGTAATTGCCATCATCCGCCAAGTATATCTTTGGTCTAATTAAGTGAATTTTCTTATTTAAAAGGATCACTCTACAATTATAGAACACACTTTTATGAATAACAGGCATTCCAATATCACACACAATATTATCTGTGTGAAGCAATATCTCTGATACAGCTTCCCTTTATATATAATTCCAAATTCTTACCAACAATGAGTAACAGTATCTGACTCCAAGAAATGATCCTCACACATATAACCACAAACTTCCAATTCAGGACCCACTCGGTATAGGCATTGCTTTCTCTTACATATCTCGATGCTTTCGATTATATTTTGGAGGTTGTAATTAAAATCCATCGCAAATTAGTTCATTGTACAAACACCAATCCTTGTGATTGACATATTATTAAATATTATTAATTAAATCAGATTATATCAAATTTAAATATGTAAAATACATGTGTATCTTTTGTTTTGATTAAGTACATCATATTTTAGAACTTTGATATTTAAAAAGATACACTAATGATTTCATTATAATTTTTTGCATTTAATTATTCATAAATGATTTGTCATTAATTTTTACTTGATTTTGGTTCTCAAGTTCTTATTAATTGGGTTAATTTTTGTGATAAAATTCATTAATTTATTTATATCTATGAGTCTGATCTTTCTGACTAAACACTTTTTTTTCTTTGTTATTATAGTTTTTTTAAGATTAATTAATATTAGCATGTTTGCAGATGAATTCCTTTATTAATTCAAAACATAAGGTTTTTTGTTTCAAGTTGTAATTACTAATGTTCTGAGAACTCTGGTCAACATTCTCTCATATTTAGTCATCTTTGATGTTTAGAATGAGATTTATTATTTTAAACAGAACCATTTGGGATTTTTTTAATTTTATTGATTTCCTTAAATATTTCAATATTATGAATAGGTAGTGGAACATTTTACATTTCTTTATGGTTCTTTAAGATTTTTCAATTTTACTGATTTTAATTTATAAGATAAAATCAATTAACTATCACATAATGTTGCAGGCACAACACTATCCTTTTACTTAAGGCTTGCTTAATTCAATTTCTTTCTATGTTAATATCGTATAGTATTAAGATTCAAACATGCTCAAATAGGCACTTTCTACCATATGGTTCTTCTAAACACTTTCTCCCATTTGTTTAACACCACTCTCCATCATATTCCTATGATTGCTTTCTCCCATTCCCCTATATGTGTTTATTATGGGCCTTCAAATAATAAAATAATAGTATTACCATAAGCAAGCTATGTTTGGCAATGTTCCTTTGTATCTTAACATTAATTAGTCTTCATTAATGTATTCTTATAGATAACTTGGGTCTTTGCAAAATTATATCTTTTTTGCTGTTTCTGGATGCATCAACTCTTTAGATATATGATTATTTTGATACTTTCAACTAACTTCCAAGCTGCTACTAAAAAGAAAGGTGGATTCAGTAGATGCAATTATTCCAAGGAAGCAGTGTAGTTTGATTAGGTTACATCAATAATTTATTTAATTATCTTGAAATGAGATAGATTTCAAATTACTTGATGAGGTAGTCTAAATAAACTGATATCATTTAAATCCACAATAATTCTCCATTTTTCTACATAATAAGGTACCAACATAAATTTTTATATGTAATTTAAGAGTACACACAAAGCATTGAGTATTGGTGGTAATTATTCCTATAGAATGAATAAATTTATTACAATATTTGTGCTTATTTTTGAAACCTAAATAAAAATTAATGGTCTGTATTGCTTGTCTCTTCCCAAACTAAAGATAACTCCTTTTTTCTTAAATGCAATAAATACAATTACTAAAATATCTTCTCCTGCCGAAGTTAATACTTGATATTCTGGATTTTCCTTCCATTTCAAATAATTTATGAGAGTTTAAAAAGTCATCTCAATGTCAAAATTACCAGAATAACAAAATTTTAATGCAGTTTATTTATCCCATTATTCAGGTAACTAAACCTTTCTTTTCCTGATTAAATCCTCTAATTTTTTAATCATTTCTTCTTCGAAATCTTCAAATTCAACATTATAAAACACATTTCGTTTTAATTTGCCATCCACTTAATACTTAATGTATTCATCTATTTAAATAAGTAAGAAATACCAGCATGTTTTATTTGCATTGCTTATTTTGGAGGTTTAAGATAGCTGAAATCCATTAAAAGAATTAAAAATAAATAATTGTTAAATACAAAATCAAATTTCTATTTTATTAAAATAGATATGTGAATAAACTTATGTTTGGCTTAGAATCAAATATTTAATAATAATATTATCTGATAAAAGAATATAGAAGTTCTTATCAGAATAACAAATCTTCAAATTATTATAAAGATATTATTGATTTTAATTTCATATATATATAATATATATTATAACTAAGTTCCAAATCTTTTTATTGGGAATGTAAGTCATTGTGCTTCATTTTCCATTCTCTCTAGATTATTTTAACTTGGAGTATTCTAATATATTTTAACATTTCTTCCACTATCTTCTATCTTCAATACACTTGGCCGATTCTGCTGTCGTTTGATTTTTCTAAAGTTAATGATTTCTATTTATAGTACTTTTTTAATTAGAAACATAATGAACTTACATAGTGTCTTTTGTTTTGTGATTATTCCTCCATAAGTTCTTCTATTTGACATGAGTTATTTGTTGGATATAAATCATATAAATTTTAAGTATCTGCCATTATTTGGAGATCATTAATCATATTTAATTTATTTTTATTATCAAATTTTTACTATTCACATTTTTCATACAAATCCCTTGCAAACCCTATTTTAAATCACCATAATCTCGATTTTTACATCTTTCAAAGAATATTTATAAAATAAAATTTATAGATTAACCATGCTTTTAAACTAGTTATCTACTATGGATCTCATATTCTCCATATGTATGTAATAATTTTTCAATTCCTGATTACTTTTTCGCTTCTTATCAACCAAGTAACCTCAGAAAACATAATTTATTTTATTATTCAAATTTTATGATTTACTACAATCAATTTACTTTTTAATAACATATGGTAAATTTCATATTCCCTTCATATGCATTCTTAGAAAATAATGGTAAATGACTATTTTTATCATATGTTATCATTAAAAAAAAATTTACTAATAAATTTGTGTTGAACCCTTAAGTTATATTATTCTTTATTAAATTACAAATTAATTTGTTTACCTCAAAATAATCATCAAACCTAACTCTCAATAGTTCACAAATTTTATACTGGCAAAATTTAGAATAATTATGAATCATTACTGACTTATTTATTTACAAATTTATTCTAATCAAAGATATATAAATATTGTAAGAATAGAAACAATTACAAAAGACAATATTATTTTAAGGAAGTAGTAATGATGCTGATTTGATATTGATAAGGACGAAACTAAAAGTAAATTAAGGAAGTGCTGAATATTAATATTAAATTATATTATATTTAAGATTAATAGATTTTATGAGTAACACAAAAAAAGTGTTTAATAATCCTGGGAAAGAATTAAAACGATATTTCATGTATGAGTTAACATACATTATTTTAAATAAATAATCATTTTGGTATTTTTGTTAATGATGACGAGGATTTGCTCTTATCAAATTGCCTTAGAAATCTAAAATTAAAATTTAGATATACTTTAAATCTTCAACTGCTTTATCTCTTTATTTTATTAAACTTAAGTTATATTTATGTTTGCTTATCTCTTTATTCAATTATTAAATTAATTTTTCTTAATATTGTTTTTAAATATGTTCATGTCTTGTTTCATTTTCTTCAATTTAATTTTTAATTTTTGAAAATTTGTTCTCTAAATCATTCTACTTTTTTAATTACAAACTTTACAAATGTTCATCCTTTTTCTTTAATTTAACTTATACTTATTCACCTCTATGTTGATAATATTCTTATTTTGAAGAATATCTTTCTCTTTACATTTATTATTTTTATGTTAGATCTTCTTATGAATGAGCTGATTTGATAGATTTATACATGCTGACTCTTCGAAATTTATTAACTACATAAACCAAATTATTGTTGTATTCTTATTATTATACTTCTTCCTTCTTATGCAATAATTAAGGTAACCTAACAGACCATAAATCAACCTTCGATTATTTATGATTATTATTGCTTTGAGGTTCGCTATTTCTTTCAGTTTTTAATAATTATAATTTTGCAACTATCTATTTATTTAAGTCACATTCTTATTTAATTTAAACTGCTTTTTATTGTTTCTCTTGATAAATTTAGGATTATTATTGGAGTTGTTCTGAGAACTGTTGTTTCAATTAATCAATCTTCTTATCTCTAAATACATTAAATATAATACAAGTCTATAGATGCTTATCTATCTATTTATTATCTGACTTAAGACTGCTTTAGAGTTTCAGATTAAGTCTATTTGACTTTTCTTTGAATTTCGATACTTCTTGAATTCAATTCTTTTGCTCTCTCCTTCCTTTGTTAAATAGTCAATAATCTTTTCTATCTCTTTTTTTCAGTTCTTTAATTTAAAGATTACACAAATTCAACTTATTATTCAACCTCCTTCTTCTCCTGTTCCTCCTACTATTATCTTATTTTTGATAACTTTGCTTAATATTTTTGGCTTTTATTAAAATGTGTTTCAATCCAGCTTTCAATCATTTCAGTCGGACTTTTTAAATGTTCGCTGAATTGAATACTACCTAATTTGGATAGTTTAGTACCTGCTAACACTTTAATCTAGATTATGGGGTACTTTTCTTTTATTTAATCTTTACTCATTTTTTAATTTATTTCTTTGCAAAATAACTTATTTTCTTAATTATGCAATTTGAAGCTAATGAATCAAATATCTTTTCTCTGTAAATTAAATTAATTCTCCTTGTATTCTAAAATCAACAAGTTCTCTGTAGGATAATAAGAATAAGTATATACTTTTGTAATAGTTGGTAGTATTATAGGTTGCAAATTTCAAGTGACTTTTTGGTTTTTGGAGAATCAGGATTAATATTTAAGGTGTTTATAGTCGTGATAACATTGTTTAATTTAATATCTGTATCAATCAAATAATTTTACTCGATTGTCCTATTAGATTAAGTATAAAATAATACATTGGATTGCACGAGTATATTTGTTGTTTAGTTAATTTGGTGGGCATGTTGATTATTTTTCTGAAAGATAGATCACCTTCGAAATCCTTCTCATATTATTGCATGAATAATTAAGAAATTATAATAATTATAAAATAGTTTATGTAATATAATTCCACTACGATATATAAATAAAATTTATTTATTAGATTGATGTCATATAAAAGGAGAGAGGTGCATTTGAAGATCTTGTGTTAGATAATTATTATAAAATTAATTATATAATTGGTAATAAGTATAAATGAACTGTATATATCTGACCACGTGTTTATGAAATTAAGAAAAATATCTTTATTATTTAATGTCAGGACCTGTGTTTAAGGCAGCAGCCAAATGGACTGGAAGGAAGATCAACGTTAAAAATACAGTAGTTGAATTGGATGGAGATGAATAAGCAAGAATCATTTGGAAGATGATCAGGGAGAGATTGGTTTTGCCATATTTGAATGTGAATTTAGAATATTACGATTTGAGTATGGAACATAGAGACAAGACTGATGATAAGGTATGATATTTTAATAGAAAATCAAGGTTACTTTCGATTCAGGATATGCTATCTTAAAACACAAGGTTGGTGTTAAATGTGCAACAATCACAGCAGATGAAGCAAGAGTTGAAGAATTCAAACTTAAAAAGATGTGGCCATCACCAAATGGATCAATCAGAGCTATTTTGGATGGTACCGTATTCAGAGAACCCATTATTTGTAAAAATATCCCAAGATTGGTTCCAGGATGGACATAACCCATTGTAATTGGAAGACATTCATATGGAGATTAATATAAATGTTAAGATGTTAAATTACCAGGACCAGGAAAATTAGAATTAGTATACACACCAACATAAGGAGAATAAGTTAAGCGAACAATCTTTGAATTCAAAGGAAAAGGTGGTGTTGGATTGGGAATGTACAATACCTATGAATCTATTGTTAACTTTGCTCATCAATCATTTTAATATGCTTTGATGAGAAAATATCCATTGATGTTGGGAACAAAGAATACAATTTTGAAATAATACGATGGATATTTCAAAGATATTTTCTAAGAGATATTTGAAACTAAATACAAGAAGGTATATTATCTAATATTTACAATAGGATTTCGATGCCAATAAATTATGGTATGAACATAGATTGATCGATGATTTGGTTGCGTAAATGATGAAATCATCAGGAGGATTTGTTTTGGCTTTGAAAAACTATGATGGTGATGTCCAATCAGATATTGTTGCTTAAGGATATGGATCTTTGGGTATGATGACATCGGAATTGGTTGCTAATGATGGTGTTTATGAATCTGAAGCTGCACACGGAACAATCACTAGACATTACAGAGAACACCAAAAGGGCAAGGAAACATCTACTAATTCAGTTGCCAGTATCTATGCTTGGACCAGAGGTACATCTTATGCTTATTTTCTTAGGTCTCAGACACAGAGGAAGATTGGATTAGAACTAAGAATTGATCAAATTCGCTGAAACTCTTGAATCATCTATCATCCAAACTATTGAATCAGGATTATTTACCAAGGATTTGGCTTTGATTGTTCATGGTCCAAAGGCTGACAGATCAACTTATTTGAATACAGAATAATTCATTGATGCTGTCAATGGATAATTGTAATCAAATCTTGGATTTTTGAAGTGAGATATTATAATCGTCAAATATAATAAAATAATATTTCCTCTTCTTAAATATTTTTTTTATAATTTATTAGTGACACCGATATTAAACTTTATGAATTTTTTTCAATTAAATTAGAATATGTAAGTCTTTCAAAATGTCAAAAATCTCAACTAACCTTATTAAGGGTTCTAAAATAAATTAAAATTAATAATCTATCTATCAACCTTAATAGTGATATAGATATTAATATATGCAAAAAAATATATTTTTAATATGTGAGAATGTTTGATTAGTGTTTCCAACAATAAAGGTAGGAGAATTATAACATAATTTTGGTCTAAAGTAATGAAAAAGAATTCTAACACTTATTTATTGAATTATTATTTTAACATGTTATTGAAATAAAAAACCATTTATAAATTCTCAATTGCTGCTCTTCTTTAACCAGTTTATAATCCTTATTGGGCATCTTATGGAACAGAATAAGTAATCAAAAAAAGAGATGTATTAGATAATTTGTTATAAACAGCAATTTCCATTTTAACATAAGATAATACAGAAATAATCAAACAATATAAAAAGGATCTAAAATAACCTAAGGAAATTAAACATAATATTGAGTTCTTCAATAATGTAGAATGGGGTTTGTTGGAACATCTATTACTCTTGCGAAAGGAATTGGATGACAAAAAATTTTCATTTGTTTTCAATCAAAATTAAAACAATTAAACTTCATGGAAGTAAATTGGAGAATTAGAAATTTATGGATTGTCACCTTATCGTCATTAAAATCATTTTATTCATGAGTATATTCATAAAGCTGAGTAAAATAAAGTTACATTTGAAGTAAAGCCACAATTAGAAGAAAAATCAGATGTTCAAGATAAATCAGAAAAATTGGCAAAACCAATCTTAGATTCCTTAGAAAAGGAAAAGTAAGATGTGGCTGGATTATTTGGAAGAGCAAGAAATTTTATCAATAAAGTTAATAAGTTGGTCATCAATGAAAACAATCTTAAACAGGAGAATCCTTCATTTAATTGGAAGAAATATGTGTTGGAACCATCTAAAACTGATAGAATTTTAGTTAGAGATTATGAATTTGAATTTGAAGGAATAATGACAATTAAAGATTCAAATGGTCAATATTTATCAGATACTAAATTCATAGGATAAGTCTAACCTAAACTCAATAAGGTATATTTAAGAACAGAATCTTGGATGGAATCTAAAGAATCAGAATCCACATCAAAGAGTAAGAGATAGGTATTAACTGATTTGAATTGTGTATTAAGAGGTAATCCATGGGTTTGGGTTAAAAAGTTTGATGAAGAAGATGCATGAGTATTGTTTATATATATATTCATAAATAAAGTGATTATTCAATAATATTGAAGTTATGACATTAGATCTTCTTCAGGATTGTTCAAATGAGTATTCCAACCCTCTAAATATAATGGCCAAGCTTTCCATTTATTTGATTTTGGTTTCTCAATAACACCTTAACTGATACTTCTTTAAGTTATTTATTATGATTATAAGTTTCTTATAAAAAAGTGAATTAGGTTCCCTAGGCTATTTAGAAGGAGCCTAGCATTTTAGAGTTTGGTTTGAGACTTCATCAATGACTAAAGGATGTTTTTCTCTAAACTTTATAAGAAATGTTTATTTTCTGATAAGTTAGATTATTTTTATATCTTATGTTGAAATGGAGGATTGGAATAGTTTGAATTTCTTATCTATACGATTCTCATTCGATCTGATAGATTTAAATCGCATTTTACATCGATTGCATAGAACCCTTCTTTGATATATATATTTTGAGCTTAAAATACTTAATTAGATTTTCCCGATAAAGAATTCATTATTTCTTTTCTGAGTAAAGTAATTTTCTTTTCATTCTATTTTGGTTAAATTTATACAGGTGATTGGATTGAGGGTGAGAATGGATTTGGCTTTAAAATTGAAGGAACGGATTCTCTGAATGTAGATATATTAAAGAGATTTTTAAAGAGACTTTTTGTTCTATGTGTAGTTAATTAATGGCTTTAGTTCTTGAAGTTTTAGATGAGTTCATTATTATGATAAAGTATATATATTAAATCACAAATTATATTTAGAGATCTCTTGCAAGAGTTTAGGATCCAATTAGTTGTTTTAAGGTTATTACTCTACTTACAATGGATCTTCAAATTAAGTTAGAGAATGATGACTGCGACAGACCTTTATGCCAAATATATCATCATCTTCCTCCAATTTAATTGAATTTCTCTTTTTTTCATCCCAAGCTCCTACCAATTATATTGCGTTAGTTTGACTTTAATTTTTTCTGCTGTATATATTAATAGATGATTCTAATTTGAATTATTTTAGTTTAGATTTAAAATCTTGACCATCTTTTTCTTATTTTATTTTAATTGAGAATCGCAAGCTCTTATTAGAACCTTAAGAGCTTTCCAAAATGGAATCAATTTGTCTGCTTATAATTAAAGTGTTCTGTAACTCTTAATTCAAAATATCAGCACTGTTGATTAAAGACTTATTCAAAATATCACTATTTTAGCTTATTCTACTTGTATTCATGTCATCCTTTGTGATCCACTTTATCAAGGGTTTCTTGGGAGTTTAAGCATTTGGAATCCATATGTGTTTTAATGCTTCAGAAGCAGTTAATCTTTTTAGAGGATTCCACATAAGAAGTCTTTTGATTAGATCTCTACAACTGGTTGATAATTTTAAGAATGACTCTTATTAGAATGCTTCTTACAATGAATTGCTAATTTTAATATAATCAATTGAATACATACCTATCAGACAGCTATGCTATGATTTCTGCTGTATTATCAGAAATAAATGGCAAAGATCCTGTTAAAGATTGATATAATGTAACACCTATAGCCCACAAATCAATCTATTAATTATATCCATAAGATTGACTAAACATAATTTCAGGTGCTCGATAATGAAGATTGCCAGTTACAGTCAACATCGCCTTTCTTATATATCGAAAAGTGCTATTATTATATGATACAAATCTTCTAGAAACACCAAAATCTATTAATTTAACTGAAAAATCACTTTGAATAACTATTGTAATACTTCTAATCGATCATAATATTATCTGGTTTTATATCTCTATGACATACTCCACAGCTATGTAAACATCTCACACTTTTTAATAATGCATTTGCAATTTTTTATACCTCATGTTCTTTTAGCTTTGTTTTCTCTTGCAAAATAGTTTATAAATTTGAATACGGCACATATTCCATTAGCATATAAATTACATTGATATCGATATATAATTTGTAACATTTTGCTATGTAAGGACTTTTGATGATTGTCGAATTTATGAATGTTTATCTGACTATTTCCAAATGCTCTTCATCAATAGTTGTAATTATTTTCACAGCAAATAACATATTTGGATTGTCCTTTTTCCAACATAGTTTTACTATTCCATGAGTACCTTCTCCCAATTTTCTTCCTAAAACAAACTCATCATTAAAATTCGTTGATTTCACATCAATCTCCTTGATATTTTCACTTTATTCTTCCTCATCGCTAAATTAGATGGATTATTATAATTATCCAATCAAAGGAGTTTAAGTTTTTCTAATTGGTTGATCTGCCTCAATAGGGGATATTGTATGAGTGGAAACCAATAATCCTTTTAATTTTTCCATTTACTTATGAAAATTGGTACTTACTCTTATACTTTAGATCATTAATTTAGTAAAATAAACTTATTTAGATTTCCTTATATTAAAAGGATTAAAATAGTTATGAAGTAGTATTTAACTATTGACCATCGATTAAACCTTTAAAATAATACTCTGAATTATAAAATTGATCCTAGAATAATAGATCAAATATCATTTTTTGTTAGAAATTTATAATTTTGTTCTAAAATTTAGAAAGGTATTGAATTTTCTTACCCTTTATATTATGAATTTATAAAGTAGGTTACGGATTATTACTCAAAATTAAATTAATTAATAAGTTGTCTCATAATAGCATTTAAACAACTAGAAAGAGTTTATAATGCATTTTTTCTTTTGTTGAGAGAATAAAATTAAAAAATGAAATTAAGTAATAGATATTAGATATTTTTGAACTTAATTATATGGATCAACAAAAATGATAAATTTAACTTTCTTCTTAACTTGTTTAGTATTAATCTAAATACATATTTGAATTTATATTTAATATATTATGAATTTTTTAGGATAAATATTCCAAATTAAAGACATGTTGGAATAATCATAAATTTTTTCATTATTTTATAATGTTATTTTATCTAATTTAAATTATTATACAAATAAATAAAGCCTAGTAGGATTTGCCATCCTGTATCCAATAAGATAGTGTTAATTATTGCATCAACCATTAATAATTGAGCCAATAAGTATACTCCTGTTTCACTTAAATCTATCGATTCTAAGATGACCCATAAGAATAATGGATAACTTATACCTAATTTTATCTGATGGTTAACATATTCTGTGCTCAAAAAGTAATAGAGAATAAACACATCATATAGTTATCTTTATTGGAAGATTTAAATAATCTTTATGAAGTGATGATTTTATAAATGTAATACAAATTTTATAAATAGAAACTAAAACTAAGAAAACTTATAAAATTTGAAATTGGAAATAAGAAACATATTAAATCAAGTTAACTTAAGTTATCAAGAGTTGAAGAAAAATAAAACTATTGTAGACAACTTAATTGTTGAATAGCAAGAATTAAATCTCTAAATCTAAATTCAATTTTAATAATTCTAGCAATAGTTTAAATAATTGAATAAAGAAAACATATCCCTCATAAAACAAAACACGATCATAATGACAAGTTTAAAGGAATTCTTATAAGATATTCTATTATAAAGGGCAAATTATAAAATACTTCTTCATTGTATCATTTTCATCATCCATAATTCCTTGACGAATAAACTAAATAACTATATAATAATTTTATACATGCTTTCTCTTAATTTCAGCATAATTTTGAATAACTGTATTGAATTAGTGTTTTTCCTTATGATATTACTTTATTAACTAATTTTGTAGATTAGACATAGAAATAAATATTAAGAGGCTTATTATTCTTTGTAATAACTTGATTTTTTGAAAACTCCAAATTTTAAAAAAATGATTAAATAATTATAAATAATTACATGAAAATATTTTATTCAATACATTTCCTTTATTTACAATCTGTTTAGGACATTAGACTTTGCATTTTATTTTATCTAATAAAGATTATGATGTATTAATTCCTGCTTCGTATGGAGTCTGTGAATAAGATATTAATATTTACAGACAAGTAAGGCACAATATTTAAAGATTTAAAAGAATCAATTTTTAAATCACTTGAGACAGAAGAATAAGGTATAGATATAATAATCCAAGTTTATTTATTACGGAATGGGTAGTTGCCTTCATATTATGATACCCATTCACAGTTAAACGACTTCTTTAAGATTTTTGCTTTTGTTAAGGATTATTAATAATTTATTTCGATAGCTGCAGCTGAAGCCAGACATTATCCTATTTTTTCATTAGCTTTTCATCCAGAAAACGCAGCTTTTGAATTCAAAAGTTAATCTAAACACAATTATGAATCTATATAATTTGGTAGAAATTTAATAAATCAATTTACTCAAATCGCTGGAGAGAATAATCACAGGTTGTAGTCAATTGAGCAGTACTTCGTTTGTATAAATATACGTCCTTAAATTGGGAGAATCAATTATGTGATTGAATAGGAATTGCAAATTTACATCCATTTTAAAAACTATTACACAACAATTAATTTAATGAATCATCATATTTTAATTGAATTTTGAAGGCTGTCTACAAAAATCTAGTATCTTAATTATATTTCTTTATGTTATAAGTAAAAATAATTTGAATTATGTATTATTAATTAAATGAGGAAATTATATTAACCTCTAAAAGCGCCCTCATTATCTCCACCTTCTCATCAAGTATCAACATATTTAGATAAACAATAAAGAACAGGTGATTAATTCTATAGATCATTCCCACATTCTAGATCTTAATTAGATGATGCTAGATCAAGATGCAATTTTTCATCTTATTATGAATAAGCAAGTGAATAAAAATATCTTACAACTTAATTTAAATCCAATGAATGGAATGTCAAATGTGAAAATGAAAAATAAAAAAAATAAATTGAAATGTTGAACGATCAAATAACCAAGCTATAAAAAGACTTATAAATTTATAAGAACCAATAAGTAGATAAATTTGACAGTGATCATCAAAACTTAAATAAATTAATGTAAGGATACCAACGGAAAGCTTAGGAGAGAAAAGCTATTATGAAATAATTGTACAGTATCTTAAAGACTAAAGATTAAGAAATTGAAGAACTTAGTTAAACATATGAATGCCAAATGGATGATATGAATAATAAAATGATCTAACTAAAAGAGTAGTGTGATTCTCAATTATTTCAACAAGAAGACAAAATAAAATAAATTGAATAAGTAATAAATAGCATATTATATTTGAAACAATCAAAATTGCAAGAGTTAGAAAGCAAGGAACAAAAAATGAGGGATATTCTGTAAAAGTTACTTAAGAAATAAGAATCTAAAGAGAAGATAGACGAGGTTAAAAACATTTTAACATTTATCGCCAAAGAAAAATAAAAATATCAACTCAAATTACCAGATAATTCTGAGTAACAGAATAATTTATCTAAAGAATACTAAAAAATAGTAACTAAATATGAATCTGTTATGATGTAAATTAATAGGCTCAATTAACTTATTACAGATTAAATTAAACCAGCATACACATGTGAAGATTCCATTTATCAGCTTTCCTATAATATTAAAGAAATTATAAAATAGAACAGCAATATCTACAAGGAAATAAAGCAAAAAGAAGAAGAATAGACAAAATAAAGTAATAAACTTGAAAAATACAAAAAGTAAATGGAGCAAAAAAATTCATAAATTGATTCCTTAAAAATGGATGTGAAGAATCTTAATTAATAACTACAAAATTAGGAGACTATAAACTCTTTAAATGATTGCATAAAAAAACAATCACAACAGATAGAGATCCTTTAATAATAAATTATTGAATAGAATAAGATATTAGAGCAGAATGAAATAATTATTGCTAAACAATATGAAAAGGAGAACCAATTGTTTTCTGAAATTAAAATGATTAAATGCGAAAAAGTTAAATCTTTACAGTAAGATGAGGATGATTAAATAAAATATAAGAATACAATCAATGATTTACGCTAAGAAATTAATGAACTCAATTCTTAATTGGAAAATATGTATACTGAATAAGCTCAATTATAATAATAGATTGATGAATAGGAAATAGAGCATAAAAAATCTCAAATCTAAATGACAAATACCATTTAAAAGTTTTAATTAGAAATTAAGAAGTATTAGTAATTAGTAGAAGATAACAAAATTTAATTTAATTAATAACTCAAATAACAATAATAACAACATAAACAAATTTAACAAGAATTAATTAACAACTAAAATTAAATCTAAACTTAATTGAGTGAATATTTGTAAATCATAGAAAACTTAAAAAGTAAGGAAAACTTAAATTAAGTTCTTGACAACTTAATTGATAATTTAAATCTTGTCATCAAGCAGAAACTTTTACAAAATCTAAAATCTTCTTCCAATCTAGCGTAAAGCCCCATGAAGGGAATGTCTAAGAATTCTTCACCTATGAGGTAGATATTAAATCATAACAACAATAATTAAATTGATCTCTAAAAGATACATTCAACTTTAGATAACATATCTGAGTAATTTTAAAATAGACTCAATTTGTTGATAAAGAAAGATGAAAAAAATTAGGATCTAATTTAGCATTATTGTCAATAAATTGAAGAGTCTCAACAAACAATTTAATAGTTATGTGATGATAATGATTAGTAAAAACAATTTATTACTTAAATGTGTAAAATTCTCAATATTGAAAAAATTGATGATCTCAAAGAGAGAATGTCATTCTCAAAGGAGGATTAATCATATATTGAAACTCTTAATTAAAATAATGCTTAAATATAACAACTAATTAGTTATAATTAAGAATTGCAGTAAGATATTCAGTAGTAATAAATTATCATAAAAGATTATGAGATTTAAATTGATCATCTAAAAAATTAGATTAAGTATCTAAGTCAGGAAAAAGAAGACTAATGTAAACTAACAACCCAAATAGCCTCTCCTACATAATCAAGTAGAAAGGATTCTATTATAAAAATTTTGTAGAATGAAGAGATATAAAATAAAGATTAATAGATCACAGAATTAAATGATAGAATTTCTATATTGAATATTGAAAATTCGAATCTTTAACATTAGTTAGAATCATAAATTAAGTTAGTTTAATCCAAAAATGAAGAAATTCAAAATCTTAACTCTTAAGTAAGAGATTTGTTAGAGAAATAATAATATTTTGAATAATTAATTAATGAATTGAATGCATATCATTAACAATCTAAAAATTAATAAGAAGTTTAAATAATTAAATTGGAAGGAGTGTCTTATGACATTTCTCATAATAGCTTTAATTTTGATGCTTTAAGAACACCAACAAATTAAAATTATATTATAGATGAAATTTAACAAGAACAATCTATTAATTCATCATTATCTTCAATTGTATAAATGAGTCCTAACACTTAAATCAAACAAATCATATAGTTAAATAAATAATAAGAAGAAAATATAATTTAGAAAAATAGGTTAATATAAGAAAAAGAAGTAGATTTGGAGAAACAAAATGAAGAACTTTAGCAATTATAATCTATAAATATTAAAAATGATTAAGAAATCATTGATCTTAATTTACAATTGACTTAGATGCATGAAAAGATAGAAACTTTGATCTAAGAATAGTCTTCAATTTAATAATAAAATGATGAATATACAAAAAAGTTGAAGATAGAAAAAGAATCAGCCACAAATTAGATAGAACAATATAAAAAGGAAATTTAAGAGGTGAAATCAATAAATGATCAATTATCTACCAAATTGGCTGAGTCAAGAATTCAACTTCAAATGAATTAGTAAGAATAAATCACTCAAACAGAAAATAAATAAATTATTTATTAGCAGAATAAAGAAATTCAACTCCTCAAAACTATAAATAATGAAAATTAAATTTAAATTTCCTAACAAAATAATTAGATGTAAAATTTATAAGAATAATTCGATCATCTGAGGTCAAAATCTAAAAATTTAATTTTATACACTAATTCTACTATCAAAGAGATGAAAATTGTTTATGCTTAAGAATTACAATAAATTAAAGCTAACTTACTTCAACAATAATAACTATTTAAATAGGACTTATAATAATTAGAAAGTAAATTGTTTGAAATAGAATAGACATATCAATGTAGAATAGATAATGCTTAAGCCAAAATCTAACAATTTGAATAATAAATTGCTGAATATTAAGCAAAAATATAACTTTTATAACAATCAAAGTTGTAAATCGAAGAGAAATATTTCACAGCATAAAATGAATTTTAGGGGTAATCACAATTTATAGATTAATAAAATTCAAAGTTGAAATCATAAAAATTATAATTAGAATTAAAGGAAAAACAATTGAAATCTATTGAAATTCAATTTTAAGAATATAGTGATCAAATTGAATAATCAAATTAGACAAAAAATACTTTATAGTTAGAAATAAATTCATTATAATAAATTTTAGATTAATAGTTGCAAGAAAAAAACTTGATTCATGATCTGAATGAATAAAATTCAGAAAAACAATAATTATTATAATAAAAGGAACAGCAACTCAAAATTCTTAATAGTGAATTGGAGAATTTACAGTTGTAATTAGATGGAATTGTTTAAAATTAAAGAGAAAAGGAATTCAATCTTAATGTATAAATATTGGATTAATAATCACAGTTAGAATAATATGAATCGAGCTTGAAAGAAGTGAACCAAACTTTAGAAAAAAATAAATAAGAATTTTAACATAAAATAAATTTGCTTTAGTAAGTGAATTAAGATCTAAATGAAAAAAATTAAAATAATATTGTTCAAATTAAAAAATTAGAAATAAATGAAGAACTATTGAATAAAAAGATATTAAAATTGGAATTTGAATTAGCTAATATAAGAAATGAATCTGCAGAAAAGGCTATGGAATTAAGTTAAACTAATTAAGATTATTATAAATTGTTAGATAATTCAAAAAAAGAAATCTAAAAAGCATAGATTTTGAAGGACTAAAATAACAAATATGAACAAGAAATTCTTCAATTAAAATAAAACTTATAAACAAAAGACCATTAATCAGCAGGGGTAAATGAATAATTGAATTCATCTATTTAACAAAATTAAGATATCCAATCCTAATTTACATTGAAAATAACAGAATTGGAAAAATAAATTGTAAATTTAGACAAAGAAAAATTATTACTTAATGAGTCTAATGAGTAGCTTATTAGAGAGAAACACAACTATTTTCAGCATTAGATTACAAAAGAAAATCTTAATGAAGAGAAAGAGATTGCTATATAATCATAAGGAGTAAAAATCTAATAACTTAAAGATCAGTTATTGAGAGAGTAAGAAAATATAAATAATTTATAAGATTCTCATCAAAAATAAATCTAAAAATATGTTAATGAGAAAAGTGAATAAATCTAGCAGTTGACAAGTAACAACCAAAATTTAACATTATAATTACATGAGTCTAGATAGATTTCAAGCGAAAGTCTAAATCATAATGATAAGCTAAAAATTATTATCAATAATTAATTAACTTAAATAGAATAATTGGAGTAAGCAATCATCTAATACAAAAACTAATTTTAAGATGCCCAGACTAAAAATGAAAATTTTGTTACTTTATTGCATGAATCAGAACATAAATGTATAAATTTAAATGAACAGAATAATTAATTTTAATTATCAATCTAATAATAATAATAACTTTAAATTTAATAATCTCAGCAAATTTTAAATTAAGAAGAGGATCTTAGATAAAAAGCAAGTACAATTATCAATTTAGAAAAGTAAATATTTGAAATAAATAATTAATTATCATATTAATAATAGGTTTTAGAGGACTCAAACATTGATAAGTAGAAAAAGCTTGAACAATCCCAAAAAGATAATGATCTTTAGCTTTAATTAGTAAAACAACTATAAGACAAATTAAATTAATGCTAAACTGAGCTACAAGTACTAAAATGTGAAAATAATGAATTGCGAGTAGTATCAGAAGAAAATATCAATTAAACTCAAAGCATAAAGGCTTTATATTAGAATTAATTATTCTAAATCTCTGAATTGAGAAACAATATATCAGAGTTTGAAGAAAAAGAAGAATTAAATTTAAAAAGAATTGAAGAATTAACAATTTAGCTTTAAAATGTAGTGGCAGAAAAGGAGAAATAAAGACTTAATCAAGAGGCCTATGTTAATAGTATTCTAAAGGAGAAATAGTTAATTGAGATTCAATTAAATGAAGTAACTTAAACTGGATTAAAGTAAATTGAGTTTTATAAATAAGAGATTGCTTAGCTAAATCAAGAAAATGAAGTAGTAAAAAAGCAGTTAGAAGATAATTTAGAAATGAAAAAATTGGTTGAAGAAGGATTAAATTAGAAGGTAAATAATATAGCATTAGAATTTTAATAAGAAATTGATCAATTGAAATAAAAATAATATGAAAATTAAAAGGCAATTGAGGATTAATAAAATTAGTTAATAATTTAGGTGTAATAGGAAAAATAATAATAAAATAGTTTGATAGCAGAGATTAATAAAATTTAGAATGATTTTAACAATGAAATAAGTAAAAATCAATAATTAATGCATGAAAACAAGAGACTTCAAAAATTTTTAAGTTAATCTAATTTGGATAAAGATTTGATGCATGACAGACAGCAAATTGAATAAGGAGAATAAATAATAAATTGCGATGAGAATAAATCACTTAGATAGGACAATTCAATATCTGATAGACAATAATGCGTATCAGTTTTATATGGAATAAGTGGCAATGCCAGCGAAAATTTTGAAAATTAAATGAAATCAAGTTGCAATTAGAATTAAAAAATTATTGTACTTTAAGATAAAATAGCATAATTGTATGATGAAAATGACAAATTGAAGAGATAATAACTACAGAGCTTAGATGACTTTATTGAGATATCACCTCTCAAGGAATCAGATTTGATTAAATAATTACGATAAGAAATAGAGACATTAAAGGCCGATAAAGAATAAGGAAAGGCCAAAAGTGAATTGTAATTAGAAATAGTAAATTTAGAGAAAAAATTAATAAAGAAGGATGAGGAAATGTAGAATTTAAAAAAGGGGACATATATTTATATAGATATGTGCGAGAAGGCAATTGTTTAAGATAGAGATTGGATGATCGATTTAAATAGTTTAGAGGAACGATAAGCAAATAGATGGCGAATAGTCTGTGAAAAGTTAGTAGAATATGAACATTTATAAGGAGAGATAATGAAGAATTAGAATGAGATTTAAGAATTGTAATTGTAAATAAAAAACAAGGAGAATTTGAGTATAAAGAGCATGATAATGAAATAAAGTTAGTCATTAGATGATGAAGATATATTCAGTATAAGGTCAACAGTCTCAAAATTAAGATAGGAATTGGAATAGGAAAAGCTTGAAAATTCAAAGTTAAAGTCTTATTTAAAATCATATTTAAAGGATGAATAGAGGTTTGAGGTATCAAAGAAATAAATAATTTAGGAATAAAATTAAAGGGTGAAGGAGGAAAACAAATCTTTGCGAAATAGAATAAGTGATCAATAGGAGGAGATCAAGTAGTTGAATGAGTAAATTTAGAATTGCAAAGATGGGGCACTGGCTTCTCATTTAATTTCCTTATTAGTTAAATTTTTCGAATCTTATTAAAAAGAGTTTATATTATTATATTATTATAGGAATAAATAAGATATAAAGGTATTTTATCAAAGTCTAGTGAGTATTTGCAGAATAGAATATAATGAGCAAATTGTAAATAAGTTATTTCAGAGTGTTGAAAAGAAAAACCAAAGTGTTTTTGGAATATTTAGAAGGGATAAATCCAAAGATAAATGATGTTTACTCTATTAATACTTATAATAATTAATTGAATTGTAAATGAGTTTCTAAAGACCACCTACATCAACAACTAGAGATGTTTCTTCAAGTATTTTCGGATAAAGTCACACAGAGTGGCATACTCCGAATAAAGACTTGGATTGGAATCAAGAAAAATATATGAGATAATTGAATGAGATCATAATTGAACGTAAAATAAATAATTTGATATATATTAGAGAGTGAATCTCCAATTCAAGAGAAAAAGCGATAAAATTAAACCTAGGAATATTAGTAGATAACTTTTGCAGAAGTAATTCAAGCATTTAGATTAAATGAAGGTTATTATTAAGTTCGCAACAAATCTAAATGCTCTTGCTTTGGTTTTTCATCTAGTGTGTCTACAACTGATTAGGTTAAATAAAAGTTCATTCAATTAGGAATGGATTAGTTAAATCTTAAAAATGAATATCATAGAAATACTATCTATTCTATACATTGTCTACTTAATAATACTGAAACGGCTAATGAAAACCAGTTAAAGATGATGATAAAATATACTTCAAGATACTTTTAGTTGATGCAATTTCTATCTTGCCTAGAATTTGAAACCCCTTTATTTTAATTATTGTATAAGGAATCAGGGGAATTAATAATATAATTGGTAATGAATGTGGGGGAATTGGTATTAGAATAATTATTGAATAATAAATTAATCAAACTTATCTAAAAAGAGGCATCTCATTTACTAATTAATATACTCAGAAATTATTAGACCAGTCTCATTTTCCATATATATAAAGAAATTAAAATATCAAATCTTCCACTTTAAAATTTAATAAAACAATATGAAAAATCTGATCCTCAATTATGTTACAATTGGTATATCAAATAGAAATATTTTAATAATAATCTATTCTCAGATTGATTTTTATATATAATTAATTAGTTATTATCATTATATAAACAAAACAATAATAAACATTGAGATTAGTGCCCCGTAGTTATTGACACATTCCCCAGTATAATACCCTTCAATTTCACTATTTTGACAAGCGCTGCAAGGATTATCATAGGTTCTTTCACAACCACTTCCATGGCAAGACTTTAAGACTCCACAAGTTTGAACATAATCTTGATCACATTATTAGGGTCTTTGAACCTGGCAATATTAATAATTGGCCACAAAAGAATCCATTTGTTATTCAGGATTATAGAACAATTTTTAATATTGATTGCAGTCTCCAATATAATATGATGTAATATTAGTTTATTAGCATGGTTCACATTAATTATCGAATGGCTATAGACAAGGCGGATTTTAACATTTAGCTGTCTCATCTAAAAAGCCACAAACAGTAAGCTGCTCTTTTAATTCACATTTCTTTTGAGATTGTATGCTGCACTAAATAACAGTTGGAGTCTAGGGTCTTAAATTATAATTTAATAAATTACTTGTACTCCGAGCAATTTCCAAAGAAGTAACTTTGAATTGAGCTGTTTCTACAACCCAAACACTAATTGGAGAATTACTACAAACAACTTTATCCAGTACATTTAGTAGTAGAATCAAGGAGTCCACATATTTATTTTAAACTAAATGATTACTAATTGATTATTACCTAGTATCACATATGCTGGGTCTTGGATTTGTACAAGCTATCACTTAGGTGTAATTCCCCGGTTATGTTATAACAGTGCTATTATCATCTTCACTGGGTAAGGAAGGGGTATTAGTTTTAGTATCATCAATTTGCTTTTAACATTCTCCTTTTATATATTTCACCACCTAACTTGCTTTACAAGCATAACAATAATTAACAAAAGTTTAGATGGAAGTGTTGCTAATATTTAACCCACAAACTGGATCATAGTTTTCTGAACATTCTTCTTATTGGATTTAACAATCATTTATCTATGATTGTACAAGCAATAAAAGTAGCATTAAGTACATTGAATATATTTGTAAAAAACAATAATTATTACTAAAAATAGTGAAAAAAAAATCGCATATATATATATATATTGGGGTTTTTTAAATAACTAATTAAAATAATTATGTTGATTTAATAGTGTAGCTTTTAATAACATCATCAATTTTTTTTAAATTAATAAACTTGAAAAATTGATAATAATTAAATTGATATTTCAAATTCACCAAAGATCTGATTATCTTGGATTTCTTAAATAATCATCTAGATAGAATAAAAATTTGAAATCAATTGAAAATTCCTTTTTAAATCTGCTATTGCAATTCTTTGAAATTTATAAATCCAATTTATAAACATTTATTCTAAGTATCTTCACTTTAATTTTATATAGATAGTTGTATAAATAAGATTGGAATCATTTAAATATCGATAGTTAATTATAATTCTTTCATTTCAAGTACTTTTGGATAATAAGTTATTTTTCAGAAAGGCTTGATATTATTAATCTTTATAATATAATCTATTTTTCTCATTTTTAATCAAATAGTGAGATAATATTTATGTTAAGGTTTTAGAAATTGGGAGAAGATGAATAAGCTCGTTTAGATTAAGAAAGCCTTAAACAAAAAAAAGAGTTTTTAAAACAAGAATTCGAACACTAGGAGGAAATAAGAAAATATGACAACCTCTCGATTTTTTCATCAAATGATTTCAAATTTAAGGCAGAATTAGATAAATTGTAAAGCTCTAATAAAAGAAAACAATAGGAATTAGAACTTCTGTTAAAAGCAGGATAAAATAAATCTAAATCTAAAACAGGAACTTCATAAATGCAAGAGTCAATTAGTGGTCATGGTGTTATTCATTCTATTAATAACCATCATTCTGACCCTTTGTTTGAAACATTTAGTGGGAATGTGAATAATAAGTAATTAGATTTAGAATAAAGAGATCAATATATTGAATTATTGAAATTATAAGAATCTCGTTATGAGAATTTAATATTGGAGGAATAAGAGAAAAGTGAATCATTGTAAAAGATTCTAGTAGAAATTGAAAAATCAACATTAATACAACAAAAAAAATGCGAAGAATTACAAATTATTCTCAGTAAAGCAGGGAAGAGATTCAATAATACTGATTCTGTGAAACTGATGGCTGAAAATAAGAGGTTCCTAAGTAAGAAAAACCTATAATCTATAAAAAACGAGTTTGGTTAAATGAAGTATATGTAAGACACATATAAGCATTCATAGGAAAACAAATAATACTAATTATAAAAAATACTATATGTTGGAGAAGAAAACATTGGACATAATGCTTTAAAAATAGAGGAAGCAGAAAGATTTATTGATGCTTAAAACAAGGAGTTTGAAATTTTGGAAGAGAAGAAATAAAATTAATTGAAAAAAAAATAAGAAAGCAGATACATTCTTACTTACATTGAATTTTTTGAGATTTTTTAATAGATATTTATGAATAGGGATAATCCAAATGAAATTAGATTGGTTGATTAATATATGGTAGATGAGGAATTGTTATAAAAATGGAATCAAAATCAATAAATTGATAATTTATAGTAGGAATAGGAGGTTAATTTTGATAGGAATGAATTACTATCTCAGATTAATAAGTTTTATCAAGAAAATGAATAAAGAACAGAGTATATTCTTGAGTTTATGTTAGAGAAGTATTGGCATCTATAATAACAATTAACAAAATAAAGTATTACCTATGAAATCCTATTAAAGTAGAAGGAAGTTCTTTAAGATGAAATTGAAAATTTAGATTATGAGATTCTAGAATTAAAGCAGAAGAATCCGAATTTAGAAATTCATGAGTAGTCTATTGTTGCTGAAGATGCGGGTTTGATGAAATTAAAAAATGAAACAACCACTCTGAATATTAAGAAAATGGAAATAGAAGAGCATCCTGAACAAGTTATATGGATAAAGGCTACAAAAGCTCAAGGATTATTAATGAATTTTTAACTGGGATTAGCTGAATACTTACATAGAATTTATTAGATAATTTAAGCAATAGATTAGAAAAATAAAGAAAACAAGAAATTTAAATATCCTAGTTTAAATAATGAAATAAATGGGATAAATTTATTGATATCAAAGATATATAATATGAATAAAAATTAAAATCAAACTAATGAGTTAACTTAATAACATTTAAACTAATTTGCAATATATAATATTGTAGTTGAAGTACTTCCTACATTTAAAGAATAAGAATTACATTAAATTAGTTCGTACTTCTATATTTAAAGTAAAACAGATTAAATTTTATGGTTTAATTTAAGTGTAGAAAATCTAACAAATTTTTTTAAATCCTAAGACAATCCAACACTATAAAAATTACTCAGTCCAGAAATCATAAATGAATATAGAGATCTTTTAATCGAAATATTTAAACACAATTTTCATAAGTTATTTGAGCATTACCAAACAACATATAAAAAGATCAGCGACATTAGTTAAGATTTATATTAGTATTTAAAAGAAATCAATCCAAAATTTGATATTAAGAGATTATCAAAATTGTTATTAAGAGAAGGTTAAGATATTTAATCAGCTAAAGATTTAATTATAAGAAGAATGATGGAGTATAAAACAGGAGAAAACATAACATTAAATGGTAAAAATGATTAAAATAAAACTTAAAATATGAGACCAAAAATTGAGGAGGAACAAATCCAGAGTGTTTCTTAGCAATAATAATAATAATCTGATTAATAAGATCCCTCTCTATTGTTTCCGAAAAAGCAGAGATTGGATGAAGAAAAATTGACTTAGATTTAAACATTTTTTAGGTCTAAGATAAGAGAGAAAAATGAACAATTAAGAGATTAAAAAAATAATGTAACTATTTCAACAAAGGATAGACCAGGTAGTAATATAGAACAATTGAATTCTGAGAATATATCAATGATCAAAGGTGAAAATAAAATGAATAGGGCGAAATCAAAGAAATTAGCAGAGAGCAAGACAGTTCGGAATTTAAAGGATGATTTGGAGTAAGAAAGGAGTTTATTGAAGGCATAAATAGCTGTTGATTTATTAAGATCGAAAGAGGAGTAAGAAAGAAAAGATAAACCGTTAATGAAAGAATAATAAAATGAGATAAAGGTGCAGATCAAACAAGCAACGGAGAGATTATATGGTGAGAGATAATATACAGTTTAGATAATGAGAAACATGGCACAAACAACAGCGATTTTAAGTGATATCAATTAACTGGAACATTTCTCTTCAAAAATAGAATCTNGCTACAAAAGCTCAAGGATTATTAATGAATTTTTAACTGGGATTAGCTGAATACTTACATAGAATTTATTAGATAATTTAAGCAATAGATTAGAAAAATAAAGAAAACAAGAAATTTAAATATCCTAGTTTAAATAATGAAATAAATGGGATAAATTTATTGATATCAAAGATATATAATATGAATAAAAATTAAAATCAAACTAATGAGTTAACTTAATAACATTTAAACTAATTTGCAATATATAATATTGTAGTTGAAGTACTTCCTACATTTAAAGAATAAGAATTACATTAAATTAGTTCGTACTTCTATATTTAAAGTAAAACAGATTAAATTTTATGGTTTAATTTAAGTGTAGAAAATCTAACAAATTTTTTTAAATCCTAAGACAATCCAACACTATAAAAATTACTCAGTCCAGAAATCATAAATGAATATAGAGATCTTTTAATCGAAATATTTAAACACAATTTTCATAAGTTATTTGAGCATTACCAAACAACATATAAAAAGATCAGCGACATTAGTTAAGATTTATATTAGTATTTAAAAGAAATCAATCCAAAATTTGATATTAAGAGATTATCAAAATTGTTATTAAGAGAAGGTTAAGATATTTAATCAGCTAAAGATTTAATTATAAGAAGAATGATGGAGTATAAAACAGGAGAAAACATAACATTAAATGGTAAAAATGATTAAAATAAAACTTAAAATATGAGACCAAAAATTGAGGAGGAACAAATCCAGAGTGTTTCTTAGCAATAATAATAATAATCTGATTAATAAGATCCCTCTCTATTGTTTCCGAAAAAGCAGAGATTGGATGAAGAAAAATTGACTTAGATTTAAACATTTTTTAGGTCTAAGATAAGAGAGAAAAATGAACAATTAAGAGATTAAAAAAATAATGTAACTATTTCAACAAAGGATAGACCAGGTAGTAATATAGAACAATTGAATTCTGAGAATATATCAATGATCAAAGGTGAAAATAAAATGAATAGGGCGAAATCAAAGAAATTAGCAGAGAGCAAGACAGTTCGGAATTTAAAGGATGATTTGGAGTAAGAAAGGAGTTTATTGAAGGCATAAATAGCTGTTGATTTATTAAGATCGAAAGAGGAGTAAGAAAGAAAAGATAAACCGTTAATGAAAGAATAATAAAATGAGATAAAGGTGCAGATCAAACAAGCAACGGAGAGATTATATGGTGAGAGATAATATACAGTTTAGATAATGAGAAACATGGCACAAACAACAGCGATTTTAAGTGATATCAATTAACTGGAACATTTCTCTTCAAAAATAGAATCTCCTTAATTAGTTGGCCAATTTGTCATTTAACGAAAGAATTTACATAGGAATCTTAATAAAGAGTTAGGTTTACCTACTTTATCTTATTTGAAACCTACAAGTGCCTATTTTTCAAGGAGAAATCAATCTTCTGAATAAATCAAAGCTATGGATTACAAAAGATATTATGAAATAGAAAATGGAGTTAGTTCAAGACCTTACACTTAGTATTAATCAAGTCGTAAGCCTTAAACTACTTCAAATAACAATAGCTCTAGAAAAAGAACCCATCAAAATTAGGATGAATTGAAAAATAAATATTCAGGAAGAACCAGAGTCACAAACAATAATGAATCCATGAATACATTTCCTATGCCGTAAGAAGTATTTCATTATGAATATCCTAAATCACTATTGGTTCCAGCAGCATTATGAATAATTTTTACATTTTAATTTATTATTAATGTATTCTTTTAATAATTAGAAAAAATAATGATAAATTTGAATACCTTATAGCTTCTGAGTTGTGTGATAATAATATTAATTTAAGTATATAGATATAAAGAGTAATACTTTTGGAATATTATAAAAGCATATTTTAACATACTCACAGTTTAAGTATACATACTAACCATTTATAACGAAATTCAATAAATACAATAATATTTAGGATATAACAAGAATGTCGATTATACAAGATTATTTATACTCTAGAGACTTCAATCTACACTTTTCATATAGTCATTATCAATTTACATGGGAGTGCTCTTCATTATCATAATTTTGAAAAATATGCATCAAAATAACAGAAGACTAAGTTATAAAATTTTAATTTTGGTCTAGTCCCTGCTTTAGACCATACTATTTTAATTCGTTTTTATAATTTGTGCTTTGTATATAAAATACTTTAATAGAACTAATCAATTTAAAGATTGTTTAGAAATAGTCTATGTTAGAGCTTTGTTTTTATTTTCGGCAATTAGTTCAATGTCACCAATCATGTAGGTTTTATTAGAGCAGCCATTAAATAATTTTAAATCATCAATAAGCAAGATCAAGTAACCATTTATAAAGGACATTAAATTTAAATCAGTTTTGCAAATGAAACAAATCTAAACAGATGAAGAATTGGCTAAATTAAACCATACAGAATTGGATTCAATGTTAATATTTGAAGACATTGAAGATAATAATGAAGTTAAATATTCAGACTTATGCAAATAATAAATTATTAATTTTATTTAAACTACTTGGAATTTAATGTAATTGTTTTGGAGATCCTTAAACTTAATATATAATACAATTCAATTAATTATGGCATTTGTTTTGATATTTGGGTTTATTTGTATTTTTGTTGAGTATATTGATCCAAACAGCGATTTACTAAGTTAATTGAATGCCATCAATTTTTTTTCAACATAATTAGATTCAAATAGTCAAGACAGCGGAATGAAATAAATTTAATTTGAGATGATTGAAGTAATCACTATAGCTGCTTTTAAGTTTATGTTTATTATCATAATGTATTTTAGTACAAATAATCGAATCTAGTATTCAAAAAGTATTTAATTGTAATTATATTACAGATAAGGAGTTGATTGATAATGTTACAAATTTGACAGTGATAATTCGAAAAAACTTGCTCAACTTCACTTTAATTGGCCTATTAACTACATTATATCCTAATCTAACATTCACGATAAATAATTCGAATTGTTATAAGGAAATTTAATATAGAAATGGCTAATTAATAAAAATGGGTCAAGTGATTGCAATTAATGATTAATAGAGTTGCCCAATTACTATAATTTACTTAATTTCTTTATAGATATTCAGTAGTCCAATTACAACATCAATTGGATTACTAATTTTAATTTTTTATCTTTTAACAGCATTTTACATATTGTGTTTAAAAAGAAAAAGCAAGAATTTAAGCGAAATTTGATATTTATTAAGATTAATTAATTATTATATAAATATGAATCCTAATAGTACGACAGATGACACATAATTTTCGCTTTTAGAAAAAAAACCCAAAAAATCACAATTGTTCTAAAAGATATTCTTCTTTACCTTAGGTGTGTCGTCACTGTCAGGATGGAATGCTATCTTAACTGGTTTATCATATTTTGCTGATTAATATGATGGTATTAAAAATTACCACTAATTATTTAGGGAGAAATGTTTATTTCATACTGCCTATTCCTAATTTCATAAGTTTGTGCTTGATTGGATTGTTTTTGCCTCGTATCAGTTCTCTACTCTCAATGTTTTTCAGGATTGTCTGGTCACTAATAATTTTATGTGGGCTTTTGATTCTTTTACCAATCATAGCATTAGAAATGCACAGTGCTCTAGGTATTAGTTTAATTAATATAAAAAGGTTATTGGTTATGTTTAATCACAATTTTCATCATGGGAATATTTTCATCACTATAATAGAATAGTTCAATTGGGATGTCTGGAATACTAGGTCCAGAGTACGTCAATGTATTCTTTATTGGTACAGGAGCATCTGGAACTATCATCACCATTTTTAGATTAATATCCTTGGCAGTAATTGACAGTGAAAAATGTAATCAAATTCTATATTGAATAGCCATATTTTTATATATTGGAATTGCAGTGCTTTGGAATATTGGTGCCATAGTGATGTACTTTGCATTTACTAAGACACCATAATATAGAAAGATTATTTAGGCTCACAAAAAGGGTAGGAAGTCAGTTCTAGTTCATGATCAAATTGTTACAGAAGAGGAACCAGACAATGCTATATAAAACGACAGTTTGATTTCTGATATCATCAATTCAGAGATTGCCAATCCTAATAATTAAACTGAAACTTCAAATCATAACAATGAAATTGAACCATCCAAATAAAATAAAGACTAAATATCAATAGAAAAGATGAATGTAATTTAAACTTTGATCTGGATTAATAAAGTAGCCTTTCCTATTCCTTTATTGATCGTAATTCTTTACATTTAAACATTTATGATGTTTCCAGGAGTAGCCTTCTAAAAGTCTTTCGATTCTGAATTTATTAATTGGGGTCAATGCTACATTAGTTTAGGATACAATATTGGAGATACCTTAGGAAAGTTTTTAGCTGGAAATAGAAAACTATTTAATCTATAAATTTTAGTTGGTTTATTTTTAGGAAGATTTGTTTTTTATTACACCTACATAGCAATTGCCTAAGGAACTCTGGATGCCAATTGGATATCATACATCAACACCCTTCTATTTGGAACCTTAAATGGATTTATTACAACAGGCTACATGATATTAGGACCAGAAAAAGTAATTGTGATAATTATATATATAATAGACAAACGAAGGTTTTGTTAAAGAAAAAATTGGTTTTGTATCTGGATTTTCCCTTTGCTTCGGCATTATGTTAGGAACATTCTTAGCTCTGCCTTTTTCAAATATATCTAAATGATTTGTATAATAATTAAAGGTATTTAGCTTGCAAGTAAATAAATATAAATTGTTTATGATTTTCTATTTAATTTAAAGTTTCTTTATACTCTCTTCATCTATTTTTTGTTGTTTAAATACTAACATAAATTGTCATATTATTATTCATTAAAATTTTGACAATTTTTAGTAGGGTAGATTAGCTGATTTACACACTCAAATTTTTATTATGAGAATTATTTATATTATTTCAAATCGTATTGCTTGTTTTGGCGGATAAATGGAAGTAATTTGATATATCATAAACTTTTAGCAATTTATAAAGACCCTTGATTCCACTGACAGTAATTATTACTCATTAATATATAGAAAAATCACCCCAAAAATTAAAATTAGCCACATCGCCAAATACGAATTAAAAGTAAAACTCACCCAAATAAACCAAGGAGGAATTTAAAAAAAATACTATCATCAAGAAGCTAGAATTTAACGACTAGCTACTTATAATCAAGCAGGATGGAATAATTGGCAGAAGCACTCGTTAAATCCCCAAAATTAATTAAGGTATCAATTGTGTATTATTAGTTAATTCTTCATATACTTTGGGTCTTCTAAATTCTATAGAACTTAATCATAAAAATGAAATTATTAACAAGTTGATCAAAACAAATGATCATGAATTATTATAAGTTTCTAGAACATCTAGTATCTATTGCAAGTGTCGTAGATCTAAATGCATTCAAAACTATTGTGTCTGCAGTGCCAATAATTAAGAATGTAAATTAAATTGTGAATGTTATAATTGTTCAAACAAATAACCAAAATCTACTCTCTCTTAAGTGTCTTCAATTGAGTTTAATGGATGCAATTGTAGAAAATAAAAGTGATCTTCATTAATCTTATTACATAGTTGCTCAAAACGCTATTGTGAATGCCAAAAGAGAAATATTAAGTGTACTTCTAAGTGCAATTGCTGTGAAGAGTGTGTAAATTAAGAAATCCAGCCCCTACCATTTCAGTTAGATAGCCAATCCTGATTTTAAATTCATTAAATAAATTTTATTTCCAAAATAAAATATTAAATAAAAGCAAATAAAATTATTATCAATTGATAGTAAATATTATTTAAAGATATTTTAAAAATTTATTATAATGAATATCTGATAGGTTGAAATATCTTTATAAAAAGATAGAAGTAAATTTACCAATTAAAATTATTTAGAAATTAATAGCAAATTATATTAGATATAAATATTAAAATCATTTTTTACCCTTTTTTCTTTATTTATTTTTATCGGTCCCTGGTTTTTCTTGTTTATTTTTATGTTTCTCTTACTACTTAATATTCTTATTTTTTTATTTAGTATTCTTTTTCTATTTTTGTTCATCCTCCTCAATTTCCTCTTCTTAATTAAGTTCTTCATTTAAATCATCTTCTATATTTTGAGTCTTCTTAACAACATTAGTTGATTGTATTGCTCTTCTCTCTTTACCAAATCTATCTGCAGAATCCATGGATTATTTCATTGATTTGTTTAAAGATGCTTTGACCTAAGATGCTATGTCTGTCATTAAATCCCTTTTAGGAAATAATGCTAAAGATCCTACTATGCACTCTTCAAACTATTAAATATTTAAATTGTAGTTTCTTAACAGTGATACTACCTCTTCAATACAACTCAGACCAGCACAAGCCAAACTTTAAATAATAATGAAAGCATAAGGCTCAATATATTAGAATTTAATTGCCTTGGTGTTTGTTAAATATGTCTATTAAGCAAATGCTTCTTTCACTTCGAGAATCTATCTTTTAATTTTATTCTCACTAGAAATTCGACCAAGCATCTAAGGAAAATTCACTTTCGACAGAAGATTTCCTTTCAATATTTAAGTAGGATACATGGTCGATAAAAAACCAACGTTTGGCATTAATCCCCACATCTGTGATCTTACTTTTGAATTCAATACATCGGCATCTGCCAAAGATGAAGCTGCTTGGGAAATATGCGAAATTGAATTCAAAGGAGCCTTTCTAATTAAGTCTATATAATTCTCATGATAAAAAAATTGTGTCATATCTGGATCTTAGAAGTAGTAGTCCATTAGTTTGTGAATAGGCAATGTGTAAGAATCTTTGTAATTCAATAAAATTCTGGTTGATTCATAAATATTTGTAGTAACTGAGCCATCCTTTCCAATATTTTTATCAATTTGCAACTTAACACCAACTTTATGCATTTATAATAAATTTAGCAATTATCTAATATCACATTAAGAAATTTCTATTTATTATTTTAATTCTGCAGGATCGTAATTAATATTCTCAGACTTACAAATAAATTCTAGCTTTTTTTAAATTTCAACTTGGTTTGGTTTTTTAAACTATAAATCTAAACAATAGTTGGCCAAAGTTCTCATTGATTATTTGTTTCTATCATTGCAAATACAAACAATAGGTACTTTTGTTAATTTAATCATATCAATTAAACATTTATTTCCACCCCTATCACTACCTGTCATTCCATCTATTTCATCCATTAAGATAATCATCTTTCCTTCACTAATTAAATTAGCATCCTTAAATCTAAGCACTGTGTTGTCTTGAAGATGTTTAACATAATTTTCAATTTAAAGTTTACTTCTAACGTCAGAGGCATTCCATTCAATCAATTAATAAGACTTTTATTTTGCAATTAATCTAATAATGGTTGTTTTGCCTATTCCAGGAGGACCTGATAATAAAAGGGCTTTAGCAGCAAAGTTTTAAGATTAGAATGAGCCAGGACAAACTGAGTTAATAAAATATATATCATACTTTCTAATTAGGTCTTTCCCCACTTATCTAACCATTTAACTATATTTGAAACGTGGGTTTAATCAAGACAGTCTGATACTTTAGATGGAGCATATTTATTAGTCCATAATTATAATTTCTATTTAGTCTCTTCGACGGTTATCTGTTCAATTTTAGAAATTTTCTTTTGATCCTTTTAAATTAATTTATCCTTAGAGAAATTAACTATTTCAGGTTTCAATTCGACTTATTTCTCAATTAAAACAACGTCACTGTTAAACTTTGCTCTAAGATTAGTATTAATTTCCTAATTTGGTTAAATAATAGGTAACTTAGATTATTATTATGATTTCGATTATATAAATGAAGATTAATTTGAAGCAGTTTTTTATTTTGATTACAAATCCTATTTTTCTTATATTTCTTATTAAACTACATTTTATATATTACATTAACATGCCAATTAAAAAGATTTCTATAAGTCGTTAAAAGTGTGTTATTTTAGATGATTATCTAAAGCCTCAAAATCAAGAATGGTAGATTTTTATACTTTAGCATTGGCAAAAAGAGAGTCATCTTTCATGTCATTAGTATTATTAGGAGAATCCCCTTAAATAATAATTGTGTTGGTAAGAATTCTACAACTAAGATATCCTCCATAATATCTAATAATTTGAATGATTTGCTCTTTTTAATATTTCTAAAAATTTCCTAATAGAAAATACTTATATCTTTGCAATGGTTTGTTTAGGATATTTTTTTGTGAATCTTCTTCAATTTCAATTTTTGTCATTTAAATCTGTTTTTATTCGAATTAATTTAAAATTTCTTGTTTATGAATTTTGGTTTCTGCTTTTTTCTCTTCAGGTTAGATTTTAGTTATTTAAGTAGCTTGTGTATTAATAGTTGACGTTCTAGTAATTTTGGCGAGGTGTTAAAACTTAGTTGGTAAGTCAAAGTCACTATCAGAGTCATCAGATTAATCGACTCGTTTCTCCTCCTCTTTTGCTTTAATGGGCAATTTGGTTTCCTCCACCATTCTGAATTCAATAACTTTTGGTTTCTTTGGTTGAGGGGCGGTTTAAGCTTATTTTCCTTTTTGAAAATAACGATCTAGTTATCCCTATTATTATTTATTTTCATCAACAATTTAAAATCTTGAAAACTTCTCATTGCCTTCTTCTTGTTAATCTGAATCTTCAGATGATGAAACTTATAAAGAATTTTTTGGCTATTAGATTTGAGGTTTTTCTTCAATAACATCTGCTGTTTTTATTAACTTTTTTTTCCCCATTTCCCGCTATTTGAAATTAAATATTAATAAATAAATAGTAGTTTAATGAACATTTGTGACTCTATAAAATATGTCCTATGTCCCATATTAAATAAATTTGTTATGACAAATATAAACACAAAATTTATTTACAAGAATGAGTGAATATTAATAAATTTATATTAAATATGTCAATAGCTGAATAAAAGTTTATGGTAGATGCCTAAGGTAGGAATCTGGTTGAAATGAGACCACCTGGCATCTAAAACAATCAACCCAATGATATTTAGATTACAGCAGAGTAATTATTGAAAGTATTATTTATAATTATTTTCATTTTAGGATGCTGAAATCCATCAAACTAAAGAGATTAGACCTCCTCAACAAAGGATTATGGATGAGGCTGAATTATAAGAATATAAATTCAGGAAAAGAATCTTATTTGAAAACAGAGTGAGAAGATAAAGAAATTATTTGGGAATTTGGATCAGGTATGCTTAATTTGAGGAAGGATTGTTAGAATTCAGAAGGGCTAGATCAATATTTGAGAGAGCATTAGAAGTTGATCCTTCTAACATAGGAGTTTGGATGAAATATATCGAAATGGAGATGAGACATAAATTTATTAATCATGCTAGAAATGTATTTGAAAGAGCTATCTATCAAATGCCAAGAATTGATTAGTTTTGGTTTAAATATAGTTATATGGAGGAAGTATTGGGCAATTATTAGGCAGCAAGAGAAATATTTAATAGATGGATGACTTGGAAACCAGAAGAAAAAGCATGGATGGCATTCTTGAAATTTGAAGAAAGAATGGGAGAAAGAGAAAACCAAAGATAAATTATGTATAAGTATATGGAAGCATTTCCTAAGTTAAAAGTTTATTTAAAGGTAGCGAAATTTGAAATCAAATAAAAAGCTTGGGACTCAGCCAGAAGTATTTATGAGAGAACTTTAGAAGAATTAGGTTAAGAAGCATTAAAGGAAGAATACTTTATAGATTTTGGAAGATTTGAAATCAGAAATAAAGAATATGAAAGAGCTAGAGAAATATTTAGATTTGGATTGAAAAACATAGCCAAGGATAAAGCATATTAATTATATTAAGAATACTTAGCATTTGAAAAACAATATGGAGAGAAAGATGAAATTGATTAAATCATTCTTAATAAGAGAAGAATATTTTATAAGGAATTGATATCATAGAATGCCTATAATTATGATGCTTGGTTTGATTTAGCTAATTTAGAAATGAGTACTAAAGATGTTAATAGAATAAGAGATTCTTTTGAAGCTGCTATTAAGAATGTGCCTCCAGGCAATGAAAAAAGATTTTGGAGAAGATACATATATTTATGGTATAATTATGCTGTTTTCGAAGAATTAGAAGCAAATAATATTCAAAAAGCTATTGAAATATTTGAAAGAGCTATTTAATTAGTTCCACATCAATAATTTACCTTCTCTAAATTGTGGATTTTATATGCTTAATTATTAGTAAGAAGTAAAGATATTGATAAAATGAGAAAGGTTTATGGTCTGGCTATTGGTATCTGTCCAAATATTAAGATATTCCAGGAATATATCCAAATTGAATTGCAATTAGCAAATATTGATAGAGCTAGGATATTATATTAAAGGTTTATTGAAATATTTCCAGATAATCCCATTCCTTGGATTAAATTTGCAGAATTCGAAAATGATTTAGAAGAATATGAAAGATCAGAAATGATATTTGAATTAGCATTGTAGAATAATCAAATGAACATGCCTGAAACTATATGGAGAGCATATATTGATAATTAAATTAAGTTGTAGAATTATGAAAAAGTCAGAGAGTTATATGAAAAATTGCTTGAAAGATCCAAACATGTCAAAATTTGGATCAGTTATGCTTAATTTGAATTATCAATTAAGAATGTTACTGGATTTAGAACAGTTATGTAGAGAGGTGAGAAATGCTATATAGGAAAACCAGAACTAAAAGAAGAAAGAGCCATATTATTGGAATAATGGAAGGATATGGAAGTAGAAATTGGAGATGAACAGGAAATAAAAAAGATTAGTGATAAACAACCTACTAAAACAATCAAGAAGAGAAAAATCAAATTATTGGGAGACGAAAGTGAAGATTTTGGTAAATTTCTATAAATTATGATTAGGTTATGAGGAATATTATGATTATATTTTTCCAGAAGAGAATCCTCAATAAAAGAATTTAGGAATGCTCTTAAATAATGCTAAGTTATGGAAATAATAATAAGAATAAAAAAATGGTTGATATCTTTAGAATTTTATATTATATAATGATAATTTACAATTTGGCATCTGTAATCACACATTAGATATTATAAATAAATTGATGAGTCATGTTTTGAGAGTATTAAACAAATATGGGATTGTGGAATCAAAAAGAATAATCATATCTAAATAGAATGCTAGACTATTTATAATTAATATATATTAAATAAGGATTACAAATTTATATTAGTAAGCTTTAAAATATTTCAATTTCATTTTCTTTTGAGTTGATCAATTTCTTTTTTCAGACATTGAATCAATTCCTTTTATTATTGTCGGATTGATTCACTTTTGAGAAAGTTTTCCTTATATTTATCATTTTCTAACAACTCTTATTTTAATTATGTAATTGCTGCTTAGGCTTTTTTTAATTTTTTAGACAATGATTTAACTTCTGATTGAAGCTCTGAATTTTTCTATTTCTCTAGAATCAAGGCTTTGGCATTAATTTTTTCTTGGGATGTTTTCTTAAGACTTTTTTTTTGTTCAATTGATTATTTTTTATGTTTTGAGGAATTCGCTTTGATGGGAGTAGATTTCCTTTGTGTTTACTTGAATGGAGTGAAATCCTCATCTGAATCTTTGACACCTAAAGTTGGAAATGCCCTTTCAATAATTGATTATTATGAACCAAGTTGTTTGTCTATATTTCGTTGAATGTGGGATTCAAGGGATTAAATCTTATTGTGCAACTCTCTTAAATCACTACTTTTAGATAATTGTTAAAGTTCTTAATCAAGAAGTGTGTTGAGGAAATTTAATTTGTCTTAAGTTATCATTATTTAAAATAAAAACGGGAATGAAGCTGATTTCTTTATGTCTAATAGGTCTTGTGATGTCTAATAACATCATGCTTTAAAAAGCAAATCATCCAGCCTTTTAAGAAGTGTTTGGACAATTTGCAAAATCAAGTGATTTCGGAAATAAATTATTTGGAGAGCTTTCAGCATTCATTTAAAAAGGAGCAACGCTTCAGGTTTTGAATGATCATGTGGAAGAATTAAGAAAACATTTAGCTGACGATTAGGCAGAAGATGAAAAATACTTCAATGAATAACAATAATCTCTTGAATCTGAATTATAAGGTTTAGTCAATGAAGTACAAGAATTAAAAGAAGCAGTAGATACAGCATCTAAAAAGATATCAGTTTTGAATCAATAATAATAAATTATTGATAATCTCTTCTCTTAAGATTAAACATCATATTAAAAAAGACTTGCCAATTAAAATGTTATACTTGAAACAATATCTCTATTGATTGAGAGGGTACATGCACTTTCAACCGAAGGTCATAGTCTAATTGAAAAGGATAATCTTCTTGAAAAAATTAAATAATTGGGCAGAGGAAAACATTTAGAAGTATTGGCTCAAGTATATTGCTAATCAAATGTAGATAACTGCTCATTTAGATACTGAATAAGGGGAAAAGGTTTTGAATCTTTTAGACAGTCTTAATAAGGCAGTGCTTGCTAGTTTAGAAGCTGATGAAGCCAAAGAACAAGAAAATATTAGATTGTACAATCAATTGACTGGAGAGATCACTGCGTATTTATTTTAATGATGTAGTTCCCTTTCAGAAGCTTAGAGACACTACTAGCAATTGGATAATCATTTTGAATAAAAAGATTATGAACTAAGTGTAGGAAAGGAAGGAGTGAAAGAAGTTGGGCAAAAGTTGTAGGATAGAAATGATTCTAGGTAATGCATATCATAACGTAATAGACAATTCATATTGGATAGAGTTAGGGAAGCATAATAATTATTAAATGATAATTTAGATAGAATTGCCAGATGGTCGTAAGAATGATTAATATATAAATATTATTTGTCTAAGTATTTCAACTCTTTTGCTAATCTTATAATTCTTTAAATTTCTACTCCAAGGCTTCTTCCTTCGTCTTCAACTTCTATAATTCTAAATCTTTCTCGGCCAATTTTTTTTTTAAATCTTAATTTTCCTTGCTCAATTACTATATCATTTATTATTGGTTAGCCTAATCAGATATTGCAATAAATTACTGGAATTGCACTTTGAGGTTTATTATTAGGTTAGGGCATTGTTCTTGTATAGGGTTTATTTTGGATTAAAGTTTATGGATTCTATCCCTTTGGAATTTTATTGTTGGGCAAACTTCCTTACGCTCTTTGAGGAGGTGGATTTGAGGGTACTGTTTTCCCAGTGATTCGAGCTTGAGGAGTTGATGGTCTTTGATATGGATTTTAAGGTGGAATAGGACCTCTTTGGCTTGTGGGCAGAGATGGATGAGGACGATAAGTATTTTACTAAACGAAAGGGTTGACGAAACTCATTGTAGGTGAAGATGCTTAGTAGAATGGACGAGGCATGACTGGAGAACTGGGGACACCTTTGAATAATGGATATCTTTAGGGTGTTGTTAGGTACATAATATTTTTATTTATGTATTTATTAATTTATGTTATTGATGGGTGAAATTCGATTCTTGTTTGAAGACTCATCATTTTTATAATAATTTAATATGCATAAAATCAGGATATCAATTATGGTTGAGCACTTTTCTTTTTGTCACTTTCTTCTCTTTTTTATAATGCTCCTTTGATTAAATTTGTTTTTTCTAACAAGTCTTTTCCTGCTATTTCAAATCTAAAGTTAAATATTGATTTATTACTTGATGTCACTATCACTGCTTGAACACTCCAATAGACAAGTCTCTATGAATTTAATAAAAAACAATGGAGCCTGTAATTTAAACTAGTCATAACTGTAAAATTCCGGAAGTGGTGTTATTCCATCTGCTCTCTATTTCCATTGTAATTAGAAAACACAATTATCCTCAGTTATTTACAATTTTATCATGGCTAATTTGTCATCTTAATTTGCATAGTGTTATGTTACTTTTCTAATAAAAATAAATAATAAAATTTACTAAGTTAATTCCTGTTACTTTAACGAGATTATGCTGCCAGTTTTATGATTCTATTAATGCATATTGACAATCAATGCTGTTTATGAATTTGAAACTACATTACTTTAATTGGAGATGTTAGAAGTTTAGTTTTCGTTGCTATTTTGAGTATTATTATTATTAGATGCAAATTGAATAGTGTTGTTATTGCCATTCTCAAGTTGGCTCTAAGATAATGTTTCACTAATTTCTGAATATTTTTGATCTACTTTTTCTGCCTTTTTCTCCTTTTTATTAGGATCAGGAGGTCTGGGTCCAGCCACTCTTTTTATTGCAGTTCTGGGTTAGGCTTATGCTGTAATTTATCTAATTTCATCCAGTTTCTTGTCGTCATATCTTTCTCCTGTCAAACAGAAATAGTTAAAATCTTCAATTAGCTCTTTGTACTTTTTTACATTTTCTTCTACTTCCCAAGTTGTTTCATCAAATCCTTTCCATTTCACTTAATATTTAAGTTATCCATTTATGTGTTGTTTTTTTATGATCTTCTCAGGTTCTTTCATCATTTTTTTATTTTTATGTTTCAATTACAGGCCTGAACCTTTAATATGCCAAATATCACCAGGAAAATTAAAAAGTTATTCATCATATTATTAATTTCTAAATGGCTTAATAATTTTGAATTATTTTAGAATCAAAACAAAGATCATATTCAAGTAGATTTGCTACCATCCAATGCTTTTACTCAAATAGTAGTATGAATAAAATTTAAAAGTTATAAGACAAAAATAAAAAAGGAATAAAAAACCTTATGAATTCCTAAATATTTGAGAGAATTGAAATAAATCTATAAAATTCTAAAAACAATACTGTTATTTTAAATTAATGGCGATTTAACAAAATGACTTTAAATATAATATCTTTAAAGAATTTAATATATCAAGAAATTAAATTTAAAGAAGAGTTCTTATCACTTATTACGGAACTCTTAATTTGCAATATTGAAATATTATCGCAAAATTAATTAAAATAAAATGAAGGGACTCTAATAATTATTGTTTTAAGTGAATTATTATATATGACAACTATAATATAATAAGATAAGAATCAAAATCAAGCAGGTGATAAATAACAACTTAATTTAAGTGGTTGAGATGCTTCAACTGGTATCTTTATTGATTTAATGGCTGACAAAGGATCCTTTTGATAAAAAGTGCTCGAAAGTTATCCGCTCCCCCTTTTTGCTGAAAGAGGTATTTCATTCATTATTGAGTATCTTTTTATATCATTAATTTTTGAATTCTATTATTATTCATCGTTAATCTCATTTTCACTATTGTATTTAGATTCAGATTCTGCTAAATTTAATTAATATATGGCATTTTTTGTTATATGTAACCCACCAGATTAACTAGCTTAAGTGCTAAAGTCACTATTTGAATCAAAAAATTAATGGGATAATGCTTAAACAGCACTCACTCTGAGTTTTGGATTTTTATTTAGCATCTTTTTCAGAATATCCTATAATAGCAAATATTATTACCAATGATTATTCTGTTATATATTTGCCATCTATTGGTAAATCTAAATCAATATAGCAAGTTTTGTTGGAGTTCAAGACTTCATCAAAGTTTGATCCCATGAATAAACTATGTCCAGTTAGTAATTTATAGAAAATGCATCCAGCAGAAAATATATCCACTTTACAATTATATCTTTGATCTGATCTAGTACTTAATATCTCAGGAGCTACATATCCTGGAGTTCCACATTTTGGAAATAAATATCTAATTTTTATTGATAATTGATACTTATCAAGAAGTTCTGAAGTGGCAAGTCCAAAATCTACAAGGACTAACGATGTGTAATCATTCTTTCTAGAAAACATTAAGTTATCTGGCTTTAAATCTCTATGAATAATCTAAAACGCTATATTAATTAAATACTCGATGAGAATGTAAAATTTTTAAATTACTTAACAGCTTCATCATAATTGTCCTTATATTATTTATTGGTAGTCTCCTATTAGGCAAGGTCTATGTTTGACATTTAATTTTACCTTTGCTTTTTCTAATTCTTCACTAAGACTCATTCCCTCTAAATATGATGTAACTACATATAATGTGTTGTCCCCCTCATATATTTCTTTCAAGACGAGAAAATTATTGTCGTATTATTATAATGCTCTGAGAATTTGAACTTCGGATTAAAATGCACGCTAATTATGTTGAATTTATTTACTAGTCCATTTCCATTCTCGGAGATCTTGAGAAATGATTTTTCTATGGCTTTTACAGCATATACTCTTTAATCTAATGCACTCCTTGCACTATATACCTAAAAATACACAAATAAAGCATACCTTGGCAGAGCTTCCTTTTCCTATCTGAAATAGAGGCTAGTATAAATCTCCAATGCCTTCAAAAGTTACTCTTCCTTATAATAGTTCTTTGAATCTGATTTATAGAATTAACTTACTTAGATAGATCATCTGGTTGGGCATGAACAGCCTTCCTTTTGTTTTAATGATCAAACTCAAAGTAATCAAGTTCTTTTTTATTCTTTCGCAACTCCCAATTTATTTTTGTTTCAAGATTCAACTTTATTTTGTATTTGGGGTTTTGACAATCTGAAGTCTATAACATTTTATTAAATTTCTACTGTTCCCATCGTGACCATATCTTCAAATACTGCTATATGATAAGTGACATCCTTAAAAAAGTGCTTACGTACACCTTCAAATTTGAATTTAGCTTCTTGGTAGTCAATAGAATCCATTTAATAAGAGTTTGGTATTTTATAATAATTTATCCAAATTCAGATTGTATACATTTACTCATATACTAATACCCAATTAATTAAATATGATTAAACATTCCAACTTTTCATTAATTCTGAGAATTCAAAATAACCAGAAATATATTCTCGTTGAATCCAAATGATTTACATTTATTCAAGAAAATTGTAAATTTAAACTTTAATATCCAAATACCATAATTAATATATAATTATTATTAAATATATACGTATGAAAAACATTATATCCATTAAATGTATAAAATAAATTAAAAAATTTAGACATGATATTTCAAATTTATTTAGACATTAATTAATTTTATTTCCCTAAAAATTCTTTCTGTTTTTCTATTTCTTTGTAGATATTAAGATTTATGCTCATTTTGCATTTTTGCACATTAATCTCTTACTTCAATATTACCATTTATCTCAAAAATTCATTTTTTACATCATTACATCCTTTGCTTAGTCTGGACTAAATAAACCTATTAGACTTATACAATCTAGTGGAATAATCAATTTTAAAATAACTTTTTAATAGATTATAAATATGATACTCTACATAAAGATTAATTATATTTTATTGGAATATTAATAGGGCTTAATAATTTCATAATTCAATCAAAATACAAATTAAATAGAGAATTAAATAAACCTAGGAATTAGAATTATCTTCATAATTTTTAGGACATGATACACAAGATTCATCTTTCCAATAATATCGACCATCTGTTAACTTTGAACATGTTTGATTCGTGAGATCTTTGGTTTCAGTTCTATCGATACATTTTGGACTTGAATCTTCTTTCCAATTGCAAAGGGTCAACACTCCCCAATAACCATCTTTTACAAATTTGCACTAATCTTAAGATATTATATCAGAGCATTTAAATGATGAACATATACCATCTGAAGTTTTACAATTTAACTTACTACAGATATCTAACGGTAATCCTTCACAAGAATTTATGCTATAGCTTTAACATTGTTTAGTTGAATTTAACCAACAGAACGTTTGCCNCTTAGATAGATCATCTGGTTGGGCATGAACAGCCTTCCTTTTGTTTTAATGATCAAACTCAAAGTAATCAAGTTCTTTTTTATTCTTTCGCAACTCCCAATTTATTTTTGTTTCAAGATTCAACTTTATTTTGTATTTGGGGTTTTGACAATCTGAAGTCTATAACATTTTATTAAATTTCTACTGTTCCCATCGTGACCATATCTTCAAATACTGCTATATGATAAGTGACATCCTTAAAAAAGTGCTTACGTACACCTTCAAATTTGAATTTAGCTTCTTGGTAGTCAATAGAATCCATTTAATAAGAGTTTGGTATTTTATAATAATTTATCCAAATTCAGATTGTATACATTTACTCATATACTAATACCCAATTAATTAAATATGATTAAACATTCCAACTTTTCATTAATTCTGAGAATTCAAAATAACCAGAAATATATTCTCGTTGAATCCAAATGATTTACATTTATTCAAGAAAATTGTAAATTTAAACTTTAATATCCAAATACCATAATTAATATATAATTATTATTAAATATATACGTATGAAAAACATTATATCCATTAAATGTATAAAATAAATTAAAAAATTTAGACATGATATTTCAAATTTATTTAGACATTAATTAATTTTATTTCCCTAAAAATTCTTTCTGTTTTTCTATTTCTTTGTAGATATTAAGATTTATGCTCATTTTGCATTTTTGCACATTAATCTCTTACTTCAATATTACCATTTATCTCAAAAATTCATTTTTTACATCATTACATCCTTTGCTTAGTCTGGACTAAATAAACCTATTAGACTTATACAATCTAGTGGAATAATCAATTTTAAAATAACTTTTTAATAGATTATAAATATGATACTCTACATAAAGATTAATTATATTTTATTGGAATATTAATAGGGCTTAATAATTTCATAATTCAATCAAAATACAAATTAAATAGAGAATTAAATAAACCTAGGAATTAGAATTATCTTCATAATTTTTAGGACATGATACACAAGATTCATCTTTCCAATAATATCGACCATCTGTTAACTTTGAACATGTTTGATTCGTGAGATCTTTGGTTTCAGTTCTATCGATACATTTTGGACTTGAATCTTCTTTCCAATTGCAAAGGGTCAACACTCCCCAATAACCATCTTTTACAAATTTGCACTAATCTTAAGATATTATATCAGAGCATTTAAATGATGAACATATACCATCTGAAGTTTTACAATTTAACTTACTACAGATATCTAACGGTAATCCTTCACAAGAATTTATGCTATAGCTTTAACATTGTTTAGTTGAATTTAACCAACAGAACGTTTGCCCGTCTTCATAATTATTAGTGCAATTCTCAGCTGCTAATGAATTACAATCAACGGAATTATAATTTTTACATTAATAAAATCCAGCGTCATTTGTTTTATTTTGAGCTGCACAATTTCCTTTTTTTATCATGCAATCAATTTGATCTTTGACTTAATACTCCTAACAAAATAGAGTCGCTTCACATTTTCCTTCAGGATTAAGACTACATTTCCCCATTAAGTCACATTCAATTTCATCAATATTAGAACAATCCTTTTGAACACAGAGATCATTTATCCAATCACAAGTTTGTATTCCTAAACAAACTGTTTCATCTACAAATAATGAGCAATCACACTAGTATTTAGCAATTAGTGCTCCTAAAATATTAAATATGAAAAATTATATGATTGAGATTAAATTTATCATATTTTTATTAATCAAATTAAAATACTGTCATAGATTTTTGAACATTGCCAATTTGATCGCCACTATGAATTTTAAATTATGCTGGAATTTCTAAAAACTATAAAAATACTTATTTATAATTAAATGTGAATTTAATATATATAAAATAAAATTTTTGATTACAAATTTCAAGTAAGAATGCTTTTGAAATTAATATATAGATTTATTTGCAATAATGCTTCCTGACAATTTTGGAAATAGATATCATTTTATTTTTTATTTTTAATTTTTCTGTAATGAAAAGAAATTGTTCCTTTTAGAAAATATACATTATACTATACTAATGTTCTTTTCATTCATATATTGTGAGTTTATTAACATATAATCTAAATGAAGTTATTTAGAATTGAGTGGTTTCAAGTTCAAAACATAATTAAATTAATTAATGACATCGAGTTCTATTCAACAATAGAAGGAATTGAAAATTTTCAACAATTAGTTTGCTGTCCTAAAGAAATTAAGTTCTGGATCGTTTGGAGTTGTGTTTTAAGGAGAAGACAAAAAAACAGGTGAATAAATTGCATTGAAGATTGAGAAGGAAGAGAGTGATGAAGCTAAGTCTTTAGATAGAGAAGTATATAAATTTTAGAATCCATAGCTTAGTCATAAATATTATAGCGGTTGTAAGGTATAAAAGGAGTTCCAAAATTGCATTGGTCTGGTTCAGAGGGACCTTATAATATTATGGTCATTTAATTGTTGGGAAGAGATTTGGCGTATTACGCAAAGCATCTAAAACGATTTCAATTGAAAACATTAATAATGTTAGCTGAGCAGATGATAACAATCTTGGAGTAATGTCATTCAAGGTATGATTATCAAAAATACTCATAGATCAATTATTCATAGAGATATGAAACCAGAGAATGTACTCGTAGGGCGTGATCATAATGAAATATTTCTAGTTGATTTTGGAATTTCTAAAGTTTTTAAGGATGCTAATGGAAATCATGTGTATATAATAAAATTGAAATTATGATAGACCCTTCAGGGATGGAAAACCCTTTATAGGAACAACGCGATATGCTTCGATTGGTGCTCATAAGGGTTTTGAATTAGGAAGGGGAGATGATTTAGAATCTTTGGGATATATGCTGGTATTTTTATATAAAGGTTCGTTACCTTGGTAAAATTTATAAAATGTAAGTGATAAAGAGAAAACTAAAGTAGTTGGAAAGATGAAGATGTAAATCTTAATTGAAGAGTTGTGTAAAGACATGCCTAATGAATTTTCAAAGTACTTTGAATATGTTAAAAAATTGCAATTTAAATAAACACCTGATTATGAATATTTAAAATAATTGATGCGGAAATGCGCTAGTGATAACAAAATTGAAATAGATTATAAATATGAATGGGCATTATTGGAACGAAAGACATCTGATGTAAATTTTATCTAATTATTTTAAAGTAGTAATCACAACACAATTCATAGAGAAATATTAAAAAGGATTCATCTCACAATGATCCAAATAAAAAACAAACCAAAAATAATATCAGTACATAAAGTAAATTGAAACCAGAAATTGATAGTGAGAAAGTATCAAAATCTAAAAGTCCTGCTAAGAACGCTAAAAGATAATCACTGATTCCAGAAATGCAATCATAAAATTAATCATAATCAAGTCAATTTGACTTTCTTCGACCTCCAGATCCTTATGCTAAGGCTAGGGCCATTATATAGAGAAGTCAGGAGAGACACAAATCTGTATCATCATTAGCACCATCATAATATAGCTAAGTGAATACAGTCCAATCTAGCATTGCAGGAAACTATTAAGCAAGTCACTTAGATATGTTTGCAACTGACAGTCAATAATAATAATAAGAGACAACAGAGAAGAAATAGGATATAATTCAAGCTTAGAATTTTGGGTTTCAACCTCTGGAGAGTAATGATACGATTCCAATGTTAATAGGGGAGGATGAAGAAGGTCCTTGTTTCCTTTATTAGAAACTGCTAGAATAACAAGTTTAAGCGTAAATATAAAGTTTATCAAAAGGCAATTTAAAGAAACCTTAAAAAATGGGAATAAAAAGAAACGACACAGGTGATTTTAATAATATATATATTTAATATATCTATTATATCGTTCAATTTTTTTTTAATTCTGCAAAATATTGATGTAACATGGCATCTTTTGGAGTGATTCTTTCGGCATGATCATATAGTAACATTTTAGACAACAAATCAATGGCATCCAAACTACATAAAGGAGCATTTTCTTGATTAACAAAGGATAGCCAATCTTATTTCGGATAGCAAATAAATAGTTTAAATTTTATACTTAAGTAAGAGTCCATTGTATGCATTATCCAATTTGATATTGTATTTTTTTATATATTATTTTAACCCATCTGTTCCTAAGACCTTAGCAATCTTTACTAATTGATCATAATTATCATTCCCTTGGAAGAACGGTTCCTTTTTAAAAATCTAAAATTCACTATAACAATGTACCATAGATGCAAACATTGCACCAGTACTCCATATATCCAAAGAATAATCATAATATAAATAGTCCACCAATAATTCTGGCCCTTTAAAATATCGTGAGGCCACTCTAACATTATAATCTTGTGAGGGATGATAAAATTCTGCCAATCCCCAGTCAATAAGTTTCAAGGTTCTAGTTTTTGGATCAACAATAATATTTTATGGTTTCACATCTCTATGAAATATACCTCTTTAATGAGCATAATCTAAAGCCTATTTTAAGTTTTAGTTTACTTTTAGCAATTCAAATAAATAATGCTTGATATCATTATCTGTTAATTTAGGGAACAAGCTTCTAAAATCTGTATTCTCCATATAAGGGAAGATCTAGGTTAACTTGATTCTTTTACTAAAGTTGGGATTTTAAAATTTTCATCCCTGACCACATCATAAAGATCAATAATATTAGTGCCTCCTTTTAAGATTTAAAGAATGCGGATTTCTCTACGTATTTTTCTTTTTTTAACAGGTTTGAGGACTTTAAGTACTACCTTCATTCCATTCCTATTGTCTACTCCCTCAAAGACTTCGGAATATTTGCCTCTGCCAATTTTACAAAGTGCCTCATAAGGCTCTTCGGGTCTGATGGATAAGAATTAAATTATACCCATATTCGATTTTAGCATTCTCATAATCCCAATAAGATGATGGCTGAGTCTGATTGAAGGTGGCATAATATTTAGGTTAAACAACAACAACTCCTTATTACTATTTCATTAATTAAATATAAAATGTAATATAAAATTTGCAAATCAAAATCACTTAGAAATCAATTCTTATATTTTACCTCGTAACTCGTCCACTTGTCTGTATGTGCATCTATTTTATTTCTAATCAACCATCTAATCAATTTTGAGCATCTTTGAGAATTTCTTATAATCATTCATGTTTTAAAGAGTACAATGACAGATAAGTAAGTAATTGCTAAGTTACTGACACACAAAATAACTAAAATTATACTAGGAATTATAGATAAATAGAGTACTTCTTCTGGTAAAAAGGCATCTAGATCTGAACTCTGGGTTGGAAACTCATTTTTCAATTCTTGCAAGGCTTGTCTTAGATAGGATTGAGTAATGAAGTAGAAACTTTCAAATTCACTAAGGTCTTTATCAAATAAGGCTTCAAACTTCTTATCCTGAGGAAGACCTATATCAATTATGCAAGGCTTTACTTTTGTTAACTATTATTTAATAAGTCTTCTCGAAGTATCGTTTATAGTTTTCGTTATATTCTGCAATTGCTTAACTAAATTTCTAGAATGATTCGGCTTTCCTGTATATATCGAAATCCTCTAGTTAGAAGGTGTTGTCTTTAGAGTTCTCCTTATCGATAATGGTATGAAGTTTAGAAATTTTCATGGCAATGTTCTTAGCCATTAAGAATAGCAATTTCTCTTTTAAACCATTGGATAAAGTCAATTACCTTGAATTAATGATTTACTATGAGAATTTGTACAGAAACCTGCAATAATTAATTTGGGCAAATAAAATGTCATTATTTGACTTAAATTTCATAGGTGATTGAACTGGTGTAGTATTTTAAGAGACTTGGGTTTGCACATTAATAGATCGTCTAATTATAATGGATTAAATGATTACTCTTAAAGTACAGTATTATTTTTTTTAAAACTTCTTTTTTCAAGCTAATTCTCTTGTGTAATGGTTTTTCGTGAATCTGTAATTTGCTTTTGACTTTTGGATCTCATAGGATCAGAAGTTGGAGGTTCAATAACAGTTGTAGGTGGATGTGGCAGATGATACATTTCTGAAGGACATCTCTTACTGACTTTACTATCATTATGAATTTGAGTCTTATATGTTATTCTTAAATACCTGACACTTAGGTCTAGATTAGAAATCTCTAATTCCCTGGCTTTATGATCGATCCTTATTGATAATAGGTGTTCTGGTGGCAGGTGTAGGCACGTTGGAGGACTGTTGTGTTTAGAGAGGGACTGGCTTATAAATGGGTTGAGAGTATTGTGAATAAATTGGGTGAGTTGCCANTGATCTGATGGATAAGAATTAAATTATACCCATATTCGATTTTAGCATTCTCATAATCCCAATAAGATGATGGCTGAGTCTGATTGAAGGTGGCATAATATTTAGGTTAAACAACAACAACTCCTTATTACTATTTCATTAATTAAATATAAAATGTAATATAAAATTTGCAAATCAAAATCACTTAGAAATCAATTCTTATATTTTACCTCGTAACTCGTCCACTTGTCTGTATGTGCATCTATTTTATTTCTAATCAACCATCTAATCAATTTTGAGCATCTTTGAGAATTTCTTATAATCATTCATGTTTTAAAGAGTACAATGACAGATAAGTAAGTAATTGCTAAGTTACTGACACACAAAATAACTAAAATTATACTAGGAATTATAGATAAATAGAGTACTTCTTCTGGTAAAAAGGCATCTAGATCTGAACTCTGGGTTGGAAACTCATTTTTCAATTCTTGCAAGGCTTGTCTTAGATAGGATTGAGTAATGAAGTAGAAACTTTCAAATTCACTAAGGTCTTTATCAAATAAGGCTTCAAACTTCTTATCCTGAGGAAGACCTATATCAATTATGCAAGGCTTTACTTTTGTTAACTATTATTTAATAAGTCTTCTCGAAGTATCGTTTATAGTTTTCGTTATATTCTGCAATTGCTTAACTAAATTTCTAGAATGATTCGGCTTTCCTGTATATATCGAAATCCTCTAGTTAGAAGGTGTTGTCTTTAGAGTTCTCCTTATCGATAATGGTATGAAGTTTAGAAATTTTCATGGCAATGTTCTTAGCCATTAAGAATAGCAATTTCTCTTTTAAACCATTGGATAAAGTCAATTACCTTGAATTAATGATTTACTATGAGAATTTGTACAGAAACCTGCAATAATTAATTTGGGCAAATAAAATGTCATTATTTGACTTAAATTTCATAGGTGATTGAACTGGTGTAGTATTTTAAGAGACTTGGGTTTGCACATTAATAGATCGTCTAATTATAATGGATTAAATGATTACTCTTAAAGTACAGTATTATTTTTTTTAAAACTTCTTTTTTCAAGCTAATTCTCTTGTGTAATGGTTTTTCGTGAATCTGTAATTTGCTTTTGACTTTTGGATCTCATAGGATCAGAAGTTGGAGGTTCAATAACAGTTGTAGGTGGATGTGGCAGATGATACATTTCTGAAGGACATCTCTTACTGACTTTACTATCATTATGAATTTGAGTCTTATATGTTATTCTTAAATACCTGACACTTAGGTCTAGATTAGAAATCTCTAATTCCCTGGCTTTATGATCGATCCTTATTGATAATAGGTGTTCTGGTGGCAGGTGTAGGCACGTTGGAGGACTGTTGTGTTTAGAGAGGGACTGGCTTATAAATGGGTTGAGAGTATTGTGAATAAATTGGGTGAGTTGCCATATCTTTGACTCTCATCCTCTGATTCTCATCTATACAAAGACATCTACGGATGAAGTCTTTGGAGGCATCTGAAATTGAAGGGTGTGAAGGAATTACAAGATGATGATGCAAAATTGCTGTTAACAATCCTTATTCTGTCTGGGCTGTAAATGGTGTTTGTCCAAATAGCATCTCAAAAAACATTACACCCATAGCCCATACATCTCCTTTTTCGGTGTGGCCTTGTTATCTCAAGGCTTATGGAGACATGTAAAGAGGAGTTCCCACATTATAATGTCTCCCCTATTGTTTGACTTCCATACTGTTTATTTAGACAGCAAAACCAAAATCTGCTATTTTTGGAGTCTACTTCTCTATGAGAATGTTTGCAGGCTTAATGTCTCTGTGGATGTATCCTTTTTGATTAATCTCCAGTAATCCTGTGATTATTTCATTCATGATTCGCAATGCTTCAGGCTCGTCTATTCTTCCTCTCTTTTTTATTACACCGCTCAGATCTCCAGAATCGCAATACTCTGTTATGATGTATGTATTATTCTGTGTTTAGAAAACATCATACAATTTTAGTATGTTCTTTGAGTTAAATGATTTCAGAGCATTTATTTCATTCTTTAGTAAAGTGGCATGAATGCTCTGTTTAACCATCTTCATATCAATTACCTTGTCTTACAAATTTATATCATACTTTAACAGCCACTGTCATTTAAGTATTTTCATCTCTTCCTCTATAAACTTTGCTACTAAACCCTCTTCCTATTTCTTCATTTAGAGCATAACTGTAATGATCGATTGCTTTACGAGTTTCAGGATAATAACAGCGATTGATTAACATTCAAATAATAAATTAACGACAACATTCATTTAATTATAATGCATAATATCTAAATTATTATAGTCATTCATATTATCTCTGTGCATCCCACTATTTAAACTAACCCCTCAATCAAGATTTTTAAAGACCTTAAATTAATCTAATTTAAGAACATATAAATAGATTTATTTTTATTAGAAAATCAACTATTTTTCTCTAAAGACCATCCTATTAAGAAACTCATAAAGCCACAAATCAACAATATTATCACTCTTTATCAATTTTCAATCTGCATAAATATCGAATAACAAATGAATAGAATAAAAGTTGGAAACCTGTTTTAAAAAATTTAAACTTCTCTTGCAAATAAAATTAATTTAATCACTATACTTTTAGCAATTCATCAATTAAATAGTAAATCAACATCTGATGAAACTGAGCGGTAATAATAGGTCATTGTTGATTAAATCAATAGGCAATATTTAAATTTACTGTTAGGCAAAATATCTAAACTGGTAGAGTATAAGGGTTTATTTTCTTTTATGGATAATCTTAAACGTTAGGACTCATTGATTATTCTAAATTAGGAGAAATTTGATTGAGAAAATTTTTAAATAATGTTTAAGATGGTGGTTTTGTATAAATTGAATTAAATAAAAAATAGCTTCTAGTTCTATTTAAATACTGTTAATTTAAGAGTTGAGTATATCATAATGCTCTAATTGAATTTAATACTTTTTAGAGAATCCAGTAAAATTAAGTAAAAACTTTAGCTCCAAAATTTAAAGCATTCATTAATTAAATTCTGTTTAAATCATTATTAATAGGGAAAAATAATATTTAAGAAGTGTTGAATAGAGTATGAATTTAATGAACTTTTTATTATTTTTTGAAAAATTTCAAAGATGAATTTTATGAAGATATTAATAATTATAAAATAATAAGAGATCTTATTCATAATAATAAAAAAACACTTTAGATGATTCAATAGACTTATATAATAATATGAATAGAATTACGATAAAGCAACAGTCTGGATTTATGATTATACCAATTTTAAGAGGAATAAATGATTATCCTTCATTAGGTTCAAATAATTTGGAAAGGGCCAGCAATTCTTCACAATTTATTAGAAATTATGAAGTTTGTTTATTTAATTTAAACATGTGCTTATGAAAATGGATATTAATGCAGCTTTTAATGGTGACAAATAAATGGAATTAAAGAGCAGCAAGTGAATAAACTAGATTAACTAGTTATACTAATGCAGAAGTTAAACCAACAAAGATGATCATAGATATAAATATATTCATATTCTACTATAAATAGTAGCAAAAGGAAGATAGAGAGCTTGAATGCAAGCATTAAAGGACATTGTATAAATAAATAATAATTGATCATATATTTAAGATGGAAACATTAATATAATTATTATTATGAAATTTAATTTTATGCAAATTCATCTAATTTTTCATTTTACTTTAGAAAATAAATAATAATAATTGAAGGCATTAATCAACTCCTAATAATGAAAAGGAATTTATTGTATGAAGAAAAAATACATAATATTGTTCTTTTTGATATTTACATTAAGATGAAGATTATGAACTATTATCATTTGATTATTTTTAGAATTCTACTAATGTTATTTTAGAGATATCTATTTTGATGCTATTCTTAAATTTAGATCTTGTTTTGATGGTTATTTCTAGACATAGCCATTTTTAAATAGAGTTTCTTTTAAGTATGTAAATAAATACTGTAATAATCCTTCTAGTTAACCATTTCTTAGTGTGATCTCAACATAATTATTTATTTAATTAAATTATGTAACCACAGCAGAGAATGGGGACAGCAGCCATGCGAGTGCCAACTCGTATGACTACAGCTATGAGAGTACATTTCATTCACTATTTGATTAGAATGATCCAAATTTCTAATCAGTAGCAAATACAACCAATTTAAAATTTGTGGATAGACCTGTTACATAGCATGGAATTATTGGAGTCAAACCTACGACAGCTGGACCTGGTCGATAAATATAAGATAAATCATATTATTTAAATCAATTGAGAGAGAAGCAGAAGGAAATATTTAATGAGATTGAAAGATTCAAAAAATAATAGGATGAAATTTAAAAAGCCAATACACTTTATGTTTAATTTGAAAGAAGGTATTATTTCAATTAAAATCATAGACATGAGGAATTAACAAAGGAAGTCAGAGATCTAGAAGGCTAATTGGCTGATTATAATTTAGCATTCGATAAATGGAGAGCCAATACTAGACCAGAAGATATCAAAAATATATATGAAAGAATCAAAGTTTACTTATTATTTAATTGTAGATTTAAAATGAGAGACAAAGATCCCAATTGGATGATATCTTTATTGAAAGAAGAGGTTAGGAAGATTCAATTAATTAAATTGAAAATAGATTAAATGAATTACAATCATTGGCTGATATGAAATTACAAGAATTGGATCCAGAATAAAGAAATGAATATATGAGTTTGATTAATGAAAATAAATCTCTTTAATAAGAAATTAACAATCAAAAAGCAGAACTAGAAGAATTAAATGCCAGAATGTAGAATGCAGATAATAGATTGAGAATGGATGCTTAGAAATTAAAGGGTCAGATGCTAAAAGAGTAAATCAATGAAATGGACTCTAAAAAAAATGATTTAGAAGTTTAATTGAATGAAGCCAATCTAACATTCCCAGAAGCCAGAGATAGATTGTTAAATAAGATTAAAGATGATAATGCTTTTATTTAAAACTCAGAAAAAAGAGTCAGAGAAATTAGAAGAAATATAGAGAATTATGAAAAAAGATTAAGAGAATTACAAGCAGAATTGGAAGACAAGAAGTCATAAGAACAAGACAAATAAAAATATGAAATATTATATTAAAGAGATCAAGAAATGACTGATTATATCAATAATTTTGATAAAACAAGATAATAAGAATTAGAAAAAGTGAATGCTGTCGAATAGGCTATCGTAGAATTACTAGGATAATCTTCAAGAATTGTTTAAGATATCAAGACCATACCCTCATTAACAGATTATGCTGGTCTATCTGCTGAAGTGGATTACAAAGATAATTAAGTTAAAGACTCTGAAATGACACTCAAGAAATTACAAGGAGTCTATGAACAGACAATCTAAGATTTAAAAAAGATTGAAAGAGCTGAAGAGCAATTACCAATTGAATTACANTAATCCTTCTAGTTAACCATTTCTTAGTGTGATCTCAACATAATTATTTATTTAATTAAATTATGTAACCACAGCAGAGAATGGGGACAGCAGCCATGCGAGTGCCAACTCGTATGACTACAGCTATGAGAGTACATTTCATTCACTATTTGATTAGAATGATCCAAATTTCTAATCAGTAGCAAATACAACCAATTTAAAATTTGTGGATAGACCTGTTACATAGCATGGAATTATTGGAGTCAAACCTACGACAGCTGGACCTGGTCGATAAATATAAGATAAATCATATTATTTAAATCAATTGAGAGAGAAGCAGAAGGAAATATTTAATGAGATTGAAAGATTCAAAAAATAATAGGATGAAATTTAAAAAGCCAATACACTTTATGTTTAATTTGAAAGAAGGTATTATTTCAATTAAAATCATAGACATGAGGAATTAACAAAGGAAGTCAGAGATCTAGAAGGCTAATTGGCTGATTATAATTTAGCATTCGATAAATGGAGAGCCAATACTAGACCAGAAGATATCAAAAATATATATGAAAGAATCAAAGTTTACTTATTATTTAATTGTAGATTTAAAATGAGAGACAAAGATCCCAATTGGATGATATCTTTATTGAAAGAAGAGGTTAGGAAGATTCAATTAATTAAATTGAAAATAGATTAAATGAATTACAATCATTGGCTGATATGAAATTACAAGAATTGGATCCAGAATAAAGAAATGAATATATGAGTTTGATTAATGAAAATAAATCTCTTTAATAAGAAATTAACAATCAAAAAGCAGAACTAGAAGAATTAAATGCCAGAATGTAGAATGCAGATAATAGATTGAGAATGGATGCTTAGAAATTAAAGGGTCAGATGCTAAAAGAGTAAATCAATGAAATGGACTCTAAAAAAAATGATTTAGAAGTTTAATTGAATGAAGCCAATCTAACATTCCCAGAAGCCAGAGATAGATTGTTAAATAAGATTAAAGATGATAATGCTTTTATTTAAAACTCAGAAAAAAGAGTCAGAGAAATTAGAAGAAATATAGAGAATTATGAAAAAAGATTAAGAGAATTACAAGCAGAATTGGAAGACAAGAAGTCATAAGAACAAGACAAATAAAAATATGAAATATTATATTAAAGAGATCAAGAAATGACTGATTATATCAATAATTTTGATAAAACAAGATAATAAGAATTAGAAAAAGTGAATGCTGTCGAATAGGCTATCGTAGAATTACTAGGATAATCTTCAAGAATTGTTTAAGATATCAAGACCATACCCTCATTAACAGATTATGCTGGTCTATCTGCTGAAGTGGATTACAAAGATAATTAAGTTAAAGACTCTGAAATGACACTCAAGAAATTACAAGGAGTCTATGAACAGACAATCTAAGATTTAAAAAAGATTGAAAGAGCTGAAGAGCAATTACCAATTGAATTACAACAATACAAATAGAAATGTAAGTAGATGTAAGATGAAATCGACACTAAATTTAATAAAATTGATGAATATAAGGTTAAAGCTCAGGATAAAAAACTAAAACTAGAAAATCAAAAGAAGGACTTACTTAAACTTAAGGATGATTTTACTGCATAAGTAAATTTAAAATCCATATATTTAGAGTCAAAACATGAAACACGAATTTGATGTCAAAGAGAAGAAGTACACTATGCATGAGTAATACAATACTTTGGCTGATTTAGAAAAGAAAGTGTCTTAATTAGAATCATAAGCCAATACTTTCTAGATGTTTATTGAAACCAAATCAAAAGATATGAATTTCGAATAGTTAAAGAAAGAATGCATGGATCTAATGGATAAAATTAATAAGGTTCTGTGTAAGACTTGAAATCATTTATAAATTATGAATCAACATATATTCAAATTAATATAAAAATGTAATCAAACTATATTTCTCATCTTTTTGGCAATGTTTTTTCTGTACTTATTTATACTTTATTTATAAGGAAAGAATGTTTCAGATGCTATACTTTTGGTCACTGATCTAGCAGACTTTATTTAAGAAAGACATTGTTCTTATGGTTTTTATCCACTAAGTTGACAAAGGTAAGGAGAATTAATCAAACAGGAGCCACAATTAAGTAAATTATACTCCTTTTTTAAGGGCTTTTATTCATCTCCTAAAGTTTTCAGAATCCTCATTGGTTAAAGTAGTAAATTAGAAAGGGAATTATGATATTTGCTGTAGGCAATAGTTGGTAGTATGGCTGAGGATTATGTTTTGCTATTGTTTAATTTTTATTATAAATAGAGTTTTACTGATAATCTCTATTTATGTTTCTAATCTATAATTTAAGCTTGAATAGATTAAACTTATTAATTAACATTTCCTTTGTCATCATTAGGAATTTAAGAATTACTATATATAATTGGGTTAGCTATATGATGTGATTGTCCAGGAATAAAAGGTTAGTTTTCAAAAACCTTAGTTTTAAATCTAAATAGTCTTTTTGCTCTTTCTTATTATCTAATTTTTTTCCACTTCCTCAAGAGATACATTATGCAGAAAACTGCATTCTGGAATCTCTTTATTAATCTTTGTTTTCTAATTACTGACATTTTGGTTGTGAAGGTTATAAACTTCTTTTATAGATGTTTAGTCTTCTTACTGTCAACTCCACAATCCAAACAACAACAACTTTTATTATCTTGAAAGGACTCATTCAATTATGACTCAGAACTATAATTACAATATGATTTTCGATTACTTTGATGTAGTGGCTAAATCTAAATTTTTTAGAGAAGATGGTTTGCCCTTGAAAACAACAGGCTTCAGGGCTTTTGAATATATTTTTTCTTATATTTTGAGATTAAACTCCCTTTTCTTAATAGAAGTAAAGGAAATTTTCAACTTTTATTGACTCTACTACTTACGAGTTTAATTCATTCCTTTTTTTGAGATTATTAGCAAATATTTAATTATGGATAATAATATTGAAAAAGACCTACTTTAAAAATCCTAAATCCATGCGGATAGCTTACTTAAGATGGTAAAAAAACTCAAGTCAGAAAATTAAGGTTTATTAACTTAAATCCAATAATTATAAAAACAATTAAGTATATAAGGGGACAACTCCTTATTTTAGAAGATTCAAAGCGAAAATATATATCTAATTTAAGAAAATTAATAGTTGATTAATAAATAGAAAGAATTATAGTAATAAATTGATGATCTTCAACTTCAAAATGCAAATCTCAAATATTAATTAAGTCAGACTAAGCAAGGAACTGCAAAAGTATAAAGCTAAATCCTAAATGAAGAATTATATTCCAAGTGCTAATAACTGGAGTTTTCTTACAAAAAATCATAATAGGAAAATGATCAATTAATTTAGAAAAATGATCAATTAATGAATGAAAAAAATCAGCTTTTTGAGGAATTATAAAAAGTGGAGGAACTCTATAAATAATCAAAAAGAAGCTAATCAAATTTATCGATGTCTATGTCCATGTAAACTATGGAATTATGTAAATTATTTCAAATAATAAATTAGCACAATAAATAATTGCCCAAAATGACTACAATAAATCATAAATTATGCATACTAAATAAAAGGATTATGTAAAGCTTATCTAAGAATTTTATATAATTTCTATTCCAATCACTTCAATAAAATACTAAAATCCTGAACCTATGGTCTTATTTAAACATCCAATCTAATGTGATTAAGAGCTTAAGACTCTATTTCAAGTTTTGCCTTTGTTTTCTTTTCCAAGAGGGATTAAATGCTAGACATCTTAATAAGCCAAAAAGGATATTTTAAGGTATAATAAATAATCATTAGAGTTTTGTAGGATGAATAATTATTGGATTTTTCAATTTAAGTTTTCACTCCAAATAAAGATTCTGGAAAAGATATTAAAAACGAATTCATCCAAAACACAAATCCCGATCAACTTCTTTATGCTGTGATTGTATCATCACCTGACTTTATTGCAGATAAAAAGTTAACCAATTCACATGAACTAGTAAAATAAAAGAAATTAGGAAACCCAGCCTAGAATATTTATTTATCTAATGTAGCTTATGTCATATTGACCTATTATCCATACCATAAGTTATTCTATTAAATAGTAAAAAATATAATAACAACCTTAAAATATGAAAGAAATCAACTATCCAAACAAGCATTTGAATAAGAATACGATTTAAGATCAATAGATTAATATTATTTTGCTAATCACGAAAATGAAATAAGGAAATATTTAGATTAAGTACAATAACTAACTCTGACTAAAATAATACAACCTATAAAATTATTTGATAACACAGAGTTTATATAGAATACTTAGTTAAGTCCAATNTACTACTTACGAGTTTAATTCATTCCTTTTTTTGAGATTATTAGCAAATATTTAATTATGGATAATAATATTGAAAAAGACCTACTTTAAAAATCCTAAATCCATGCGGATAGCTTACTTAAGATGGTAAAAAAACTCAAGTCAGAAAATTAAGGTTTATTAACTTAAATCCAATAATTATAAAAACAATTAAGTATATAAGGGGACAACTCCTTATTTTAGAAGATTCAAAGCGAAAATATATATCTAATTTAAGAAAATTAATAGTTGATTAATAAATAGAAAGAATTATAGTAATAAATTGATGATCTTCAACTTCAAAATGCAAATCTCAAATATTAATTAAGTCAGACTAAGCAAGGAACTGCAAAAGTATAAAGCTAAATCCTAAATGAAGAATTATATTCCAAGTGCTAATAACTGGAGTTTTCTTACAAAAAATCATAATAGGAAAATGATCAATTAATTTAGAAAAATGATCAATTAATGAATGAAAAAAATCAGCTTTTTGAGGAATTATAAAAAGTGGAGGAACTCTATAAATAATCAAAAAGAAGCTAATCAAATTTATCGATGTCTATGTCCATGTAAACTATGGAATTATGTAAATTATTTCAAATAATAAATTAGCACAATAAATAATTGCCCAAAATGACTACAATAAATCATAAATTATGCATACTAAATAAAAGGATTATGTAAAGCTTATCTAAGAATTTTATATAATTTCTATTCCAATCACTTCAATAAAATACTAAAATCCTGAACCTATGGTCTTATTTAAACATCCAATCTAATGTGATTAAGAGCTTAAGACTCTATTTCAAGTTTTGCCTTTGTTTTCTTTTCCAAGAGGGATTAAATGCTAGACATCTTAATAAGCCAAAAAGGATATTTTAAGGTATAATAAATAATCATTAGAGTTTTGTAGGATGAATAATTATTGGATTTTTCAATTTAAGTTTTCACTCCAAATAAAGATTCTGGAAAAGATATTAAAAACGAATTCATCCAAAACACAAATCCCGATCAACTTCTTTATGCTGTGATTGTATCATCACCTGACTTTATTGCAGATAAAAAGTTAACCAATTCACATGAACTAGTAAAATAAAAGAAATTAGGAAACCCAGCCTAGAATATTTATTTATCTAATGTAGCTTATGTCATATTGACCTATTATCCATACCATAAGTTATTCTATTAAATAGTAAAAAATATAATAACAACCTTAAAATATGAAAGAAATCAACTATCCAAACAAGCATTTGAATAAGAATACGATTTAAGATCAATAGATTAATATTATTTTGCTAATCACGAAAATGAAATAAGGAAATATTTAGATTAAGTACAATAACTAACTCTGACTAAAATAATACAACCTATAAAATTATTTGATAACACAGAGTTTATATAGAATACTTAGTTAAGTCCAATTTTATATAATTTTGAATTGGCACCTAATAGTCTTTTGTAAGGATGGTCAGCAACTAATTTTGTCTTGGCATTTTAGGCAATCATATTGGAATCTAAAGTAGCCATCATAAGCCGATCTTAAAAGAATATTGCTTATTTAATGATTTTGCTATCATTCTGTATCAAACCCTTAAATTATTTTCATCCCTTTATTTTTGATGTACCAGAAAAATTAATGCCACTTTTAGATGCTCCAGTTCCAGTATTTTTGGGATTATAAATGGAAGAATTCCGATAATTTAATGATGACGTTGTTTATATTAACACAATATCTTCTAATGTTGAGATAGAAAATGTAGAGAGGTTAAAAAGTAATTTGTTAATTGAATTGGAAAATCAAATAAAACCAGTTTTATGCAACTCCAATATAATTTTAATTAAAAAAATTGAATAGTTGTTGAATATTTTCAAAGATTTCATGAATTAGGCATTAAATAGAATTAAGAGTAAATAGGCAAAAGATTTGTTTTTATAAAAGATTGAAGAGACTTAAATTTATTAAATGTATAAATGATTTTAACATTTGCAAATTAGTTAAATTAATAATTAATATTAATGGGTTTATGTTCTTCATCTTAACAGAAATAGCCAAGACCATTAATTAGATTGGTGAAAGTTGAGATAGATAACAAGAACGACAATTATTAGTAAACTTTAGATCTTTGGAGAACTATCGATAAATAAATACTTTTGTTAAACAATAGTGATTAGATTTCATCAAAGTTATTAACTTAAATTGAATAGATCAACACTTTCTTAATATTAAACTAAGGACAGAACTTAAAAAAAAACTTATAGACCTTTTTTAAACTATTTGACGATTTTTAAATTTCATTTACTTAGGAAATAATGTAAAATGAATCAATTTGGGTAAATCATTCATAAATATTCAAAAATCTTGATTTATTATGTGAAAATTTTGCCGATATTGGTTTTTGTTCAAAAGGTATATTATGAAGATAATATGTTAGTTTAAACTTAGTCCTTAACTAAATATTGATAAAACTGAGATAAATTAATTTGTGTATAATGATCATCAATTTTATTTCCTTTTCTTACTTGTGTTGATTCTGAGAGGAAAGTCAGAAAAGAGCTGGAAAGCCGATGATTTTAATAAAGCAGTCTCATAGTTTTTAACGCTTTTATTTTTTCTTATAGCATTATATTTGGGAGAAATAAAACCGCTCAAGATAATATCACTTTATTTTTAGGTTCTATATTTTTATTATTTTAATCTAAGTGAGCTTATAGAATCTAATAAAAGGGAATATTTACTTAATGGTTCAGAATATCGACCCATATCGCTTAATATAGGACCAGATTCAATAGTTCTTTTTTAATTATTGCGCTAAGATTTGATCTCTTACACCTTTGTCTTTGGCGTAAAGTAACCTTTGATTGGCAAAGGCTTAATTCTATATCTTTTGTGTTGTTCATAATATCGATTTACTGACTTTTATACATGGGAATTTTAATCCATCAGTTCTTTAATCATCTTTTCATATCTTTAAGTGATAATTTCGACTGTACTTTCAACTGGAATGTATACTGATTATGTATTATCAGCTGATTTATCTTTTAACCTTGTTATGCTGCTTATTAAGCTAATAAATCCTATTAGTTTTTAAAATATATGGATACCTCCTCCCTGTAAATACAAAATTTTTGTGTTATCATCGATAGATAGCACATCATATACATTTCTATTACTATGTCTACTGACGGTATAGCAATATTTATTATGAAGATCATTTAAATATCTTAGTCCATGGACTCCAAGGATCAATGGCTCACTGTAAAATTTCTCATTTCTATTGCATCGGTCTTCTCTTGATTTTATATTGGTTAATACTATTCATAATTTAGCAAATGCGAGAGCTCTTGTTTTAATTTTTATCGCTGAAAATTGATTATAAATTTCAAAATTCCCACTAAAGGTTCATGAATAATTTATTGAATTGTCGTTCTGAGATTTGGTTAATTAACAATATCCTAACATAATTATTACCCCTATTTAGGAAAATATATCTAACATATAAAAATATATAGAGTACTTATGTCTTCACTAAATAATATTGAGTTATCTTTATGTATTTTTATATAATTTTTGGGAGGAATAGTTTGCGAAAACCTTCCCCTAAATGTTTATACAGATGATTTTCAAAGTTTTCTCTTTTCTATTCTCCTCTATAGATCTCATCTGACAATTCCCTCAATATTCCTATTTTAGTTCGATTATCCTCATGCATCTAATGGCCAATTACTCTTATCATAAATATCACTTCTTCTCTAGCTGCCAAAATACTTAAAAACAACTATAAAGGATTCTATTGCATTTAATTAATATGAATAATTATTACTTAATTAGGTTTCATTCTTTACAAAAAAATAATTAAATCTTAAATTTCTTAAAACCTAAAAATTTTACATTTGGACTCAAAGAATAATCAATTTTATTTAAGTATTTAATTTATAGAGGTCACTTTTTAAATTATTATTAATCTAGAATATTTAGTTATATATTCTTGTCATTTATAGATAAACATGTAAATCCAAATTAAATTTAGAAATTGTACAATTATTTTACCAAAGTCATATATAATTTAACAGTTTAGATTGAAAAGAATAAATAATTTACTTTTTTATTAAACATAAATTAATATTAATTAGAACTTTATACGTTAAGCCTTTAATTTATTAGTCAATGTAAATTAATATTTGAGAGACTAAATTGGATTGAATATTTTTCTTCATTTTTACCTTATGTTAGTTTCGATTAGTTTGATGTCAGACTTCTATTTATTTGAGATTGTTATATTTAGGTAAGATGATTGTTCATAATTTCAAAATTGATCATAAAATTCTAAACAGATTTATGCAATTGTACAATTATTAAAAATGAACATCATAAATAAGACAATCTTTAATAGTTAAAAAGAGTAATAGTTGTAATGTTGCTGTCCTTTTTACAACCTATTTAGAAACAGGAGTTAAATTACTCTTTGAACATTATTATTTTAGCTTTCATCTTAAAGCCAATTAAATATTAGTTTTAAATAAAATATTACTCAATAGGATATGAATTGAATATTAAATACTTTAATGGTTAATAGACATACGAACTTACTCGGGTTTCAAGAATCAATTAGTTTGATATAGAAATTAAATTTTGAGAATAAATCAAATATATTGACAATAAATTTGAAAATTTAAAATCATGTGTTCTTATCACTATTTATTGAGTTGTTTATTGCTTGAGTGAACTCATTAAAATTGTTCTTACAGGTAAGGTTGATGTCTGCAAATGATTCTGAAAGAACTATTTAGGCTTCCAAAAGTACTTATTGGAGGTGATATGCAAATTCATCTTTACATTTCTGAAGAACTTCATAATTTAAATCGAATTTTAATGGAAATATATCAGGTATTATTGATGATATTGTTTCATATTAATAATCCGAAAAAGACTTTACATTTAAACCATAAAAGTTTAGTTTACTTTAAATTTCTTTGTCATCTAAAAATTGTTATTTATTTGTCAAAAATTTATTTATATAAATATTCCTAAGTTCATGTTCATTTTTAGAGCATTTAATTAGTGGTTATTCCAAAACATTAGTGTTTTGGCTTATTTTTTTTGAGATTTATTCCAGTGTATTAGAAATAAACTTTTTAGATTCATTACTTATATTAAGAGCCACATAAATTTGGTCATAAAATATTTCAAAATTGAATTAAGGTATTTTTTGAGCAAATTCATCTTAAATAAACTAAAATCTATTTAAATAAATACTATTTTTTTATTAGACTCTCTTAATAGTATTAATTAATATTTCATCTTTTCAATTTCTTAATAAATGATTTATTAAGATTCCTAAATCTGTTTTTCAAAAATTTTATAGTTTTTATAGAATTAATTTTGATAATTTTAGAGTCTTTTGTAAGCTTAATAATTTTAATTACTAAATTCAATTTTTAGTTAACCTGAAGGTGAGGATAAATGATTTAATTAAGCATTTCTAATATTTTTCTCATTTTATGTATAATGGCTAAAATTTTTCAGACGGAGTTCATTAGCCTTATTATCGTTTAAAAATAACAAAAAATAATCAAGACACCTTGTTTTTGGTTTGTTATAGTAAGTATTTAAGGCATTCTTGAATTATTAAATTGATTATTACCTCCAAATGTAATTGAAAATTCTATTTTTGATCATATTAAAGTTTATATCCAGAATACTCTGGAAAATACATTAACATTATTTTTTCCAAAGTCCAAAGATCTTCTTTTGATCTTTCGACTTTCCAGTTAAATGGTTAGGTCTCAATACAAAATACCTAATTTGAAAAAATTAGATTTTTAGTATTAATAGTAGTAACTTTAAAACTAAGTTTTACATTCTCTTCAATATATTATATTTTCTTTTGACATACATGATCTTTCTCATATTCAGAAAATACAATTTAATTGTCCTATGCTTAGGGTAAAGTATTACAAATTGAATTTAACACCTCTCCTTATAAATCATTTCTAGAATTTATAAATCATCTTTGGTATAGGCATTCTATTATGCTTATTCCTTAGTTATTGAATTAGGAAAAACTGATTTGGCTGTTGATCTTTTTGGAATTAATCTACTTTGTTTCAAAACACGAGTCTCACAATTCTCATCTTAAAAATTTTGAACTTAATTTTATTAATTGATCTATAATCAAATATATGATTTACTTTATGTGACTATTCTTGAGAAATTATTTAATCTTTATTGCCTGCCTTTTGATTTTATAATTATTAATATTGTTTGACTAATAAATTTAAATCATCGAAATCCCACTTATACAATTCATCTTTAAAATTATGCAAAATTTTACCTTTATCAGGATATTTTTCATAAGCATAGCTTTGGAAATCCTCCTCATTATACTATTTATTAATAATTTCATTAATGAGCAAATCTTGCAATTTCTTTAGATTTTAATCCATTTTCAAACTTTATAATTTATTTATTAATAAATTATCATATAATAGACTTAAAATTAAATAATATCAATTCGATTTTTCTTTTAGCATTTCATATTTATTAACTAAATCGTTCCATTATTCACACTAATAATTTAAAAATATTCATACATATTTTTGACAGAGTTTCTACTTTGAAGAAAGAAATCCCCCAAAGTTTGAAACTACTTTAAGCTTATCAACTCTGAATTACTCATCTAGAGCACAAGAAAATTCTTATAACATATAAACTAACTGATCTTGAAGTTATTAATTTTATTGAGTTTCTTGAACGTGAAGAAAGCCTTTCAAGTATTCAGAGTCAGTTAATAATTTGTCATTTTCTGATTAATCTAATTTATTTTATTACATTATTTTTTAAATTAATGTTTTTAAATCGCTATTTCTAATAAGATCATCTTTTTTTTTATTTAATATATTATAATCTTGGACAAACTTACTTCTAATATCATAAACATTTTAATGTAATCTAACAAAGGATTTATGACTTCTTAATAATTTTGCAAATGTTAATTTTAAATTTTTATCAAGTAATGTACAAGAATCATTTATTTCTTATGTTATTTAATTAAAATGATCATTTACCAAATTGATGTACTCAATAAGGCTAATTTGTTCAGGATATTTTGGTAACGTATTTGTTAATTCCATCAAACATTAAGTAGCATTTCCTAAAAATTCTTATGACTTTTTTTGATATGCACAAAATTCATTCATGTTACAAATAATTTGGTTAAGAAGATTAATGGCCGTTTTTGGATAAGTTGATTAATCTAAGAATTTTTTATATCCATCAAAAGATAAAGAAACCTTAATGTCTCCTGTTTTTGTCTATTTTTATTGTAATTTATATCTCTTTTCCTTATATAATTCTTCTTTTAACTTTTTTTAAAGTAATTATTAATTTTCTTCCTTAATAAACCATAAACAAGGCTATATTGTTCTGATTAAAGGGATTTAATTGTAAAGTAAGAGTAAATTCTAACATTGTTTAACAATTTACTTTGATTGAGAGAATAATGTTGTCCATCATTGGTTGCATTTCTTCCAATTTAGTTAATTCTCCATAAGGAAATCTAGGAATCTATAAATAGATTAATATCATACTATTTTTTCAGGAAAGTATTGACAAATAACATTCCTCAGATCATCAAATTCTTATAATGTTCTTGAGACCTTATATTGCATTGGAAATGTCTAGATTGAAAAAACCACAATTTATTTCTATGTGATAAAAGACCATAATCCAGAATCTCTTACTTCCTAAGGACTAAATTATCATTTTTGTTTACTGGGAAATCTAAAATTATAACTCAACATCCTTTTCAATGAGGTATTTCTCTTACTAACACTTTATAACTTTTTCATAGGGATCCAAAGAGATATTATCCTACATAGTTTAGGTATTATACAATATAGATTTTATGTTAATTTGAAACAATCACTGAGTATAATTTCTCATCAATATTTTAGAATCCGTAAATTTCCTCTTCTTATTTTGGAGTTTGCTTTGAAGTGTTCTTTGAAGATTAAAAGTTTTCAATACACAACTTTAAGTCTTCATAATTCCACTTTGAAAGATCGTCTAAGGTCAAATTTTAAATGTTTACCTTTATCTGGTGCTTAAACTTAAACATATTACTCGAACTCTTCTTGACTATATTGTTTATTTATGATTTCTTCGATTAAAAGTTTCTATAATATTTCAATATTGTTCATTATTATTAAGAGTTATTTAATTAATTGTTAATGGAGGTACTTATTATCAGTTGATGTATGAAGTATAGATTGAGCAAGAGTAGACAGTAGTAATACGAGAAACCAATAAAAAAAGAGAACAATTCCGACATGATTTGAGAAGGAAGGCTTTAAATGAATAATTTAAAGTAAAAATAATATTCTAAATAAAAGAAGAAGAGAACACCTAAAAAAGAATTAGATATGCTAAATCTACTGAAAAAACTTAGGAGTAATGAATCAGAACTAGTATTAAATCAATTTATTGTTTTAGTGTCGAGTATTAAGATTAATGTAAGAAGCAAATCTCGAAGAAAATGAAGATATAGCAATGTTTTTGCGTGAGTTAATGCAAGAGAATTAGAATTAGGAGATAAGATTATTGTGTAAATAATTAATAAATCTTAAATTCTGTTGCGTGCCTTAGCATTTAATGAAAAATCGATAACAATATTGAATGATTTTGTATATATATTGCACTTATAAATATTATATTTTGAATCTATGAAATAATTGATTCAAGTGCAAAGCAAAACCACCTAATAATTTTGATAAATTGAACTTAATAGAAAAAAAGGGCACACTATTTTCAAACTTTTATTATTATCAAATTTAATCACAGGTGTAAATTTGTATTTAAATAAATACTAATTACATATTATAGAAGCTTAGTATAATCATCTAGAAAGGAATTTAAATTATATTAATATAATAAATCACAATATATTAGTTCTACTCAAACAATGAAATTCAATTAATTTTCATACACTAACTTACTATTTTTAAAGCCTTTTATAAGAAGGTTTTACTATATTTGACTTCTTATATAAGGTTTTAATTTAAAATTAAAATTAATATAAAAATAAAAAATACTTATATCACTCATAAAAATTTATAATATAAACAACTATTTGTTCTTTATTCATATAAGATTACTTATATATTATTCATTTATTATTAAACATTAAAATTGATGTTAGAAATCTTAATTTTAAGATAAATACTAATGTTTATTTTTATGTTCTTAATATTTAAAAGTATTTTAAGTAAATGTCTCAAAATGTAAATAAATTCCATAATAAGATTGCTAATATCTATCTAATTTAATGAATATTCATGTCCAATATAACTGTAATAACAATACTTGCTGCTTGTACAAAATCTAAAGCTTCTCTAAAACAAATCAATCCGCCTGAAAAATATTGTTCGACATATTTTCTTAAGCAAATAAAAGAAAACGGTCGAATTATCTGGAAATTCAATAGTGAATCAGAAAAATGTTTTTTTTCATAAGATTGATATCTCTAAAATGCTTTCTATAATTAAAATTGTATGTATTAAGATTCAGATTAGTTTAAAAATTTAATTTTGAAATGTATAAATACATCATCTCTTTTTTTATTCAAGCCCAAGAATAATCATACTTTTACTATAACTCAAAGTCAAATCTCTTAATCAATTATTTTTTATCCTTCCTAGTTTACATCTATTACTGTTGATTCGATATCACTGTAATTTTATTGACAGACATCTATTAAAGGAATTTAGACTCAGAAATTGACTATTAAACTTAGTATTATTTCAAAATTCTCTCCTTTTAAACTAATTATATTTTGATGATTTACTTTTATAAGAAGTTTCAGTTTGACATGTATCACAGAATGGTATTTTAAATATGCCTTTTAATACACAATAGTCATGAAAAACATGGGAACAAGTAAAAGCAATAGCAAGTTCAGAATCGATTATATGATTTTAACATCTTTGGCAAATGTGATTGCAGATCCATGCACTTTACTAAAACTTAATGAATTATTACATTAATTTCTTTCAATTATTGTATGATCTGGTATTTCTCATTACTCTAGATTAATGAAGTTTCTTTTAATGTTCTTAAATCATCATGAAACTTACTCACAACTCTATAAATAGTTTATCTGAAAACTGACACTGGCAATTCAGGATATTTTTAATTTAATAGATCAAATATCTTGGAAACTTGGACTCTATCACTAATTCTTGCTAAGTATTCACTTAAATAAAGACTCAATAAATCTTTTACACTTTAAGGAATATTTGGCATTATGAATGTTCTTATTTTATTTTAATTTATGTATAAATCTACGAAATACATCCATAAATTCTAATCATCATCATAGATATTTTAGTTTTATTTTAAATCTTCTAAAATTAATTAAATAATTGTTTCTAATTTATATTTCAACTTTTCTGTGCAGACACTATCAAGAGTTTATTTTTTCATTAAAGATGCTATTGATTTTTTGATTTTCTTTAAAAATGAATTGATATATATATCCAAGGCTTGTTTTATAGATCCACTAATTTAATGAATATAAGCAGCTGCCTAATTGATTTTGAATTCCTTTGTCAATTTCAAAGCTTCATCCAATGGAAAACTCATGCTTTTAATAGCCTACAACACTTATTTAGGTTAAGTTTCACATAACCTTTTAAGATAGAGTATTTTTGTTTAATCATTGATTAAAAACACTTTTTAAGATTAAAATAAGTAGGATATGAAATTAGCAAAGTATTTTTAATCTTCAAAATCTTTTTGAAAACAACTCAAAATTTAAAAGTGTTTCTGATGAAAATGCTTTTCAATTAACTTATATGTTTACTATTCATCGATTGTAATTAAATACTTCAGAATTTCTAGAATAAAATCATCATTTTGTTGATTCAAAATCATTGGCCTTAATTCAACCAATTATTGAATCCATGGAAATATAAGTTCCCTGATTTAAGAGTTAACATTTTTAAAAGCTTCAAATGCCATTTGATAATGTTGTTATTGAGAATATATAAACACTAAAGCCAAAGAAAATTTCTTTACAATTGAAGCTGAAGACTCTAAATCTGATAATTGCCTTTCTGTAAGTTTTTTTGACATCATTACTCGGATGATAAATTGATTAACTAATAATACATCATTATTTAGTGATAATAAAAACTCGTAGTTTCTACATAATGTATAGATTGTGTCATAAGCTACTGAAGATGAAAAAGGAAACTTTTGAATTAATAGTTTGGCTGTTAAATAAGATATCCAAATATCTGATTTATTAAACTCTAATTTTCTAACTGATAAATACATTTTTCTATGAACTGAACTTTTTACATTAATTTCGTCAAAATCAAAAAGAGATCCTTCAGTCTCGTCAACCTGTACTTTTAATACAATCTCTGCTCTACTATCCTCAATACAAGCTTATGCTTTGCCAATATAAAATTAATATATTATGTCAAATGCTTCTTTCGGATCTTTATTAATAAATTTTAATAAATTTTCGCTCACAAAAAGAAACTAAATCAAACTACGTAATGCATTAGCAAATTCTTCATCAGTTAGATTCTTTCCCTCAAAGGACTTGCCTTCTAATATGCTCAATATATATTTCTGGCACTCATTTTATAATTTTTCCCCTCCAAACAATTTAACGAGTGGAGTCACAAAATCTTGGGATACTTAACAGACGTAGATCATCTCATTGTACATTTTCATTTATTCACAACAAGAAATTAAAATAGCACTCGATATTCTACTAAAATCTGTCGAGCAAACTAAATGATGTATCATCTCGACATTTTGTTAGTTTTAATACAATTTGCATAATTCATATAATTACTAATCAGGTATATATGGAATTTAATGCTATCGAAGTAAACTTTCAATTGTCTATAAAAATACTTCTTTGTATCCTAAATCAGAAGCAACATCACTGATGATAGTAAATAAGTAATGTTCTAATTTGGTTTTGATTAAAAACTTAACAATCTCAGATAAAGATTAAACTGTTAAGTTTTGCTACTTACCCAAAAACAAGCATTCAGTAAATGCTAATTTCTGGAGTAATTCTGATAATTAATCTGAGGGTGCAACTTTGATAAGTAACAAATCTCCATTCATGATCCTAATTGCATTTTACATGGCTTTCCTAAATTCTAATTGATCAGCTTGATTCTATAATAAGGTTCTACAATCTTAGAGAGACAAGAATTCAAATGTGTCTTCTGTTAAGCCTAACATAAAATGGCCATTGAATTTTTTGATTTTCAAAGATTGATTGAAATAGTTCAACTTATTTTCGCATTTCTTGAATTCAGTTGCATGCACCAAAGCAAATCCATCCTCAAATAAAACCACAAATATATCAGAATCACAGCATTCTAATCCATTTATTTTTTTATCAGCTTCCAATTGTTTAACTCCTATTTCATCAACTGTGATAGAACCTCCCTAAATTTCATACATAAATAAATGAATGACATTGCCATAGCTACAACAGAAAGAATTTCTAATTTAACTGTTGCTATCTAAACAAGTCGATAGACATGCCCATCCAGCATCTATTTGATCATTCTATAGATTATACAATTAAATGGGTGCTTCTTTGTTAATTTTGTTTACTCTAATAATTGAAATTCGATTGTGCATTTGATATAATAGGAAGGCATAATTTTCATTACTACCTTGCATAACTAGCAATTCGTAAAGAATGCTGAATCCAGGAGAGACAATATTTTTTTCCTTTTAATCCACAATTTACCCATTTGATGTTATCTCTTAAGTTGAAAATTGTACATTTCTTTTATTGAAGAGCTTAAAGATGTTACATTTGATTTTAGTTGAATTGCCCTTGAGGTCAGCTATCACAATTTCATACCAATCTAAAAGTTTTTAGGATTCATTTATCACTCTTAAAAATGAAAAAGGAACTTAAACTAATCCTAATTTATGGGTTCCAATAATCGAAAAATCCTTTGAGATTTCAATTAATAAAATATGTTCTAGCTATCCAATAAACAAACAATCTTCAGTTTCTTAGATCACAAGTGAATTTTATATATCGAGTTTCTGAATCAATTTAATTTCACTCCTGAGATCAAAAACTTAGACTCTTTTCTGACTGCCCAGATATACGAATCTGTTTGAGCAATGCATAATGTTGATATATTCTTGAAAGGGTAACTTAACAGATTGCTTGACAATTATGGGATTAACAAATTCATTTTCGAATTAATATTCTTATAGCGGATGTTTAATAATTTCTTGATATGTGACTTAAGGATGCGAATTTAAGAATTGATGAAATTATTCAAAGTTTTTGTATTCTACAAATTTAAACATAAAATTTTTATAAATAAAAAATATTAAGCATCTTAAATCAATTAAGAATTTTGTGTTCAAAACTAAAATATGAGTATTTGATATCAATATAGCATTAATCATTTTCTGTTGTATCACTATGCTGTATTAGAGATTTAATTAAAGCCACAATCATTTTATTATTATTATTTAAATTATTTAATTAGTCAAAATGTAGTTAAGGTAATTGGATGAAGACGATGAGGAAGAGACATGTTTTCTCTGCTTTAAAATTAAACGAAACAAAAAACCAAGTCGAAGCTCGAAAACCTCATAAAATGACAAAATGAGTATGTAGCATCTATCCTTTGATCATCATATTGAGGAATCTAGAGGATAAATAATCGAGGATTCAAATTTAAAAATGACAGATTCTGTTTTGAAGATCTCCGACTATCCAAAAAATAAACTGTTTTTCTTAAGGAATAAGGCTAGTAAGGAAGAAATCATTGCCAAAATTACAGAAAAGAGATTTAATATAAATGATTTGTCTGGCTCTACTCTGAGTTTGGATTCTCTAAAATCACCAATACAAGAACAATTGCAAAAGATTGAACATACTCCTGATAATATTGCTCGATATATAGCAAAGAGAATGAAAGAATTTGTTATTATTACTGATTTAGGTTGTGGGACTGGAGGTAATACAGTTCAATTGGCAAAGGAATGCCACTATGTAATTGGAGTGGAAATAGATAGGAAATTCATAGAGTTGGCAAAGAAGAACTGTCAACACTCAATTGTTAATGTAGATCTAATCAATGCTGATATTTTCACTTTGAATAACTTATAGACTGATGTGATATTTGTTAATCCGAGTTTGAATCCTGAGGCATTGCATTCCAAAGATTAGATAAAAAACTGCAATCCTGACATCAAGAAAATATTAATGAATCATTAGAAGAATACGAAGAACTTTGTTTTTCAATTGCCTCCTCAAATTGATATTTCTCAATTACCTTTGTTGCTTAATATTAATTCTCAATTTGCTTATTTTAGATAAAATTTTCCCTCATTTTTGAGCATCGAAGTTGAATAGATCATTCTGAATAACCAACTTGAATATATTGTAGTGTATTGTGGAGATGTGTCTGATGTATTTATTGATCATCTAAACTTATTTAGATTAAATAATCAGAGATAATTAAATTTCTTACTAAATAATTTCGCAAAGCACAACCTGATTTCAATTCAATCCAGAAACAGCATTTATTCTGGCTCTTTGAGTTGATATTTAGAAACATAGGAATTTAACATCTTACTTATAGAACAGTAGAGGCTATTAAGCAAAAAAAATCAATAGAAAACTTTTGTAAATCAATTTAACAATAATTTTAAATTCAATAAGATCTCTACTAAACTTATATTAATCAGTAAGTGTTTATTTAACTTAAGCAATAAAAATATTAAAGATGATATTTACTCAGCATAAAAACAAGATATAGATCAACAAGATATCGATAATATGAGTCCTAGCAATTTCTCATATAAATAAATTGAAGTAGCTAATATGAACTATTCTTATACTAATGAAAATGTATTTGATGATGAGGAAATTGAAACTCAAAACACATTTGTGATGAATTTTAAGCATTGAGATCATAACATATAAATTGACTTTTTAAATTTAAATTATAACAATGATTTTGTATTTCTTAGCTTTTAAATAATGAAAAGGAATTGATGATATAATTATGCATATAATTAAAAGAGATATTATATTCTTTTGCTTTCAATCGCACATAGCAATGTCACGAATAGTAAACTTCCCATCCTCATTGCTTTTCGCAATTCTTAAGTATTTTTCTATTTACTAAACTTACAAAAATCATCTTACTTATCTACATATATAACAATTTTTCTATTTCTCCAACCACTTAATAATGCATTTCTCACACAATCCCCCATGTTGACATGGCAATAATACAATGTTAGGTTCCACATCAAAACAGATTTGACATTTTTCTTCAATCTGTTTAATTAATTCTAATTCTCTTTCAGCTGCAGGAGATTATAATTGCTCAGTCTTTCCAACAAATTCAAATGCCTTTAATTTTGTTTTCTAATGAATCACAGACTGATTGCTATGATTCATAGTGATAACATTTCTCTAATTACGGATAATGTCAAAATAGGTCGATGAAATTTGGACAATTTTGTAAGGAATATCAACCTACCTGTACTTTTGAGTCTATCTAGTCTCATTTTTTTCATTAGTTGTATTATACCTGATTTCAATTATATATTATCTCTAAATACTTGAGATTATTTACTTAATGTACGAAAAAAACAGTAGCAATCCTAATAGTAATATGCCATTATAAACAATTAGCACTAAAAATAGAGTTTGAGTTGTGTTTGAGGAGTTAGTTTCTTCATACCAACTTACTTCCAAGAGAAACCACATCGGCAAGATTGAAAATGAATTCATGTAAAATGACAACCATAGACCTCCTATCACTGTTGTTATAATGTAAATATACATTGCGATTTTGTAGTTCGATTTCTCACGTAATCCATAATGGTTTCTCCCATAGAGAGAAGGAACACAAAATAAACAATGAAGGAAATTATCAACAATCCCCAGGATATGCTGAATACACTATACCAATTCCAAGTTATAGTTTTTGTATGCTTCATTGTTATTAGCATGATTTGCAATACAAATAGCAATTTGATTCCTTAAATAATCTCTCATTTATATATATGTTTACAAATGAATATTATGATATTTATTGATTGTTGGATATTTTACGAATATTCTACACAAGTACTCTAATGAAATAGTATGCCATGATTGCATAGCTAAAATACTAAATTTAGAATTGCTAATTATATTTAACATTAATGAGAAGTAATAATTTGAGTACACTTCCAATCAAAGTGTCCATAATCAAATTATTTACAATTGCTTTAAATCTACATTAATAACAATGTACTTTATTTTCAATAATCCCAAGGCTGTCAACATTAAAATATCAAGCATCCAATATTATGACATCAAATACAAAGGATCGAATTTCCAAATGAGATAGGAAATATATATAATCTGATATGACTACGATATTTGTTATAGAAACATCAACTACCATATTTTCATATTAACATTGTCTGTGTTTTCATCTCTCATGATTTTATAATTATTAATTAAAATTTGTATCAAAAAGACTTAAATAAATTGATTTTGTCAACAAATCCAATCTAATTCTCATCTCTTAAAGAATTCAGAATTCTATACTATTTATTATTTATAAATTTCTGTTTTCTAATTGAACAAATACTTTCAATAGGAAAAAAGAATATATAATAGACAAGAATATTCGATATTTATATAGTTGATTATATTTTGTTATGTAATACTTGTTATTTATACATTATCAAAATAATTTGGCTTCATTTCTTAATTTCTATAAGAGCACATCGACATTTTCTACAATAGCTCCTCCTTTTCTAATAGCAGGAGCCTCAGTTTTAGTGATTTGAATGGAATTATGCAATTTGCCCAATTTGTCAAGTGGGATAGTTTCTAAGGGTTTTGATTTGGCCTGAAATGTAATTTATAAAATATTTACTTTCATGATATTTGGAACACTAGCGAATCTAGGTTGATTGAGTCTTAAATCACATGTAATCACTCCAGGTAACTTGAATTTGACAGTCTATAATCCTCCGTCAATTTCTCTGATCACCTAAGCAATTCCATCGGTAATTTAGATATTGGAAGCAAATGTTGCTTATGGCCAATCCAATAATCCAGCCAACATTTGGCCAGTTTAATTAAAATCATCATCAATTGATTATTTGCCCATTAAGACAAGATTATAACTACAATTACATACTGATTTTACTTATCTCTTTCAACTAATTTGGCTAAGATGTTGGCTACATCCAATGGCTACACAGCTTAGTCAATTCTTGCTTCAGTTGTGACATGAATGGCTTTATCAGCTCCCAAAGCGAGAGCATGTCTTAAACTCTCAGCTCCTTATTTTGGCCCAATGGTGACTGCAACTATTTCAGCGATCAATTTCTTCTCCTTCAATCTGACAGCTTCCTCTACTGCTATTTCACAGAAGGGATTAATAGTCATCTTAACTCCTTAAAGGTCTATGCCATCTGGCTTGACTCTAACTTTAATTCCTGAATCTACTACTCTTTTGACAGCAACCAAGACTTTCATTTAATAATAAATTAATTTATCAATTGCACAATAATTACGACATATAATTAATTAATTAATTAAAATACATATTATGCTATTTCTATTTAAGTAATTATCTGAAACAAATACAACAATTTTATAATTCTATGAATATAATCATACTCAATCTTAATCATCCCAATGTCCTCTATCTGGCATTTTAGGTCCTCCTGCAGGTTTAGCTATGATAATCTAATTTTAATATATGTTATATACTTAATCTACTCTCAAAATAGTAACAGCAGCATCAGTTGCCAATTTGATAGCCCACCATTTTGTTTTAAGATGATCAAACACTTTCAAATCTTAGGATGGTGACAATGTAGCTGTCTATGATAGGAATGATTGTCAATTATACCGAAATATTAAGTGAATGAGGTTTCTCAGAATTTAATTTATGCATTTAAGCCATCATTTCATTTTAAGCAAGACCAGCATTTTCAATCAAAATTCTTGGGATTATCTCAAAGGCTTAAGCATATTGTCTATAGGCATATTAATCAATTGATTTAATCTTATTAGCTTCTTATTCTAACAATTATGCTAATTTCTAAATAGATATTAAATGTATTTTACTATTTCTGTTGCACCACCTCCATATACAAATCTTGCATCTTTAATTAATGATCTATAACAACTAACGCCATCATCAATAGCTCTTTCAATATCATCTAACAAATTTTGAGTAGCTCCTCTCAATACAATGGTTGCTAATTTACAAGTGTCACTTTGTTTTTCAAAGATAGTCACTTTTTGACTGCCAATTTCTTGTACATGTACTCTATCACATGTTCCTAACTCATCTGGCATAGGTGCTGATAATCTGGATAATGCACTAGCTCCTATGGCTTTGCACAATCTCTTTAATTCAAATTTAGATTAGACTTTCACAATCATCATTTTATATTTCTCAACAAAATGTAATACCAATTCTGAAATGCTACCTCCTGCAACAATAAGATTGACACCTGCATCAGCAATACTCTTAACAATCTTCTCAGCTAATTCCTCTTCACTTTTAGTATAATTCATTAATTCTGTTGCATTTTTAATTAACACTGTTCCTTTAGTCTCCTGAGATTATGGATCTAATGGAGCATTAAAAACACAGATCTTGGGGTTTTCCAATCTGTTAATTTATCCTTCTACATTTCTAGTTACAATAAGTCCAGAGAGAACATGACTGTCTAATACTGATCCACCTAAGATTTTTGTGACTCTGACATACTCTGAATCAAAACTGGTTTTTTCTTTTGGTAAACATCTTATACATGCTTTAGCTACCAAACCAGCAATTAAATTAGAATAACTTGAATATTTAAATTAAATATTACTCTGATAGTTTACTACTTAAAGATGTCCTAATAGCTTAAAGAACCTAGGTTTCATCAGCTACATCTGTGATTTCCCAAACCTTTTGTTGATCTAATAAATCCAATGCACTTTTAAGAGCAGTTTCATAACCAACCACAATTTAGCTAATTAATGATAAGGAATATTACCTTGGATGCAATCCCAATTTGATCAAACTTTCAGCTTATTACAATAATTCGCCAGCCAATGTGATCACAAAGTTGGTTGCATCACCTTATTCTGTTTCTTACATTTTTGCAGCCATAAGAACCATCTTAGCAGCAGGGTGTTAGATTTCCATCTCTTTAAGAATTGTTGCTGCATCACTTGTTACAAATATTTTGTCTATATGATTGACAACCATCTTTTTCATTCCATTGGGACCTAATGAGGTTTTGGTCATATTTGAGATTTCCTTGCATGCTTGTATGTTTTTCAGTATGGCCTCCTCTAATCCCTGATAATGACGAGCTCCCTTAGAAATATCAATCAACTTATGGTACTTCTTTTAACATGGATTGGAAACCTGCGGCTGTGGATAACATAAATTAGATAATTTAATTTTTAATATGCGCTATACAAAATATTTATTATTAAATGATTAATTAGGAAGCTTTAATTACTTTTAGTTATTTGCTTCCTGCATCGATCAGCGTCCTTTATATTCTAGCCATGGGCGCTCGCTTTTATGATCTTCGATCCAATATACGAGCTGAACCTCTCCCCTATAATTATTCTATTATACTCAGAATTACACTGTTGACTCTGGACATTAGTAATAATTCTTTTATACTAAGAGCTGCTGAATTCATTGAGATTTTATTGGTTATCTTCTATTCTGAAACTAAAAGGGACTACTTGTCTGGAGTCTTATTCGTAAACATCTCTGCTATCATAATGCAAATATTTTTGATGGTATATAATTCATTCACCAATATTAGTGTTACGAATACAAGAAGCGAGTCCCATTGTTCTTTGCCCACAAAATCTATTGGATAGTCAATTGGCTTTTCTTGTTGGTGTCCTTTGCTTTGCTCATTAATTAAGTAAAGTCCCTACACCTTAACCTAGTAAGGACAAATATATGAATATTGTCTGTCACTCTTCAGAATTGTTGATTACACCGTGCTCTTGGTATTCACCCTCTTTCTACGACGACAGGATCTTAGCGAATTCGAAAGTGTAGGATTTTGGAGAAACGAATTCCCAGACATTGATCTATAAGATTCAGAAAGAAGGGCCAGACTCTCCACTTTGAATGGTATTTGCTATCAATTATAATAAGCCAATTCGGGGTCCCTCTTTTTGCAAATTGATGTGAAGAAGAGATGGAACATTGTTAATGATGATGTTGAAGTTAAATTAGAAATGTATAAATTATTCCATATATTCTCAAAGCTAAATCGTAGGACTGGATAAGCAATTTAAGTTGAAGAAATCTGTATCCGACATTTTCGAATGGCATCAATCCTATGTAAATGAGAATGCCGATTACTTTGATTAACATCCAAACGAATTGTTGTCTCTCAACTTCTTTGTCAAATAAATTTAAGATAGTCAAGACCTGCAATTAATCAACAATATTCAAAGATATTTAAATGCCATCATAAGCAAATTGGACCTGATTACATAGTCGTTTATGGATTTTATAGAATTATCACAATAGGAGAAGGCTTTGGTGGATGAAATAAAATAAATCAATAATATTCAAAGCAATCAGAAATCTTCGTTAGCAATCAAATAGATCCAACCTATTCGAAAACAAAAATGGGATGTCTAATCTGAATATTTACCATATATGTAAGTGCATATTACCGAACACTAAACTATAAAAAGTAATAATCAATCATTTTTACAATACACTCTTGTAGTATAATTCGATAATGAGACCTTTGTTGTGTAAAAGAGGTTCAAAGAATTTTTTGAGTTTTGCGAATAAATAAAGAGTTAATTAGAAACTAAGAACTTTCCACCATTTCCTCAAAAAACATTAATCAAATTAACTAATGAGGAAATTGAGGAGAGGAAACAGGAATTGGAAATATTTATGAAAATACTACTGAATGATAGGCAATACCATATATCGTTGCTATTTAGATTTATTGGTATGTCACAATAGATTGAAGATCTAGTTAGAAATACGCAAAGATAAATCATAGCAGACAGTGAATAAATTGTAAAATTATACATAAAAAATATTGGCTATGAGGAGTTCTATGGTAAGGATGGAGAGAAGTACTTTAGATATTCATTTTAAATAAGTTTTGGAGATTAGAAGCACATAATATGGAAGAGGTTTAGTTAATTCGATGAATTACATTAGTTGTTGAAATAAAGGTACTTATTGTAAATATAGTTAGATATTAATTATTGCCATAATTACCATTTAAGACAACAGCTGCATTATAACAAATTAGTCCGAACTTAAGGAGTTTGAACTTATAATAATATTTGTAAGATTTAATAAAAGTTCCAACGATTGGTGAAAATGTTCATTTAAGATAATTTTTAGAGATGAAAAATTTTCAGGGAAACCTTGATATTGAAAATGTTATTGGATCATTACCATAATTAGAAAATATTTTAGAAAAATTAGATAAAAATAACAAAGATATAGATTAATTAGATAATATGAAAAGCAGATTATGGCAATGATAATTTATATAATAATAAATTCATATCTTTAATGTTTAGATTCCATCGAATTCCAAAATATCTTCTGTCTCTTCATGAGTATTAAACAGCAGAATTTTTCAAATCCTTTCAATTACCAATACCTCCTGGAAGGATCTGTAAGACTGCCGATGAAGCATACAAAGCAGCGGCTAGGATAATATAAGAAGGATCTGATAAGAATTCGTTCACAGATGTAGTTGTAAAGGCTCAAGTGCATACAGGAGGTAGAGGCAAAGGATACTTCAAGGAGAATGGATTTAATAGTGTATTGATGAACATCTACATAGGGAATACATATAGCATCTACTCCTGAAGACGTGAGAGATTATGCATCTAAAATGCTAGGAAATACATTGATTACTAAGTAAACTGGGAGTTTGGGGAAGAAATGCGAGATGGTTTACGTAGTAGAACGTAACTTTTTGAGGAAGGAGCTATATTTATCAATACTACTAGACCGAAACACAGGAGGCTTGGGGATTGTGGCATCAGAAAAAGGAGGTATTCATATTGAAGAGAGTGATCCAAATTACATTAAGAAGTTTTCCATTGAAATGCCAAATGCAGTTGAAGAGATTGATTCCTCTATATACGAGAGCGTTTCGAAGGTGTATAAATTAAATCCAATTTAACAAAAGTAAATGACTGAAGTAACAATTCTATTAATTTCACAAAGATTTTAAAACACATGTTTGATATCTTTTTGTAAACTGATGCAACACTATTAGAAATTAATCCACTTGGTATTGATTTATAAGGAAATTTGATCATTTGTGATCAGAAATTAAATATTGATGACAATTCATAATTTAGATAACATGCCATATTCCATATGGAAGATGTTAGATAGAAGGATTGGAAAGAAGTCGAGGCTTAAAAACATGGACTAAATTATATAGCTTTGGATGGAAATATTGGATGCATGGTAAATGGAGCAGGATTAGCTATGGCTACCATGGACTTAATCAAACAGTATGAAGGATCACCTGCTAATTTCTTAGATGTGGGAGGTAAAGCTACAGATCAAGAGATTGTATCTGCCTTAAAGATCATGGACAAAGACCCTAATGTTGAAGCCATTCTAGTAAATATCTTTGCTGGTATTGCTAGGTATCTAAAATGATTATTATTCCAAGGTGTGATCAAATCGTTTTGGGTTTACTTAAAGGATTAACTGTATTAGGAATGAAGAAACCGATGGTGTTGAGAATGAAGGGAACAAAGGTTGAAGAGGCTAAGAAGTTGATTGAGGAGTCTGGATTTAATATGATGTTTACAGAAGATTTGGATGAAGCTGCAAAGAAGGCTGTTAGAATGGCAGCTATTCTGAGATTGGCTAAAGAGGCCAATATTAATGTGAACCTAACGAGTTGATATTTCATTATAAATATTTGCATCGTTATTCTACTTGATAAATAATGTTCGAATTATTGCAGGATTTTATAACAAAATCACTAAATCAATCCAATTATTTGGTTCTTCATATATTACCAATATTTTATTCGAATCAAATCCAAATTCTGAAGATTATCACATATATCTATAGCATCTTTATACTTTCCATCTTACAGAAGGTATTGAATCTTAAGACTTAAAGCAAATCTATTGGTAAATCCCACCTCGTTTAGAAATTCAAGCAAGTTAAAGTCTTTCAAATTGAATTGAACATATGTTTTATAAGGATTTTCCTAATCATTTTTGAATTTAAACATTTTAAACCATCCTCTCAAATAGTTCCATGCTGCTTCATTATCTTGCTTCAATCTAATTGCATTCTTTATATATTCTAATTCTGCATTGAAATCAAGAGGCATTTTAGACAATAAAAAATACCTGTAATTCCAAGCAGAATTATTACCAATATCTTCATCCAAATAATATTAGACATCTACTAATTCTGTATCATATATCTTAAATCTTTCACACAACCACACTCGATAGGACCATCCATGATAATTTTTATTATCTTCATCAAAAATTTTGTGGAGAAACTCAACCTCGCCTTTGAAATCATTCAACTCCTCTATCACTTATCTTCTATGTTCCCTTAATAACATAAAATGATATCTTACCAAATTTAATAAACCTTCTAATTCGCGATTGTAACCTCATTTATAAATTCCATCTCTTTATTTAAGTCTAAATTCAATTATCTCAAACACTTTCTTCTTATGAAATAAGCATTATAATTAGATGGCAACTTTTGAATTATGATGCCTGTTAAATCAAAGACTCTTTCACTAATTTCTCCTGATTTGACTATGGCTCTGAAATAATCCATGATCTCTTCGTAATCTTGTTCATACTTCACATTCAGCAATTCCACCTTAGATGTAAACTAAGGTACTCTCTCTACATCAGACCAAAGTAATTTATTAAAATTCATAATAATTATTTCATCATAACTAAAAATTCCTCATAACTCACTTCCCCATCCCCATTTGTATCTACTTCCTATATTACCTCTTGCCATTTCTCATCTGTGATGCTTTCATTACCTTCCAACACTTTTTTTATTTCTTAAACACTAATTACTCCATCTCCATTTAAATCAAATTATTGAAAAGCATTTTTCAAATTACTTTCTGTGAGGAGTACTTTTCTCTATGAACAAGCCATAATAAATTCTGAATATTCCAAAAATCCATTATTATCTATATCAATTTATTCCATTAGAATACTGGCTTACATTTATGCCTGCAATTCATCATACATATATATCTTTTGCAAAGCCATAGCCAATTCATCACATGTCAATTTTCCATCTCTATCTACATCAATTTCATTGAAAATTCTAATTAATTATCTTTCTTCTTCTGGAGTTTGTTGGAATGAACCCATAAACGAAAGAACAGCTTATTGTAATTTATTCTTAACTCTAAACTCGATTAATCTACTTACGCTCTCTTAAAAACAAGTATTGAACTCTTATGAAGCCTTTCTCTCTTTTTTCAATTAAAAAAATTCATGATCAAGTAATTCTTTAGCCGAAGGTCGTTTTTCTGGATCCTTGCTAAGCAATAATTTAATAAGATTATTAAGTTCAGGCGAGCATTTTTAAAATACAGGTAAATCAAAATTAGGTTTAGTATCCAAAATTTTCCTTTGAATTTCATCTGCCTACCTAGCATAAAAGGGTAAATTCCCTGTTACTATCTCATACAACAATATGCCACTACTCCATATATCGCATTTTTCATCGTAACATTGTTTAAATACTTCTGGAGCCATATAATATGGTGTACCCACAGTTGTATATAATTTTGATCCATTTTAAAATTAAGTTGCGCTATTTTATATTTACTCATTAATACATTCCCCAATCAATCATTTTTATCAAAATACAACCATCTTCTTGTTTTTCAACTAAAATGTTTTCACTTAAATTAATTGAAATTTATTACCTTTTGATATCTCGATGAACAATTTTTTTCGAATGTATGTAATGCAAAATAGAAAATAGTTGTTTCATAATTTGAGCCATGTCGTATTCATCAATTTCATCATGTTTGCATAGATATTCATACAGATCTCCTCCCTCCCAATAATCAGTAATCAGACAGTATTCATTATTGTCTTCATAGAATTCATATAATTTCAAAATATTTGGATGATCCAACTATTATAGTATCTTAATCTCATTTAGAGTTTAATCCTTTGGTACTCTTTTTAGAGTTCTTTCATAAATATTAATTCAAATTACTTTCTAATTCCTTAATGTTCAATTCTCATGACTCTGCTATTTGGACCTTGCGATAACGATTTTTCTTATTCAAAATTTTAACGTTTTGATTTTTATTATTTAAAAGTGTTTGAGGAAATTTTAATCTCCATTTAAATCAATTTTTTATAAATATCAATCCATCATAAAAATAATAAAAACAAAAATCAATTCTTTTAAAAGCCTCCTATCCACTGTTTACTACCGTAATTTTTTTGCTGAATCAAACCAATATCTTTTTTGTTTTAACCAACAACATTAATTATTTAGTATTTTTAATTATTATTACTAATTAAGAACCTATATAAAATATTAATTGTTATACCACTTCATTCCATTCAAAGACTCAAAGGTATTTAGATAAACCATATATTGCATTAAGATAAAACAGCTAATAAATCAATTAAATTGATATTACTAATTAATAAATTACTTTATAAGACGAGATTAAGTTTTAGGGAAGTGATTTATCATATTCTCTTAAATCTTCTACCAAATAATTACCCTCATTCTATGCTCGCTACTATAATTTTATCAAACTACCCAACCTGAAAATTATAGAAATAGGAAATTAAATAAATTTCTAAAAGGAATTCTATTAAATTGTATTTACCATCTGAAAAAGAGTTCACGTATCAATAATATTTCTAAAAGTTTCAATAAATTAATAGATTAAAAGAAAAGCAAAATGAATAATTAATTAAAAATATCTTTCTTGTAATATATTAATTACTTTTTTTAATAAATTTAGCTTAAATATACATTTACGTTATTCAAATTTTGCTATTTAAATTCTAAACCCATAATTTTTGCATCTTAAAAACAAATATTAATCTCTCTAATCATTCCAATATATTTATCGTAAAACCTTATTGTCTTATTTTAATTTTTCTCTTTAAAGATATATTGTATATTTTTCTAAATAAATTCTTCTAGTAAAATTTTTGATTTAAAAATATAAATTTTATTATAATAAACTATTTGGATATATTCTCAATCTTAATTTGTAATATTATTAGCAAAATATTGATTCCAATTTAGAAGCTAAAAAACATCATTTTGAAAAATGATTTGTTTATATTTGTAATATATATAAAATAAATTTAGTATTTTAATCATAAAAAAATAAGCCACACCTTCTATATAGTAGCCCTGAACTTGTTTTATTTAATAACCAGAAATTAAAACTACATCTAAAAATAAATATTGGTTTTATATCAAATAATAATTTCTAATTACTTATGAAATTCAATAAATATTAATGAGATCATAGTTTTAAATTACAATATAATCTTTAACGTATTATCAAATCAACTAGAATTAGTGGTGAGACACTAAATAATTCCTATAGCCAATAATTGAATAAAAAAATTATTTTGTTTCTATTCTATATTAGCCTTCGGTGAGGTCTTTAAGAAATTTATTTTGAAATTCAAACCTTTTCTTAAATTGCTTTACTATGTATTTTTATGAGTGTTTGAAAATTTTAATTTCTTCTTGCTCTAACTCTTAAACATCAGGTTCTTCTTGTATTTAATTGTCATTAAACTCATTCTTTCTTTTTTTTCTTATCATATAATCTTTTGGATCAACTTTAAGTAATTCTATATACTCATTTTCAATGTTCAAGAGTTAATTATAATTCTATTACTTTTTAATAGTAATAATTTCTTGGAAAATGGTTTAAATGGGGTCTTCAGGATCGTCTTGGATAATTACGGTTTCATGCAATTAGTTTTATGGCTTCAGTAATGTGCATTGATATTGGCGATGTTTTTTTAAATCTTTGAATTTTCCAAACCATTTATTGCATTTCAAACAAGAAACGTCTAATTTTTCTACTTTTTAAGTCATAACTTCATCCTTTTAGTAAAAGTTGTAGTTTTGGTACTCCTTTCTGCAATAAGGGCATTGTTTTTTTTTCATCATCCATTCACTGATGCATTTTCCACAAAAATTATGTCTATATTAAAAATAATCTTATACCCACACTAAGTTATAATTGGCTTATAGAAAATTTGAAGGCATATCACACATATGTATTCAGGATAGTCTACCGAATGTATTTAGATATCTTCTCTCATAAATTAATTAATTAATATAGTCATTTATTTTTTTTAATCTTATTCCAAATACTTTTAATTCCATTAGAAATGTCATTAACAGATTATTTAAGTTTGTCTTCTTTGTTAGCAAAATTTGAAAAATTCTACTCTTTTTTAATTTCATTTTCCAAATGAGTTTTTTATCTTTCTTTAAAAAATTCCTCTGCTTTTTCTGCAAAATTGATAAAGGTGTGAACATTTTTGAATTTAGGGTCATTTTTAGTTGCTTCTTTGAATGCTTAAGAAAATTAGTTGAATTGACCACTTTAAAACATTTTCATAATTTCTTCAGCCTATTTTTACATTTGTTCCATTTGCTCTTTAGAAAATTACTAATGATTGGTATTGCCTTTAATAATGTAATAATTTTAAACTTCTGGACGAGTGTTGTTAATTAGATTGATTGTAACCATAAGAATTTGAAGTATTTTTAATGAAATCTGTATTATATGTTCTTGCAGCATCATACTATTACTTTCTATGTTTATCTGATAACACCTATTTTAGATATTAGAAATATACATCCCAAGCTTCTGTTATTTGTTTGAACTTTTCTTCATAGCCTTTGTTGATATCTGGATGATATTATTTAGCTAATTTATAATATTCTTATTTTAGTTTTAGTTCTGAATCAGTATGAGTGCAATTCAGTACTTTATAATAATCCTTATTAGCATCAAATAATGGTGGCTGGAAAAAATAGTATCGAGGGATTGGATAAATTAATTTTTTCCAGATTCTTATATTTTAAAGCATATAAATTAATGAATAGTTGATAAAATAATTTTAGATTATAGAACCTAAAGCAGAATCTAGAGAGTCATTTAAAAAATATTGTTTATTTATGAATGCTATTTATAGCAATTTACATTTGTAATGTTTATTATTATTATCTGTAGATTAAGATAATGTTAATAAAGAATGTATAATGACTTAATATATTAGAGAAGATGAAAATAATTGAGCCAAATAAATAAAAAATGGTTTTTTAATAACTCAATATAGATTTAAAGCATTTTAGAATAGTCTTGAATTAAATAATGATGATTTTTTTTAGTTTTTTCATTAATATATTAATAATGAATTTGTCTGAAGAATCAACAATTAATTTGGATAGCAGAAGGCCAAGAAACAAAACCGAAACTAAGTGCAAGTCTTAGAGTCCTTAAATAAAACCTCAATTCACATAATATTAGTTGCAACATAAGAAAAGCAAAACCAAAGAGAAATTAGCTCAAAGATCAGAACAATTACCAAATGTTACAAGAAAGTTAAACCCTAAATCAACTAGTTTCTCAAAAAAACGGAATCAAATTAAGCCAGCTTCTCAAGATTTTAGTTTAAAAGTAATTGTAATGTAGTAATAAGTATTTTATTGGATGGGGTAACAATGAGGCATTAGTAAAACGAATTATGGTAAAAAGATTACAATGGAAAGAGACAAATGACTCAAGTTCGATGCTTGTAAATTTTAAGTGGCAATAAAGCGAAAGAGGTTATAGATATGAAAGACTTATTGTAAGTTAAAATTATAAGTAACTTGTTAACCATTTCGAGCATCATAAAGAAATATCTAATAAATCTTATCTAATTAAAAATCTGTCCTTATATTGCGATGTAATAGTTATTTAAAGATTTATAATAGAAACATAAGTTAAATGTATTTGATTATACTCCATTAACATTTGTCATTGATTTTAGTGATGAGAATTGCGATTACAATATTACGCAGTTTCTTAAGACCTATGAGTAATTTGCCCCTAAGAAGCCTTCATCAAAATAGATGTTAGATGTAAAAAGAAGATTAAGAGGAAACTTTTGTAATGCATATCAAAGAGAACCTGCTTCATAATTCGCCAAAATTTAATTGAACAGTACTTTCTTAGCAGAGGACTCTACTTATATGTGGCTGTTGAAACCAACATTTTTAAATAGAGGAAGAGGAATCTAAATTTTTGATAATCTAGAGACTTTAGTTAAGTTAGTATCTGACTTTTAGGAGGGATTAAAAGAGAAAGCATTAAATTAAAAAGATGAATCATCAGGGGATGAGGATATCCCAAAATAAGTTTAGAGTGCTTAAATTACAAAGAAGGATACTAATTAAAATACAAGACAACAGGCAGCAGGTCCATGTATAATAAAGTCACATTCATTTGTAATTCAGAAATACATTGAACGACCCGCATTGATTAACAAGAGAAAATTTGATATAAGAGTGTGGGGTTTGATAACTCATGATTTAGATGCATACTTCTTTTAAGAAGGGTATATTAGAACTTCATCTGAAGATTTCACCTACAACATAGAAAATACATTTGTTCATTTGACAAACAATGCTATTCAGAAATATTCACAGAATTATGGCTAATTTGAGGATGGAAATCAATTGTCATTTAAGAATTATCAGGATTATTTAAATTCATAAAATATTAAATGCAATGTTTAAGATGTATTTAATCAAATATATTTTAGTTAATTAATAAAATGAAAGAGAGGATATGGATGGTCTTTAATTCAGTAAAGAATAAAATAAACTTTGAAGATAGGAAATACTGTTTTGAGATATTCGGGTTTGATTTTATTTTAGATGCTGATCTTGAAGTATGGTTAATAGAAGTTAATACAAATCCTTGCATAGAAGAATCAAGCCCATTGCTAAAGATGTATATTCCAAGAATGTTAGATGATGCATTCAAGTTAACACTTGATGTTTTATTCCCTCCGTAACATCCTCTTAAACAATCACTGCCATAGATTTGTATTATTGATATCTCATATTTGCAGATTAATTACCTTAAATTAAGGAAGAGTAACATTCTGACTATCCAGTTGTTGGCTATCCTAATGATGAAAATATGTGGATGCTGTTGGGTTCATTAAGTGATAGAAAAATTAAAAAGAAAAAATGATTATTATTTATACTATTTAAAATTTACATTTTCACAACATGAAAATCTTTGATTATCTATTTCAATTATTGAAATCACAATGTTTTACCTGTTTCAATTACAAAATTTGATGAATAACAACAATTTTTGATGAAACAGTCTTAAGTAGGGTCAAAATTATGAAGTAAAGAATAATCAAAGTTTTATCCAGACAATAAGCTTGTATAATCCCTTATATATCTAACATCATTTATGTATTTATCAATAAATTAATAAATAAATTATTAATTAGATGACCCCTCAATATCTATTCTTCTTATAATCTGCTCTTTTTAAAATACAACTTCATAAAATTTAATAATACTATCTATATATATATTATAGTGGACAGAATCCTTGACATTAAATAAACTAATTAGTATTAAGATGATTAAAAAAACGTCTATTGATAGAAAAGCTATTTATGATCTATTCCAAAACATAGACGCAACATTTACACAAGCATTATTATCAACTTCCTTTCCATTCATGCATGGCATACCAGACTAATAATAAATTGATAACATCTTGAACAGAGTGGATGCCGATTAAGTATCAAACAAAGGTATATGGACAGATACTTAGGATTAATATTTAAAAATAATAGTCCTTGGAACTTGTTTGAAGACAAAAACAAGACCATTAGATTTGGTAATACATAGTCTCTATAAATATAGTCAACATTACAATGGGATTAAATCTCTCGAATATTCAAATTTCATAATTGGAAGGCTTGCAGAAATAGGTGGTTAAATGAAAAACATAAAAAAGTTAACTGGACTCCTTAAGAGGATTAAGTGCTTATGCAATTACAATCATTACATCCAAACAAGTGGTGTGAAATAGCAATAGAATTGATGAAAATCTGTTAAACTCCTTATGTGCGATTAGGAAAATAATGCAGAGACAGATGGGTTAATAAACTAGACCCTAAAATACTTAAGTATGAATTTAAAATTTAATAAAAGTATACCATGGTAGAAGGAAGAAGAACTTAGGTTATTTTAACAAGTTAAAAAGAGGGGTAAACGATGGGCAGACATATCGGCTTAGGTATTTAAGTTTAGGAGGACTGAAAACACTATCAAAAATAGATTTTACAATTTATTAAAATAAGAGGAGAATAGATAGAGATTAGGTAGAGTACCAAAAGATGAAAGGGACATCTTATTAATTGATTCAGTTATCGAAACATTAACAAGAGATTTGAATAAATGTGATAAGTCCACTAGCTAAAATGAACTTAATATTGATAATAAAAATTATGAATTTTTGGAATTCGATTCACAAGAATTAAAAGAAATAGTCATAATAAAACAAAAGAAAATTTAAAAATTAAATAACCCATGATTGTTTTTAAAATCTATTTATTAATATAAATTCTTTTAAATCATCCACAAACTTGGATGCAATCATAATTATCAAAGTTCCAATCAATTGTTCATAAACAAATTTCTTCCTCTTACGCATGATGTCATTAATTTAAAAAAACGGGTGTAATCTAAATTTTTAAATATTATAGTATAATTAATTTCTGTTAAAACGAAAATCAATTGTTTAAATTATAATACTTTAATATATTCATTTCTCATTTTCTTAGTTAAATCCATTTTAACATCTTTATTTCATTGTATTTTAGATTCCAGTTTTGTGTTTCTTATTCCAATACCTTGATATATAACTGAAAATTTACGATGATTAGGAATAAATTTTCATTTTTAAATGTTCTATAAATAAGAAAGAAGTTTATATGACTGTCTAGTTCTTTAGTTATATAACAGATTTCAATTTAGAGTTTAAAAGAATGAAAAAATATATTAATGCACTAATCCTGGTAAAAATAAAGTCATTATTACCAATCATTTACTTAATTTAAATATTTGCTGCTCAACTATTTTAGCTTTTAAATATCTCTGACCTTAACAATTACCTGGTTTGATTGTTTAAGAGTGATTTAAAAAAAAATTTAATTTTTATTTTGGATGTTTAACATTAAATATTATGAATTAAAATATATTGCTGATTATTAAAATGCTAAATTATATAGTTTTAAGTTCAAAATGCTGTTATTGATTAAGTTAACATGAAAAAGAATATTCAAAAAATATAATTCTTTAAGATACACTACTGAAACAATATCTGTTTTGCTTTCATTTATCTGTATTTATGAATAATTATATATTAATGTTATTAATCAAAAATTTATTTATTTTTTTTTTGAAAATTTACTTTGATATATTAATGTATCAATCAATTTAATGATAAAGTTTCTTGACAAATAATTATCTCAATATGAAACAATCAAAATTTAGGAACTTATCCATTAAAATTATATAGGTTTACTTTTAAAGACTATAAGTGACCTTTATTATTAATAATTCAATAGTATTAAATATATTCAATTATGTTTGTTTAGGGTTCTTTTATAATCTTGAGCTGTACTTCTTTCAATAATGTCATCATCGTCATCATTAGGACTCATTTTACTTTATATTTCGTCAGCATAAATATTAGATTCCTTATAGTTAAATTTCATACTTAATCTCCATTCGCAGATTAGGGTATAGACATTTAAAATTGTTGAGAGAGAATTTATCTCTTTATCAATTATGGTCTTTTTTCTATTTTAATAGACAAACTCTTTTTTCCTTCTGAAGCCACCAAGTAGTTCACATTGATTAACCTTGGGAAACAAACATTTAAGAAGGATTGAGATTTTTAATAGAAGGTATCCCTTTCCTCTTGAATCTCGCTAATAATTTCATTAAAGGAACTGATTAAGCTTCTTGCACTGTCTCCTCCTTTCTTCCAATAATGTTTTTTCTAAGTATAATCAAATGATAAAGTTAGAGATTCATCATTGGTTTCGAATTTAGATCTTAATTCATTAATTAGTCGATTAGTAATTTTAAAACCTTTAAAGTACTCAATCAATTTGATCTAATATTATTCGTTTGAATCTAATAGGTCAAATAAGTCATCCTTTAACATCTCATACAAATCTTCTATGTTTTCGAAATCTGATACTAATCTAAAGATTGATATTGATATTTTGATTAAAATCTTGATGCCTTTCTACAAAAACAAATTCCAAACTTATAATAACTATATAAATTATGAATTTATACTAATTTTTAAGGCAAATCATAACCGAAGATTACAAGAAACCATCTCGTTGTTATAATCCCGATATCAATTTTATTTAATAACTTAATTATTAATTTATATTTACAAACTATGCAGACAGATTTGGTACATAATTTCTTAAAAATACTGCAACAACGAAATTCAAGAATTTTAATTAACTAAATTAATCAAGAAATATTGTTGCATATTTCATCTTTTTCAAAATATAATACATTATCCAGAAGGCTTATTACTCACTTAAACCACTGATAAGAAAGCAGCCTGCTATTTAATTCAACCCTTGAATATAGCCTAATTCCTCGTAGATCTTAGATAATGCAATTAGTATTCTTTAAAGTCTTTATCTATTATGAATTTATTTAAAATATTGATGTTATGAAAATGTTCTATCAATATCCTTCTGTATATTTGCTGCTTCATTAGATTGTTAACAAGAATAGTATTTATATTAATGTGCGTATTGTAGATTTAAGCGTTTAAAGTCAATGACAGAGTCCCAATACATAAANTATATAGGTTTACTTTTAAAGACTATAAGTGACCTTTATTATTAATAATTCAATAGTATTAAATATATTCAATTATGTTTGTTTAGGGTTCTTTTATAATCTTGAGCTGTACTTCTTTCAATAATGTCATCATCGTCATCATTAGGACTCATTTTACTTTATATTTCGTCAGCATAAATATTAGATTCCTTATAGTTAAATTTCATACTTAATCTCCATTCGCAGATTAGGGTATAGACATTTAAAATTGTTGAGAGAGAATTTATCTCTTTATCAATTATGGTCTTTTTTCTATTTTAATAGACAAACTCTTTTTTCCTTCTGAAGCCACCAAGTAGTTCACATTGATTAACCTTGGGAAACAAACATTTAAGAAGGATTGAGATTTTTAATAGAAGGTATCCCTTTCCTCTTGAATCTCGCTAATAATTTCATTAAAGGAACTGATTAAGCTTCTTGCACTGTCTCCTCCTTTCTTCCAATAATGTTTTTTCTAAGTATAATCAAATGATAAAGTTAGAGATTCATCATTGGTTTCGAATTTAGATCTTAATTCATTAATTAGTCGATTAGTAATTTTAAAACCTTTAAAGTACTCAATCAATTTGATCTAATATTATTCGTTTGAATCTAATAGGTCAAATAAGTCATCCTTTAACATCTCATACAAATCTTCTATGTTTTCGAAATCTGATACTAATCTAAAGATTGATATTGATATTTTGATTAAAATCTTGATGCCTTTCTACAAAAACAAATTCCAAACTTATAATAACTATATAAATTATGAATTTATACTAATTTTTAAGGCAAATCATAACCGAAGATTACAAGAAACCATCTCGTTGTTATAATCCCGATATCAATTTTATTTAATAACTTAATTATTAATTTATATTTACAAACTATGCAGACAGATTTGGTACATAATTTCTTAAAAATACTGCAACAACGAAATTCAAGAATTTTAATTAACTAAATTAATCAAGAAATATTGTTGCATATTTCATCTTTTTCAAAATATAATACATTATCCAGAAGGCTTATTACTCACTTAAACCACTGATAAGAAAGCAGCCTGCTATTTAATTCAACCCTTGAATATAGCCTAATTCCTCGTAGATCTTAGATAATGCAATTAGTATTCTTTAAAGTCTTTATCTATTATGAATTTATTTAAAATATTGATGTTATGAAAATGTTCTATCAATATCCTTCTGTATATTTGCTGCTTCATTAGATTGTTAACAAGAATAGTATTTATATTAATGTGCGTATTGTAGATTTAAGCGTTTAAAGTCAATGACAGAGTCCCAATACATAAATTGTTAGCATTTCTAATCAATAATAAATTAGGAGATTAATTTATGATCTAATGGTTAAAGTAGTCTTTGAAAAATTACCTTCTTAAAATACTTTTTCCATCTTCTTATTTTAAATACTTTGGAACTTAGTTGAAAATTAATTAGTGATCCTGTATCAAGGAATGAAGTTAAATCATTAAAAGTATTTTAATACATAATAACATCAATGAAGGATGTTCCAAAATTTATATCATCTCTGTCCTCAAGAATTTTTGGATTTAAGTTAGAAGAAGTATATTTTTTATTCATATTTTATTAATTTAATTAATAATTGAATTAATGAGATTAATTAACAAAGAAATTAAACATACAATTATTTCAAAATAGAAAGAGCAATGAATATTATTAAATAAGAATTTACCTCATTATAAACTACATATATACTATATATATATCATGAATATTTAAAAGAATGAGAGGCATGACATTTATTTAGTTTAGGAGAAAAATCAAAAATTAGATCTAAGTATTTGGATTAGTAACTTGCAAATACGATAGCTAAATATGAAATGAGTATCCGTTATTAATAACTGGAAAGGCTTTAAAAACAATAGATATATTATATGTTTCGTACATATAGCCTCATTATCCAAATAAATATAATGATATTTCAATAAAATGATTCCAAATAATAATTTTTTTAAAGTTTACTATCAAAGGTTAAAGTCAAATGAGGTATCTATTCTCTCCTATTACCATATCCTTAACTTTTAAAGCAGGGGATGTAGAATCAGAATTATAGAATTACCCTATTTAATTAGAAGATCAAAAAGAAATAAAATATTTTATGCCTATAAAACTATAAACTAATTATGATAATCAAAATAGATTGATGAAAAGCTTAAAATCTAAATTACACTCAAGATTAATATCAATTGCTTTTAAACTCTCAGTAGTTATTAGACCATCTTATGAGAGAAATTAAAACATTAATATCAAATATTTTTCAACTTTATATACGCCTGGCTCTAAACAAATAGCTATAAATTCTAATTTAATAAGTTAAATATCTTACAATAGTATTCCAAATCTTAGTATTTATATTTAATCAAATCTTCGATCTCTGCTTTAGTTAATATTCCTGATTAGGATTTGTTCATAAATAAAAACCCATTTTTGATATTAATTATCTCAGTCTGATCCAATTATGTTGCTAAATACAACAATGCAATTTATTTAATTTAATGGTAACTTTACCATCTCTCAATGTTCGCTTTTGTTAGTATAACTTCACCTTGTTGCACATATTTCGAAAGCCAGTCATGCTTTAGAATTTATTCCAATCCCAATCGTTATTAATAAGGCTTTAGCAATTAACTTATCAATTCCTTAACTTGAAGTGACACGTTCTTCCACTCTGGACCATCAAAATCATATTTGCCTTTTTAAATAGAATATAGTATCTCCTACTCTGTCTCACCATAAAAAGGAGGGTACCCACATAATAAGACATATAAAATAACACCAATTGACCACAAATCGCACTTATTATCATATGTACCCTCTAAAACTTCTGGAGCCACGTAATAAGCCTAGAAATATGTCTAAATTATATATACAGTTCCTGCTTTAGTCCATTGTTGCAAGAGTCCTGGTTAGAATATTCTCGCCAAACCAAAATCAATAATATAAAGAGTATTAAGATCATTATTCTTCTGAAATAGAAAGTTTTCTGGTTTTAAATCTCTATGCACAATATTTAATGCTTAATAGTAGACTACTGATCTAATAATTTATATGAATATTATTAATGCTCCTTGTTCGTCGAAGTTTCCTAATTCCAAGACCTTGTCGAAAATATCTCCGCCCTTACATATTCTAAATTTAATTGTTATTTTATACTCCATCACTACATAAATATAGTCATTATCCTCATAGGTTTCGAAGACTCTAATCACATGTGGGTGATCCTTAAAAAATCTCAATTTCAATAATTACTAATAATTCAACTGTTCTCAATTCATTTGTAAGTCTTTCTTTCTATTTTACACTTGCTTTATGGATGATCTTCACTGCTCTTGCAATTCCAGTAGTTCGATGAATTGCTCGATAAACCATTCCATAAGAGCCTTAGCCAAGTTTCTATATTAATGAGATTAGCTTACATCAGTCTTGCTAAATTCGTAAGTGTCTTAAAATTTCTTATTTTTGCTAGAGTATTTGATAAAATCAACTTTTTTGATATGTTTCATTTATAAAAAATAATAATTTAAATTCTTAATTAGCATTTTGAAATAATGAGAGCATCATTTTCATCATTCAAAATTTAAATGGCGCTTAGCTACTAACTGCCAAATAATATAGATTAAAAGTAATTATATAACAGTCTAAACTGATAAAATTAATTAATTTTTTAATCAATAGCATTATTAAAATATTTATAATTTATTAAGCTGCAATTTATGTAGGAAGCACAGAATGAAATATTTGAAATTCTTTAGAAATAAGTAGATGAAAGGAAAAAAAAGAAAAAGTAAGAAATGTTTTAACTAAAGAAATAAAAAATAGCAGAGATTAAATACGACAAAAAAAAACTTGTAAATAATGCAATTTACTATTATTTGGATAGACTGATGGTCTAGCTAAACATCCTTATTAATTTTAACCAGGCAAAGGAGTCGGTTAATTTTTCTAGAAAAGTGACTTTCTCCTGCCTAAATAACAAAAACCAGGTTTAGAACGAATTCAAAGTGCTTGGTTACCAACCTACACTCATTCTCGTTTAATGAGTGCTACACCATTAGACACGGAGCCATTTCCTCGTCCTCCATCTGTAAAAGAGAAAGTTTGGAGACCATTCTCATCTCAACCGAATAAGCTGAACATGATATAATTAGTGCCTCATAGTCCAAAGGATGATGCATTAACTCCGAAAAAGAATTCATTAGCCTTTGATACAGGCGAAAAACTAGTTCCGATGAAGCCATTTTAACCAACCAGAAGAATATTTAGTGCATTTCCAAAATGATATAACTCAAAGTCAAAAGAATCTAATTACAAACTTATAAGTATATTATAAGATTCAAATATAATTATATTTTGAAGATTGAGATTTAAATGTTTTATAATTTGGTAGTTTTAACATGAATAGACTTTAATCAAAAATCAAGAGAGTAAAAATGAATTGGTTTTTCTTTGTTGTTCTAACATTTAAAATTATAATTTGCATTTCTATCTATGAACGATTTGTTCTTCTAATTTAGCAAGTTCTTCATTTTTTGCCATTCTTTTTGCTAACAATAAATATTCTTGCTCTTTAGATTTAAGTTTCTCTTATTCTAAATGTTTTCTTTCACTCTGTTGATTTCTAAACAATTCAGATTCTTTATAAAATTGTCGTTTTCTATCGGTTTCCAAATTCTCTCTTAATTAAATAGCTTATTAAATTTTAGTGATTTCCAGTTCTCTTTATTTCTCTTCCAACTCCAATTATTTCCTCTTCTTTTGCATTATCGATATTAAGACTTCGTTCTATTTGTCATCCATTAACCATTTGCTCTTTAATTTGTTATAATGAAACTCTGTCATTTAAGATCTAAAATTAGATAAGTATGTAAATACATATTGTCCTTATTGCTCGATGATTCAACAAATGAACATTTACTTTAATTTGTTTTGATTTTTGTTGATGAATATTGAGATAAATCGACACTTTTGTTACTCCTTTTTTTTTTATCCCTGTTTGTGCTTGATCTCATCAAGAAATAATTCTGATAGGCTTTTCTGAGAAATGCTTATTTTATTGAACTGTTTTCCCCATACTTCTAAATGAATAGATCCTTATCCATTTTGTATAAAAATAAATAAAAATATATGGCAATCAATTAACAAAAATCAATGATGGACCTTAGAGCCTATTACCAAATTTCTAACAAATAGACAAGGCTAATCATCTTAATTTGGTATAAAATCATCATCATATTCATTTTCTAAAGATTAGACTTAAACATCAATAAATTATTTGTAAGAAGCAAGATTTCTGTTTGACCCCTCGTAGTGATTCATTTTTGAAGTATTGAAAGAAGCTATTGTTCCAACTGGACTAGAAGCTCCCTCAATTATTATAGAGTTTCTCTTTGGAACTTCTAGATAAATAATGTTCTTCCGACTATTATCTAATCTACCATTTATAAATTTTGTTTCTTATTATGGCACTTTACACATTGAATTCTGCAAACCCGGTTATATATCAATTAAATCATCAAATTAATTTGAGTTTGATTAGACATCAATAGATACACTCAAACTGTCTTTATCTGAAAAGAGTCCTTAAATTTTCTCCCAATCAAATTTAGTATCAGTAGTTAAATCATCTTATAAAAGTTTTTTTAAGCCTACATAATCTGGAGTCTACTGGAATTCGTATGATTTTGATATTTTTAGCATTTTTACTAGGGACTTAATAAATTATATGATGGATACTTTAGGCAACAAGTCAATTAATTTATCCAAAGAATTGTTCTATTTCATTTATAATATTTTCTTATATTTATCTTCTTTGTTTACCACCTGTATATTTTACCAAGGCAATTCTCCCAGATAGAAATAGATGAGCACATACACCAATGATTCAATATCATCTCTTCTGGATTACTCATTTCCTAATAGCTATATCTATTGTATCTATAACCTATTAAAGCATTCACACTAGCATATCTAGCTGTACCAATCAATCCTTTGTTGCTGACAAATGGAATGTGCTTCCCATGACTATCTCGATAATACTTGGATAATCCGAAATCAATAACGTAAATTTGACAACAATCTTGCCGTCCAATTGTGAAATTTTCTGGTTTGATATCTCTATGAATTAGGTTTTTTTCATGAAATGCTATTGTTTTTTTATTTAATACCCTAAACTCTTTCTAACAATTGGAGGCCAATCTTCAACACAGTATTTTGGCTAAATTTTCCACCGCATTTTCTCATTAGTTATTCTAGGTTCATTCCTAAATAAGATTCCATAAAGAAGTTGTAATGGTCGTCTCTGCCATAGAATTTTAATTATGGAAAGCCTTCATAATTTCAAAAGCAATACCCTTTAATCCTTTTACATCTTATAATACTTTGATTTCTCTAATGAGTAAACTTACACCTTTTTGACTCTCATCCCTTTTCTCAAACTTAGTTGCAATCAATTCCCCATTTTTTAAGTTTTATGTTTTAAAGACCATCCCAAAAGATCCTGCTCCAATTTTCTCCAACAATTTATATTTGCCTGCAATAACCGTTCCTGGATTTAATTTTTTCTAAATCGTCTTGCTATTATCCCCATCATTCATTTTGATTTGTTATTAATAATTATGAAAATTCGAGTAATTATTAAATACATTACTTAGTTTTACATGATTGTTTAACTATCAAACTAGAATTAAACAAAAGTGTAAATGAAATTTGATTAAATTTGTCAGCTTTGAATTATAACATTCGTCTAAGTATGTTGATCCAGTTGGAAAGTCTCCACAATATCTATCATAAATTGTTGATTCTAAAATGATATCAAAATACTACAGATATCTAATTGTTCAGGATGTTAAATAAAATCAAATAATATCTTTATTGACAGAAACCCGATAACAAATCATATTGATTCTACATAATAATTATAAATAGTGGATTAATTATATTAGATTTGACTATAAAAACAAATTATATTTTTATTATTATTAAAATCTCTTCTCAATGGATTTAGATGAAGAAGAACAACCAATTCTCCATTTTAACTATAACTATGATGAGGCTGCTGAAATAGACTCTTCATTGAAAACTAGATTGAAATTCATAAAAAAAGTAAGGATTTAGCTAATTCTAGGTATATTTGATCATCAATATCTAAATATTTATTTCCGGAGCATTATCATTATTGCAAATTTCTTACCGAGACTAATAAGAAATAAAAGAGGTGGAATATTTGATTTTTGCAATTGTTGCCCTATTTGCCTTTTCCTCAATGTGTTTCCTACTTTGTAAATAGCGATTTGCAAGAAGAGCTCCAAACAATTATATTTTATTAATCTTCAATATGTTAACTTCTGGTTTTGTAATTTCAGAAATAATTTTCTTTGTTACTGTGTCAAATGATAAAATTTCAAGTAATAGATTTTATACATTTTATTAGATGACCTAATAACTAAAGCAATATAAATGACCTTTTTAATCTTTACAGCATTAACAATACTTGCTTGGACTAGTTAAGACAATTTTTCAATTAAGAAAAACATTTTATTGTCCTTTTCTCTTTGTTTAACTTTGCTTTTATTATTCTATTACTAATTCGAAACAAAAGAAAGAGTCATATTTTTTATCATTTTAGCAATATTTCTATATTCAGTTTACATCATCAATGGCATTAAGCAGATATTTGATAAAAAGGTATATATATTCATTATATCAACAGAGACATAGTCTTCAGAAAGATGATTACATTCTTGGAGCACTCTTTATGAACTTCGAATTTATGTATATATACGAAGACCTTTCTGAATATTTTTAAGATATATTTTGGAAAAAGAAATGAAATTAATAAGAAATTAATTATGCCCTTTAAATATAATATAGTTTTCCTAAATCACAAGCTTTATCAAATAATTCACTATTTTAATTCTACTATCCATAAACAGAGACCATTAAATTTTTCAACAAAAACAGCTTCCTATTGAGTTCCTATTTTGCTCTCTGTTTAACATTTCGACTATGATAAGTACAGGTCTTTTGTAAGATGCTTAATTACAAATGGTTAATTTGCACGTAATGGAGAATTTTCAAATTCTTAATATAATTAAATTTATACCTGATAACAGTAACCCTGTCATAGGTTTTCCTTCCAATCCATAGGCTTAATAACCTGATTGAGAGTATGATAAAACATTAGCACATGAAAGAAACTTTTTAGTATTATTATGTTGAATCAAAACTTCATCATTCTTTCTTAATACTTTATCATCCTTTTGATTTTGGTTGATTTTTTAAATTCTCCAAAAATCGTTTTCTATATTAAATACAAAATAGTACCATCTCTTGGATAACTATAGAGAGAGACTTCTTAAAATTTTGTTGATTTATAACATGTTTTATGAGAATGCAGACTCCACCCAGTCCAAAAGTTTCTAATTATGATTGTGTCCCCAGACTTGATTTGAATTGGTTCCAAAGTTTAAACTTGTGGTTAGAAGCCCTTTGCTAAGCCTTCTTGAACAGGAAGAAGTTCCCATAAATCGTTTTCATCGCAATTTTTATATCCTGTTACTTCATTATATTGTGACACACTTTCAGTTTTATAAGTTCTACAATGAGAATGTAAACTAAATCCATTGTCAATAGATGTAATCCTAACATATTTTTTATCAATGGAAGTATCAATTGCATTGTAATTATTCACAAATATATCTTTTTCTGGTTTAATTACAAAATAATGTTTTTATTCATCTAAATAAGCAAAACATTATTGGGTGACTTCTGACTTCTTTTATGCATTTAAATTAATGAACTATTGTTATCCATAATTTTGTATCGCCACAACATCCCCTAATCCTAAATCATTTTCAGTGAGTTAATATTTATGAAGAATAAAGTATGTGTAAAAGTCATCCTCTTTAGGAGTAGTTCCCAAATAATATTAATCTAGTTCTTTCTGTCCAAACATAGTTTTTTCAACTACTAAATGAATTGTTCCTTTCAAATATTATTTTGTAGCCACATGTCTTATTTAAAGCAATCTTCCTTATAAAATCTTCAATTATTAATCCATCTCTAAATAAAAATGATTTTACAAACAATATTAATGACCTATTTATGATTATTTTTAATATTCATTTAAATTCTATAAGCTCTAAACATTTATTCCATAACTAGAAGCTCTCCCTTCAGATTTAGGATAAATGTAGTTAAAAATCATTTTTCTCTTTTTTATAGGATAGATGTCTTAAGAATAATCTATGTTAAGTTCATTTATGATATAAAATTGATAAGAATAATAATATACAAATAGTTATAAGTATAACATATAATTATTAAATTATCTTTTAGGCATTGAATCCAATTGCAAAAATAACACTTTGTCAATTAATTTGATTTATCACATACCTTATTCTAAAAATAAACCTCTAAATATTAGAATGGCTGGTATTTTTAATTTTTAGCAATACTCAGGAATGGAAAAGATATGAAATTAATCCTTTATAGACACTTGTATTAATTGTTTAGTTCTGTTTGAAAGAAAATTAAGTTCATAATACATCAATTAACCTAGGATTAAAGGAAGAAATTAAAGGTTTAGCATATTGAAGAATTATTCCTCGATAATTGGAATTCTTAAAATATATAAATATCTGAAAATAATTCGATTCTATAATTCCTATTCTCATTTGAATAAATATATGAGGTCTATTCAATAAAAAATACTAAGTCTTAGATTTATAACGAGAAAGAAAATTTTAATAAGATTTAAGAAATTGTAAGAAATCGTAAATCAAGAACTACATTAAATCTTATTATAATTCATAAAAAAAGATCAAACAAATTAAAAAGTGCTTCTGCAATTACAATTAAATAGTTAATTATATTTGATAAAGTAGTGACCAACGAGGAATCCAAAAATAGTAAGTAGAGAAGACAGAATATATTAATTGTTATTATAAATTTATAATGTTTCCATTTATTCTTTATTTTATTCAAGGGTTGTGCTGAGAATGGTTGAAACTTAATAGGAACCAAGAATCATATGATTAAATGATAGCTTTCATTTATAATTAGAATCTCAAAGTTCGCTAAGATACAAAATGAATCACTTTGAAATAATCTTAAAAATGATTAATTTAAAATTATTGTAAAATGGAAGTGCCATAGGTTTCAAGAACAAGATTGAGTTCAAAGAAGTTAAGTGAAGGAATCAGAATCGATAAAAAGGGTCATCCTATATTGAAAGGGTATAAAATGCATTAAGTTACATTCATCGATGAAATTGTCAAGGGAAATAAAATACATAATATAATCTTAGTAGATTGTTGGAAAGAGCATAATTTCAATAAATTTGACTCTGAAAATTAAAAATGCTGTTTGATTAGTTGAAAATATAATCAGTATTATTATGATATATATACTTAAAAAAACATCTTTTAAATTATTTTTGTTCGATTATATAAATTTAACATAAAATAAAAATGTCTATTCGGGTCAAAGACTAATTGCTTTCACCTTAATTTAAAGAAATAGAACAAGAATTGTCAACACAAGAATGTCGAAAATTCTCAACTATTTCAGCTGTTGAATTTAATACTCCTGAAACCAAGTATAGATCTACAATTGGACCTAATAAGATGGATATATCAAAAGACACAAACTAAATGCACTATAGAAATAGAACGGCTAAATTTGAGGATGAACAATATAAACTTTATGAAGAGATCAAAGCTTTATTTTTGAAAAGATAATCCTTAAACCCAGCACTTTTCGAACCCAAAATTTTATTGAAGACTGAAAATAATCCAAAGAGAATTATGTATATTTTATTATCTTAATTTATTAATTTTAGCATTAAAAGAAACCATGTCGCTCAATCAGAATCTAATTTTTCTGATTAAGTTATTATTGACAAAATTTATCTTGCTAATCAATAGAGCTTAAAAAATTTATTCACATATCAATTTTGATATAAATAAATAAATTTATTTTATTCATTGAAATATATCATTCCCCTTTTTAATATTAAGTATGAACCGATTATTCAAATTAATTTGTATCGATATAGATATCCAATCTGAGTATATAATAGAAATCATACTTAAAACTAAAAAGATTAAATCTTTATCTAAATTAGTTGTAAAATTTGGATGTATAAGATGTAATTTTATATGTGTCAAATAATAACTAAAACAATATACTTCTTTGATATGAAAATCACTAATTTAGTGTAATCTTAATAAAATCAATTCATACTTAAAAAGATTAAAAAAATACTTAATTATTGTGACCTATCAATTAATAATAAGGAAAACTAAAATGAAATTATATTCAAGTCTTTGTCATAACAATTTATACGAAATTGCATATGAGTCTGACCAATAATTTGTGAAGGACCTAATATATATATTATAGATTTATTTTCTTTTGTTACTAAGTATAAAAAGTGTGCAATGAATTAAAATGTTTATTTCCTATTTTTCAATATACTTATTACTATTATATTGTAATTAGCTTTTACATCTAATTTTTAATTAATATTTTAAAAATGAAACAATTATAAAACCCTTATTTGTGCCTTATTGGAAATTAGAGGAGTCTTAAAACTACGCTTTTATAATATTTCACATATTACAAAATTGTGGATACATAATTGTGTGTATATCTGGTTTGTTCAGAAGAAAAGTTCTTAGCCAATACATCTTTATTCGGGAAATTGATACCTGTTTATTAAGAAACATTGTAACAAATGAANCTTAAAAAAACATCTTTTAAATTATTTTTGTTCGATTATATAAATTTAACATAAAATAAAAATGTCTATTCGGGTCAAAGACTAATTGCTTTCACCTTAATTTAAAGAAATAGAACAAGAATTGTCAACACAAGAATGTCGAAAATTCTCAACTATTTCAGCTGTTGAATTTAATACTCCTGAAACCAAGTATAGATCTACAATTGGACCTAATAAGATGGATATATCAAAAGACACAAACTAAATGCACTATAGAAATAGAACGGCTAAATTTGAGGATGAACAATATAAACTTTATGAAGAGATCAAAGCTTTATTTTTGAAAAGATAATCCTTAAACCCAGCACTTTTCGAACCCAAAATTTTATTGAAGACTGAAAATAATCCAAAGAGAATTATGTATATTTTATTATCTTAATTTATTAATTTTAGCATTAAAAGAAACCATGTCGCTCAATCAGAATCTAATTTTTCTGATTAAGTTATTATTGACAAAATTTATCTTGCTAATCAATAGAGCTTAAAAAATTTATTCACATATCAATTTTGATATAAATAAATAAATTTATTTTATTCATTGAAATATATCATTCCCCTTTTTAATATTAAGTATGAACCGATTATTCAAATTAATTTGTATCGATATAGATATCCAATCTGAGTATATAATAGAAATCATACTTAAAACTAAAAAGATTAAATCTTTATCTAAATTAGTTGTAAAATTTGGATGTATAAGATGTAATTTTATATGTGTCAAATAATAACTAAAACAATATACTTCTTTGATATGAAAATCACTAATTTAGTGTAATCTTAATAAAATCAATTCATACTTAAAAAGATTAAAAAAATACTTAATTATTGTGACCTATCAATTAATAATAAGGAAAACTAAAATGAAATTATATTCAAGTCTTTGTCATAACAATTTATACGAAATTGCATATGAGTCTGACCAATAATTTGTGAAGGACCTAATATATATATTATAGATTTATTTTCTTTTGTTACTAAGTATAAAAAGTGTGCAATGAATTAAAATGTTTATTTCCTATTTTTCAATATACTTATTACTATTATATTGTAATTAGCTTTTACATCTAATTTTTAATTAATATTTTAAAAATGAAACAATTATAAAACCCTTATTTGTGCCTTATTGGAAATTAGAGGAGTCTTAAAACTACGCTTTTATAATATTTCACATATTACAAAATTGTGGATACATAATTGTGTGTATATCTGGTTTGTTCAGAAGAAAAGTTCTTAGCCAATACATCTTTATTCGGGAAATTGATACCTGTTTATTAAGAAACATTGTAACAAATGAATGTTAAATTAATTAAGAGCTATTCTGAATACTTAGCTGTACTGGGTTCTTTTTCGTATTTAGATAATAATTAGTACGATATCATTATATTTGATGACATCTCTCATTTTATAGGAACTGATTAAAAAGAAAAGAAATTGAATTTAATCCTGCATTTAATTTCACAAATAAAGCCAAGATAGCAATTAGATGATTTTCAGATAATTGTAAATTTATAGAGTGATATTATTGGTTAATTGATTGACTTAATAAATTTAATTCGATATCATAACTTTTTGATTTGTGAACTAAAATTAAGTCCAAAGTAATAATGCAGTACTTAAAATTAGATTAACAATACAAATAGTTGATATCATAAAAATAATGGATAACTATCAATTACAATACAAAACAATAATTATGTCTGATATTTCAAGAGCAATAAATGATAGATTGTGATTATATTATATTTTCTTGATAATTATTATATCAAAATTGTGAGAACATTTTTTTTAGAACACTCCCTATAATAAGAAATACAACACTAGTTAAGAGCAAATGCCATATGTATATATCATACTGATAAGTTGATTGTTTGTTTTTTGTATGAAACATAGCTTTAAATTTCAATTACTACAATTCAGTTGAAAGGGTATCTTTACTAATTCTCAATTCTGCCTAAAATTGTAATAATAAAGATGATAATTTACAATTTATTTTTAGATTTAAGATTCAATCTCCTTATTTTTGTCAAAATGTTTCTAACTTTCAATGCCTGATTTTTAATGCGTTATCAAAGTTTAAGAGACTCTTAATTTAGGTTTCTCATTAAATTAAGATTTGCTTTACTATAAGTAGGATTGTTTTCGTTGTTCAAATCTCTAAATGGAAGTAGTATCACTTAAACTCAATTCTTGCTATGCATTGTCACTAATGTTTTTTTGGGAAGGAGTTTAAGATTGTTACTAAGAGGGAGTTAAATGTTAAAAGGGACTAGTGTATTAATCTATTTGATCTAAAAATTAATTGAGATCATTTGGCATAGAAATTATTGGTTGTTGAACAGTTTTCGTTTGATTTTAATGATATGATTCAAAACTATTGGTTGAATTTCTTAATATTTGAGGATTTATAATTTATTGAAATTTATTGTCCTCTCCCATCCGTATTGAGTTGTTAAATTGTTAAGACTATAAGGAATTTAATCTTTGTTAATAGATTTATGAATCGCTTTCATTGTTAGAACCTTTCTATTTAAGAGTTTGAGAATTGAATTTAATAGGAATGTCATTATTAATTTATCCTACCTTCTAATCTAAAAAAGTCTGATTGATGGATGGCAACCTTTCATATGAGATGAAAGAATTAGATCTGTTTTCATTAGAAGCAGCAGGCAGAGAGAGAGATTATGTCTACAGGCAACCTTGTACTTTTTCGTTCCAAAACGGTGGAACAGACTTACAATTAGAGTATAATCAAATTACGAAAGAATCAATTTTGCTTTCATCAAACTCAATTGCATCGATAATAATATCTCGATAATCATTGAAATTTTATTTTTTCAGTATCTGGAAATATTTACATTCATCTCTTTTTAGTAATGAGAAATTTGGGATAAAGTTATAGGCATTGTGGTCTAATATTCTTACCAAAATTGGGAATTGAGCAATGTTGGTAATCAGAATCCTTTTGCTTAATTCAATAGTTGAGCAGTCAATTTTAAATAGCATTAATTAATTATATTTGTTAAAGTAAGGTAATCATACACACTAGAATGACAATAAGAATAAAATAATTCTGTGATTTTTAACAATGGATTTGGATTTTGCGATGAGTATATATTTCATATATTTTATATTTTAATTCCTACTTGAGCAATTAAATTAATTAAAAATGCTTGATTATATTCCATTCACAAAAGGATAGGACAGCGATGTAAAAGTCGAAAGTAATACAGGAGGAGGGCACAATTCAATACTTAAAAATTAAAAATATACACTTAAATTTCTATAAAATAAACAAAACTATGCTAAAATCAATAAAGTTACTGATTATTAATCACTATTAAATTCTCCTGAACAAATTACTACTAGGTCATTAGATATATAGTAATATGAATACTTTTTGCGCAAAGATGCATTAGAAAATAGATTGAAAGAATACAAAATATCTAAAGGATAATAAACGACTTTAACACGAAAGCAACTGCAATCGTCAATTAAAGTTGAAAATGTTCATTTAAATGAAAACTCTGATCATTATAAGAAATTGGAATTGGCACTCAATAGATCAAAGTTTAATCGAGTGGGAAGCATTGGTGAAAGTTACAGATCTCAAGACTCGTTATCAAGCATATAAAAAATTACCAGATATTAATAATTGCAATAATAAACCTAATATTTAGTAGTGTAATAGTAAGAAGAACAAAATAGATAAAAATCTTATTAAGAAGAGTAAAGTCTTTCTAGCATTAAAGTTGAAGAATAAATAGTAGATTTATCAACTGAGAAGCATGAAGAAGTAGTTCTAAATGAACCATTAGAAAATGAAAACTCTCTTTAGTGCGAATCTCAACAGTAGGTTGAAATTTAAGATTAACCATAATAATTATAATAGTAAGTTAATGAGAGTTATGCCATCTCATAATTCTCAGTTCCTTAATAGTATTCCATCAATAATGAAATTTCTTTGATTAACTATGAGGATGATGAAGATGTTGATGAAGAAGAAGAATAAGAATAAGTTCAATCTAACAAAAAATAAACTAAAAATAAAAAGTAACCTAAATAAAAGGCTTAGAAACAATAAAAATAACAACAATCTAATTCCAAAGTTAATCAAAGTATTCAATCAGTCAAAAAATCTGATGGCATAAGATCAAATAAAATTAGTAGATAACAATCTTAAATGTCTATATCTGATTTAGATAGAATTGAATAAATAATTCAATAGAATGCAAATGATCTAGATGAAGCAGAAGAAATGCAAAGAGATAAAATGAGAAAATAAATTAGAGAGTTAGAAGAAAAAATACAGAAGACTAGAGAAAGGCAAGAATAATTTTAATATAATCCAGAAGACTATAAAGATATGAGTGGAGAATACTTATAAACCAAAAAAAAGGAATAGCAATTATAATAACAGTAGGAATAATAGTAGTAATAATAGTAATAATAGTAATAATAATAATAATATTAATAATAACAACAAAATTAATAATTCTAATCATAACCCTAATAACAACAATAACATTTATAGGTTAATACTCCAAAAAGGCAAGGGAAATAAGAAATTAGACCCAATATTTAAACCTAACTAAATATATCTAAATAGGCTAAATAAATAAAACCACCTGAAACTTAAAGTTAAGCAGTTTTACCTAATATTAATTAAAATTAAAGAGTATAAGAACATCCAATGACTGCTAAATCCCCTAGACTAGAAAAGAAAAATTAAGAAATCAATGAAATAGAATCACAAAGAATATCATAGCATAGTATTGAATTAGAAAGGTCTGTTGTTGAATCGTTAAGAGATTTAGAAAAATAATAACAACATTCAACTCCAATTGTATCTGATCCATTGATAAAAATAGAAAATAAATTAAAGCAAATGCAAGAAGAGATGGAAGTTCATTAAAGGAAGCAGAGTGATTTAGACTTTGCTGATTTTTTGCTAACATCAGGAAATGTTTTCGATACAAATTATGAAGTAATTTGATTATTCTAATCATAGAAATATAAGATATTTCAAGTTGACAAAAAACCAGATCAACCACCTGGCCATTTTGGAGAAGAGGAAAAAAACTTATATCAATAAATGAAGTATTGGGATGCTTAAAATACAGGAAATAGTAAAAAGATCTTAGCAGTTGCAGATATTGTTAGAGGTATTTGTACTAAATTTACTTCTGATGTAAATATAAGTGAAGCAGATGTAAAAACATAAAAAACAATAGATTCTGATTGGGATTGAATATAATATTACTATTAAAATGAATAATTATTTGAACTTCTATTTATAATATTATTAAGATGTAAATAGTCAAACTAAATATATAAATTCAATTAATAAATCATAGATGAATAATATTTAGAATATTAATCAAATCAAAATAAATCTAAATCTATTAAATGTTTCTCTTTCTCATAATTGTATAAATAAACCCATTAGTTTCTCTTAGATATTGGATCAATTTCTTCCTTAAAGAATCTAGGAATATGTTATTGTTTCTTTTCTTCCATAATTTTCCTTCTTTCCCTTTACTTTTCTTCAATTCTGACTTTTTCTTCTTAACCTAGATCCTTGAATCCATATTCCAAAGCCCTCATGTCTGATCTCATTCTACTATCAGTCTATGGTATGCTCTTTATGTAATAATGATAGATTCATACTCTTAAAATATCTTCACTTAAATAATTAATTACAGAATATGATGAGGGTAAAAGTAATACCATTTACTTTCTGGATCAACAGAATTTCTTTTCCAAATTAATTCATTATTGGCATAAATTTCTTTATCAAAATACCCACTAATTTGACTTCTGATATTACCATTTTTATCTTTGATAGTAGCTTTTAGTTAATAAGCATCCTAATAATTAACAAATTATATACTTTTTGGCTAGTTCTTTCTTTCAAAGTTAAAATTCCAATATCTCCTGTTGTGTGATTTGTATAAATAGCTTCACCCACTTATTCAAAGTACATTTTTCCAAATAATAAATTCTTAACAATCATATTAGGGAATGAATAAGTCATATATTCATTAGTTTTTTTGTTTTTGAAATGAGCCAAGCCAGGTAATTTGGCCATTATGCTGGTTCCAGAAAAACCTACTGTGGCTTCCATTGTGATTGAAAAAACGAAATCTTCACTTTCACAATGGACAGCAGTAACTGGAGGATGATGACATACTTATTCACTAATTACTTTATACTCAGGGGTAATGTATTCATAGGTTTCTCCTAAAACAGGATTGAAAAATTTCTTTTAGCAATCCATACTTAAGAGACACCTGACTAAAGAAAAGGCAATAAGATATGCCATTCTTTTGTAGGGATCCTCAGCCCTCGCAGCTTATTTCAAGGTTTCATAATATTCAAATGAAGATGCAAAAAACTATAAGGCAGATAAAGGCTAGTGAAATAATACTAAATTTTGATTTTCATAAGTATACATGGCATTGGAATTCTTGTTAAATCCTTTCCGATGCATTCCTTTAGAAATGGCCAGAATGCAAATTTCTCATCCGGATCTTATTTATAGGGCAAACATTTCCTAGTAGCTTCATTAGTTATACTGATTCTGGAATAAACTCTGTTGTATTTAATGTTATTATATTTTATAGGATTTGATAGTTTGATAGTTTCCAAAAATTGTTGGGAGTTGAAATTTTCTAATTAATTTTATTTTTATTCTTCCTATCTTATTAAATAATTAGATGATTAGGTATTTAATGGTATTTCATTTTCAAAATCGAAGCTCTCATAAATTGTATCCGATTCTCCATACAATTTAATTTTTTCTTCCTCTATCAATGTGCAACACAAGGTAATTCCATTTTTCAAGTATTGTCCTAGGTTAATAATTTCGTTGATTTCCTTATACACACTTAAAGTTGCTTTTTCTTAAAGATAAGTTAGTTATTCATCAAATAAGGCAAAATTGCTCCAGATATCTGTTAAAAGTTCTTAAATTCTTTAACCATAATTAAACACTTAATGTCTTTGGCAATACTCCTAGTTTTTCTTTAATGCTACCAACCACTTATTTTTTTCATCAACATTAGATGCCTTTAACAAAATCTAACCTGTTCCTGTATTGATAATAATTCTTAAAGGGTCATCCTTACTTTCATTGATGCCTGCTACTTTAAGATGGATCTATCCTTTTGATCTACCTCCTGGTTGATCGCAATAAGTAAGAATATGATCATTAAGTATGAAATATCTCTTCTACCATCTTTAAAATGGATTAACCCATTTCAATAAATACCCTTCCATAAACTCTGATTCTAATTTTTATTATGAACTCTTTATAAAATACCAATATTTACAATTTGATAAATTATATATTCCTAACTCAGAATATAAATTATTCCTAAAATCTAAGCTTATAATATTTTTGGCAAATTCATATTCTTCAAGAACTCATAAAGCTATTTCATATAAGTCAAATGCTTGAATTTCTGATTGGAATATAGTGCATATTGTCATTTTTACAACCCAAAATAGGAATGTGGTGAATGCTTAAATAGAAGTTCTTACAAATTATATAATTTTGTTTGCTTATTAATTTAATTTATCATTTTTTCCTTATTGAATCTTTTAAGTTTCAAAATAATTTGCTTTGCTATTCCAACTAATGATAAAAATGAATGTTTAACAATAATCAAAATTTGAAGTAAATATGTTTTATTATTCTTTACTATTAATTTATAGTTTCTTTTATACTTTAATTAATTTAAGATGATTTACAGCTGCTAAGTCATTCGAAAACACTTTCTGTTGAATTAGACATATAGGTTGTAGATCCTGGAAGAGAAATTATTAATTGGATTAGAAGTATTGTCTTAATGATAAATGATAGGATCGGCCAGCAAAGTATGAGCTGGATATAAATTTGCAAAACAAAATAAGCTGGAAAGTCAATGATCAGGGGATAATATAGGCAATTGGTATAAAGTATCAAAATTCTTGCAAATGGTTTTATGGGTAACCTTCTGATTTGTTACAAATAAAATCCATTCTTAATAATCGAATATTTTTTCACAGCATATCCAACTTTTACACCTCAAACGAATAAATAGGTTCTGGAGCTTCATGCAAAGTACTTTTGATATAGGATATATAAACAAAATAAAAATATGCAGCCAAATGCATAAGCAAAGATTATATAACAAAAAAAAAAACACCTGACAGACTGAATAGACTATTTAATGAGATTAATATATTGAGATCAATTCAAAATCACAAAAATATTGTTAAAATGATTGACATATTTGAAGGGGAGTAAACTTATTATCTCGTTTTTGAATATTTAGAAGGTGAAACTTTGCATAGATTTTTAAAATTATAAACTGATCTCATCCCAGATATTTCAATAAGGATTATATTGCTGGTAAGTTTGAATATTATAAACTACTAGTAACTATTACATGGTATCAATTCATTACATTCTGAGAATTACATCCATAGAGACATCAAATTAGAAAATATAGTACTTAGTAAGCCTAGTGTTATTAGTTCCCTTAAACTAATTGATTTTGGCTTGGCCATTTCAAATACTCAACCTGTTTCTTTTGCTGTCTGTGGTACACCAGGCTATATAGCTCCTGAGATTTTGTAACATGATGAAAGTAAGCAAGGGTAGAAATTCAAGTTTACCTTCAAAGTAGACATGTTTGGAATCGGAGTCATCCTCTATAGATTGTAATATCATTATCATCTTTTTTAGAATGAATAGATAACCATTATTTGAATCTGACAAAACCAAAGATTTGCTATAATAAAATAAAAAATGCCATTTCACCAAAAACTATCATAATTTTTATACAAATGCCCTTAACCAAGTCTTATTTGGACTCTTAGAGGTTAATCCAAATAAGCGTCTGTCATCAGAAGAGGCTATTCAATTACTTTCTTCATAATAAATTTCGAAAGAAATGGGAGGATCTTTCGCAACCACTAAAAGTCATTAAAATTAAAATGATGCTGATGAATTTGAAGTCGAATAAACGATGGATCATGCAAATCAGCCTTACCCATTCTCTGCAAAAATACTAAAATAAGAACTAGAAAACAGTTATCATTAAAACGATGATAATAGACTTCTCACTTCTATGCAAAGATCTTATTACCCTTCTTTCAGCCTGAATTTAAGCTGTGATTTGATTGATAGTTTTACTTAATAAATCTCTATGCGTAATGCATTAATCGAAGATGAGATAATTGAATCCGATATAAAATAGAAATAAAAGTAGAAGTGATTTTGTATGGTTGAAATTAAATCTATACTTTTATTAAGTCTTGAATTATAATTATATTATAATATCTATCAACATTTATATTAAAGATATCATTTTTATATTAATCATTAATTTTAGTATTCTTAATAAAAAATAAAGATCATTTCTCTCCACAGGAGAATTATTGTTAAATTATTATGACTTCTTTAAGACTTTGGTCTTGTATACTTAAGTTTAGTATGAAGCTTTATCATATGAAATAGTTTCAGAAAGTGTTCTATTTCATTTTTCTTTATTTTATTTTAAATTATTACGAAAATTATTGAGAAAGATAACTTATAGGGTTCTTTTTAATTAGTTTGACTGTTCAGGGTTATTAGTCCTTCTTAAAGAGAATTTATAAAAAGACTCATTACTATGGGGTTTCAATAATATCTTATTTTATTCTAATATAGATAATTAAATTTGTTAATTTATTCTCTAGTATTTGATTTTTCAAAAAAAGTATGAAAAGTCTTGTAAATTTTTTTATGTAACATATGACATTATCAACTAGATTCTCTAAAGTTTTCTTGTAAATCTAAAGTATGATCATTTGAAATCATCCATAACATTTTAAATATTTATTTTGTCTATAGTTCACCTTAAAAATTTGAGATAACTGATTTTTAGTTTAATAAAATAAGTTAATTGAATACAATTAAGTTGTGTTGCACTTTTCAATTCATAAGAATGAATATTTGACTTCATAAATTCTGATTAAAAATAAAGGATAAATTCGCTAAATAGTATTGGTTACACAGTTATTCAATAGTAACGATATAATACATTATCAATTTCATAATAAATTGAACACTAACATGTTGAATTGTACACATAACCTTTCTTTGGTGTGCCCTAGGGTTTTTTGGTTAATTGAAATATAAATTTTACTTTAATCAGATATAATAAAACAATCAAAATAAATATATATTATTTTTGATGGGATTCTATGTCACATGAGTGAATACATCAGTTAAGTATACATTTTGGCATTGGCCACCAAGATTACAAGTCCTGGATCACAATCAAGTTATTAGTATTATAAAATTTGACTAATATTTTATTTTATATCTTCAGATAAGGTGTTTTCAAAATTAGTTTGATAACCATGTAATGATTAAGTATAATTAAAGATTTATATCCTAGTTTATTCAGTGTAAATTGGAAGGTTTTTTAATTACTTCATTCTTTTATTTAGCTTTTAAGCCAATCTAGGAAAATAATCTCGAATTTGAGTAAAACAATTATAATGCCAAGAGAAATCTTCACTAGAAATTTCTTATGGAATCATTTAGTCATCTTCATAGTAAATTAAAGAGTTGCTACTTTGTTCTCCTAAGGCAATAGCAATTAATTCTTCGCATTACATGATGCAATAAAGTATAAAGCATAAATTTAATTGTTATTTATTAAAATATTATTGTACGGAATTTATTCTAGGCTAATTGCAATTAGAGATTCTCTTTAAACATTATGTTAACCAAATATATTTAGGCTGATTGACATCGAAATCTTACCATAAATTTCTTAATGTATAACATCTCCTACTACCATAGTGACAAATAAAGTTAAATGTATTTTAATCCAAAAAGTTCTGATTTGATATCTTCTTATAGATAGACAGACTTAATTTCAAATATTAAGGATATACAATTGATTTAGCTTAGTAATCTAATATGGTTCTATTGAAAATTCTATAAATATCACAAATTAATTTTTATAATTTTTGTGGGTTTAAAAATTATTTTAAATTTGTGGGTCTTTGTTCTCCTTCGAAATGTAAATATTACAGAATATGTTTTAATTTATGGTGAGTATAGGTTTCCTCTTCAAACTCTTATATTAGTTCATAATATGGACCTTAGAGGGCTAGATTTTACTTAATTCTTCTTATCTTTTCATAAAAACATGGGTTGGCTTAAAGGATTGAATGAAATTATTCTTTCAGATTGTTGATAAGAATAATTCTCTATTGTTATTATTCGGGCCATGTATAGGGGAGGAGATCCGAAAGAATTGATAAGTCTTGCATAATTTATATTTTAATTGCAAGGCTGATTTGATTTAAAAGATTTAATTAAAAAATTAATATGTATACTACAAATATAATATTACATGATATGATGTAATAATAATGAGTTAATATAATCATTTTGATTTCTTTTTCAATTAGGAATTAATAACAGAGGCCAATTTAACCATTTCACTTGTATAAGCAGAACTAATTTAATTGACATTTAATTGTGCATTTTCTAATTTGTTTCTCATATTCATAATCTCATGTAAAGGAATCATATTGGTAATCCTGAAAAACTATAAGAAATTCTTACGGTTTCTGGGAGAATGCCAATTTTTCTTAGACTTCAGTCTCAAATCTCACTGGATATATTCTTCTATCTTCACTAATCGAACCATTGAACTATTAAGTATCAGAGAAAGATCCAATTCTCATTTATTTGGAGGGCAATGTAAAATTTAACGTGCCTATCTTAGAAATCCTTTTATTTTTGGAATTATTTACTATTGCTATATTCCTGAAACTCTTTTTGGAGAATTTTGATCGACTTTTTATTTTAATGGCGATATACTTTTTTTATTTGAAAATTCTTTTAATTTAGTTTGCAATAAATCAAAACTTGGATTACTATTGTAAATTTAATTGAATACCCAATTTTACTATTCTTTTTCGGAGATATGGGTTGAGTATGCTAGGATGCAAGTGGTGATTTTCCATATTTATCATTAAGTTTTTCTCTGTATATTTTAATATCAAACTCTTCTAGTGGTTTGCATGGAACACTCTTATCTTGCTTTCAACAATGATATGAATTTTTACTAAATTGATGTAGCGAGACATTTATTATTATTTATGAATAAATTTTATTTAATTACTTTACTGTTATAAAATAAATACTTTCTCAAAACGATATCAATAAATCAACCTATTCTCCCTTCTTCCAAAGCTCACTTATATTATCCCCATTATTTGAAATGATCTGGCAATTTTCCAATAAATTGTCACAAATTTGGCATTGAACTATGTTTGATTTATTGAATTGTTGTTATCTAATGTAGGACACAAAGTTATTTTTAGGGTTAACAATTTTAGGCATAAATAATTCAATGATCCCAGTTTGACCATCAACTATGAGTAATCCATTTGAATTCGTGCCAATGAAGTGATGGTAATTACCTATAGTCACTAAATCCAATTGACCAAAAGCAGCTTATTAATTATAGTTGTAAACATAATGATAGCCATTCTTCTCTTATTAGATTATAATATTATTCAGATTTTGGCAATACATTTCCAATTAACAATTAAAGTCAAATGGTTGAGGCAAGATTTCCATAAGAATAACCTAAGTAATTAGATTCATGGTCATAGCTTCAATAACCAAAATCTTTTCATTAGATCTAAAATATATAGTTGAACAATCTTTGTTGTATTTTATTTGAACTCCCTTAAAGGAAGCTGGGATATCCAGAACTTTAATATCATCGAAGGCATCCAATTAGACTTATTATATTTTAGACCCTCCAAAAAATACTAGTCTGTTTTCTTTATTGTCATAGCAATCAATTTATTCTCTAATTGAATCTAATTCAAAAACTATTTTTTTCCAGTATATAAGTTTGTTGTCTTCACTCATACAGTTTAATGTCACCTTGTCATCTTCTACTTGATAAATATAATGATGCACTCCGTATTTATTTGTGATTAAATCTATTCTCTTCTTACTCAATTAGATGGAAAAGCGAACTTCATTTTAGATATATAATTTTAAGACATCTCTATCAGCTATATAATATTCATTCTTATTTCCTGGTATCATTTTAACATATTAAATCAATTCCACATTTTTTTAATAGTAATCTGCTAAATAAGTGATTGTATTCCAAATGGTGATTTCAGAATACTAGGAGATTATCATGAATTAATCCACATGATTTGATACAACAAACATTGTATTTACATTTAAAACGTTGGTTTGCAATAATTATAAATCAAAGGCTGAATATGTTAACCAAATTAATCTATTAGAAATAATTTAGATTGCATCTTCTGTATAAGCTATAAAATCTATCTAGACCAATATTTCACTTATTACTTGATAATTTTACTTATCCAACAATACTAAAAATCCCATCTCACTATTGTCAATCTATTCTTTGATCAATATAGTTTTAGAAAACATCCAAAAATCCCTTATTTTGTTATTAGTCTAATAATTTATTGTGATTGTGTTCCTAACCTTACTCTCATATCTTAAATCACTTTCAGTTATATAGTATTCTCTATACTTCTTAATCATTTGTTTTGACGTAATGAAATCCTACACAAATTGTTCGTTAATCACTATGGTATCATTTGTAGTTGTTGTAATGTACAACTTATTTTCAGTACTCTAAACCTTTTTGATGGATCTGTATGATTATTTACTAACAATTTTATTTTTGATAGTAATAACAGAATTTCTATACTCCTCAACAAATCCAGATTGAATGTAAAATAAATTTGAATTGTCTTTAATCCACAAAATTTTCTCATATTATAAATTTACCATTCTTATTTACTTGTTAGTTTTTAAATCAAAATAAACTGTGCAATCTTCCTCACATACTATAGCTGAGTTCAAATCATTGCTTAAATAAAATCGAGGATTCTAAGATTTTGTTAGAATTTTGAATTCAAATTCCCTATTTTGAAATGTTGCCAAGACAATCTCATTAGTATATCTAATCCTACCCAAGAAATTGGGAGAAGTCTATGAAAATACAATTTCATCAAACTAATAACTAACATTCTTAATTTAATTTTGTCTGTCTTCCAAATATTTAATATCATAATTTATAATTTCATTATGGGTCAATATTTGCAATTGGTTAATTTATAAATTTACTAATAAATCGATTGCATCAACTTATATAAATTTAATGACTTCAAATGGACGAAGACTCAAAATTACAATTGAATCAATAAAGGAAATTAATACAGTGTCGTCTACTTTATTACAGTAATTGTGTAATAGTTATAATTTTACATTGATTATTTCACATTCATTTATCATTTTAAATGTTCCCTAGTTTATTAATTACAATTTGTTATTTTTCAGATAAAAGAACTCACTTTTTTAGTTTTCAAGGAATATAAATCTACCTATCAATTGATTTATTGATCCATAAATAATATCATAGATCTAATTTGTCTCTATATCCCTAAATGATATTACTGTGATATCCAAACTATTATAATAGTTTATAGCAACAATTTGATGATCATTATTAATAGTTACATGATTAGTCAAATTGTCAAATTACAGTTTATCATTTTCTATTTAATAATGCATACTAGAAACTTAATTAGCATTTGTTTAAAATAGAATCTAATTACCATACATTTAAAAGTATTTTTTGATATTGTAATGTGTAGCAACGCTTAGATCAATAGGGATTTAGTATTTAATTTCATTTGTATTTCCATTCAACTCAAATATTGCTGCATCGACATCACTCTTCAATTAAAATAGCATAATGAATTAATCAAATTCTGAAATGGAATGAACATTAGGAATTTTTAATTCTTCTGCTATTATCTGTTCATTCTATTCATGCAAAACATAAACTGATTAACTTGTTTTAACATAAAATCTATTTTTAATTTCATCAATTGAACAACCATCAAATTTGCCTTGTATAATAGTTCCACCCTTTAAATTCTAAATGCTGTTTTCGTTAATCAGAAATGACTTTCCAGATTTAAATTGTCTAATGAACTTAGGATTAGATGCCGTATTTTTAATTGAATAAGTGTTTAATTTAAAATTTTGGCATTTCATGTTTTTCATGTTATTCTTCATTAAAGTTAGAGAATTAACAGATATGTTTGTCCACTCTGATCCTTAAAGATTACAATTATAAAAATGACAATTATCAATAGGAATATCTTTTAACCTAATACCCTATAAATCTAGACCTTTAATCACTCCGTCAATACATTATAATAAATAAAGGGCGTTAGATGCTAATATGCTATATTATTAGCCTTAAGCTGAAGATCTAATGAGTGAGATTAGTTACTATTTAAGACTAAACCTGCTTCTGCATTTTTAAACTAAAAAGTTGACTGTTCCTTAAAAAAATTGATTAGAAATAGTCTTATACATTAAAATACTATTCGCCATCACTTCATCAATCGATTAGTGTTCCAATGCTTCTAGTTAAGTGATTACGGCTTTGGCTACCAAGAATTCTTAGATGATTTTATTCTCAAATGCATAAATCGAAAATTATTCTCTTAATGGTATGGAACTCCTCAGTAGTTTTTTTGAAAATTTGGTATTTTATGAAACATATTCATCATCATTGAAGTATTCTTCCCATTCAGTTACAGACCCTCCTACTTTGATTAAAGAACCCTTGCTATTAAAATGAATAGTGAAAATCTCATGTTATGATAATTTTTATGCCAAATTCAAGCTGAAATTCCATTATTCTTGTTAAAATGCTTCCAAATCGATGCTCTTTTGACTTATTTAAATGTGAATTAATGCAGTATCAAAGAAATTCGTTAGATATTGTTCATATAAGTCATAATGAGAAACGCTCATTTTCTCAAAGATTCTTAAGACTTTATTCTAGAATTGTTAGTCCTCACCGAAGTTTTATGCTAACAGTATTTAAATCTTAGTGATTGGTTCATCAGCCTTATAAAATCTAAAGAATTAACTATTAACCAATTGATTCCAATCTTTTTCGATCTGAGAATTACATAGTGCTAAATCACAATTAATAGCATAGGTTTCATTAAAATAAATGTCATAATACTCCTTCTTTATTCTCTATATATTTGACATATTCTACAATAGTTTAGGTAGTGCTGTATAGAAAACATTCAAAATTTAGGGATTGTCAATAGGTTGTTAAAAGTTTAATTATTCCAACATCCTTTGATAATAATAACAAGATTTTAATTATTCTAAAGCCTTTTATAATTATTGGAATGCAACTTCATTGCCATTTTTGATTTTTGGTTCTTGTTTCAAAGCATTAATAATTTTGGTTATTGTTGGCTGTGATATCAAAGAAGTTTCCATGCTTAATTCATTAAAATTGATATCAATTTTTTTCCATAAGGAGATAAAGTTCTGAATCAACAGATCTTGATGTTCAAATTCACACATTATCTAATAAAAATCTATAACAGTGTTTCTAATAATTAACTCCTAAAATTTAATTAGAAATTAATTTTTTTAATCTAAATTAAATGGCATAATTTTAAGATTCCAATAATTTTAATAGTTGTAATCAACTTCATTACTATCTATCCATCTTAGATGATTAGCATATTTGAATAATTCACTTCTAGTTGCAATAATATATTTAGGAGATTTCTACAATTAGGGTGTTTTCCATTGATTGAGATTATTGGATTTAAATAGATTGATTCCTATTTGATCTTAACTGAGTTTATCATATTCTTCAAAAATGAATAACATTTGCATTTTATTAGAATTGACATCTTTTTATAATTGTTCTATTTGAGCCATATCAAATTTATAATTCAAAGATCTGAGAGTCTCTGTGACTGCATTATGAATTGGATCCTTCAATTCAGACAATTTGATGATGATCGGTATAATTTTAATGGCATCATTTCGTTTCCAAACAGATTCCTCAATCATTCTAATGGCTAAACTCTTACCAGATCCAGCCTCCCCTTATAATACCAATAACTAATATGCTTGTTAATCCTCTAAGAATTTATCAATAATACCATTTTTATTATCCTTTTTAGACAACAATTTCTTAATCTCATTTTTCTTCTAACATTCTAATTCAACATAAGCATTCTTCACTTATTAAACCTTGATCATTCTAGATACGTAGTCCATCCGCAATAGAAATAGCTCTGTTAATTACTTTCCTTAGTAGAACTTGATCTCTGAGACATCTAAGGTTGAAGTACTTTAATCTGCTTTTTTGAATTCATTCATTAATTGCTCATAAAAGGGAATGCGATAATTATATTCTGATTCTAATTCCTATAAGTTGGTAAATATAGTGGAAATTTGATTGGTATGATTGTTGAGTTTTTCATTCAAATTCTATGATTTTTCAAAGGATGGCTCATACTTAATTTAGAATGATAATTAATTCCTTTCTTTAATTTTCAATCGTAAGTCCTCCTCAACATTTGGCAATAGAGTTTGAAATATATTATCAATAATATATCCAAACTCTTTTTTGTAAGTGGTCTTAATTTCTTTCTTAATCATTTGATTAGATTCATTTAACCGCATCTGCAAAATCAATTTACTTATTATATCGAATTCCTCCTGTCCTATACAACAATTCCAAATATTTATTAAATTTGTAATCATCACAATTCTAATGGGTGCAGAAATAATGCCTGATTAAACAACATGGTGATTGATATCATCATTTAAATCTATTCTTAGTGATTCCATTATTGCATTCTATTCTATGAAATTATAATTAAATTTTATGTATGATGCCACTTAGATAAAATCCGCATTTATTTTATAATTATATAGATTTTCGAAATCTGTTAATCTTTGATTTTGGATTAGATTTAAAGATCCAACATTTTATTAGGATTAGGGTTGTGTCAGCCTTGTTTAAATCAAATTCAAAGTTTCATCTAAAGCCTCTTGCATATTGACTAATTAGGATAAGAGTTCCTCAATCGATAAATGATTTTGATTATCTAGTTTATTTTGTAATTGATCAACTCCTTGATTGTACTATTCAAGAGTTGATTTAATTCTTTGAATTTGGCTTTGGCATATCTATTTAAGATTCAATCTCAAGCTATCATACCTATTTTGTGTATTGGGATCAGCAGTGGAATCATATGTCTTAAATGTTTTCAATTCTTAGAAAATAGTATCTAATTGAGTAAGCATTTTAAAGTATTATGACAAATACTAATTGAAAGGCCATCTTATTTATTGATTGAGTTTTATGATTTAGTCCTATTTTTGTTACAATTAATCAAATTTAACAAGGAAGACTGCTTGATCAAATTATTATGAATCAAGTTCATTTGTTGTTTGCAAGATCGTAGTCCATAAATTGAGTAAATCGTTAAACTTTCCATGAGCAGACTCGATTTATAAGGACTATTTAAAATTATGTAAATGCTAGAATAGTTTTTTATTCTAATGTAATAAACTTTCCATAAACTTGCATATTTATTAGATAGTTTATAGATAGATCTTGGCTTAATCATAATCTTAAAATTGACTGCTCGCTACAAATTCTTTAAATTCTTTGTGCAGTTCAATCAATTGGGTTTTCAAAATCTGTTTTTCATAATTTTGTATAAAGAACAGTGTTTAATGATCTTGGTTTCTGAATTCGAATTACTGATTGGGTAGATCCAGATGTTACAATTTCAATGAGACATGATAAAATTTCAAAATGCAATTGTATTCTATTTGTTTCAACTTCTCAGAAATATGTTAAAATATTTCTTTAAATTATAAAATTTTTTCATTTACTTTACGAAAACTTTATTAAACGATGTCTTAAACATCTTTGTATTGCTTATATAATTATAATACTGGATCAGTTGACTAAGTACTTTAGACTACTTGATATACAGCTGTATATTGTCTTTCAATAAATTCAGTGAGTACTGCAAAATACACATCAAAATTAATATTTAATAAGAGTAATTCTTTCAAATTCTCCAAATTCATTTAACTTATTTATTGGCAATTCAATTGATTTTGTTTGTTTTCTTGGAATACTGCCAATTGAGTTTCTTACTTTTAATCAGATTCTGCAATTTATTCTAAAAGATTCCATTGAGAAAATATGAAATCCAATGAAATAAGAAATCTTTAGATCCCTTTCACTTTGTTAATTAAATGCTTAATTTATTTTTATTTTTATTCAAATTCACCAAAAACAACTGGATCTGAGTATTATTTAGATTCCAACATTCTGATCCATTTATTTAAACTTATTTGTTTAATTAATTAAATGTTTTCATTGATTTCAATGTATTATTAATTTACTTTTCGTATTAGATCAATATTGATTTCAATATCGCAATCAATAAACAAGGTGAATAAATATTCAAAGATAGTCTTAACAGTTGTCTCCTATTTCTATTACTCCTTAATTTCCTCTTTGTTATCATAAAGAATATTAAAGAAGCGTTCTCTTGAAATGATCTATTCTTGAATTTGCTGCAACACAGTCAAGGTAGGCAGTTTCTCAAAGAGTCCCTGACATTAGGTGCATTTAAGTTTCGCTTAATTTATGCTAATTCTGTATTCCTCCTTGATTTTATTTAAACAAAATATATCAAGGAGGACTTGTATGTCTGATTGCTCTATTGACAATTAATCTTCAGAAAGACTGGGGGTATAAGATACAATTTCACTGATGGCTATGATCCAAGCTTGTTAAACATAGTAATCCGATTTAGACAGTTCCTTGTGAAATTCTTGCAATTCTCCAATCATCTCTTTGATTGTACGCGTAGTTTATTTGAGCTCAGTGAGGACCCACCACTTCATGATGTCAATATTAAAGATTTATCTGTAGATCTTACGATATTAAACTTTGGTTGCGTCTCTGATTGATTATACAATACCCCCTTTGATTGTTTCTCTCATTGTCTTTGGCAGAGCATTCATAAGAACTTGGTTGATGCTAGCAAATAGAGCGATGACTTCCAGTCCCTCTTGAAAATCGTTAGGCAGTATAGTAAAAATCATTTTGGATATAGTGATTTCATATTCAGTTAAATTTTTGTAAAATCCTTCTTCGCTGTTATTGAGTGCTTCAATTTTATTAAAAGTATTGATATAGTTTTGTTGCATACCATCTTTGATTGATTTTGCTGAACAGTAATGCCAAAATATAGTTCTAGAAAGTTTTTCGGCAAATTTCACGGCATAATATCGAAGTTAGGGATTTTTGAGTTAAAGGCACGATTCCAAAATAGTCTAAAGACTTTTCTCTAGATTAACAATTTGTTTATTAAGCTAATTTTAGGACTTTATTAGATTGTTTAATTCATAATCAAGTGATAATAATGCTTAGAGACTGGAATGCAATTCTTTATAATTGTTTTATGTATCCTCTGCATTTTTTGAGATGAACTATATATTACTTGAGAGTATGCTCTCAAACTGGTTGGAAATGAGTAGAGTACTCATTTGCATTGACTATTGCGGACGTGTATTGGCACATGCTCCTCCTCCTCTTAACATTTAATTAAAATTATTTAATGCAACTTCCTACCTTCGGAGAAGTGTTTTTGACAACTGACGATGTTCAAGGAGGCTTGGAAAACTTGAAGCTATTTAAGGGGAAACTAATTAGCAGTCTTTGTGGTGGTTGTAGGAAACTATTCGTAATCGAAGAAGGATTAGATAATCAAGGGTAAGCTAGTGATTAATAGTAGAATAATATCAACATTGCACTCTCCCGAACATGATGAGTACGACTAAACATTTTCACAAGATTCAAACAATTTATAATCATTCGATTTCAAGGGATCAATCAAAACAATAGTGACTGGAAAAAAGCATACAGTTTTCTTGAGTGATTAAGGAGATATATACAGTTATGGTTACGGAGAATACGGAGCATTGGGACATGGAGGAATTATAGAGCTATCAATACCGAAAAAGATCATCAGAATTTCAAAAGTCGATACAATAGCATGTGGTGAGTATCATACTTTAGCATTAAGCAATGGCGATCTATTTGCTTGGGGAAGAGGGTTCGAAGGATAATTAGGAATCAGGAAGGACGTTGAAACAGCCGCATCTCCTATGTTTTTAAGTTACTTTTATAAGAACAGAATTAAATTGATTGCATGTGGGGCCTATCATTCATTGGCTGTAGATTAATAAGGAGCATTGTATGGTTGGGGAGAGGCTAGATTTGGTTAATTGGGAACAGGAAGAAAGGTTTCAGAACAATTGCCATCTAGAATAGACTTTCTACTTGAGTAGCCAATGAATCAGAGTGAATTAAGAGTAGGTAAATTCTTGCCTTAAGAAACATCTTTCCAAGTGGTTTCAATTTCAGGTGGATATGGACATTCTGCAGCTGTTACATCTACAGGGGAATTGTATACTTGGGGATTTAATCAAAGAGGACAATTGGGAAATGGAGATAAAGATAAGAAGAGTACCTATTATCCTAAAAGATTAATGCAAGATATTAGTGGAATTTAATTGCCTGGATTTAGTAAGGTTATGTGTGGATATTACACTACCTATGCAATTGATCAAAAAGGAGGTCTTTGGAGTTGGGGTGGAGGTAATCTTGGTCATCAAAATGACAAATTAGTAGATTTACCAAGAAAAATAGTATTGGAAGATCGTAAATTCACTAATATGTATGCAAATGGATAAGCTGCTGCCTTCTTTGCTTCTTTAAGAACTATCTCTATGAAGCCTAATCATGGACCTTCTACTGGAGGCACCATTATTAGTTTGATAGGTACAGGCTTCTGTGATACTGGCAGATAAAGTGCAAGATTCAAATTAGGAGATTAATATACTGAGGTTGGATGTGAATATGATTCGTTGACTGACAGTTTCAGATGCACAACTCCTAATTTTGAAGAACATCTTGATAAATATCCTGTTGAATGTGTAGTCGAAGTCACTCTTGATGGTAATGTCTATGTTGAATGTGAATAGAAGTTTCTAGTGTATTCATCCAAAATTGTTATTTCTTCACTTTATCCTAAATGTGCATCTATATAAGGTGGAACCACACTCATTATTAATATCAATATAGATGATTTGACTGCCTCTTATATGAAACATTTAAATATTGGGTTCTAACCCAGAAATAAGAAGAAGGAAGATAAATCTGCTATGAAATAAAGTACTAACAAACCATTGAATCCATTGGATCTCAGTATCAATGATCCTGAATTAGATAAAGAAAACTGGATGTGTGTTGAAGGCTTTTATGAAAAAGGAAAGATCTCATGTACTATCCCTAATGTAAGTTAATTACAAACAGACAGTCTTAATTTTAATGTGGATGTAAGTATCAATGGATAATAATTTACTGGTAACCCTATGGTCTTTAGATTTTATGATATTTAAATAAAAGAATTGCAACCAGATAATGTTATGTCTGAGGGAGGAGCTGCCGTTAAAATAATTGGAGATGGCTTTTTTGATACAACCAATAAAAGAGTGATCTTTAAGACTCTATTTGGAGAAAGACTAATTGAAATCATGTGGGATAAACAAGATAGATTTTATTCCTTTGTTGCTCCTCCTTTATCTTGGCTCTTAGGTGGATAACAACCTACTCCAGAATTACTTAATGCTGTCAAAGCTAATGGAGTCACTGCTTTATTAACACTTTCTGGTATTGAATGGATACCTATTGGAACATTCTACTACATTGATCCTGAAGTCTTACGTCTGGGTCCTTTTGTTGTTGATGAAAAATTACCAGAGGAATTGAAGAAATAATTAATCCATTAAGAGGAATAGGAGATTGACCATTTCAAGGATTTATAAGGAGCTGATTTATAAAAGAAGAAAGATGAAATCTAGAAACAGTTGGAAGCTGAAGAACAAGAAATCAATTACTTCTTCAAGAAGACTGGTCAATATTTAAGTGTTTATGGAGAAAATTTAGCCAATACTGAATCTCTCTTAGTTTAATTCATTTTCAACGGCAACATGGCTGTTAATTAAAAGGTACAAAATACTCATTTATTAAAGGCTATATTCAAAAATAAAAGCAAATTGGTGGTGTAAATTCCTGAATTAGAGTTACCTACAGGAATCCATGATGTTGGTGTAGAAATTACATTCAATGGCACTTCATTTAGTCATTCTGGAAAAGTATTTAAATATATGTCATTTGATAAATCGTTGAATGAACAGTAGAAATTAAAGTTGGAAGACGAGGAAATTAAGAAATTAAAAAAAACACAACCTAAAAAGAAATGATTATTATGTATTTGATCAAAATAATGAGAAATATTTACAAATAATATTATATTAATTGAATATAAATAAAAACAAGAAAATAAGACCAAAATATTTAGGCATCTCTGATCCAAATTCAATTTTTAATTATTAAATGTATTCAACCTACAAGCACATCTTTAAACAAATGAATGATATAATGCAGGATCCTATCATCACTGAATTTTTATCAGTCAAATAGATTGAGGGCAATATTCCTGACAGAAAGAACATTATCAAATTTGGATTGATACTCAAATAATTAGATTAGTTTGTGAAAGAACAAATGATAATTGAATAAAAAATAAAAGGCAAACTATTAGCTATCATTAAATATGACAAGTCCTTTCCTAAATTTGTGAATTTCATCCAAATTATCAATAATGAGTATACTATCGAATTTTCATAAGCACATCTTGATGAACTTAGTCATATTACCGATAGTCACACTGATGACTTGTACTCTTTATAAGATATCATCTATGAAGTAGTGAAAAGAATTAAAACCAGAGTAAACATTGAGCATCTCAAATATTTGCTAGATTAATAAATTTAGCATCCAATATCAACTAAACTCTATCAAATTAATCAGCCTCCTACTTTAATCTATTTATTATAGCACAACGAGAGAATAATATTCATTTTAATTGCTGTTTGCAATCAAGAGCAGATTCCCTTACCTTGTTTCATTAATTGTTTATATTTGACTGGAGATCAGATGAAATTGAGAATAGATTAGAATCTAGAAAGAACCATATTGTCAATAGTGTAAGTAAAGAAGGTGGCTGAAGAATTAGGATATAATAATGTATCATTAGCAGAGCAAGGCCTTTTAGAATTAAAATTACAATATTACAAGCAATATTTAGAGATACCTGAATAAGATTTGATTGATTCAACATTATCCGTTCTCGTAATGAAAGGAATTGAAGTCAATTAAAGTCAAATCAGAAATTTGCTGACTTAAACATCAAAAATCTAGAATTCTCCTTAAATCAATCGATTAAAAGCTCTGTTCAATTAATTATTAGAGACTTCCTAATAAATGACTGAGAGAAGATAACAAAATAGAAATCATAAAGTCAATATTGTCATTGTATTGAAGGAAGTAATAGCCAAAATGATAAAGGATAAAACTGGATTTCCGTAAATAATAAACTTGATAAAATTAAGAAATGGAAACCTTAAATTTGATACTTCTGATACATCATTAAGGAAATATTTTTAATTCATCTAAAAACCTCTGATTGACCTTTATAGCGTAACTAGTTTCACTTAATTAAACAATTTTTGTAGAACATCAGTCCTAAACCAAACAGCATATTGTGAAGCTGAGGTAATTGAGAAAATGCTTGAGTTAGTGTATTAGGAGCGTTCAAAATATTTGGTTGATTTAAAAACCATATTTGAGGAGTCAAAATAAACTAGCAATAGTTTACTTATGATTCTCAGTATTTGTCAAGAGAAATCTAATAAACCTGTGGAGAAGACAGATAAAAATGAGATCTTATATTCAATAAAAGTTCTGATAGAATCCTTATTGTAGTATACTGAGAAAAACAAAATAATTGATCTTGATAGCGATGAAGAGTTGAAAAAATAATAGAAGATATGAAAAATATATATCACTGATTGTTATTGAAATTATAATTTATAAAAATATTTTATTTACAGCATTTTATAATACTTATAAAAATCATTAAATTAATTTGTTAATATTTGTTAGGAAGTACATAATTACACATTAGAGAATTAAAATAAATAGATTAGAATAATGAGAAAAGCTTACGAACAGGATTATATTAACAATTAAAATGCTGGACTATTATAATAGGATGATGAGGATTAGAATGATGGCTAAACAAAATCAATCAATTACATAAGACCAAGACCATTTCCACATGAAAATAATAGGGAATGTAAATTAGATGTAGTATGTCATGAAAATGAATGCAGAATACTATAAAAGTTATGTTGCCAAGAATGCGCACATTTTGTTCATCCAAATCATAAAACTGATAGTTTAGATTGGTATATTAATCACATAAGAGAAAAGATTAAGCGTAGACATGGAGTACAATAAACTACAACTCATGAAATCTCAGTGTTGAAGAGTGAACAAAGGAAAAAGAGAATGAAATACATGAAATATATCATCAAATAATTGAAAAAGGTTGAAAAAGAGTGTAGATCTATTGAAGACACAACCGAATAGAAAATTAAGATTAAGTTGAGTTCTACCTCAAGAAAAGAGGCATTTGATAAAATGATAAGGCTGCTTAAACTAGTGAGACATCAGAATTTAGATTAATTTAAATAACATCATTAAGAATTTTTGGTCAAAGATGAAGTAGACTAATAAATGGCACTGTAATATAATGAAGAAAGAGAAAGAAAGGAATTGTAAAGGTAGATTAGTGAAATTGTGGATCAATTCTTTTTAGCAGATGAACGAGAAAGATAAAAATTACAATAAAATTAATCCTTATAAACATAATAATAAGAAGAAATAAAGGCATTGAGATTGACAGGTGGTCTCTGGGAAAGAAATATGAATAAACTCGCTGGTGCTTTGAAGCGTTTTTCAAAACGCATGTTATCACATAGTAAAATGAGTATTCGACCAAATTCTTCTACTCATAACATTGTCCTGGTTGAAGTTGATTTAGCAACAAATGAAGATGATCCAACAGCAACTCCTAAAATCTTACAAATCTTACCATTAAATGCTGAAAACTTGATTACTGTGCATCCTAATGAAATTAAATTATGGAAATATAGTAAGTGTTATTTAGAATTTAAACCAATTGCTCCATTGCCTTTTCTAAATTTAAAATATGTGTGTGTAGCAGATAAGAAGGATGAATTTGTGGTTCTTTTTGGTGATAATTCTATTATGTCTATTTCTAGTAAGAGTATGAATTCTAAAAATAAACAATTCATATGTCCTAAATAAGGCATGACACTCTATCGAATACTAATTAGTCCATGTTAAAACTTTCTAATTGCATCAGGAGGATGTAAATAAAATTGTTTTTATGTGATAATTTGGCATTTTAATGATGCTAAAATTAGGAAAGTTTTGAGATATTAATATTCATTTCCAAATGAGGGTGATTTATTAATGAGCGAGACCAATCAGCATATATTTAGATGCAATAAAAATAAAATTGATGTTTTTGGATTGATTGACGGAGTCAAAAAGTAGACTTTATAACTATAAAATGTAAGAGATTGTATAGAATAAGCAACCATTCTTCACAACTTTTAGGAATAGGATACCTTGTGTGTTAGTACTAATAGAGGATTTTATGTATATACTTATGATGATAATGTTGTCGAGAACAATTATAAATTAGTTTACAGCTTTTCTCAAACTTGTCATTGCATTTTCCATGTTTTCTATTAATATGGTTTGGAAGAAGAAGGATTTATGCTTGCTGCCTTGGAAAATAATGAAACAAAAGTTAAATTTTAGGATTTAAATAATAAGATACTTTTATAAGGAATTCAATTTGATGATTAAATATTAACTGGTAAATTAATATTTTAGAGAGAATTTTAAAACCAATAATTAGTATTGTTATTAGGTTTTGAAAGTGGAAAAATGAGAGTATTAAAATTTATTAAGAAATGATTATTTTATTATATAAAATTTATCAAGATAATTTTACATTTATTCTTTTAGATTGAAAATAAAATTATTGTATTTCTTTTAAGAATTATATAAGATAAAAAATGATATTAAATTTTATGATTAAAGTTTCGAATGATTTTAGATAAGTTTTCTTCATATTAACTATGAATCATCATTTAATACAATTAATTTACCATAGATGGTAGTATTAGAAATTTTAATTAAGTTTTTTATAATTGATAAGTTCATTTCAAAACTTTTTAAGTTATAGCAATTCCTACCAATACAAAGAATTTAATTGATAGTTATTATTGTTATGATGTAAATGATTTTGGAACTTAGTAACGTTTTCATTTTTAAACATAAAAGTATATAATTATAATTAAATTTATATTTTAAAATAGTTTAGTATTGGTTATAATTTAAATTTAATACTGTTTCAGAACATATCTATTAATATGAATCCAAAGAATGCCATAATGTATCCATTAGTGCTTGATCCTGAGCATTTTGAACAAGCATTTCCATCCCAATAATAATAGCCTGATGTTTTGTCATAAAAATTTGATGATGTTAAAGAACTAACATCAACAGCATCTTCACATATGGCAGAAGTGACATTCCAAGTGCAAATATCAACACCTATGTAATCTTCGTCATTACTGTCTTATAAGAGTCAGAAGTCGTCATATGCAACACAAGTTCCAGCCTAAGTCCATTACACAAGCCTTAGCATAAGTTTTGATCTGTGATTACTGAGCATTTTGAAGCATCAATCTAAGTGCAGGTATCAATTTAAACCAACATATAGTAGAGTCACTAGGAGACCTAAAGTTACAATCCTCAGCATTATTATAATTTGAGCATATGATTGTTTCATTTTAGCATTAAATTTTTCCATCTGCAGTAACATCTCTTACCTCACAGGTAGGATGTTTGGAATAGCATTATTGAGCAACTGGTATAGTGTAATCTGAACAAGATATGAAAATGTCACAGTTTAAAATTGAATCATCCTATCCACAGTATGGTTGAATATCGCATCTTGGTTACGTAGTGTATGTTGCGCAAATCGCCTCTGTATTTACACATATAGAATTAGAGGGTAACCAGGGCATTTGAATTTACAATCAGCATATTAAACAATTTCTGTGCTATCACACTTATTTTTGGAGTCAAAGCTTGGAATGAATGAGCTATAATTGTTTTGAGCAATATTTAAGTCTTCATTTAATGTTTTAATTTTAGTATTATATCTTAATTTCTATAAAATCTGCTTAAAATAACTACAGGTAATTCAGTTTTGTGAGAAAAATTATCATATTTTATCAGTTCTTTTAAATTTCTTTCAAAAACGAATAAATCACAATAGAATCATTTTATCTTGTTTAATTTACAGCAAACCTTATTATTTCATAGGATTTTCTATTCAAAAGTATTAGATAACAATTGTGTTTTTGGTTCCCTTTTTTATTTTTTAATTCAAAAATATCGTTCATATAATTTAGCAATATAACATATTAGATTATAAAATGATTCTGAGTAATTCAATCTTTGATATAGAATTCTCTAAACATACTAAATCAAAGCAAATTTTATTAAAGCAAAAGAGATGGTTTTTATGAGAATTTGTTGCAGGTATAGATCTTGCATACAAGATCCGTCAGGAGGAATACGTAACAATATCAGTGTATAATTAAAACATATAATATGGCAATAAATTAGATAATTGATAGATGGGCTATAGGTTTCAACTCAAATTCTTATTGTATACTTGGTCAGATTTATATTAGTTCAAGAAAAAGTTTATTTGCTATCATCTGCCAAATTAAGACATTGTAAATAAGGATAAAGTTTTTAGTTTAAACGATTCTTCAAATTTATAATGTTGTCATTTTTATAGATTAAAATACATAGAATATGTTTGTATATTAGTATAATGTTTAATTAAAATATTGAAATAATTAATGATTGATAATTTATATTTAATACTGAATCAGAACATAATCATAGCGATGAATCCAATGAATGCCAAAATATATCCGTTACTGCTTGATCCTGAGCATTCTGAGCAGGCACTTCCATCCCAATAATAATAACCTACTGTTTTATCAAAACAATTTGATGATGTCAAAGCACTAACATCAGCAGCATCACTACATTTACTACCAGTAGAATCCCAAGTACAAATATTTACACCTGATCCATCATCTGTCATTACTGCTACACAAGAGTCAGCAGTGGTCATATCAGCACATGTGTATGCAGCACAAGATGAAGTCCATTTACAAGCCATTTCGCAGATATCTTAATCTTTGATTACTGAGCATTTTGAAGCATCAACTTATGAACAGGCATTAGACTTGAACCAGCAAACAGAATTATCATCTGGTGACATACCGTTACAATCATCGGCATTTGTGAAGGTTGAGCATGTGATTGTTCCTGTCTTACATGGGAATTTTCCATCTGCACCAGCTGTTCCTGGAACACAGGTATCATCTTTGGCATAGCATGCTCTAGCAATTGCGACTGTATAATCTGCACAAGCTGTGAAAGCGGCACATTTTGAAGTTGTTTCGTTCCATGCGCATCCTTTGTAAGCATCACATGTTGGTTATGTGGTTTATGCAGTGCAATCAACTGTTTTGGCTGAACATGAAGAATCAGCTGATGACCAAGTACATCCACCTTTACAATCAGCAGATTAAACAAGTTCTGTGCAATCACATGAGGTTGTGGCAGTCAAGGCATTGACTGAAAGAGATATCACGGCTATTAGCAATAATTATGTCTTCATTGTAATATTTTAAATTGAGTATTATATCTTAAAATTTCAATAGGTAAATCACTTTTACAAAATAAAAAAATTAAAATCATTTTATCAGTTCATTTTAAATTTTCATTCAAATGCAAATTAAATTGTCAAAAAATCATTTTTTTTTTAATATTTTTAAGAGCTCTTAAAGTAAACTTGTAAAAATGCAAAAAAGCCTTTAGTAAAGGTATGAAATATATAAATAATAACATCCTTAATACCATTTTCTAATTTCATGGCATTTTTGTAATTCTTGAGTATTCTGGAACAATTGTTTTTGTCCTTTTCCTTTTTTATTACTAATTCTAAATTACAGTACATCTAGTGATAAGCAAATGATAAATACTATGATGTCTTGTACTTTCATCACAAAAGAGGCTGTAAAGTGTACATGGAATTATTCTGTAAATATTTTGATATATATTCAATTATATAGAATGCTTACTAGGTGTCTCTCTAACCTTAAAAACAGAGAAAAAATAATGTTAAAGCAAGAGCTTTATTAACACATACTCTTTAAGCCATTTTATTAGGTCTGAACCACCTTTTTCTATTTTTCATCTTTTAAATAAATAGTTAACGTTTGTGGTTTTAGATCAAGAAAATCAAGATAATAATGATTTTGCAAAGAGATAGTATGAAAATAAAAAAGGTGACTTGGATTGAAAAAATGATGAAGTGTTTAGTAAAATATAATTCATATTTCAAATACGGTGACTTTGTAAATTGACAACAATATTTAAGATTTCTTAAATGCTTGACTCATAAAAGGTCTTAATTTTTCAAAATGGAAACTCTAAATCAAATCATTAGAAAAATATAATAAATTGAAAGTTAACTTCTTTTTCTATCTTAAACTTTATTTTCTCAGTTTATGTAAAGTGATTCAGAGTCTTAAAAGATATTTATAGGTATAAAACAGCGAAAAATTGAACAATAAGTGTTTATGTTATAAACTAAAAATAGAAGAATGTTATTAATTGATAATATAAACAGTTACACATATAATAAAAAGAAATAAAATATTAATTATTATTACAATTTATAAAAAGAAAAAAATTTTCTTAATTCTTTACATTCATTGCTTCTAGTGATATTTTGCGATTAAAGCTTTGAATAACATTATCTATTTAAATTATTAGTTTATTTTGCAAGAAAGATAATGGAATTCTTGTCTTTTTTATGATTAATAGATTATTATATCCTAAATTTATGATATAATCCAATTATTCCAATTCTTATAATATCTAAAAAAAAGTAAGATCAACTTGTATTTTATTTACTGGGATGAATATTAGCTAATAAAACTATAATCTAAGTTTATTCATAAACACTAAGTATATTTTGCAATTAACTTTTTTTTTGCAAATTATGATTACAACTTCATATATGTAGAACTTCCAAATGCAAGAAAATGTACACTCCTACCTTTATAATTAAGATAAATTAAGATAAATAATTATTTAATTTCTTAAATTTTCATATATACATATGTATATTGAAAAAAAATTTCAAAACATTTTCCACTTTTATAAAAATGAATGAACTATTTAACATGCATCTAAGTATTCCTTCTTTTTTTTAAAGTTATATTTCTTGAAACCATTAATTTCATAAATATGGTATGATCTCAGAATTTTATCATTTCAAACTTTGAGATATTGTGTTTATTAAATGTTCTTTTGAATCAAAAATTTTGGCTCTTATGAACTACTCCAAAAATTCCTAAAGAAACTAGGTTGAGATAATACTTTTTACAGCAATCTTCTAATCTTGCAATCTATCAGATTTCAAGATTAAAAGCTTTCTATAATTTTTTTCAATATAATTAGATTTCATTTGCTAATTTTTACATATCCTCACTAGGTAAGACGTTCTTTCTAACATTAACAATTATGCTTATTTTTCTTGCACCCATGATTGAAAATCAATTTAATTTTATATCATTTCTTATTAAATTAAGTTTACATAAAAATCATCCAAAATTATCAATAATTGAATGTTATTCATGAATTGTTTCATGTTATCTAAACTATAATATCAACGATTAGAATTTTATGAATGATTATTATATTAACTCAGTATATTCCCTTAATTATTAGATTTTATTATAATTTATAAATTAATATAAAACTCAAAAGGAGAGATAATATTTAGTGGAATGATATACTATTCACTTTTAATATATAAAAAAAAATATTTAGTTTATACGTGAATTAAATTACACAGAAATTATTTAAATATCTTAAAAATGGGATAGGGATCATCTAAATTTTACGCAGTTCCAGTGGGAGAGAAGAAAGATGGAGAAAGTCATGTCTATAGAAATCCAAATAATACTCAAAAGCTTCTAGATAACTTCGAAGGAGAAACAACAGTTTAAGGAATTTTCTTAAGATCTTGCCGTAAATTTCCAAACAATAGATGCTTGGGCAAGTAGGTAGTCACTGGAGAGAATAGTAGACATTATGTTTACAAAACTTATCTTGAAGTCAGAAATGTTGCAGAGTATAATCTTAAATAGAAACTAGATAACTTGGGTCAGGTATAAAGAATTTGAATTTGATTCCAAATCCAGTGATGTATGAGGGATAGGAATTGAGAATGATAGGAATATTCTCAAAAAACAGAGAAGAATGGCTACTTCTAGATATAGCGAATACATTGTATGGAAACACAATGATTCCCTTATATGATACATTAGGATTGGAAAGCATTCCTTACATCCTAGAGCAAACTTAGCTAAGCACTTTATTCATTTCAAGCACTAGTGTGGAAACTCTTTTAAAAGTAAAAGAGTGCCATGCTCTAAAGTTTGTNATGTATATTGAAAAAAAATTTCAAAACATTTTCCACTTTTATAAAAATGAATGAACTATTTAACATGCATCTAAGTATTCCTTCTTTTTTTTAAAGTTATATTTCTTGAAACCATTAATTTCATAAATATGGTATGATCTCAGAATTTTATCATTTCAAACTTTGAGATATTGTGTTTATTAAATGTTCTTTTGAATCAAAAATTTTGGCTCTTATGAACTACTCCAAAAATTCCTAAAGAAACTAGGTTGAGATAATACTTTTTACAGCAATCTTCTAATCTTGCAATCTATCAGATTTCAAGATTAAAAGCTTTCTATAATTTTTTTCAATATAATTAGATTTCATTTGCTAATTTTTACATATCCTCACTAGGTAAGACGTTCTTTCTAACATTAACAATTATGCTTATTTTTCTTGCACCCATGATTGAAAATCAATTTAATTTTATATCATTTCTTATTAAATTAAGTTTACATAAAAATCATCCAAAATTATCAATAATTGAATGTTATTCATGAATTGTTTCATGTTATCTAAACTATAATATCAACGATTAGAATTTTATGAATGATTATTATATTAACTCAGTATATTCCCTTAATTATTAGATTTTATTATAATTTATAAATTAATATAAAACTCAAAAGGAGAGATAATATTTAGTGGAATGATATACTATTCACTTTTAATATATAAAAAAAAATATTTAGTTTATACGTGAATTAAATTACACAGAAATTATTTAAATATCTTAAAAATGGGATAGGGATCATCTAAATTTTACGCAGTTCCAGTGGGAGAGAAGAAAGATGGAGAAAGTCATGTCTATAGAAATCCAAATAATACTCAAAAGCTTCTAGATAACTTCGAAGGAGAAACAACAGTTTAAGGAATTTTCTTAAGATCTTGCCGTAAATTTCCAAACAATAGATGCTTGGGCAAGTAGGTAGTCACTGGAGAGAATAGTAGACATTATGTTTACAAAACTTATCTTGAAGTCAGAAATGTTGCAGAGTATAATCTTAAATAGAAACTAGATAACTTGGGTCAGGTATAAAGAATTTGAATTTGATTCCAAATCCAGTGATGTATGAGGGATAGGAATTGAGAATGATAGGAATATTCTCAAAAAACAGAGAAGAATGGCTACTTCTAGATATAGCGAATACATTGTATGGAAACACAATGATTCCCTTATATGATACATTAGGATTGGAAAGCATTCCTTACATCCTAGAGCAAACTTAGCTAAGCACTTTATTCATTTCAAGCACTAGTGTGGAAACTCTTTTAAAAGTAAAAGAGTGCCATGCTCTAAAGTTTGTAGTTACATTTGATGAATTACCTTAAGATAAGGTTCAACAGGTAATTGTAATTAATATTCGATTAGTTTAGCGAAAAAGGAATAAAAGTATTTAATTATGAAGAAGTATTGAATGCTGGAAAAGAGAAAATTCACCCATTTGCAGAAGTACATGGAAATGACATATTCACATTCAGTTATACATCAGGAACTACAGGAATGCCAAAAGGTGTTATGTTAAGACATTTAAATTTCGTCACAGTAGCAGGAGGAGTTGTTTACTAGGGAATTTAGTTATATCCTACTGATGTCTATTTGAGTTATCTACCATTACCTCATGTGTTAGAGAGAGTTGTAGTAACAGCCTTACTTGGATTTGGCTGCACAATTTGTATGTATGGCGGAGATGTATTAAAAATCAATGTTGATATTTAATTGGTAAAACCAACTATTTTTGTGAGTGTTCCTAGATTGTATAGAAGATTGTACAATGCAATTAAAGAAAAGGCAGATAAGGTCGAAGGATATAAAAAAACATTATTTGAGAAGGGATTAGCCAGCAAAATGTATTATTTGTAAAATGGTGGTCATGTTTAACATAAAGTTTGGGACAACTTGGTATTCAAAGCAACAAGAGAAGCATTTGGTGGTAGAGTCAGGTTAATGTTATCTGGATCAGCACCTATGTCACCTGAAGTAGTAGATTTCTTGAAATGTGTTGTGTGTGTTCCATTCCTAGAAGGATATGGTCAGACTGAAGGATGCGGTGGTTCTTTCATTAGTAGAGCTGATGATCCTATTAGTGGACATGTAGGAGGTGTCTTCTCAAACATTGAATTTAAAGTTGTTGATGTTCCATAAATGAACTACTTCAGCACTGATAAAGACGAACAAGGAAGACCCACTCCTAGAGGAGAAATCTGTAATTAATCAATCATTATCTTTAGGCATTAGGGGAAATGGATTATTTGCTGGATATTATAAAGAACCTGAAAAAACAAAAGAAATGATTGATGCTGATGGCTGGATGCATTCTGGAGACATTGGATTGATTAGACCCGATGGATCTTTAAAGATTATTGATAGAGTTAAAAACATTTTTAAGTTAAGTCAAGGTGAATACATTGCTCCAGAAAAAGTGGAAGGAGTCTATTTGAAGGTCAAAGGCATCGCAGAAGTATTTGTCTATGGAGATTCAACCAAAAGCTTTTGTGTAGCTATCATTGTTCCTGAAAAACCATTTGTCTTAGACTTAGCACACACATTAGGAATATAAGGTACATATGAAGAGTTGTGTGCAAATGATAAAGCAAATAAACACTTTTTTGATGAAATGGTTAAAACAGTATTTAATATATCTAATCCATTAGGGTAAAGCTGAGAAATTGAATGGCATGGAAAATGTCAAGAAAATCTACATTGAACCAACCTCCTTTATTGCTCATGGTTTAACTAGTAACACACTTAAGTTGATGAGACACAAGGCAAGAGAGCATTTTCTCAAATAAATTGAGGCTATGTATTAAGGAAGTGAATGAGTATGGGAACATATATTAAAAAAAAATTATCATTATACAGTTTTTCATTATAATAATGCATATGATCCTGTTAGACAAACACCACATGTATCTCCAGAAGCTAGATTTATATAGCCTTATTCTCCCCAATCTTATCCCCAAGAATTTCTTACCTTCCAAACTCCATTCCTATTTATTCCGACTAATACTACTCCATGATTTAAATATTTTTTACAATCAGAAAATACTCCACTTGCTATAAATAAATATGATATATCAATACAATAAAATCTCCAATTTGTTGCATCCACTCCTACAGACACTGATTATTATAGGAGAGCATTTGAAATATCTTGGCATCCATCCAAATCTACATATCCAATTACTCTTCTGAACTTTCTTACAACCGACTTGCAAATTCCATCCTCTCCTGTATAAGGATAAACTTTTGTTTCAGCTATTCCTGAATCGATTATATAATCCAAAGCAGATTCCATCCATCCACCATCACATCCAGCATTTCCATAAGGACCAGCACAATCTACTAAATCTTGTTCTGATAAATCAACTATTTCATTGAATTAGATCTTTGTATTGATTTCTAATGCTCCTACAGCTGAAAATGCCCAACATGATCCACAATCACCTTAATCTTTAATTGCTGGAACCTTTCCTTTCTGTACCCAATCTACTTCCTCTTACACTAAAAAAGGTTCCTCATTTTTTTTAATGTTTTTAACTCTCGCTGGCATTTATAAATTTAAATATTTTGTCAAGAACTCCTAATCTGTTAAATCCCCAAACTTATTAATTTTTTACTTATAGCTATTGTTTTATGAATTAAAATCTTCAATCTTCATTGTGTTTTATTAGTATATTGAAAATCTATAAATTTGTTCATTCTGGGTTGGGTACCTTTTGTTATATTTTTGTTGCCAATCTTAATATTGCTTAAGAATTTTAAATTAAGTGTGCTCACTTTGTTCATATAATTTCGATAAATATACCCCAGCACTTAGTAGTGACAAGAATCCTGCAATAAATAAACTTTTTTCCATATTAATACAATTATTTTATAATAAACTAATAAAAGCTATTTAGCATTTATTAAATTGAAAATTATGAGTGAAAAAATTGGACAAAAATTAACATTTATTCATTACTCAAATAGATAAAGATTCACTTATTTATGATTTATTCAATTTGATTCTCAAAAACATATTTAATTCACACTATTTAAAAGATAATTATTAGGAGGGTATAGTTTGAGGTATGTATATCTCTAGATTTTTTACGTTCAGAATTAATTCGAGAGAATTTTCTTAAACAAATTAAGAGAGCATTTATGTCAGGTAATTGCATGTAGAGATTAAGTTATGAGAATTTCATTGATATTGTAAATCTTTGGAGGATAGAGTTGAGAATGAAAAGTTATTTTTTTGATGAATTATTTACATAATTTAATTAAATAATGGGAACATGTTGTGGTACGTAGAGTTAATTGTAAATTGTGATGCCAAAATTTGAACTGTCTATCCTGAGTGTCTATACCTAAAAAGCTATTTTGATACAAAGAGCTTACAGATGTATATTGGGTTTAAACAATAAATAGAGTTCAAGCATCGGAAGAGAAGAAATACAGTTCCAGTATCTATTACAAACGACAGCTAGAGAAGTCATTAGGAGCCTATAGAAATTACAATTGTTCATTAGTAACCGTAAGATGAAGTTGCATAGATGGAATAGATTGAAGAAGTTCCTGTCGTTTTAGATCATTCTCCTCCTGATGGAGTAAAAATAGAGAGAAAATAAAGTGAATATCCAGCATCAATCAACTCCTTGATATTTCGAATTGGGAACTTTAATTATAAGGAATATCTAAAGAAAGAAAGTTAAAATTATGAAGAAGAAGAATTGAATGCAGCTTTTTTAGATCCGTATTTACTTACTGATGGAACAATATATTTAGGTTAATGGAAATTGGGTAAAAGACATGGAAAAGGCAGAGCAATTTTTTAAGATAAAAGTGTATACGAAGGATTTTGGAAGAATGACAAAATGGATGGTTATGGGAGGTTGATATTTGTTAATGGAGATTACTATGAAGGAGAATTCAAGGAGAATAAAGCTAACGGATTTGGAAAATAAGTGACATCCTAAGGGTATTCTTACGAAGGCTATTGGGTGAATGATAAATAGTAAGGGGAAGGAATCGAAAAGTTTTCAGATGGGACAAATTTTTCAGGAAAGTTTGTCGATGGAAATAAAACCGGTATTGGCGAGTTTGTTTTTTCAGATGGATCCAAGTATTAGTTCAGCTAAAACAAAGGTATAAAGGTTCAATTGTTAACAATAAATTTAATGGAAAAGGAGTGTTTCATTTTTCAGATGGTCGTAAATATGATGGGTAATGGAAAGATAATTAAATGGATGGTTATGGTACATTTACTTGGCCTGATGGTAGATGTTATGATGGATATGTAAATGATATTATAATGATTAGTATGTGAAAGATAAAAAGCATGGATTTGGGGATTTTACATATGCTGATGGATCTATGTATAAGGGCAATTGGGTTGATGGCAAAGAACATGGACAAGGAACATTCTATTCTAAAAGTGGATTGTACAGAGAAGGTGAATGGCTCAATGGCAAAAGATTAAAATGGACTTCTTCATACTAAACTTCCTGAATACAATAGAAGATACTAATTTAATTCTTGTTTTCTTTAATAATTTTTTAATAATTAGATTATATTTATGCCTCATATTAAGTTACCTAATTATCGACTTGGTATTTCACCATCAGTTAGATCCTCTTATAAAATGGACAATTTGACTCCATCATAAAAATTAGATCTGGTGGCAGCTCGTATATTTGGCATATCCTTTGGTGGTAATTTAAGAAATGGAATGAAGGCAATAAAGAGATTAGATTCAGGCTAAAATAGAGCTAGATAATACAGTGTTCCTGTATGGAATCCAGCGTAATGATATATAATTAGCTAAAGACAATGGTTTCCATTTATGACATAATGGAGGAAGCTTGAATTCAATAGGAAATTAGTAGATGGTAGAAAAATGAGAATTATGATGAGAGGTGTCAAAATTGGTAGATAGAAGGGAGGTGAGAAAATCTCAATTCTTAACATTTATGAGCGCAAGAAGGCTAGTATGGAATGATAATACATAAACAATGTTATATTTATAAAAACACACAAGAAATCAGCAATAATAATGAATTAATGTATAATTCTAATTGCATTCTTATTTATTACAAATGCTTTGATAACAAAGCATTGTCAGTGCAACCAAATAAGAAACTAATTTTCATGTATGCTTCACTAAAAATGCCAGTGGAAGTCAAATAGTTGTTAAAATGCAAGTTGCAAGGAATTTCATCATGTCTCAGTCTGTAGTTAAAATAAAGAGTGCTTTTATAATCCTTTAGATGATAGATGCTAAGAATTAACAGATTGCAGCATGTTGACTGCTACATCCAATGAAGAGTGTTCTTATCAATCAAAGTATTGTGGAATCTATAATCCTGCATTAAAGCAATGCTAAATCTTAAATTTTAAACCTTGCAATATGCATACAACACAATGGGAGTGCTTAAATGTAGCTTAACCATGCTATTGGATAAATTAATAATGCTAAGAATTTGACTGTGCTTTATTAAAATCCTAAAAAGAGTGCAATGGTTATCATCATTATTTATGTAATTGGTCAATTGAAAATTAATAATGTATTCATGCTTCATGCCATCAATAACCTATTTTTGATTGCACTTTTATTGTTAAGAAATTCAATATTGGATATTTAATCTAACCCTGTTTGGTTGATTATTCAGAAGGTCAAGCTAAATGCAGGGAGGCTACTTTATCTGAATTATCCCCTATTACATGCAGTTTAAATACTGATAATGCTGCAGCATGGAGTGACATGAGGCTGGATCGTGGAAGTTGTTAAGAATGCGATGTCTGTATTATTAAAATCTTAGTTCTAACATTATTAATGATGATCTTTTGAAATTGAATAGACCAAAATGATTTATTGTAATCAATTAGATCAATTAGATTTATTTATGAATATATAAGGGAGAAAATCTATCATAAGTTTTCTTAATGTTATCAAATCTTTATAACATGGTTAAGTATATAAAGAAAATAAGCCGATGATAAATGATCTCAATTTGTATGCATTATATCAAGCTTTCAAGTGGAGATGAATTCAATTTATAGAAGTGAAATATAGCATGTTATACACAAATTATGTAGTTTTTTATTAGAACCAAAGGTTTATCTATATTTTTAGTAGATGGATTAAGCATCTGAAATTTTATAAATATAAATTAATTTATTCCTTTTTCTCTATGATTTAGGATTTCACTTTTTAACGAATATCTTCCTCATCTATCTAAACCATTGAGCTCAAATCAAAGTTTATTATTCAAAAGAATATTGGGTATGGTGATTATGGGTAAGTTGATCATTTTAATCTTAGAACTGTATATCAAGGTGTGAATATGCACACCAGAGAGACAGTTGCCATCAAAGAATTAAGTCATCGTTTAAGTGATGAAGGGGTTTGATATATTATTCTATATAAGATAAATGCTTATGCATTAAGAGAGATTGAAATACTCCGATCTCTTCATTGTGATTAAATTGTGTTATTTAAAGAATTAGCTTATCAAAAAAGAAACACATATATAATAATGGAATATATGGAGGAAGATCTGCTTACAGCTATGAAAAGAGACATCTTCACTGAGGTCTAAGCCAAGTAGATTATGTTATAAGTGTTGAAAGGCTTAGCTTATTTACATGATCTAGGTATAATACACAGAGATCTTAAACGTAAATTTTTGAAACCTACTTTAGCTAACAATATTTTACACAAAAATTTAACTATTAAAATTTGTGATTTGGGAATGGCTCAAAATTTAAAAAAATTCAAGCCCCAAACCACCAGAATATAAAATCATCAATACAGGGCTCCGGAAGTGTTCCTTGGTTTATTAAATGACTAATATTAGGTTAAAAATATTGCTCCAAGGTTGATGTTTGGTCAGCTGGAGTTCTATTTATCGAGCTTCTATTTAGAGGCAATCCTTTCAAGGGATCGTCTGAAGCCAATAGTTTTCAATAAATTTTAAAATTATGTGGAACTCCTACTGAAGGTAATTGATTAATAGACAATTTCATAGAAACTTGGTAAGGAGTCACTACATTAAAAAATTATTCTAAATTGATTACCAATGAGAGTTTTCCCAAGATCTTACATACAATGCTTGATAGGAAAATGTCTCCCATCTTAGTAAATCTCATAGACTAGATGTTAACTCTTGATCCTTCCAAAAGGATATCTGCTCATTCTGCTCTATAGCATTTATACTTCAAGGGTACGAATATAGAGAGGTAATTATCGTTCATATAAGAGATGTCTCAAAATGAATTAGATAGGAATGAAAAGAGTTAAAACTTAAAGTCAAACTGAAACCTAAGTACATAATTATCCTGATGGAAAAAGAATAATTGTTATTTCGAAAAAATACTGAAAAACAATTGTTTATGCTTTTGAGGATTTATGCGAAACCTTGGGCTAGTAGATCAAATTATCTGATAACATTCAACCAAATTAATTCTTCTTAAATAATCAAATAGAGTAGATATAATTCATATTCAAATAATATGCCTTATAGATACTCTTTTATAAGGTTGAATGGTAATTCTTTTATCTAAAAATAGCTTATAAAATCAGATATCTGTTTTACTTTCTCTACAAATGCATATTCTTCAAAAACTAATATGAAAATAATTTATAATATATATTAACTACTACAATTTTCTTCTAATTTTGGAATTAATATAAGTTAAGTGATAAAACCAATTTTTAATTAATTGAACTATTTATCAAATCAACTTGAAAAAACATAAATTATTTTATAATATATGGGTTGTACATCCACAAAACTAAAAAATAAGAAGGATCTCTGTTTTGTAAATGTTCCTCTTCAAGCTGGAAGAAAAATGAGCAAAGAAGAAGGAATCATTACCAGAGAATATAAAATTAACTCGACTAAGGTCAATCAAGTGAAAAAGTAAATAGTTAGTGAAGCTTCGCCCGTAACTGAAGGAAAGATCATTTCAAACAATTTCATAAAGGATGCACCATAAATTTAATGAATTTTTATACTAAATGTTTATGTTTTTGAGTTATTCTATAAACTTTATACACAAAAATTGTAATATAATTAACCATAGTTATATTTCAGCCAATATCAATTCGGTTGTCAATGTCTATCTATTCTAGTTAGACAGAAAAATTTATTATTAAAATTATTTTCCTCAAAATTCGTTTTTTCACTTAATTATTGTATTTAAATTTACTCAAATTAGTACTCAACCATTTAGACGATAACAGAATTGATGAATGATAATAAAAGTTATAGGATATATATAAAATACATTAATATTATGATTATCTTAAATATTGGCCATGTCATATAAAAATTAAATGTTCATAGTGATTATTAATAAAACTCTTTTTTATCTTATTTTTAATATTCCTATATTCTATCTGACTATTATATTTTAAGGTTATAATGCCTTGATTTGACTACATTAGTTAAGATTATAATACTAGTAAAAGACCTAAAAAAACGCATTTATTGTGTTAATATAAATTTCAATAAATCCTTTTTGATTTTTTATCCAAAACCAGATTAAGCAAGCTGTAAATAAAGAAATTAAAAAGCGTTATTGTCCCAATTATGGAAAAAACTTTTCTATCAAGATTTGGAGCATTAATTCTAAAAATATATTTTTAATACTTTTTCAAAATATAATTTATTTGATGTTGGCTATAATTGTAGATGCAATTTAATACAAATCGGAACGCAAAAAACAGACCATAAGTCTAATTACATTCATTATTAATTTAAATTTAACTCAAGGAATCTGATACTGGATGTAAAATACTCATCATAGGTCCTTTTTATAAATTTTTAATGCATATTGATAAATACGCTTGATAAACAGCCTAAAATATTAGATAGTATATTTTCTGCATTTGGAAAGTGCTAGAGTTTTTCTCCACCCTCGAGCTTGAGTTCATCCATATCTTTTTCAATTTTTAGAATTTTTCAATTAAGTATAAAATCCAAAATGATGATTTTGGCTTAAATAATCTAAATCTATACCTTTCTAATTTGTTATCTGAAGCAAATCTTAGTCATAAAATTATCAATAATTATAAAACTTCATTTTTGCCTTCATCATGTAATTTACCATTCAAGTCCAAATTCAAAAGTATACTAAATCAATTCCAATTTAACAGCGATAAATTCAATTACCGTCATTGAATCAGACCTTTTTGCACAAAATATTAAATATTCAAAAATTAAATATTATAAAAATTTGAGTAATCTAAGTTCATAATTACTTTATTAAAATATAAGGAATTACATAAAACCTATTTAATTAATATTTTTAAATACTATTTAAATAGGTTCAAAGATGATATTTATATCTAATTTATGGACAATATTATTAAATTAAGGGGTATAATTTTACCCAAGTTAGCTTTATAATCTATTTTGGAATTTAATATATATGAATAGATGAATGCCACATACAATAGATAATTTAATTTTATAAATATCTATAAGCAAAGATGATATTTTTTTTCTAATATTCATAGTTCTATACCCATAGATTCTAAGTTATATTTATAAACCGAGAGATTTTGTTTTAGATGGATAGAAAAGTTAACTTCAATTTTATTATATTTTCTAATGAATTTATTTATAATCTCTATTTGAAGAATGGTGGTGGTTTTTAAGTGAAGCTTTTAAGAAATTCTTAAAAATAGTTATCTGTCAATTAACATTATCGGTATATTTTTTGAAATATAAATTATGCAATACTAAATAATTTCTCATTCTTCAAGCTTTTTTTGGTATTTACTAAATGCAAAATCGATTTTATGTTGATTTGCTCAATTTGAAAAAAAAACAAAAGCTAACAATTAACTTAAAATATAAGAAATATGAAAAATGTTGGTTCACACCTAATAAAATGGCTTAATGAGTATTTGTTATTAAACTTCCTTGCTTTTAAACTAATTTTTCTCTGTTGTTAAAGTAGGAGAATTATGTAGTAAACATTCCATAAAAATTATTTATTAATCAAATATTTATAGAATAACTCCATGTAAACTTCAAGCTTCTTCTTTAATGAATGTACTAAAATCCATGGTAATTATCATCTGGTGATCACTAGATGTCCTGTATTTTACAATTAGCAATACAATAGAAAACAAAAAAATACAATTTTTATAGGATACTTAAGAATAACCAATATGCCATGAAATTAGAAAATGGTATTAAGGATGTTATTATTTACATATTTCATACCTTTGCTAAAGGCTTTTTCAAATTTTACAAAGTTAACTTTGAGAGTTTTTAAAAATATTAAAAAAAAAATCATTTTTTGACAATTTAATTTGCATTTGAATGAAAATTTAAAATGAACTGATAAAATGATTTTAATTTTTTATTTTGTAAAAGTGATTTACCTGTAGCACTTTATAACCGATTTTTTATTGAAATTTTAAGATATAATACTAAATTTAAAATATTAAAATGAAGACTTAATTATTGCTAATAGCCGTGATATCTCTTTCAGTCAATGCCTTGACTGCCACAACCTCATGTGATTGCACAGAACTTGTTTAATCTGCTGATTGTAAAGGTGGATGTACTTGGTCATCAGCTGATTCTACATGTTCAACAAAGACACTTGATTGCACAACATTAACATAAGACACTTGTGATATTTATACAGGATGTGCATGGAACGAAACAACTTCAAAATGTGCTGCTTTCACAGCTTGTGCAGATTACACAGTCACAGTTGCTAGTTCATGCTATGCCAAAGATGATACCTGTGTTCCAGGAACAGCTGGTGCAGATGGAAAATTCCCATGCTAGACAGGATCAATCACATGCTCAACCTTCACAAATGCCGATGATTGTAACGGTAGGGTACCAGCCGATAATGCTGTTTGCTGGTTCAAGTCTAATGCTTGCTCATAAGTTGATGTTTCAAAATGCTCAGCTATCACAGATACAGACTTATGTACAGAATAAGGTTGCAAATGGACTTCATCTTGTGCTGCATACACATGTGCTGATATGACCACTGCTGAAACTTGTGTTGTAGTATTGACAGACGATTAATCAGGTGTTAATATTTGTGCTTGGGATTCTACTGGTAGTAAATGTAGTGATGCTGCTGATGTTAGTGCTTTGACATCATCAAATTGCTATGATAAAACAGGTGGATTTTATTATTGGGATGGAAGTGCCTGCTCAGAATGCTCAGGATCAAGCAGTAACGGATATATTTTGGCATTCATTGGATTCATCGCTATGATTATGTTCTGATTCAGTATTAAATATAAATTATCAATCATTAATTATTTCAATATTTTAATTAAACATTATACTAATATACAAACATATTCTATGTATTTTAATCTATAAAAATGACAACATTATAAATTTGAAGAATCGTTTAAACTAAAAACATTATCCTTATTTAAAATGTCTTAATTCGACAGATGATAGCAAATAAACTTTTTCTTGAACTAATATAAATTTGACCAAGTATACAATAAGAATTTGAGTTGAAACCTATAGCCCATCTATCATCTTTATAGTCCAATTTATATATTTCAAATGAGCATAAAATAAATGAACGTATTCATGTTTATTTTATTTTATTTATAATATAATAAATACTCTAAACGAAATTTGCAGCACATGTTTTTAGACGCTTTGGTTTGTTTCTTTAAGTCAACTAGATTCTAAATACTTGCTGGTTTAATGTAGGTATAATGCTCTAAAATGAAATTTGAAAGGGATATTTAAATACTACTTATAAAACTCTTATTCTCAATTATCTTATTTATTGCCATATTATATCTTTAATCATAAAAAACCACAACTGATTCAATTTTATCCAAATTAATTGGTATTTATTATTAATGATATAATCATTTTTATGTTAGAGCATCTGTCGAAAAAAATTATTTGTTTTATTGAGAAAATAATTAAAGTTTTATTAAAATATTAAGGATTATTTAAATTACATTCAAAATTAATATTATAAAATAATATAAACACGATTTAGTTATTTTGCATCTATGGATCTTAAGATTTTATGATTTTTCAAGTAAAAATTTGGATATCAGAATAATTGCTATCAGTTAGTTGCTTTGATTATATAACTAAGTGTTAATATTTGTTTGATCAAACAATTTACAAAGACGTTATAAATAATTTCTTTTATAATTAAATTTAGTATTAAAAATATTAGAAATAAACATATTAACTTGATAGCTGCAGTGGCCAAATCCGATTTTAAATCAGCCAACCTGTAATCTCTTAATTTATAAAGTATACTTATATTTGTACATTTCTTGTTTGAGATAATGAGTTTCATTAATGAATTAAGAAAATATCTTGCTTTCAAGATTATTAGGAAAATCAAAAATTGCACAATTCTTAGAAGTATTTTTATCGAAACTCTAATTTTAACGAAAAATAAAAAGACATAAATTTTAAAGTTTTATTTATTTCTTTAATAAAATGTAATTTATATTAGATCTCTCTTTGTTTATTCAAATCTCTTTTTATGCCTCAAGAGAGAAAGTATTCTGCTTATTTTCTTAATTTAATCAGAGACCTTATAATTTTTGTGTTTCATTATAAAAGAATTTTTCCAAATTCAATCCTATAGAATGATTGCTATATTAATTTAAAGTTGCTTTACTAAAATTCTGTTAAATAAGTAAATGAACAATAATTTTATATGAATGAAATAAGGAGGTGAACAAAATCAATAAAATGAGGTCTTTTTTTTAAGGAACTTAGAATGTCATGCATCGTTTATTCTGATAAATTTTCAGCAAAAGTTTAAGCAGCACAATGCATATTAGTAATGTTAGGCATTTTTCACAATTTAAGATAATGTATGAATAGAAAATACACATTTCTGTCACAAAGCTTAGTATAACAAAGGATGAAAATAACAAGAATTAGTTTTATATTAGTTTAAAGTGCTATAAACATAAAATATAAAAGTCAAGAAAAGAAGTTCTTTATTGGTGAGTTCTCAACAACCAATACAGAAGGCAACTGTTAAAGCAAAGCAAACCTTCATTGCCACTTCTCCAACTACTTTAGTGACACAATCTGTCAAATCCTTTTTTAGTCCTTTTTACATTTTTATATCTGCTTCTTTGTTTATTTCATATTATTCATTGTATCTTTCAGTCATCAATGTGATTTAAGTTTGATTGTTAATATTTTCAGTCATTTGTAGTTTTGCTGAATGTATAATTATATATTATTGAGTTTTTAATTAGAACATTTTTGAATATATATACGATAGAAAATGCAGAAAAATATGCATTAATTCTGATGATGCAAATTATGATTAAATTATATCTGGTCATTTCTGATATTTTCAGATTAAATTGGGAGAACAATTCTAAAATGTCATTACAAGCATATATAATTGCATCTTCTTAAAACATAATCTGTTATTGGAGTATTCAAACATGAATTAAATGTTTAGAAGATACCATTAGATGTTTTCAATATGTTTTGATCTCTGCAACTAAGAAAATCATATTAATTAGGAATAAGTTTACGTCATTAAAATTATTATAAATATTTATTACAACTCATTTGAAGTCATTTGATATTAACACATAAGTAAATAATGATAATGATATAAATTGAAGAATTAGTTAGTGAGAATTCCTTTTTGGTTTTAAATCTTAATTTATCTATAATAGCTTGTCCAGTTATTAATTATATAATGCAACAGAATCTTTGATTCCTTATATAGGTTCAAGTTAAAACTCTTGTTCTAGTCTCAAAGTCATTTATTGAAGCAAATCTTTCAACTCAGATTTAAGGATTTGATTATACTATAATATGGTGTGTATTATACTAATTGAGAATATCTGATATTGAAAACTATGGACTTAAGTACAACAAAACAAAAAATGTAGTATACATTAACTGGTTGTTGTTATTCATGCTGCATTTTTAACCAATGTTGAATGATTGTTAGATGAACTTTAGCTTTATTATTTACATTATTAATATCAAGGTATTTGAGCTACTTAAATCTTTTCTTTTGATTGATAAGGAAGCAAAATTGATAATATTTGTTAATAGCATTAAAGAAAGGATACTAATCCTTGTATTAGTATAAAATATTAGAAGGAGCAGCCCACATAAAATAATCAATTATTTCTAGCATTTGATAGCAATTATCAAACAGATTGAAATATTGTTCATAATTCAATTGGCAATTTTTCAAGTATTCCTTTCATATAAACTGTCTAATACATTAACAAGAAATTTAGAGATCTCTCCTTTTTAAAGCACTTTTGGTCCAATTATTAATAGAGGAAGGTTTCCTTATTTAAAAAGAAAGAGATATTCAACATTAACAATTTATAGATCGATTCCTAATCCCTTTGTAAAGTATTTCACTAAGTTTGCCTCTGCGTCATAATAAGAGTTTGCTGTGATTAATTTCCAAGAATTCTCCATAAATAAATTAAATTATAAATCTAATAGAAGAAAATATAAATTAATCATAATTCATTGACAATTGACAACTTTCTTATTTTTTTCATGTTATTCACTTATTAACTTTGTATATTGTCAATTTCTTGCAATGGCATTTTCAATTTTGAAACCTTGAATGCACAAAAATTTTATAACTAATTATTCTAATGTTCAACAGAAAGTTTATATATTTCTTAGATCGTATTTTTATCAACAGTCTAAGCAATATAGTATTATGTTTTCTCTTTTAATAACATCATGTCTAAGTAATCACAGAGTTCTAAGAGCCTAAACAGTTCCTCTTTATTCAGAATTGGGAGTGTCAGTTTATTTTCAAATGAGAAAATCAAAACTATACCGAAAGCAATGTGATCTACAAAGGACAAATCTAATTAAAGTAATTAACCCTCTGCATAATCTCCACTAAATAGTTCTCTAAAGTATCCTGAAGTATTGATAAGAACAGATTTATTGACACCAAAACACTTTTCATCTGTTTAGATTAAGCAATCATATTTTTCTTTGTAAAAATGTATTCCATTTTCAAATTAAAAGAAGTTTTCAAATTAATATTACGATATTTCTTAGTATGGTTTGGATGGTAATTCTACAGAAAGTGGAACCGAATTAATAAGTGGCAATTCATAGAAACATAAATCATTTTAATATTTTCCGTTGAACCCACCAAAAATTACTAAAGAATTACCAATAATCGAAGCACTATGTTTTCTTCTTGCTTTTATCTTATTTTAATTGTTAATGATCTAAATCTTCTTGCTTTATAAATCAAAAGAGTAGAGTTCATCAGAATCCTTGTCGTCTCTTCCTCCAAAAATATATAATAAATCATCAAATTGTATACAAGATTATCCCCATTTAGAAAATTAAATTTAAAGCTAAGTCCAAGCAATACTTATATTATCTTCTGCTTCCTTAAAACTAGCAACATAAATTGAAGGAGTATTAATATAGGATTAAGTGCATCCACCAATTAATAACAATTAATTATTGTAATACTAAAGAGTTGCAAAACGTCTAGGTTCTGGCTTTACCTAACATTCAACTTTCACAGTATATTGTGTCATGCCACTTAAATCAACAATTTCCAAATCGTCCAAATCTCTACCCGATTCTCCTCCGTATATAAATAGTTTGTTATCGCCAACACAACCTGTATGATAGGTTCGTGGTATTAAATTAATTTTCTATTTCGCCCAGGTTTTAATGTTAAATGAATAGAGATCTCCGAATCGAGTTTTGGATATACCCCCACCTCCTTGAATATATATAGTTCCGCTGTTGATAAACATGATATGATTTGATCTGGGCTCTGGCACCTGGCCTTCTTACATTATAGTCTGCCACATGTTATTGTCAAAATCATAGGAATAGAAATCATTTAGATAATTGCCATCTTAATAATATTTCTAAGTCCATACCATAGCCTCCAAAGATATAGAGTTTATCATCCTGCGCAACACTGGTGTGTCCCCATCGACCTTAAGGGCCTTTATTCTAACTACCTATAGTAATCCAGCTCATTTAATGAATTAGCTAATGTTTATATTATCGTTAGAAATTATAAATTAAACTTTAGGTCGACTATAATAAATAAATATATTTTTAATAAATGGAATATAAAACCATAAATTATGAACAAGGAAAGATCGAATATGGAAGTGAAGAAATATATGTTTCCATCATATCCAAATTTATCAATATGACCTTTGAAAAATAACTACAAGAATTGTACTTAGCTGTCTAATTGCTTGATTAAAAAAGGATGGAGAAGGCGTGCTTTGTTCTCAAGGGTAGTGTAGGGTAAATCGCTATTAATTAAGGCAGGAAGATAGATCCTTGCATTTGATTATCTATAAAAAACAAATGCATTATATGATATTGCCAAGAAACAATAGCCTCATACTGACAGAGACATCATTGATTTGTATCACAGATATTTTGACTTGATTGATGCCAGCATTTTATTGGCAGATGAATTGTCCATGGCTGCTAAGCAATTGATTAATATTACAGAAATTTAATCATATAGTAAATTTCATTACCAAGCATAGGGGATACGATTCGGCCCAAGTATATCGAATTTATGTAAAGATACATTTAAGAATACAGCAAGCCAAGTAATAATTAATAACGATGTTAGTAATGCAAGGAATGCATCATATTTTGAAATGTTTTATATATATTTTAACATTTTTTCTAAAATTAAGGAATACCTTTTTGATTCCCAAAATAAGTTCGGATTTTTTGAAATTCCGATATAAAAATTATTAATGATGAATCCAAATAAAATAATATTATTATTAATTCATGATTTTATCATTATTAATACTAAGCTTATCAACTGTTTATGGTAGTGATGACTATGATTACACTCAAAATGGCAAGGACTGGCCAGACATCCATGAATATTGCTTTGGCAAAAAATTACAGTCCCCCATTAACCTAGATAATAATTATACTAACACCAATGTAGAATACACAATCATTAATTTAGGAGGACGATATGTACTTCTTTCCAAAATACAAACCAACCAAAGTGAGAATTACAAAAAACCAAACAACTCATAGAATAATACCAGCTGCCGACACTGATAACTTTGGTCCATTATACACTGTGAACTCTTGGTCGGATAGTGTTGCCTATGGTGGAAAAATCATATTCTTCAGAAGTGAAGCTGAACATAAAATCAATGGAGTCTAGTATAATTTAGAAGTTTAAATCCAACACACAATGCTCTTTGCAACAATTTAAAATAGATCAACCGTCTCTGTCTTTTTCATTCAAGATGACACAGCCCAAAAACATCCATTTTTATAATCGGTATTAATCACTTATATTATTCAAAGGTGATAGATAATTACAATAAAGAAGATTTCATCTTGGATTTAAGTGAATTGGTAACTTCAGCTTTTTCTATCTAACCATATTATTTATATGCAGGCTCTTTCACCTACCCAGATTGTACAGAAAGAAATTCTTGGTATGTTTTTGAAAGGCCATTCAAAGCTCCAAGCTCCTAACTTTCGTTTTTCTACAATTTATATCATAATACGGAGACCTTTCCAAATGGCAACTATAGAGTTAGTATGATTATGATATTAATCTTATAGTTTAGGACAGAAAGTCTTCAGCCAAGAATGTCAAAGTATATTACAGAAGAGATCCTTATGCTGCCACAGCACAGGAGGAATAATGAAATTATATTATTTATTCTAATTGAAGAGAAATTTCATTTGTTATTAAATTCAATGTTCACTAAATATATTATTTCTATTCATAATTGTCATTCTGATAGAATTGGTAAACTTTAAAATACAAAATTCCATGATGTCTTATTAGGAAGTCCATGAATTTCATAATCCTAATCTAGAACATTAGCAAATTCATATTTCTAGAGTAATTTTATTTATAGATTGTCTTCATCTAATAATTGGTAAATCTCAAGGTCTAACTAATAACTACTTCCTCCTAAGATTATTATCAAATTTTTTTATTCTTCTTGTATAGTTTCTTGATCTATTATTTATCAATTAAGAAATACTTTCACCTCGTATGATTTTCTTAGTAACGATATTTCTAGAGAACCTTCCAAAACATTTTGCTTTAGGAATGGATAACTTTTATGTGTGCTTAGTGAATGCCTTTTTATCTTGGTCCATAATTAAAATCTAATCTGAACTTTATTCTTTTGATCCCCCTAAAATTATTACTTTGTTATCATTAATAGGTAAGCAAAGACAATCCAAACCTATTGTAATTCCTAAAGGAGATTTATATTTAATTTATTCCCATTCATTTTTTTCTGGATTGTAAACTTCAACTAATGTCAGTGGAATTATTTCATGTTTTTATTCATTAAAGCCAGAAATTCCACATAATATATATATTTTATTATTTTATACGAATCCTGAAAATCCAGTTCTATTTTTTTATAAGGGTGCTATTTATACCCATTCATTTGAACCTTCAATTAACATTTCACAAGAATTTAAAACTCCAAATTCATTAGAATTAACATACTAACCACCTACAACTATGAAAGCTCGTTTATCATTAAGCATTATTTCAAATACCTTATGATTGTGTCTTGGATATATCAGTGATGGTAATATCTATTATTATTAAATGGAATCAAAAGATGATATTAATACACTATCTTTATTAATTGTTATTTTCATGCAAAAATTGGTTGAAAAATATTAATCTTGATTGTCTTCCTATAAAACTGCTCCACCAGTTATTAAGAAATCGTTTGTATTTGAAATTCTAACAGTTGCAGCATAAAATGGAACGTAGTTCAATTAATCAAAATTTACAAACTTAGAAATCCTTCGAAATTACTTCTCATATAGATCATACGTGTATGTTGAATAAGAAGGTAATTGGTTGTCATCTAGTGAAGTTGATTAAAGAATTGGTGTGAATGAAAAGAGATCACTTACTTATTATTAAATCATCTAATATATATATTCAAAAACACATCTATATCAAAATCAAAAATAAAAATAATGTAAAGGACTGCAAATTCAAAATAAACTCCAACAGGAAGACCACAGGCTTAGCCTACCACTAACACTCAATAAACAAGAGTAATAGCTAATACGATTATTAGGCCCCTCCACAAATGATTCAAAATATGGCCAGAGTAACAGATCCCAAACATGTACCCAAAGAAATTAGAGATTAATTCTTAAAAAAAATCCATTTTTGTTCATAACCTTATGATTTTAATGATGACACAAAAAATGTTAAAGAAAAATAGGAACGTTCATAATACTTACAAGAATTATTTGATTTATTAAAAGAACCTAATTTTGTTGCCAATTTGGTTGTCCCACATTTAGATTTGATCATAGAAATGATTGAAAAGAATATTTTTAGGCCTTTGCCAATTTTAAAGAAAACAGCAACCAATGGAGAGATTGGCATGGAGGATGATGATGTAACTTATTTTCTTTTATTAAATAGTAACTCATAGACCCAGCCTGGACACATTTACAACCTGTCTATGAATATTTCTTATAATTAATTGTTAATGAATAGCCTGATGTTAAATCCCTCAAAGTATTTCTTTTATAAATTTTATAGATTTTCATTACTCACTCTTTTATTTAAGAATTCCTTGAGTTGTTCGATTCCGAAGAACCCAGAGAAAGAGAATACCTTAAAAACATTTTGCATAGGCTCTATGCTAAATTGGTCCCCAGAAGAAAAATGATTAGAAAAGCAATAAATGATTGCTTCTACACTTTAATTCATGAAACCTACAAATTTAATGGGGCAGCTGAACTCCTAGATATCTTGGCAAGTATCATTAGTGGATTTGCTGTGCCATTAAGAGAGGAACATGTTATTTTCTTTAAAACCGTCATTATTCCACTCCATAAAGTTTAAACTTGTTAGTTTTATCATGAACAATTATTGAGATGTTCCATGCTCTTTTTATCAAAAGATCCAACTTTAGCAACTTTCTTAGTTGAAGGACTCTTAAGATATTGGCCATTTGCTAATTCAGCCAAAGAAGTTATGTTTCTTAATGAACTCTTAGAAGTTTTGGAAGTTTGTGAAATATCAAAATTAGAACCTTTGATTCCAAAACTGTTCAAAAGGTTAATCAAATGTATTGCAGGACCACATCTATAAGTGGCTGACAGAGCTATGTGTTTCTTTGAAAACGACTATTTCCTCACTATTCTGAAGAGCTACAAGCCTTTCACCTTTCCACTTTTAGTTCCAGTGATTGCTCAAATAGCAGACACTCATTGGCATAAGGTTTTACAAGAATCTTTGAATGCTTTAAAGACTATTCTTAAAGAAATAGATTATTAAGCATTTGATAAAGCCTTGAATAATAAGGATCCTAAGTATTTATATATCATCCAAGATGCCAAGAATCAAAAGAAAGACAGATAAAAAATCGAGGAAAAGGTACTGTATTTCATTTTATCATTAGTGGAAAAACCTAACTAAATAGGCATTATAAAAGAATCCCAATTTTAAAGAACCTATCGTTCCTTATTCAGATACTCATATTGTTGGAGAGCACAATGGTCTAAACAATGGAAATATTACAATAATATGATTTAAATAATCAAATTCCAAGAATTATTATCAATAAATTTTACAAATCCCTATAATTTACACGTTCTTATAAATTTTCCAAATTTCCTATATTTATAATTTCACATAAAATAAAATATAAATTAAAATGTCTTCCCTTAGCTTTGTTACATATGATGAACTAATAGGAATTTTTCAATCAAAAAACACTTATATCTAGTTTCAGAAAGAGTATACTAAAGAATGGTAAGAGTCTGAGATCGTAAAATTTAAAAGATTCATGAGAAGAAATAAAAAAATTAAGAAAGACAAAGTGTTCTTCTAATATCAATCCTAATTCATTCAAACTAAAAGTTATCAGCAATGTAGAAAATTTTTAAGAGATTATATACGAAAAGTGTTAGATAAACATAGATATGAAATACTTAAAAATCATGAAATACTATATTGTTTTGGACCTTTGCATCCTAATTTTGAAGTTGTGGAGACAGAAAATAGAATCAAAATGAGAAGAATAAAAGAACAATCCATAGATTAGAATAATAAAGATGAAGATAAAGCATCCATTACAACTTCATAATGACTTTAATATTCTTATATATAATATATTCCCGTCTGGCTTTATATAATTCAAAAAAATACTAAATATGAATTCAATATTCTTTAATCTTTTATTTTATAGTAAAGTTATCTTGAAACTAATTAGATGGTTTTTACTACTATCTCCGAATGAAATTTCTACTTTTAAATGATCTTCTTCTAGAAATTATTCTAGTCAAAATCTATATATTAAATTTTAAGATTCATTTTTAATAAGTATTCCTTTATACTATGTTTCCGTTCTATTACTTTATTTCAGTAATACTAAATATAATCTAAACAAAGAAATATTACTATCTCATAATTAAGATTTATACAAAAATGTTACATATTTCCATATTCATTATTTATTATTAAACTTAACAAGTACTATGTCAATCAAAAGTTTGACTTGCAACCACATTAAAGAAATATTATGAATTAGAATTAAATAGCTTTAATAAATTAAGATGTCTAATTAATTATGTTATTTGATAAGTAGTCATCAAATGTAGTAATGATACAAAATTAAAACATAATCAACAATATACTAAATATTATTGGGATATTTCAATCTTTATTATTTAAAAATCTTAAATAAATCTCTTTAATTTTATTAAGTGACAGTTGTAATTGACCATACCTTATATCTAAATAAATTATTTAGCAATAATTTCTAGCTCTTATACAGTAGTGTGATTATATTCCTTTCTTTAAATACACAAACTAATAAATAAATAATTAATTATTATCCGTTAGATAAATGTCATAGACCGATAAAGAATTGAAAAGGATTGAAGAGTTGGAAGAATAAGTAAATTAGGCCTTAAAGAGAAGCAGATAACTTGATGATAGTACTAAATTTGATGAAAGCTTTTTTAAACAAGAACTTAAAGAAATGTAAGAAAGATGCTAGCAAAATCAATAAACAATGATTAGATTAGAATAAAAGTATTTAAAAACAGGATATGAATTGAAAAATTCAGATATAATTAAAGAGAGTAGTATTGAAAAGAGTTCTGTTAAATAAAAGAGTTTATTGGAATAAAAAAATTAATAAATCTAAGAACTCTAAAAAAAACTATTCGATACTGAAAGATAATACAATCAGTAATTATCTGAAGTGAATCGTAGAAATCAACAATTGGAATATTAAAATTAATAACTATAGGAAGATTTATAGAATCTCTAAAATTAATAAGAAAGTATTCCTGATGTTATGGAATTGCATAGAGCCTTAGAGGAATTACAAAAATAATATTTGGATCTATAGAATAAATTGCAGGAAACAATGAGAAACGATTAATAAGATTATTAATAAATAAAGCAAGAATACGAAGAATATTAATTATTGACATAAAACATCATTAATTAAGAGGAGGAGTATCAAAGAAGAATATGTGAGTTGGAAGAAGAATTATAGTAAAGTTCAACATTCTAGTAAGAATTTATGAGTAGAATGAAATCTAACGAAGAATTATATTCATAACGATATAGAGATTTAAAATAAAAATACTAATAATAATTAGATGATCAACGCAAGATTTTAGATTAGTAAATTGATGAATTGAGGGAATAGAACAATTACCTTTTTGGACAGCTCTCCAATGCCGAATGCAAAATCCAGTAGTTAGAATTTGAAATTTAAAGGAAAAGCAATCTTCAAACTTCAGTTCATTAAGAAAATAGTGTTGATTTATAAGTATCGCGAAGTAAATCATTTTCAGCTTGCCATGGAGCTTAAAATGTCAAAACACTTTCAGATTGTGAGATTAATTCTAAAGCAAAACCTTAACATTATGTTGGGTGTTATAATAAAGGGAAATAGTCTTGTACTCAATAATCACAATAAATATCTAATAAATAAGATTAAAGGAATGATTATAAGCAATATGACTCAAGACCTGTTAAATAAATTAATATTTCCATTGAAAAAGAAAACATTCAAGCAGATACTCTATCTTCATATAATAAAGTAAGATCCTAATCAAAAGAGCAACCTATTACATATAAACAAGTAGCTGAGTAACGATAGGCTATACTCTATTCTAAAATCCCAAAGCCAAGAAGATGATTTGATCATTATAAATTCATACTTTTATATATCTATCAATCTAAAAATCCATTCATAAAATAAAATGTGTAATTAGGTCAATGAGGAATAATGAGTTGGGTTTCTAATTGGATAAATAATTTAATTATATTATAAATTTTATGATCAAAAGTAACCTTGAAAAAAAATGCTAAGATATGTTGAGTAATATAAAGTTTGTTTCCTAACACTCATTATCAAATGATGGAAAAGAAATATCACTTAAATTATTTAAAAAACCAGCAAATCTGAATTATTTTGACCAATTTCAAAATAATGAACTCACATTAGAAACTAATGAAGCTATGGAGACATTAAATTTATTGACCCATTACATCAAAACTAATCATAGTCATAGGCCAGAAGAAGTCAATTACTTTTTAGATGATACTCCATCTGAGATTCTACAAAAGCCTATTCCAGAGAGTTTATAATACAAAAAATAAAATTTGTAAGGAATTTGTCTTCGCAATACGTGGTCAAAAGGACATTAATTCTTTTACATTGACTCAGGAAGTATTGTAAAAATATTGAGTGTCAAATAAGGTTATGCCACAATAGAGTACTAATAGAAAAAAGGCATTGTCCATATTAACGATCTCTAACTATAATGATTATTATTAATAAAATTAATCCATGTTTAAAGCTAGGAAATTAGGTCCATAATCTTACTTGGATTATCTTAGAGATGAGATGCCCACAGAGAGTACCACAATTACTAAAAAGGATCAAACTTATTGGAATAACAAGTATATTTTTGATGGAATGCAAAAGAAACTAGTTCTTTTCCAAAATTGCTTTTACTCAATAGAATCCTAATGAGTCACGAAACATTGAAAAAATTAAAAACTTTAAATATGAATCATAATTAAGACTAAAAAGAAATGAATATAAGAGAACTATTTTAGAAATTAAAAGTAAATAGAAGTAGTCTTAGACAAGTAAATATGTTGTATCGGATGAGGATTTAAATTTACCTCTTTTCCAAAGGCGCCCTGCATATTTAGTAAATATTAAAGCAATTTTAGGATAATTAGACTGACAATTATTGGAACCATTTGGAACTACTTGACAAGAAACATTTAAAATAGATTTATGGACCCAAAACCTTTTAAAGACAAAGATAAGCAATAAATCAAATTGATAATAACTTCCAAGCTGATATAGAACTTTAGCAAATGAAATTAAAAGCATAATTTGATTTTAGAAATAGATTGTTGAATCATCGATCTTTGTAGGCATCTAAGGGAAATGTTAAAGCCTTAGAACTCAGTTATTTAAGATAAATTAGACCAGAATATAAAGGATTGGTATCGTTAAATATGACTACCATTGAATAATATTTATGCCCTACTTTATATTAGCATGTGGAAAAATATGATATTTCTACTAGTACATAAACAAAACAAAAGTAGTAATCAAAAAAAAATGCCAGATCTAGAAGTTTGAATACCTAATAATCTGAAATTGATGAATCCTCTTGTAATCAAAAAGAGTATGAGGAGATGAATGAATCAATACAGAAATTTGAGATCAAATTAAAAGAGAAATGTCAATTTTTATAAAGATGATAATTCTTTTATTTTTAATCTCAAGCTTGATTTTGATTTTTATTAAGAATTATTTTTGTTCTTTGAAATTCCAAAAATAAATCTTCTTCTTCTTTGGTGTTCTTGAATAAGACTCATATGTTATTGTCAATATTAATGGAACTTTATTATCAATTCTAAAGGAGATATGAAATATATTTTTATATTTTATGGATTGTTGAATATTTTAAAATCTGTATATACAAATGTGAAAGATTTCTTTTATTTAAAATTCTAATAGCATCCAAAAAACTTATCATTATATAAACTTGATTTTTTTTGAAATGATTCTGTCTTGTTAAGAGTGCTGAATTTTATTAATAAAATAATCTCATATAAAAATTATGGGAGGCTGTGAGTTCAAATTTCGAGGATCCTGCGATGATACATGTATAGATATTGTAATCATTTTTATAGAGATGTCTCTCTAAAATTTTGAATTGATATCTGTTATTGGTCAAGGAGGGTTTGGTAAAGTTTACAAGGCGAGACTTTAAAAGACCAAAAATTTAATAGTAGCTTTAAAAGTTATGTCAAAAGTGAGGTATTAAATCATTTTTAAACGTAAGAGTTATACAAAAAAAGAGTGTTAGTTCTGTCATGAATGAATTATAAATATTGTCGACTTTAAAGCACGAGTATTATTTTACAAATAATTATTCATAGTTTTATCATTAATATAGTAAGTGCATTTTAAGATCGTTATCAATTATACTTAGCAATGGATTTCTTGGCTGGAGGAGATTTAAGATTTCATATTTGTAAATATAGAAAGTTTTCTGAGCAAATAACTAAGCATATCGCTGCTTGCATTATTATTGGATTAGATTATATCCATTCTAATGGTATAATACACAGAGACATTAAACCTGAAAATCTCGTTTTTGATAGTGATGGATTTTTAAGAATCACTGATTTTGGAATTGCGAGAATTTGGAAACCTTAAAATAGTCATGAAACCAGTGGTACTCCAGGATATATGGCTCCTGAAGTAATGTGTAGATAAAATCATGGTGTTGCTGTAGATTACTTTGCCCTCGGAGTGATTATGCACGAATGCATTGTAATTTAATTTATTGATTGATTAAGTTAGGTAAAAGACCTTACAATGGAAAAAACAGATAAGAGATCAGAGATTAAATTATAGCAAAATAAGTGATATTGACAGATATTCCGTAAGGTTGGAGTGAAGATGCAATAAACTTTACAAATTTACTTATGCATCGAAAACCAACCATTAGGTTAGGATGCAATGGACCTGAAGAAGTCAAAAACCACCCTTGGTTCAAAGATATCAATTGGATACAATATGAATAGAAACTAGTTTCTTCTCCATTTATTCCAGATGGAAAATTAGAAAACTATTTAAAGTCAAATAGGTTAGAATCTTTAGAAGATTAATCAATTCTTCATTGTGAACAAATTTAATGTAAAATATTTATTAAAATCTAAGAATAATTTCTAGGTTATGAATATTTGCCATAAATAAATGGGTAAACATCTTTATTGTCAGCTTTTGCTTCTCCAAGAACTTCTAACATTAGAATTCAACTTAAAGAATAATGATTTCTATATTAACTATTTATCTAATGTATATTTCAAAATATTAGTAACATATTTTATTATCTTTTTACTTTTAAATTACATCTCAAGAATATATTAATATATTTATTTAGTGTTTTATGAAAGTGAATTTTTTTTAAATCAGTTATAAATTGGTCATAATATATTTTTATACTTAAAGAAATAATTGATCTCGTCAAAAGTAAATTTAAAATTTAGAATTGTTTTAATTAGCTTCAAATTAAAAATACATAATTTATTCTACCCAATACTTATCTTAGAAAAGAATTAGGTGTGATCCATAAAGAATAATTATGAATATTTTGAATTTATTCAACAATATTGTTTTCTTCAGATTAGATACACTGCGTTCGTCGGGTTATAAAATTATATGAAAAATAGTAACCACTTTTTCATTTACAAAAAGTAATTCAAAAATCATAGTTGTATTCGATTGCTAAAACAGAGTGTTATTGAAAATTCAACATCATCTTATTTAATTTCTGAATTCCATTTGCATAATAAATGCTTCCTTTTTCAAAAAGAAAATTGCAAGTCTTTTGATCTTCAATTTCTTAACAATACTTGGCTAATTCTACTTTAACCAAGAGTATTTCGATTTTTAATTCTTATTTATCAATATTTTGAACTTTCTAAGTTCAGATTTATATTTATGATCTTAACATTCTTAAATTTAATGCATTATTCAAGCATTAACCTTACAACACCTAAAAATAGAGTGTAACTTATTAAAAGCATTCTTATTGGCTGGATTTGGTTAATTTAATATAATTAACTATAACGTATATGTAGACATACATTATTTAAGAAGTATTAAATATGTAAAGCTATATAATTTATAATTTAATTAATATTATAAAAGGTATTTTTATTTATTTTTTATGAAATTTATAAATAAATGATCTATTGTGATATTTATCACAAATTATAGCTAAGCAAGCATTTAAAGAGCAAAGGAATGTTATTTCTATTTATTGAACTATTTTCTTAATTCCATCATTTTTCAGTTTAACTCTATAAATGGTATTTTTACTTAAATAAGTAATGAATCTCAAGGTAACTTATCTCTTTGATAGACTTTTTTGTACAAAATTCACTTTTAAGGGAAGAATAAATTTATGAAAATAAATTATATTTTAAATTTTCAGTTTTATCAACTTTATATTATAGAAATCCATAAACAAACTTAGGTCCTACAATGAGCATTTTTCATTGAATTTCATATTAAAGCTGCATTAATTCATATATACGATTTAAAATAAACTATTAAATGTTAAAAGCGGTACCTTCTAATATAATAAACAATTTATCGGAATTTCAGTTTTTTTTATTGTTTATATACAAAAATGAAGTTTGCTTCTTTTCTTCCATCAGATGGAAGAGATGAGCATTTTAATGATTGTTTGTATAAGATATAATATAAAAAAACTCTATCAAGGCAGTTGGAATGATCAAAACTGAAATTTGAGAAATTAGTCCATTTTTGTAATGAATGAGGAAAGCATGCCACAAATCATCGGACAACTATATGAATTAGGTATCATGTTGATTAAGTCTTAATGATCAATAAATTAGCTGTCCTCGCTCATTCTATCAATCTAGTTCTCAGTTTTAGATTCTTATTCATTTTATGTGTATTCTCTACAATATAGATATATATATTACATTCCCATTAATTCTTCCCATCTATATCTTAAGTTCTTGTAATATCTATTTTTTAGCATACTAACTGTCCTTTTTGGGAATTACTTCACAATTCTTGAAAATTGAGTTCCATGCTGATGTACTAAGGTTAGGAGTCTCATATCCTCCTCAGGTTAAAACTCTTTAATTCTTTTAACCTTTTTTTTGTATTAAGTCTTCTTCATTTTAGTACTATGGATATTTTTTTTTATTTGATCTTTCCATGGTCCTTTCTTTATTGAAACCTTAAAATGTTCTACTATGGCGCTAACATCGTCTCCACAATCAAAATTTACAAGGTTCTAGAAATCATTTTAAGTGCTGTAATTAGATAAAGCTAAGAAATAGTTATTCAAACTACCTTGTTCTTATGATTCTTGTTCACTCCAAATGGTTTAGAATGTCAAAATTTATTTGTTTTCATCAATACTCACTTCATGTTACCAATTAGTATTAGACATAAATTATATTAAGTCAAGATATTTTAAATATTAAATTGATTTGTTTAAATACTGCCTTTTATTTCTAAGTATTTGAATTAATTTAATTAACTCGTTTATTCGGTTAACCTATATTAACGAATTGATATTTTAATACTAGTATTTTTTTGAGCTATTCAAAAATTGCTTTTGTGATGTAATATAAAAAAAATTTATTATTTTTGTATTTATTCAAATAAATTATTTAAGTTTAACTAAGTATTATAATTCAATTTATAAATAAATAGAAAAAACAAATTTAAGATCTTGACAAAAAATTCACTTTTTCTTAAATTGATTAAATTTAAAACCTAATTTAAAAATAATTTAATGTTCTTATATATTTTGAAAAGTAGAATAGTATTCTAGTTCTAAATAAAACTTTAATAAATATAGCCCCACAGATTACTAAATATTAGCAATTTTAGACAAGGATTCTTCCTTAAAAATACCTTCCTTACAGTAATTAAAAAGTTAAGTATCAATAATAAAATATTTATATAATCAATATAATAGATCACAATCTTAACGTTGCATAATTTGTAATACGAATTCGGATAGGTTCCGAAATTGCATGTCTTCAATTTCATACTTTTCTTTGTTATCCATAATTTATTTCCATTCTTCAGGTAGGTTAGTGTTACTTTTAATTTGTTCTAAAAGTTAAATTTCTCTCTGATTTAACTTATTCTTTTTCTTAATTTATAACTAATCTAAAGGAAAGTAGGAATTTAACCACTAAATCCAGGGTATGTTATTGAGTTCATGACTTGTGTAGGCATTACCAAAAGCATATTATTATAAAATATCGTATCCATGAGGATCCATATCTCCAAAATAATACACTGGTATGTATGGATTCATTAAGGATAAATATTTGATAAAAGACTTGGTAGCATAACAAGGATAACCTTTTCCTGTAATCAAGACAGTGTTTTACAGGAATTCTTAATGCATCTCGTTTATCAAGTGAAAATACACAGTCTCTTTTTCAACTACTAGTATCCACTTACCATAAATTTCAGGTTACCATTCATCCATAAACTCAGTGATATTCAATCCTTTCCCTTATGAGGTTAATTATAACAAGTCTAATTCAATGTCTTATTTTCTGAGTATTAAAGAACCGCAAACTAAACCTTTTGAAGCTGAGATTATGTGTAATTATTTTCTTTAAATCTAAATATTATGCGAAAATTATTTTATAACTAAATTTAAGTTCTCTTATTTTTAAAATATATTTTGATTCATATAGAAGATCTCCCTTTTTGTATGATAGGAATCATTTAAGATACCATCCAATGACACTCTCATTACGATTAGATAATGGCATAATTCTTTCAAACTTTAAAATTTTAGTTCTTATGTGCTGTTCTTGTTTATTATTATATCCAATATTTTATCAAGATGATTTCGAAACACATCAATAATTTCAGATGGTTCTTTGATACTCCTTTCAATTTTTTCCATTTCTTCATTTAATAATGCTAAGTTCATTTTATTTACAATTTTAGGGTGTATTAATAATAATAATAATTGCAATTCGTTTACTAAACCTAATATTAATATTAAATTCATATTATGAACTCTAGCTCATTATCTACTACAGCATCATTTACAAAAATGAAATAGATGCTAACATAGACGGGATTTGGTGATGAAAAAAAAGAGTTACTCAAAATAAAATCTGAATGGAGAAGTTTATACAATAATGAAATTTTTTAAGATTTTGTCTTTCTTAGAGAAGCTTCGCAAACTCGTTTGGCTACTGAAAAAATAGAAAAAGAGAGAAGAAATAGAAAGGATAGTATTTTATTACCCTTCCTAAAATAACAACAATAAAAAAGAATGGAACAAGCCAGAAAATTCACTCTCATCGGATCTCTTGCATAATTAAGTGATTTTACACCTTCCGTAACGTTTATTAATAAAAACAATTTTGAAGAAATCTATTCAATACTATCTACTTTGGTAAAATCTGTTTTAATTCAACAATTACAAACCTTGATGCCCGATTTAGAGAAACTTGTTAATGCCTGTAAACAATGTGGAATTGTAGGGTTTTATTTTATGGCAATCTATTTTTAAACTCAAATATAATATGTATATTGTAGAAGGAAGGAAGGCTATAACATATGGAAAAGGTTTTTGAGAACTTGCAACTTACAAGGCAAGAGACTCTAAAAATATAAACTTTTGGCTTATAGGCAATTAGCAAGATGTGCTCTAGATTTAGGAGATTTAGATAAAGAAGCCATTTATCTTAAGAAATTATTAAAACTCTCTTGGGTTGTTAAAGATAGAAACTATGAATTACTATGTTATGATATGATTGCTATCAATTATTATTATAGAGGAGACGTAAACAGAGCTTAGTTCTTCCATTCGAAATTTGTGTCAGGAGAATTTGAAGCAGCTGAATCCAATATTAGAATTGCTGGAGTGTCCTCCTATCTCAATACATAGAAGTTGAAGGCTTAAGTGAATGATTAGGACTCATTCAGCCTGGATGATATGGATTTAGATATCATTATTTAGAAAGATAACATTCTCAAGTGGTAGAAAGGATTACCAGTATTTGATAGTAGACATATCACCTAACATCGAGTGCTCATAAATCAATGGAGTTGTAATCGAGATCTGACTGTTCATTTAATCAATCGAGAAAAATAAAAGCATAAAACAGAGGAAGAAGATATAGGATTTGTCCCCCTCAATCAAAACATAAAAAGACTTCTTAAATTATTCTAGTTTGATGTCAAATATTTTATACAAAATGGGTATCTTTATGATTTCTAATGATAATTTATTTGACATTTCATTATCCTAACATCTATTTTTACTAATAAATGTTGTATAAAAATGTGATTTAATTTCATTATATACACATCTATTAATTAATTGTTATATAGTATAGAGATGCATATAAGTTTCTTTTCATAATCCCTAATGCTTTTCAACATAGTAAAATAATAATAAATTTAAAGATTACACTAAAGTCTTTTTGACTTATACTTGAACATAGTTTAAAGTATCCTTAATGAGTATATTGATTAGAAACATAGATATGAGGTAATTTTATAAAACAATTGATAAAAAATTGCATTCTAATGAGAAATTATAAATAAACAATAATCTTGTAGCATCATATTTAAAAATAATTTTTAAATAATAATAAAATGAAGTACGTTGCTGCATATGCCTTGCTTGTTTTAGGAGGAAACAACCAACCCAGTATTATTTCATCTCTATCCAATAGCTGAGGCTTAACTTACTTAATTGCTCAAAGAAGCTGGAGTCGAGCCAGTTGCTGCAGATGTCAATTTAGTTGTCAATGCCTTAAAAGGAAAGAGCTTGGCTGAAGTTATAAAGGAAGGTTCAAAATAACTCACAAGTTTGTCAGTCGGAGGAGGAGCTTGTAATTCTGATTTCTAAACATTTAGCATAAAGCTCAGCCCCAGTTGCTTAAGCAACACCAGCAGCCTAAACAACTCAAGCACCAAAGGCTGAAGCACCAAAGAAGGTTGAAGAACCCGAAGAAGATGTTGATATGGGAGGTCTCTTTGATTGAGCATTTATTAAGTTTCATATAGTACAATAATAAATCAATAATAATAATCAATTAATTATTTCAATCTAATACTTTATAATCGGCATTTGTGGTCGAAAAGAGAATGTATAATTATTCTGAAATAGTGTTTCCTAATTTCTTAGAAGTTTATTGAACAATCCCTTGAACAACTTCGATTTCACTAAGCAAATGAGGTCTCTTCTCAATATCAGTGTTCTTATAAGCATTAATTAGTGATTTGATGGATGGATATTTTAAAACTATGGCTCTGGCTTTAGCTTCACTTATACCTGGAATCTAAGTCAGCATAGCCATCCAATACAACTCATATGTATTTGTAATTCCAGCGTTTTCGGCTTTAAATAAGCTGAAATCTCCTCTATCTCTAAATAAACATGGTATTTTATTTTATTTTTTCTTCCATTAAACACTACATAACAAACATTAAGCAATTTCTTCAATGGTTTGTTTCAGAGATTTTGTATTAATTACATCCACTTTATTGTTTAATTGGAGATCCAATACAAATTAATCAAATTCTTGTTGATATTGCACAAATTGATTTTGTGCATAAATCAATTCTTTAATTTCTTCTAAAATTATGATTGTTTTGCAATCGTTTTCTTTATGAGTAACTACCAATTCCAAAATGTTATCTAAACTTTTAAATTATTCTTTGGCCATGACAATTACACATAGAAAAGGTGATCTCTAACAATTTTACATAAAAACCTTGGATGATTCAAGGTTTTTATTTTTGGAATATTTTTCAATAATTTAGGATACATTTTACTTTGATCTGCCTTTGTTCATAGTTTCATTGATGTAGATTTTAAATTTGTTGGGGTTATTGTAATTTTCAGATCCTTTTTGGCAGCATTCTTATTCAAATTATTCATAAAAAGATTTCACAGTTTTGTTTGCATCTTTAACATTATCATCAAATAGAATGTAAAAATCATTAAATTGGTTCTTTTCTATTAGTTCTGAAATCATTATGAAGTTCAATTTTAAAATTAAAATTTTATTACTTAGAGCAAAGAGAAAGGTATTTTTATAATTTAATCACTTGAACCACTTAATTTACTTAAGTTTGGGGAGTTGATATATGTATATATATGTGTCTTTGATAATGAGACTCAAAATGATTATGATATATAATAATTAAAGTTTGGAATAGGAAATCTATTTTAAGATGCAAAAATTCGTACTAAAGTATATTATGATGTTAATTTTATTCATTAAAAATATTGATCTGGGAAATAGAGGGAATTATTTATATTTAAATAAAAGCTTTTAATTAGGATATTATTTATATAAATCTTTTATCAAAAGAGCAGCGCATTAATGGACGATATTCCTGATTTTAAAGAAGAACTATAGCCATCTGGCAAAGACATATAGTAAGAGCAAATATTGAGAATCCTAGAATTGACAATTACAATGTCTCTTAATTTAAAAACTTTGGACTTAAAGAAGAGATCTTAAGAGCAGTTAAAGAGGCTGGATTTGAGCATCCTACAAGAGGTATCATATGTTGTAATAATTAAAGTCCAAGCTGAGTCATTAACAAATGCATTACTAGGAGAATAATTGATCTGTTAAGCAAAGGCTGGAACTGGAAAGACTGCTGTATTCGTGCTCACAGTGTTAAACACCATAAATATAGAAAGCAATAAAGTGGAATGCCTTGTAATTACACATACAAGAGAGTTAGCCCAATAAGTAAATTTTAATATGAATTATTTAAGGCTCGAGATGAATTTTTGAGATTGGGAAAGTTTATGAAAAATGTCAAAGTGGAGTGTTTCTATGGGGGAGGTGAGCCTGTATCAGTGAATATCTAAACTATTGAGACAGTGAAGCCATAAATAGTAGTTGGGTATCATATCTATTCTAACATGAAGTACCCCAGGACGTCTTAAGGATCTGATTTGTGAGAGAAAAGCATTGAAAGTAGACAGATTGAAGTACTTCATCTTGGACGAAGCCGATACAATGATTGAAGATTTGAACATGAGGTGTTGATTTTTGGAAATAATTATTTTTAGAAAGGACATTTAGGACATCTTTTTTAAGTCACCACAGGAGAAATAATTTATGGCATTTAGTGCAACATTCACAGAATCTAGTAGAACATCATTGAAGAGATTTATTGCAGACAATAAACATGTATTCATAATAATTGATATTTGTTAGATTTATGAGATTACTATCAAGCCAGAATAACTCTTTTTGGACAAATTGAAGCAATATTATATGAAGGTGCCAGAAGCTCTTAAATTCCACTATTTGAGATAAATTTTAAACACCTGCAAATTAAACCAATGCATAATCTTTGTTAAGAGTTCCGAGAAAGCTGATGCATTGGTTACAGAACTCAAGAAGAAGGGAGAAGAGTCTGTTAGACAACTTTATGGTGGTAATAGACTAGGTGCTGATCATCAAAAGTTGAGATAAAAGACCTATGAATAATTTAGAAATGGGCATTTCCGATTGTTGGTGGCTACTAACTTGATGGGAAGAGGTATTGATATTGATAAAGTCAATTATGTTATCAATTTTGATATGCCTGATTCTTTAGAGACCTATTTGCATAGAGTAATAAATCACAATTAGCAATTTAGGTAGGAAGAGCAGGAAGATAAGAGACTAATGGTGTTGCTATCTCATTTGTTAAATCTGAGGAAGAGTCCAACGATGGAAAAAAATAATCCGATGATGATGTAAATTACATTCTCTATAAACTAGGTCTTATAACAAATCCTCAAATAATATCCTGATAAATTATAGTAGTTGCCTTAAGATTTGTCTACGTTAGATAAGTTCTGAAAATGATAGTATTAAATAATATAATAAAAATAGTAAATTAATCAATATATATATAATACTTCCATTTTTTAAATTCTACCTCCTTTTTGCTTTTGGAGTTTATAAGTCCAATCTACTTTCATTCAGTTATACTTTTAAAGGTAAATAATTATGTTTAGAATTAGGACCCAATCCAAATAGTTGATTTTGCTTTTGGTTGGGCTTTATAATTATTTGAAATATTATAAAATGAATTGATTTCTTGATTTCTTAATAAACTAAATTCAGAGTGATAAAGTGCCAAATTAACCAATGTTTTTGAAATTAATATTATGTTTTCTTTTTAGTTATTTAGATAAGTTTTAATCGTTAAATAATTTAAATGGACGCACTTTTTTCTATGTTTGATTCATTCATAAGATCAAATTTGTCTTATTATCCAATGAATTAGCAAGGATATATAATGGAATGTTGGGAATAATTTTTGAGTTTGTTGTAAACGTAGCCATTAGATTATGGGAAAATATATTCACTAATAAATCAAATGCATGAGATAGATAAGTATGAAAGACAGAGTTCTACTCAAAGATAAGCGGCAAGGAATCTCACAGCAGCATCATCTCCCAGAATTATTTCATCATAATAAAAAAATTGTATGAAATAGCAGTTAAATTTAGCTAATAATTTATTACAGAAATTTTCATAGTTAGACAACGCAACAAGTCCAAAGATCTAGCTCTCGAATCTCACTAGTTAACAATCTTTGGTAAATAAATAGAAAGTTAAACTATATGTATTAATATTCAATAATTTAGACTGAAGATTTCAATCGACATCTATTACTGAGCAAAATCAAAGAATTAATGTTTAATTAATCAGTCTCCACAGATAAACTATATGCAATGGCCAGAATACAGTAGCATACCTCCTCTAAATCACCTTTAAAGTATGCCCCCACTAAAACCAGAGGAAATAATCATTCTGCTGAGCATTATAGAGCTTGATTTTTTTTTAATTTATTTTCTTTTGTAGTTTAATATTGATGGGTATTTGTAAATGCATAGCCAAGAGTGCTCAAACTCCTTCTGCTTTATCTTTAGGTATATTTTAGATCGATAAGAATTTACGTCCTACAAAGATGCCTATGAAGGGAATGGTGGAAATTTAAGAGACTATAAGCTTGAAGATCCCCCTTTAGGATAAGGTAGAAGTGTTATTTTATTTCGTAGGCGCGTTTGGCACAGTTTGGAAAGCAGTTCATATAGCTAGCGGATAGTTAAGAGCTATCAAATAAATCAATAGGCTGAAAGCTAATGAAGATGAATATTAGTAGATAATCAATGAGGTCAACATATTGCGATCTTTAGTATTTATATGAGACAGAATGATAGGATCACCCTAACATAATCAAAATATTTGATTATTTTGAAGAAAACGATCATCTGTATATAGTTACAGAATTATGTACTGGTGGAGAATTATTTGATAAAATCATTTAATCTAATTACTTTTCAGAGAAAGAGGCTGCACTGGCAATGAAACAAATCTTGTCAGCATTAAATTATTGCCATTAATCTAAGATAGTTCATAGAGACATAAAGCCTGAAAATTTATTATATGATCATGAAGGAGAAGATAGTTAATTAAAAATAATTGACTTTGGAACTTCCTTGAAATATGGGAATTAAAAACTTTAAGAAAAGATAGGCACAGTAAGATACAATTATACAATAAATTTTAGGTATATTATATGGCACCTGAATTGATCGATGAAAGATATGATGAAAAGTGTGATATTTGGTCAGCAGGAGTTGTGCTTTTCATATTATTATGTGGTTCACCACCATTCGATGGGGAAACGGATGATCAAATTGTAAAAAGAATATAATAAGGAAATATATATTTCGAACAGTAATAATGGAAATCGGTTTCTAATGAAGCCAAAGATTTAATTATGTAATTGTTAAATAAGAATCCTAAAAAGAGACTATCAGCAAACAAGGCATTATTGCATCCTTGGATATAAAAATATACGTCCGAAGAATTGGAAGCCCCTGAACTAAAAAATGTACTTAACAATATGAAACATTTTCGAGTATTTTTGTAGTGTTATATAGACATCCCAAAAAGTATAGGAAGCTGCCTTTCTGTATATTGTTAAATAGTTCATTTCCAAGGAGGAGAAGTAAGAATTGCAGAGGTTTTTTAAATTTCTGGATAAAAATGGAGATGGAGTATTGACGAAACAAGAATTATTAGAAGGATATAAGAAGGTTATAAGTCAGTCAGAAGCAGAGTTGCAAGTTGAGCAAATCATGAAGTAGGTTGATAAAAATGAATCTGGATTAATTGATTATTCAGAATTTGTTGCGGCTACAATTAATAAGCAAAAATTGCTATAACAAGATATTTTAGAATAAGCATTCAAAGCAATTGATAATGATAATAATGGAGCAATCACAGTCGAAGAATTAAAGCATATGTTTGGAGCAGGGAATAAGATACCTTCTGAGACATGGACTAAATTAATGGAAGAAGTGGATAAAAATGGAGATGGAGTATTATCGTTACAAGAATTCAAAGAAATGATGTTAAAGCTTTAAATTGATTGAGTTACTATTTTAATGTTATTATTTATCAATTTCATTCAAGGTCCTTATCACCAGCAGCAATTCTTAAAGCAATGTATTCTTTAAGATCTCTCATGTTAGTGTTCAAGATACCAATCAAGTCACTGACAGTCTATCTATCTTTGTCTCTGGCAGCTCTTCTTTATTAATAATCATAAGCAGCTTCTTGGCATTCACCTCTTCTGTCATCTCTTTATTAGGTCTTGGCTTAGATTCTTTAAAGAACGTCGTTTTAGCTGGCTGTGGTAGCATCGATTCTGTCTTAGAGTGATTAGATTTCAGCTGTCAAATTAGCAATTGATGAATTGTATTTGTTCATGTCTTTATTGAGTAAACCAATATATGCTTAGAATGCTCTGGCTCTGTCATCTTCAGCTTTTCTGGCTAAATCGAAGGCTTGACTCAATTGGTTTTAGAGATCATCGATCAATTTGATGACTCTTCCTGTTAATTCTTAGTTGGCGAATTATTAAGTTCTGTTGGCAAGATTGGCTAACAATTTGATGGCTTTTCCAAAGGTTCTGACGTGTTTCATTGTGCTGGCTTTGTGAGCACCTTGACTCATGTGACTAGCAACTTAAGCCATGATTTATGGAGTAACGTGAACCTTTTCTTCACCCTTCTATAAGAAAGATGGAGCTTAGAGGTTATCTGTGAAGAGTCTTCTTGCTTCAGCCAAAACTGAGGAAACAAAGGTGTACTCTTATCTTTAAGCTTCAAAGTCATCAGCTTATTCTTATCTCTTGGCTGTTGTCTCATCAATGACCTTTTATAATTCAGCCTTTTAGAGTTCCTTAGCTTTCTTTTATCCGATCTTTTAGTCTCTGATTGGCACGAGGTCGTCAAGAACAGCTTATAATTCTGTATTTCTTTATTCAAGATTGGCAAGTTCTTGGTTCAAGCCAGCCAAATCAGCATCACAAACTTATTAGAAGGCTTGGTTATTGGCATCATCCTCCTTTTAGTCAGCAATGTATCTGTCTTCCAAATCATAAAGGGTTTAGAAAATTCTTTCTAGAGGCTCACCGGTTGTCATTTGAATGGCAATGGTGTTTAAGAGTGTTCTGCCCAAATCACTTTATTCGATTCTGTCAAATAAAGCAGTGTTTGTGGCGAAAGCACAAGCAACTAAGACTAGAAGCAATGTTGTTTTCATTTTATTAATTTATGAATGCAGAACATGATTAAAAACGGTATATATAAAATAAATAAATATTATTGTCTAAATTCTTTTATGTTATTGATTAATATTTCAGCAAAATGAATCTTCCCATGTATTTGATCCTGCACCACTGAACATATCGATTTTCCAATAGGTAAACAATCCAAAAGAGTCAGCCCACCAAAGAGTTACAAACATTGGCAAGAATTATCTGCTAGCATAATTTCTTAACATTCCTGGGAAGTAATTATTGAGATTTCTAGCATACCTATATGCATAATAAGGATTCTAATTACCAAATATGAGTAGCAGCCTTTCTGTAATTGCCATCATAAGGACATACCCCATTTGGTTTTGGCCATAACTCTACCATTTCCCTTGTAACTTAAGAGAGGGAATAACTTGTCAAAATGGCCAAGTATGTAGACAAGAAACAATTTAAAACTTTAACTGGGAAATATGGAATATCAGCAACTCTTGTAAAGACAGAAAGCTATTAATCTATAAGTTGTAAATAATTACCTTATCCTTCATCCAATCGAAAGAGTATAATAGAGTTAAAGTTTAGAAGAAGTTTCTAGCGAATAGAGGGAATGAATTCTTGAAGAAATAGTATGGTCCCTCTTCAAATGGAATTCTCCAAAGAGCATTGAAAAATGAGGTATATCCTTTTTACAATTCCTTTGGGAAAGTCTTATCAGCATAATAAGCCATTCTAGCAACTTCAAAGGGAATTCCAATTGGAGCAGTAAGAAGAGAAATGAACATAGTGCCTGGTACTTTTCTCAAGAATCCATATTCGAATGTACCCCAAGTTCCTTTTTTTAATATATTAATAAATTACTTTGCCATCCGTGATTGACTGCTCTAAATGCTGCCAATCTCAATGCCCAATCAATACCACCTGAAGCAAAGGCAAATTACATTCTAGTGCCCATTGATCTTTTGAAATTCTCAAGATTGACTGTTGCTTTGCTAAAATTATACAATTCCTTCACAGTATTTGGTTATTCATATTATCGTAACCTTTGATAGACTAATAATGATACAATAGTTTCCAATTCTCGTAGAAATTATGCCATGTTTCACCAATAACACTACCTAGTAATCCTGATATTGCTCCTCTGGTGTAATTCCATCTCCATGAACTAATTTATAGAAATTACAATATACTTTTCTGGAGCATCTGTCCAAACACCAGCATTATAACAATCAAAATACAAGGAATGTCGTCTTCTGATGTCGTCTAACTCAAAAAACATGATAAATTAATTATTGAATTAGATATTTTGGTTTTGTATATATATATTATGTGCATGTTGTATTTTTTCAAATGAACACTTTCTTGTGCATGGAATGAGCTACCTGATATTTCTAATAGCAATTATAAACTCTATTCCATTCTAATTCTTCCTTGATTCTCCATCCTAACCATGCAACAATGCCACCTGGGACTGCTGCCCAAAAGAGTCTCTACTTAATAGGTAAACCTTTGATAATTGGGAAGAAAAAGAATGAGAATGAATAGACGGCTCCTCCAACTTAACCTAATCTTTCGAATCTTGATGCATCTCTATTGTTGAGAAGAATATAAATACGCTTCAGCATGGAAGACTTGTTCTGTCAATTTCAAAGGAACATGTCTATCATATTTCAAGAATTATTTCACTTCCTCTTTCTCTTTAGCGGTGAAGGTTTTTTCAAAAAGTCCGAAGTGTTCAGGTTGATCGTATATCATGATAAAATAAATAATTAAATCTTCTATATGTATAATATTCTAATAATCAGGGACCTAAGTTTATTTTGTATTTCAAGTATTCAAAAATAGCAGGTGAATACAACAACTTAATGGACTTCTGAATAATATCCAACTCATTATTTATTTGTTTCACCAACTCCTCATGGGTTTATTTACTTATCAACAATGATTGCTCTTCCAACTTCACACGTTCCCCATATAAATCAATATCAGCTTGATGGATTTTTATGATATTTTCACAATCAGCTACGAATGATTAAATGTCCTCTCTTTCCTCCAATAAATCATTCCATTCTCTCTCAAAAACATTAGTCTCCCCATCCTAAGCACTGTCCCATTAAGAGAAGGCCCTTTCCTATTCTTTCTCATCATTAATTAATTTGTTTTGAGAATCAACCAAAGATTTTCGAAGCTTATTCAATAGATCCAAAACTGACTTAATAAAATGTCTCTATTTGAAACTGGAATCGGTTAATTACACCAACGTCTCCATCATACTTTCATAACCCTTCAATCCCTCTACCTACAGTTAATTCCAATTATTACTCTTCCTTTAATGCTTCTTAATCTTCTAGTCAAATCCTTTGATTCCTCCTTACTCAATTGAATTTTATCCATCTCAATAAAACTGCAATCTGGTCTGGGCAATAAGGATCCAACCATCTTCAAAGTGTCGTCTGTAATCTTGATCAAATCTCCTACATCTCTCTTAGATTTCTCAAAATTCTCATATTATTGTTTGCGCAATGCCTCCTACATTTTTAGTCTAGATTCGTTTTATTGTTTAGAATCCTTCAATCTTAATAATTATTTTTCTATATCGTTCTAATCAGGATTAACACAGTATTATTACCTTTCTGGGTTCTAGCTCTTATCCAATTCTTTTCCTCTGCTTATTCTATTCGTTTTCAGCATCAGAAATTATTTATTTTAATTATTGAACTTTTACAACGCTTTCTGCTTTAATAGCCTCGTAATCGAGGTTCTCTTATTCCACTCTTTCCTATATATTATTCTTAAAAATACAATCAACTAGCGTCCGAAGCTTTTTATTGTTTAAATTAATTCATCTACAGGACCTTGCAATTTGTAATTTAACTCAGCCATCTTCAAAATTGCTTAACCAATTTTATGTTATTAGATCTCTTTAATTTATTCTTCAATTACAGAGTTCCCACTGTTCCCATCATCATATCTTAAACATGTACATATTGCGAACAATGTTATCAATAATATTAATTTCATTATTTAATAAATGAATAAAAAAACGAGTATATATATTAATTTATTTTCATTCGTTTAATCGATATTTTTTAATCAATCTAGAATAACATCAAATGTGTATAAATTAATTCATACATGTTAATTAAGGATTAATTTGCTGTATTTTGAAATTCAATTAGGATATTCATTTAGAAATTAATAATCTTCTCAAAAATCTGATACTCTAATTTTAACTTTTAAAAAATATACAATTGATTCCTTTGATTCTTAACCAAAGAATTCATTATAGTCAGAATATTGGTTTATGATAATAAGAAGAATGATTATTTGATAGATGGAAAAAGGATAATAAAATTCATGGTGATTTATTTTATTGAAGTTTGATTAATATAATAATTTTATTAAATGTTATAAAGAATAGTGAGATATTGTTTCGCTCATGGATCACACAAACCAACAGGCCCAATCTTTGCCCCATCTGTGTAGGACAAGATGTAATCTCAAAGCCCTAATTTAGGATCTATATCAATGTTTATAATGATGGTGAGTTTGAAAGAATACCTGCTTATATTGGTGAAAGTCTTTTGACTGCGCTAAGAAGATTTCGTGTAACAAATATTCCAGGTAAAATTGGGTATTCATATAACAGGTGATTGTGAAGGAGGAGAATAATTGGATAGCATATTGGAGAATCCAGTCTAGACAAATACATTTGGTCCAACATGTGGATCATGCCACATTTTGATATCATCACCTTGGGTTGAAAAGCTCAGAGACCCATTTTATTTGGAAGAATTGATCATTAATAGATAAGATTATGCTGTTGCCAAGCAGTAATTAATTATATAGATTTTTTAGATCCAGATTAGCATGTGCTATTAAATTAGAGAAATGGATGGATGAAATGGAAGTATCTCTTCCAATTAATGAAAATTCAGAAAATATGTGATTTCTTTAAAAATAAAGATAAAATAATATATATTATATAAAACATAATCACATAACTTTTTTAGTAGTAGTTGTTTAAGGATATAAGACTAAACTTTGTGTTTGAAGAGGAAATCTTTATTTAATATATCTTGAAAATGATAGTATCTTTTTATGAAACACATTTAGCATAACATACTATGAATGAGTTCTAGAAAGTAGATAAATTAAAATATCTACTTTCTAAATCGAAAAATTCGACATTAATGAACTATAATTTACAATACTTATTTTTTGATGGAGCTTTTGCTTTTATTTTGACATCCTTAGGTTTGCTGATTTGAGATTGGCTTTTTTTATTGTTGTTAAGTGTTAAATTGTTTTCTAAAGTACGAATTATAAAGATTTGTCTTTTGGAGAATCAAAATGCTATGGTTTAGCTTATTTAATTCAGTTTATTATTAAACTGTTTTTGGTCTACAACAAGTGCTGGTGTTTAAAAATGATTTGATAATTTTTTGATCACTTTAATGAGTTTTCTCGAAAAAGTTTCTTCTTAAAATGATGATTATCTCTAGTTTAAGTATAAATTTGATCAATAATATTTGAATGATGATGATAAAAATACTTCAGTTTTTTGCACTCTCTTGAAATAGAATATATTAATACTTATAATGTCTCCTCATTATATTTAATTGATGGAATATTTTAATTTTATACTGCTTATTGCTCTCATTAAACCAGTAGCATAATAATTTTGATTTTCCATTTCTCACTTCCAACTGACCTTATCTAATAAGCAGTTTATTATTTTTTCTCTAAGACTCTTAAATCTAAAGATCATTAGATACCTCGCTAAGCTAGAATTTAGGCCTGTTATTATAAGATCTATAATCTTTTTGAAGAATCAATTTAAAGATAGAATTTTGATCTTACTCTCAAGCCCCATGCTCTGCTTTTAGCTGTTTAACTATCCTTAAAACCCTCATCCCTTAAGAATTTGATTAATTAATAGTATTATTCAAGTTGGACCATTTAATTATATAAAAATCAATCATTAAGTTAAGTGATAAAAGCAGCGCCGTTGAGAATCCAGTAATCAGGGTTCTTCTTAGTAGGACAATCAATTGCTCTAATAAAGTTTGTTGAAAGCCCAGTTGTCGATAAAACTCCTGCTCGTAGGCCTAATGTAGAATTTAGATATAAGATTACCAGTTTTATATAAAGGCATGGAATAATCGTTCTGATTTGGTTTATAATCTTGAGTGGGTATAAAATGGATTACAGGAGCTTGGACGATTAATTATCCTGGTAATTAATCTTCTAAAATCCCTTTATTGAGATCAAATCTACACCCTTCAATGAATAAGCCATATATATAAGCCCCAATGTCAGGCAGTGAGGTTATCTAATATAGATCAAATAGATTTACCATCTCATAATCGATATAATTGAAAAACTTAAAGCTGAATTTAAGCACATCTATTGCAATCTAATTTCTTCTGCCAAAAGTTTAGAGTACTGAAGTTAAGAATCCTTAAGGAAAGAAGAAAGCAGATAGCCAATAGCCTTTTAACTGTCCAGCCTCCAAATTGAACCAATCTCTAAAGAAAGTCACTCTTTTTATCATGTCTTCATAAAAGGCAGCAAGAGGTTTCAAAGTTGGATATGCTTTACTTGCCCAAATAGATGGTACTTGATTATTGAGGAACGAGCAGTAAATCATTTCAAGATCAGCTGACATAACAACCTCACCCTTTATAGCAGCTTATAAATTCTTTATTGAGCTTCCAATTATTTATAATAATTGATTAAATCTTTGCACTTCTTAATTCAAGCATACTTTTAAAGAATCAACTTCTAAGGCAGCACCTTAGATATTAATTTAGGTGAGTTTTTTTTTCTTTTCCTATTCCTTTATTTAAAATGGAATCTTTTAGATCAAAGTTTCACATATATCATATACAATTTAATCAGTTGATTTTGTCTTTTGATCTTATTCACTTGATTAAATAATTTCATTTGGTTAAATACTGAGTATGGTAGCCAATAGAGTTTTAGATTCTGTTTATTTGAATATTAGATTAGCATTTTCATTCATTCCAAAGATTTCTGGTTTTTCAAAATCAGGATATTTATTAATCAATCTTCTATAATCAATTATGTTCATTTCACATGGTTATTTATAAACTCCAGAATCAGAAAACTAATAGCCATCATTCAAAGTATCCTCGCTAAATTATACATTTTTATAATAATTACTTGATGTATTTGCATAAGATTGTCTATAGACATCTCCTATCCCATTCGTCAGTTATTCTACCCCCATAGGTAATTTCACCAATTACATACACTAATGCATCCCATGGAATCTCTTAATGTAAATCTAGAAAATTCTTGAGGAATGTTTAAGAGGTTTCCAAATCAAAATCATTGAATCTACTTAATCATAACAATTTACTCATAATTTATATTCCATCCCAATGGACCAAACTTACGACGCTCTAGAACTACAGCATGGAAGAATGTGAGAGAAAAGAGTAATTTCTTCCAAGATTCTTTTTTATCACAGTTTTCTATCTAATCCGCAGATAAATCCATATAACTCTTGTACATATTTTATTTCACTCCCTTAGGAGATTCAAGTGCATATTTAATGCTATTCTACAGAACACTTACAGGAAAATAGTTGCAAGACATACTTGTCAATATTAATCTAAATCCTGAATTAAATTATGATTAGAGTTCTGGGTCTTCAAACCATTCTAACTTCTTTTCTAGTGTTGTCATGAAAGTCTTACATAAATGACAATTTTATAATATGACCCATTCACCACTTTTGACACCACTTTCAATTGCCTTTTCTGCTATAATTGCTTAGCCTTGACCTAAGGATAAGATTCTTAATTTCTCTGAAGATATTTTCTTTTAATTTACAAATCTCATCAAATTAGCCAAAGGATCAACCCCTTGACTCAATATAAAAATAAGTGGAGTCTTATGGTCTGTGTCATTATACAGTTCTTCAATCGTAGATAGATAGTTTGAAGTATATTTTTTTCCTAAAATTGCCTCCACGTAATATGTCATGGCATTAAATGATTCTTCCATTCTCAATACTCTAATGATCATTAATTTCTAAAAAGGTGTCAATGTGTCACTTAATAGGCTCCATGGATTTTCTGATTAAATCAAATTTTCAATTTCTTTGTAATTTGTCAATGCTTGATTATGAATTGATGCAAAGTTCTAATGAACAGTTGTTAATTAATAAAATTCATTCCATGATTTCTGAGTCATCTTGACAGTATTGGGCATAGGAGGTGGTTAAACTGTTAAATTGATTCCTCTTATAAACATATTCCATTCTCCAAAACTTACTTCTTGTGCATTCAATTATATTTTAACAGCCATTAAGAATGATAATATTCGTTTATGCTAATTAAACAAGCATCTGCAAATATTAGTATATATTGCTTCAGTTACACTATCTAATAGTGTTGCTATTCTAATTTCTATGTTATCATCTTTTTCAGAGTTCCTAATCACACTCTAATAAAGTCTCTTGAAGATATTTAACGAGAATTAATACATAGGATCCACAAGAGCAAATTCAGCAATGACAAAGTAAAGCAGACTTCCCCTTGTGGCTATTGGTAAATATGATAATCTGGAGTTTTCTATTTCGGCGGATTTCTACTCTTATGTCACTAAGGTCTCTTTAACTTGAATAGCTTCCTATTTAGATACTTTGAGACTTTCAATTAAATCTACATTATCTAATATCATTCCCTTTGAATTTGCTAATAAATTTAGTATTTCCTCTTCATTCTTTCTTAGACTCCTCATTCCTGTCGAGATATTCTTAACCAAATCTTTTTGTTCTTCTTCCAAATCTGGTTTCTCAATCTATACAATCTCTCCAAGTAATTGTTCTTCCAACCCTTATTGTGTTACCGTAAAATTTATCACAGTAACCCTGATAAATATTTCAGGTAAGAATTGTGGGTTAGAAAGCTTAGTACAAATGAACAATTTAAAATTGGAATCAAATTCTATTTCCTTGTCTCCTATCTTAATCATCTTTTTTCTATTTGAAGGGTTGGCCTGTCTGAGTAATACAGGATCTAAAGAAATATCAAGTTACTCCTAAGCATCTTCAAGTAATAAGGGGACTCCTGTTTATATTGCACTTTCAATTTGTTTTACAAGTCCATCTTAAGTACTCTTTATGATCTTAAGATTTTAATCCCTATATGTATTTTTGATCCAAGCATTAGCCTAATATTAAGGATCAATAAACAAAGGGTAGGATCTGGTGAACTTGGATATTATCCCATTTGACTTTGAGATTGTGTCATTAGGCAATCCATTTGCTATCCATTACTTAATTTCAAGAGTATCTCCTAAAACAGATTCAAAATTAAAATTTTTGATTGACGGTAATGCTAGCTCTGCTGCCTTTTCTATCCAATTCTAGACTAACTGATTTCTATACGTTCCGCAAAACGGTCCCAAGTATGTTACAATAGCACTCCCTAAAAACATATTTCCTAAGAGCAATTAGATTTCTTCACTCAGACTCTGAACTTTGGCTTTCCATCTATTCTATTCATCTGCTAATCCTATAGTAAGTTCTTCAGCTCTTATTAATCTCTATTGAGTGGTTTAAATATTTTAATCTAAAAGGTCTTTTTCTTATTTATTTGAATTAAATTGTATTTCTAGTTCTGTCACTTTTCTAACAACTTAAGCCAGTTCAGATTGTTTTTAGGCCAATTCCTTCTTTGCTTTCTCAAACTATTGATTCATAGTTTCAACCTATGTTTTTTTCTTTTCTACATCATTATTAATATCTGTAAATTCACTTACAGTCCTCACCCACTCACATATAGATTTAGCAGCTATACTAATTTTCTAAATTTAACTTGGAATGAATTCTGGATTACTAGCAATTTTAGTTTTAATTTTGCTTTGCGTTGCTGGTCTAATACGACTCACATCCAGTCCTTTCATTTTTTACAGGAAATTAGGATCTGTCAATAGTTTTTTAATTGAATCCCAATCCAACTTTTCTTCAAACAATATAGCCACACATTCAAAAGTGAATCTTATTATAGGTTATGGATTATTATTATTTCTAAATTCAGATATATCATTTCTATTAAGTGAATTTAGTTATTCAATGGCAGCATTTAAAGTAGGAATAGCTTCATTCAGAATTTTATCAGCTTCCGCTTTAGTCTCTTTAATCTTAGAAGCCTGCTCATTAACTTATCTTTCCTCCTCTGATACTAATTATTTAACTCTATTAGCCTCAGTAGAATCAATTTATAATTTTTATAACAATTGTTCTTGCTCAATGGTCTTCTGCTTTAGAATTGGTTACATTTAAGTCAATTTTTCTTTTAAATCACTAATAATGCTATTAACTTCATGTAATTTTTATAATCCTGAGGATAATTTTAATCTATTGGTTAGTAATTCCTCTTTTTTCATCATCAATAAATTCTTGTAAGACTCTATTAAATCAAGATATGATTTAGGTGTGATATACACTTACCTTCTATAGGCAACTTGAAAATCTTGGCACTTTTTCTCCACAGTTTAATGAACATATACACACATTTAATACAAATTTTATCTGATCTCTTTTGTCAATCCATCAAATTCAAGTGTTTACAAAAACATCTCTGAAACACTCGTCAAAGCTTCTTATGGCCATTTCTATAACCATTGTATTGTACAGCAGTTGAGCAGACTTGGAAACATTCTCAATCTGACTCTCAATTTCCCTCCCATAGGTGACAAACCTAAAATAATGTGTAGATTCGATCTCACTTTTTATACAAAGTAAGGATAGATATGATTAATATTTAGTTCTTTAGCTTCTGCCTATAGACCTTATTGAATCAATTCCAAATCTTCTTTCTTTAACATGTTTGGTACCTCACCAGAATTGAGGAGACAATTGATATCCTCTAAGAATTCCTCATATAGAATTTATGTTTCTGTAAAAGAAAAAGCAATTTATT